CTAGATATTTAAAGAATATATTAAATATATTTAAAAGATCTTAAAAGTATTAAAGAAATATAATCTATAATTTAAACTATCTAAATATAAATTCTATAAATAGAGAATTAAGTTTATTAGACTGATTATATTAGAAAAGGGATTAAAAGTAAATCTAGAAAAGGTTAAAAGAGTTAAAGAATAGCCTAAACTATAAATTATTAAATAAATTTAAGTATTTTTAAGATTTATAAATTATTATTAATAGTTTATCCCTAGATATTTAAGGATTATAGTACCACTTACTAAACTTACTAAGAAAAGGGAAAATACTGTTATTACTTTCTAAGAATTTCTATAGACTAAGGATACTTAAAAAGCCTTTAATAAGCTTAAGAAATTAGTTATAACTATACTAGTACTATAATTATTTGATAAGAAAAAGCTGATAAAAGTTAAGATAAATACTTCTAAATATATTTTTAAAATAGTTCTAAGTTAATAGGATAAAGATAAGTTATAATAACTAGTAACCTATTACTTAAGAAAGTTTATAGATATAGAAATTAGGTACTCTATATTAGATTAGGAATTACTAGTAATTATTAATATACTTAAATACTAGTAATATTACTTAGAAGATATAAAGGATATATTCTTAATCTTATTATATTATTAAAATCTCTAAAACTTTACCACTACTAAAGTATTAAATAGATAATAGCTAAGATAGTTATATAAATTATTATTATTTAACTTCAAGATTAAATACCAGAGTAGGAAACTTAATGCTAATGCAGATATATTAAATAAAAAAACTGACTATAATAAGGGAATAGAGATTAAATATACTCTTTTATAATAAGAAGGAGACTTAATAATATATTAAGTGGTATCTTTAACTAAAATCAATATATCTAAGATTTAGAGGATTTAAGCTAAATAATTAAAAAAGGACTTTATTAAATAATATATAGATTATAATAATAAGTTATAGGTCTATATATATAAAGGGAAAATTATATTACCTCCAAATCTTAAGAAAGAATGGATATTTAAGTATTATAAACCACCTCTACAGGGACATGCAAAAGTAGAAGAAGTCTTAAAAAGACTATAATAAAATTATTACTTCTCTAGAATATAATAAAAAGTCTTTATTTAGATTAGGACCTACTATTTATACAAAAAGGCTAAATATAAATAATATAAATCTTATAGATTACTTTAACTAAGCACTAGAGAAGTCCTGGTAAGAAATATTAATAGATTTTATTAAACCTTTACTACCTTTTAAGGATAAAAATAATATAGAATATAAAAATATTATAATTACTATTAATTAGTTAACTAAATATATAATATTTATCCTAATTCCTTAATAATTTACTGCTTTTTATTTAGCAAAAGTCTTTTTAAAAGAAGTAGGGAGATTTAATATACTAGAAAAGATTATCTCTAATTAAGATAAAATATTTATATCTTATTTCTAGAAGGAATTATACTAAGTATTATAAATTATATAAAGAATATTAATAGTATATTATCTATAAAGTAATAGCTAGACTAAATAAATAAACTAAATACTGGAATAATATCTATAAATATACATTAATAATAAATAAAATAATTAAATATAGCTTATACTATAAATAGTGCTAATATATAATATAATAAAATAAAGTATTATAAGAATATTACTATATTATATAAACTTTAGAAAGGAATTAAGATTAATAGTTAATATATCAGTATACCTACCTATAAAGTAATGTTATTTATAAAAGACCTATAATTACTTTATATTTAATTATAATCTAATATTATATTTTTAAACTAAAGAATAATCCTCTAGGTAAATCAAAAAAGGTCTAAGGGACCAGACCTTAAAAAGGGGGATAAAGTTTATCTTTAGTAATAAAATATTTGTATTAAATACTAAAGTAATAAACTTAATTTTCTAAAAATTAGACTATTTAAAGTTAAAAGGATTATAAGACTAATAAATTATAAGTTATAACTATCTAAAAATATAAAAATATATCCTATCTTTTATATTTTATTACTGGAAAAAGTGGATCCAGAGACTCCTCTTAATAAAAAAATTAAATTAGAAGACCCTATTAAGCTAGAGTATAAGGTTAAGAAGATCTTAGATTATTAAATTAGAAGATACTAATACTTTTATTTTATAAAATAAAAAAGTTACTTACTAAAGGAAAATATTTAAAAGCTATATAAGAACCTTAATTATTTACTTAAACTATTATAGTATTATTATAAGAATCTAATATATTTAAAACCTCTTAGTTTCTAATACCTTAATTAAAGATTATAAGATTATCTATAAGCTTATTAAATTTACTATTAAAGTAACTACTATTTCTTACTTATTCTACTTCTTCTTTTTCTTCTAATTTATCTATTAAATAAATTACTTTTACCTTTATATAACTTTTAGCTATCTTTAGAATCTTCCAACTTTAAGAAAGTTAAGCCAGAAGTTTCTATTATTTAGTATTTAGCTATTATTACTTTATATAAACTTCTGATAACTCTTTAAAACTCTCTTTAATAACTGATTTAGCTTCTTCTCTAGTCTTATCTAGAATTTCTTAAAATATATTAATATATTTTATACTTTTATAAATATAATTTATATATTTAATACTTTTTAAAGAAGATATAGTAATATAGGTTAGTCTATAGATTAAATAGTATTTATAGTTAAAGATAGTAATACTCCTAGACTCTTTAATTTTAGAAGCAAGATATTTATAATAGAGAGAAGAGATTAAAGATATTTTTATTTTCCTTTCAGTAACTACTAAACTCCTTAAGTATTAAAGCTTAGGATAAGCTTACTAAGGAGGGGAATGGTGTTATAAAGTAATATATAATTTATTATATAAATAATTATTTTAATTAATTTTAGGAAAATAATCAAAATGAGCGCACCAGCTAATGGTCAACTACTAGGGTATTACTGATTAGTTAAGGTAATTATTCTAATTATTTTGCTAAGAATAATTAAAATAATTAAGGTAATAAGGATACTAAAAGAGAGGTCTATATAAATATTCTGTCTCTACTGACATTACACTTCTCCATAATTTAACTGTCTAGTTTATCTAGTAGTTAGTTTAAATATATTCCTATACTCTTAAAGCTTAGACTATTCTAAGTCATAAATATAACTATCTTGTTATATTCCTTCCATAATAAGCTCTAGTTATATATTGTTCCTCCGCTCTAGGAAGCTAAACCCTTCCGAAGTGGCTTACATTAGTGAAGCTAGTCGGTATTGGGAAAGTATTCCTAATATTAAGTTATTATAGTATTATTATAAGAACCTAATATATTTAAAACCTTTTAATTTCTAATAGTTTAAATAAAGATAGTAAGATTATCTACTAGTTTTTAGAGCTTACTATCTGTCAAACCACCATTATAGGCTCTTTCTTCCTCTTCCTCTTATTTAAGCTCTTCTATAAAGTAGATTACCTTTTTTTTTACTCTTTTTTTAGTAAATTCTAGGAGTACTTAATTATATAATAATCTGTTTTATATCTTAATAAGTTTAGTACTAACTTTCTCTAACTACTTTAAATCTTTATTTATTATAGATTTGGTTTTCTCTCTTATTTTATCTAAAGACTCCTAAGATTAACTAATATAGGAAATTCCCTTTTAGATATAGCTTACATACTTAGTCCCTTTCAAAGAGGATATAATAATATAGGTATAACTACTTTTAAAATAATTAAAGTAAGCTTAGATTATGATATCCCTTAGACCTTTAATTTTAGAAAAAAGTCATTTATGTCTTAAAGAGGGAGTGGAAGCCATCTTTAAGAGGAAAGAGAGTAGGACTTCTATAACTATTTAAATACTAGCCTAAGTTTAGGATAAGCTTAGTAAGGAGGGGAATGATATTATAAAGTAATATAGGAATTATATAAAAGGAAAATAATTATATTAATTATTTATAATTAAGGTAATTAGTTTATATAAGTGAAAGGTTGTAATTCACCTAGGTAGATTAAATAAATTAGGAATATAGTTTATAATTAGTTTAATTATTTATAATCAGAATAAGTGTCAGGTTTTATATATCTATAAATATATCTTGTCTTACCTTTACTACAGCTCTCTGTGATTTAACTATCTAGTTTATCTAATAGTTAGTTTAAATATATTCCTATACTCTTAAAGCTTATACTACTCTAAGTTATAAATATAACTATCTTATTATAATCCTTCCGTAATAAGCTCTAGTTATACCTTGTTCCTTTATTTTAGGAAGCTAAACCCTTCCGAAGTGGCTTATATTAGTGAAGCTAGTCGGTACTGGGAAAGTATTCCTAACAGGTAATAAGGATATTAAATTTAAGTCTATAAAAATATCCTATCCCTACCTTTATTATAGCTCTCTGTAATTCAACTGTCTAGATTATCTAATAGTTAGTTTAAATATATTCTTATATTCTTAAAGCTTATACTATTTTAAGTTATAAATATAACTATCTTATTACTTCTTTCTATAATAAGCTCTGGTTATATCTTATTCCTTTACTCTAGGAAGCTAAACTCTTCCGAAGTGGCTTACATTAGTGAAGCTAGTCGGTATTGGGAAAGTATTCCTAACAATTATCTTCCTATATCTAAGTAGTTCTGTGATAATATCATATATATTAGATGATATATTTGCACGCATCTTACTTTCTTATATTCAGCTTTTCCATTTTTTTGCGTTGGAACTCGGCTCGGAATTTTACCGGAAGTTCGCTGAGAACATTTCCGATACATGTTATATGCTAGTTGGAGTTCTTCAAAATACCTGATTCATAAGCGAAAACGGCAGATAACGTGACTTTTGAGGAGAAGCATTTCCGATACAAGATTCTATCGATATATCACCAGATATCTGATATTGAAAATTTGAGAAAAGTTCAAAGACTCCGAAATTGACCAATTTTGTCAAATTGGGCTTTCTAAATTCTATTTTCTACGACATAAGCATGTTAAGACTATTATGTGTTGCCTCTGCCACCTTAGTTCGTTTATTATACTTTTGATGAAGGATAATACTAACGAAAAAATATAGCTTCTTGTGTACTGGATTACACTTGCAATCTACAGGCTGTGGTTTCATCCGCTGGCAAAGGTGCGACTATCCAAACGCTAAATGTCATCGTTCGTTGACGACATATTCAGTATCCTGGACCATTTCTGGCAAGAATCACTCCGGTATATGCTCTTCCGATTGAACGGTTCTTGTATTTACTAATCACGGACAGTTCCCGGAGACCATAGCGCTGCTGCGTGGCCGTATCCCGTCAGTAATTTCTGTACTTTCGCCCATATATTGGGTTGACATATTTGTAGATTCTACATGAAAGCATGTCATGATAAATATGGGTCTATTGTACGAGTATCTCCGAATGAACTATGCTTTGATGATGCTCCAGCTTGGAGAGATATATATGGATCTCGACCCGGCCATGCAAATTTTCATAAGGATCCGATTCATGTTGGCTCCATCGCAAGTGTGCCGGGGGTTACAACAATAACTATGGCTGATGATAGAAACCATGCAAGACAACGAAGAGCACTTAGTCATGCGTTTTCCACTAAAGCTCTTCTGGAACAAGAGCATATTATTAAGGGCTACATTGATGTATTCAGCAAAATCATGAAGGATTTCGCCAACAAAGGAGAGCTGGTTAATATGACAGATTGGCTGGCCTATACTACGTTTGACATAATTGGCGATTTGTCATTTGGCGAGCCATTTGGATGTCTGACAAAACCCGAATTCAGATTCTGGGTTCCAGTACGTGACCTCTCACAGCACTTTTGCATATCGCTTTTCTCCCGCCATTCTTCATTCTCAGGCACTATTAGAGGGATTCATGAGATAGATATTTTTGAAACCATGAGATGTCGCAACAATATATGATGCCTAAGCTAACAGAAAGACTGCAGCTGATCAGCGATTCGATCACAGCTGGTGCTTGGGAACAGGCAACTCGTCGGCTAGCAACAACCGATTCCACACTCCAGAAGCTTCTTCTTAAATTGATCCCTCGCCATATATCTGACAAAAGGAAGCATCATCTTATATATAGCAAGGAGAAGATTATGAAACGTGTCAAGCAGACCGACAATGACCACAAAGACTTCCTCTACTACTTGATGCGTCAGAAAGACAAGGACCAGTTAAATCTGGATGAAGTCATTGTTAATGGCGCGCTATTTATAATTGCAGGAACAGAGACTACCGCGGGTTATTTAACTGGCCTTCTTAACGTGAGCTTGACATTCAGTTCCACTTCATGATGGTGCTAACTCTAATGTAGAATTTACTTCGACCTCAGAATCGTCATGTGTTCGACAAGCTGGTTCAGGAGGTTAGATCTAGTTTTGAAAACGAGGACGATTTCACGTTCGAAGAGCTAACAAAGCTTCCTTATATGACGGCTGTTATTGAAGAAGGTCATCGCATCTTCCCAAGTGCTCCAATTGGATTTGTCAGAACTGTTCCACACGGAGGTGAGTCTTCTATCCAATTTAAGAAATAGCGGCGTAATTTGTCTATGTAGGAGATACGGTTTGTGGAGAAATGTTGCCTGGAGGGACAACAGTTTCCGTCTGTAATTGGGCAGCAAGCCATTCAGAAAGAAACTTCGATAAGCCTTATGATTTTATCCCCGAAAGGTAACGTTCATAATAAGCGGACAAATACTCCAATCTTTCAGACTGATATCTTGTAGGTGGCTGGACAAAGAGAACACGACAGACAAACTTCATGCATCACAAGCGTTCTCTCTTGGTCCGCGTGGCTGCATTGGACGGAAGTAAATTAATTTAGCCGTCTGTACATAATAGTGGACGCTAACATTCGAAACAGCTTGTCATATATGGAACAGCGACTCATCCTCGCAAAGCTAGTCTGGAATAATGATTTGGAGCTTGCTAATCATCCCGCAAATGACAAGTGGAATCCAAAGAATGACTATGAGAATATGGTAGTATTGTAGGTTTTTTTTCTTAATCTCTCATTGATTTATCCCAAACTGATACCCCATTCTAGTAATAATTGGGTCAAGCCTCCACTCTGGGTGAAAATGATGCCAAGAAATTTTTAGATTTTTTTGATTTCTCTTATTTCGACATTTCTGAATGAAAAACTGCGTTGCTTAAGTCAATTTGAGGTGACCCGTAGATACGCATGACAAGCAAAACCTGAGCTAACGGACTTCCTCTTAACTATTTGATATCCTGGAGTTCTGGTGTATCCGCAAACGAGTAATTCTCAAACCAAGGAGGATATCTTTCGCCAACAATTTCCGTTTTCTCAATTTCTTTTCGGATAGCTTCTACCTCCTGTGCAGATAACTGCACCTGTGCCGCTGCAACATTCTCTTCTAGATATCTTATCTTTTTAGTACCGCTGTCTAAACGTTAGTACATTATTCAAGCCTGAAGGGGCTGCATTTACGGTATGGGAATTATATCGTCACCTTGAGCAAGTATCCAAGCAAGTGATAACTGGCCCGGAGTGCAACCTTTTTTAGCAGCAAATTTCTCTAAAGATTTTACCAACTCGAGATTTTTTGGAAAGTTATTCTGGCTATATCGTGGCGCAAATTTTCTGAAATCTCCTTCTTCAAAATCGTCAGGAGACTTGATCTGTCCTGTCAAGAAACCGCGCCCAAGCGGACTGTAGGCAATGATTGTGACGCCCAGTTCCCGACATGTCCTAAGCAGATCTATGTTCGAATCCTCAATTTCTGTTGAAAAAGGACTATATTCAACTTGAACGGCAGCGATGGGATGGACTTTGTAAGCTCTCCTCAACGTTCTGGCAGAAACCTCACTCAAACCAATAGCTCCTATTTTACCTTCGTGTTTTAATTTTGCCATGGCAGATACGGTGTCTTCGATTGGTGTCTTCATGTCTACACGATGGCAAAACCAGAGGTCGATTCTCTCCACGCCTAAGCGTTTCATACTTCTCTCGCAGGCCTTTCTGACTTCTCGTCTTTAGTTTTGGCTAACATATATGAGATCTGTCAGTACTTACCATAATCGGGATCACTTCGAATGGATGGTTGTCCCTGATCGTCCTTGGTCACACCGAATTTTGTGCAGAGATACACCTTATCTCGCTTGCCTGAATATTTAAACCAAGCACCAATTAGATCTTCATTGTCCGCATCTATGTCCGATTAATATTAGCTGGTGGAATATTTCAGTATCTCATGATTTTACATACACACATCAGAAGTATCCCAGAACGTTGATCCAAGTTCTATAGCTCGATCTAAAATTTTGAAGCGCTCTTCGTTTGATCCAACGGAGCCGTATCCTGATGACAAGCCCATAGCACCTAGATTTCTTGTCAATTAACATATTTTCACTGATCAAAACAACTTACCAAAGCCGATTACCGGCACTTGAGGGCCATTTTTTCCCACTGCTCGCTTTGACATTGACATTCTGAATGGGGATTACGACAATGTCACATGACAAAACTTTAAACTTGTAGAATATGCGATGATGCACCAGAGGAGATTCGTATTTTGATTTCAAGGAGGATACTAATAACCTGGTTTAGGCTTTCACTTGCAGGAAATGATCTGAATTCGATTGCTTTCAGAGCACGCACCGGAAAAATATACCCATGCGGGTAAAGGTCCAAGACGGTCCACTATAGTCCCTATGACGAGATCGGCAGACTATAGCGCAGATTACTTCTAGAATAAAAGACTATCATTAGTCCCGACCGAGTAATTGTGTTGAACATACCTATTCCAATTTTGTCGGCGAACGAAGTATCAACATGCCAGCAGTAAGCAGACGCCTAGTGGGGAGCAATTCTTACTCATGTTATTAGCCACACAAGAACCAGAACTCCGTGTTCAATCACGTCGCAATTTCGGTGCCAGATCTCGAGAAGGCAGTCAATTGGTACCAAGATGTTTTTGGCTTTCGTCGAATCCGAAGTGATCGGGCGACAGATCGTGCCGAAACACCGGACGCACCGATCTTCAAAATCTACCCTGCATCAATGAAGAAGGTGAAGTGTGCATGGTTAGCATGTGGCAACGGTGTCGGCTTTGAGGTATTTGAGTTTCAGGAGCCGAAGACGATGATACCGAAAGTTGCGAAGGAGGAAGGATTTGAGTACGCTCGTGGAGGTTTTTTCCACATTGCAATCACTGTTGCTGATCCTGAGGCCGTGGCGAAGAAGTGCATCGAGTCAGGCGGAATTCAAATTGGCGAGACTGTTGAAATGTACGGTGAAAGGGCATTATATACAGCAGATCCTTGGGGCAATGTCATTGAGCTTCTAAGCTGTAGCTTTGAGCAACTGATGGCAAATAGGGGATGACACGGAAGATCTTCAACAAAGAATAACCAATTTTCATTCTCTAAGTCACGCTAAAGATACTACCATTTTTTTGGTAGCCTTTCCATTTTGCATCTTCTGGATCATAGAAGGCACATCATCAAGTGAATGATATACCTCTGTTTCAGGCTTGATACCATGCTTCGCGGTAAAATCAATAGCTCGAGGCATTCTAGTAGGAACGCCAGTACTGTCTCCACGAATTCTGAAAGTTCCTATAGCAATATCTAATGCATTAAATGTGACGCCAGCATCTGGAAGACCGACAACGAGAATGATTCCACCAAGCCTTACAAGCGACGGAGCTGATTTATAGGCAGAAGTCGCTGCGCTAAAGATGGCAACAGTATCAGAACCTTTTCCGTTTGTCAGATCCTTGATCTTTTTTACATAGTCCTGATCTGTTCTTGAGTTGAACACATAATCCTGCAATAATCAGCGCTGACATGAGACTTATGTCGAAACCACCTACGGCTCCAATTTTCTTAACAACTTCAAGAATTGAATCTTCAATATCTATTCCTATAACATTGTATCCCATTGCCTTCGCGTACTGGCAAGCTATCTGACCTAGCCCTCCGCAGCCCACTATCGTTAGCCATTGTCCAGGCTGCAACTCGCATGATTCCACGCAATTAAAAGCTGCTCGTAAGTTAGAAGGTCTTTAGCAAAAATACGAGACACTTACATGTGCAACCTGCACAAAATAAAGGCGAAGCGAGCTTTACGTCAATCTTCTTTGGCAGTATCATGGTGTTATGCCAATCAACAAGAGCATATTCGGCAAAGAATCCATCAAAAGTGAAGCCCTGCGTATGGGCCTCTGAACGTTCGCAATGCATGTTATGGACCTGACAGCCATCACATTCAAAGCAGCTGCCTATGATGTATAAGAAGCCAACAGGATCACCAATTTCAAACCCTTTACCACTTGAGCTTGGATGAAGCTTCTCGACATATCCAGCTCCTTCATGTCCTAATGTTACAGGTTTCGGTCTATCAACAGAAACAAAAACATCCCTAATGGCCATCAAATCGCTATGGCAAAGTGATGCAGAAGCAATTCGAATGAGCATTTGGTTTTCACCTGGTTCGGGGACGGGGACCTGGTTGATTTGGATCTCCCTTTTCTTCGAATCCCATTGCACTGCTTTCATCATCTTCGGCAGGCTGAGTCCTTCCATTTTGATGTTCGACTGCCGTTTTTGTGCTTGTTGATTCAGATATTACGCTGTGAAAGATGGAAATTCGTTTGAAGTCGAATTGCACGCATCTCATTAGTCTGTTCGCATAAGCACAGGCTGTGTTGCACTAGCTCTCTCAGATTAAACAGCAAACTCAACTCTTTGTACAGAAAAGAAAATCACAGAGAGTCAGAGCCCAGATCCCATCTCTTCTCACGTTGCGCGGGGATGCAAGCGGGGAGAGGGAATATATTCTCCTTTCCTTTTCCAGACCTGCTGATATACTCCGTGTGGGAAGATCTATTTTCCGGTCATGCAGTTGAACTATCTCAAGGTGGAAGTGCATCCTCCGTTGACCCACCCCTTCACATAAACTGACAACGGTTTGCAAGCATGACATGATAGCACTTCTCCCAGGGTGGGAAGGGTGCAGTTATCCGAGGAGTTTACGGCTATAGCGACTTTATACTATAATGGCTGCTATTTGCGCAATACAAGACTGAGTGCAAGACGACTTTGTATACGTGCAAGACAACATCAAAAAGTATACACAGGTCCGTAATCTCTAGACTTGTATTACAAGTGGACAAATTGTAAATCTTCCGAGATATTCAACATCATGACTGTAGATTTTGATGTGAAAGGCAAGGTCATCACTCTGACCGGGGTAGGTCTTCAACGTCCATTTTCATAGACATATCAGCTCATTTTTTGTCAGGCTGCTTCAGGCATAGGTTTCGAGACTGCTAAATTACTTGCGGCCCAGGGATGCAAGCTCTCTATCGCTGATGTGAACCCAGAAGCACTTGAAGCGAAGGCCAAAGAGATTGCAGCCTGTGCTCCTGTTGAGAGTGATATTTTCAGCGCAGTGGTAGACGTACGAAAGCCAGAACAAGTAGACACGTGGATTGCAAATACAGTCGAGCGCTTTGGGAAGCTAGATGGTGGAGTAAATATGGCTGGTGTGATGTACGTCACTACAAGGTCTCAACCTGCCCGTTTTCACTCTTACTTTGCACAACCTTGTTTTTACGAAAATCTTACACTCGTGAATGCTAACATATGGATTAGTCCGAAGGTAATCAATATCGAAAGGGTGGAAGACTTGAATGATGACGACTGGCATTTCGTTATGGATGTCAACCTTCACGGTGTAATGTACTGTATGCGAGCACAACTTAGGAATATGAATGATGGTGGAAGCATTATAAATGCCGCAAGCATATGCGGCCTTATGGGATTTCCCAAAAATGCCGCTTATACTGCTACCAAGCATGCGGTGATTGGCATGAGTAGATCCGCTGCGAAAGAGGTAGGAGATCGAGAGATAAGGGTGAATTGCATTGCCCCGTAAGTACTTCACCTTGGTAATTGTTCAAAGAATGGGCTAATAAAAAGGAAAATAGAGGCCTGATTGAGGGACCTATGCAGCAGGCAAGCGTAAAGACTCGAGGTGGTGAACAGGTTTGGAGGTGCCACATCATGAGAAGAGGCACACCGTTCGAGGTCGGATCGTTGATAACGTGGTTACTTTGTGATCAAAGTAGATATATCAGCGGCACCGTACAAGTGATTGACGGCGCATGGGCATGTTGAAAAGCTTCAAATCAATGTTTTAGTAACCAAGGTTGGCAAATGTAAAACATTTGTCCTTCTTAAGCCCTTTATAACCCTCAATTTGCGCCTCTTTCGATGTCCTCTTTCCTTCTCACTCCGTCCGTTTTCCTTCCTTCATGAAGCTTGGCCGCGACTGCGTTGCTCATAAGGTGATCTATATTTGGCACAAGAATGTTACAAATAGCTGCCAAAGAACTGAAAGCAATAGAAACATAAAAGATTGTGTGGTAAGCGTCCAGATATGCATGACGATAAGCAAGAGAACCAGCAACTTCGACCTCTTCCGTGACGCCTGCAATGCCGGAGAAGTCTTTTGAGCCCCCTGCAACTTTGGCCATGTATTGGTTTACAGAGGAAGCTGGAAGTCCCGCTTTGAGCAAAGCTTGGGGGACATCATCTCTGATTGTTGATGTTAGACGATTGGTAAGAACGACAGAATAGATACTATAATAGTGTCAGCATCGCTGTAAAAGCAAGGCGAACTAGCTTTGAACTCACGTAGACGCGACAGTAGAGACTACAGATCTCATGCTACCAGCGGCTCCGATGGCACGGCCGATTTCCTTTTGATTAGGGACCACAATCGAACAGATAGGGAGGACAAGAGCTTCGTTCCAGCCGACAAAGAACGTTCCCATGAACACGAGACCCATGGCAAGTCCAGAGCTGGTGATAGTGGAAAAACCCATAACTGTTCATGCATGAGTTGGAAGAAACACTTTGAAAATTTCAATTGTACTTACGCCCAAGAAAAAGTGTAGCAGCAGTCATTACAGCAATGCACTGGTACTTGAGTTTTCCAAGCCTCTCTGCTAAACCTCCGCCGATCATCTCACCAATCGTAACGGCTATTCCGACTAAACAGCTGGCCCATCCAGCCCACATTAGACGTCCATTTGCGTATACGGTTGAAATAAGCCCAGGAAATACGATTGCTTGTGAGTAGTACGTGCTTGCACCAAGACCTAGCGACAGCGCAGAAAACATATAACCCCCATTTCTAAAGAAATGCATTGGCAAAAGAGGTTCCTTAAGTGGCGCGTACGTTTCCCAGACTTCTAACATTAGCCTTTCTGCTCCGATTCGAAAGGGCTGAGAACTCACGAAGCAAGGCAACAATAAGCAAACAACCGATCACAATCCAGGAAACAGTGTGTACATCTTTCCACGGGTAAAGCGATCCTCCAGAAGATAGGCCAAGTATAAAAAGAACTAGGCCTGCTATAAATAGAATGAGGCCAACTAGACGATGTTTTTTCTTAGCTGACTCTCCAACAAAGGAGAACAAGGTTACAGACCGTAATCAAAATTTTTAATAAGCCCCCATGCGTGCCCCTTTCCATGCTTATCCTGCAAGGTCGGAGGTTGATAAAAGAAGAAGTACAAGGCGCAAGTTACTGCGTTAAGGATCAACAAAAAATAGTAGACCCATCTCCAACTCGCTTCGGTGTATAGAATGAAGGCAGTGGACACGGCTGCACCAAAACCAGCCGTGGGCAGTGAGAATATAAAGATGATCGCATTAGCCAAGAATCGATACTTGACGGGAACAAGTTCACCAGACACAAAAGCGTAAGAGTATCCGGTGCAAGCCGAGAGTCCAATGAGTGTCTCACCCCCAACGAGTATAGGTACACTGTCACCAGTAGCAGACACCTGCAATGGTTAGGACGGTTTTTCCTCACTTTCATGTAGCACTTACAATGCAGCCAATGACACCAAGAGCAGTACCTCCAATAAAGAACCATCGGCGCCCAAAGATATCAGACAAAGAACCGACAGTAAGCAGACCAACAGCAAGACAAATGGTGTAAACGAGTGAGAGCCAAGTGATGCTTTCGCTGGGGCCAACCGCAGCATTGATTTGGTTGAGGATTGGAGCAACAAGTGCGAAACCACCAGTAGACGCCATTAAATTGAATCCGACCTTCAAACCCATCAACTTCTATGATTAATTACTAGTTTACTTGACCTACTGCAATCATGGACCCAAGGAAGTAGGCACTGGTGAAATATCCCTTTGGAAAATCTTGTGAATCTGCGGCGAAGCCACGGGCGGCAAGTTCATCATGATGAGTGTCATAATGACTGCATGCAGAGCCGTGCTCCAGTTGCTGAGCAACCGAGTCCTTCTCTAGTGCTGTTGCCATAAATGGAGCTTTGAAAAGAAAGAGAAGATCTGGAGAAAAGTCAGAAAGTTTAAAAGAATAAGAAATAACAATCTACATACCAGCCTTGAAGGAGCTAGAGGAGACTTGATTGATTTCAGACAAAGAAATAAGAGCGTGGGTAACTAAATTATTAGACAAATCTGTATTTCAAGTTCGGCCGTGTGGCTTATAACTCTGGGCTTACTATGGTATTACCTTCCTATTAAATTTTGGCAAGGTTAATAACAGTGCGAAGAGCATTAAAGAATTATTCAGGAGGTATAATAATACTGGAAAATGGTTGACTAGTTGCTCCTGAATGTATATATAAAAACTAAGCACCTGAGACTAATTTAGTTCTCATACTTACAAGACACTATCTCCAGGAAAAGTAGGATCCGACTCCAGACTCCACACTGTCGTTAACAGAGAAATCTTGGGGAACATTCCGAACGTGACGCATCATTGACGCAGCTCTAACCTGAAGTTCCGCCTGGCAGTCATTTTCCGAATGGATGATTATGCTTGATTCCAGCATAAAACCGAACTACGTATAATCAATCAAAGAAAAAGCATGAAACGGCGGACAAAACATCCAAGACTTTGTAGATGTCTGCAGCATGGGCGATTTGATTTCTTCGAGAGCTTGACAACTGGATCTCCTTCCACAATTCAGACTTTATGTGGTCTTTAGTGATCGCCGAAAAATAGACTACATCTGAAGATTTTGCGCATAGAACTATGTATGGCAAAGCTGAAGCATTGACGATGTTTTCGAAGTTTCGTAAGTCGCTTGTTGTCGATCTCACTGTTTGAATGGTTGAGAGGAGAATACCGACAGTCACCCTCAGCAAGCTCCAGAAAGAACTGTAAGAGTTCAAAAAATCGAGGAAGGTCACTTTAGTACCCCTGCGAAGGGCTTCACAATCTCAGTAGGGACATTGTCAGTTTTGCTGGCTTGGCTAGCCGTCATAGGGAAGGCCCTTATCAGTTATGGTACCACTAATTTTGCCAATGCAGAGGAAAATTAACAAAAGATGCTGTTAGCTAGACATGAAGAACTGTTTGGTCTTTTGCTTGTTCTGGTGGTGAAGATAATGTCGAACGTGCTGGTTGGCTTTCTGGAAAACTAAGTAGAGTTGACCAAAGGCTTGGAACCGACGCAATAAAATCACACCTAAAGCAGTTAAACAACTACCTAGATCCCCGCCGGGGACAATCCTCGAATCGTGTTTCTCAATTAGGAAAGTCTACCTCTCCGTTTAAGAGGAACTTTTCTGAGCAAGTTTCTTCATCACTTCGCCATAGGACCTCATCATGAGTCGTCCAGCCGGATCATCTCTCCAATTCATCTGCAAACAGTGCCGCCATACGCTGAGGAGGAAAATAGGTCAAGATGCGCGACGCTTCACGACAACGCGCCTGCTCGAATCACGTATGCAAATATCCTTCGCTTTCAGTTTCCCTATGCTTATGGACCGCTGACATTGGAACAGGTGCATTGCCTACCTTCAAGCCGACTTCCTCACCAGAACTTGATGGGCTTCTGTCCACGATTCGTATGAAATACTTCCTGCCTCAGTATCTCAATGAGCACCAACGCAAGCTCATTCGGTCCAGTAAGCTTAGATCACAATTGGAGAATGACCCAGTGTACGCTACATTTGGGGATGAGGAGATACGTCTTCAGCATATGGATATAGCAAACGAAATGCCACGAAAGTCAGCATTCCTCAAGGCTATAAGTCTCTTCGCAAGCGAGGACTGGAAGAATCTCCCAAGCTTGCTAGAAGGCTATCATCACGCTAAAGCGAATTTAGACCCGCAATGGCTCGGATTGATGATTCAAATGGCGAGAGAAGCTGGCGTGATGAATATCGTGGTGCAGTGCCTTGCCCAAGTAGAGCGAAACGGTCTCTCGCTAGGGATACCGACGGTGAGGGAACAGATTTTGTTGGGTATTCGGCAAATTGCAAGAGAAGCAAAATGGGATGTAGAAGGTACGAAGACGCTGCGAAAGGCGGAGCATGTTCTGCGACACATGGAACATCCAGCGCACTGCGGCAGTCGCACAGTTTCCGATCAGGACCCCCGTGCCGAAGCCTATGTTGTCGCTATTCCGCTTGAGCTGGCGGCACGCCAAGCCATCAGAGCTGGTAGAGACGAGAGAAACAAGGTGGAAATATACTCGAATCGCCTCATTGCAGCCCTAGCACAACAGAAGAGCGCTTTAGTATGCCCATCTGAAGATCGTGAAAGCATTTTTTTTTTTTAAATTTACTGACATATCTGCAGACCGAAACGGCTTGCTGGAGACTTGGAAATAACCTTGTCAAGCCTTTGAACATCAAGAAAGCGGTAGAGTCACTGGATTTGCTTGTCGCAAAATTCATACCTGTGCAGAGCGCTCTTAAGCTTGCGCAACAATTACGGGGCGATAGCTGGACAGATGACGAAAGAGCCTTTGTCGCATATCTTGTCAAGCAGATTGAGCAAAAGCTCGATGCTGCTGTTCAGGAGGTTTCTAAGTATGCGAGCTCAGGAGTTGAGATGAAAATACCTGCCATTGATGAATGGCGACATGTCGAACACTAACAGTGTATCTGCCTCTTTGACGGACCGTTGTGCGCTTTTTAAGTCAGTCGCTGTACAACCTGAGCCAGAAGAATTGCACTTGATTTAGGAGGCAACGAGTAGTACTTGTTTGTATCGGTATAATTTTGATTAAGTTTTTGCAGTCGTTCAATTTCTGTATTAAGAATGTATGCAAATGCCGATATGTAGTGGGCTAGCCGCAGATATTGTACGCTGTCTCGCACTCGTCTCCATGAATAAAACACCTGCTATTTACTGGCGAACGGTGCATAGCTGAAATGCTCTTTTGTCTCCTTGTAATATCATTTATCTGGTAAATGACACCGCGCGGTAAGGTCCTGCACGCCTTGAAGTCATAATGCAGCCAAGAATGAGCCGCTCTACGATTCGGAGCACCTGACCTGTGTAATAACTCAAAATTCATTTATAACGGGAATAACAAAGCAATGTTGCCGTCATTCCGGTCTGTGAATTTCCTGCAAAACCTTGTGCATCTCAAGATGCCGAGATCTCGTAGCTTGACGAAGAGCATTCAGCGCCGCTCCCAGTGTTCGGGACAAAGCTCTTCTGAAAGAATTAGCCCAGGATGCGCCAACAATCCCACGGCCATGGCTGCTACTTTTCTCTGTTTGGGGGCGCAGAAACCCTGATCGGCAGTCAATTGGATCTGGAATGGCAGCTCCGTTCTGTGGCGGTTCCCGGGTAAGAGGGCTCGCAATGGCGCATGTGATGGATGTGCTTGTACCCCACGATGTATCCGCTTCAAAGTACGATCGCACGCGAGTCGTTAGGACACCTTTTGCTAGCAAGGTTTTGTTCCCAGTTAGTGGAATCACCGTAAGGAAGGTGAACTGCTGAAGCGATAGCAAAATTGGTAACAGCGTCAGGTTGGGGCAAGCATCCCATGCCCCAGGCTTCCGTCACTAGAGCGAGGTTTTTTTTTTCTTTCTTTGCCACGTGAGGTTCTTGGTGCAGCAAGACGTCTCTGCGTGCGACAAGACTCTTACCGACATTTCGGTCATTGCTCTGTTCGCTAATCCGGCCGTGGGCTTGGGGAAAGAATTTCTAGATGGTTAGTTAGCCCCGCCAGCGCTACTACTACTACAACAACTACTGCTGCTGCTGCTGCTGCTGTTGCTTTGCTTGTGAAAATTGGTGGCCGCCACTGGTGTTTGGGGTCACAATGTGGGCAAGGGAGGATGAGAGCGGACGGGTTTAATTCTTGTGCCTAGCGGCAACCATGTGTCATCCATCCCTACATAAAAGCCGAAGTTTGTCAGTTCAAGTTCCTTCGCTTTGGTCGGGAAGGCCCCTTACACTGTGCGGACTGCCAACCGAACGTCGCAGGCGGGCCACTTTGCCGTCTCGCACAAGTAGCTTCGCTTATCTCAGCGGCTCTCCGTTCACTTTTGTCGGGCGCCGATACGTTTTCAAAAGTTGGGAAGAGCGGCATAAGAGGCGAATTCTATGACGAAGCGTGCATCACAGACAGGCCGGAGATCTACCAGCGCTAAAGAGTGCTCCCGCCCTGGACGAGATCCTCCGATGCGGTTGGCCAACTCCTGCTCTGTACCGGTGGGCTTCGACGTGCAGACGGCGATGGATGGGAGACCGACACTTCGCTCGTAGGCTGGCGGACGAGTCGAAGGGGCGTGGGGAAGCCACCAACAGGCGGGCTTGAATTGTGCAAGGCAAAGCGTAAGCTCTCGCATCCCGGACGACCATGACAGGATCGCCCGCAGGCCCAACGAAAGCCCACGCATGTGAGAGAGCACACGCCGCGCCAGCATCTGTGCCCATGCTTTCTTTTCCAGTGGGCTGCATTTTTTCACGTGCTTGTGCAAGCGTCCAGGCTTGCACGTCGAGTGTCGACGCTTGAAGCTTGTGAGAGACGTCCAGCGAGGGACTGCGCACACGCCCTCGCTCGTGGCTTTCACATTCACCCTCCCGACGACTCCCTGAGCCGCGTGCAATTTGGCATCATCATCATTCGGCTCTGTTCAGCCGACACAGTCCTCTGCCGTTCTTTTCATGACTCTCCACATGATTTTATGACCTCACGTCCTCATCCCCTACCCTTCACTCCGTCTCCGATAACTTTTGGGCGGGGAGACAAGTCTCTCGGCGCATTCACAGCCTCGGCGTCATCGATCGTGAGCGGCTACAGCACGCGCCTTCCAACCCCATAATCTCTATGGAGTTTGAGCGTGAGAGACCGCCAGCGTACGCACACGTCCCTAGCGACCTCAAGTTGCCTTCCGTGCCCAACCACGACATCCCTTCGAACGGGTCGCCGAGCCTGATCAACTTGCCCGACCTACGCTCGTTGGGTCTCCCAGAAGCACGGCACTCGAACGAACACTGGCCACACTACCGGCAGAATGGACAGTTGAATCCGAACGCTTTTCCCTCAGTGCCGTCGGCACCGCCGCGGGCGTCGGTAGACCCGCCTCTGGGAAGTCCGATGGCTACGGAGAGCATCTTGAGCTCGGACGACAGAGCGGCGAGGGCGCCAAGCGTGATGAGTATGGACGATCCAGATACGAGGATGGCCGTTGAGGCATTGTCCGGATTGAAGAACCCAGAATTCATGCGCTCGCCCTCGGCGCGCAGCACAACACTTTCCAATCACCAAAGTGTTCCCTATTCACCTCCACAAGAAGAAACAGAAGAGCCGATTCTATCACTGGTTACTGCCAACCATCCATGGATCGGTGCAACTATAAATGGCTCTGTCGCTACGTACAACTTTTCTAAGCACTATTCACCAGCATTCATACGGAACGGCGCAGAGTTTGTGGAACGTAACGTTGGATCGCCCATTGCGAGCACTCTGAGACGAACTGGAGTAGAAGGTGGTGTTCGACGGTATCTTGGTGACAGGAGACCGAGTGATTTTGCGAAGGAAGAGAGACAGCGCAAACGAGCACGGGAAAGATCTCCCGACAAGGATGTTGAGAAGGGAGTAACTTCGCCATCCTCAACCGCCGAGCAAAGAAGGTCGCGCGCAGGATCCCAGGCTTCGTTTGCCTCTTTGCCACCATACGATGAGCACAGATCTCCGCGTTACGAAGAGCTTGCTACAACTACGCAGCAAGAGCCATCGGCGCAAAAATCAATGTCGGCTCCGCGCAACTGGCGTACGCAACTTATGATTACCACGTCAGGTCTAGGTGCTGCTCTTAGCGAAGTTTCGCTGAAGAATTTGAGATTCTGCCTAGGCCTGCTTCGCGGCGCGACAGACAGTATAACAACAATGATGGTGGCTCTAAAGAAACTGCTTGACGACTACGAGGAGAGGGCCAGAAATTCTGCCGATGAGACGCTACCTAATTTCACATTGACCCAGGAGCAGGAAGCGGCGTCGACGAGGATAGCAGAGAGTATAAAGTCTGCACATCGGGAAATTATGAAGACCCTGGAATCGATTACCAACTCAATCTCACACTATGCTGGTGCCGCCCTGCCCGAAAATGCGGCTGCGCTCGTGAGACGACAGTTGATGTCTCTCCCGCAGCGTTGGCGAGTCGCCGAGTCCACGGCTGCGGAACAGAATGGTGCAAACGGGCACTCGCAAACGCAGAGCGAGATGGTCAAAGCAGGAAAGACGATTGTTGTTTTCGCAGGCCAGAGTCTCGATATGCTGGCACAAGTGACGATGGTGGTAAGCGCAACCATTCAGAATGCAGAGGGATGGCTAGAACGTATGGGCCGGCGCTCTGGGCAAAGCCAAGTCTCAAGCCCACCCGCTATGCTCCCTGCAAAGGACGATAGAAAGACATTCGACTCTCAGCCGCAACATCCCGTAGGTGTGGATTATCAGATGATGGAGAAGAAGTAGCGGATCAACGGACTCACTGTTTGTTGTTTTCTAGCTGTCGTTGGAAAAAACATGCGTTTGATGTGAAAGTGTGAAGTGTATGATGAATTATGGCCTTTTTCTGCATATACATATATATATTTCTTATCTGTAACATAACATCTTTTTCGAGACGTTTCACATGCAATTGCACTGATACATCTTGATACAAGACAGTTTTGAAGATCTATTCGCAAGAACGACTCCCTGGCGAAGTCCTGGACTTCGAGAACAACTCATTCTTCACGTCGTTATGAGCTTATGGTGAGCATCCAGGCACCCTATCCCTCCTTTAGGTCAGCTCAGATGACGTTCTAATTCCTCCAAAATACTTCACGAGAGGTTAGAGCGACGATGGTGTCAGGGTGGCAACATTCCTGACATGCTTTCGGGACTGTTCTCTCTCGCTGTGCATCTTAGCTGTAGTATCCTGCATTCGAAGAACATTCCTACGCTCTTGCTTCACTGCAGAGCTATTCATACCCTGACCATATCCTGGCTGTGGCATCCCTTAGCTACATCTGCGCTATTCGTTGGCTTGAATGTGCGTATGTGTTGTAAAAAGCTTCAGCCTCGTGGCGTCCCGAAACGGTATTCGCATATCGAAGAGCAGGGTCCCCTCCCCACCAGCCATACCATTTACACGTCTGCTGAATTCCTCGCGACCGCTCTACACCGACCACACCACCGATTAAATTCAAACGCCTCAACCCGGCTGCTTGTATTCTTGTTTACTGGTGAACTCTGTCTACTGACATTCGATAGGCGCTGTATCTATTCCGGCAGTGTTGCAGCACGCAAAAATGTCTACTCTCCCAAGTAATCTGCAGACCAGCAGTGACCCGTACGTCGAGAGCCCGCGTTAGCCATTGCAGGCCATCAAGGCTAACCAAGGTTGCCCAGTCCGATCCTTCCCAAGCCCTTCAACGCAAACCAGCCGGAGACGATCCGTCTGCATCCGTTCTCGAGCAATGAGATCTCGACAAAGTCACCACAGCCCGAAGAGGACGCCTCAGTGGAGGAGCGCCTAAACAGACTACGCACATTCTACAAGGAGCATGGGATGAGGCGTTTCGCTGAGGCGGTCATGCTGTGTCACGAGCATAATCACCCACACGTCATGCTCCTTCAGATTGCGAATTCGTTCTATAAGCTGTAAGTTGATGAACTACACGGGCATATAAAGTGATGAAGGACTTAATTATTTCAAATAGACCGGGGAATTGGCTCAAGCATGATGAGGAAGAGATTGAAGGTGTGCAGCGCATACTGGACGAGCTATTCGAACCTGATAATTCCCCACCCAGCGAAACAAAATGGGAAATCGGAGACGCGGTTGGTCAGTGGTGGCGGCCGAACTTTGAGACGAGTCTCTACCCATATATTCCTGCACACGTAACCAGACCGAAGGAGTGTAAGAAGATGTACCTCATACCCTTACCGCAGAGGAGTAAGTGCCGTGATTCAACTACAGAATCTCACTGACGCCAATGTCTGCCGCAGAGGTAATTGCAGTCCCGAAGAACCTTAAATTTCTCGCCATTCCCTTTCACGAGCTATACGAGAACGCTTCGACCTACGGCCCTCAGCTGGCTGCGCTTCCACATTATCTGGCAAAGTACAGGTTTGAGTACGTTGACGAAAACGGCAATGTGGTGGCCATCACACCTGGAGGTGTACCTCAGGATGGCGACAGGACAACTTTAGAAGATCCTCGATACTACCATGGAGGTTCCAATGGCACGAATGGTGTCACAGCAGAAGATACAGAAATGAAATGAAGCGGTTGTAAAGTTATGTCGATTGTTTGCAAGATATGTTTATGGCCGCACGAGATAATACACAAAATAGCTCGCAATTCAGATTTTGGGACTAGATACCAGCTATAGAATCAGAGCGCTATAGCACAACTAAAATTTTATTCGCGATTACAATCACAAGTTCTCGAACTCTGCTTGATCAGAGCATTGCTTTGTGACCTCATGGAATGAACACTTTTTTTCATCGTCAATCCTTACCCTGCGTATGCTTTGCTAAGAAATCCAACCTCTTTATAATTAAAGGCAGGATTGGGGAATCAGCCCCCAAAAACATGGCATAGGAAATAGAATATATTAATATATATATGTATGGCTTCTTTGCAGCCTTGTCTTCAGCCTATTGCATCATGTACCTCGGCTAGACCTACCTAGGGACGGAATCTCAAGTTTGTCCCGCATCTAGCTCGTCACTTCATCGACATTTTCAACGAGACTGTTGCGGCAACACAAAGAGCAAAAGATAGATTTTTAAGCACTTTCTTGATCGCCTAAACACTACTGCAGCCCGGCTGCTCTCTCAGAGATGCTACTCCTCGGCCTCACTGGCTCGATCGCGACGGGTAAATCCACCGTTTCAAGCCTCTTGCGTACCGCGCCGTACAACCTACCCATCATAGACGCAGACGTCATTGCACGACAAGTTGTAGAGCCAGGCACGCCAGGTTACAAGAAGATAGTAGAGTACTTCGGGCCTACAACGCCTGATCTCCTCCTTCCAACGGATGATCCTGTATGCGGCGGTAAGGAGAACGGCAAAGATGGGAAAGGCCGGCCGCTGAACAGGCCGGCGCTGGGTCGAAGGGTGTTTGGCACGAGCGAGGATCGCGTAAAGGATCGCAAGGTTCTCAATGGGATTGTGCATCCTGCCGTGGGCAAGGCTATCTACAAGGCTATTTTCTACTACTTTATTACGGGCCATTGGGCAGTCGTGCTGGACATACCCTTATTGTTTGAGAGTGGATGGGAAAGGTACTGCGGGAATGTCATGGTCGTCGCTGTGTCTGATCCCGCAGTGCAGATGAAGAGACTAAGGGAGAGAGACCCACACCTGACCGCTGAGGACGCGGAAAACAGGGTCAAATCACAGGGCGATGTGCGCGAAAAGGCGCGGCGCGCACTTGCAAGGGGCGAGAAGCGGGGGGTGGTCGTGTGGAACGATGGCGACAAGGAGGACCTCAAGAGAGAACTGGCCAAGGTTATGAAGGAGGTACAGGCGGCGAGTCCGCAGTGGTGGGCATATGCCTGCTTGGTGTGTCCTCCATTGGCGGCCGCATCTGCAGCGTACAATATCTGGATCAATTGGCGGGCACAGAAGGCGTGGACGGAGTCAAAGGAGAAGGAAAAGGCGAAATTATGAGGGAATGGGGGTCTACTCTTCCCTCAAACAGCGAACTGAAAGTGGGCTTCACGATCTTCCCCACAAACGAGGATGAGGCCCAGCGATGCGGTTCATTCCTGCATATGTATGGTACGACGTACAGCGCTTTTTTGTATCTTAGGCGGCTGGAATTCCGCATCACGATGGACCCAACCAGATCTTAATCCTCCGAGGTACCGGTGAGGATATCTGCCAACGCTGTGTGAGCTCAGCAGCGTCAGACCGAGATGGCCATCAGACCAAGGAGAAGGGTAGGCTGAATATCGGGTCATGACTAAAGTAGCATTTGTAATACAGGGATACCAATATCAAGAATGCTTGATTCTTGAGCCTGCAGGTGTCATATGTGGATTACATATTCACACGTCGAAAAGGCGTGAGGGACTCGCTATTAGATCAGACGCGTAGTTGGCTTGTAACAGCATCAATGCGCATTGAAATCATTTTACATGTATCTGTCCTTGGATTGGGCGTCTTTTTAGGCAGTCGGACGTTCACCGTTGATGGAAGTTCTTGATGGAATTGGCTGAGTTACAACACGCTGAGCGTGCATTTAACCACGAACTACAAACTGTTCTTCGCAGGGAAACCTCGAGATTCAGCCGTCCGTTGAACTACTCCGATCTATGTCGTTACCATGTACTAAATGCTGCAGCTAGCAGCTCCTACGTGTACAAGCCACACTCGCCTGCTCTCCATCAGATGCGTTTCGCCACCGGTTGCAACCGCTACCGACGAGTTAGCCCTGCCGATCATGATAGACACTGTACACGTCTCGTACAATTTGTCCGCTGCGATTCGGCAGGTTGCCCACGCCCAACAAGAACCAAGAATCAATCCGGGCGCGACTTGGTTTCGGCCCAGCCGACTTAAGGGAAAAAACTGGGCAACGATGTGCGATCGCGATCGAATCAAGTTTTTCCTGCTACGATCCTAGCGTCGGATCGCGAAACAGTGATCCAAGACTTCTGTCAAAAGAGAGCCCGAGCCGTTCGTGGACGCAGTGCCCGTCGCGCGCCGTTTTATTTCGATCGACACCCATCGCAGACGGCAATCGACCGTCGCTGTCGGCGTTGGTTTAGTTCTTCACAGCCTCAGTGCCTCCAGATTGTAACACTCCCTTGCTTGATTTCAACTTCCTTTCCAACCCAGGTTTTCGTTCCTCTTCTTGTCCTTCCGCTGTTATCGGTTTGGTTCTGTTCAGTTTCTTTGCACTAGTGAGCCTTCATCAGGGCTCGAAGGAGCCTCATTGACATTCGGAGTCGATGAAGATGCCATTGGGCGCCATATGAGCCCCCTGACGTCGTTCCTGACTCTAGATCTGTCCCTCGACTGCCATGCTGTTGTCAAAACCATCCTTAAGTCAAATGTTCGGGAGCAAAGATAGCCCCACAAGCGCTCACAACACGTCTTACCCATCATGCGCGCTCCATGAGCACAGACGACGTGATCCATGGTCTAAAAAAGTGATACCAAGGATGCACTCGAGAAGGACATCATACGATTCCACATGGACAAAGTCGAGTTCACAGTCGAGGAGTCCATCGGTCGATTCCAACAATTTAGGGAGACGTAAATTGCAGAAGGTACAAGTCCATCAAACATCATATATCTGCCAAGAAGTTCTAAGGCTAGTTCAGTTACCAATTTCAAACTTGCCGCGACCACAATCATCAAGATCACATGCTCGTCTGTCGTCGGACAAGCCACTCCCTTCTCTGCCGATCTGGCAGCAACAGTACGCCCTTCAGCTCACAGGTGCTGCAGAGGCGCATTCGGAGAGCATGAAGCAGGATCAATCTCTGTATACAAGTCCGCGTGACGGTGCTCCCACGTATGCCGGCTCAAACAATCGTCAACATTGTCTATTTAGAGCTTGCTAACTTTTACATCGAGCAGCGCACGACCAAGGATGCCTGATTTCGGAGACTCGTTTGTTTTAGAACGCCCTCGACGGAGAGCAACGGCTTCAAAGAAGGGTTGGCGCTTTTATTGCGAGGCAATTGTCAACTATCGTGAAAATAGGCGGAGCTCAAAGACTTCGACGGGTAGCTAAGGAGCAAGTAGAACTGCAAAGTTGTTGGATTGAAGCCTTCTGGATCGGCTAGAAGTGCATGATGGAGCATTTATGATTGTTATGAGTACATTCACTGAGCTTGGCTAGATGGATTGGCCCCGGCATTTGCGAACGTAAGCGAAGCGTGCGGGTTGCAGGTATTGATATTCACACCACGTGCCGCTCCAAAAGGCCCATCAAATCGTTCTAGAACAGCATGGGAACTCGCTTCGCGTTTGGCAGTGTAAGTAAGCTTTCACCTTTTCAGCATATGTCCTGTCACTACGATGCAATTTACTTGGTGCAAATCGATACTGGAAGTAGCTACCACGATGTAATGTGGGTGTTTCCTCACACGGATTTGAATATTCAACTCAGATGCTTTTGTATGACCGTTAACCTAGTCGATCAATAAGACATATGAAAGCGCTGTTAAAAAAAATCCAATATGAGTGTTCTATCCTCTGGCTATCTGGATGAAGACAGCCTGGACGGCCTCGCACTCCGTCACGTTGGACAAAACTCATTCTCTCGAGACTGGCAAACCAATTCGCGACCATCGCACATAATATCGCCGGCTTTCGTATTGAATAAGAAAGCAACTTGCTGCGATCAGTCAAGCCACGACGTGACTTCGACACGCGTGCTACAGAGTAACAAGAGTTCGATCAAAATGACACCGAAGTCATTGTTTACCGTTAGCGACCTTGCAGCCATAGCAAATATTCTTCTTCGTTTCGACAGCAACCGTCGAATCAAGAAGCATACCATCCCGCCAGCAGCAGAGACCTTGTTAAAGAGAAATAGTGCCCCTTGGAGTTTTGAGCGGTTGCCATCTTGCGACGCTCCAGAATCGTCGAATACACAAGATAGACGGAAAGCGAGGAGAAGAAAAGCGTCGAGTCAGTCATATAAGCAAACGGAGAGCTTGATCAGTCCATTTTACGCACTCGATAACCAGGACATATCACTTTTCCGACAACGAAAATTCAGGTCGGGATCAAGAGATCGAGTCGAATCAATGCCAGAGGCAAAACTGACGGAGATTGCTTACACGGTAGTGGAGGAGCATCGGTCTCACGGATCTCAGGCAATCAACTGTGAATCTATTCCCCTGAGGAGCAGTTCCTACGTAACAGCGCCTCACCTTCCGAATGGCAAGAAGAACGAGAAGCAGCTACATCGGGACGAGGAGGGAAAAAGTGGCGCAGATCGAGCAGATGTTGCCGGCCCAGATAGGGAAGGGAATGCGTTAGCATCCCATGCTCGGGAGAAAAGCCCTTCACTGAGCGCAAAGATTTATAGTTGGGATATGGATCCTGATTCGAGACCACCTTCTCGCAATGGTTCTTTCCGTCCATCCAAACCAGGCACTTGGTTAGGCGTTTCGACTGCAGCGGGAGGTGAGAAAAGCAGCTTAAGACATAGGAAAAGTCGACACAGAAAATTTGATGCTGTTGATGGTGCTTGTAGCAGAAGCGGAATTCCCATTTCATCCACACGAAGAAAAGCAAGTTCTCACATTTCTCATAATGCCAACGATGATAAGCGTTTTCAGCAAGCTCTGTTCTTTTCGAGCGGATCACCAGAAGAAGAGCGCGTCATGCCGCATATAAAGCAAGACTGGTTAGGGCTGCAGGACAGTAGTTCGAAGGCAAGTGTTGCACGGCATAGTCATCATAGCTTTACTACCACGTCCCCGAAAGTCAACACGGCAGGTTTGATGACGATTCCTGAAGGCTACCTTCTCGAGAAACATACACTCAGTGCGACGCTGGGCGAACTTAGTGATTCTAACACGTACCCACATTTGAATCAAGCCTCTTCAAGTTGTTCTGGTCAGTTCCCAGGAAATTTCTTGAAGAAGAACTTAGAAGCCCCAGCAAAACAGGTTCAGCCTTTCTGTGCAGGACCGAAATTATACAGGGCACCGACTGTGGAAGATGTGCCTGAAGGATGGAACGGATGGGAACAAAACGAACTAAAGCAGCACACGCATTCTCAGCAGACTTTACAAAGCTATTCTCGTAAGAAAAAAGGTGTCAATCACTGGGAGAAGATGTCAATACCAAATCACAGCTATGGTAATCGCTCAAGCATAAAACAAGATCCCTTAAATCCAAGTCTTCAATCAGATTCTGCAGAAAAAGTTGATCAATGGATCAATTTTGTTCCACCCCCGGATGAGCAAACCATATTTCGTGAAATTTCGAAGAGGACACGATCTACTTCTCATATACCACGTTACAGTCGAAGTAATGATCTGGCAAATGGTTGGAAGAATAGATCAGGGTCCTCAAATGCGAGTCTTGGCACAGGTTATGGAAGACGAGGTGTAAAAGAAAGCAATGCAACGGCAAGGGCAGCGGTATGGGGTCAGGGACAAGACTGGGACAAGATGACAACTGCCGGATCGAGTACGAAAGCGGAAGTTGGGATGCGAAGGGATACTGTGCGAAGCTGGAAAACCAGCAGTCACAACATGCCTTTGATCGATGACACAGGCCAATGGTAAGATGGAGCCCAAATCCTGTCGGTGGACTGGTCATTTTTTAACTTTGGCGCTTCTAAGCTTATATTATAACCTCGCACTGTCCGTTAAAGAGAACAAGTTGTGACCTTTCAATCGCGAGTCTTCCCTAACCACTCCACTCAAACCAATGGGCTCTTTCTTTCCCGTAGCGAGTGCCATCAGCGTGGCCTCATCAGCGTGGTTTGCGACGAAGCGTTCCCCGGAAAACTTCATTCGACCGATGATGTGCGCTTTTCCAGGCTTGCCATCCCGATCCCAATCCACAGTGTACGTCTCTATCACAGCCTCGCCCTTAGGACTCTCTGAAATCTTCGGCGCTGGCACGTTTGCGAGGTGGTCTGGCAGTGGATTCCTATCCGGGTAGGGTGTTGCACGAGGAGTGCTCGATAAGCAGACGACGTACTGATATGTGAGGACTCCTCCGTTAGCCAATATCAGACCATTCTTTCCACGGCCGGCACGTAATTGACGGGTCATTTCTGTGATTGCATGCATGGAGTAATTGTTTCCAGCGCCGCCAAATGAAGTCAGACCTCCGAGCAACGTGATCGGTTTCTTTGATCCAACAATAGGGAGACCAAGGTGTTCACATGCGAGCTTGGGAACGATTGGAAAACAGCTACCTTTGCATTAGACCACGATTCTGAAGTACGGCAATAAGTCTCTCTCACGAGTAGAAGTCGTAAAGGTCAATGTCATCCTTGCTCAGGTTTGACATCTGAAGCGCTGCATCAATCGACCTCGAAATGGCAGGAGCATGATAAAAATTGGGCCTCTCCCAGACTAGAGATGCTTCGTTAGTTTCTAATGTCTTTCAGACAATGTATCTTTGCTTACAATGATCAGCATCGGATGTTCCAGCCCCTCCAAGAGGATATATCCATCTATCCTCCGGAACACCTAGCTCCTTCGCATGCTTCGTTGAGGTTAGAACCACAGCACCAGCCAGATTGACAGTGTTGAATGCGTTCATCAGTAGAGTGTCTGCACTAGGTCAGCTTCATGAGCAACAAGTCATGGTTCAACATACAGGGAGTGCAAATCATTCGATTCTTCTTCGACGGTGTCCCGATGAACTCCGCCGTCGCGGCTGGTTTACCGTAGTTCCAGGCAAACGGCTGTTTTTCAGCGACTTTAGCCCACTCGGCGTACATCTCCGCTGATTCTTTGTTGTTTTCCACTAGACTCTGACCACGATGGGCACGAAATCCGTTTTCATAAAGCGGATAGACTTGGATTGGGGCTCCTATGCCATGTCTGGCACCGAGGTCTGGGATGGCGTTAGTGCGTGTGAGCAGGTTACCGTGCGGGTGGAGGCCTACCAGTTCCAAGATCACGCGTAGTAGGCGAAAAGACGCTGTCTACATTGCGTGATGGCTTCGTCCATCCTGGAGGGGGTAGCTTGTTCGCGGCAGCACATGCGCTCACTGCGCAATCGATCAGATAATTGTAGCTTATGAGATGTAGTTTCGACCATACATGAAGCTAAAGCCTCCCCGCCCGTTATCACAGCTATCTTGACATGACCCTTTGCGACCCGTCTCGCAGCCTCGTCGAGAAGCTTCGCAGGTTGGTTACCACCGTGTGGACTGACGAACTTGTGCTGTGCCTGTACCCCAAGCCTCCCTGCAAGCAAGCCAGCAAGGTCCGGATAAGGCCAGGTCCACGGAAGAACTACGTCGATGCTGTCAATCTGCGATTGCAGTCTCGACAAGTCTGATGCTTTGGAGTCCTTGAGGGCAATTTCAATGGCTCTTAACATCAATTCAGCGGGTTCAAAGGCGTCTTCGACCTTTTGAGAGCGATTTTTGAAGTCGCCTACTCCGATGATGACCGGAACATTTGAAGCCATTGCCGAAGACGAAATAATTCGCTCAATCACATTAAGCAACCACGGCGAAAATAAGTTCGCGTAACCAGATCACCGCAAAGGACGTTCAATATGAAGAACAACAAACAACAGGAGTTCGTTGCGACCAGGCCCCGGTTCTTCGTCACCGACTTCTGACGCGGTCATGGACAACATGTGCGGAGATAGCCTAGCGATTATGCCGAGGCCCGACGAAGCAGCGAAAAAGCGTTCATCAAAGTCCCCAAGCGCAGAGGGATGAGGTCACTAACTATGCCCTGGGGGGTGCCCAACTGCCCTCTAGGTTGGGGCAGTGATGGCGACCAAGTCAACCGACACAGAATCATTTCAGTAGTCGGTTTAGCAGGCGTGTTGCGTACCATGTATCAACCACGCTTGCAGTACTGACTTGCAATGCAACTTTAAAGCACAAGGCAGTAAGTAGCTGAGTGATACTGAGCAACTTTAAAGCTCCTCAATGTGAACAAATTTACGGAGTCGGCTCGCATCCTCCGTTGCTGGCTCTGTAGCGAGGAATGCACGGAGAGGAAAACGCCATCAGCACATCGTGAAGCAGAAATACGGTAGCTATATTACGTTCGGCTCACATATCAGTGCTTTGGGTGCTGCTGAAGAACCAAGGAAAGCTGTTGTCTGGCAGGAATTGCGTTATGTGTGCCTCCTTAGCGGTTTGCGTGTTGCTCAGCCGCAGTGCTATGGAGGACAGTTTGCCTTTCCTAGCGAGCTCCACCCCTTGCGCGCAATGCCAAGCAGATCTGGCACGCAACTTTCAGACAGAGAAGCAGCTTTATTGAGCGGCACACCGATACGTCGCATTCACACCACCAGCTCCCATATTCGCATCATGGATTTGCGCTCCATGTTAAATCCTGTCGCCGATGGCGCTGCTGCTGCTGCTGCCGCCGCCGCCGCCGCTGCACAGGCTCAAGCTCAAGCTCAGGCGCAAACATATTTGAAGACACCGCAAAGAACGGTGTCGCTCGTGCAGCCTTTGACTACGCAGAGCAGTCATTCGCCTCCAGCGCAAAAGACTCCTCTACCTAGAACCGCGTCGCTACCTGTGCAAGGCACGCAATATCGACGCGAAAGCACGGCGAGCGTGAGCCCGAAGACGATGCCTCCGCCAGCACCAGTGCCTTACCAGACCCCTTCCCCTGTCATATCACGAAAGCGAAGTCTTTCCCACTTAAGCGATCATCAGCACACTCCGCAGCCAGCGGTGAAGAAGCGAAAGTACGATCCGAAGTCCCCCCCGCCATGGGCGCGTCGGGAACGTGATGGATATCGTTTCGTGCAAGTCCCAAAGACGGGACCAAACGCGACCGTCAACAACAGCATTACGCCCCAAATGCAGCCTCAGACTCATGCAAATCACCAGTCTAGTCATCCTCCGCCTTCTGCCGCAGCCACCAACCTGCATCAGTCTCTTCCTCCTGAACCGCGCTTCGAACCCAGCATCGACAACAATGAGCCTTACAATGATATGGAGCGGGCAATATGCGATTTCTTGTTCCAGAATGTCATTCTGCAGGATATGCAGTTCAGCTCGCCAACAAAGTTTGAAATCGAAGCGAAATTGGGCTCAATAAAGGACTGGCAAGATGAGCGGCTGCGTTTGCGCTTGCCTATCATAACCGATGCTGTATTGGATCCGCAGGGCCCACGCCCAAAATTCGAAAGCTCCATGAAAATAGACCAGCACTCGAGGTTGAACAAGTATCTAAATAGTGCAGTACAGCAATCGCAGCGACCTGGCCGACGACCGATCGTTTACAAGCATCTACGCGAGACAGACTACTTCTACGACATACCTCAAATGGCTCTTCATCTAGTTGACCCCGTTGTGCTTGAACATCACAACCGAAGTGGAAAGCGAGGACCACCTCGGTTGCGCGTGACTAGGGACAATGCAACGAACGAAATTACCGCCGTCATCATGAAGACACGTCTGCATGACCTTGAAGTTCGTTGTCCGAATGATGAATTTGACTTTCGCGTGAGCATATCTCTCGAAACACAGTGGACTCACCCAGGCTGGGAGAATTTTCCCGAACATCTGGACCACGGCGTTCGCACGTCGCGCAACAAGGACCGCCTCAGCTACCAGCACCAAGGCTTCCTAGTCGATCTAACGCAAGTCACACCATTTGCGAAGCAGGGCGAGAAGGTTGAAAAGACACATGAGCTGGAGATCGAAATGGACGTGGACAGACTGATCGAAGAGGGTTACAAGAACCTCAACAACCAGCCAAATGAGTACGAAAATCTGATTCACGTGTTTCTGAACAACGTGAAGGTGGTCAATCGTGCGGCACGCGCACCCCCGCAACCAATGCAGCCTCCGAGATAACTCGGCTACAAGAATTGTATGGTCGTCAATACTTGTCTTCATAGCTCCTTTGTTTCAAGCTCAGCCCAGGAAAAAGCGTCGATTGAGCTCGCGGCGATGATATTTCTGTTGATACCATTAGGCATATGAGCTGCTGTCTATTCTAGCTCTTTAATGCAACTCAAAGCCCGAAAAGGGATTTCATGACGACGACGACTTTGCGCAACATTATAATCTTGCTGAAGGTCCTATGCTCCTCTCACTCCGTCAGTGCACTTGTAGCAGATGCGTGATTAACGCCCGAAGCAAAACAGGTAGCTATCAAAAATCGTGCGAAATGCCTGCGGTACACTTGAAGTTGCCTCCTTGTAGTACCTTTGATTTACCTGTGCGGCCTCAGAAAATGCATTTATCTCGAGCTGCAGCTCGCTTACGTGGACAAAAATGAACAGGGATGTCAACCTAACTAACGTGTGCTTTCGAAACAAAGACGAGTTAAGTCAACGTTAGTTGTAAACTTCCGACGCCAATGACATCACATCGCCGGACCAAGCGTCGGTCAAGAGCAAGTCGGAAAAACGCCTCATGATACACAGGGCATATCCAAGCGCGTGTGCATCGATCCAATTGCCAGCCCAAGTTAGACTCGTGTTCCCGAGTGCTAGTCAGATCTTGGATAGAGTTGATACTAGATCCTGCCCTGGATTGGAACGAGCTCAGGAAGCTGTTTTACAGCATTTGCTTAAAGCTCCCTGTCCTTTTCTCAACTCTCCTTCAAACATTTCAGCCCGCTGAATGACGCTGTTGATATTTGAAATATTTTCCCGACCATACACTTGATCTTCCCAAAATCATTCCGCATTCTCGACGCATGACCGAGGGGTTGAACGCTGAGGAGATCATCCAAAATACCTCCATACGCCTTACAGAACGAGACGACAGATCGTTGCAGACATGGTTTCTTCACATGATACTTCGCTTGGCAGGTAATCATGTAGGACGTCCGGGCAAAACTTATCCCGTGGGCTCGGCACAGCTCAAACCACCGTCATCGACCAGGAAAATGTGTAACGTTAATCAGCGAAGGGTTGAGGACGTATGGATGTACGACTTGACCCTGAAGTACGAGAGATCAAAGGTGAAGAAGAAAGAAAAAGGGAAGACAGTACACAGAATATATTACTGGGCAGGTGGAGGTTGGCAGTCGCCGCCAGGAACGTCGCACTGGAGGTTTTTAACTGCCCTCCTGAATGAGTTACCGCAAGCTACCATCACTTTGATATCCTATCCCCTTGCTCCGAATTCTCCAGCGCCAACAGCATTTCCACACCTTCTACGCCTGTACAACGCCATAATGAAAGAGTCTGCTGAGAAAGGAGAGATAGTTACGTTAGGTGGTGATAGCTCCGGTGGCGAGATCGTGCTGTGTATTCCACTGGAAGCCTTGAGGCAGAACATTTATGCTCCAAAACCACATTCTATCATGGCCATATGCCCCTCAGTTGATCTAAGTCGTGAAAATCCAGCAATTAAAGAGATCCAGAAGCACGACCCTATATTAAAGGTCAGATTCATCAACGAGACTGCCTCGAGGTGGGCAGGGAGCTGGGACAGGAAAGATCCTCGAATATCGCCTATATATTCTGAACAGCTCAGTCTGTTTCAACGTGCCAACATCAAAGTGGATGGAATAACCGCTGGTTACGACCTTCTTGGCCCAGATGGAATTCTGATGAGAAACAAGCTGGCGAAGAATAAGGTGGAGGGCGAGTGGCTCCACTGGGAGAAGATGATGCACTGTTGGCCACTCGTGAAGACTTATGGAATCAGCCCCGAAAGTGAAGAAGCTTTTCAATGGATGGTCAATGTTTTAAGACGCCGGGTCGAGGAACAGATAAGCGATGTGGCTACTGCTGGGGAAGGAAATGCGAGAAAAGACAAAGCCAAGGACGATTTTGGGCAAGGAGAGAATGTATGAAAATAAAAACAGCATTGTCGTTGGAGTTGTCTCATTTTCACAGTTGAGTTCCTAGCAGAGTCAACATCTTCTTTCCATCGTTCTCAGTTTGTTAATCGGACCCAACAACATTTCTTTGGTGATCGACCCTAGATGCATTAGGCGTAATCGTCCTCGTCGAATCGTGAAACCAATACGAGATCCAAGCTTCGATCATGCTATTCACGCCAGCACCTGTTCGCGCTGTTTAAGTAACGCAAAAGTTGGTTTCTCGGTACCACGCTCGAAACATGTCAGTGGTTTTCATATAGATTTTTGATTTTTTTTTTTTTTCAATTTTTAATTTTTTATTTTTATTCTTATTTTTTTTGGTCACTCATCACCGGAATAGGGTAAAGATTTGATGTAGATATGGCAAGCTGCGGCCTTTGAACAAATGCTTCACTCACAAGTATGCCAGCAATCAGTATCGATAATCTCATTCGATCACCGTTATACCTGCTTAGTGCGACATTTTGATCTCTCCTGTGTAGGTTTCTAACAATATCCTTTCATTGTAGTTGAGTCTAGATAACATACAAGATCGTGATTAGGAGCTGCGGGAGAGTTCTGCCTCCACGTAAAGCTCCTGAGAGGAAGAAAAAGTTCCCCATAGAGTCTACAGTTTTTGCGTTCTGTGAACAACTTAAGCCAGATATCTCAAAAGGCCACCTAATGCACGTGTGAAGACGACGTTGACGAGCACTCACGCTCTGTGGAGCTTTTCGGCCGGAGCCGGAATCGGAGTGTCCTCAACATGCGTGGAACTGAGCGCTTTCTGCGCGCATCAGATAAGATTAGACCCTATCTATCCAACAATCTACGTGCCGTACAAAGTTCTTCTCTCCATTACGATTTTCCATGCGGCTTTTCGGGTTCTCTTTTACTGGGGCACTGTGGGAGAAAGACACCGAAGTATTTTCGAACTTGGAGAAGAATCACACGGATCTGCGCTCACCTTTCTTGGAGCCTAAACTTCGAATAGCATGGACACGCGAACATCTCTGGATGTACAATGCTGTTTTATGCCTGTTTCTCTTTGTCATATGGCTTCTGCGGACTGTGAGGGTATTGAGAAGACGACGAAAATGTTACAAGAGTGCTAATACTAGGGACACCTCGTTCGACGGTACATCATCTGATTCTAGTAGCACGCTTACCGGCACTGCAACACCACCAGAAGTTTTGAAGAGCGAACATGACGACGACGAGCACAAACCGCTTCTTCAAAGAACCCAAAATGGACGTTATAGAGCGTGGGGACATATCCTTCGTCGCAGACTTCGAGGGTTCCTCATGTATCAGCCTCAGCCGTTGCCCTACATCGGCAAGGTCCTGCCTGACAACGGAACCACACTATTCGTACTTGGCTTCGTTTTTTTCAACTTCATACTCGCAAGCGTTCACATACCTTTTGAATCCAGAATGTGGCTTGTATTCAGCGATCGCTGTGCAAGCCTCTTTGCTGCAAATCTTCCACTTCTTTATCTGCTAGCGGCGAAAAACCAGCCTTTGAAACGCATTACAGGGTACTCGTATGAGGCCCTGAACATTTTCCACCGCCGCCTGGGTGAAATGATGTGTCTATTTGCTTTCCTTCACATGGCGTCGTCCTTCTATATTTATTTCAGTATGGTCAAACCAATCCTACGGATTTGTTTCTGGCGATTTGTCAATAACAGGCTCATACTTTGCGGAATCTGTGCTCTCATTTGCTATGAAGCACTATATCTCACGTCACTCAGCAGCTTTCGAAAGCGCAGGTATGAGTTGTTTTTGGTATTGCATGTTATGTTGCAAGTTGGAGGCCTGGGCTTTCTCTGGTTCCACTACTTCAGCAGCAGAGTCTACGTCCTAACCTCGGTTGTATTATTTGTAGTCGACCGATTGGTGTATCGTCTCATCCTGAAGAGTACATCCGTAGAAGCTGGACTGGAGGTGCTTGAAGATGGAGAAACAGTCATGCTTTCCGCGCACTGGGCGATCACAAACACAAGACCACTTGTCTTGGGTCGCCACTGTGTCAGAAATGGCTGGCGACCTGCTGAACACGTCTTCATCACCATTCCAGCTCTGTCAAGTTCAGCAATCCTGCAAGCGCATCCGTTCACTGTCGCCTCGGCGGCGCCTGATATGACGGCCTCGATGCCTCATGCGTGGTTCTCGATCCTGATCAGGTCGCACGGCGGATTCTCCAGAGACCTGCTAAACTATGCCCGCCAACACAGGAAGGTCAACGTACGCATTGATGGGCCATATGGCACTCCAGAGCCCCTACACATGCTGGAGGACTCTGATCACGCAATTGTCGTCGCCGGAGGAAGCGGGATCGCTGTTGTGTTTCCCCTTGCTTGGTCTCTCTTGCAGCCACTAGCTTCCGATTTCTCTTCAGATGGTCCAAGACCTGGACCTCGTCGAAAAGGAAAGCAGAGAAAAGTGTCGCTGATATGGATCATCCATTCAGCTTCTCACTTATCTTGGATACCGCGAGACTATCTGGACGAATTGACTGACCTGGGCCTGCATGTTAGAATTCCGCCACCAACGGCTACATACGGTCGGCCTAACGTTGGTTTGATTGTGGAAGACATGGTGCATGACGACTGGAAGGGAGGTCGGGCTGGAGTTGTAGTCAGTGGGCCTGACGCACTTAACAGAGATGTGCGAAATGCGTGTTCGCGACTGGTTGACGAGGGGTTTAACGTGGAATTGACTGTAGAGAAGTTCGGCTGGTAGCCATGTTAGTGAAAGAGACTGAGCAGAGTTGTACATATTCGAGGCATCTTGACTCCATAGAGTGCAAGAGGGATAGCGGCTCACCTGATTCTGCGAACTGGCCAAACTGAGAGGCGAAGTGAAGAAGGGAAAGAACATATTCGGTGACGCAAAGTATAGCCAAGACATAGTCATTCCAATGCCCAAGTCAGGTTTGTAAATGCTGCCACACTTAGACTAAGGATGATTGGACGACCTATGGGTGGATCAAAGTGGCGTGTATTATGCCCTACAATACACTCTACACCGCTCATGATATGCCCCTCGAAACGCAGCGCATCGACCTCCCATGAAAAGCCCTCTCTAAGATATGCTCACATCGTGTGCTTACGCTGTATAAATCCAAAAAGTTCCGACGCACAAAGCCGTCAGTCAGTCCGCAATTGACAACCTCTACGTGCAATAAGCGAACACCATCTCCAAATGCAAAGCATAGAAGTCGCGAGAAGTATGGCCGTGCTGGAACTGCCAAAGGCTCTTGAATACAGGGGAAAGTAGTGCTGACAAGTTAGCTGCAAATGCGGTTGATATCCAAAAAGCTGGGCTCGACTGATGGGGATCTCGTCTAGGAAGCCTTGTCCATGAATGCGAATCTCCAGCCTTGTGAATCATAACGCCAAAGATCACAGCACGTATACTGTCATTATCCGGTATAGCCATTATGCGAAACACCTTCAAGGCCTTTATTTGACCATCTGTCCGATACATTAGCGATTAATGTCATTGCAAATTTGTGAGATTGAAGTATACATCTTGACTTTCCTATCGTCTCCTGCCGATGCAAACAGCGTGTGATTCCTCGGATGCCACGCCACAGCATTGACGCAACCCGGCGAGTGGGCATCTAAAGCCTCAACAAAATGCCCCGTAGTTCGCCAAATGTAAATTTTGGAGTCTAGGATATGATTAGTTCTGCCGATAACTCAAATAGTAAAACTCACCTTCACTGCCACTTACAACGAATGACTCGTTTGCACCACCGAAGACGCTTTTGATCATAAAATTCGCTTGCTTGTGACCTTCGAACGTCTGAAGGACCTCGCCAGTATCTATGGCCATAAGTCGAATTTTATTATCATTCATGCCGACAAGCATGTGCTTAGAATCCGCGCTGATCTTAACAGAAGTCATCATAGCTTTTCCAAACTCGTATCGATTGATCAGCTCCCTTGTGAAAAAGTCGTAGACCAATATCTGGTATACCAGAAGCGCAACAAGTTTCTGACCGTCTGGCGAGAGTGCGACGTCGAAGATCCGCATATTTGCGTCATTGCTCCATGTGTAAACTAGCTCGTATTCCTCGTCTGAAGCCTCTGGCGGCAAGATTCTATAAATAGACAACGAGTTCTTGTGGTCCTGCGAGCCAATGACAAAGGTGTTGCTATCAGGTGCCCATGTAGCCGCGCTAACAGGATGTTCGAAATGACGCATTTCAGCAATGCAACCTCCTGTGGCGGTGTTCCATATTCGCGCTGTACAGTCTTTCTCTCTTGAGCAGGTCACGAGCTTCGAATCGTCTGGGCTCCAGGAGATATAGCATACTTCCGCGTGATGTTCTGCTAGAATATGGACCTTTTTGAAGTCGTTATCCACGTCGTAGATGTAGACGTATTTGTCCTTGCTGGCCGTTGCTAAGTATTTGCCATTATTCGAGAAGGCAAGACACCAGACTTCATCTTCGTGGTCTGCAAGAGTTCGTACGCAGGTAGAAGGAAAGTTTGAACGATCACAGAGGTGGTCAAGGTACAATGAAGGCGATTCGACGGTGTTGTGGTAAAGGCAATTCTGGATCCAGCCTTGCTTTGTCTCGTGTAGCAAAACGGCTAGTCTGTGCTCTGGAATCATGGTGCTCGGCGATATGGACTTTGACAGTTCAGTGAGGAGTATACTTCTCGAAGCACCCTCAGCACCATCCCAGCCAGCTTGTTGCTTGAGTTCCTCCGGCTTGCACATGAGGAGGCTACGAGTTTGTTAGCGCATTTTCACTGAAGAAGAAGTCACACTGACTACTGAGTTCACTCATACCTTGATAGATGATGGAGCTGATTGGTGTCCTGGAAACCTAATGGAGTAAGCTCTTGCCGTAGAACCATCAGAGCACGGCCTTGATCTCTATTCTCAAGTAGCTCGAGATATTTCTGTTGCTTTAACCAAAAGCGCATCTCATCTATGTTTGCGCCCTCGGATAATGTGAGCCCACCCGAAGGTCCGCGCTGACCGAAATCTACGCCCTTTCCAGTTCCCTGTAACGAGACTCCACCGCCGGTATCTTGGGCTGAACTCCCGAATAACAACGCTTCCGCCTCTGCCCATTCTCCATGCAACACAGCATGTCTGAAAGCGGCCACTTCCGGTCCCTCAAGCTCGTAGCCGCTCTCCTTGCTCAAGGTTCTCGCGGATTCGGGATAGCCAAGATCGTTTAAGCTTTGTATCAGTATTCGAGCTACCTCTTCTCTACTGTGACCAAACCACTTGGACGGCAGCGGCTGGGAGACTCCAACCCCGTTACTCTCTCCGTTCGAGTGACCATTCGTGTACTTCTTCGACGTAGGGGAGAGGCCATTCGAGGATCCGTTTGAGTATGCCGGCGACTGCGATGTGTTTGTGCTTCCCAAACGCATATTATCGCTTCGAATGCGCTTGGATATGTGTGTAGATGAGGGCCCGCCTCTTGATGTAGAAGCAGAAAGACCGGCCGCTTCCAGATCTTCCGGGCCGGAGTCGTCAGAGGAAGATCTCGGACGCTTCGTTCCGGCAACAATATTGTGCGTGCTTTCGATATGGGCTGAGTTTCTAGGGGCTAAAGGAGGGAGGATGGTTTGCGGGGCGGATGGGTGGTCGGCGGTGAGTGGGGAGGTGGTTTGGTCGTCGTCTGCCAGGTCGGCGGGTGTTTGGTAGTGGTGGATTCAACACTTCACTCGCTTCAAGATACGTACCAGCAACACGATGATCTCGTTGTTACTGGTCCGACCTCCTGAAGCAGCAAAGCAGCCTCCACGACGTGTAACCTCTTCTCTAGTCTTGAGCGGATCGGGGGAATGTAAAGGCTGGTCCTGCCAAAAGGCAAGTGCCCTCCTTGCAGTGGTTACTATGGCGTGTGGAACTTGGTTTGTTCTCAACAAGGATGTCCAGGGCTTCTCAGGGATACTGCTTTACGAGATATCGTTCGTAGGTTGTTTCTCGCGTGGTTTCTTGCTCTGAAGGTTGGTGCTGAATGTGCTGTGAGGGTTGGACGTTGGAGAGAGCTGTGTCGGAGCAGCCACGCTTGCGAGTTCCGCGATTCGTCCAACGGTAACCACACCAAAGTTTACGTTTGAAACATCCGTGGCGGGAACCAAGTCCTATTTTCGTCTTTGGACCTTTCTTTGGAGATCCGTTAGGCCTTGCGTATAGTTGATCAACGAGTTACGGCATTTGGGTGGCTTCGAAGGTCGTCATGTCATGACCGGGGGTTGCATGCAGCGTACGCATGACGAGGGCACACAGACTCACTCAAACACCACATGCATGCTCTCTTCGCCGCCGTACGGGAATCCAAGCTGCTGCCCCGCCGCGACAGATAAGAAAATGACACACGCCACCTGAACGGGCTGTCCGTACGTTCCTAGGTTCTTCTTCTGGCTAGCCTGTCTATCTGCCTTGTCTCTGTTTGGACAACCAAGTCTACCGGACTCCAGCCAGCGCATCCAAAAGTCAGCTTCGCCTTAGTTCTATCCTGCTCCCAGCGCTTGCCCCTCACAGCGGCGGCCGGTTCACAACAAAGACATGATCGAAACATTCCAAGCAGGCTAGACACCACGAGTGGGTCGTCATCTGTCCAAGAGATCTGTAGGCTAAGACCCAAATGTTGCGCCTTTGGCAGAAAGGCTGGCGTCATGTGCTGTTTGCCCAATCGAGGTGCGCCCTTTGAGCTGATGTCTTCAGGGCTCTAGCATAGCTGACGGGCAACGAAAAAGTCGGGAATGTTTTGACATAATTTAACGGAAGACATGCGGGATATCATTACTTCTCTGTTTTGTTCTATAGCATTCTGAAGCAACGCACAGCTAATCTAGGAGGCGAAGTAGAAATTCAGGTTACTCAATCAATGCTATAAAGCATATAAAAGTCACGGCATGAAGCAGATGCCTTTCCTGAAGCATTCATGGCGGCTGCCCAAGAAAACAGAATATGAAGTCCAGTCCTGCTTATGCCGTTGCAATTCCCAGACTTCTATTCCAGGCAGCTCAAACCCGATATACGAACGCCGATTTCACTCTCATCATATCTACCCGCTACCAATGTGACGAGATATGCATTGGTCCCGTGTTGACACAATGTTGTCAAACTCAGTATAACGTGGTGGCGATGGCTCACTTTTACTCGTCCTAAACAGGAGCTCGCGCAGCGACTGCCGTGGCTGGAAGCGCTTTGAAGGAGCCAGCGTCTCGGTCTTTCAATCGTTGTATTCATCAAGGTGGCGTGAGCATTCATAGTCCACATGGGATTCTTCGCATACTTGGGTATCGGGAGCATCTCTTTCAAGCTTAGATTTCTTGTGCGCGTGATGGGCATGAGCAGCAAAAGAAACGACGCCGTAGTAAGAATAACGTTGCTTGCCATTGTATAGGGAAGGAGAAACTAGATGGATAATGGGATTGCTCGCAAAGAGACTTTATGGGCTGATGTTGTGGTCTGCAATAGTAAGATGAAGAAAAGCTTCCCGTATTTCCGCAGAAAAGCCCTCCGCTCTTATAGATGATCAAGCTCTTTAATGGTCTCTTCTTCTTGCGTGCTTTCTTTCGATAGTGTTGCAGCTAAACAACTTCTCATAGTTTGCTGGCATATATATGAGCGAATTTTTCTTGGTTCGTTGAATTTGGAGTAACACTTGAGCCGCTTTCTACTGGTCTATCATCATGAACCTCGCTTATCATACTCATGTTTAGAGCGCATAGTCTTTCCATTGCTTCGTATAGACTTTGATGAAGCCTAGTAAGGTGCAGGGGGTGAATATGCGGCGTCCATGAACGCCTTCGGTTTGACGGGGCTCAGCCTCAAACCAGTGCAGACTTACCAGTTGGTTAGAGTGCTGAGTGCGATGTGGGACCACAATGTCAAATTTCTACACAACCTTCCATAAATAGCTCGCAGCCTCGCTGGGTTAGAACTTATGGCTCCATAGAATTATGCATATGTATTTGAATTCTCTCAAATCAATGCCAAGGAAGACAACTACAGCGAGCATCATATCGTGTCTTAGGTCAGATTGTAATTCCATGGTATTAAATTTCAGTTCGATGATTTCGATGATGTCGATCTCCTCATAGCTGTATGATATCTCTCCCAAATTATCTTTCTAGTGTCAAAGATCCTCGGAACCCTCAGCTATACGCAATGTATATGAGCAGCCCGATGTTAGCAAGCAGCAGAAGCGTAAAGTTGCTGTCCACTGGATCAGGTAGATTAAAGTCGATGTTGATACAAATAGAGACATCGCTGAACCCCATACTAGAACTTGAGGACATGCGGTTTATTGCTTTCAACTAACCGGAAGAAAGCATAGGTGCTGAGCATCAAAGGATCGTCTGGAAGAATCTAGGTCGGTGGAAAAGGAAACAAACGACGGATAACAGCGCACCAAGCTCTTTACACGAAATGAACGCTTCCTTAATTTACTATGCACCCGCAATCCAAATCTGGCTCTCATCGTGCAGAATGCAACAGATGATGGTCAAACTGCGAGACTCGAACTTTGCACAGATTGTCGGAAACCAAATTTAATACAAGGACAATTCACACCAGTAGAACATTGGCCCGACGAATCTTTAAGAATTTTGGCTGTATGTACGTCGGCGAATACTCATCACCTCATCAAAGACTGTGGCCACCATAATTAACAATTTGCAGATGTAAATGATCTTTAGCTTACTGATCACATATAATTTTACTTCTGAAATCTCCTTCACTTGTTTTCTTCCATACATACCCCCTCTGTTCCCAGATGTCGCGGCTGTAACATTACTCATAACGGACGATGCAATTATGGCACAGTCTGGCGTCAATATTGCTGCTACGCATTAAGACTAATTACTAGGAGCACGATGTCCTAGTACGACCAGCTTTGAGGAGCATTAAAGGGGAATCTCTTTGCTAAACCACGATCTGTCCGTCACATCAACCGAGCCAAATTATGGCTTGATAATTGCTGTCTCTATTTTATGAGTTTGCCAGGCAAGCATTTCCCTGGTCTCTCATGATCCATGTCATCTAACGCGTGTCTTTGTCAGAAAGTCTCCAAAAAACTTTGAGTCCTGGCAAGCTCGCATGTTTGGCTTGCTTTGGCTTTACATATTCGTGGTGGTCACGGCTCATATGAACACAAGAAGCTGCCGAATCTATGGTGAATCAACCCTGCCATACGAACTGATCGTCATTGAGGTTCTTCGCCACACCGTGGTAAAGACATGGGAACTCACACGAAAATTCGATCTGCTCTTGTGTGATTCAAACATCGAGCAGGAAAAGATCAAAAACTTCGCAGAAAGACGCAGTGCCGTCGGATATCAGTTACTGAACATGACTAACCTATCCTTCAACGGTCATATACTGCTGCAACACAATGTTGCCGCGTTGCAGGCCAAATTTCATAGACCTCGCTTTCTGTAAGATGAAATCGGCTTCATTAATTCACGGGTGTTAAAAATCACGGCTAAAGGACGCTATGATAACGTTTGATAATTATTTTTCCTCTTAGCATGCGACCTTGCTACTCCTTTGGAGTTCAGTTCTTGCATATCAAGCTTTGATTAATGGCCTGAAACGTTTGCGGTTCGCAATTTGGATTTTGCATTGCTCTAGCAAGCTTGATATAATTGAGTGCGAAGATATATCACGTCGGCTTTACAAAATCGCGTGGTCGAGGCAAGCGTTGGGAGCAGGCAGCTAAAAGCTAGCTGCGTCTTCCAATAATAACTTTGGCAGTGCAATTCGAGAGCTAAAAAATCGGTATACCTACTTAAGCGCTTGCTTGCATCGTTCGATCTCAACTGTAGCTGGCCATAATCAGCTACCGCTGGGGTAGATAGTGGGACGAAGGCTCATTTCATTCGACTCGCACACCCATAAATGGCTGGTCCAATCCTCATGTGCCAATCGAGCTTGACACCACTCTCGATCACTATTTATTTGTCCCCAACCATCAACTTCATCCCACTGTCGACTATAACGTTACCATGATCCTTGGCTAGAGCTTTGCCATCGGGCCAGAGAGAAACTTGGCGAGCGACAGATAGTCTGGGAAATTGAATGTGCATATCGCGTCGTAGTCTAAGAGATTTGCTCTACCCTTTGATGTATCCTGCATTTTCTTGCAATCTCGCCCAAGACGATATGTCTACGGCATATCCGATCAGCCCCCGGCGTTTGGCGCGACTCGTACGAAATCCCGTACCAGACTGCAGTATATTATCTTGTGTTCCATGAGCACAGGTGCAGCAGCATGCGGGTGCTTCTCATTGTAGCATTTGATGAAGTCTTCATCATTGATCTCAGACTTCTTCACCAGAACTCTTTGGACATCACCATCTGCTAGCTCGCGGGCACAGCACGTACAGTCCGGGTCATAATCCCTGTTGCTTTGACAACCTTGCGAAATCCGATAGTGCCTGGATAGCCGGCTTCAGAAACTGTGCTGGCGGCTGGTGGGGGTTGAAATGAGAATTGAGATTCGCAAACGATGCAAGGAACCTTGATGGCCTGAAGATGCTGAGTCCAGAGTCGAGACCAACCGTGTTTGCGCACCAGACCCACATAATACCAGACCCGCAGCGAGGGAATCCAATCAAGAGGCTGTCTGCTCAGACGAGCACCCAAGTGACAATTCATATGCATGTTTGAACCTTGACCGCAATTCCTCCTCAGAAAACACATAATTGCCGTGTGGACTGACTGAACGCTAGCTTGTCGCTTCTGCCCTGTCCTGTCAAGTAGACAGGTCTTTGTATGATAACAAGACGAGGGCTAAGAGCAGGATGCGGGCGGGATAGAGACATAATTGGACGGCTCGGTTACTCGACGAAGCACACGGTGAAGTTTGGCAGGTTGGAGAATCTTTGTTCAAGAGTAGTACAGACTCTAGATTTCCCGCCACGGGCCAGCAAGAGAAGGCTTTTCAATCCCACGTGGCGATCAAGACAGTCATCCGAGGCCGTGACTCCAGCCTCATCTGCGTCTACCTCTAGACTACTGCGCTACCATACCAACCTTCTCACGAGATCGACGTTCACGACTACGGGACGTATAAGTAGAAGTGATATCGATATGTCCGGATCCTCTGAGCCTTTGAACTCGCTGGGCATGCCGGTCGAGAGGGTCGCGGATACTATGGAGAAACCGTTGTTGGATAACAGGGCATATCGAGTGATTCGACTGCAGAACCAGCTGGAGGCGTTGCTCATACATGATCCGGACACAGACAAGGCCAGCGCGTCGCTTGATGTCAATGTCGGAAGCTTCAGCGATGCCGACGACATGCCAGGAATGGCGCATGCGGTTGAGCATCTGCTGTTCATGGGAACCGAAAAGGTGTGTTTTCATTGTACACTGGAGAGTGCAAAAACCTTTCTCTAAAGCGGCATTTAGTATCCAGCGGAGAACGCGTACAACCAATATCTTACAGCACATTCCGGCTATTCGAATGCGTATACCGCCTCGACATCAACGAACTACTACTTCGAAGTTGCCGCCTCGAATTCGCCGAGCCCTAGCAGGACTTCGTCGCAGATCAACCTCTCATCGCAACCAACTTCAAAGACTGATTCTCCACTGTACGGTGCCTTGGATCGCTTCGCACAGTTTTTCATAAAACCTTTGTTTTTAGAGGACACGGTAGACAGAGAACTGAGAGCTGTGGATTCGGAAAACAAGAAGAATTTGCAAAGCGATACGTGGCGATTGCATCAACTGAACAAGTCTTTATCCAATCCAAAGCATCCATACTGCCATTTCTCGACAGGAAACTACAAGACACTTCATGATGAGCCTCTAGCGCGGGGCGTGAAGATCAGAGACGAATTCATCAAATTCTATGAGAAACACTACTCAGCTAATCGCATGAAACTTGTAGTCCTTGGAAGAGAGTCGTTGAATGAACTAGAACATTGGGTTGAGGAATTGTTTTCTGATGTCAAAAACAAAGACCTGCCGCAAAACAGATGGGATAATGTTCAACCGTTAACAGAGCAAGAGCTGGGTATGCAAATTTTCGCAAAGCCAGTATTTCACATGCGAACCCTTGATCTATACTTCCCGTATCCAGACGAAGAAATGCTCTACGACTCACAGCCAGGACGGTATCTCAGTCATTTGATTGGCCATGAAGGTCCTGGCAGCATTCTTGCTTTTATCAAGGGTAGGGGATGGGCTAATGGTCTGGGTGCGGGTGTATCGCCGTTGTGCCCAGGATCTGCGTTCTTCAGTATCTCCATCAGGCTTACTGAGGATGGCCTGAAGCATTACGAAGAAGTTGTAGAGACCGTGTTTCAGTACATATCTGTGCTTAAGGACAAGCCTCCTCAAGAATGGATCTTCGAGGAGATGAAACAAATGAGTGAGGTCAACTTCAAATTTCGACAGAAGTCACCTGCGAGCAAGACAACTTCCGCACTTGCTAATGTCATGCAACGACCTTTGCCTAGGGATCATCTACTTAGTGGTCTAAGCCTGCTCCGGAAATTCCATCCTCAAGGTATCTTGCGCGGGCTGTCGCATCTTCGACCGGAAAATTTCAGACTTATGCTAGTGAGCCAAGAGTTCCCTGGCGATTGGGATCAGAAAGAGAAGTGGTATGGCACGGAATACAAATGTGTGAAGATGTCAGATGACCTAATGAATCGCTTACGCAAGGCGGCATCCGCAAGCCCAGGAAATAGGCCTCCGGGATTGCACCTTCCGGTGAGAAACGAGTTCATTCCTTCAAGATTGGAAGTAGAGCGTAAGGACGTCAGCGAACCGGCGAAAGTGCCGAAGCTGATTCGAAACGATGACCGTGTGCGGACGTGGTATAAAAAGGATGATCAATTTTGGGTACCAAAGGCGAACTTGAAACTCTTGCTCCGCTCACCACTCGTTATCACGACGCCTAGATCTGCTGGACTTACGCAACTATATCAAGCCCTTGTCAAAGATGCGTTAGTGGAGTACGCCTATGCTGCAGAAATTGCCGGCTTGGAGTACGAGGTCACGAGTACCAGCTCTGGCTTACATATCACACTCTCGGGCTATAACGACAAGATGGCAGTCCTGCTGGAAAAAGTACTTGTCCAGATGCGAGATCTCGAAGTGAACCCCGAACGTTTCCGCATCGTCAAGGAACGTTTAATTCGGGGCCACAAGAACGCGGAACTTCAACAGCCTTATCATCAAGTTGGCGTCTACACGCGCTGGTTGACTATCGAGCAAGTATGGATCACTGAACAGCTTTTGGCGGAGCTTCCAGATATCGCCGAGGAAGATGTTCGCGCTTTCTTTCCCCAGATATTGCGCCAGTTGCACATTGAAGTGTTGGCCCATGGTAATTTGTATAGAGAGGATGCTCTACGATTCACGGAAGTTGTGGAAAACACGCTTCGACCAAGAAAGCTTCCTCTTGATCAATGGCCTGTTAAGCGCTCCATGATTTTCCCTCCAGGATGCAACTACATCTACAAGAGGGAGTTGAAGGACCCTGCTAACGTCAATCATTGCATCGAGTATCTGCTTTATGTCGGTAATTCTCAGGACAGACATCTTAGAGCCAAGGTTCTATTGCTTGGCCAGATTGCAGACGAGCCGTGCTTTGATCAGCTTCGAACGAAGGAGCAGCTTGGCTATGTTGTCTTCAGCGGCGCAACTGTGCACAACACGTGGCTTGGATACCACGTGCTTGTCCAAAGCGAACGTACTCCTGAGTATCTTGAGACGCGAATCGAGTCGTTCTTGAACGGCCTTGGCAACATTATCCGCAAAATGCCGGATGATAAGTTTGAGAAGCTAAAGAACAGCTTGATCAATAAGCGTCTTGAGCGTCTGAAGAATCTGAGCTCGGAATGTAATAGGTTCAGCACGCATATTCTGAATGAGGGATATGATTTTGAGCAAGGTAATTGTACTGGTTCCTTCTATCACGACTTTCCGCTCACATGTTATACAGCCGATCACGACGCTGCGCATCTCGAGCCATTGACCAAGGAGGACATTATCAAATTCTTCGAGCGCTTCATCTGCCCCAACTCTGAGAGGCGCGCTAAGCTCAGTGTACACCTGTTGGCGCAGAATACGGCCTCTTCAATCATCGAGAACATCTCATCGGAAGAAGACAAGAATACAATCCTGACTAAAGCGTTGAGTAAAATTTTCGCCGCGCACAACATTAGCACTGATTCAGAGAAATTGGCAACTCGATTACGCGGGCGCAGACTCTCGCTGTCGGATTCTGCACCTATCTCAGAGGCTGCGGCGACGTATCTGACCATGGACGCTAGCTTACCAGCAGACAAGGCCAGAGAGATTGTGCAGCAAGGACTCGTAGCTCTAGGCGGATCTATAGAGCGTAAAGGGGAAAACTATAAGGCAACAACTAGCAGAGCCCCAGTTATTATTGAAGATGTGCATGCATGGAAGGCAGGCTTGAAGGTTGACGTTGCAGCTCAGCCAGTTAGACCGCTCAGCGACTTCGAAGATATCGAGCCCAAGCTATAGAGACGGGAAAGACTTGTGTCTAGAAAAAAAAAAGGCCTCTGTAGTTGTTGGGAAAAAACAATAATATTTCATATAATACGTAGTCCATGCCTTAGATGTATTTGCTTTCTAAGCCTATCTCCAGCGTGAAGCTGGAATTCGCTTCTAATAGCATCCGTACATTCTGTGATGCTGTGCTCTTTTGGCTGGGTTATAAGAAATACAAAAGAGAATTCGTGTTCCAAAGCGTTACGTGAGATAAAAACGCTCCACGCACCGACAAAGTAGCAAACTGGATCTCAACCACTCGAGGAACACAGTCGGCTAGAGGAATTTGTTTCCATAACAAGAGCAAACTGCGAGCATCACTGGGCAGAGAAACGAAAAGGAGCCGTGGAAGAGAAAGCTGTACAAAGATGTTGGGATTTGTTCTTTTCCGCCCCCGATCTAAAGGTGAAGCCTCCTCAGCGCGTGAACACACACTACATACAAAGGTTCACGATTACAGTCGACACTCTCGAGCGAGGGAGAGTTGAAAAAAAAGAGATCCTGGTGTTACACACTGCCTGCTGGCCTCCTGTCTACAACATCCCCCGATGGGTTGGATAGTGAAGTGATAAGGGGATGTAACTAGTGGGCCTGGTACGCGCCAAAGTCGTAGTCCCTGCCAGAGGTGGTGCCTTCCGGGTACATGGTTTCCTTGAGGCTAATGCCGAGCTCTTCCCGGATCGGCTCCAGCTCCTTCAGGTATTCCTCGTACTGGCCCTTATTCTCAACCTTCATTTCAATTCCTGTGTCCCACGTCAGTTCAATGTTCGCTTTCCTGGATTGGAACAGGTAAGGTCGGTATCGATATATACCTTCGAAGATTCGTACGGCAGTGGGGAAGTCATTGACACGCCTGGCGGCGCGCAGGGCGGCTATAATGACGGAGGGTGATGGCACGAGATCGTAAGCAAAAGCGTTGTTTAGGTTGCGCTGGCCGGTGGATCAATACTCTGTTTCGGTGCACCTTCTATAATGAGGGATGGCTATGACTGGTCTGTAGAACTTACCTGAAGCTCAAAGACATCCTGCACATTGTTGAACTCGTTCTCATATCTGCTCGCACGTCAGCATTACAGCTCCACACGTGCCATTGAGATGCATCGAGGCCATTTTTGACACGCTGCAGCCCTTCCGGCCTGCGAGCTCAAACGTCGCCAGAAGTCGTCTGATTTTCATCCGCCCATCAAAATGCGCAACGCACCTCTGAGTGAATTCTTCATAAGTTTCCTCGTGGTGTCCACCCTCACCACCAGCCCTCCTCCTCATCGTTGTCGAGAAGCTGGACACTGCGGTCCTCGGAGCGAGACCTTGAGCTGTCGAGCGGATGGCAACACGTGGAAGCACACGCACACTGCGTGTAGCGGCGCGAAACATTGTGGTTGAGGCCATATGGGATGCGTATTCCCTCTCAGATAGAGCGGAGAGGTGGATGTTGCGGTTCAATGGGTTTGGGGAGAAATGGTCGTACGATCTTGCAAGAGCTTTTGCTTGGGAGAGGTTGTGTCTCGGCTGCAAAGGAAGCGCGTTTGTGCCTTGGCGCCTGAGACCGGAAAAAAACGTCACGGTCAGGCCATGGAATCTCGGTTTGTCTTCGTGTTCTCTCGTACCCAAAGTTTGACTTTTGAGAAGCAGAAAAGAGAGGCTTGCCATGGATTCTTTTCTTTTGAGAATTTCACAGAGTATTCTGTACGATCTACTGAGGACTTATAGTTCATTATCCCACTTAGTTCGACACAGTAATCGAAGCTCCATTGAGGTTAGCTTGCCCTTATCAATTCTCGCACGAAGATTGGTTAGCCGTAGTCCATAGTTTTGTACGTACTTCGGAACCGTTACCAATTCTTTACATTGGGCTTTAGGGATATTTAAACAAACAAGGACGATCAAGAGATTGCGAGCTGCGGTGGACGTTAGGCCTGCTTTTCTAAATTTCCGTAAAGCACATGCTGGTGCTCCTGAGCGCATCGAGAACTCTCTTTTCTGAGCAAGAGTCTTCTTCTTTTTTCTTTTTTTTCTTTTTCATTAAAAAAAATGAAGATGAAAATAAAAGAAAACTTCAAGCTTAAGGCATGCAATTATTTTCACTTGGATAGCCGCCCATTGTGCTTGCGTATACTCGGTCAAACACACGCTCTCTCTTCGCCTGATTCTCAAAGCTCTCGCATTAGTTTGAGCGGCTAGTGTGGAGACAAACAGGATGTTTCCTTTACTACTACGTCATGAGGAAAGCATGCGTTGTGGAAACACAAGGGTGATTGCAAAGAGGGGATTTCCAGCTGTTCGTCGACGGAGGAGCAACTTCAGCTAGTATGGAGACGCACCTCTTGTCAGAGACCAAATCCTTCGCTTGTCGTCGTAACGAGTTTGGAACCATGATTCTAGGTGGCGAGTCAAACCCTCTTACCGGCTCAACAGCATATATTGGGCGCCGTGCTGACGATTGATATTCCTTTACAATATTTCCGCACCGTAGTCCAAACTTTTGGAATATTGTTCCGCTGTTGGAAGCATAGTGTAATCTTGATTTGAATCAAGATACTGCTTGAACTCTGGCATTCCCATTGTGCCGGTATGTAATGATACACATGCCCAATAAAGATCTCCGGCACTCTTCCAAAGATCCCCTTAGAAACGCCACGCTTCCATGCTATTTGGCTGAAATCCCCCAGTCTATTCTCTCTTATCTTCTCTAGTCGCCACTAGACCCCTCGGCCGGTCGACTTGGTATTGTTCTGCTGCCGCTGGAACCCCCAGCCGCTCCACCACCAGGCCTCTTTTTCTCGGCCTCTTCCTGCTTTTCTGTGTTGATGCTCTCGACATACTTCTCAATCTCCGCCGTGTCCAGCATTTCTAGCGGCTTGCCCGGCGTCATAACAGCAATTTCGATGTTCTTGGCGCCCGTCTGAACGACTTCAAGTAAGGACTTGACAGTAAGTTTGATTGTGTCCTCGCGGGACATGGATGGCTGATGGTTGCGCTCCAGAAACTCGCGGACCGTCTTCGCGGAACGACCGATGGCATTGGCTTTCCTGTTTTGCATTTACTTGTTAGCTCCGAACTTTTGACCCACGTCGTCCAAATACCGGCAGGTGGTAATTGTGGGGACAGGGTACAACGCACCACGCGCTGTAAATTCCGCTCGGCTCTGTCTGGTAGAGCTTGGGAACATTGTCTTTCGGATCAAAGCCCACGACCAGTGTACTAATACCGAATGGTCTGACACCACCGCTCTGAGTGTACCGTTGCTGCACGCCCGCAATATATTTGGTGATGTACTCAATGCTGACTGGATCTTCAACCGTCAGACGATGTGATTGAGCTTCTACGCGAGCTTTGTCGACGAGAATGCGTGCGTCAGCATTGAGGCCAGCGAAGGCAAGAGCGACATGGTTGTCAACGAGGCAGATCTTGGAAGGTGTGATGCGTGTATCTTGCAGCTTCATCGCAGAGCGCTTTTCGCAGCCCAAGACGACAATCTCAGCTCCTTTGACGCCGACGGCGCATGTGCCTGTAGGATGTGAATTAGTCGTCTTTATACTTCAGAATCTATGTGGAGTATGTCATAATAGGAACGGGACAAAGCTCTGAGTCTTGTCTGACATGCACCTGAAGATGCAATCAGGATAACCAGATGCGCAACCAGACCATACACGACGTTAAGCTCTGTCGGTGCTGTCACCATCTCCTAGACGCGGCCCAAATCCAGCAGAGCAGGTCGACCAGCTGCGCTCGTCGCCCGCTTCTTTTCCTAACGTCGTCCTACAATCACCACGTACCTCGTTTTACAGCCTCAAGCGCATATTCGACTTGAAAAACATGCCCGTCCGGACTGAAGACTGCGCTAAGGTCAGCATCAAGCTCTCGATGCAACTTTAACGTGCCTGATGGCACTGCAATCAAGCAGGATTCAAGGTGAGAAGTACTGACCGGACAGGGCTCGATCGTATCCAGAAGCCATATTGGGCTGGCTCTATACTGTGCTGCTGAGCAAGGGCGATTGAACGAAGAAAAGAGCTACAGATGGGGCAAGACAGGCGTGACAAGACGGTCCTGCTGTCGCAGTTAACACACTGAACAAGCCTCGTAAGAGCTGCGATGCCTAACGCGCTGTGGCCCAGGCAGGCCCATCGGCCTGTGATTGGCCGAAGCTTTGCTCACCCCAGCACGCGCCGACAATCGGCTTGCTTCCGCCCAGCAAATTTATGACGAGCCCGCAGCGACGACGAGTTTCCATCGTCTTGAGGACAAAGGAAAGGAAGCCCACGTGCGGCACTGGCGTATTTCGCTCCCCGTCAACAGTCCATGAAAAGCTGTTTCCGGACTAATTGCCCTGCGCCTTGAAAACTATCTGCTCATTTCAATGGCCTCCTCGTACCGGGCCTCGCGGGGAATATGGCGACTCCACGTCTCGACGCCCCGATCTCTTCAGGCTTCATCCCGTTTACAGCCATTGTACCAGGCGAGATGGGCGAGCGATACTGCCACTGCCGTACATTCTAAGGAGTATAAGACCACTTCGAAAGCTTCTAAGCCCAAAAGATACACAGCAGATTCGTACGCACATGTCTTTCCTTTGGCCATGGCCCATGGGGATAGGTGTTCTGACATTTGCAACAGTTATCCCGATCTCAAGCGGGATCCGCGTTTTGCACAGCTGACCTCCGAACACATCCAGTACTTCAAGGATGTCCTCAAATCCGACAGCGCGATAATCGACGCGTCCTCGGCCTCAGAAACTGACTTGGAATCCTTCAACGTAGACTGGATGAACAAGTACAGAGGCAAGTCACAGCTTGTCTTGAAGCCCTCGTCAACAGAACAAGTCTCGCAGATTCTGAGGTACTGCAATGAACATAGGCTCGCCGTCGTGCCTCAAGGTGGTAATACGGGCTTGGTTGGCGGTTCCGTCCCAGTCTTCGATGAGATTGTGCTCAGCACCGCAAAGATGGACAAGATACGGAGCTTCGACGACGTATCCGGTATACTTGTCGCCGATGCGGGTGTGATTCTTGAAGTTGCAGACAACTTCCTAAAGGAGCACAATCACATTTTCCCGCTCGACTTGGGCGCAAAAGGCTCATGTCACATTGGTGGGAATGTGGCGACTAATGCTGGAGGACTGCGACTGCTGCGCTACGGAAGCTTGCATGGGAACGTGCTGGGAATCGAGGCCGTGCTTCCGGATGGCACCATCGTCGACGACCTGTCAAAGCTGCGCAAGAATAATACAGGGTATGATATTAAACAACTGTTCATTGGAGGAGAGGGCACTATTGGGATTATCACCGCGGTCAGCATTCTCTGCCCGCAGCGCTCCTCTGCCGTAAACGTAGCATACTTTGGCCTAGAGTCATACGAGAAGGTGCAAGAGGCATTCCGCAATGCGAAGGAACAGCTGGGTGAGATTCTGTCCGCGTTCGAGCTCATGGACACGCACGCCCAGAAACTTCTTAAGAGAGCTAAAGGCGACGGCTTCAAGTTGCCCTTAGAGAACGAGCATCCCTTCTACTGCTTGATTGAGACGAGCGGCAGCAACTCGGATCACGACAATGAGAAACTACAGGCGTTCCTCGAGCACGTCTTGGAGAGTGGTATCGTCAGTGATGGTGTGGTGGCACAGGATCAAACTCAAATTAATGAGTTGTGGGCGACGAGAGAGGGCGTTCCGGAGGCTTCGGCTCATTGGGGTGGAGTTTACAAGTACGATCTGTCCATCCCCATCAAGGACCTCTACAGCCTCGTGGTCGACACACGAGAGCGGCTCACCAAGGCTGGTCTAGTCGGCGATACGGACGAGTATCCATGTGTGGACGTTGTGGGCTATGGACACATGGGCGACTCGAACTTGCACCTGAATGTGTGCGTGAGGCGGTACGACAAGGCAGTCGAGAAGCTACTAGAACCATTCGTATACGAGTGGGTGGCCAAGGTCAACGGCAGCATCAGCGCAGAGCATGGTCTGGGCATTCAAAAGAAGCCCTATATTGGATATTCGAGAAGCGAGACGATGATTAAGATGATGAAGGACATCAAGCAACTGTATGATCCGGTAAGTGCCACGCCATCTTTCATGGAAATGACGCACTTTGGCCTAACTTTAACTACTAGAATGGTATCATGAATCCGTACAAGTACATATAAGGAGTGCTACTGGCCAAGATCGGCGAATAACGCGTGCTTTGGGACTCACTCCTCCTGTCCTTTGCAAAGTCAAATTTGAAATCATCAGAGTCAGACCCTGGTCAAAAGAAAGGTGCTGACCAAAAAATTAAAAAAAAAAAAAAATAAAGAAACGAAGCCAAAAAACGGGGCTGCTGCTTCATCACGAACGTGCTTGTCCTGTGTACCTTACGCACATCCTCTCGTGCCATTCCTACAACATTGTGAAGGGTCGGCTGTAGGGGCTTCTCAAAAGCAAAACTTGACGGACCCCAATACTGGTTGGGCCCAAGGTTTCCTTTACTGCGTTGCAAACTCAACTACACTAGAGATAGTGACTACGGGTATCGAATCGTCGTCTGCAGCGTCGAAGGACCGTATTTCATGGACTGTAAGCCATCATAAGTTTGTGGCTTGGGAGGGCGTATTCATAAGGGCTGGAGGCGGCGGAACTTTTGCACAAGCTCTGGCAAGCGTAGTCGGTGAAGATCTTACCGAGAAAGAATGGTGCAAGTGCGCAGGCATAGTTCTTATACAAGTCGTGAGTGATGTAAATATGTGTATGTATAAATATTTGTGCGTGTGTATGTACGTATATGCATACAGATGGGAAGAGGGGGCACTAGGCTAGCCCGGGATAAGTAAAGACTGTAAAAAAAATCATCTGTTGGGTATATGTTCCAGATCGTCGTCGCTGTCTGCAAGTCCGAACGTCTCGTCCTCATCTTCATCCGTGGATCTTCCCGGTCCCCGCGTCAGCGCCACCGCTTCCTCTCCGTCGTCCGTGTCGCCCTTGTCCGCGGCCCTCGCCATCCTGAGGGCGTCCTGCCTCCCAGACTCTGCGTCCACCCAAAAGACCAGCGGCAGCGGCAGCACGATAAGGACGGCTAGGAACCAGAAGCCCATTCGCACACTGCCGGTGGCGTCGACGATGCGACCGACGATGGCGGGCCCGATGACGCTGCTGCCTTTGTCTGTGACGGCGTAGATGGCGTAGAAGGCCACCTCGCTGCCGGGCGGGACGAGGACGCCGTAAAAGGCGCGGCAGAAGCTGGAGATGCCGCCCATGGCGAAGCCGTGGACGAAGGCCATGGGGAAGATCTCCCAGGGCTGGCGCAAGCCGAGCACGGGCAGTACGAACCCGAGTAAGCCGTACAGGGGGATGATCTCGAACATGCAGATGCACACCATGATGGTGTGATTCGTGGCGAGACCGAGGCGTGTCTGGATCTTGGGCCACAGCGCAGCGCCTGCGATGCCGGAGACGGTGGCGGTGATGCTGACGAGCGCGATGGCCGGGGTGGACATGTGTAGCTCCGTGCGGGCGAAGAGGATGGCGACGTTGGAGATTGTGGCCACCGCGTCGGACACAAGGAACCAGGCGAGCAGGAAAAGACGGACGTGCCTGAGACGGAGTGCGGATCGGAAGGTGCGGAACAGGGAGCGCCAGGCGAAGGCGACGTAGTGCGCGGGCTGCAGCCAGCGCCTGGTGGTGATGGGGACGGAGGCCAGACGGGGCCCGGGGCGCGGACGGAGCCACAGGTACGTGGGGATGCTGAAGAGCGCCCACCAGGCGCCGACGAGAAAAAGCACGGAGCGCATGGGCAGCGACGGCGAGCCATTCAGCCCAAGCTTCGCCATGAGGACGAGCATGCCAATAGATACGACCTGAACGAGGACGGCAGCCGCATAGCCGGCAGCAGTCGCGCGTGCGGATATGGCGTTTGCCAGAGGTAAACTGTGATCCGCGGCCAGGACGACCACTGGAGGTTCGAGCTCGGATGGCGCGACCGGCAGCCAGCTCCGGTCGAGAGCGGGGTCGGAGGCCGTGGCCGGGGACGACGGGTGGTTAGCGACGAGAAGGGGAAGAAAGGAGTTGAGCAGGGCGAAGCTGTTTCCGAGACAGCAGACGGCAAGGATGACGAGGAGCGGGGCGAATAGATAGACGCCTGGCGAGACGAAGATGAACAGCATGGAGGCCGTGGCGCCAGTCCAGGCGAGCGTCAGCAGGAAGCGCTTCCTGTAGTTTCCTGTCGCAACCAGCACGTCAGCGATGCCCGCACATCCTTCCTTCTTGCGTTTTCCCCGGTTAAGCGCTGGGTGAGCGTGCACGCACCGTGGTCTGCTATGGCGCTGATGGAGATGAGCACGAGCGCCTGCACGCCGACGGCCAGCGACGACGTGTAGAGCACAAAGCTGGATGTGTTGACAAACGCGCCTAGGACATTGACGACACATGGAGCGTCTTGTTGATCGGCCCTCTTCGCTGCCGCTGCCGCGGCAGGAGCAACGTTGCTCGATGTGCCAGCCACACAGCTCGTCACTCTGTCGCTCTTTAGAACACCATTCTCCCGGGCGAGCTGCTCGAGCGTGATAGGTAAGAATGATCCGAGGCCGACAACGGCGAAGACTTCGGCCGCGACGGCGTATGAGTACCATCCGCGAAGCTCACGCTGCGTCGTTGCGCTGGTGTCCTCGCCCACGTACCTAGGGCGGCGATGGCGCCCTGTTTCTGTCTCCATTGTCTATTGAGAGTGTGTCGAATCAAAAAAAGGAATGCATCGTGGCCTTGCCGGTGCTGAACGCGGCCTACCTGGCGAGGTAGTTTATGACAACGCTGATTCCCAATGCTCTTTTGTATTCGGTTCCGCCTCCGGTGTACGTTCAGGCTACGCCAGGCGATCGACCTGGCTCAGCTAGCGACAAGTCAAGGAGCTCGAAATTTTGACCGAGGCGCTAGTATGGGGTCGAAGAGCGAATAATTCGAGCTTTGCGAACCACTTTGAGGTGTCACGCCTGTGGACGGAAACACACAGCCGTCGACTGCGGTGATGGAGCCGTGCTTACGGTCAAGTTGCGAAGCCTCTGGAGTGAGGTTTAGCCCGCAGCTAGAAATGGAATCGCTTGCGGTTGTGACCTGTCGGTCCGTAAGGCTGAAGCTGAGCCTTAGAGTTTCCTTCCCTGCCGTTGCACCTCATCAAGTCGACACGAAATGTACGTACACATGGACGATGCGGATGGCAATCGTGGAGACATATAAACATGAACGTCAATGATTTCTTTCATGAGTAGTCAAACTTGAGAATGTGTATATGAACACACAGGAAAAAAAATTCCGCTAAAAATGCTGCATCAATACTCATCGAACACCTGCCACCAATTGCTCCCCGTCAATAAGCCGGCCGATGTGAGTGAGAAATGACAAGTAGATCACCATCCACGCTGATGCATGCAAGAAAGGCTCCAATGTTTGATACTACACTGCCAAAAAAATTTTTTCTTTATATGCCATGGAATGAGGACCTAGCCGAAATCACACGATGATCCTCGCATCCTGCATCCTCACATGCTTGGCTCTCGTCCAATGTACAAGATAAAAGAGAAGTAAAAAAAAAAGGTGTCGATGTCCTTCTTGTTCAATCCATGCAGGGATATCTATGACATTACAACATCGCGAAAACTTCGCCCTCTTGCGCTACGTTGGCCGTCATCCAAGTCCGGACCACCAACAGTTTGCTTAGGCGTCGTGGGTGGAGGAGAGCTGTGCGCCTGCGTTGGAGGTGGGAGTGACTGAGGCTGCGTCGAGATAGGAGAAGGTGCGGGGGCTAATTGATGCCCCGAACCGTGCTGATATTGGTGCTGTGGTTGAGGCCCTGGAGTGTGGGGTGGCGGAGGATCGGAGGCCGACGCGGAAAGATGTTGAGAGTGGTGCTGAGATACGTGCTGCTGCGGTGCGAGCTGCGAATGAGGCGACTCCCTTGGGTATGACGTGTAATGAGCGCCCATAGGGGGAGGCACAGGCTTTGGTGCTAGCTGTCGTCCTCCTTCCTGTGGGGGTTGTGAGGGCTTCGGCGCGACCGGGATCGGCCCGGCAGGACGCTGACTCTCGTTAATGGGCCGGAAGCCGGAATGGAACTGCTGCGGCGGAGGTCCGCCCTGCGACGGTGGACGCGGCGAAATCGGGTCGCGGCCAGTTTCTGGAGTCGGAACGTTGACCAAGGGCTTGGGCGCAAGCTGCGGCGCGTTGGCGTATATCCTGGACATGATTTCCTGTACCGGATCGGGTGCCGGTTTGGGTGCTAGCTGTGGCTGCCCAGGTGCGCGAGCCGATAGCCCTGGAGGGGCATAGTCTGCAGTAGGTCTTGCAATCGGAGGCCATTGCTGGGTCGAGGTGCCAGGAAACTTGGTGAAAGATCCGTGCTCGAACTTGTACATGTTTTGTAAGTTTGCGGGCGGTAGTTGGTACTGTCGCGGGGACACAGGCGGACCGATCTGACCCGTATAAGGAGTTGGCCCACTATCACGTGGACTCTGCGACGGGTGAGGTTGGTTATGGAACGAGGATTGTGTTGGATGTCCCATAGGACCGGGATGTCCTGAATGTGTCGCATGCGGACCATGAGGACCTTGACCCGGAGGCAGCTGATGACTGATGTGACCTGGGGAAGGCGCGGAATGCACGGTTGTCTGCGGTGGATGCTGCACAGACTGCCCTGAAGGCTGCGATCCATACTGCTGGTTCGCTGGAGGGCTCCGCAATGGTTGGCTATTTGCTGGCTGTTGAGCTGACGGCGTGCTTGCCGGAGGGCCGTCGACCTCCATTGCATCCGACGGTCGCTTAGGTGGACGACCACGACGCCTTTGCTTTCCACTGGAACCTTCCGAATCGTCCACATCCATGGGAGCACCATCTTTTCCAATGACGGATGATGCAGAGTGCGCTTCATGCGTGAGATTTGCACGAGGCGTAAGCTGGGCCGTCGGTGCCTGTCCAGCGAAGCCTTCAATATCCAAGGGCCGCTTGGGTTTGCCGTCGCCTATACGATAGCCGCCACGAGGATCGATCTCGACTAGACCCTCAGTGACAAGATAATCTCGCAACTGAGGATCGGGTCTCCAGGACGAGACATCCAAGCACGCCGTTCCATTCTTGCGGTCGCGTTCTAGGTGTCCTCCAACATGTTCGAGTCGCTCTTCCCAGCTGTTTGGACCTGAGAAAGTACGTTGGCAGAAGACGCAGCTGGAGACGTCTGGAGGTGCACGCAGCTGACGGTAGCATCGTTTCTGGATCTCCGTTATCTGTTCCTCGGTGAGATTTGGAGGGTTCGAAGATGGGCCTGCACCAGGCGGCTGAGGCGACTGTGCCCCACCATCTTGCAGCGTCTGCGGGGCGTTCATGGCGTGCATCCGGCGAAGATGCTGCGTAAACAAATCCTTTCGGTTGAAGTCGTTGTACACAGGATGGTCGATGCCCGGAGAGGGTGGACACATGTCGCACCTCCAAAAGCCGAGCTGGATGTGTTTAGTGCTGATGTGGCGCTTCCACTCGTTTTTAGATGTGAACGCAGAGCCACAATTGTACTGGGCAAAGACGCACGGAAAAGGCCTGGAGTTGTTGACAGAAGTTCGGATATCCGCTGGTCGCGGAACCGGAGCCGCCTGTTCGGCTGTTTTTGCATCCTGCCCTTTCACGTCAACCTGTTTTGATTCCAACGCCTTCATCTCGATAGGACGTCCAGAACGTGGTTTTGGCTCCGCGATGATGGGCGTGGAGCTTCCGGCGGCTTTGGATCCGTCAGACGAATCGTCATGTTGTTGCTGTTGCTTCGGTTTAGATTGCCTACGGCCTTGCCTAAAACCCGTCAGTCTCGATTGCAGTAAAAGACGATACTTTGAACTTGATTCTTTGCATTGTGCACATAGTCAGGACCACTCAAGAGGGAATCAGCACGCTACGAGAGAAAGGATTCTTTTTCTTTCTTTCTTTTTCTTTTTTTTTCTTTCGGTCGCAAAGAAGTGGGTGCGCGGTCGGAGAAAACTTTGATGCACAATTCTGATTGTCTGGGCAGAGCCAGAGTCTCGAAAATCACCATCACCAACCCTGTTAAGGTAGTTCAGACAAATCACATACCCGCGCCGCCCACCACTTCCTGAGTGCTGTCCCTTCATGGCCAAATTGCAAATGCCACTCACATCATGTTGTTCTTCAAAGCCCCGATCCTCCGGTCTGGTATGGGACTACCAGCGCGGCTGGGAGGGCCTACACGAGGACTGCGTGGAACACTTCCTGCTCGCGTTCCCATGCCTGATCTTCGGCTCTTGAGTTCTTCCTCCTTACGCTGCAGGAGCTGCTGCAGATTGCGATTCTCTTGCCGCAGCCGCAGGTTCTCTGCGGATTCACTCCTCGACCGCTCGTCGAGGAACAGCTGTCGAGCCTTTGAGATTTCTCCGTTGACTTGCCGCTCCAGCAGTGCGATACGAGTCTCGTATTCACGATTCTGCTCTTGAAGCTCTATTGCCCGTGAACGTGCTTCGTCAAGCTGTTGGCGTACATAGCCTATGGTCGACTCTACATGCTCAGCAGCCTTTTCGGCACGTTTTTTAGCGATCTCGGCTTGTTCCTTTTCGTGGCGCAACCTCTCCATGTCTGCAATTTCGGGAATCTGGGAGGCTTGCAGTGCATTGTGAGCCTCGCTGAGTTGCATTTTCAACGAACGGTTCTCTTCTTTGAGTTTGTCGATGGTCGCGTCTCGTGATTCGCGCTGTCTGACGGCTGTGTCCAGCTTGGCCTTGGTTTCCGACAGCTGTTGGGCAAGAGCTCGTTTCTCGGACGTCTGTTCCTCGAAACGGAACTGCAGTTCGCCCAGGTCACCCTCTAACGCTTGGATGCGCTTTTCAGACGACTCTGTTGATATCTTCAGTTGGATTTCCGTCGCCTTGAGCAGCTCCTGTATCGCGTTGATCTCCTCGGTGAGATTCTTCTGCGTTTCCGAGGACTGTGGTGCCGTTGACTCGCTTGTGCGTGTTTCCGAGCCGTCTTCTTCGGGTTGAGGCGTCATCCTCATCTTCTTGTTAGCCTCGGCTTCTTCTTCGTCCCGGATTCGCTCAAGCGGACGTTTGGCGGCTTTCTTCGCGGCCGCCTTGACCTTCCCAGATTTCTCCGAATCGCTGGATGTGCCAGACTTCATGGAGATCAAGCCTTGCGATAGGTCCCATGCGTCGTTGTTCGTGAGTGGGCCAATTGAGGGGATGGGCCACTCGTGCTCGGCACGACTCGTCAAGACAAACTGAGCAATCTCTTGCGCGGCCTCTTCGATAGACGGTAGGCCGATGTCGTCTCTTCCAGCTTCTTTCCTCAGCTTCGTCAAGCAGTTGACCATGATTCGGAGCCTTTGGGGACCTTTGAACATCGGAGCAACGCTGTGATCGATGTGATCGATTGTGTTGATCACTGCCAAAGAAATAAGGGGCGACAAACGCTCGGGATGCATTGAATCTTGTCGCATCGGCTGGATACATCGTTTTAGCTCGTCAGAAAGGGGATCGAAGGCAACGACCAGGCGCGCCGGCGACACAGCTGCTAGTGCAGAAAATGCACCTTCTTGCTCGGCAGCATCGGAAGACATAATTGTAACCTCCAACAGCTTCTGCGACCGAGAGTCGTTATCTGCAGGGGAGGCGCCCAGTCGCCGATACGATATAGCCATGCCTTTCAGAAAATTTTCCACGATGTCGAGTGCTCTGCCCGGACGGGTGATGATGACAACGTGCATCTGAGATTCTCTGAGGTTGGTCAATAGGTAGTACAGAAGCTTGAATTTTGTGCTGACTGATCGGTCCCACTCGATCACGTCCGAGGGTTCGATGTCGGTCTGAGACACGGTCGTTTCGTTCGTCAGATCGATGTGTGTCGTGATGTCCCGCATTGTGCAGACAAAAGACTGCGCGTCCAAGAGCGTGGACGGAGAGTCGGTCCACTTTCGGCCCGTGAACTTCTCTATCAAGTCCTCATTATACTTGATTGTCTTTCGGTATTGGTCTCGCGCTTGTCCAGCGAAGGGCAACGGCACGATGAATTCCATCCGTCCCAACGGAGGGCCTGCTTCGTTGCTCTCGCCGGATTCCGTGTCGGAGTCGTCTGCGGTGTCGTCCACGCGGGGTTCTAGACCCGCTGCCGGCGCCGTCATGTCGCCGGTGGTGGTAGGTTCGTCATCCGCATCTCCGGGTATGCGTGCAGCCAGTCGCGAATTGCCTTGGGCATCATGATCCATGACCGGCTCCAGATTCTGCTGCTCGGCCGGTATCGTTTGAGATTGCAACTCTCCGTCCACTACAGACTCAGTGCTGCTGTTGAGACCTGTCTCAGCCTTCTCGTCTGTTTCAGACTCACGATCTGAAGCGTCAACTTCTCTCGCGTCCTCGTCAGCGGAAGGGTTCGATGTGAGGCCCTTTTTCCGTCCGGGGCCGACCGATTTCGAGCCTCTGCCTCGAGCACTTCGCAGGCTCGGGGTACCAGAATGGGAAGTAGACGTCGAGTCTACGTTGGACATGACGGTGCTTCGCGCGGAACGACGTGTCCCGGGCATAGTTAAAGGGCCAGGTTGAGGTGGTTGATTCGAGGCCAGCGTCTCAGGATCTTGAGAAGGTGGCTCTGGAATCGAGGAGCTGGACAAACCGCCGCTCTCTGCCGCACCAAGATGCGCAGATTGATCGAAGGCTGCGAGGACACGAGCCGAAACCGGGGCTTGATCTGGGGACTGTCCCCAAGATTGGAAAACGTCCTGATGAGATGCCGGGACGCCCTGCTGTTCTTGACTGGGTGATGGGACACGAGATAGTCGCAGAGGGGATGGTTTAGCTGAAGATGCTGCGACCTGGATCGTCCTGGATGGAGTCTTGCTCGCGGAGCGGAGGCTGGCGGGCCCAATCAAGGGTTTTGAGCTGTCAAGAGGCGAGACGGCACGACTTTGGCTTCGTGCAGGAGACGCAGTTTGTCGAGCAGGCCGATTCGACGTCTTGACGGGACTTGTCGTCGCGCTGCGCAAGCTGTGAGGGTAGAACTCCGGCGTGGGCGACGTGGACTCGACGTGATCAGGCTCCGAGACTGGTGCGAAAGGCTTTTGGGTGCGACGAGTTGGGGAGAGCAAATCGAGGGGCGAGGACTACGGTCAAAACGAATTAGCTCCTGGGGGTGAGCTGCACAAGATGCGATCCACTCTTAAGGACGGTCGCGAAGCCTCGTTGCAGGCAGTCCGATGATGTGCAGAACAAGTGTCAAAAGTGTCAGGACATGACGGGGACGCAAGGTGTTGGGATCCCCCGACAGAGGGAAACGAAAAATTGTAAGAAAGAAAAAAAATACAGAACCAAGGGATCGTCTGAGAAAATAAAAATGGAAAGAAAAAGAAAAGGGGAGGGGGGGGGGGGGGGGGGAAGAAATCGTCTTACGTGCTGGCGCAGGTCTGCACTGTCTATAGAGTGTTGTGTGGGACTGGTGTAGTTGTCTTCTGCGGTGTCCTGGCTCTGTGAATCAGGAATGACAAGACGAGCGTTGGCAGGCTGAACGGAAGGCTGAGATTCCGGGGTGGGTCGGCTCTGGTCCCCGTGCGAGGTCGGCCAAGGCTGGCGTGTTTCTTGGAGCGCCGCCTGCTGAGACAGGCCAGCCAGGTAGTCGTGGCGGAAGAAATGCGGCGGGTTTGTGACAACGACGAGGCCGGCGGTGGCGTCCTGGTCGTTGAGTCCGCTTTCGGCACCGCGAACGGCTTCGGCCGTAGACCCTGTCGAAGTGGCCACGCGCGCTTGATGGGGTGGGGTGGACCGGCTCGGCGATGAAGATGAAGAGGGAGCCGAGTGGGCGAGAACGGGCGAGAGCGAGCGCAAGGCGCGCGACCGCGGCTGGGCTCTTTTCCGAGCGACGGCGGCAGAAGCAGGCTCGGGTGGAGGCGATGCGGCGGAGTCGAGCGAGCTGTTGTCGGGCACAAAGGGCGCCTGGCTGTGCGGCTCGCGGGCGACGGCCTGGTCACCTGACTTTTTGGAGTTCTGCCTCCACTCGTCCAGCAAGTCGGCGGTAAGATACTGCTCGGGCTCCCAAGAATCAGGATAGCCTTCGCCCGTGGTCGGGTCTGGATCCCAGCGGACCTTGTACTCAGGAGGCTTGCCTGGCCGTCGGCGTTCGTCGACAATGCACGAGACGCTGTACCAGGCCTGAGCGTCGTCCGAGTCAGGCTCGCGGAAGGACTTTTTGGATCGCTTGCGCAGACTGTGGCCTTTGTGGTCAGTGGATGCACGCTGGCGCTTTCTGGTGGACGAGTTCATGTCTACGCAGCAAGCCTGCGGGGAATGGCGCTGAAGGCGGCCAGACGGAACATGGTTCAACACAAAGCGGCAGCGCGGCGAGGGAAAAAAGATAAGGGAAGGCCCGAGGGGGAGGGGGGGAGAGAAGGCAGGGGAAGAGAAGAGAGGAGACAGGGGACGGGCAGGAGAGAGCGGCGGATGTGGTCCGCAGCGGGCGATGGAGAGAGATGAGAGTGGATATCGATGGCGGCGGCGGCGGTGGTGGAGGAGGAGGAGGAGGAAGGTGAGAATAACGGACTGAGCGAGAGGAGAGCAGAAGCAAGAGCAGAGCCTTGCGCTGGCAAAAGTCGCACCCAAGTCCAGCCTCGACTGTGGCCGGGCTTGGCGGGGAACAGCCAATCAGGGCCGGGCCCGCGCGGCCAGCAGAGCGTTGCGAAATTTTTCCCGCGAGCGCTGCGTGCGATCAGCTGGCTCGAGGGCCCGGGCCAATGGCCGTCCGTGATTTGTCGTGCGCCCGGTGCGCGCCCGTCTCTGCCTTCTCAGCCTTGGCCTGTGAGGCTGCTGCGCGCTGCTGGCGGGCTGCACCACGCCCTCCACGCCGCGCCCGACCGCTGCGCCTGCAGTGCGCTGCACCACCGCGCCTACCGTTCCGTGCCCGTCGCAGTCGCCCTCGCCCTCGCCCTCGCCCTCGTCGCACCTGTCGTCGGTCGCGTCCCGTCGCCGCCCCGCCGCCGTACTGCTGCTCGGCCACGCGATCCAACGCCGTGACCTACCTCCCTGCAGCCTTGCGCTTTGCAGTCTGCCACCTCCGCTCCATCGCTTCTCTGCACGCTGTCCCTATCATGGCGCTATCATTATGATGTGTTCGGTTGCCGTGCGTGGATGAGTGTGCAACACCTTTTCCGGCTACTCGATCCGTCTCCCCCTCGAGAGGGAATGAACTAACGAACTTCCTTTCCCTTTTTCCTTTTCCCTCCTCCCCACCTCTCCTCACCCCACACCTGCGTGCCCACGCAACCAGCCGCGCAACCACTCGGGCGGCATTGATGTTGTTCTTCATGCACAAGACGAAAATCAAGACTGGAAATGAAAAAAAGAAAAAAAAGAAAAAGAAAAACAGAAAAATCGAAACAAGAATTCGACCGTCCCTTGCGAGTGCTGTCTCTGGACTTCGAACAATGCGACCGTGTCGTGCTGTGGCTCAGGGCAGCCAAGCCAAATCTTTAGGAGGCCTCCAGCCATTGCTGGCTCGCACCCACCATTGGCTCGTCGAAGCAAAATTACGTACACAGGAACAGGTCGCCGACGACGCCTGACTTACGTGATTCCGAAGAACACGTGCCCGTTCGTACCCGTACACGGGCGGGTTGTACACAAGAGAATGTACACCTGAAGAAAGGCACGCATTCATGCATGCACGCTCACTACATACACACTCACACACACACATACACGCACACACGCACACGCACACGCACACGCACACATATATATGCGTGTCTGCATATTTGTACATGTGTATACATACGTACGTGCAAATCTGTATTTCCACATCTGCCCACGTGTGCGCGCTGCAAAGCACTCCGTCACCAAACCAAGCAAATGTCAGACATTTGAGGAATTATTTGCTTATGGTACCCTCTCCACCGTCCGGAGAGCGTCCCTCTTCTGCGTCTGGACACGAGAAAAAAAACCATCTCGCGCCTTTTGATCTTTGCCTTTTACGTCCAGTTGTCGTCCGATCTGGTTCCGGAAGCCAACCCCTTTGAGGCAGTGTGTAGCACGCGCCCTTTTCATGTACACAGAGAAACATGTCCAGGCTGCTGCTGACACTGATGTGCATACTGCTGAGTGCCTACGTCCCCCTGTGCACGTCTACAACCGACCACTCTGCGCAATCACGTCCGCTCCTCAGTCTGCATCGTTCTCCCTCGAGCTCGTTGGAAAAGACACGCGGTAGCCTGTCTACACAGACGTAAGAGTCGCTCAATTCGTGGGGTATCATGCTATGTAGCTCATTTAACAAATCGTCATATTCACTTGGCATCTCGGCTCCCTCCAGAGACCTTCTGTTCTGCTCGTCCCATGTTCGACGAGCCCCATGGCCCTCAGCCCAGCTTCGTGTCCGTGGCGTCGGCGAGATCCCAGATCGTCTTGGGCTTGTCCTGCCGCATGCGGTCGTCTTTGAGCATCCTGATTCCGTCAGTAAGGCAGAGTCCTGAGGTCGTCTCGTGCATGATTTGGAAAGGGTCGAAGCGAATGTAGGATGCAAAGGACATGGTCTACCTCGAATCGATGCGCACATCTTCCCCTTCCACCTCGAGCCGCGCCTGCGGAGTCACCGCGTCGATCACAAAATGGTTGTCACAGTGTGGACAGTACTCATCCGACTCCTCAAACTCCGAAGCGTCCTTCCTAAAGCACTTCTTGCACTTTTTGCACGCAAACACCATCTCGTTGCGCTTCAGAAGAGGGTGGTCTTCCGTCTCCTGATGGCATTCTGCGCAGTCAAACCATTTCTTACCTAGCCCTCAGTGTTAGACGTGCTTACAAATCTCTCTGATGCAGAGGAAGGTATCCGGAGGGGGCCGAAAGGGAGAGTCCCAAGCAGGGTGTATGACGCGTGTTGAGCATCCGATTGTCTGTCTAGGCGTCTGGTGGGGAATAAAAAAAAAACAGAAAACGACGTACAGCACGCAGAGCGGATCGCAACTTGTGCGTTGAGAATATGTTTGCTAGGGTCAGGTTTAGTATGACAAGTGAAATGGTAGTTCTCAGCTGCTCACATACCACATGGTGATGTTCCAAAGGAGAGATGTTCGTGGCAGCGTAGTGGGTAAAGTTTGAGCGTCGTTTCTAGAGAAAAGTGTTTCCGCTTTGTGTCGGCAACTTTTAGCAGGGCGCAACCGCAGATCGCCCAGCTTGCGAATCCCGTCAGCTTCAGGCACAACAAGACCGCGAAAGCAACAAAAATACCTTGTTCTTAGTCATGACCCACCACCACCCGTCTTCAAGGTGTCCATAGAATCCATATTCGCCTTCTCCTGCCCAGCACCAGCCTCGACTCTCTTCAAACCCCCTTCCACCCCTCCATCCAAGGTCGTCCCTGTGAGAAGCGTTTCTGCCAGCTCCACCTGACCGACCAAACACCTCAACTGCACTGCCACGCGTTTTAAGAAGAGAGATTCAGTGAGCCCCTTTCCCCCCGGGAAACAAGATCGCCCCCGGTGTCCCTGGCTGCTGAATGGGGAGCATCAAGCGGATTTGCATACTCTCGCCCCATGGACTTTATGGGCGCGGGCGCCGACAGTGGGAAGAGCTAGTGACATATCAATGAGACGCCGCATGGGTTACGGCGGTAGCACAAGACGTAGAACACGTACAGGACACGCTTCGGGGTCACCACACAGTTGAGCGTGACCATGGAGGGTCAAAACGGAGAGAGCCAGGACAACTCGTCCCTCGTACGTAGCAGTGGCTCTTCACACCCAAGCGCTCCCATTGTAGACGTCATGTTGACTGTGTCTTACAGAAACCCGTGTCCTCACTGCGAAACCACTTCGAGAATATGATCAAGTCGAAACCACACCCGCCGCAACCTTCGCCTGCCCTCGGACCAAGCAAACCCGCGACGCTGAGCGTGCATGCGGCCGAGTCGTACAGCAGAGGTGCGTCGCTTGACATACCACGGACAAACCATGGCTTCGCGGCTGCTCAGCATCTGCAATCGGACGCGGACAAGAGCGGTCCTCACTCCCGTTCGGGCACGCCCAAGTTGCGTCCACTGTCTATGGGCCCTCTCTCACCTCCTCGCTCGCCGCCTCTCGTCACGGTCGACTCGCCCAGCTCGCCTCCGAAACCCTACTCCGTATCGCGCAGCCCCTTCTTATCCGCTCAGGCCTCGAAGGAGTCGCTGAAAAAGACACCCTCGTCACGCTCAGGCTCACCCACCAGCGGACTCGCGAGGCCGTTCAAGATTCCGAGTAGAACCCCGACACCCGCCCTTGATACGCATCATTTTCCTCCACTGGATGCCTCGCCTTCCCGCACGCCGGCAGGGGATCCTCAGAAGTCCTCGTCCCCTGATCACGAACCTCCCCGCAGAGCGTCCCCGCAGCCGCACATACCGCCTCCGGTCAACCGGGCTGGGAAACCGAAATCGTTCGGCAAGCCGGCGCAGCAGGAGACCAGGAAGGTGTCTGACTCTCTGGCGCCCAGCGCTGTTTCGGATAAAGGCAACGAAAGCATTTCGCCGTTCAGCACACCGCCTAGCGAGCACGAAAGCCCGCACGCTAGTCCCAGCCCTCCACGTATACCGAACCATAGCAAGCCGCGTGTGAATACCGGCATTGGCATCCAGGATGGCTATTTTTCTGGCGCACGTGTGAAACAGGACAGCAGAGGCTCGCCAGTCGAACCTCCGTCCGCCATCTCGGATCAGAACTGGACGGACAAGCTCAAATTCGCCAACAGGCGAGATATGGCCGCTCCACCTCCCAAGTCGTCAGCATGGACAGAATCCGTCAGGCTGACAAATCGGCCGGTTCGTACCTCCGGGCGAGAATCGCCAGACTTGCCTGAAGATCGGCCATCTCTGCCTGCTCGTCACGACAACCAAGCCATGCAAGCCGGGAAGTCATCGCCACCGAGGCGACGTCTGCCGCCTCCCCCTCCTTCCGATCCTCCGATCCGCAAGTCGATGGATGTTCAATCTACACGGCCGTTTTACGGTCAAATTTCAGAGAGTCCTGGGAGAGCGTCTATGGATACGCTCTCAACGGCAAGGTCGATGTTTGCAGACGCCAATGCGAGATTTCAGCCGCCTCCTAGACGAGCGCAGATACCCGCGTCCAATCATGGCGGCAGCACGTCGGGTGCAAATCACAGCCAAATACCAGCCTCACGGCCGTCATCTGACTATCGAAGGCCCGAAACGACGTCACGAATGGCCAAGGTCGCGGATTCCGTCGATGACTCTGAGGAAGAAGATTCGGAACTGCCCACAATGCATGGTGCGACTCTAACCGATTATCCCGACTCGTCTCAGACGAACCGCAGGCCCCCTCGCTTCCGAAAGTTTGCCCAGACCATCCAGACCAAGTACGAGACGAAACTTCTGGCAGTCTGCGGGGAGTACATCTGCACGTCCGGATACATCACCAAGGTGTGGAACTTACTCACAGGTGAACTCATCATGAGTCTCGTTCATGGAGAAACGATCAAGGTCACGGCGATAGCCTTCAAGCCTGCTACCGACGTAGACGACGAGGGCAAGCGGATTTGGCTGGGCACGAACGAGGGCGACTTGCACGAGATTGACATTCCGTCAGAAAGCTCTACGGCGTTCAAATCGCGCGCGCACCTGTCAAAAATCACACGCATCCACCGCCACGGCTCGGAAATGTGGACGCTGGACGAGCAGGGCACCCTGTGCATCTGGCCTCCGGGAGATGACGGTCTGCCAAGTTTGGAGCTCTCCCCACACACGATACGTCTTCCAAACGGCGCGACGTATTCCATCACTGTCGGATATCAGCTCTGGGTTGCTTTCGGTCGCGAGCTCATGGTCTATCAGCCTGACAAGACGACCAGGAAGGCGAATCCGATCCTCAGCAAGCCGCTTGTGCAGGCCAACGTGGGAGACGTCACTGCGGCAGCCATCATCAGCAGTCGAACAGACGTAATCTACTTTGGTCACGCAGACGGCAAGGTTACAATGTACAATTTGAAAGACTATTCTTTTGCCGGCATGGTCAACATAAGCTTGTACAAGATCAGCTGTCTTGCGGGAGTTGGCGATCGCCTTTGGGCTGGCTTCAACACCGGCATGATATACGTGTACGACACGACCTCTCAGCCGTGGAAGGTCTTGAAAGATTGGAGGGCGCACAAAGACACCATTGCCGGCGTTGTCGTGGATCGCACCAGCATCTGGAAACTAGATCGATTACAGGTGGCCTCCCTTGGTACGGACAACAAATTGCAGATATGGGATGGGATGCTTGAGCAGGACTGGCTCGGTAAGTGTGCAGCAAGTAAAGGCAGGTGGTCAGGCGGACGCTAACTTCGGATGCAGAGCAGGACATGCAAAACCACGACATGGAATATTGCGACTTCCGGGAGTTGTCGGCCCTGGTCATGACCTGGAATGCCGGTGCCTCGAAACCGATGCACCTCAAACACGACGAGCAAGACAGCAATTTCTTCAGAGATCTGCTGCGTGGACCGAAAGAGCCGCCTGACTTTGTGGTATTCGGGTTTCAGGAACTCGTGGACCTTGAGGACAAGAAGGTCACGGCGAAGAATCTGTTCAAGAGCAGTAAGAAGAAGGACAGCTCAGAGAGGGAACACATGGCGAAGCAGTACCGAGCATGGCGAGACCACCTATCGCAGTGCCTCGACATGTACATGCCGTCTCGTGAAGCGTACACTCTGCTTCATTCCGCTGACTTGGTCGGCCTGTTTACGTGCGTCTTCGTCAAGAGCTCTCTACGCTCCAGCATTTCCGACGTCAGCGGTGCGGAAGTCAAGCTTGGGATGAAAGGGCGATACGGGAACAAAGGCGCCCTTCTCGTGCGTTTTTTGATCGACGACAGCTCCGTCTGTTTCATCAACTGTCACCTGGCAGCGGGTCAGAAGCAAACGCACCATCGCAACAACGACATCGCGGCCATCATGGAGGCTGCAGTCTTGCGACCGCTGCCGGACCCTCAAGCCCAGTTTGATGTCTTCGTCAGCGGGGGCGACGGCTCGATGATTCTCGATCACGAGATATGCATCCTGAACGGCGACCTCAACTACCGCATCGATGCCATGAGTCGTGACATAGTCATTCGCGAGATTCAGGCCGGCAACCTGCAGAGGCTTCTGGAGAAAGACCAGCTGCTGCTGTCGCGCAAGCGGAACCCAGGCTTCCGCCTCCGCGCCTTCCAAGAAAAGGAGCTGACGTTCCCACCAACGTACAAATACGACGTGGGCACCGACAATTACGATACAAGCGAGAAAAGGAGATCTCCGGCTTGGTGCGATCGACTTTTGTACAGGGGCATAGGTCGAATCAAGCAAACGGAGTATCGCAGGCATGAAGTACGCGTTAGCGACCATAGACCTGTCAGCGGACAGTTCAGGATACGAGTCAAGACTATAGATCGAAGAAGACAGGGTGCTGTAAGGCAAAAGTGTGAGGAAAGGTTCGAAGATGTCCGACAGAGGATTGCCCAGGACATTAAGTGAGTATTTCCCACGGTCTTCAGGCTGACATGCTTTGGGTGCTGACTGATTCAAGACTCGACTATCTCGTCTCAGTCCTCGGACTTTCGAAGAAAGAAGCCGAGCGCCTGCTGAAAAAATAAAGCATGCTGGGTGAACTGAGCATGGGATGAAACGAAAAGGGGACAGGCAAGGTGTCTCACGTTTCGTGGTCTACTGTGTACGCATTTTAGCGAGGAGGCGTTTCTAATTCCAAAGCGAGTGGCATAACGAAAACATGATAAAGCTAGCTGGCAGATGGACGAACAGAGAATTGTTTTAGCTGTTTCGCAGAGCATAGTTTGGTTGTTCGCCACACGTGCGTGCTGGTGATCAGGCTGTAAATTAACGCCTTGTTGACCGCCAATGAGGCTTGACAGACGAAAGAAAGACATCTGAGCCCGATGCTTACGACGCTAACGTATCATGTCTTGCGACCTTTTGCGTTCATCGCTGGCCTGCGTAAAAAAGGTTTTTTTCCACGTCCAACGCGAGAAACATGCCTCTTACGATCATCGTCTGCGGTGGGGGCGTCGCCGGTCTCGCTGCGGCTGGCTACTTGCGCGCGCACCATCAAGTGACGGTTTTGGAGCGCGGGGAGCTCGACTTCCGCACCGACGACTACGGCGTGTGCATCGCGTCCAACGCACTCGGCTTGCTTCAAAATGTGGGGTTCGACGTCGACGCCCTGGATGCGGTGCCGATGACGCACCTGTGGCTCCGCACCAACCAGAACGAAGACGTGGACACCTTGGACGGTTCCGGCTCCAGCGCCCAAGGAGGCGGCGAGAAGAGAGCTGCGTGTGTCGTGGCGAGGAAGGCGAACGTGCTGAGCGAGCTCCTGAAGCTCGCCACGTCGAGGCGGTTCGCGGGCGAGCCTGCCCGCATCGTGGCTGGGGCGACCGTCGTCCGCGTCGACGTCCGCGCGGGGGCCGTGACGACGCAGGACGGCGCGGAGTTCCGCGGCGACGTGATCGTCGGCGCAGACGGGGTCGGGTCCCTGGTTCGGACGAGCATGATGCGGGCGCTGGGCTCGCCCGCGCCGCCGCCCGTCAAGCACGGCCTGCTCGCCTTCGTCGCGCCCGTGCCCGTGTCCGCGCTCGGCGGCGAACCCAGTCTGGCCTTCATGGCGGCGCCGGAGGCGCGGACGGGCCTGGCCAGCTTCCAGGGCGACGCCCGGCTAGGCTCCCGTCAGCACGTCCTGCTGTACCACAAGTCCACCGCCGAGCTGCAGGTCGTCGGGTACGCGGACGAGAAAGAGCTCGGCGTCGAGTTCGACGCGCACAACGCCGCGGTACTCAGAGGCGTCGCCCCGCAGAGGGTCGTCGACGAATTTGAAGGTCGGTTCACCGACGCCGTGTGCCGCCTGTTTTCGCACGGCCCGATCGATGCATGGCGTGTACGCGACCTTGACCCTTTGCCCACCTGGACCGTCGGCAAGGCAGTCCTTATCGGGGACGCAGCGCATGCAGCGACGCCGCACGCCGGCCAAGGTTGCAACATCGCCATCGAGGATGCGGAGGCACTCTGCTATCTGCTGAGGTGTGCCCGCGACCCAGGTCCGCATCTCTCGTGCGTTCTGAAGCAGTTTTCGGACTACAGGAAGCCCAGGGCCGAGTTCGTTGCAAGGTACTCGAGACAGGTCGGATGTGTTCAGTCGGACAGTGACAAAGCGAGGGGAGAGATTGCGGAGGACGATGTTGCCGTGGCCGTGTACAGGTATCAGGGAATCGACGCGGCTATGAAACAGGTCGCGGCCTATTTTCGAGACGTAACTTAAGTCATTGGCCCCAGATATACACAACCGAGCCAGTCGATTTGAACAGGCACGGTGAATCCGCATAGTGTGTTCCCTCTATGCCATGCTTGAGTGAGTGTTGGCCAGCAAGATCTGGTCGATGCAAGTGACCATTCGTCGTCACCAACTTCAACAACATGCACGCGACAGTAAAAAGCGCGAATCGCGACGTGGGTTCTACGATCACCGAAATTGGCGCGTCAGTTTCGCATCAGCTTCATCAACGTCCCTGGCGAGTGCTTGACGCCTCGATTGTTAGACGTCATCATGACCTTGACAGTTGCATGAGAGCAGTAAGCAGCGCACAAGCTGGGCAACGGATGTTTTGTATTTAGCAGCGCATAAGTAGCGAACGGCTCGCACGTTTCTCGACGATTAGAGCCCTTCAGCTCTCTTTGTCACAGTAGTCACTCCATGTTGAATCTATCTCGGTCAGATTTCGTCCCGACCTTGCTGCATCTAAACGGGCCCCCCGCTTACGGTAGAGGGTGAGAATCTCGTCTTTGATCTCGAGCGCCGTAATGAGTCAAGACGCGACCAAGCAGCAGACCACACACGGCCTGAACGAGTGGAAAGAACGTCCGCCCTACAGCATCCATCAGGACGACTTCGAGGCAGTATACGAAGCAAGCTGCCATTGCGGTAAAGTCCAGTATCAGCTGAGCCGCAAGGAACCTCTCGACAGCAAGCTGTGTCACTGCACGACTTGCCAAACGCAGCACGCCGCGCCCTTTCAGTGGGCTGCCATCTTTCACAAGGAAGACATCAACTTCAAGAATGGACATCACAACCTTGAGTGGTACGACCCTTCGGAGAAAAGCATCGAGCACAAGCTGCCGTGCAAGGTCCGATGCTCTTACTGCCACAGTCCCATCATGGACGAAGGGCGAAACATGATCTTGCTCTTCCCTTCCTTGATCCACTTCCCGGATGATGACAGCAAGCTGAGCTTCAGGCCGCGGTAAGAGCGCCCCGAAGACGAACGAGAGGAGTCGACTGGCTAACCATCGGGGTTCAGGTGTCACATGTTCTATAGTCAGCGCGTTATGGACGTCCCAGACGGGCTTCCCAAGTGGACGGGCATGGACAAGACCAGTGAGCTGATTGAGGACAGTCCGCCGGAACGGGCGAGGGAACTCGAGACGGAGAGAAAGGAGGAGAGGAAGAACAAGAGGTTAAAAATCGGAGACGAAGGAAAGGGCGCGAACGATGTTGCGTCACCATGACTTGACCCGCGTGGCCTTTTTGCTTTGGACCTGTTGTTCGCTGAATCACGTCTGACTTCTCAAAGGTGGAAAGGCGAAAGAACTTGTACTGTGTTTGAGTTTCTTTCATGACAGATCGGCGATTGTGGACGAAGAGAGACAAAAAAAAGGGCAGATGGGAAAAAAAAAATAAGCGTGAGGGGGAAAAACAAGGTACGACTCGAATGAGACATGAGAGGTGCTTTGCCCAGAAATATTGTATCTCGAATTAATTGTATCTAACATCTAAGAAACATTTTATATCCCCTTTTTTTTTGGACTCCGTCCGGTTGCGCCTTGTCAAAATGTACAATAAAAATCAATACAATTCTATATTCTTATTCTTCTTCGGCACCAAGAATGACTTGATGGAGCATCTCTTTCTCACCGCTGCTTTCCACCATGCCCCTGAACACTCCATCTGGAATCTGGATCAATGCCGCTGGAGTATCATATTCGGCCACCTTACCTTGATCCATCACCAGGATTCGGTCAAAGTCTGCAATCGTGCTAAGACGATGGGCGATAACAATCAATGTGGCGTCTTGGAACTCTTCTCGGATACTTCGTTGAATCAGAGCGTCAGTGTGCTTGTCAACTGCCGAAGTCGCCTCGTCCAAAATCATGATCTTGGGTCTCGACACAATAGCGCGCGCCAAGCAGAGCAGCTGCCGTTGTCCCTGCGACAGGTTCAGACCGCCTTCAGAAATGGGAGAGCTCAAAGAAGTGAACGGGTTTGTGTTCTTCGCCCAGTCAGTCACACCTTCGGCATCTGGAGCTGGATTCGCCGGCGTCGCTGTACCAGACGTTTTGGCCGAGGAGACTAGATGGACTCGCTCTAGTGCATCGCGTAGCTCCTGATCGGTGTGTTGATCGAAGGGATCAAGGTTGGATCGAACGGTGCCGCTGAACAGTACTGGATCTTGCGGAATGATCGCAAGTCTACTTCTTAAGTCATGCAGTTTTATTTTAGAAATATCGATTCCGTCGATGACAACACTCCCTGATCGTGCCTCGAGGAAGCGGAATAGAGCGAGCGTCAAACTTGACTTGCCTGCACCTGTTCGACCAACTACGCCTACGCGTTCGTTACGATTTACACTGAAGGACAGCCCTTTAAGTACCGGAGGCAGATCATCAGCATATCCAACAACCAGTTCTTGAACTTCCAGTCGGCCTTCTGTTGGCCATGCAGCTGGGGCGTCTGCGCCGTCCTGCTTCTCGATCGTGATGCCAGAGTATTCAAGAATGCGCTCTGTTGAGTTCATGTTCATCTCTACTCCAGCAAAATTTCTCAGCAGCCATGTTACTGCTTCTGTGTATTGCAGCGCAAAACCTAGGGCAAAGCCGGAGAGTGCAGCATCCATGCCTTTCAAGCTGATGACTAGTGCGGCAACGAGGAAGGCAAACATAGCACCGATGCAGTTTAGTCTCCAGGACAACCATCGATTGGCCAGCCACATGTAATACAGCATTCTCGCGTGGGTATCGAGCCTTGAATACATATTTGTAATGTATGCTCTCTGCCTGTCGAACGCACGAATGGTACCAATACCTGCGAGCGCTGTCGAGAAGACTTCGAAGACTGGAGACTTCGCGGTTGACTCAAGGCGCTTGAGCTGTCGCGCTGCGATGAGATAGTAAAGCGCATACCGTCCACATATCGTCAGGAGGACGATAGCACAAAGGATAATGACGGGTGAGACGATAATACCGGCGATGATAATACCCAGGACAACCATCAAATTATATAGGCAGAAGGCAAAATTATAAGCTTGAGCCGAGTCGACCTGGTTGAAATCTGCGGAGAAGCGGTTCAGAATTCGTCCAACTGGCATGGTATCGAGCCATCGTAAGGGTGCCCGGAGAACAGCGTAGGTCAGATCCTGGAAGAGCTTACGGCTTGCTTTGATGGAACCATAAAACACCCAAAGATAGCGCAACGTTCCTTCGACGATGATGGCGGCGGCGAATCCGAAATACAACGCGAGCCAGTAAGAGAGTGTTTTCTCGTAGCGAGGTTCACTGACAAGGTCGAACCTAGCTGAAGTGCCCTGAACAACAAATGTGTTTGATGTACTGTACCAGTTTTTGAGGATGTGGCTTTCGCTTTCGTATGTTTCAGTCCATAAACGTAAGACCCACGATCGACCAAGAAGCAAGGCCTCATAACCTCCGAATCCGATAGCGACCACGATCCAAAAAGGGACACCACCGCAAGCGTCAAGATATGCCTTGTACACGGACAGCTTGACCCATCCAGTTTCCTTCTTTTCTTCCTCGACAAATTTCTTCGGTGCTGCCTTCGCCTCTACCGCATTGGAGCCATCATCAATAATGTCGCTTTTGACGCTTGAGTGAGAGAGCGCGCGCTTGTTTCCATTGGCTGTGCCATTTGCAAAGGACTGCCTATGTGGTCTCTTGGCCGTACTGCTACGCGTGCGTGTTCGTTGGATCACCTCCAGCCTATCTTCCGCCGTTATCTCATCCACGGCATCTTCTTCAGGTTCATCGACGATTGTTTCCAGGATTCCTCTCCGCTCTAGATCAGTCACGAAGCCTGCGAATTCGACGGTACCATCTCCCAGACGCACTTCATATTTTGTTGCTGGTAGGCAGAGGCTGACGTGATGGGTGACCAGTATTCTCGTTCGTCCTTTGCAGATATCACCAGTCAGGGCATTTTCGAAGATATGTTTCCCAACATGGGCATCAACCGCGCTAAAGATGTCGTCTAACACCAGAATTGTAGCTCGCGAATACAAAGCTCTTGCAAGTGTAACACGCCATTTCTGGCCGCCAGACAAATTAATACCGTTGGCACCAATTTCGGTTGAATCGCCGTCTGTCATGATTTTCAAATCTTGCTCAAGGGCGCAGACTGAGATCACCTGCTTATACCGCTGCTCGTCAAAGGGTAATCCGAAGAGAATGTTATCTTTGAACGTTGCATTTTCAAGCCACGGCTGCTGGCTCACGTACGCCTTAACTCCAGGAAGCAGCCAATTCGCGCGATTGGCCTTCTCATCATGGCGTTCTTCTATCGGGGGGGCTTTCGGTGCCGTTATTTTCCCTGAGAGCAGTTCGACTTCGCCTAGTATCGCTGCAAGCAGAAGACTTTTGCCCGTGCCGGTACGACCGCTGACAACGCTGAGCTCGCCGTTGGGAAAGTCAAGGTTGATGTTTCGGAGTGTAAAAACATCCTCAACGTCGCCATCAGAAGGCCAGGAGATTGTGGCATCCTTGAAAGCTACATGATCTGCGGGCTCAACAATTTCCTCCTTTTCTGGTCCATCCAGATATTCGCCGATACGCTTGAGACTCACATAAGCATCAAGCATATTCGTGGTCAGCTCTGGAAGCCAGGCAAGGGTGCCCTCGATTTGACCGAGAATTGAGATTGTTGTGAAAGCTACCGATGGCGGGAGACCGCCGTGAATCATGGCATACACTCCAATGGTGGTGGCAGAGAGGAGGACCGGACCTGTGAGCCAGAGACAGACCAGAACCGTGTCGTAAAGCAAGCAAGCCCATTGCGCAGCAAGCTGGTCATTTCGAACCTTCAGAATCCTATCCTGCCATTGTTGTTCCAAAGCTGCGAACTTGATCTGGCGAATACCACCTAGCATCTCGTTGACAGCTGCAAGAATCTTGTCCCTTTGCTCCATAAGTACGTTTTGTCCCTTCGTGTACTTCTTTGAAAAGTATATATTGACAGGCAATGTGCAGAGCTGAACAAGGATACCCGCAACCAAAGGCTTCCAACCTAGAAGCTTTCCCAGGATGCCGAATGAGAACGCAAGCCGGCAAAGAGCGCCGAGAAACATGTTGCAGACAGTGCTGAAATCTGACACACGCTTTGCGTCTACCCCAATGAGATTTACGACACCTTGTCTTGTCTTTTTCAGCTGATCTTCTACGTCCTCGGGGCTAGGCTCGTCAGCTCGCTCAAGCTGAGCCTGTGGCTCACCCGCGTCGGCTTGCTCCACATCAATGTCAACATTGTTGCCTTTGTTAGCAACCACGCCTTTTACGTCTTTTCTCCGTGTAGATTTATCAAAGATCATGCCCCCCAGCTGAGCCCGGACCGCAAAGTTCAGTCGATAGCATAGGAACCACATCTGGTTGTTCGTGAATGCACCCGCAAGGATGGCAACGCCCAACGCAACTACCCAAAACCTTGCTGCAGCTGCAATATCCGCACCTGCGTCACGTTGCTCGAGCAGCCGCAAAAGTTGGTACATCACAAATTGCGGTGCAACCATTAACATGGCGTCGACAACGGTGTAGATGTGTTGCCACAAGAATGTTGACAGATGTGATAAGAGAACAGACTTCAACATGCTGTGCGTCCGCCCGAGGTTCTCTTTGAAGGTTGCGGTTAACTCACTGGTTCGATCTTCGGCTCCTAAAACAGGGATGTCGCTGTATTCCAGATCCTTTAGACGTTTGGCAGCAGCTAGAAGCGGGCCTGGCCACGAATAGGTATATCGATCGAGCGCCGAAACAGAAGAAGCGGCGTCGACTGGCTGGCCTTCGAAGGTGACATGCGGTCGCCTAGGATAGCTGAAGCAGACAATAAAGTCGCAGACCGCAACGGCAATTCCGGCTGCTGGGAACAGTGGGTAGTTGCTTGTCTGCTCCATGAGCCCCACGGCGGTTAGATAGACAATTCCTGCATTTAACAAAATGATCACTAGGCATGAAAGCCCTTCAGTTAACGCGATCGAGTAAACGAGCACCGGCTGGTGCTCGTTTAGAACGAGGAGATGCTGAACCAGGACAAGAACCTATAAACCTTAGTAACGGCTGGTCTGGCATGACAAACAACTGCTCACCCATAGTCCAAAGTGAAGCCACACGCTGATCAAATTCTCGTCGGCCACCGTCCCGCGGACGGCAGCTGCCAGAGAGAGACCAAAACCGGCAAGCGAAAGGAAGGTAGCCAGAACATTTTGCAGCTTGATAGAATATGCGTTCTGCGTCTCTTCCGTGGCAATGCCATCCTTGTCGTGGTACTGGTAGTCAGACAGCTTTTTCGAAAGCCCAGACCTGCGCAGCGAAACAAATCGCCATAGAGAAGGGCCGAAAAGGAAGAGCACGATCGCCAAGGCGATGCTATGCAGGAACAAAGGCCATGGAACGTCCATCGTTGCCGGAAGACCAAGGTTTGGCAGACACGTCTACGAGGCTTCCAGGAGGGCTTCAGCCGTGCCAGACGGACGGAATGATTTAGCGCGGTCGGCCCTGTGCAAATGGCACTGCGAGTTCTTCTTGGATCTCTCTCTCTCCGGCTTTGCGCTCAAACGACAGGATCAACGGGCATTCCAGCGGCGAGAAGGGGGCCTGGGGAGAGAGAGAGAGAGAAAAAGATGTTGGAGAACAGGATATTAGTAATGCAACGGCGGGGACGAAGGAGATATTCAAGCACCATCAAGGCAGGCGTCTCAGAAATCGACACCGCGCAAGCTCGCCTGTGATTTGCGGTGAGGACGCAGCGGTGCCTGCTCTGCCGTCGCTAGCCGGATGAGGCAACCACTTCAGACGCATGTCGGCTCAATAGCGATGCCGGGGCCCGCGCAAGCTCTCAGTTATCGCATGTTCTTAGCCCCGGCAATTGTGCAAAGATCAGCATCGTCTCGTATCAGTCTCCCCGTGTTCCGCTGCAGGGAACATGGGAAAGAAAATTGAGCGCCGTTGGGCGTTGCAGTCACTCGACCCGCCAGCACCACGGTGACTGTAACTATGGTGCCTAGATGTGGTTCAGTTCAAGACAAGACATTAAGTATGAAATTGTTTTTGTCGTCGTCATCTACAGGTACAAGGTATTAGGTTCTGCGTCGCACTCGGGTGTGCTCGTCTTGAGCAAGCACACACGCTTCCCGTCTTCGAAGCCTTTCATGCTCCGAGCTGAAAACTGGAGAAAAGAAAACGGATGAAATCCTACAACACCACACTGGAAACCTCGGTCTGGCACATCCCATCGCTACAACCCATTAGCCGTAAGCCCGTGAAATTATGGGCCTATTCGTTTCCCGTTTGATATCCATAATTGCAAAAGCGGCCGTGACGCTACGTGATTATGCCGCGACAGCGCGTCCGCGGACGTCGTCGGCATTCGATGCCTCCTCTTCCTCTTCTTCATCCTCGTACTCCCCGCCATTGGGATGTTGAGATGCTGGCACCCAGTCGGGGTTGTCAAGCGGTGCATCCTGGTGGGTCAGATCGACGCCTTCGCCCTGAATGCGGTTCTTGCGGCGTTGCGAAAGGGTGCGAGAACGTTGCGAGAGACTCGACTTGACTGCTGCGTTTTGTGAGACCCAGTTTGTGAGAGCGTCCTCGCAATCTTGAATGATTGCCTTGCTAGCTTCATAGCCATCGTAAGCATTGCGCGTCTCACCAGGGGTGACAGGCGTGTCGTCTACAAGCTCGAGGAGATGCTTTCCATAGCCTGCAATGATAGCAACCTTTTCGCAGTGTTCGCGAAGGGCGTCAAATTGGTACGTGAAGGCTGCCTTAAGCTTCTCACGTGTGATATTGGACAGTTGTGCCTCGGCGACTAGAGACTCTGCCTCAGCACGCACAAGCTCCTGCTCGAGGACGACGATCTTGGGGGAATTTGGCTCCTTGTACTTGAGCTGCGCGATCTGGTCGGTAATCTTCTGCTTCCCTGAAGTGTGCGTCAGCATGTTGTTCGCTTGAATACAGAACTGTGGTGGGACGTTAGTGCCGACGTACTGTCTCTGCTAGGCTGCACCGAAATCTCAATGTTGCGGATGCTCTTCATGGTGACTCTGTACTGGTCGTAGCGATCGATAAACTGATCCTCGAGTTCGCCAATCTCGTACAGCAGGACACCAAGCTTGTCCGTGACATCCGAGACGTCATCGTCACAGCTTTCACCCCACAACGACAGCTGCTGGGCGGACTCCATGCGCTCCTTGCTCACAAGCTCCATGCTGCGCATAAGGTTCTTCTCCATCTTGACCAATTGTGACAGCTTCTTGGCCAGATCGGGGCCGAATGCACCGGCCGTGCTGCGGCGGAACGTGTGGCCGATGTTGCCTTTGCCGAAGAAGCGACCATGCTTGGTAGAGGATGGGGGAGGAGGGGGGTTCTGGATCTGCGACGCCGTCGGCGCGCGAGACTGGCGCATAGAGTACGTTCGATGCATGTTCGCTTTGTGGATGTGAAGTGTTTGAGGATACTCTGTAGTGAAGGTGTGTGTTGTGAGAAAGCAGCGAGGCGGAGCTCCGGGCGGTATTTGAAGACAGGGTTGGCGGATTACGTCATTGTGCTCTGGCCAAAATCAAACCAGCGAAATTGGTTGCGGATCGCCGTCATAAGTCGGCAGCGCGTTGACGTGTTTGCGCCACTCGACGCCGCAGACGAAACATCAGACACATTCTGGAGCGCTTCCTTCTTGGTTTTTGTCTCTTGGGTCGAAGTTCTTGCACTGCACCGGGGGCAATTCTACCTGCGGTACTAACGCCGTGGACGTGGGAACAGCCCCCACAGAAGATCGATCAGCTTTGCCTTGCCGCAGGCGATACGATGGCCCCTATGCTTAAGGCCTTGAATCTGAACCTTATCTCTCTCTGTAATTCCTCTATTGGCTGGAGAGTAGGTCCTGGTCATGTTTAAACGTTTATGCGAGCAGCAGAGAACAACACTGAGTTGGCTGTGCAATGGGAATGTCAATCGTATGTTGGACTAGCTCTTGGAATGGTCTCCCGCCGCTCTTCGTATATTCAAAGGCATTCTCCGTTGCGTACTTTGGGGCAGGCAACGAATTCACTCTTATGTGCTAGTAGGACGTAATGCACACAACCATATCAAACAGTCCCGTACAACTCGAGGCTCAAATTCAGAGCACGTGTTGGGCAAGGGCCCTTGTCAAATAGCCAACAACACCAGACCGCGTCTCATCACGAAATGCTGATTTTGGTGTAGCTTGTCTTAGAATTTTTTTTCCCTGCCTTGCTGTGCATTGTCTCCTTTGGTTCAAGACCCAATGGCGTAAACAAATCCACAGCCCTTTATGTCCGGCGGCGATGACGACAGCGCGCCTCACGGCTGGCTTGCTCGTTACTAGCGGGGGCGATCTGCAGCCGAAAGCGTATGGTTTCAAGATTCGTGCTCTTGTGTAATGGCAGACTGTAAGAAAATGTTCGATAGAACTAGGTGAGGAGATGGCAAGCATGACTTCTGATCAGTTCTTCTCTGATCTGACTCTGTTAAGCTGCCCTCCTCGTATTTCCTGCTGCGTCATCTGCTTTCTCTTCCGCTTATTTCGCTGATCGAGCAACAGTCAACACAATCGAGAAGAGCTGATATAGGAGAAGATGAAGATGACGATGATGCAATAAATCCATCTCGCGATCGCTGCACCATAGCCGTCGTTTGCGACGTTGAAAATATGGTATGCACATTTGCAAGGACCATGAACTTTCATTCTGTAGAGGGCGCCTCTCCAGCTGTATATCATGGTCGAACAAATTACTTGGTCCAATTGGGCTTGCAGTATCTCTTTCGAAAGTTCATGTATTCTTTCGGGTTCACACTCCTACGCGAGTTTGCCAGCCGCTCGGCCGCTTCCATCAACGTTTGGCAAAGATGGGTTTCAGTCCGGGACGAGCCCCCAATGAGAACTTGGCCGAACATGTCTGGTGACGTACTCTTCTGTGACATCAGTCCCGTTTACGGAAGAATTGGTTTAGCGCATCATTCGCCGTCTCTTTTGGGCATAAGTACATTTCTAAACCTGGTTTTTCCCATCGAATTCGGCGATCTTAATGGTATCCCCTCGCGCAAGTTTAGCTTTAGTTCCATTTGTTCCGTGGAGTCATCTTGGTGTTACGCGCTCCCCGTTGATCCACATGCACATCATTTCAGTGCTTTCTTACGCGAAGCTGCGCGGCGGGACATACAGGCACACCCGCCGTGAACCATGATCCGATGCAGACATAGCATTTGACAGATTATGAGGCTAAACTTGCATAAGAGCTACTGGTGATATACCTCGCCGATAGCAGCATTTGTCTTAATGCTAGTGCAAGACTGAAAAGATCATCATTAGCGAAAGACCAGCAACTGCCCGCAGTTTAATGATCGGATAAGATAAGACCTCTGCACACGATGAGTTACTGACGCACGAGCAGATTAGTTACAAGCCAAAAATCTTATGCAAAACTAGACCCTCTACCACTTGACTCTTACAAGTAGGAAAAAGGTCGGAAAGTATGGAAGATTACGAGACTACGGAGATTTCAGAAATGGCTGCACCCTTTAGATCGCAGTCGTCTCTTGGCATAGGGAAAGTGGGTACTAGATTTGCATTTGCATTCCAAGCGTGATGGCAAATTGCAAACGATACTGCTAGTGACCTGGTCCGCACTCTTTTGGTAAGGCCCACGATTCACTCTCCTCTCGATCGGCCCTTTTGGAATTGAACACAGAACAGCGAGCTCAACCGTTCAGACCACGGGTCCAAACTGACGTGCGTCTTTCTGCTCGCGATCCGGAAGGATAAGTGCAACAAACGAGGTGGAAGTGACAACTGTGAGAATGCTGCATTCTGCAGGTCTCAAAACAGAGGTCTGCAGCAATCGCACCCAATAGGAAATTTGACAGACATACCCGCCGGCCATGAGCTAAGCCCGTCCGGAATAATTTGCGAGTCAGTTCCAGACAATTACCGCCCCACGAAATCTACGTTTTCGTTCTAAAGAAGAAAAAAAAGCTAGCCTGAGACTGCCAAAACCGTTCAACAGCCAACCCCTATGCTACAGGCGACGACTTCTCATTTTCTTGATCGAGTCTGGATGGGACACAAAACATGCTACTACGAATTACCTTGATCTAAACTTGTACTTTGCTGTAGTCACGTCTTTCTTCGCTGTGGTGATCAATGGGGGCCGCCAGTGCCAAAGCCCACTTGCGGTTGGCCAGTACCTGCGTCTGAACGATTCCGCCTCTTCACACTAGTCCCCTGTTTTCGAGAGAGGATTGTCACGATTCTAACGCCAGGGCACACGGGCCGCTGTTGGTATCACTCACCCCCCATTTACTTTAGGACGAAATGGGAATGGTGCGTACGCACTCGCACGGAGACAAGATCGGGCTCTTGATATCACAATAGCCGGGTTAAGGGGCCTTGTCGCTGACATGGTGGTCTGGAGTCCGTGTCTCCAGATCGTATCGAGAACGACCTTGCCTCTTCATCTACGTCGATCTTGTTTCTTAGCCCTGTACTTTCTCAACTTCAAGTCTCTTTACATCTTTGTTGGCAATCTTTGGCCGCCAAGAGCTGCAGCTGAGCTCATGACGAAAACCTTTCTGGTTCTTTTGGAGGAAATTTTGAGGGCTATTGTGTTTTTCCGTATTTGTGATCAATGCAGAAAGTTATCGGTATGAATTCCACTGGTCTTTCTCGCGAGGATGTGGAAACCGTACAGCGGTTGCGACAACTATATCCTCCTCACATTCTTGCATCTCTCTTCGACGAGGGCAACTCTGCATTGCTCACACGTAAGTCCACAAGAAAAGGTTCACTCGTTAGCCAGAATGGATACTGACTGACCTAGCTGCGCGAGAGTCGGTTTCTTCTTTTTCAAGTGGCTCTATACGGTCTTCTGTGTCGTCAAGCCCAAAGGCATATAATCGCTTTACAGGTATATCACACACGTCATCGATTACCACAATCAGCGAGCGCGTCGTTTCGTCCCTCCCCCTCGGTGTCCAGTCGTTAAGGGCACCGTCTGTCTCAACCGCGACCAGCGGACCCCTAGGTTTGTCGAGAAGCATATCCGATTACTCAATCCGGGAACACGCGCTGAACGTTAGGTCCTTTCCCCAACGAGTGGTAGCCTCAACGCCCATTTACTTCTGTGTTCACTGTGGTATCGGCTTCGAGAAACGTGCCGACTGGGAAACGCATGAGTGGATATTCCATGAACGTCAATCATTCTGGCCCTGTCCCCAGCCTGGATGTCAGGCGTTCTTCGATTCCGGGCGTGCGTTCGAAGCCCACCATCAAGCTGTGCATGGCTGTGGACGATGTGATCATGCTTCACAGGTTGTCCAGCTATTGCCCGAACGGAAGGCCTGGGCTTGTGGCTTCAAGGGTTGCAAAGAAGTGTTTCTGGACTGGAGCAAGCGGTGCAAACATGTTGCCATGCACTACGAGGATTTGGTGAAGCGGCAGGGAGACTTCCGTCAATCTCCCGAGTGGACCTACTCGACAACCATTCGCAACCTGCTTCGCCAACCTGAACTCCGAGACCAGTTCAAGAAATTCATGACAAAATGCCATGGACACTCCAAAAGTGCCTGGCCAAATCTTGAATGGCAGCCCGACAAGTGTGCTGAACTGCAGCGATGTCTCGAATACCGCGACTTTGGGCGAGGAATTCCGGATATTATTCATCTCGCCTATCGATTAGGTCATCCCATTTATTCATCGAAACAGACCATATCAAGACCGCCTACTCCTCCTTCTGCTACAATTTCACCTCCAGCTGTGTCACCGAGGAGTAGTTCGCTTCGCAGTCGTACTCGATCGCGGTCTTTGAGGTCTGCAACGTCGACCACGATACTTTCTCCGAGCTCTCCGCGTCGTTCATCTTCTGGTAACTCGAAATTATACGACGGGGTAGCCTCCGCCGAAATCAGGATCTCAGACACAGCGAGTGCGATCCTTGGCCAACCTCGGCAAGCGATTTCACCGTCCTTGAACACTCATCTAGCCGGAAACCTCAGCCCGGTACAAGCACCAAACGTAGTCTTGAGCTCGACAGAGCTGCAGCGCCCTCTGACAGCAACAAGGAAAAGGATGGTCGCACGGGAGCCAGAGGTGCGAGGGACATTGTCACATGCATTACTTGAATTTTTAAAGGAAGGTCCACCAACTGGACGTACGAAAGGTGTAACCCGACCACGTCGTGCTCCAAGAGCAATACCTATCGTTCTTGATCCGTATGGATTGGGTTTAAGCACCACGGCCGACGAAAGAGCGGAAGACCCAACGAGAATGCCATTCCAGTTGCAAGATCATTCCAACCCCTCCGTGCATGATATTGACAGACCAATATCTCCAGTAACTGAAGACGAGACAGAAGGTTATGCATCTGGAGGGCCCCTTGTTTTAGCAGTCTCTGCTGAGCAAAGTGAGCAAAGCCTACAGATGCAACAAACTATGGAGTCCAAGGCCCAACCAACTCTACCTCTAGAGAAGCCAGCAGAGAAAGAAACGAACCATAAGTCTGCGGACCCTGAAACTATCCAGGAGACTGTTTTGGAGTTTGAGGCTATGTCGTGTCATTCTCACCATAATAGTCGTAGAATTTTACCCCCAACTCCAGGACCGCCACCGTCGCAGCTTCTACCTCTTCCTCCGCCGCCAACGTTCGGGCCAGTGCCAATTAAATATCCCGACACACCTACAACTGACAGTGGAGACGTACCTCCATCACCAATGCCTCCTGGCTTCACTGATATCGCCAACTGGCCCGCGCCTCCACTTAACCAAACACCAACCAATCTATTTCACGCTCAAAATCTTGATTCTTCGCCAACAACCGAAACCTCGATCGGAATTCCTAAGATAGTTGAGCATACCATCCAACTCCCACAAATCGAGCAGCCTGAACGACCGCGAACTGCGAATTCAAGGCTGCATCCGGAAGTTGTCAAACTCAAGCTACCGCCAAAACGAGTTCGAAGCTCATCTCGCAGCCGGCCACGAGCCTTACGTTGGGCGAGTATCGGAACTGTCATAGATCCACCTGTGCCTAGCCCTGGGGTTGACTTTAGAAGCATGATCTCACAGCCTCTGGACCTTTATGAGTCTGGCTCACCGCCTGCTACGAAGACTCCAATCATCAAAGCTTGAACGAATCCTTGCTTCCCAAATTATTCTAGTTACGTCTTTCATGTGTCTATGTATGCTCTCTATGTCACCTGTATTGTGTTACGAATACAAACTGCACGCCACGATTTATACACATGTAATTTTCATTCGATGATACCCTCGAGGAGGATGGCTCGTGCTGCTAAGCGGACCAGGTTGCCTACTATGTGGTATTTCAAATGGTTTAGCGTCTCGTCATTGTATTATACAAAACACCGCGCAGCGCACTCGCTTGGCGTCAACAACAATTGTAGGCTAGGTTCGTCTATTTCCTGAACGATGTGCATCCTTGCAGCTTGCTTTTTTTCAATAACCGCAATAACTTCGAAGATTTTAGACGCCACGTTATCGTTTTGTGCTCTCGCATATGGCGGTTCTGGCGGAACGTCCACACGTGGGCTTTTAGCCACACACGGGATGTATTGGGAGGTGGAGACGGAATGTGCCGAGAGTCATCACATTTCCAGTTTTCAGAAAACGGCACAGCCTGAACGAGCCGTCCCTTCGACACGTTCGCTACTTCAAAAAGATCATGATCTGCATTCCGGACAAGGCCCACATGGTAACGTTAAAAGCCTTGTTACCCCTCCATTATCGTTGCCATCGTGGACCCAAAACTTGCTCCGCGCGGAATTGCATCCCAAGAACGTGGTTCACCTTGTGGGCCACAAGATTTGGACCCAAGCAGCAGGGACAAATTCGACACTCGTCTGTGCAGCCAGCACGGATCCAGCTTTAAGATCTTGCTACCCTCATACTGGGGTTGTCCACGTAGCCATTAGAGATGCTTTGGGACTTGTTCGGAAGAAGTGGCTCAACATCCACTTTCCTAGTCGACGGCGATTTCAAACGTTGTGATATTGCTTGAATTTACACGACAACAGGAGCTCAAGTTTGAGCAGAGCAAGCTTTGACTTTGACAACATCGTTGTTGGACCGGCTCACGTTCCGAGCCGCTTGGGAATAGTTGCTTTTTTCTCCCCCCGTTTGGCGGACAGATGAGAATGTGGCAGCTCTTTCGTCCGCATGTGCCGTTTCACTAAATAGCTCAGGAAGGTTGAAAGAAGAGCTGGACCCGCGCCTCAGAAAGCCATGGTGCTGATCCCTGAGGTCGCTCCCGCTTGCTCAGGCCCAGATTGTCGTTAGTCGCTGCAGCAGATCCGCATTGGGATGAACGTCTACTAAAGAGGGATGATGAAGCTCGAGCCACCATCATGTGTGCACGGGGCTTCAAACGGGCCGGGGTGGTCATACTTGCACAAGAACTTGTACACTTCAGGAACAGCCGAGCCAACGACCTCGGTTTGCTGCACTGTGACGAAAGACAGCCATATGGAGTGATATTACACTTCATGCTAAGGTTTGTTTTTTTTTTTTTCCTTGCGTCGCAACCGCGCAAAAAGCCGCTAAATCTGAAGCCACCGTTGTTGGCAGTTCACTTGAGCGCTGTAAGGAGTCAAACGGACTGCCGGAACAAAGATGCCTTATGATACAATTCGGAGAGGTGCGTCGTCATAGGAGCTTGAGCACTCAGCTGCGCACAGCATTCGTTGCGAAGGTTCACGGACTTCGCTCTGGATACCGTGCCTGCTACTGCAAATGTGGAAGACGCGCAGCTCGTGCTGACTAGGTGGATTTGATCAGGCGTTAAGCGACCCAACCCATTGGGGACCGCCATCTTCGTCGGCCTCCGCTCCTTCGATCCTTTTATCCAGTATAATATTTTAGCCAATGGGTTGGGATCTGGGTTGCTAGCCAAGGTCGGCTTGGAGCAACTGCCAGCGGGCCTGGCTACCAATACCGGTACGATCATCGACAAGCTCGGTCTGTCTCCGTACAGACTGATCTTGCTCTCGATGTCTGTGGGTAGCGCGTTGAAGCATATCTTCTGGCTTCTTACTGTCTCCGAAGAGGGATTCGAACCAAAGTCCGCGATTGCCGTAGGTCTTTACAACACTTTCTGCAACTCAATCAATGATTTGTTGTTCACATCCTCGATCGCGTCCGCTTCCTTGGCAAGTGGACAGTCCTTCCCACAGTGGCCTTTGATAGTTGGTAGCCTGTCCTATGTCATCGGAATTACTACAGAGACCGTAGCCGAGTTGCAGCGCAAGAGGTTTAAGAAGAACAATCCAGGGAAGCCATACACCGGTGGACTGTGGAGTTTGGCAAGACATATTAACTACACTGGTTATGCTCTCTGGAGAGCAGGATATACATGTGCTGGCGGCGGATTCGGCGCCGGCTTGGTCATGTTGATTTTCACCTTGGTTGATTTTGATCGTAGGAGTATTGTGACACTTGATAAGTACTGTACAGACAGAGTACGTTCTTTGGTCACAACGCATTGCTCTGGCAAACTTGCTAACCTCGGGTCAGTACGGAGCGCAGTGGGAGGACTTCAAGAAAAAGACTCCTTACAAGCTGATACCTTACGTTTATTGAATATTCTGTGGCTCAGAAAATTATCGCAACGGTTATCCGGCATTCGCGAGCGCGATGATCTGTAGAACCACCTGTTTTGCACGCTCAACTCTCCTCAATGACAAGTTCCCAAAACGAATATAATCCACAACTGCTCTGCATTGTGCTGTAGTAATGCCACGGATCAGAGGTAAAACATGAACTTCACGCACTATTCCTTGATCTGGAATCCGCAACCAATTCATGCAATTTTACAGTGAATACATTTACGCCCACATAGATGAAGAAGTAGTTGGATACAATTGCATCATGCAGCATGCCTTTTTTTGGATAATGCCTCGAGATGCCACTTATTTTATGAAACAAAACGTGTGGGCGGCATTCGCTCGTCATGTCCAGATTATGTCGCCTTATGCACCCCAGAACGGTAATGACCGGCGACCAAGAAAGCCAACTCTAAAGCCTGTTTTTCATTCAATCTGGGATCGCAGTACGTCGTATAATTTATGCTCAAATCCTCCTCTTCCAAGCCTTCGCTTCCGCCCACGCATTCTGTCACAGCATCACCCGTCAGCTCCAGATGCACACCTCCAAGGTAGGAGCCATGTTCTGCATGTATTTTGAGCGCACTGGACAATTCTTTGAAGATGGACGAGAAGCGTCGGGTCTTGATCTTGGCACTTGTGCTGACAGTGTTACTGCGACTGGATATCAGCAAAATGCGTGAGGTGACAGGGTTGCCAAAAAAACCTACCCATGCATGGGATCGCATTGCCAAATAACAGTATGTCCACTCTTCTTCACGGCTTCGATGTGCGGGCCAAGCATCTTCTCGACCTTGTCTTCCCCATAGCGCGTGATGAGAGTGACTTTGCCGATTTCCTTTGATGGATTCACGATGTCCAGTAACTCGATAAGCTCTTCGTTTTTCATGGAAGGACCGACCTTGATGCCGATGGGATTCTCAAGGCCGCGGAAGTATTCGACGTGACCACCGTCGATCTGTCTTGTTCGGTCACCAATCCACAGGAAATGTGCTCCGGTGTTGTACCAGCCTTGCCCTTCATGTGTAGGATGATTGTAAGGGTGTCTCAGAAATCTTGTCAGGGCCTCTTCATATTCCAGGACCAGACCTTCGTGACTTGTGAAGAGATCAACCGTGTGTAATGGGCCCGCTGTGTCCGCCCCAACGGTCTTCATAAAGCGTAGCGAATCCGTGATGCTGCTGACGATGCTCTGATACTTCTGTTGGAGTTCCTCATCGCGAACGTGGCCCAGGCCCCAATCTAGCGGATTGTGCAGATCGGCTATGCCGCTCGAAATCTGCGCTCGAACATAATTCGATGTGGCTGCGGAATGGAAATATGCTTGTAAAAGGCGACCAGGGTCAACGGCACGATCCTCCATGGGAAAGCCGTTTAATATGTCGCCTCTGAACGACGGTACTTGTTTTCCGTCAATAGTTTCTGTGGGTGAGGACCTTGGCTTTGCATATTGCCCTGCCATCCTCGCAATGCGAACGACTGGCTTGTTAGAGCCCCAAATCAACACCAATGACATCTGCAGAAGAAGCTTGATCTTCGCATCAATTGGTTCGTCGGCGCAGTATGAGAACAGCTCAGCACAGTCCCCGCCCTGAAGCAAGAAAGCCTTCCCAAGTGCTACATCTCGTAAAGCGGATTTCAGCTTTTGAATCTCATGAGGGGTGACAATGGGTGGTAGAGTCTTTAGCTTTGCTATTGCTTTGTCTGCTGATTTCCTATCATCGTATACAACCTCCTGTTTTATGGGTTTTGATCGCCAAGCTAGTCAACGTTATTACAACGAAGGTTGTAGTAAACAGAAGGAAACCTACAACTCGGTGACCAATCATTTGATTTGTGAACGCCGTTGCTGCCAGTTTCATGCGACAACATGGAAGACATTTTGACTTACTTCGTCCGCAATTATGTTGGTTGAATGTGTTCAATTGATATAGTCGAAATTTGAAGAGGACCGACCCTTGTAGTATGCCTCGAGACTAGCTGCAGGAACACTTAAGAATCCTGTTGTGACCGGCCTGCAGCGTGGACTGGCCCTTAGCAATTCTCCTGGCTCTTGATTGTTTCCGAAGCGTCAATTGCACAATTGAGTCTTGAACTGATCGTGAGTCACAGATTGCGATGTGGCGGTCAGGAATAATTCCCTCGCCATCAAAAGAAGTTTAGCTCAGCCAATCGCGAGCGTCTCCACATTCATTCTCCAGCCCACTGCCATCCACTTCCAAACTGCAACGCTGCAAACCCTTTCTATCCTATCGAACAGGATATAAGCCATGGCCGAAGAACCCCAACCGCCGAGCGTCCATGAGGGCGCCGATGCGGCCAAAGCTAGCGCCGCCCTCAGTTCTCTAGATCGCAACGATGATGATGCCGAAACGTCGAATAAGAGTGCGGACGCCGAGGCTTTAGGCAAGGCAATGCAGAATCTGGATGTGAAAGAGAATGCGCCAGAGAAGAAGGAGCCACCCAAAAAAGTCAAAATCGATGCTGAAGATGTGAAGCTTCTTGTAAGATTGTGGACACAAACTTGTCAGGCGCATATAGAATGCTGACAGAGAACTAGATGCAGGAACTCGAGGTCAGCAAAGTCAAGGCCACAGAGATGTTGAGAAATCACGAAGGAGATGCTGTGAAGGCGATGACAGCCTATATCACAACGCCTGTGTGAGAGCATCGCCGCATTGGAATGCGAGGAGAAGAACGTCTGGCAGACGGGACATTTTGAAAGGAGCATAGTCTCGAGTATGAATTGGCATACTTGCAGACAAGAGAACCGCAGCTCCTTGGCCGCAGGGATCACAAGTACGCCGCTACGGTCCTTGTCTCTAACCTAACGAACTGGGATATACCAGCCCTCGTAAAAATACTCTGGGCGAGTCACGGATGGTACGCATATGCAGATTGCTGAATAGAGACATGTATTACATCGACCTTACAAGAAGAGATTACGTACTTCTCAGCAGCAGCATCAGAGAATGAGTGATTCGGCAAATGAAGCAAACCGCGCATCTAACGCCTGGGTATCAACCGTTCCAATCTGACAGATCAATTCTCGCATCCCTTCAAAGTCTGATTTGATTCTTCTTCATCGGACTTGCCTGCCTCTTCGGACTGCCCAAGTCAAATGCTCTTTTTGCAGGGCTTGGCACACCAAGCTGCGGCCGCTGACGAGTAGGATCAGAAAGACGCCTGGATTTAGACGCGAGTAGCGGATTCCTTATCGGAGTCGCCATGATCATGGATCTGTTGAACTGTTTCGGCGGACAAGTCTTTTGTACAAGCGGTGTAGCCTCGCTAATGGGACTAAGGTTTTCCTTGTCCTCGATTGGACCTACGCCCACGGATGGAGGAGGCATGGGGGTCTGTGTAGCAGCAAGGAATGAGGGTGTTTTGATTAGGAGACTGGAGGACAGCGTGCCTAGCGGCTCTCTTTGCATGACTGGGGTATCTGGCAGAGCCCATTTAGGGGGCGGAACAGCCGGTGTATGCGAGACGGGTGCCGCTGACCGTGCAGTCATAGGTGTGTTCAGAGCGCTCCTATTCGGCCTCGGCGTGTGTCCGGGCACATGCGTGAGATCTACCAGATAACGAGGTTGGTTCTCTGGAATGCGAAGAGACTCTCTTTCACAACTATTGCTCGGGTCAGTCTCATCTTGTACGGATTTCGAAGGGTTACGTACTCAAGCAGCCATCCCAAGCTCACGCAAAATACCTCACCGTTACTTGCCAGCACCTTCTCCAAAGTACGCATTTCACCATTCATGAAGAGCACATGTGTGATGCCCATGTTGTTATGCGACCATTCTTGAACCCATTGCCCGCCGAGCTCCTCAATCAATCCAACAAAGAGGCTGTTGTAGTTGACGCCAGTAATACTGTTGATATCCAAGAAGAATACACATCCTTCTAGTATACCGCGCGTTTTCGGTGGAGTCTTTTCCAGAACCTGCGCTGGACGTGGCGGAGTCTTGTGCCAGCTCACTTTTTTCGGCGACATGTTCGGGCGCTTCGCGGGTGATCGTAAAGATGACTTTGTTGGGGAAGGTGGGCTCCCTGACGCGGAGCTCTGCGATCTCTGAGGTGATCCCAGCGATGGCATTGATATTGAGGTTCGCAAACGCTTTATGGATGTGGCTTCATCGGTCGCATCTGCATGAGGTCGTTTTGGAGTCCCAGCAGAGCTCTCACTGCCAGAAGATCTGGGTCGCACAGGGGAACCAATATTAGGCGCGAAATCCTTTACTGACGTGTTGAGACGCACCGGCGGGAGGCTAGTCATCGTCGGCCTTTCCGCTTCTTGCGGCGGAGCAGACAGTAGTTTTGTTGGAGAGGAGAGTAACGCGCCTGACACCACAGGCTTGCGAACTGATCCAAGTCCCTCCGCGGATGACAATAGAGACATCTTGAATGGCGAAACAGGCTGTGTTGATGAAGATGCAGGTCGCGGTAGTTTTGTAGGACTCAGTGGTGCATTTTTTTCCGTATTCTGAACCTCTTCAGACTGCACCACCTCTCTGCCAGCTTCGTTTTCGCTGTCCAGTGACTGTTCTTCCGAGTCATTCTTTCCCGTTTCTTCCGCGTTAGGATTTTTATCTTGAACTTGGCTTTCGACGGCCGTTGACCTTGTCAATTTCGCAGTCCTCCCTCCCGTTACATTTCTTTTAGTCACTGCAGTCCTTGGAGCAGGCTTGGATGTTGCCTTTGCTGTCGATGCCTTGGTAGCTCCTGTTCCTGCAGCGGTCCTCCTTGGTGCTGTTGTCTTCGGCGCTGCAGGTTTCGACGTCGATGGCTTTGCTGTTGCTGCTCTCAAGGAAGCTGTGCGAGAAGCTGGGGCTTTGGGTTCCGTATCTTTCGTGGCTGCCTTCGATTTTGCTGCCGATTTCGCCGTCTTCGTTGTCCTTGCAGGTTTTGCCAATTCCTCGACAGGATCCTCCTTCTTTGCACGGCCGCGACGAGCGGGAGCCTTGCTGAGCACACTGGGCTTGAGAGGCGATTCTGGAGGTGTCGATTTTGTTTGCGCACGCTGCGCACGTGTTAGAACCATGATTGTAAGTTTTGCTATTGATAGAAATATGCTGTTGGATCTGTCGATGCTCTTGTATTGCCTTCTGTTTGTTGAGCTTGCTTGGCACGCCGGTTGCTGGGACAACGGCTGTGGGACCTATTCCCCCGTACTCCCACTACTTCAACACTCAAATAGCTTGGCGGCTGTTACTTGGTTACCCAATATGGTGCGAATAGAGCCAAGAAGCTTTCATACTTCTAACAGTATGAGCCATGAAATGTATGAGCTGTGATCAATCCAGTAGTGCTTTTATGATTACGCAAAGTTCAATCATTGCCTTTGCCACTTTAAACAATCACATCTTAACGTACGCAGCGTTCCAAACCGTAGTCTAGTCATTGCAAAGAGAGCATATTCCCGAATCGAATGGCTATATTATGCCTTGTCAAAAAACCGATCGATAGTCGACCAATATTAATTATATACAGCGTACGCCTTCTCCGTTAACGCAAGTGTCTCTAGGTTCCGAGGTAGCCTGTTCTCGCCCTTGTCATACGGGACACCAGCTTGCTTCCGTGCCAGATCGTTGATCCATGCTCCTCCGGGTTTGACATCGTCACCCTTTGTGAGCGAATCAGCGAGGTACATCCACGCCAGAGCGTTACCAACCGTTCCGACCTCGTCGCTTACGCTCTCAGCTGCCAACCGGCTCATTCTCGCGTACAAGTCGGCATCAGTTAGTAGGTCGTTCAAGTACTTAGCTACAGCATTGTGATCGCCAACTTCAACAATGTAACCTCCCTTTCCGTGTTGTACTTGCAGGGGAATGCCGCCAGCATTAGTTGCAATGACGGGTATTCCCTTGTGCAAAGCCTCCGAAACCTTCACTTCAAAACCCTCGCGGGTGGAAAGTTGAAGCGCAACTTTCGCGTGACTGAGAAGCGCGTTGAGGATCTGATCTGCTGGACCTACGCGTTGAAGAACCACATCGTCTGCAATATCCGCATACTTTGTCTCAAGTAACTGCAGAGTCTGATCAAAGATTCGAGAGCCATCCGGGTCGTCCACGGAACTATGTCCTGCGAGGACTAATTGCGGTATGTCTCTGGTGCAAACGTCTTTGAAATATGTTCTGCGTAGCACAGCATATGATGCTAGAACATCGGGGATGCCTTTTGACGGATCAAACCGTGCAATCTGCACAATATAGTTGCGATTTGGATAATCCAGTAGTCGCATGTGCTGTCGAAATGATGCCGCATTGAACTCATGGATATAGTGCCTAGCATCAAATTCAGACAGCGGTTTATTCAGGCCATCCAGCCAATCCGTTGTTGCTGGTAGCCATCCAACCTTCTGAAAGTCGACTCCATTTGGCACAAACTGCCGCACGGGGTGACTGATGAAGATATCTGCGTGCTTTACTCTATCCCACAGCCACTGCCAGACCTCTGACGTAGGTGTTCCAGGCTGGTCAGCCAAATCGCTTCGAATCTGAATATGCGACCGAAATATGACAGGACGACTAGGGTCCATGTGCTTCGCTATTGGCACGAGATCAGGCATTTGAGGGTCATCAACAATGACAATGTCTGCGCCCCCGTCTGCTCGCGCAGACAATGGACCACCGGCTGGGCTCCATTTCTGGATCGAGTTCGCTTCAATCCATTCTCTGATGAGCCTCTGTTGCGCCTCGGTGAATCGCTCATCCGGATCTGCCACGCCTTGCAAAATATTGTGGTTTGTCTTGGTGATGCGGAAGATCTCCGGACTAGGCTTCGGCACGTACCATTTGCAATTCACTCCTATGGAGCGGAAAAATCGAACGAGAGCATGACGCATAAGAGCCACACCTCCTCCTTGTGGTGTCGCGCTGAAAAAGGCGATTTTGACGTTTCGCTGCTGAAGAGATGACGCAAAGTGCATCGCTGCCCTCCACGTATTAGAGCTCACGGTCTTCTCGTATTGCTCTTTGGTAGTCAGATGTGCTTTGTAACTCGCATCAACTTCAACTTCACCTCGATATCCGACCTGGATTCGAGGTTGACATGTTGGACCAAAAAATCTGCTGAAGAGTTAGAAGCGATAACTTGAACAAATAGTTAAATAATTACCCTACGCAGCGACGTGCGACCGCATCGGCGTGTTCATCAATTGTTTCCATCACATTCAGCGACTTCGTAGTGCGCTCCAGAACAAAAGGCACAATATCGAGTTCGCTCCATAGCAGAGAGGGAAGTCTGGGGCATAGTACCGATAGCGATGTGCTGATACCAGCGCCAACGATCTTGTAATAATGTTTCTGCTTGAAATCACGAAGCTCATCGATGCACTTGTTCTCGATCTCTTGTGCAAGATTGTCAGACAAATGGTCACCATCAGGATAGCTATACCCATCCTGAAGTTCGCCGACAGTTTTCACTGCGAAGTCAATTGAATATGTTCCGTCATGGGCGGCAAAGCCAATCTGAACCTGACCATTAGCTTGAACAGCCGAGGCAAGGCCGATCCATAAACACTGTGAATGATTTTAAGTATGTTCACCGCCATCCATGTCAAGCAAAGGTACGCACTGTAAGATTATGTGCGCCGTAGTCCTTGCTACCACTCTCTGAACTCTGTAGCCTTTCCAGATGCTTCTCAGAATGCTCTACGCTCCAGTCGTGCAGCGTTCCGCAATGTTGCAGCTCGACCATCTTGCTGGATTTGGCTAAAATTTCTGTGTCGCAAATACGGTTCGTAGAATTGAGAAATACGACATGCATCCAATGACTTTCGGGCGGATGTTACCAAGACTTGATATATCGGGAGCTTCGGATGGGTTTCCACGAATTTCTGTGGTCGGAATGACGACGACGTGACACAGCCTCGAGGGACTTTGCCAATCTTGACGTTGCAGCATCTCCCGCTACATTGCTAATGGACAATCATTTAAAACGTTGCCTCGTACTCAGACACATGGCGTGAGGATACAGCAAATTTATTTAAAATGAAGGCACTTATCGAGAGAGTTAACGCGCCTGAGAGAGATTCACATCTGGTTACTCGGTAGGACGTCATCACTACCCATGTTTAGATTCTATGCACCGTTCGATGTTAAGCATTCTTATGCAGTTGTCAACTATCGATAGTCAGTACTTGTCCCAAAGCCGCAAACTTCAATCCAGCCTTTGCAATTTTTTTTTTTTTTTTTTTTTTCAGTGCGAAGTTGCTGGGTTGCCGCAATCGGTCAGCTGAACTGGGTCGTACGTTGTCGAACATTCAAAAAGCCCCACGTCATGAAAACTTGTAAGTCTAAGAATTGTTCAACGGGAAGCAAGTATGTCGTGAAGACGGCCATAGGGACTTGTATCCTCTCTTCATTATTATTGAGAGCTGCCCACAGACTGGATCTGCAATAAAATTGGGGCATTAGGCAACAGGATGGGCGCGTTGCCACCAGAATTCTACACTATAAATTCGCACTCCGGATTGACCATTCGATAGGTTAAAGTCTTTCCTTCTCATCAGCCGCATAGATTTCAGTCTTGGTTATTTTTAAATTAGGAAAAAATATTGCAGGTCAGTGATCTTTGTTTACTGGCATTGGCAAAATTGTATAATAGGTGTCGTTGGGAACGGTCTAAGATCACGGAACCAGGATTTTTGGCAAGCCCCTCATGAAGACAAACCAAAATCAAGAAGATGGATTTCTATAGGATATCCCGAATGTTGAAGTCCTCCGCGGCAGGTGGGAACGTAACTGAGCTCGGTCTCGGCCCTGGCGTCTTGGACGCAATCGTGCCTGGGTACAGCGTAATTTCTAGGTTTCTTTCACAGGCCTTGGGCTTCGATGCTGGTTCAATTGTCTCGACTGGCCTTCTCTTATTCGCAATCGCGAAATCGTGGCAATATGTATCTAGAACACTATGGTTCTTGATTACAGAATATGCATCATCTCTGGTCTATATCGAAGAACATGACGAACTATTTAAAAGCGTTCTCGATTGGATAGCTAGCCAACCTGTCGGACTTAAGGCAACTCGACTGAAAGCAGTCACAAAGCAGGGTTCAAGTCCAGAAGAGGATAAAACGGATGAGCATGATCTCAGCGATGGTAAATTATTCCACTTTGGCAAATGGGCTGCTAAAGTACCGCCCAAAGTATGCTGATGGAGTTTCAACACGGGATGTTGCTGACAACATGACAGTACGAGCCATACTACGGATCGTACGTATTCACGTACAAATATCATCTCTTCATCTTCGAGCGAGGAAGAAGAGAACGAGCGACGGCGACACCATGGCGTCAGACATCAATGGATGAGCAGCACATCCAGATTCGAACGCTTGGCTGGTCCACAGCACCGCTTAAAGATCTTTTAGCTCATATCAAACACTGGGCGCGAGAACGTGAGCACGACATCACAGTAATAAAACGTCCGCAATCAAAGGACACTAGGCGTCGAGAAGGAGCGTGGACCCGGATCACCTCGCGGCCCAGTCGACCGATGGATACTGTTGTGCTTGATATTGAACAAAAGAGGAAACTCATTGACGATGTGAATGAGTATCTCTCACCCACAAGCCCGCAGTGGTATGCTTCAAGAGGAATCCCGCTACGTCGCGGGTATTTATTTCATGGGCCACCTGGTACTGGCAAATCATCGCTGTGCTTCGCACTAGCCGGTCTTTTCGGTCGTACGTACTTCTTTACTGCAGTTCTTGTTTCGTATTAACATGTACGCAGTGGACATCTACGTCATTTCCTTGCTGGAACCGACTCTAACAGAAAGTGATCTCCAACAGCTGTTCAATAATCTGCCGAAGCGTTGCATCGTTCTGTTGGAGGACATCGATTCTGCAGGACTAACACGGGAAGATCCCTCAACGGATAGTAAGTCTGACGGTGAAATTGGCCCTAGAAAAAACAACGCGCGCCGAGGGGGCATGTGGAGGGCTGGCACTGAACCTGATCCGACGACAAATGGAATATCTCTTAGCGGCCTCCTCAATGCTATCGACGGTGTAGCATCTCATGAAGGTCGCGTCTTGATCATGACGAGCAACTTTCCCGAGAAGCTTGACCCTGCATTGATCCGGCCAGGGCGAATAGATATGCAGGTGAAGTTCACGTTGGCCACAAAGCTGCAAATTAAAGAAATCTTTATCAGAATGTACAGCTCTGAACCGAAGCGGTTTGGAGAAGAAGAAGGGAACGGAAACCAAGGCATGGTAGAAAGCAACACGGTGAGCAGGAAGGAAACATTCACGAGGGAAGAGCTTCTGCCACTTGCTGAGGCATTCGCTGGTCATGTACCAGAAATGACATTTTCTCCTGCTGAGGTGCAGAACTTTCTTATCACAAGAAAGAAGAACCCAATGAAAGCTTTGGAGGAGGTTGAGGTGTGGAAAAATGAGCTAAAAGCAACAAAAGACCTAAAAACAGGAGGCACAAACTAATAGCGAAGGCTAGACTGCAAAAACATACGTTTCTCTGTTGGAAGCGATAATCAAATTCAGGATGGGTACAAATATCCAAGTTGATTATTGGCATGAAGGGAAAAGACTTGTTCTGATTTACATAAACGTTCAGACATGGGCAAGCCATGTATGTTTGGTATCAAAAGAATAAACTGTTATCCTGATCCACCTGTCCGGATGTTTCGTCAACGTTCAGTTTCTCTATGAAAGCAAAGACAAAAAAAGAAAAAGCATCACAAGGTCCCACTAAAGTCTACACGTAATAGATGACATGATAGCTGAATTCTATGCGTAGAAGGCCCAAGCGATTCATTCAAGTGATAACGCAGCTGCAGAAGCGTGCTTCCAGCGACGAAAGGGATCGTTGCATGTTCGGCTTTTCAAATCTGGTTAACACTTTTCATCGCACCCTAGCGAAGTATTGGATGTTGAAATCTCAAAAATGTGATACCAAAACTCGGAAGCGCATGTTCGCAACAAGGATTGCTGCGTAAACTCCGTCAGATTTCGTTGGCTAATAATTGTACATGTAATATACGCATTCTCCCAGACATGGGCCCAATCGCAGCGCTCATTTCTTCTTCTGACCTTGCTGCTTCTTCTTGCCCTGGTTTGCATTCTTTCCTCTTGACGATGAGCCCAGCATGGCACGCTGCCTCTGGTACTGACGTAGGATGGCATCGACGGAGCCGATATCGTGCTCTGGCTTCCTATTGGACTTTGAGTATCTGCACTTTGTCCGTCGTCGCATGACGAGATTTTCCTGAAGCGCAAGGTCACATACCTCATGTAGTAAAGTTTGTTCCTTCTTGCCCTCTTCTCCTTCCTCTGCACCACCTCGATACCCGCAACGTTGGGGCTGTAGATCTTGAACCACATTTCCACACCAACTTTTGTAAGATGATTCCTTAACAGAATCGACGTGTCGATACCTCTCTTCCTGATGCTTAGGCAGACTCCTGCGAACGGCTCACCGTTCTTCTGTCGCACAAGCAAGATATCGCCAATCCTCACAGCCTCCGGGTTTCCCTTCGAAAAGAGTCGTGTTCGTGCACCGGTTGGATCCATCGCGGCGATCTGGGCATCGTGGATTGCTTTGACAGGATCTTTGCAGTTGCTCCATGTCGACGGTGGAGGAGCATAGATGGGAATTGGTTTGTGTTCTTTCTTCGCTACAAAGTATTCATGTCAGAATACAGAAAATTCAGTCTAGATGAAGAAGGGGTGATTCATACGGCGTGTACCCAGAAGTGGCAGGCTAGGCTTGGGTGACGTTTGCAGCTCAGCTAAGTTGTGTTGCCATCTCCGTTGTGCTCGTTGTAGACGGACCTGTCTCAGAGATGCTTTGATCGAGCCCAATGGCCGAACAGCAGCTCTCGAGGGTGCCATATCTGAGATGTGATGCCGTAGTTTCCATCTAAAAGAGTTCCAAAGAGGAAAGATGGCATGTCACGTGAAACCATGTTACGCTAGACTGCTTCTGGGAAGGAGATTGTGAGTCGTTTGCACGCCTCTTCACTTGCAGAGAGCAACGGTCCAACCATCCCCCATTATGCAAACCATAGCTTACTCAATCGACAAAGCGCTGCAAAGATGCTGTGATTGTTTGCCAGTTACTCATGCTCATCAAACCATGGCTAACACGCCTCTGCTAGCTGACCTATCACAACGACAGGACGAGCTCGAGACGTGGTGGAAACGGATCCTGCGTAATATCCTCGTGACCATCGTATAATTCCAGCCCTGGAATTCTTCATTGGTGAAAGATCAGACGAGCTGAGAGGAAGCTGCATCATTACACGCACAAAAATCCAATCCTTTCCAACGACGGGGCCCTAAACTAGATGTTCAATCGTTGGAAGTAGTCCAAGGACATTGTCAGATTGATTTCAACAGCAGTGCGAACTCTGATTCACATCGATAAAAGCTCCTTTATTCACTTATGCGCATCCTGTCATGGAAGGAAAAGCTTCCACATCACCAGGCCAACAAGAGATATATCGCTAGCTGCTTTGCCTCCTACAACCTCTAATCTACTAGATTTGCAAGGTGCTCTTTAAAAGTGAAGCACATTGAAGCACATGATAGCCATGCTGACGACTAGAGTGCTGAAATATCATTGTCTCCTTCTTGAGCAAATGCTTCATGGACTCATTGAACATCACTGTTTCTGTGCCAGCCCTAGGCTGTCTTAAGTAATTCTCAAGGTCAAATAGAACACAAGACAAATCAAGCTATACGGATGAACCAAAAATGCTCTTGTGAAGGCTGTAAGCAAATCTAACGATAAGCTCATGTTCTGTTCGTAGAGTCATCTCTCAAATATAAACTCGAAACGATCGCGATAGCGAAAGGACTCCGTTTCGAAGCTGTCGACCAATAAAGACAACTTTACATGTTCAACTTTGGAGTTAAAGGCTTGTGCAGCATTGTAGCGAAATCGAGTATGCTTCAAATCCTAGCCCATAGTGAAGATACCAGAGCGTGTGTTGAGCATTTGATAGACTTATTGCCGATTGCAGTCGGCTAGGCTTGCTCGTCTCGGCGGTTGATGCAAAAGTCTTCAAAGTATGGATGATTTGAAGGTATCGGCTCAAAACGCTCGAAGTGACAACGATAGAGACGCGTCATCACGAGTTTGATCGCTTAGGATCCGCGTTGGGGACATCCGTAGGTCTTGACTGATAAACAACAGGCCTTTCGCTGACAATTGTATCCTTCTACTCTGCAGGCAATGACGGTGACACACCCTTCATGGAGCCATCAACTCGGTTCCGCACGCAAGACGTGATGAAACGAAGTGCTAATGCGCATATTAAGGAACTGAGTAACGAGACCAGTTTTAAGAACATGATAGCTTCCCAGCTGCTTAGCACCGGTGCTCGGCAACTTATGCTTCAGCTTGAGCATGCTGACCTGCGCTGTATCGCCTGGCTAGGCAAGGCTGCATCGTAGCGAGGTTGATTTGTAGAAAGACGGACTTTGCTTTTCAGTAGATTCGGTGCGTGTCAGCCGATTCCCAGGTGTTCCCAAGCTCGTGTTCCCCATCGGCGAGAGTTCACTGTACGTGTGCAGGGTTGCCAACACAGACGAAATGGCTGACGGTCAGTCTCCGTCCATGGATTCGGCAGACTGTAACCCTATAGCAAGTTAAGATCGCGGGCGTCATCTCCAAGCGGTGCAAAGACGGTAGGGATGACGTTCTGCACTGCACGCTCGTTTCACAAACGACAGTCGAAAGCAAGAAACGCGCGTACTGAGGAAAAAATTAAACTTCGCCGCTTGAGTCCAGTCCGACCTGTGCCTGGACGTTTCCCTCGCTGGGCTGTTTGTGTTGTTTGCATACCGGGCTAGGCCCTCGCGATCCACAAAGCTTGTTTCATGCTGTTCCGATTCAAGTGCAGCGGGCGGTGCTCTGCGCTTGACTGTCGTGAAATGGTCGCCAGGCAAACCTTCTGGATAGAAGGCCGAACAACACAACGGCGGAGATACAACACGTACGTGAAATGAAGATTGCCAATCCCATGTGCAATTCCTCATAACATACCATATTGATTCAACGAAAGGTGGACGCCGCAGCGGACTTTTCTTCGACCCTCGTGAGACCACATTGTGTTTTCTTATTTTTTTTTTTTCTACACAAGACTTTGTGTCAGTCGCCTCTGTGATGCATTCTTGCCCATCTCTGCTGCGTCCTTCATTTTGACACACGTACATCCATGTACGTTTGGCAGACTAGTCGCGGGGCGAAGCCGTCTATCCTGAGCACGATAGCCCCTTAGCGAAGCTCAAAGGATCAGACTTTCATAGACCGTCGTTGTCGTAAGGCTCTAGAGCAAAACGACTCGGAGCTTTCGCAAAGGGCTCCTCGACAGGCTCTTGATTTCAGGCCCATTTCGGCGTAATAATGTGACGTCTGACATGATTCCGTGTTCAGAGGGTGCAGCACCCCGATTCAAGGTCTCTGGGTGGTAATCGCTGGACGCGTAAGCTGGCGCTCGACGATGGTCCGCAGAGCGACATCACGGGAGCGGCATTTTGGTGCTACGTTACTCTCTGAGGCCACGTTCAAACCCTCAGGCTGCTACTCTGCGCTTCGCAGGTTCGCCTTCCAAAGAGGCGGACATGTCACTGCCGAGTTGGAAGGCCGGATGGGACGGAGAACCCTTCCCTATGCAGTTTGTTGGGTCTAACTTGGCACGTCTCTATGTGTTGGCGTGTGTAAGCCTACGGACTCAGGACGAATGCTCATGGATGTTTTTGGTTGGGAACATGCGGTATCCGATGGTCCATCTCGACACCGGAGCACAAGCGACCTTTGTCACTCTCAAGCGGAAGGGATTTACGCATAGTAGGCATGTCGAGCCGAGTGAAGCGCAGCTGCTCTTGTGACAATCGGTGGTTTCTTTGGGTCTGGACTATTCACGCACAAAAAACATTGCTTGCTGGCCAAGTAGTCGACTGCAACCAGGGCAGTACTCTCTGTAGCGCAAGATATGCAGCTAGACGATACCTTGCATACATAAAATGAAAAGCGGGTAGCGAAGCGCTGGAGAAGAATTCTGACTGGAAGTAGATGCAGTTAAGAGGACCATTTCAATTGGTCAGACTCCGGCCATGACCTGCTTAGGCCCCAAGAGACGTTGACTCAGAGCTTCGGTGTAGAACTGCGTTGGAGATCTTGCGCTACAGCACGGCTTTCTCCGCAATCACGTTCTGACCTTTGGACCCTCGCCCCCACCAAGAAAAGCAGCATGGTTCCAGCGAGACTTTGGATTTGCTTCGATATCCCGACATCGTGGTGGGACTCGGATGTCCGCGTGGAAAAGCAGTCACTCGCTGGGATCAGAATTTTTTCTCCCCCCCCCCCTCTTTCGCACTTCCGGAGACCTTTGGCGCATGCTATAGCGCGATGTTAGTGCGACGATGCCTTCGCGGGTCTGATTGGGGGAAGGGAGGTGAGAAGAGAGGATTTTGTGGCCAGACATGTGACCGCAGCCAGGACAAAGCGAGGTGTCAGAGTGGGAATGGAGCGAGCTTATCTAACACCAATGAAGGGAGCTGTTCAACGTCATCACACGCAAAAAGAAACTTTGGGAGGTCAACTGTCGGCCTGGCCCAACAGAAGGCAAAGCACGAGAGTGTGCTGGGCTGCAGGACGGACAGACAGCCAACCAATGAGCGTTCGATCGCATTGCGAACATTCTCCCACGATCTGACACACGCAGAATCCACGCGTGAGAGCGGGCCGCTACGGGTTGCAAATCAGCAATGGTCCGTCATGGCGGGTGCCGAGGGGCGACGCTGAATGCCATGGAACGCAGTCGTCCAGGGCGAAGGAAAATTCGAACGAGTCAAGAGGCCGGAGAGGGAATTTTTTTTTTTTTTTTTTTTTTTTTTTCGCACAGGGTGGAGGCTGGCGAACAGATGCAGGCGGAGTTGTCCCGTCGTGGTACTGCGTCCAGTCCGGCGAGAGCTACGGACCGAGCCTTCTTGACGTCTGCTAGCTGGAGCCAGAGTTCGAGAGTTGCCCAATCCTAAGCTGCGCGTGCCTGGTGCCTGGACGAACCCTGATGCTTGCTTGCTTGCTTGCTTGCTTGCTTGCAGAGCTTGCCACGTTGGTGCGGCGGCGGGAAAAGTCGGTCGAGGGCTCGGCCCACGTCGGCGCGGTCACGACGGCACGGTCTGGGGCTCCTCTGCGCAGGACGAGCAGAGGCGATGGCGAAGGCACTGCGAGCGCGCGCGGCCGCTGAGGGAGGACTTTATGCACGCCCGCTCTCCTTTCGCGGCGGCCGCTGTGCACCGCAGTTTGATGAGCCCGCGTCAGCAATCACGACGGGCGAACGGCGGCTGGCCGGGGCTTGGCAGGCGGGCTCTCCTGATCGGCACGCCGCGCCAGCGCAGCGGCCAATCACCAGGCCGAGCCGGCTCAGGAACAGGCATAGCGCCGCCGCGATTGGGCGTGGATCGGCGGCGTTTCATCAAAGCGCACGCGCCGCAAAGCCTGCGCCTGTTGTTCTCGCGCGGGCGTGCGTCGCCGCCGGCGTCGTGCTGGAGCCGTGCTGGAGTCGTGCTGGAGTCGTGCTGGGGCCGTCGGTGGCACCGCCTGCTCGCCCCCTGCCCCTTGCCCCGGCCACTCGCACGCCCACCCGCGCTCAATCTCTGCCCTCTGCTCTCCTGCCAACATCCGACGGCGCAGGACTCGCTGCCCGCTCCCGCCAGAGCTCGCGTCCGTCCGCAGCCTCTGCTGCTGCTTGCTTGTATCTGGCCGGCTCGTTGTCGGCACTCGGCCTTGTCCGCGCCCCGGAGCATGAGACGGGCAGCTTCATCTCGGCCGCTCCACCGCGGCCGTCTGGTACGCGCAAGCCTGGGCGGCAGCCAGCTTCGTCGAGTCGAGATCCCGCCAAAGGGAGTGTCTTCCGAAGCGCCACCACGCACACCCATGACCGCCGTGGCGCGATGGACGCCGAATCCTCACCATTCCCTTTTGGATCTGGATTGTGCTTTCGACGCATCCTCTTTATCCACGTCTCGGACTTGCTGTTTTGCTCGTTCCCTCTGACCACCCGGACGTGTTAAGGTTTCGTTGGCGAGTTTGCAGCTCACTCGTTCTTCTGCGGCTCCCTCTCACTCTCTCACTCACTCTCATTCTTTGCCCTACTTATTACACCCGGTACACGCTCTTTCGGCCCACCCTCCCGCTCAACCAACTCGCACACTCCTTATCCACGAGCTCTGGACAGCTTCGCGACACTCCTTTGCAGCCAAGTGACCCAGACGTACTATCCTTACACCTGACGACACACGACCAATTCCACGACCAGAAAATACAGCAGTCGTTCCCTGATCTCCATCTTGATCCTTCACAATGAAGTTCTCCGGTATTCTTGCTCTGGCCTCCCTGGCTGTTGGCCAGGCTGCTGCCGGTCTCCTTAACCACAGGCACTTCCACATGCGTCGTGAGGCTCATGCTGCCCCCGCAGAGGTTCTTGAGAAGTGCGTGATCGCTTTCACCCCGTCTGTGTTGGCCCTCCTACTGAACAGTATCGCAGGCGCGGCGTTCTCTCTGCCACTGGCGCGGCCCTCTTGTCCAAGATCGGCTTCACCGCGACCGGCACGAACTCGGCGACCAACAACGGCCAGGCATGGCTCGGTGCTGACGGCCCATACGTCAACAACTTCATCAACAACTCCACCGAAGAGATCATCCTCGTTGTTTGGGGTCCCCAGGGCTCCTGGGTCAATGCAGTCAAGCCCCTAATCGTTGCCAGCATCCCTGCCGGCGCCGTTCAGACCGTTTCGTTCGCAAATGGTGCATCTGGCGCATGGGCTCCCATCTACCCAGATACCACCATGTCTCCCTACGGCCAGATCTTCCAGACCTGGGGCGAATACACGTTCAACGGACAGTGGAGCACCTTCGACGTCTCTCGTGAGGTCAACATGAACGGAAAGCCCATGACCATCTCGACCAGCAGCTGCACATCCGACTTTGAGCGTTGCGTCTTCCAGTGCACCGGTGGCGCCACCTCTTGCATGACCGGCTACGAGCTGTACAACTGCGCCGCTGGCTCTCAACCAGGTGCACAGAGCGGCACGTACGCTGGTGCCGCCTCTGGCGGATGCAGTGGCATGGGCGACACGGCCAACATTACTACCACTTTCTCATAGGCGATTTACGGACGTGGAAGGAGGTGGTGGGACGTCGATGTTGATAAAGTGGAAGACGACTTCGCGCTATATCACGACACGGCCGTTGGAAAGCCTGCGCGCATCAACATTTAGCGGATCTGTTTTGCAACTTGGGGGTCACATTCAAAACCTGTACATACTTTTTTCATGATAGGGGATTATTAGACTTGCGCGTTACGGTTGCAAATTGCTCGTGTGCTTCTTTTTGTCCTTCGTAGCCCCGTTTCCTCGTTGAAACTTGCCGCTAAGACGCCACTGCTGCAAGTAAAGTCCTTGGGGACGTCCTGATTGTGAACGAAAAGATGGGAACGGTTAGCAGAGCAGAGGTGGAGCACGAACGTCTGGCCTTCTTAACGTGGCTGCTGTGCCATTGTAGAAGAGGGAGGGGTCAATGCAAACAGTTTTAACCTTTACCTGCGACGATCCCGCTGGTGTGGGCATGGTACCACCGTGACTTCATTCGTCCAATTGCTGAAATCTTGAAACCACTTGACGACCTTCCTCGCCCAAAACATGTCTGCCAATACATGGAAACCGTGGCTACCTGCCCAAGCGTCGAGCGTCCACTTTAAGAATGCAAGAATTGTCGACACGCTCAATGCAAAAATCATCGAGGGCCAAGACGTGTTCGTCAGCGGCGGCAAGTTCGTCGCGAGTCTGGCCGCTGAAGAGCTTGACGATGCTCAGGTTGTTGATTTAGAAAACAAATACTTCGTTTGCCCCGGCCTGATCGACTGCCATGTGCATCTGACCGCCAACGCCGGACAGGAGTCGATGGGAGCTTTGTTCCAGGCGAGCGCGAATGCCATTGCGTACCGCACGACGTGGAATGCAAAGCAGATGCTCCGCAGAGGCTTCACCACCGTTCGCGACACGGGCGGTGCGGATCATGCTCTGCGGCAGGCGATCGAGGAAGGTCTGGTGCAAGGCCCGCGCCTGTTCATTGCTGGAAAGGCGCTCAGTCAAACCGGTGGTCACGGTGACCTACGACAAGCGCACCAAGGGTCCGGCTTCAAGTGCTGTGACAGCGTGACACCCGGCTTTGCTCGCGTGTGCGATGGCGTACCCGCCTGCCTTGAAGCGGCTCGAGATGAGCTCCGGCAGGGCGCGGATTGTCTCAAAATCATGGTCGGCGGTGGTGTCTCCAGCCCCAGCGACCCGCTCGACGCGTTGCAGTTCACTGCCGAGGAGATCCAGGCTATCACGACTTGTGCGAGGCAGATGGGCAGGATCGTCACCGCGCACGCGTACACCGTCGCGGCGATACGGCACGCAATCGACAACGGATGCAGGGGAATCGAACATGCAAACTTCATAGACGAAGACACTGCGAAGCTGTGCAGGGACAGAGGCGTCACGGTCACGCCGACACTCATAACGTACAAGGCCATGTCGGAGCCGCCGTACGAGCAGTTCTTGCCTCCTGAGGGTAGAGTCAAGAACACTCAAGTGCTTGCCTCGGGGGTCGATGCCCTTAAGACCTTGGCCGCTACGGGCGTGAACGTATGCTTCGGCACTGATCTCCTTGCGGGCATGCACAGCAGACAGAATGAGGAATTTCTGATCCGAAAGGCCGCTCTGTCGGATGCTGCCGTTTTGCAGTCGGCAACAATAAATGCGGCGAGGTATCTTGGCGTCGAAAACATGCTAGGACAGGTCAAAGAGGGTTACACGGCAGACCTCCTTTTGCTGACCTCAGACCCGCTCGAAGATGTGGGAGCACTTGCAAAGCCGGAGGAGAGCATAGTGGCTATCGTCAAGGACGGCCGGGTTGTGTCTTCAAAACTTGAGCAGCTCACGGTTTCGGCATTATATCGATGAAATCACGTGCTACAGAGTGGTATCGCGAAGACGTCGAGCTTTCAACGAGGCGTCAATATGTAGGCAACGCTCACAGACTCTCGCGGAACCTGTAGACGAGTGTGTGCGGGAGCGGATGTGTGCCTCTTGACAAATTCGCTTCCTTAGCGTGCGCACTTCGGATCGCTGAGGCGCAAGCATGGACGTCATGGAAACTCTGGACCCGCATCCAGCATTCCGTCGCGCTCATGTCAAATACAAAAGAGCCAACCTCCTGACGAAACATTTCCTGTGCAGTATTCGTGGATATCCAAATCTAAGAAAATGAGGCCTGCACGATGGTCCGACGTGATAAATGTGCCACAAAGGAAATGGTGGAGACAGATGCATCGATTCTAGAGCTCTAAAAGCCCCCCCTAAAATGACCGTCTGTGTTTGCTGTCGATCGCGGCGCTAGCTTGAAGCGGACGTGGAGGGCGTCCGAGAGGAGGTTCAGCTGCATCGCATCCATCACTTCCATCACTGTCTCGACTTCGTCTCCCGCTTCTGCATTGAAGTTCATTTTCCCTTTGGATCACAGCGTTCAAGCGCACCGGCGTCGCTGTCCGAGTCGACACCCTCACAGCAGCGCTTCCGCATCGCCAGCTCTCCGACCTAGGACGCGCGTGACAGGGAACGTCGATCATGCACAAACCCTGACACTCGATATCGCCTCGCTGAGTTCCGTCCTGCTTTGCATTGTCTTCTACTTTGGATGATGGGCTGGGGGTTGAGGGCAGCGGATAGACGCGGTTGTTAGCATAACCAGCAGCTCGAGCATGTTGAGTCTAAGAAAGATTTCCAAGTCTATACGCGAGTCCTGACCCACGTGAGAGTCTGAAAGTCGCTGCACGTCACAAGATGCTCGATTTTCAATCGCACGATGGCGCCGTGCGAAGGTTGGAACCGAAATGGAACAAGCTGATGATAGCTGCCTCCGTGGCAATCTCGTTCCTCGGGGCTTTTACTTCGACGCAGCTGATGTGCCATGCGAGGATGTCGTTGCATTTTTCAAGCGTTCTGATTTGGTCTCTTGCTGGAAGTGTCATATTTGGATTCTGCAGCATCTGGAGCTTGCACGAGGTAGCCATGCTTGCCTACGAGCTTGACCTTGAAATCGGCGTCGATGCTGGCTTGACGGTGTTGAGCAGCGTGCTCGCGGTCCTCTTCACCTTCATTGCTTTGTCTCACGACTTGCTATGGCTACGATGGCAGACCAGGAACGATAGGATCCACAGGCATCGAGAAAGACGCCACAAGTCGCAACAGTCTTCTCATTCGAATCCTGCACCGTCACGACAGCTGAGCGCCCAGAGCGCAACACCGCTGCTAAGGCCCGAAGACCGCGATGAGGATATGGAGACTACAATCGCTAATTCTGCGGCCCTTGATGAAGACTACTTCAGCCATCGGGTCGATAACACGGGGGCGCTCCAGGTGTATCCGACATTTCCAGGATCCGGCCCTCCGACACCTTCGTTCGCTGTGACCCAACAAGAGTTGATGGCCTCGGCGCATGCGGCATCTAGGAACTCGATGGAGAGTTTCACATCCGAGAGCAGCTCGAAGCCTCTCAATGTAAACGGAAATATCCAACCCAGCTCTGGCAGAAGTTTCGTAAGCAGAGTAGCGGCAGATGTGTTCTCCGACTCTCACACGCGCACCTCAAGCGACTGTTCGTCTTTCCGCCGTAGCTCAGCTGGAAACTTTAGTTCGGGCGGGCTGAGCAGTGCTCTGGGAATGATCGTTCAAGGCGAAAGAAGCACGCCGCACTCCAACGTCTTCGTTGGGACCGCAATTCTCCTCTTTGATGGCTTCACCAGGCGCAACATTGGCAAAGGCTTTCTCTGGTCTCTCGCGATCACGGGCATGCATTACTGCGGCATGCTGTCTCTCAAAATACCAGGAGACGGCTACATCACCTTCAATCTGTGGCTGGTGATGCTCTCGGGCCTGATCAGCTGGATCGTCTGTACTGTCGGCGCCGTCCTCATGGCTCACATGGAAACGCAGTTCGGCCAGCAGATCCTTTTCTCGGTGATAGCAGCTGCGGGGGTCGCAGCGATGCATTGGACAGGCATGTGGGCTACAACGGTTTGGTCTTTCGCTCCTCCCTCCGAGAAGTCAGGATATCCACCTGCTTTAGCCAGTGCCGTCGTTGCGATTGCCTTCATCACCTGCATCGCGGCCAATGTCCTTTTGGCCCACTCGGCAACAGTATCACGCAACAAATTAGCCGAAATCGTGTGGACAAGGAAAGAGCTGTGGAAAACGATTGCGTTGAAAGAAAACGCCGAGGCAGCGGCTAGAGCACGGAGTGACTTCATTGCCTCCGCGTCACACGAAATCAGGACACCCTTGCATCACCTTCAAGGTTATAGTGACCTCCTGGCGCAGACGGATCTCACGCCTGAAGGTCGGGACCTGTTGACAGCAATCCAGCGTGCCACGAAGACGCTTTCGCTGATCACAAATAACGTCCTAGACTGGTCCAAATTCGAACGCGACGAAGGCGTTTATCGACCAGTGGCCTTAGAATTACGCTCGGTATGCGAGTCTGTTGTTGTTCTACTACCCAACATAGAGGAAGACTCTCACGTGGAGCTGTTTGTGGTTGTCAGTCCCGACGTTCCACACACTTTGTTTCTGGATGAGACGTTCATCCATCGCATTCTTATGAACCTGCTATCCAATGCCTTGAAGTTTACCCGGAACGGCTACATACTGCTGTCTCTCGAAATGAACGACGACAACCTGATAGCCACCGTCGAAGACACTGGTTGTGGACTTGATCCATCATTTGTCCCTGAGATGTGGACGCCTTTCAAACAAGGCGAGGTTCGCGGGTCCGCAAGAGGTACAGGGCTTGGTTTGTCAATCATCAAGCAGCTGCTCAAGCGTATGAACGGACAAATCGAGGTGCAAAGCCATTACATACATTCCGAAGACGTCGGCCCATCAAAAAGTGGGACAACCTTTACAGTGACCATTCCTATGACCTCTACAGTCTCACGACCGGCTTCTCCTCTGAGTACCGCGCAACAAAAGGTCGCCATTCTGGTGAGGAAGCAAGACCGCGCCTTGGATGGTTTGCAACAATGCTGGCGCAAGTTTGGCTTTGAGCCTTGCCTGATACATAGCGTTGCGGATCTAAGTCATGATCATCAATGGCAATACGTGTGGACCGATCTGGAGTTTCTGGATCTAAACCCGGATCAATTCGAGGCTCTCATGAAGAAGCCGGACCTCTTGATTCTCGTCCCATACGACACACAAGACTCCTTGGAGGGCTTGCCCGGCATCCTAAGTGCGCCCAATTTCATCATGCTACCCAAACCGCTGATCTGGCATACTTTTGAGAAAAGAATCGTGATGAAACAAAAACAGCGGCGAGAGGCTCTGCCCACCCAGGCACTTAGGTTTGCGACCGAGGTCGAAGTATTGGACGACCCGAAAGTACCCTCCTTGCCACTTTTGCCCAAGGCAACTTATACCGTACTTTTAGTGGAGGATAACCTGGTAAGAACTTTGAAGAAACACACGAAATATCCTACTGATAGTGATGCAGATAAACCAAAAACTTGGCGTACGCATGCTCTCAAGCTTGTCCTTCGATGTGCGGACTGCGTTGGACGGACAGGAAGCAATCGACATACTGATTCACGACAATGAGGCAATGAAGGTTGCCCTTGTACTAATGGATCAGTCGATGCCAAAGAAAGATGGAGTCACTGCTACTCGAGAGATAAGAGACCTTGAGGCGAAGGGCAAAATCAAAATGAGGAGACCGATCATCGCCGTTACTGCTGTCGTGAACTCAGAAAGTCAAGCCGTCTTCAAAGAGGCTGGAGCGGATGACTTTTTGGCCAAGCCGTTGAGCCTGGAGAAGTTGAAAGAAACGCTTACAGAGTATCTGCCTGGTTGAGCACATCCCGATCTTGATAAGATCTAGATCGTCAGAACCGACGCGAAGGTCGTCGACTTGAAAATGGACAAGGAAACCAAACCTGCTTTCCATAGAAGTCCTTTCCGATGGCTCAATTAAGCCTTAAACGGATGATATTTCGAAAAGGCCTCATGTGGTTCAAGATCACAGAATGAGCTTGGCATATCACCACAGCAATATCTGGGACAAGATCAAAAAAAAAAAACGTTCTGTCCTAAAAAAGAAATTTCTGCCAGCCGCATTGCCACACTTGCAATTAGCCGCATATATAAGGAGCGGTAGAAGCAACGCTTAGATATGAATACACATAGGATACTAAGATCCAATAAACATCTGTTGCGGATACACTGCGTGTTTTCATGCATGACTGGATGAATGTTCTTCTCGGTTCCACTTTGGCACTTTTGCAAAATAGACTGTGATCGATTGCATAGCAATGCACGGTCATGATGTCCTGTCATAGCAATATTATGGACTCGTAAATCGTTTTCCTAACCTGCCCACCACACGGGTCGTGAAATCCACAGAGTTGTGCTGTTCGCTAAGTTGTCTGCGCGTATGCTGGTTATGTTAAATTCTTCTCCAAGCCTCATTACTCCCTATTTCGATTTGCGCTCCACCGCTTCGTGCTGAATTCCCTCACTCGATACAGTTCAAGGAGACCGCCCACGTCTCTTTCTTCCATCGGCTTTTTCATCCTCTCTATGCTGGGCACATTTACGTAAACAAGAACCAGTGTCTTGAGCACCTGATTCTGGACTCGATTTGCGCAGTGAAACCAATGCCACGTTTTCTTTCTCCTTTGCCTTTCTACTTTCTTCCTGCGCTCCGGATCCGAAAACCAATCTGGGTCAGAGTAGGAGGGAAGGATGAGGACCGCAAAGGCTGCGTGGGAGAAGACGACGCCGCGCTCGTATAGAAGGAAGTCGACGGCGAACTTGATCCCTTCGCGGACCACCCATCCGAGAGATCGAAAGTGATGGTAGACGACGTAGTGGAGCAGGAAAGGGTCATCTGGTTGAAGCGCCGAGGATGCTGCAGGCGGGAAGTATGAATGCTGGCGAAAGAGCTCAAGGATGTCCCAATTGTCCTTGATGCCGGGAGGCAAGTCCATTTGTAGGACGCCAAGCGCATATGTGAGGAAGAAAGCTTCCACAAGCGACAACTGAAGGTGTTCTTGGTTGATAATCTCAATCTGGGTTGCCTGTTCGGCCGTGCTAGATTCTACGTCCGCATGTGCCTTGGACGCTTCTTTGGCCCTGTTCGACCGAAGTTCCATCAGCTCCCGAGCTCTCGTTCCAGCTATGACCTGCAAGCGTTCTACCGTTAGGCCGTCTTTCACTTCTCGTGTTTTTGACAGCGGGAGCAACCTCTCCGCTCGCACGTACCGGGATCTGATCTGGAGCCTCGCCACCGGGCAGCCCACTTAACCCTTGAGCCTCCCTCTGCCTGACCTGCTCGACCAGCTCCTTCTCAATCTTCGCTCTTTGCTTCTTGAACTCCTCCCTCTCCTTGCGTCTCCTCGCCGAGAATTCCTCCGCCGTCTCGAAGGCGACAAGCCCCAGTCTTCTTCTCTCCGACGCCAGCCAGTTCGGCTCGCTCCGACTGAGCGTGCCTTTGCCGAAAAAGCCGTCTTCCCAAAGCGCTCTGACCGTTGCTTCGTCGGTGACGTGCACGGACTGCGTGGACGACGAAAAGGAAGCATGGAAGGGACAGCGTGAGTGGGAGGAGCGGGGAAGGATGAAGTCTCTGATGAGGATGTAGAGGATGGGGACCAGTGAGAGAGGATTGTGTGGCTGGAATGTGGGCAGCGGATAGACATCCAACGGAAGCTTTCTCGCATGTATCTTTGCATAGTTCGGCCTACGAGGGCCTGGGGTCTTTGGTGCTCCGGTTGCTGAGCTCTTCACTCCGCTTGGTGCCGACGTCGCATTGTCGTGGGGCGTCTCGCCGCTCTGTTTCGGCGTAGTTGCTGAAGCTTGATTGACTTCATTGACGGAGCGTACAACTGTTGATTCTTGCGACCCGTTTGGGCTGGCGTGCGCCATATTCCAAGCTCTTGCGCTTAGCTCTAGTTACTACGGTGTTAAAGACGTTGATTTGACTCGACTACTTTGCCCCTCAAAGATACTCGCGTTTGCTCATGACTCAAAACCAGTTGCTGACCAATTGAGCAGGTGACCAATGCAAAGCCTCTGAAGACGAGTAATTACCAGTCGGCGCTTTCAAGTGAAATGGACTGTACCTGCAATGAAGCTATAGACGCTGCTCTGAAAAAAAAAGGCTATTATTCTTGACGTTTGGGCGGAGACTTTTTCGAGATCCCTTTTGCGGAGGAATTCCGAAAATAGCTTGGTTCACTTCGGGGTCTACATCATCGCTCTTTGCTGGCACATTTCTCACTTCATCCGCAACCAAGGCGAGGAGGAATTTCGCCATGTTTCCTGCCTCGAGATGGGCAGCCCGGCTGTCACAAAAGGCGCGTTTAGTTCCTGCATACCGATACATATCTACCAAGGAGAGCGGGATTGCCAGAAAGACACCGAGATTTGGGTTGTCCCATAATCTGCGCAATGCTCGACAGAGCAACCAGGAGCCCCATCTTCAGAGGGAACAGGACTCCGAGAATCCCCACGGCAGGAGCTTCAACGACGCTCGCCAGGTTCAGGGTGACAACGTCGCTCAGGCGCTGCAGCGAACTGCTCACAGCGATCAAAATGACATGCTGTCCCCAGTCCATATACCAGACGATCCCCTCGCAATCCTCAAACCGGACCACCCGGCCATGGGTATTCTCGCCAACTCGACAATAATCATTCAACGCCAGATTGAGATGATGAACATCATGATTGGCTTCGAACAGGCCAATAAATACGTCATCCTCGATCCCCTAGGAAACCACATCGGATATCTCGCAGAACCTGACGGCAACATGCTGAAGAGACAGCTGTTTAAGACGCATAGAGGGTTTACTGTGCATGTTTTCGACAAGTATGAGAAGGAGGTGCTGCGGATTACAAGACCGTTTACCTTCATAAATTCAAGAGTCGGAGTGTACGATGCGGTCAACCCAGATCCTAACTTGGGACATCACCCTACAGACGCACTGCAAGGCATCAGTGCCGGGTCGATCGCGAATCGTACTTCTGCGCAGCTCAGTCCTTTGCGCACGGAAGAGATGCGCATCATCGGCGAGGTGCAACAGCAATGGGCACCCCTTCGCCGTAAGTACAATCTCTTCCTGAATCGACCCGCAGAGGTTCAGGATCCCAACAGCGCGCCTCAACTCACTGCAGGCTCACTTCCGCTTTCCACATCCACAGCGCTTCAGACGGTCGACTCTGGGCATCGCACAGTACACATGTCGCAATGGGCATACTGTGATGAGCCATTCCTCTCTTGGGACTTCTCTCTTCTCTCTGCTGACTCTCGACTCCTCGGCTCTGTAAATCGCAACTTCGCGGGGTTTGCTAGGGAAATATTTACAGATACCGGTGTATACGCCCTGCGTATGGACTCGGCAGCGTTGGCCGCGGAGCCTCGACACCTGATCTCACGGACGGGAGAGCGCGCCCTCAGGCAGCATGAGCAAAGCGCACCAGGCATGACGCTCGACCAACGCGCTGTGATGCTAGCTACGGCTGTCAGCATCGACTTCGATTACTTCAGCAGGCATAGTGGGAGTGGTGGCATTCTGCCGATTCCCATGTGGATCCCATGGTGGGGTGGCGGAGCAGCAGAAGCCGGTGCCGCTGGAGGAGCTGCGGAAGCCGGAGCAGCAGCGGGGGCAGTGGGAGCAGCAGAGAGTGCAGGCGCACTAGGGACCGAAGTTGGAGCCGCAGCAAGAGGAGCCGGTGCTCTTGGAGCAGGCGAAAGCGCTGTGGCAGGAGTTGGAAGCATAGCGGGGTATGAGGCGATGCAGAGAGGCTTTGGTAGAGTGCCCGACGATGCTAGTCCCACTGTACAAGACCCCTATAGCCCGCAAAATGCGGAGTCCCCTGCGCAGCAAGAAGGTGAAGAGTCATTTTGGGGTGAGAGAGCCCCATGGGAGCAGGATGGACAGTCACCATGGAGACAATACGAGGAAAACCCTTGGGGAAGTCAGAATGGTCAAAGCCCATGGGGAGGCGCAAATAATGGAGAAGGAGACGGTGAAGGCGATTGGGGAGATTGGTTTTAAAGTTTGCTGCTCCCCAGCTTTGGATAAAATGCAAGCGATTATGATGCCACGAACACTACGAGCGGATTAGAATGTAATATAGCTGCCAAAAATTTGGCCCAAATACAATTGTACTATAGCCTACGAGGTTAAGAATATCAGCGCATATAATTCCTTCATTGATGTTCCAACAAAGCGTCAGTAAGGTGGACTCTCAGCCTCGAGTTCGCTGTAAGGAGCGTTATTCAGATCCACGATGCGCGTCGCCGCAGATCGGAACTTTATGCCCAGAACGCCAGCTGCCCTGGTTAAGCATAACCACGAAACGACTCCACACGAGCCGTCTTTATCTTCTGCACGCTGTCCTACGGCCACAGGGCCAGTCCAATTCCTTCTTTACATCATAAGCATACACAGCATAATGTCTGTGTCACCACGCTCGCGCCCAGGCGCATCCTCAGACCTCGCTGCCTCCGGGCTAACGATTCCGTCGGACAGCGAGAACTACGATGCCAACAACGAGTCGTCTGCGTCCTCGGCTCCCCCGTCGTCGAGCAACAGCGCGCCCATGATTCTGTACCAGCCACCTACAGTTTGGGGACTTGTGCGCGGCGCAGCGATCAATTTGTTACTTCCATTCATCAACGGACTGATGCTCGGGTTTGGCGAGCTGTTTGCTAACGAGCTCGCGTGGAGATGGGGCTGGGGCGGGACGAAGGTGAGGCTCTTGGCTCGACCTCTACAACGCGCTTTCAACATTTGAGAGCTGGAAGTAGAGGACGTCGTGGGCATAGCGCTAACGAGTGTCCGGCAGGTGTTCCCGTCATGGAGGAGCGGTGTGAGACCTGTGGGCCCCGGAGTAGAGATGAGGCAAAGTCCCGTGGGCAGGCGAAGACAGTCGGGTGAAGAGATGGACATGTATACGAGCTTGGAATAGATGCTGCCTGGTGGCAGCAGGAGGCGATCGGAATCCGGTTAAGACCTCCCACTGCCCACGAACCATTTGGGGGCTCAACACTTTTCATCAGCGAATGCACGATGTACGCGAGATTGCGACGCTGGTGAACGTGTATCATAGATTGGCCAACCGGCCTCATTAGACTCGGTTGGGTTTCGAAAATTTCTCAAGCATTTACGGCGGTTACACAGCAACGCGGACCAATAAAAATACAGTGATATTGATTTAGCAATTGATAAACAGGCATTTTCTTTCATTCAATGTCGCTTCATCAGTTACCTGGCAAATAAGCTCTTCGGTTCATGCGACCACTCAATTTGCCGCTGCTGGTTATGGAAGGAACGAGGACAATAAGAGCCTGATTTGGGATCAGTGAACCTGGCCGATGTACTCGTCACTGTACTGAGACTGGAACATCAAAAAGTGCAGCATCCGACGTTGCGAGTGTGTCTAGCATAAACATGGACTTTCGCTCGAAGCCAGCAGAGAAAGCAGTGCCATCTGGCTTTCCACAAGGCAGATTGCTTCATGCGCTCCCAGCAACGGCCACACATTCATATAAAGCAAGGGATTCACTGGAGCTGACTCTCACTCGCAATCAGAGTTTACGCATTCTTGAGGCCAAGGGCGATTGGTGGTATATTGCACGCACAACGGCCGGCGACGAAGGATGGGTAAGTTTGAGACCTGGCAAGAGAGCACACGGCGCACGTTATCTAAAAGTAAGTTTCAAACGCCCAGGTTCCCAGCTCGTACATCAAACTCCTCGCAACACCGCAGTCGCTCGAAACACACACGTTCTATCTTGCTTGGTCGCAAAGCGTTGCAGAAGCCATTCTCGGCGGCTCAAAGAGCTCTAAGGGACATCGACTGGACGCTTGCTCGTTCCCTTGGCTCCCCCCGGAAATATGCACATGTGAAGAGCCGAGCTGTCGTCTCCGCAAGCAGGAGCAGAGACCGGGAGCTTGCGCCCACGATGTGGAGAGTCTGATGAAGGGCGTCGGCGGAACGAGATATGGTGCGGGGTGGTTGTGGAGGCAGAGCCTGATGTGGCATCCTGACAGGTTTATCAAAAAGTTCAGCGACGAATTCGTAGTCGATGGAATGAGAGCCGTGGCGGAGATGTTTACGATTTTGACGGAGTTGAGTCTACAGGAAAGGGAGAGGGAGAGGAAGGAAAAGGAGAAGGTGGAGTTGGGAATTTGAATAAGGCTATGTGATGAGGAAGGACATAAAGGTGTTCCAAAGGTGACCTCTTTCAACACTTTCGTCATGGCTTTTGGAAGCCACCTTTCTCAACAGCAGTGATATGGAGTTTCCACAAAGAGAAACGTAATTCTTGCAAGAAGACCTGAAGAGATTTGAGGACCATCTAGCTGCCTCCTAGTCTGATGTTAAATCTATTTTTAAATGTCAAAATCAAAAACTCCGTTTTCTCGCTGATCCACCTAGTCTGATCCATTGAATGCGATTCTCACTAGTGGACAAAGTTTGATCAGATGGAGGCTTTGATTTGCTGTAAGATGAATCGAAGCTCCAACAACTCCGGAGTGGTTGAATCCAATGAGGCGAATCTTTCGAAGCTGTTCGGGGTCATGAACAGTTAACCTGTAGCCGGAGCGAAGAACGCTCAACGTAGTCAATCATAAGGACAAATTATACAGTACGCTCGAGGCCATCCATCGCGCGCCTGAACATGCATGAAAAAGAAAAAGATATATCTCAGCTTCTAGCACAATCCCAATCCCTTCCTCACGTTGTTCCGCACAATCTTCTCGTATTCCGACCTCTTATCCCGCCACATCTTGGCAGCCTCGACGTTAGCAGGACTCTCGTCATTTGGCTCCGCCAACATGCTCATAACACTGATCAGGATCTTCTCCACGCTCTGTATCGGACTCCACCGCTCGCTCGCCTTCTCGTAACCCCACTGGTCTTCTCCAGGCGCATGCAAGATACTGATACATACCATGCCGTTGGGGTAGACGTTCGGATGGAACATTTCGCAGGTGAAGCGCATCGTCGGCGGGGAAAGGGGGTAGTCCTTGGGGAACTTCAGTTCGGCGGGGAATATGCCGCCTTCGAAGGGCGTGTCCTCAGGACCCGAGATGAGGGCTTCCCAGGTGAATAAGTCATCTTCCGAAACCGGGCCCGCCGTTATGCCCGCGGGAGGATCGGTGGAGAGGTTTTTGTATTCGGTGAAGAGCCGTTTCTGGGCGACTTTGGCGTTGGCGGCCATGGCGCGCGAGGTCTGCGTGTCTACGTGTGCGTGCAACGCGGAGATGGCCGGTGGACGGATGCGTGGGTTAGAGGATCCTCGGCGGATTTGACGACGTGAGAGGAACGGTTTCGTTCGAAACTTTTTCGGCGCTGCGGAGATCTCTGCTATCTTGTTTGGATCGGTCGACCCGTGAGGCAATGGACGGCAGCTTTACTTTTGTTATCAAAGGTTCGGTTAGAGGGTGAGTTCTGCCACGGCGGGGCCTTTGACGTCGCACGCTTTCGGTGACGGATGAGGCTCTAGAGCGTCGCCCGCACTAGCCCCGATGCGGCGAGGGGGACGGGACTCTGCATCATCGCGGGGTGCCTAGTCAATCTGCGAGCTTCCATTTTCAAAAAGCGTCCAAGCTGCCTGCACTTTACAGCCTTCATCGTAGCACGCAACAGCATCATGGCCCCCCCAAACAAAGACGAGCTCATAGCTCAATTCTGTGCTTTCACCAGTGAGTCTACGACACAGTGTAGAAGCTCTGTGGCACCGAGTACTTGTCACGAGAGTGGCGAGCTGCTACGACGCTGCCGAAATGAAAGTCGAGACGTAGAGATCACGGCTGACCACGTGTAGATGCGCCACCTTCGGAAGCCGAGAATGCGTTGGGAGCACACGATTGGGACGTGGAGGCCGCTGTTGCGACGTGGTTCGCGTCAGATAGGCCCGGAGACGAGCATGCTAGCGACGATGACGACCAAGATACGGCTCCGCCAAATGTGCCTGGTGGCGGAAGAACACTAGGAGGAGATGGCGTCGCGTCCCGATACGTTCCACCGACGGCGGGACGATCGACGGCGGCATCAGCACCTCGCTCCGCAGGGCCACCGACTCGTGCAGGTCGAGGAGGAATGCGTACACTGCGAGATCTACAAGGCGACTCGCATGCTGGGCACGGCCATGACGACGAGGATGACGAGGAGCAAGATCTGTTTGCAGGCGGCGAGAAGTCGGGTCTGGCAGTGCAGAATCCAGGCTCGAATCCTCGAGACCAGATAGAGCATATGCTCGAACGTGCCCGCAGGTGCGTCGCGACACTGTACCATTTCTATCACGCACAAGCTAACGGCTTTATGACAGAAACATTCCCCGGCCAGGCGGAGATGAGGATGAAGCACCCCGTTCCCGCTTCACGGGTCGCGGTGTCACCCTTGGCGGCGAAGGCACAGAAAGTCGCATTATCGAGGACCCTCGTGCAAACGCACCACGCCCACCGCCCCGCGTGCAACGTGTTCTCCATCTGTGGTCTGACGGCTTCTCCGTTGACGATGGCCCACTCTTTCGCTATGACGACCCTGCGAACGCCGCTACGCTGGCGATGATCAACCAGGGCCGCGCGCCGCTTGAGCTATTGAATGTGGAACATAATCAAGAAGTAGACTTGCAGCTCGACAATCAGAAGGACACGAAGTTCGTGCAGCCAAAGAAGAAGTACAAACCGTTTGAGGGTCGAGGTCAGCGTCTAGGCAGCCCAACGCCGGGGGCTGCCTCGCTCGCTTCTGCCCCCGCGTCCTCATTGTCGGCTTCTCGACCTGGTACATCCTCGCATGCCTCGACGGCGGGTGCTGGCGCATCCGCTCCTACGATCAACGATTCACAACCGACGGTTACGTTGCAAGTGCGACTCGGAGACGGAACGACGCTGCGGTCACGATTCAACACGACGCATACTGTTGGCGACGTTTACCGCTTCGTCGAGGCTAGCTCCCCCCAACAGCGGCCATTTGCTCTAATGACGACCTTTCCTAGCAAGGAGCTCACGGATCATTCCGCCGTTCTGGGAGAAATGGCAGAATTCAAAAGGGGTGGCGTGGTGGTACAGAAATGGACTTGAATAGGGTGCAATGCCAGGTCTCCTGCCGTCACCAATCTCTCTCGCTCTCTACAGTAGAATGGATCGGAGAGCAGCAAGCATAGCGATTCGAGCATGTTAAAATTTGAATAGAGTATAGCCTTTGCGTTGTCTTTTTTGTGTGTAAAGATGGCACCACGCAACGAATGAATGAGGCGACGGGGCCAGGATGCGTTGCGACTAGCGCCCCCCTGATCGTCGACATGCATGGCCATGATCCCGTGTATTGCGTTTCGCTTCCACGTGCATTGGTAAAAAGGAAAAAAAAAACCACATTTTGGAAGCTGTTGCGAAAGAAAGACTCCAGATCGTCGAGGCAAAGCAGCCGAAAGGGCGAAGAGAAGACGCAAACCGCACGCAAGTAGAAAGGGTTCCTTGCCGCGTGAGACAAAACGGTGTTTGTCACACGGTCGCACAGAAGGAAAGGGTGATACGAAAGCCTGAAAGGAGCTTGACGTGCGATTAGAGTTGTGCACACGCGCACCGAGGCACGTAAAAAGCCTGTTCTTCGTGTGTCCCTGATGATCGCTCTCCAGCGGCTGAGAGACGGCTCTCGCGCGTGCTGGATGCCGCGGCGGAGGATGGTAAAGCCAAAGCTCGCACAGGATCTTTGTGTTTTTTTTTTCTCTTCTCTAAAAACATATTTTATCTTTCCCGGAAGAAAAGTCAGAGCACCGTTCGGTGTGTGGCACAAAAGGGACACGCTTTTGCTCCCTGTTAGCTGAGCGTCCGCGCAAAGGGCTGAGGATCTGTCGACGCACAGTCAGCCCAGCTTCGTCTCTGTCACAGGCGTCACGGCCTGATGCTGGCGGGCTTGCCACCTTCTGTCGTTTTGCGTGGAGGAGAGGGCAAAAGCAAGGGACACGTTACCGATCCACGCGAAGGAGGAGGAGGATGAGGCTTGGTCCGGGTGTGAAGCGCAAGCGCGGGCGCAGGCACCGCTGGCTCAGGCCCAGGCCCAGGCTCGGCTCGGGCTCTGCGGGCTCTCTTTGCGTTCAGTCTCTCGCCAGGAGAGTGTGCGGCGCGCCTTTTTCTTTGTTTTGTTTTTCACATGGGAAGCGTTGCCGGGCCTCAGCGATCGCCGCTGGGCAGCTGCGGGCGCCGGACGTCGAGAGAAGGTTCGCTGGGAAACGCCCGCGCTGGTTGGACGCACGGCGGCGCCACACTGGGCTTGCGGCCCCGCGCCAGCCAACGGCCGGCCCAGCCCAATCTCGTCCGTCCTCGTTACACACAACCGACGCGCAGCATGGATGTTCTGTACGACTCGCTGGCCCGTCGTCTTCTGAACCGTTCCCGCCATGCCTTCTGCCCTCCGCCTGCAATGCTGGCGCGCTGCTGCTCCTGCTGCTGATGGTGATGACCATGATGATGGGCCCGCCCCCAGCACGAGCGGCACGATCTGCAGGCAGGGACTCCTTTGCCTGCTGGCAAACTTGATTGACCGTTTCAGAGGCTCGGATGGGTCTGCAACGCGTCCTGTCCTGTGCTAATCATCTGTTACACCATTTCCTACATGAACCCACTCAAGCGCCCCCCCGGGCACACGCAACGCTTTTCTGCTTGTTTCGTCTTGCTCGATATATGCAAAAGATTGCTCGCAATCTTTGCCCCAGTTTCTCTTCGTCTTCGTCTTCTTCCTTCTTGCTCCTTCTCCGTCTCTCCTTCTCTCCCTCCCGCCCCATTCTGTCCTTAATCGTTTTCATACTGTTGCTTCCTGCAAACGCGTCCATCCGTTCTGTGGTGTCGCCGCCGTTCTTCCACGCTTCTCTTGCTCGAGATAGACCATGGCTCGCGACTAATTGCCGCACGCCTCGACGAAGTTTACCACACCTCGTCGCTTCCATTGCACCCGTCACTTGGCCACGGTCAGCTAGACGCTGAGCAGATCAAATTTCAAGCCCATTTTCTTCATTCGCTCATTACACCCGGTCTGGTTGCTGCCCGTGTTGGAAGCCCCGGATTCGATATCCGAACAACGCAGCCCACCAAATTCCTAGACATATCACCGAGAAAAAAAAATCTTTGTAGAGGAACACCCACATTCTCCCTTCTCGTCTTGTAGTCAATTGAAAGCGAAGATGCTATTCATCGGGCGCCCGTTGACGCTGCTTGCGCTTGCCGTCTGCACCTATGTCTTCCTCACGTGGACTTACAGGACGTCTGCACCGTCACCTTCCGCCAAGCCAGACTACATATATGATGAGAATGGCTTTCGGATATACCACGCCCCCAATGAGAAGCAAGGCGGGAGTTCGAAGACGCAGCAGGAGCCTATGAAAGACGAGCATCAGCATCTCATGAGTTCAAGCGCTCAAACGGACAAGGCAAAGCGACCGCCTTCTACCAAAGCCCCGACGAAGCCTGCAAAGGTCTACACGGCCTCGAGTGATCTGCCAATGCCGACTCTAGAGCCAGAACAGATGGAACAGTACATGAGGGACATGATGCATTGGAATCGACCAGGTCATGTGGACGGCCACTGGCCGGACTACGAGGCCTTCGACGACGACTCAGAATATGATCCGAACCGCTGGGAGGGTTTTGAAATGTAAGTACTCAGCTGAACGTTCCTCCAAAGCAATCCATCCACACAAGGCTTACTGAAAACAGGGAGCGCAACTTCTATGAAAGCGGAATTTCAAAGTTCACGCCTGCGCAGTTGGCTTCTCAAAAGCCTTATCTACCGTATCCAGCGTACACGTCCGACGAGTGGAAGAGGAAATACGAGGGTGACTTTCACGTTTGCGACGGTCCGAGAGGCGGGCCCTTGAACGACGATCTCATAGACGCTATGCGAGCTTACCCGACCAAGCCACAGGACTTTCCAGGCGAGTTCACAGGCTCAGCCGATGCGATCGGTCTGGACTCGGACGTGTGCTTTGATCGCGTGCAGCGATACGGAGCGTACGGATACAACCCCCTTTCGAGCTCGCAGAACAGTCTGGTAGACTGGGCAAGCGTAAAGTGGGGTGAGCTGCAGGACAAATGCTTCCAGCGGAACCAGGAACGCTTCAAGCCAAGCGCACGGGTCGAATGGAAATTCACCCCGGATTTCGCCAAACCGGAAGGCCAGTCCTGGACCCGGTTCCACGAAGAGTCGCGGAGAGGCGAAGAAGCGCAGAAAGAATTGTCCTTGGGGAACAAGTCATACCGACCTCGGACAGCTGTTTTGATCCGAACCTGGGAAGGCTACAAGTACTCTTCGAACGACATTCTCGCTATCCGAGCGATGATCTCCGAGCTCAACTTGCGAACGGGAGGCGAGTACCAGGTCTTCCTCTTTGTCAACATCAAGGACTATGACGCCCCAATCTTCACGGATCCACACGCGTACAGGCGCATGCTTATCAAGAATGTGCCCCGCGAGCTGCGAGACATCGCCGTGCTGTGGAACGAGAAGGTGTGCAAACAGATGTATCCGGGCGTCACCGACTGGCAGGTCTACTGGCATCAGTTCATGTCTGTCCAGTGGTTCTCGCAGCAGCACCCCGAATACGATTACATCTGGAATTGGGAGATGGACGTGCGATACATTGGCAACCACTTCCACTTCTTGGACCGCGTTCAAGATTTCGCCCTGAAGCAGCCAAGGAAGTATCTCTGGGAAAGAAACGCGAGGTTCTACATCCCAGACTTTCATGGGAAGAGCTATGAACGTTTCGTGGAGGACACGCACAAAATCATCAAAGAAGCTTCTGAGGCTGGAGACATTCCCCCGCCGGTTTGGGGTCCCATGCCGTACAAGGATAAGCAGAACCCAAGCGGACCTAAGCCTCCACACTCTATCGAAGAGGATGACTTCGAATGGGGCGTCAACGAGGAGGCAGACATCATCACCCTTCTGCCCATCTGGGATCCTACCAACACGTCTTGGACGATGCGCAACAAGATCTGGAACTACAACGAAGGCGTGCACCCCGTCTTCAATGACGAGCACCCTACGGACGACGAATTTTTCGACCCTTTACAGCAAGAGATTCCGCGCCGCGCTTACATCAACACCGTCCTTCGCCTTAGCAAGAGACTGCTCGACGCGATGCACGAAGAGAATTTGGCAGGCAGAACGATGCAAGCCGAGATGTGGCCCACCACTGTAGCCCTGCAGCATGGGTTCAAAGCCGTGTATGCACCGCATCCAATTTACTCCGCCGTCAAGTGGCCCGCTCGCTACGCAGACGCCATTTTCAACGCCGACGACGGCATTCCCGGACGTTGGGGTCAGGGCGAAGATTCCGTTTACAACCAAGATCGGGAGGTCAACTTCCGTCCATTCAGTTGGTACTACCATGCTCGGTTCCCTCGAATCCTGTACAGGCGGTGGATGGGCTGGTCCGCACAGGATGGCCTGGGTGACTTTGGCGGCCCAGAGTGGGAGGCGGAGGAGAAGCAGGGCAGGATGTGCCTGCCACCGATGCTGCTGCATCCGGTCAAGAGAGATGACCTTGAGGATTCGTGATCTACTCTGTTTTTTAAACTTAGATTCCCAATCTTTTTTTTTTTTCATGTATCGAAAGGCATGTCATATCATTGCGAAGGCGCTGGATGGGAGGTTCATTACTTCTTGTGTATATATAGGTCTGCAGGTGTCTGAAGACGCCTCAGAAGAGAATGGCCATCTAGGCTCAATCATCGCGGCTAGAACATCTCGCCATATCACAGCAAAGAGATCAATCCGAAAGGTCACGCGTTCATTTCAAAGATTCCGCTTGCCTCGTTCTATCGTCTTCTGGGCAGACCCCTACATTGACGAGGGATATCTGCCCAGAGCTGTTGAGCCAAGAAATACGGGCAGACGTCCAAGGACGTCACACACTGCTTAGACCGCTACAAACGCAATGTTACTGAGACACTGGCCGTGGCCACGTAATAGTTGTACGCAATTGCAGTCTTGGTGTTCGAGGTCGTTGCTTGAACGTTTGGGGTGGGGACGATGAGAGAGGCATTCTGCAACCAGGCCGTGCTCTTGCCACGCTGTTGCGCGTATGACAAGACCGAAAGGGCCTCTTGGCCCCAGGTCCTCGTTGCACGACCTTGGGAGACTCTGCCCAGCGCTCTGCGTGCAACGCCTGGAAACCCTCCCCGCTCGGCGCTTGTGGTGAGTGGATGCTGGCGGATTGGGGGGGCGGGAGGAGAGGGATGGCGAAGCTGACTCTTTGAGTGTTTGGCCCTGTATTTCTTCGCCCATCCTGCGGCGCTTTCCTCTAACCCGGTCGAAAGCTTGAGGCATAGTGACATGTTAATTTTATTTTTTAAAAGTCTTTTTTTTTTCCTTCCCTCTCCCCACACACACACACCAAAGTTTTGTTTGGATTCGAAAGATCGAAGGACAAGCCCCTTTTTTTGGGGGGTTAAGCCCGAAGCACGTGCATGGAACAGAACAACGGTTAAGTTAACTTTAAGTCAACTATGAACGTAGGGTGTATAGTCCCGTGAGGCGGAGACGATGGACAGGAGAGCGCGTAGCTAGGCGCCAAGACGTCCAAGGCGTTGGCCCTTTCTGGAGCAGCCGCTCGACTGCTCGTCGTCCCGGTTACGGGCCAAGCAGGGAGGGGAGAAGGCCCATCGAACCATGACTGCCGTCTTGGAGAGGGCCTTGATTCGCGGCAGGGCGTTTCGTGCCTTTTGCAGCACATTAAACACAAAAGGCTTTTTTAACAGGCCACGCGAGGCCATTGTTTGCGTGCCATTTCGACGTCAGCGACGAATCTCGGCAGAGGCTGAATTGCCCCACTCCGGATTTCTTCCATCTTCGAGGACCGCGAAACCCAGCCGGGCCATACTTTTTACATGTAGACCGGCAGGCGCCTTCATCGTTGGTTTGGGGTGGAGAGATTGGATTGTAATTGCATAATCAGAAATAAAAAAAAAAAAAAAAAAGTGAAAACAGCCAGCCGACTTCATTGTCCTATCTTCCCTCGCGACCGCTTTGCCTGAGCGGTGCTTTGCTGGCCACAGAGTGTCAATGTTGCACGTACTCGCGAAAGTTGCTCTTGCAGCCGGACACGACGTCGAGCGGGATGCGGCTGACATGGTTTGAATGATGTGTAACTCTGTGCTGGCCCTGTGAACCCCTTAAAAGCGAGCATCGAAGAGCCTTCGTCGTGACAAATGGCGAGCTATTAGCTAGGGACCTGATATGCTGCTTGCCATCGCTACCAGGCTCCATTCTTGACAAAAAAAATTTTATGCTTGTTTAGTTATGAGCTTAGATTCGACAGTGCGGCGTAAGTGTACAGCTGAAACCATTTAGTTACAATCATGATTTATTATTCTCTATAATACGTGAGCTTTGTGTACTGTTCCCTGAGACAAATGGGCTTAGCTGAGCCCCCCACCCTTTCCATGACAATATAGTGTAAAAGGTGCGCAACTACTTTAAGTTAACAAGCTGCAAAGCTCGAGCATCCAATCGGGAATGTACGCTTAACACCTTGGGTGACTTGAATATCTTCACAACCGGAGATGTTTCTTCTCCCCGAGATACTAAGTCTGGTCTTAATCCATTGGAAACATTACGATGAGCCACTATTACTCTCACGGGTAAGAATTCAATACTCAAAAGGCCAATTACCGGCAGGCTCCCACCCTTGGGTGTAATCCATCCCTATGCTATCAACAAAACTACCACTCGTCATCCAACCTCCACCGAACATATCGTCAAGCCACATCACTGGGTCAGCAGGTGCGGGCTGAGGAGTTTGCTCGGAAGAGGCAGGATGGCTGTCGAGTATGGCGTTGAGGATCGAATCGAGTAGCTGTCGAGCTCCCTGGCAGAGCTCGTAATTCCCGTCGTCCGGTTTTGCTACCCACTCGAGGCTACTGATGAACACGGAGATGTTGCGAATTATTTCTGCGCGTGGCAACCTGACTTGTGGTTGAATTGGCGATGCTTGTTGTTGACGTAATAGCTCGATGGCAAGGAGCGCGGACGGGGGCAGTCCGTAAAATATTGACACCCACGCGAAATCTCGCGACATGGAGCCAATCCTGTCACGATACTTGGAAATGTTCAACACACCGTTCAAGAGACACAGCGCCGAATCGTAGACCGCATCCCACGTTGCACCGCCGAGTCGAGCGAGCATTCTCAGCAGCAAAAACTGACTGTACGTTATGTGCAAATGATAGTAGAGAAGGTTGAAGCACAAGTGTGCCGCCAGCCCAGAGTTCCAGATTCCATCGTTGTACCGTGCGAACTCCGGTATACTTTGATACGTAGCTTTGGCCCGTTCTAAAACGGACTGCACTTTTCTTTTTTGATGCTCATCTTCTCGAGGCACTCCAAGAGAAAGTTCTAAGGTATCTTCTCGGATCTGGTTGATTCGGAATTTTACGCGTCCCCAGGTCGAACGACTGATTCGCCCTTGCAGGTTCCAACCATTAGAATCCAGCTTTGAAAGGGCAAGATTTCGAATATGTTCTGGAGCTATAATCTCGTCGTCGGTGAGATCATGTGGCGGTTGCATCGAGCAGTAGCGCTTCGAAATACGCGGCGGGCGGCCAAAAAAGGTTGACAACGCCTTGTCCGTGGAATATGCATTGCAAAAGACGTGGCGCCTCAGTTCTATCACAAAGAACGGAAGTTTCGTATTAATTGATGGCTCCTGGTGTATCCCCAAGGCAAACACTGTTGAAGCTAGATCACCCGTTCGCCTCCAAGCTAAATGGCCTGTATATGTCAATCACACTGCGTCCGCACCGTTGAGGTGAACTTACTAGCATCGCCGTACTGAAAGGTAAGAAGAATCACGTTGGCAGTAAGGAGCCAGAGAAGTATGTCGTTTAAGGACTCTGTGCGATCACAAAACGAAACGCACAGATTGCTCGCATGAGTGAGCTCTAGGAGGTACTGCCCTCCTGGTCTGGAAGGTAGATCCAAGTCTAGGTCAGCAACAAGACAGCCCATAACATAATAAACAAGGATCACTCCGATGATTTCAAATCGAAGCTTATTGCCAGTGCAGGCGAGATGAAGATTCTGAGGTGTTGTATTCTCATCAACTTCTATCGGAATGAATGTTTGCTTGAACACTTTTCTTGCAAGGATCTCACGATCCTGGTCAGTCTTGCAAGCTTGCACAGTAGCCAGCACAGAGTCTAGGCAATTGCTCATCACAATCCATGGCGCTACCACTGTAGGACTCACTTGATAATACTGAGCTGTCGTTAGCCATAATTCAAGAAAGGTCAATTGATAAATTGCAGTTCACACCTGTTCAATGATACGTTTCACAGACTGTGCCTCTGCGAGCAGACGCAAAACATGAGCGCCTGAGTGAATTCTCTCGGGGGATAATTGATATGTTTTGGGAGTACGAAGCATTTTTCTGAAGCTTTTCAAGCTCCCGAGCCACACATTGTCAGACGCATGACCAGGCGTATTCCACACTTCGCTGAAGCTTGTGTTACCGAGATATCCCGGCACGTGATCAACTGTAGTTGCCGTGTCCTGTGTTGATGGTGGGGGTTCAGTCTCATTTAGGATCGCAGCAATGCTCGAGCTCCTGTTGAATTACTGAGCAAAGGATCGAGGGTAAAGTAGCTTCCGCGAAGATGACCTACGATTGACCGTGTTGGCTAACTGCTGTCTTTGGAGTCTCTGGGCCCCTCCAACTTATCGTGCTTGGTGAACTTGTCGGTCTCGTTAGAGGAGCAGGATGATATATGCATTGCGCTTCTAGCTTTCGCCTTCTACATCGCCCGCATACTGGCACATCATGATCGCATTTTATTTTATGTTTACGACACTATCTCGAAGGTTAGCACAGAGACGTTTTCAACAGCCATTTGGCCATTGCTCAAGTCAACCGCTTTGTACAACATCTTGGCGAGACGCGTAGAGAATCTCGAGAAAAATGGATTTTATGGGCTTTTGGGGGCTCTTACGGGCTCGCAAGCTTGTAGCTTTCCATTACGACGAAACCGAGGGCCTTTCGATGACATTGATACAGCACAGCCCTACTCACTGCTCGAGCGATCAAAGTGCATTTGACGTGAATTTGATCATGCTGATGTTCTCTAAGTTACAGTCATGAATGCCATTAACTAAGAGGGGAGGATCCGCTGAGTCATGCACGATTCGGCTGTTCCGACCAATCAGCTTCGAGTAATCAGTTTGAGCTTGCAAAGTAGACATGTGCGGCGAATTTGGGGCGAAACTCCTCTTAAGATTTTATATTATGTACTTGTAAACTTCATATCTCAATTCGCCAGACTGGCCCAACAATTTGGTCGCAGTTGCATAAATAACTTTCAATGACACAAATTGCTGCGTCCGTTGTTGAGGTACACGAGTAGCCAGTGTGGCTTCCTCTGCGCAACGCGCTGATAAATGCCAAAATCACATTCAGAGCCAGCGGCAGATGGACAAATGCTCCAAGAATTTTTTTTTCTGCTATATTATATCTTTGCCAGGTGTTATATCTGCTGATTAGATCAAATTTTTGCGGCAGCAGTTCTCCAGCCTTTCCCCTTGCAGCTGCTTTTGCTGGACAGCCACTAACTCAGTGGCTGGCTTTGCGCTGGATTTTTATGAAAAGACAAGCGGTAATGTTGGCATTTGCATGAAAATGGGCACTCACGACGTATGCGGCTTTTTAGGGGCAGAAATCCATCTTCGATCCTTCGCTGATCATGCAGGTGATTCGTTTAAGACCGCCTCAACGAACGTGACCTCTGTGCCTGGTAATGGGCTACGCAATCAAAAATTGGACGGTTTCTTGCACTGCTGTTCCTCAAGACGCGAAAACATTGTTCGTCTTCGCAACATGTAATAGGCGCAAAGCACCAGGGGCTTGCGTTTACTTTCGCTGCAATAAATCTAAATCCAATAGTAGCAGCATCTGCCAAATTACCAAAGGAGACAGGGTCAGGGTGATCGGAGATCGAGCCGCAGCCCCCAGATGCCTCTCAAAGATCACACGAGGCTTAGGAGTACAGTCGGAGTACGGAAGCAATAATCACGGTCACATACCCCTAAAGCAGATCGGAATCTAAATACGACCCTTTGGTCAATGGCTACGTCTCCAAATCTGGCTGTGGTACCTGAATTAACGTCAAATGCTTGATAGAGCATCGACTGGACCTTATCGTGCATCCAGACATGAATTGGCCAATGATAGAGTGGCATCATTACATAATTTACGACATTTCGTAGTTTACAATTTGTTTTCTCACCACTGCCTATCTAGCACAAGGGAAATGACCAAGGTTTTGCGCGTCAAGCGGAAGTACGGATCCAGGGCACAGCAATTAGACCCTACCACAATGACCTTAGGGATCAACCACGGAACTTAAACTCAACGATGATCTGCATTACTTTCTAGTGCATTCTTTAAATGAAGAGAGCCGCGATCGCAAACGGAACTGAGGAGAGACACGCTGTCCCTTGAAAGAACTATGCACATCTCCACTGTGATTGTCACATGCATAGTTACGTTCGTATCGTGAAGCAATTCGGGATCCATTTTCAGCATCTACAGTCGCCGGAGCGTTAAACTTTGGCAGTGGGCCCAAAGATGCCCTCCGGATCACGCAAAGATCTGACATGCTTTGCTCGGTCATGCTAGCAGATCGACGGGAGATCGCGCAAACGTCATTCAGCTCCAATGTCTGTGTTTAACAGGATCAGGGATGCTTACCTTCTACCGCCATCCTATCTTGACGTGCAGATAGATGATACATATAACTTTCAGTCCCCATGGTCCCCCTTTGGAGGATCTTGGGAGCTGCGCAATATTTGCTCTTCCAGTCCACTCGTTCTGCTCACCATGTCCTTCACTTCGAGACAATACACAAAATTTCCAATATATTCTCCGGAGCGGGCCTATGCTGCAGAGGAGCAGCTTACGTCGTGGCGAGCAAGAAGTGCTGCACCCATCGCGCCTTTAGACATTGAGGCTGCAGTGGCTCTACCGCGAGTGGATAAGGGAACGTGGACGGGATGTCAGTCATCAGATACGCTGTGGGAAGATACAGCAGTCGAGGCATCACAAGGCAATAGCTTTTTCGATTATGATGATGACAGTAAGAGCAGCAAGTCGGTGGCAACCTCAAAGTCAGCGGCAACATCACTTCATCCTCTTCACCCATGCTACTCTGGACATAAACGCATAGGCAAATTCGACGAAAAAGCACCACCAGTGCCTCCACTACCCACACCAGAAGGGCCGCTGCTTTCTTTTCCGCGCCAGGTTGCCTTGATAGCCGTATGCTGCTCGGCACAATTCTTGAATCTAGCGGGCATGAACCAAACCGTAGCGTCCGTCATGATTCTTTCCCACTATTTCGATATTCGAGATTACGGAACGTTAAGCTGGTTCAGCGCAGCTTATAGCATGTCTGTCGGTACTTTCATTCTCCCTGCAGGTTCGTGAACATCATTTCTCAGTCTCGCAATATTAGTCTCACAAGCATAGGACGACTGGGAGACATGTATGGACATAAGCGGATCTTCATACTCGGCTGGACTTGGTTCGCTCTATGGTCTTTCATTACTGGGTTTTCGTATACGTCTTCCAACATCATCCTGTTTAGCGTATGCCGTGCTTTTCAAGGCATCGGCCCTGCACTGTTGGTTCCGAACGCCATTGCCATTTTAGCGCGCAATTTCGCTGTCGGTAATCCACGCAACACTGCATTTGCTTGCTTTGGTGCCGCGGGCCCAACAGGAGCTACCGCTGGTGCAGTTTTCACTGCCGTGGTTGCGCAGCTTTCTTGGTGGCCATGGTGCTTCTGGATTCTTTCGGCTGTTTGCTTGCTGGTTGCTGCGCTTGCCGTATTTATTGTGCCTGGAGCGCCAGCCGACCTCTTCAAGAGCTCCCGCACGAACATGAAACTAACTTTCGACTACTGGGGTTTCTTCACTGGAGTGTGCGGTCTTGTGCTAGTTAACCTAGCCCTCAACCAGGCACCTTTGGTTGGGTGGACGACATGGTACATCCCATCACTGCTAATTCTCGGAAGTGCATTCCTTTGGACCTTTGTGATTGTGGAACTGAATTTCACAGCTGACCCTCTCATCCCCATCAGAGGACTCGGAAAGGATGCCTATTTCGCCTTAGGTTGTATTGCTGCTGGTTGGGGATCACATGGTATTTGGGCATACTACCTTTACCTATTTGTAAGTATCTCCGTGCTCCGTATCTCAATTCATGGTGTACTAATTCAGCAAAAGCTTGAACAAGTTAAAGGGCACAGTGCTCTTTTGTCATCTGCCATGACTTCACCAGTTGCAGTTACGGGTATTCTATTTGCACTTTCATCTGTGTGGTTGGTAAAGCATATCGGCGTTGCATGGACCATGTTCGTGGCTATGACAAATTTTCTGATCGGCTCACTCCTCATCGGTACTGTGCCCTTACACCAAACATATTGGGCTCAGGTTTTCTTATCCATAATCATCATGCCAGGAGCCATGAATCTTTCTTTCCCTTCAGCGACAATGCTACTCAGCAGTGCGCTGCCAAAGGAGAAACAGGGTATTGCAGCTAGCCTGGTCAGTACATTGGTAAACTATTGTATATCCTGCGGGCTTGGCTTAGCTGGCTCCATTCATAGACAATTCTTTGAACGTGCAGCAAGAAATCACAATATCGCACTCAATCCAACGACGCTTCCGCCGCTCACTGAAGAGGGAGATGCAATCAACGCGGCCAGAATCGAATCTTTCAGAGGGCCATGGATATTTGCCTGTGCTTTGAGCGCTATGGGAGTTTTTATTGCAGCAGCATTCATATTTCGAACACAGGCTGTGTGTCGTGAGAAGCCTACGATGTTGAGAGAATGGATATCTCTCCGTCTAACTCTCTGATTTGGCATGAAATGAAGAAAGTATATGCATTCATTTGTATATACAGGTTTTTATACCCGTGATCATGAAATCCAATGACCCACAGAACTTCTCATACAAAATAATTCTAGCGTCTTTTCTATGTTCCACAATGTTTCCAGAGAATGGGGCTTAATAACTTAACGTGACCAGAACTGCTCTTTCTACGAATAGGCCAGAAATGAGAGTAATGAATCACTTGCTATTTGTCTGTATATTAACTCAAGTAAATTGCGTTTGCCCGATGTCACCATCTTTCAATGCGGCCCAAGGGTAATCCGCAACGCTTCACTTGCCCTTGCTTGTGAAACGTCAATCATTCAGATCGTTGCATTATAGCTCCAGACAGTGATTTTTTACCCCGTCAGACATATTTTTTAAGTTCAGCTCTACCTAGTGGCATCACATTCATTATCAACTTGTTTGAGTGATTTGGATCGTGATGCTCGCATCATCAAGAAAATACTGAAATAGCTATATTTGTGAATTATCATATACAAAGTATGCGAATGAAGTTAGTAATCCGGGCACTTGGTCTAGGGGTATGATTTTCGCTTCGCATCATCACAGATGCGCCTGTGAAAGGTCGTGGGTTCAATTCCCACAGTGTCCAGATTCTTTTTGTTTTTTGTTGACTCGGCATGGGTCCAATTTCTTTTTTCCTTTACTTTTGTGCTACGATCATGCACTGCGATTATTATTGGGATACATAGAAACTCTAGGCTAAGCTAATTTTGGGCGACAAAAAGGGAAATCATATGATGAACGAAAGTTTCATGTTTATCACGTATAAATTTTACGTTTCCGAATCCTAGAAAGATTGAGATGATTGCTATCATTATGTATTTATTTACTGATATGTTTAAAATGGACTTCTACGAGCAGTAGACACTAGTTCTAGGACCTGCTCCGGTGTTATATCTCAATTTCCAAGCCGCAGTCCTTTTGCGGCGGTCCAAAGCGATAACCACCGGAAATATTGTAACACGGTGATTGTTGTTCTACAAATAGGACGGTCGGCCAACATAATCTCAAGCCTCTGTGAGCAGCGACAGGCCTTTCATGGCCATTCTAACCATTTCGACAATGCGCATGTTAACTATATGTGAAGTGCCAGACATTGTGCTGTCTGCCATATTGCCTTGACACTTTTTCTTGCTTATGATATCTTCCTCACTTCTATACCATCAACTTGTCTGATGCCGCCACTCGATTTTTCAGCTTCTTCACGAAGACCTATATTTCTTAACTATCTCGGTAATTTTTTTCATCTCATTTTATCCTAATGTGTCTAAGAGTCAGATAAGCCTTAACGAAAGTTCAATCTTCAAAAATTTTAGAACTGTTACGAGAAAGTGGACGAGCGAAGAGGATCTCACACGGTTTAAAGCGCTTTATTGTAGTCTCAAATTTACTTTGTTTGCCCAAAACAAGATGGGCTCCGAATGCGGCCACAGACCGCTCAGCGAGAAGGTGCCTCATGCCGAATGATGCCTCAGGTATGTAATATCGTAAGTTACCGTCATCACCATGCGCCGGATTAAGGTTTGGATGACGTTGAAATGAAAGATTAATGTAAATAATGACGAAAAATTACTTGAGTCCTCACGGAAAAACTCAACGACTAGTTATGAACACGGGGACAATGTCGAAATGACTCTTAGTTCTATCACATGGTATCCAAGCCCCCGAATCAGACCACAATCCTGGCGAAGCTCTCGGCAGCTCGTGTCTGCTGCAATTCCTGTTGGAGCATGAGCACAACTAAAGGCCAAACCACTACTATATATGCGGTTGCCCCTTAATTCTTATGTTTAAATTCGTCCTGAGCTATCATCGTCTTATAGCTTTGACCCCAGCAGATTTCCATTACAATGGCCGGTAAATTGACTTCGAAGATTGCGGTTCTGGGCGCAGGATCTGTAGGTTCAGCTGTAGCCTACAACTTGATCCTGAACCCGATTGCTGGTGATATACTGCTCGTCGATCCTAAGGAAGACATGCGCGATGCTCAGGTCCAGGACTTGAGCGACGCAACATACCACGGAGCTAATACTAGCCGGATACGAGCAGGCACCCACAAAGAGGCTGGTCAATGCGACATCGTCGTGATAACTGCAGGTGCAAAGCAAAAGCAGGGTATGTTGATCCAGTGTGAGAATGACGGTACAAAACTAACCATAATCGCAGGCGAATCGCGGACTGATTTGCTCGGCCGCAACAAAGCCATTCTTAAGAGCGCGATCAATGACATGAAGCCTTTTAAGGAAAACACAGTCCTACTCCTTGTTGCAAACCCAGTTGACGTCTTGACATACATAGCCCAACAATATTCTGATCTGCCACCCACGCAGGTCATTGGTACTGGAACCTTCCTAGATTCTGCGCGCCTTCGCGGGTACATCGCGGAGAAGACAGAGATCGCATCAAGCTCTATTGATGCGTTTGTTCTTGGAGAGCACGGCGAGTCTCAATTCGTCGCTTGGTCACAAGCTACCGTTGCAGGAGTTCCTTTGTCAAAGGTGGTACCGGAAGGGCTACTTGATTACGAGAAAATCGCAAGAGACACCAAAGACAAGGCAGCGAATATAATCAACGTCAAAGGTGCCACCAATTATGGAATCGGGGCTGTCACAGCAAGCATTTGTAGGTCTATAATCTTCGACCATCGTAACATTCGGCCGGTCAGCCACTGGGTTGACAACTTACAATGCTGTTTGAGTCTTCCTGCTATTCTAGGCCGAGAAGGAGTTGTGAGGACGATCCCACTTATGCTCAGTGAAAGCGAGCAAGAAGCTCTGGAAAATAGTGCAGCGAGCATGAGGAGACTCATAGCGGAGGCAGAAGATGCGTAGGCTACGCAACGTACTAGTTGTAATACCTTTGGACCGGTAACTTTGAAATCACGGGTTAATGCTTTCTCATTGGAGTCCAGTGACTCAAGTTAAGAGCAATTTGCAGTGTACAAAATTTTCAGTTGTGCTACCAAAACATCACCCGTAAAGAGTGGTTGTATGACATATATTTATCCACTTTGGACCCTGCCGAATTGTACCTGCATCCCTAGCTGGTGGCATCGACGAGCTTTACATCATAGCCAACATGTGACTAGACTTGATATTTAACATTTCTTCAAGGCCTTGAAACGATATATGCTGATAAAACACAAGGCTAAAATTTTACATTCGAAATGTTGCTTCTCTTCATATTCATTTATTTTGCAGCTGCCAGTCTTGGCTCCGCCACGAGATCCAACCCCTTTCAACTGGTAGTCCACTCTGAGAATGCAACATACGATGGTAAAGCCGTTACAACATGTCACCAAGGAGCTTTGATTACCTCGCTTTGCATTTCTAAAGAAGCGGTCAATCTAAGTTCAACAGAGCCGTTTGCTCTCAACAGCGTGACGGCTTCGGTCGGTTTCCTGGAATTTTTAAGTCCTGCTCAAGCGAGTTCAACGGAAACAAACGAAAATTCAACATACTTTCCAATGAATCTTCAATATTATCCATACACGAACGTTGCCATGGGATTCTTTCAGCCTCATGAAGCAAATGAGACAGTAAATGCTCAGCAATTTACCTTTGACACCAATGGCCGCTTGGTCATGAGTGCACCTATCATGGATGATGCGCTTGCTCCGAATTGGCAACCAGCACCTGCAAATTCGACGGTCAACCGGTGGTATGTATGTGATACTTGGGCACCCGCACCTTACAGGACTACCGCCATTGTGTGGGGTCTTGGTCGAGATGCACCGCAGAATCCTACTTGTCAGAAGGTAGACGTAGTCAAAGTATCGAGCTAAGCTGGCATTGGTTACGAATTGTGTATATCATTCACCGCGATTTCCTCATCGCGGATTCTAGGTATGACACCATAAAATTAGGGTATACTCCCGTAATTTATTGACGGCTCTGAGATAAAGCATTGGTATGAGTGGACTTGTGACACAACAGGGCAGTCTTGTTCGTTCTATGTTGACTAGACTATTGATTTATAAATGCTGTCTCTTTTTCAATTGAACGCTCTGTAGACTTGGGAGTCAAATTTCGACTTTTTGAAATTTTTTGCATTCCGGATCAAGAATTAGTGATCACAATCGAATCTCCTCTAGAAACAACTTGGCCTCTCTCGTGTTGGCACAACGTCTGTAGAATCATAAACCATGGTCATGGCCAATGTACGCGTTTACAACCGTGACTTACACAACCGTGCTTTCTTTCTTCTCGGATGGCCCGCTCTCGACATCTGGTTCGGCAGGAGTTCGAATGCCCCTTTCAGCATCGATAACAGAATGACCAGCTTGGAAGATCGATCCATCGATGGTGATCGGTGCCTCTCCTTGTGCGTGCAAATACCAGTACAGTACACCAACAAAGAGACCACCACCGATGACATTACCGATGAATGCTGGAATTATGCCCTTCCAGATGTAGAGTTTAACGGTGATGTTTGGAGCGCCTTGCCAAATGCCCATGGGAACGAAAAACATATTGGCGACGACGTGCTATGAAGTTTCAACATTGTTGCTTTGCCCGCACTCTGAAGAGAACTTACATCAAATCCTAAAGACACGAAACCGAATGTTGGCCACCAGATTCCAATGATCTTCGAAGCAAAATCCCGTCCCATCATTCCAAGATAGCAAGCCAAGCACACTAGCCAATTTGCGCCAATGGCTCTCAGAAAAATCATGTGCCATTCCGGTGTTACTTGCTTCGTAGTTGCAAAAGCGATTGCTTCTTTCTTGTATACTGCAGAGTCGAATACACCACCATAGCCAGTGATGATAGCTACGACGAAGAGCGACCCAGCGAGGTTGCCAAAGAACGTTACGAACCAGTGTATGAGCATTTTGACGATGCTGAGGCGCTTTTGGAAGACAGCAACGGCGGTAAACATGAAGCTTCCTGTGCATAGATCAAGGCCAGTAACCACGATTATGCACAGGCCGTAAGGAAAAATCACAGCTGACAAGGTTCGAATGAGACCGGGTGCATTTTCCTTTCAAGTGTCAGATCCTGGCTTTTGACGCGAATGAAATTTGCGTTTACCTGATACCATGGAGAAGAATTCGTGCTCAAGGCAGTTGCACACGCGAAAGCAAGAACAAAGCCAGCATTCACAGCCGAGAGGAATATTTTATCCAGGCGCATGTTAGCTTTCAAGTAACCTGCCCGCCCGACGATCTCTATCGCCTCCTTCGGCGTGTAGCAATTGAAGGACATGATGGCTGCTTGATGTACGGGAATCCTGAAGAATACAGTTGGTAAGTCAAGTGCTCTGATGTGCTAGTCACATTCAAACGTACCAGTATTTCACCTGTTTCGTCTTGTTCCCGGGCTTGCTGCTCCAGCTCAGGTAAAATGATTTTCTCAGTGTAGAGTATCAGACGCAAGGACAAATGTCGCATTTATGTATCCATTTCTGATCACCTTGGAGCACCCGCAATCCCTATCTCACATTTTCTACGGTCCCGATGCTCTTGACCACAACTAGTTGTTGCGCATTTCCTTTCTAGGGAGAGCCATTGCCATATTCGGCTACAAGAGCAATCACTAACTTTGAGCGATCTGCTCATAGATAGCCCATGATTTAACCAGCCAATAAGGGTACAGTTGTGCAGAACGATGAGAGAGCACGAAAGATAAGAGCTTCGGAGATCTTCTGTGGCGCTGCCTAAGTTGTCGCAATCTTGGCCGACGGGCCCGTTGGAGTTGACGATTTGGCAAATGGCTGCGTGTCCTACCAAACTCGATGATCCCCTTGAAGAACGAACAACTTTCAATGGGTATGTCTTGGCGAGTCTACAGGTAGTTCATGCTATTGTGAGCTGACTGTCGCATGTAATAGCTAGATGACTTGAATACGATTGGGAAGAAGTCGAACAGCCATTGCGCAAACGGCAGAGTTCGTTGTCCACAGTTCCACCGGCTTAGGGATCTACATGCACGTCTTCTGCAAGATCCAGGCGCGCGGACGCGGATGCCAAGAAACTCTGCTGGCCGCGGAGATGTCGAATCTGCAGACTCTTAGTCTTGACGGCTTGCATCTCAGATGGGAAGAGTTGCTTGAATTCAGAGTACCTGCAGTTCTGATCGTGATCAGTGCTCCAGTAGTCACTGCTTGGTGCGTAGAGCAATCTCCGGCCAGCCTTGTTACGAATGCAATGGATTTCTTGAGCGATCCGAAATCCGATCAGATCGAAGGAGGTCCTGAAAAATTCGATCTATATTCCGAGCATTAAATCAGCAAACCCGGCGTTCGAAAGGCTTTGAAACTCCGTCATTATTTAACACTTCGCTGGTTAGGATTTTTCTGTTCTTGATTGCGGATGACGATATGACCGCTCAATCGCAATTAAACAATCACGGTATTTTTGTTTTCTTTGGGCTTTTTCCCCTCTTCGAAATCTGTCAGCAATTAAGCCAGGCTAAAAAAGTCAGAGACGAAGCTAGAACAATTAGCATCGACGCAGGGCCTGCGTACAAAAGCGCACATAGAAGGACTACTTATCTCCAACCCTGAACCTTTCGTCAGCGTCTTGCGGTGGAACGAAACCTACACTCGGAAGTTCAGACGTGCCAAGTCGCTGTATTCAGATCCCGAGTAGCGTGATCGATTCTTGTAGAAGCACTCTGCGACACCTCCGCCGATAACCTTCTTCTTGGCTAAAGATCAATCCCAAAATGCTCATAATTGTTTTCGGCGGTGGGCTAAAGCGATTGTCCTGCCCAAAAACCACCGTGAACAGATTCAAATAAGTCCAACAGATAAAGAATGATATCTCTGCGCGGTGCATGACCGGAGCCATGGCGGTTAACACTAAAAATCGGGGCATTGCACAAACCAAGGGTTCTCTTTGGCAATGCTTGTTCTCAGTGATTATCGGATCTGTATGACGAGGTAACGACGTGCATCTGCGTCGATAGGCACATATCCAGAAAGTTACGTCTTTGTAATTAAACCAAGTCTATGTACGTTTTCATTTTTGTTTGAAGGATTGTGCCCATCAGACAGCTCGGTGAACGTCAACTGACAACCATGCTGAACGTCATATACATTATCTATGTCGCATTACTTTTCTATCATGCTAACAAACATCAAGTTTGAAAGGACGGCGGCTGATCGATTCCTTGCGCTTTTTCTTCTCAGTATCACGATGAAGCAGCTATTTATGCGGAAGTTGGAGCTGGACCCTCACAATGCCAATGGTCCTCGTGTGGCACGCAGCCGACCGAGGCGGTTGGGCTTGATGGCAGAACGCCAGCAGCAGTGCTAGTGACGGCATCGGCGTTGACCGTTTCTGTTGCGCTTGGCTCAGCGGCAACGTGATCATGATCATGCTCAGGGATTTCACCTGTGCAGCCGACACCTGGAGCAGCGATGTCGTATGCGTACACATCCACAGCAAAGTACTGCAGCGTGTCACTGTCGATCACTGAATACGTTGAGTTGGTCTCAGAGAGTTCGATCACTCCAGCAAAGTCCTCGGAATAATGCTCGACGACCTCCTCGCTGATCTGAGGCACGTGGAAGATACGATGCATGAGATCGACGCCCCAGTAGGTGTTTAGGGGGCTGTTCGCTACGGTGTAGCCGTTGAGGCAAAGAAGTTCCAATGGCTGACGCTTCTGGAAGGATAGCGGACAAATGACGGTTTCTTGAGTTGCGTTTGTGCCGCGCCAGTGACCTGCCCAACCTGCACGCAGATAGAGTCAGTATTGGCGCTATATTAACACAAGTTCCGCATCAGCCCAGACTTACCATCTTGAGTAGCGCAATTCCGATCAGGGTCATCGCAGCGGAAGAGCATTTCGCCACGGTTGGCACTAATAACGCGCTCGTACCACCCGATCGGGGTAGCAGTAGATTCGTTACCAAAATACATCTGCACTTTGGGGCTCTCGTGGCCCCATTGTAACAGATGGGCCTTCGCATGCTCTGCTAGCTTGATGGCGTCGGCCAGACCCTTCTCGAGTGCAATTTTTTGGGACGCATTGCAACTCTCGTGGATGGGAAAATTCGAGAACGAAGATTTTGACCACTCGTACAGCGTTCCAGAACCAGGAGCTTCAGAGTTGTGCGAGTCTGAATCTGCAGGCTGACGAGGCTGAAGTGGGAAGGCTGCCGCCAGGCTGACAAACAAAGATGAGGCAAGGAAGAGCTTCATCTTGAACCACAAAGGTGAACGTGAAAGGAATTGACTTGTTGGCAATGAAAAGCTTTAGATTGACTGCAATGGTAAAGACGCGCTGCTCTGCAAAATGGCTGTGAATGCGCAGCTATATATATTATTTACTTCATCCTACTATGAAGGCAGATCGGCAAGCCAGCTGCGGTTTTTTAACGAATGGCGAAATCGACGTTTGCATCTTTCCTAGTCATGCATTCGACAACTATTGGGCACAGAAGATTGCTAGAAAGGTGGTATCCCAACTCTACTGGCTCGGCGCAGCGATAGCCTTGGCCAATGTCTTCGGCAGGCCTTGAGCAAAAAAAAAAAAAAAAATTCTAGCTATAGATGACGGATTGACGGTGAACATCGTACCATGGTGGAAAGCTTCTTGGCCTGATTATCAAATATGAATGAGACTGGCATGTGGGCAAAATTCTTCTGGGTCCTGCAATAGTAGGCGACTTGCGTGAAGTAGGCTCTTAATGCCAAGCCATATGCCAACCTCGCTTCAACGCACTAGCAGTTGAACAGTTCCGTCCTTCTTTCTACTACATCGCACCTGGCCCGCAAGGCAGATAACGGATGGCGAAGTTACCACATCGCGAATTAGGTATGATTTGGTTCTCCCAATGATGCGCAATGGAGTAAATCTACACAATGCCACAGCGGTCGTGTCAGAGAAAGGTTCCGCCGGGAGCCAAGATTCTCATGGCTGCCAAACCTGCCATCAGGGTACTCCTCCGCCCCACGATGTCTGTCCAGTCTCCAGCTTATGGCTGTCATTGGATTTTTTTCCAGGACAGGCAGATCAGAGCCAAAGTCCGGGATCACACAAACTAGGATGAGCTGCCGGTAGCATTGGCTTGCAGCTTTCTCTCCACTACCGGATGCTATGGTATATCGCTCGTCAAAATATGTGGGACGTGACAAATGCCAATTGCCAGTGGACAATCTTTCAATATTTTGTGGTCAGCGGACCTGTACCACGGGCATCGTCAAGTCTTGGACCACCATGATGGTATATTTCTCGTACGACTGCTGCAGCTCGAGCCTCTTGACCATCTGCAGATTTTTGCTGCGAAAGCTCTTCTGTGAGTATTCCTTTTATACGCCTGGCGCTTTCCAAGAGAGCAACACGGACGCGATCTCCAATTCCAGTAATATCAACTCGTCTCTTCCATCTCGGCTTCCAATTTCCTCTCATGTCCGCCGTATTATGGATTTCGCACAACTGATGATTTGGGCTTCACTGCTGTTCAGCATCGCGACTGGCCAGGCTTCATCAACATCCGCGCCTTCATCCACGACATCTCTATCAACGGTCACCACCACGGCCATCACTTCGGTGTCTGGCTGCCACAACCACGGTGCCACCCAATTCTGCCTCGCTGGCTCCTACGAATATAAGGTTTTGACAACAGCTTCAAGCGGCCAGGAGCTCCCTTCAGCTTACTTTGACTGCCATTACCACGGCACCAGCTTGTACTGTTTGACGGGTGACGGAGGTGAAGTCGAGCTTGTCGCTGAGGGAGCTTCCGCCGAGAAGTCTCACGCCGACACAGGAGCAGCGACTCCAGCGAGTGGCATTACAGCCGTAACTTCATGTCACTCCCATGGTACCACGCAGTACTGTCAGGTAGGTTCCGACAGGTATCAGGTCGTGGCGACATCTTCTGGGACTGAGGCACCGACTTCCCAATATACCGGCTGCCATTCTCATGGTGAGGGAGAGCTCTACTGCCTGACGCCTAATGGAAGCGAAGTCCAGCTGCTTGCTGAAGGGGCCACTGCCAGTTCTGAAGAAGAATCTTTGTCTGAAGATGGTATCAATTGCCACTTCCACGCTGGCGTTGAGCATTGCGTAGGGACAGGTGGAGAAGAAAGCACTGTGGTAACTTGCGAAAGGAAGCATCGTGATTACAATATTCCATTGAGAATTGGCTTGATCTTTGCCATTCTAGCATCCGGTGCCATCGGTATGTTTGCTTCTCACTTTCCATGAACTTCGTTACTAAACTGGACGTCCAGGCTCTTTTGGACCTATATTCCTGACTTCGCTCACGCGAATCAATTGCAACCACGTGGTATTCACCATACTGAAGCAATTTGGCACTGGGATCATTGTTTCCACTGCATTTGTCCATCTTTACACCCATGCCACCCTCATGTTTGAGAACGAATGTCTTGGCGAGCTCAGTTATGAGGCAACAACTTCCGCTATCATCATGGCAGGTATCTTGCTTTCGTTCGCCATCGAGTACTGCAGTCGTCGCATACTCACGTGGAGGCAGAGCGAACGAGCTCCAGCCGAATCTGAGGAGGGTGACTTGGCGAACAAGTCACAAGCTAGAGAGGCACTTGCTACTGTGAGGCGTAGACACCACGGGTTCGGCTCTCTCAAGGAAGCTGATAAATTGAGCGTATCTGTGCTGGAAGCAGGCCTCATCTTCCACTCTGTTCGTAAGTTATTGTGCCTGACGTGATGTCATTGTACTGAATAGACACAGTTATTGGAGTAACTTTAGTCGTAGCTGGTGACAGTTTCTTTTTGACCTTGTTTGTCGTCATCTTCTTCCACCAGATGTTTGAAGGTGTTGCTTTAGGGACTAGAATCGCAGAACTACCTTCATCGCAGGCAAGTTTAATCCTGAAGATGATCATGTCAGCCTGCTTCACAGTGAGTACACCGTTGGGCATGGCCATCGGTATCGGCGTGCTGTCGAGCTTCAATGGCAACAATCCTGCAACTATCATCGCCATCGGTACTCTCGACGCATTCAGCGCAGGTATCTTGGTTTGGGTGGGTGTCGTCGAGATGTGGGCTGAAGACTGGTTTCACCACGACCTGGCAAACGCTGGAATGGTGAAAACCGGGCTGGCATTTTTAGCGTTGATCGCGGGTATGATTCTCATGTCCTTGCTGGGTAAATGGGCGTAATATGAAAACGCTATGTGTGGTTCATGATGCTGATATGAAGTCATGAATTGTAGCACGGTAATGTGTCTTATACAAGGTGTTGCCAGACACGGTGTGCTCACTCCAGGTGTACCGTCAACTCACAAGCCCCATCTAGCTTGTGCTCGCCTGCTGTATGTCCTGCTTGCATGTACTCACATCGAATACTCTATCTTGGAGTTAATCGATTCACGAGCTACGGGCAACCGCAATTACTATTATGTCGACTTTCACGAACCCTGTCGCGCACTATCATTCTTACCAAGTCATCCGCAATCTTTGATGTAGATAGACACCTTAATCCTAGTTGGATTGACCAATTTGTAACTAATTCCCAAGGGCCGACCTGTGGAGGGAGCCTCACGGAAAGCAAGTGCGAGGCAACAGCCTAGTACTGTATGTTCAGAATTCGCACTCCCTTGATTTGTGCTGCAGTCACTTTACTATTCAATGGCTTTACAGACTAGCAGATATCTATTTCATGCAATGGTGCTGTCAGAACCACATGCGAGTTCGGGCACATCTTTAACTGTGAACAATACGCCGTTACTCTTCGGATTAGTCGTGTCGACATGATCACAACGCACCATATAGGACTCAATGGACTGAACAGCAATTCTTGGGGGTGACTTAGACAGAGTCGCAGTCTTCAGCTCCCTGCTCGTAGCAGTAGCTCATTCCATTCCTGTCCAACGCCGATAGAATGAGTTGCGTAGAAATGCCAGCGATTCTCCTAGATCGAAGTCAAGCTTAAAAGCCCAACCTACCCTCCTCCTATCACTGCAGAGAATCTCAAAACAACTTGGCCTGCGTAAAAGGCTACGTTTCCCGTCCCAATGGAGCACTTTCAGTGATCCATGTGATCAAGTCGTATACCTTGATGGGCTATTTGGCCATCTTGGTACGTTATAGAGTATATCTCTCGTTCCTTTTGCAGCGTGTTCTGCCCACTGTGAAAGTCTTGCCGTCTCATTTGCGCACCTGTACAATGGTTCACAAGAACATCTGGAATTCTCGAAAAGGCGAAGTCAAGTATGGAAAAGGGCAGCGCAAATGGTAGCAATTCCTGGGGTCTATACATTTGAGCAGAATATGGGTGCTGACTCGTAATCGACAGCCGGCTGACAGGAGAGAAGGGCAACGGCCTTATCCGCAAATATGGTCTGAACATGTCACGTCAAACTTTCAAGGAGAAAGCTGAGGAGATGGGTTGGAAAAAGGTCCGTATTCGGACGTTTCTTTCTTTGCAAAACGATTTGGCACTGACTGTGGACTATGCAGTATCGATAAGCAACTGGAATTGATGAAGACCCTTGATTGCGATTGTTCATATCGCATTGCGCATTTAGATCCCACTAGAGAGTGCTAGAGCGCTAGATTGGCAAGCTAGGGTTGCACAGAATAATGGCAAATGTCATTCATGTCGCATGTAGTACATAAGAATGAAACAAACGAGGCACACCAGGACGTAGATGGATTGAAGTGAACACAGATGAGAACGTGCTCGAGCGTCGTCTAGTTCTAGAGGCTGAGCCCGCAAGAGGACGATTTCAAGCGTTCTGATGATGTCCGCAAACTTATACATCCTAGAGCACTGCGATATCAACATCTCAACAAGTAGCATGTCTCCGAGTTTAACGATTTAGATTACAAGGAAATCTCTTCCCTAGAAAACGGCAGATTTGGTATAGAAAGTCGGTATTTTAGTTCCACGCGAGAAATACACTGACGTTCACTTTCTTCAAAAGTACAGTAATATGATATAGCCGGCATCGGCTCACGTCAAAAGTGAATAGTCTGGTCCTGTGCGAAATTGTCTTTACTCTGCGATTGGGCTATGAGGTTTTACTGTTTTCATTCATCGCAGAGAACCATCCGGGAAACGATTGGGTCCAGACCCGGTTGCTTTATCCGACTGCATAAACGTGGTGTAATGGCAAATTATGTCGCTGCTTCCACTTCTGTTCAAACTCCCATACTTTTGACTGTATTCCGTATAGTTGCTGCGAAGCGTTATGAGAACTTTTCGAATTCTAGGCAAAAAAAAATCTTAAGGATAGGAAAAATACCATTTTTCATAAAATTGTTGAACATTATAGTGAAAAAACTTGAAAGCATTTTTCACAAATCAGCTGAATGGCGCAGCGGAAGCGCGCCGGGCTCATAACCCGGAGGACAGCGGATGTCAGTACTCACCAGCTCAGCAAAAAATAATACTTGTACTAACAACTAAACAGCGAAACCGCTTTCAGCTATCTTCAATCTCTTTTTTTTCTCTTCATTTCCTCCTCTTTTTTTTTCTGCTTCTGTTCCGTAACAGTAATGTGATGGGTTAAAGAAGCAAAGATCCGACTTTTGACTCATAATGGCTGCGAAACTGTGCAAGGCAATCTCAAGGTAGACAGTTCGAGTCTTGTCGACGCTTTATTGTAATTTTTGATTAGCAATTCAAAATTCGATGCCGAAGGTTTCCATTTTTTAATTTGAGGAAAAGTCTTGTGATATTTAAATTTTTTGGGATGACAAAACTAACTCCCATTCTAACTAGTATACATAAAACTATACAGGTTCTTTTATACAAATATTCTAAGACCATAGTTGTTGGATAGCTCTAATATGTTGGTGATTGAACTATTTCGTTCATCAGTTAGTGTCCAGCCTAAGATGATACATCCTTAGGTGGTCCTCTGTCAGTTGCGTAGGACTCTTGACCAGCAGGTCCTCGCCTTTCCCACTCTTTGGAAACGCGATAACATCCCTCACGCTTTCCAAACCCAGCATAACAGCAACCAACCTATCAAATCCCAATGCAATTCCTGCATGAGGCGGGCAACCTACTCGAAGTACATCAATCAGGTGCTTGAAGTCCGCCAGTCGTTCTTCAGTCATTCCAAGCACCTCGCGTAGCACATACTCTTGCATGGCTGCCGAGTGGATACGTCGAGACCCACCACCTAGCTCAACTCCATTGCATACAATGTCGTAGTGTTCACCTACGACCCTACGTGGGTCTGTGGATAAGAGCTTAACATCTTCAACCGACTTGGGGGACGTGAAGGGGTGATGAGTTGAGGAGAGGCCAGAGGTACCTCCTTGTCCTTCGCCTAAACCCGGCTCTGGAGAAGGCGAGAAGAGGGGAAAATCGGTTATCCAGACGAAGTTGAAGCCTGCAGGCGCAGGAACCAATTGCTTCGAGACAGCGGCTTTGTGCAGTGCAAGGCGCAGTCGACCCATTGGCGTGAATCCTCCAGTGAATGGAATGTTCTCACGAGCTTGGATAACGACTAGATCACCGTCCTTCAGAGACAAGACTTCCTCCAGATACTCTGCTGTTTGAAACCCGAATGCAAACAACCCATTCAGGGGCTGTGACGAATCGTAAACAAAGATACCCGGCTGACCTTCTGGATTAGTAAGGAACGGTGTTGCTTCTGGTGAGTCCATGAATTCTCGAATAAATTGTTTTGTTTGTTGTGGGTTGTCGGAAACAGATAATTTCATTGCGTCGACCGCTGGACGAGCAAGCGGGCCAATCTTGCTGACCAGATCAACGGGTAAGAGCTCTCCAACACTATGTAACTGTCGAATGCTTACTTAGCGATGGGCATTAATCAGGAGAAATAGTTACTTACCTCCATGCTGAGGCGAAGATCTGGCTTATCAGAACCATACCTCGACATGGCTTCATGATATGTCATCCGTTTTATTGGCTGAGGAATTTCGTGATCGAGGAGCCGCTTCCACAAAGTTACCAGTAACTGCTCGATCACCTCCATAACTTGCTCACCCTTTGCGAAAGACATTTCTAGATCAAGCTTCATTTCATTAGCGAAGAGCTTCTCAGTGTACCGGTTTCTGGCATACCTGTGTGAACTCTGGTTGTCGATCAGCTCTAAGATCTTCATCCCGGAAACACCGTGCGATTTGAAAGTACTTTGGTATGCCACTCGCCATCAAAATTTGCTTGTATTGTTGGGGGCTCTGCGGCAACGCATACGCCATCCCCTTTTGCCTTGTAGGTACTAAGAACTCACGTGCTCCTTCCGGAGTAGACTTGAACAAAAGAGGGGTTTCAACCTCGATGAAGTCCTTTGACAGCAGTTGTTCTCTGCATAGTTGAGCTGCTCTCGAGCGAAATCTCAGTGCGTTGCGCAAACTAGGCGTTGTTCTGAGCTGTAGATGTCTTTGCTCAGCACCAAAAACTGTGTCTGTCTCCATCATAACGTCCGACGGAAATTTGTTTAGAGGCCAGATATCTTGCAGTTGAATCTCCACGTCTTGAATGCGTGAGCTCCCATCTGCATTGCCATCCTTGGATGGGGGTTTGCTGCCGACGATACCGCGAATTGCCACAGGTGTATGCTGCGTGCACGCCCGAAGTTTCTGGTGAGCGCTGCCTTCGGTAACATCCTTCCCTTTGGGGGCGGAGGACACAATTTGAACAGCGTGTTTTAAATTACTGTCGTACAGCCAAACAAACGAGAGATTTTTCGAGCGATTGAATATTGGTCCAAGATAGCCATGTACGACAACTTCGTCTCCAACCGAGAGCTTTGTAATCTCATGAGTAGATGCTGGAAAGTCGACTAAAATGATCGGTCAACCTTTTAGACTTGAAATTAGGAGAATTTCATACATGAATTAATGAATGCAGAGATAGATTTTCCAGAGTCATTTTTTGCCTGATCGCCAATCTGACTGTAACATCTTCGCGATTTGATTGGATGCTCTATAGATGTCTGACGATAACAGAATCTAATGAGGCTGTGAGTTGGTCTCGAGGTCGCGTAGTTGTTCCTAGAATGAGCAAGCTTAGAGAGTTCGATGTATGACCGGCGAGCTGTACTGCTGGCTTTCACAACAGGCCGTAATGATGGAACGAATAGCATCTCCGTTTGAATGGATCAAGAAATGATGGAATCGAATGGGGAATTGCGACAACTTAGGTCTCCCGACTCCCAAGAAGGTGCTTGCTCGCGAGGCGTGTCACGTGCCAAAATCTTGGCACCGCAATGAAAAGAGTTGCGTCGAATTCCTCAAACCTTTCTTCTTTCATCCTTCCCATTTATGACATGTGAGTAGCTCTTCGTCCACAAAAACGTCATGTGCATATGCTAATATGAGATTAACAGATGATGAAAGCCTAGAGTGTACCCGATGAGCTGCCTTCCTCTCCGACTCTGTAACTCTCCCTTTCTTGGGCTCAAGTGGTTTGGAGGAGGAGAGGAAAGGTATCATGATCTCGGCGTTCGGCACACCATCCTTGTTACAATAACGGACGCGATGAAGGCATCTCTGATCGCATATTGGGAAGGTGTTCTCTATTCATTACTGCACGGTCTTGGCACAAAACGTGCTGCTCTGTACCAAACCGAGGCAACATGCAGGATTTTATAAGCTTCCATGCCACATTTTGGCATGAACAAGTCTGATTTCAAGTCTTTGCGGTGTGTGAATATGATTAAACGTGGATTCAGGGCGTGCGGAATGATGGTTGTCCTCATGTAAGCCTAGCAACGAGACAAACATTTCTTGAACTTGTACAAGACACCCCGCATTTTAATCTAGAAAACATGGTATACAAGTTTGTCAAATGCGCGGAGCTTAGGATGCATGTTTGACCTAAGTCAGATGATGGACAGACAGTCTTCGTGCTAGGAGTTTTGACTTGATGGTGTTTGGGCTGCCGTCTATCCAATGATTGTTTTTATCTATTTCATCACTGCTAGAGTCGTAAAGAGCACGGTATGCAACTTAGACCGGTCTTAGTGAGGTCGGCGTTTACTAGTCCATCCTGGTTACTTATACTCTGTATTGTTTCCAGAACGATACAAACGCTTCGATTACATGGACTTCCCTCACAGTAGGCTTTGCCACAAGAATCAAATGCCGGGCAGCAAAATCTGGGTAGCCTTGACAAAATTACATCCAGGGACGAAAATCTCATGAAGGAACCTGTTTCGCGCTAACAACACAAGGTCTGTGTAGGTTACCTTTATCTCCAACCGAATTTTGGGTGCCATATTTCCTAAGCCACGTATCGATAACTGCAGTTGCGTTCTGCTTCGTTTTGCTAGCGCAAAATGGCCGACGACGGTTCTGCTGAAGACTTAGCAGGTGTATTCGGATTTGGCGAAAACGTCTTCGAACCTCGTGACGTAGAAATTGGAACCAGCCCGCTTGGCCATAATAAGGGCCTTGGCCGATACCCTAAAGCAAAGCCACGACTTTGAAAGCCATTTTTCAGAACTGGTGGTTTACTAAACTTTATGGTCATTGTCATATGTTTCGATCCGATTTTCTAGAATCGCAACAGGACTAGGCACCAGCACAGCCAAGCCCAATTACCTTTAAAGAAAGCTCTCGCATATCAAATACTATATTTCCCGAATTGTGGTCTTCAGTACATGGCGCTTTTCCATTTGTACGGATGACACTACTTCGCTTGTCATTCCATTAGACGAGTCGCTACTTAAGAAAGCCAATGATCTTCAAGTATTGCAACCTTTCGAGAGTTAAACGCCAAATTACTCTCGTAAGCCTTTCTGATCTTGATAGGATTTGGCGACTTTCGTATACAATGTAATGGGCACGAGGGACCTGTTAGAATTGATTTTCGCTGGCAAGAGACACATCAATTTCAACAATGCTCGGCTTCAAAACATTGATATTGCAATCAACCAGTAAAACGATGGAAGAATCCCTTCTTTCCAAATTTTAGTCCACGTCAATACAAAGGCAAGTGACATTCGATGGCTCAGGATGAAGGATAAGTCTCCGAACCACAGCGAAACGATGATCTTCAGCTCTAGAATGCATCATTTGAAGTTGTATTTACTCTTCGGTTCGAATAATATAACTTAGTGATATATATACTTGTGGCTATTGACGCAGTGTAATGCAAATGAATTGAATAATTAGGTGTAATCCGCTTACGCAGTGCAATGTATCAACGAGGCTAAGTAGTCACGAGTCCTTGGTCACACTCTTTACCTGAGCAGCCTCTCGCTATATCACCCATGAGTGGTCACATATCCGTGTTATGTGACAGAATAGCCTGTAAAAGGGGCCGCTTTCTTTAGCTGTAATCCACCATGGAATGTAACACATGCTTCTGGAAATCGATTTATATTCACTTCACTTATTTCGAACTAGGGCTTTTTCACAGAAGTTGAGCCAACAGATGTGAACGCAGGGGGGTCGACCTTGAAAGTTGTCTTCGCCGGAAACCAACAGAAACTAACTTATTATACCTTTTTACTATGCCTTTTTATTATGCCTTTTTCTTTATTCTATTTTATTTTATTTTTTCTTTTCTTTTCTCTTTTCTCTTTTTTCCCTTTCCCTTTTTTTTAAAAAAATTTTTTTTAAGAAAACCTAAAAGAAAACATTAGAGACAAAAAAAAAAAAAAAAAAAAAACAAATTACGTCTCATTGACGCTGGAGCAACATAATAATCATTATGTTTCGAGATTCTTGATCCCTCTTCAGCAGAACATAATTGGCCGTCTTTACCGCTGCTAGCGAAGGGGGAAATGGATTGATGTACATATAACATCCATACTTCTAGATAGTGAATGGGCAGTGCGGAGTGGTCATACAGCAGACCACTATACATAGATGCCTCGTCATGCTGTGATCAATGTATGAAGCTCGTGTTATGTTTTCGCCGGGCGAAACTCAGCCTTGTTTCGGGAATCGTAATAGCACTGACATGGTAGCAATACAAAGTCACGCAAGAGCAGGACGGCGAGGGGAAGAAATCAGCAAAGCAGACGATACGACCAGCAGCTCTCTGGCGCACAATCTTCGTCTAACGTTTTGGGGATTTTTCTTTCTGACAAACAGCGCAGGCAGGCTGTGATTTAGCACGGGCGTGAATTGATGGGTCGGCTCCGGCAAGGTGTGGCTGAGGTCTGAGATTGATATCGTCACCAGCAAACTGGGCTAAGTTAGCAGCCCATGCTTCATCACTTCCCAAGCAACTAGCAGCCGCCGATCCACGCACGTTCGCATCACCACCACAGGTGTCTCACCTTCCTTGCTCTGCCAGCTCGGCATCCAGCCGCATGCCTTTAGTATGGCTTGATACTCTCGCGCTGCTAATTCATCACATCACACCTTCACACTCTCCGTTGACGACCGGCGAGCGACGGTGGTAGCGGCTGTTGCCATTCCGCTCAGAACCAACAGCGAGACGGTCACCGGAATAAGAGAACATCCCACAACTCCTCGCTCCATTTAAAGATCGCAGTCAAAGAAATATATGGCGAGCTCATTTGAGAAGTCAGTTAAGGGCGCGACCAAAATCAAGCTGGCAGCGCCCAAGTCGAAGTATGTCGAGCACATACTCGTGGCCACGCATGCTGGCGAGCAAGGCGTCGCCGAGGTGTTCCGCGTTCTACAAAACCGGCTGCGTGACTCCACCTGGACCATTGTCTTCAAGAGCTTGATCATCGTGCATTTTATGATACGGGAGGGAGAGCCCGATGTTACCTTGAGGCACTTGTCGAGCAATCCGACAAGGAAGTTGGCAATCAACAATTTTACAGAAGGTATGCGCATTCACGTTCGTAGAGGTACATACGTCGGAGACGATAGACAGCTCAGATATCTGTACTTTTCTTAACTTCGGCGCTTATGCCCTGTTTCTGGTTGCTCCTGAAATGTCGACGCTAATGTTAGGATGCTGCGCAGTGCAAACACAGGGTCGCAATATCAAAGCCTACGCCGAATACCTCGTCCAACGAGTCAATTCGTTCTCCGCCACGAAGGTCGATTTTGTCCGTGCGGGCGAAGGACGGCTCACTCGACTGTCTGTAGAGAAAGGATTGCTGCGAGAGACCGAAAGCGTACAGAGCATGATTCGCGCACTTCTGCGTTGCGATTTCCTCACCTTGGAAACGGAGAATGACATTTCGCTCACGGCGTTCCGGCTTCTGGTCATGGATCTGCTTGTGCTGTTCCACGTTATGAATGAGGGCATGGTCAACATCCTGCAGCACTTCTTCGAGATGTCAAAGCCGGATGCTGAACGCACTTTGAACATATATCGCACCTTTGTGAAGCAAACAGAGAACGTAGTCAAATATCTCTCGGTAGCGAGGAACTATGAGCACGTCACCCGCCTAGAGATACCCACACTCAAACATGCCCCCACGGTTTTGACAACCCAGCTGGAAGAATATGTGAAGGATCCAGACTTTGAGGTTATGAGGCGGCAGTATCTGGCTCAGCAGGGCGCTAAGAAAGGAGGCAAAACAAGTACGAATGGCTCCTCCAAGTTGCTGGAGCAGAAGACCAATGCGAGCGCGACCAAGTCTGAAGCGTTCCCCGAGCCAAAGGTCGGAGCACAATCTGAGACTAAGGCACCAAAAGCGGATCTGATAGACTTCTTTGAGTCCATTGAGCAGAATCAGACGACCATGAACACTAATCCTTTCCAGCAACCGCAGCTTGCGCAGGCACAAAATGCAAGTGCAACCCAAATCCCCAACTATGATCCTTTTATGCTAATCATGTGTTCAGATGCCAGCGCAAGCAACCGGTTTCCAGCAGTCTCCCTTTGGCATCCAACAGACTGGTGTTGCAGGGTCACAGGCGGCATTCACTCAACAGCAGACAGGATTTTCCAACCAACAGACCCCTTTTGGTGTAACACAGCCAACAGGATTCCAGCAGCCATCATTCGGTCCTCAACAAAGTAACATTTCAAACCAGCAAAACACTGCGTTTGGTATCCAAACTACGGGCATGACAACGCCACAACAACAGACATTCAGTCCTGCTCAGGCATCATCCGCTGGTAATCCTTTTGCTCAGGCCCCGTCAACAGCAGGCCAGCAACCTTTACAGCCAAGCTTTACCGGTGCTGGCTTTGGAGGTTACACGCCTCAACCACAAAACCAAAGATTCACCCCAGCGCTCAGCAGCATCCCTCAGAATTCAGCACCTTCCTTCACACCTTCCGTCCCGGCCACTGAACCACCAGCTTCAACAAACCCATTCCGCCAATCCATGCTCCCTCAATCTACGGGAAACCCATTTGCAAAACAACAATCACCTCCCGTCGGAACGCAAAATACGTTGGCACCACCAAACAACAATGTTTTCTCACCATCCGCGCCAATGATGCCGCAAGCAACAGGTACGAATCCTTTCGCCAGACCTCAAACTGGCTCACCGGGACCTGCTCTAGGAGGCGTAACCACCCATGCGACAGGCAGCACGAATCCTTTCCGGCAGTCCCAATTTGTGAACCAATCCACAGGATTGGGATGGCAATCCTCGGTGCCTCAAGGGACGATTGGTGGATTGTCCCCAGATCAGATCCAAACTACGAGCATATTCCCGAGACCTGGGGCGGGACAGTAGTAGTTGTAGCTGCAGCTGGCAGGGGTGGTGGTCGTTGTTTTAGTGTAATCGATACCTCATATTTCTTTGAGCTTTGCTCCTTATGGTCCCGTCTTTGCGCAATATACCATGCCGCACGACTCCAGACCACGCCGTAGTCGGCGACTATTTAATCCTGATAGGGATGTAATGAGACCTCCCTTCAGAGGTAGATTTAGTATCATTAGCGACTTATTAGCAGCCAAAGATAATGATTGCTTTCTTCTGACGAATTTTGAAGAGATAACACGAATCACATTAGCTCGCGTAAGCCATCGCATGAAGTGGAGCTGTGGCGTCGTACCACAGCTACGCCCGATCAAATGTCAGCGTGGAATGGCTTCTCCAGAATCATTGCGCAGATAAGGTTCGATAAGTCAGCAAAGAGGCTTACAAAGAATGAGGGATCAGGAGAAGCACTAGTGAAGAAGAGAGACGGCCCAGGCAGAATTTTGTGCAAAGTCCAATTCTCAGCGGTTGCCCTTTCCCAGAGATGCATGAGCTATTCAACGGCAAAGCAGAAAACGCTATAGGATAAAAAATAAGAAAAGAAATAAAGCGTAAGCGAACGGATTGAACAGCAAACTATCGAATTCTCCCACGAGAGCGCGCTTCACCAAAATATCATCAATCCATCCTCTCGAAAAAAAGAAAAAGGGGGTATCTACAATCCCAACCTCTCCCACCAAACGCGAAGGAATTCCCCATCAACGACTCCTTCCATTCCCCTTTGAGGTCATTTTCGCAGAAATTCATGATGATTAGACACTAAATGATGTTATATAGCCAGAGTGTCATGTTGAGATGCTGTGAAAGAATGGTTCGTAAAGTCGTGTAACATCAAAAAGAATGCCACAGAACTCCGCGCGCGCTATAAATCGGAAGGTGGATCGGAGGGGGTTTGTGCTTGTTAAAAATAAAAAGTGAGTAATTTGTTATGTGCTAACAACGTAGTTAAGCTGGACCAGGAGCCAGGGATCCAGGCACCACCTCCGAAAGATGTATCAAGCGGCATCTTCGCACATGTGTGTAGTTGGGGACCGCGCGTTCGGAAAAGGTGTGCAGTAAGAAGTAAAAGTGCGAAGACTAGAAAAGAAGCTTGCGTTGGATCAACCGGTGTCCGTTCGTGGGATGTTTTCCTTCGTATTTGTCCTGCGCCTTTGCTGCCAGCGTCAAACGCTCTTGCGTAGTCCGGGGCGGGTCAAGCGATCATCCTAGCATCGGGAACAAAATGGGTATCGTTGAGTGGGCCAACCGCTGGTTGATAGAAAAGAATTGAAATCGAGCTTTGCGAGATTTTTTTTTTGGGTTTTTTTCTAAACATATCATCTAAGCGGCTGAGCGCCCGCTTAGAAGGAAGCGAGGATAGCCAGGACACCAGCACCCACAAATGTTGCCGCGCGGAAGGATCCTGTGGTCGCATCGTTGCTAACTGGGGCGCTGGCGCTGGTTGGGACAACATAGCTACCGGTAGCGGCGGCAGTGACCTTGACGCTAGTCGTGTTGATGAAACTTGTCGCGTACGTCTTCGGAACCCATGATGACGTCGTCGAGTTGTGAGTGTGAGGCTTGGACACTGACGACCAAGAGCTTGGGGCCCATGTCGAGGAAGGAATGCTGCTTGTTGAGCTGGAGGTCGTCGCAGGCTTTGCACCGCAGTTCGTTGGATCCATGCCGTTGGGGCAGCATGAACCGTCCGACATACAGAACGAGCCATTCGGGCAGGACCAGGACGCCGAGCAGCATTGTTGACCGGCGCTCGGGTTATAGCAGAGACGGTTCACCGTACCGGAAGCTTCACGGCCTGGATGTACTGTGTTAGCATGCCCAAGCTGCCTTGTCGCAATTTTTTCCCCATCCCCACATACAAGTTTGATAGCCGTTACCGAAGGCGGCTGCGCAGGTATCGCCAGTTGCGGTCTGAATGCCCGGCGCAAATTGATAGCTGCCACCGGTGGGAGTGGCACCATAACCACCACGCTCCTCAAGATCGATGTGTCGTTCGTGGAGGTGGATGGCGCTGCTGAGCGAGGCCAGGAAGAGGGCCGCTTGGGCGAGTCGCTTGAAGTTCATTGTGATTTTTTTGAGAGTTTATCGCGGAAGGAGTGACAAGTAATGAATGGACGGAATAACCAAGATTCCAAAAGCGAGAGGAAAGCGCGCGAGGAGCACGACCGTGTGCGTGTTGTATACCAGACAGCGACAGTGATTGTTTGTGATAGCCAGGCAGTATGGGAGAGAGAAGAGAAGAGACAAGCACCCGCGGGTGGGCCAGGTGGTGGTTTTCTTTATTCGCTCATTGCGAAGATAGAGGGAAATGAATTGGTTAGATCTGCCTACCCGTTGCTTGGGAGAGTAGTGCACTGGCTACTGGTGGGTCGTGGGGTTGCCAGCGTCCGTCCAGCATGAGTCGGGTTCGCTTGACGCCTCGTCATTTCGCCATCGCTGCTTGGAGGAAGGGCTCCGTGATGCCTGGCACGCTGCAATTTTGAACGGGCTGTATTACCGACACGAAAAGCAGCGAGCGGCTCCGAGCGTAGCAGAGCCGTTGGCTGCGACACGTTGCTCGACTTCGCCAACACCACTTCGCGCTGGCGCAACTGACGAAATGACCAAAGGGGACAGCCAGCAGTCGACCAGCGACACGGCGAACACAGCAGAGCGATTCGACGGTGGTGTTGATGAGCAAAAGTCTGCTGCCGCACCTCATTGGCCCGCTAGCAACGCCGGCATCCATGCTAAGACGTTAGCTTCAATCCTTAAATTGCAGTCCGCCCTTGTACAGGGGGCACATGTTGTCGATCCTGCTCCCTCAACGCCAGTCAACCGCTGCAACCAGCTGTCGTGTGCTGTTTGGCCTGTTGTGTACCGTCATCAATCGTAGGCCTCGTTCTGGGACTCGGCACCGGCGGGACGTTCCTCTTGTCGTAAGCAGGTACATGATGGAAAACGAGCTGCGATTCGCCTTCTGCTCGTCATTAACTGTCGAGATGAGACTCCCCTTCTCCCAAAATTGCCCTCATTAACAGTAATTAACAGTTTTGACGCTCGTGGCTCCACCATCCGCTGCGCGGTCTTCGCGCTTTCATTACGCTCAGTGCTTTAGCGCACGATGCTGGTTGACAAAGATCGATGTGGACCCTAAATGGACATCTCTCCGCACTACGGAGATGCTACTGCTCCCTTTTTGCGTTTTTATCTATCCTCAATTGCATGGCGTTTTGCTCGGCGTACCGTAGTCGGTGAAACTCATTTTCAACCCTCGTTTGCCTCCTCCTCTGTCACTTGCCGACATGTCGTGCGCCGGAGTCGTGAGGCGGCTTCTTCACCGATGACGAAGCTGCCGTGACAGTTTTTCCACGAGTCCCCAGAGCATTGTTTCGTGCCTCGTAGCTTTTCATGGTTCTTCCTTGACACCGTTCCCGTAGACGCAGGGACCCGTGCGAGAATCTAGAACAACCGTTGCGTTAAGCCGTTTCCAGCACTATGGTAGAATGGCCAACGTCTTTATCTTACCGAGGAAGACCTGAGTGTAGCTTTGATGCTTGCGAGCTCTTCGAAGCTTGTTACTGAGGCAAGCTTCTCCCGAAGAGGTGATGTTACGGCACCACCTCACTTGCAGGCTGGGTCTTTCGTTTCGGTGAACGGCATGCCTCATCTGGCCCTGTCCAAGGCGGAGATGGCGACTTCATGCAAAAGCAGACCACAGTCTCATAATGCGCCGTGTTTGTTTCAGTCCTAGCGAAACCCAATCGCCGAAGACGGCGGGAGAAGTACACACCCAACCAACAAGTCCCACCAAATATAGCATCCTTTTCTCAGTCACTTTTTCACTCGTCTGCTTAATCTCTGATCATTCATCCCCGATGGTAAAACTGATCTCGAAATCGGTGCCCTTTAGCTAAGTAACAACTTAGTACTACGAAAATGCCAAATTCCGACGAGCACCCTATTGTTACGTTGCTAAGGAAAGGGGTCGACGGTAGGCTTCTGAATTTGGAAGGCCATAGTATTTTAGTTAACAAGGTCCGACGCTTCACGGCCCATTCCGAATTTCGTTCAGCAGACTGATCAGCCTGCAAGATCTTTATTTGTGTGTAATGATTCGCCTATGCTCCTCTGCTCTTCTAATTACGAAATTACTCTTGCTGCTACACAATCTAGAATGATTCTTATAGTGTATTTGCAATTCACCGCAGTTCAAGAGTCTCGTTACAAGTTGACGATAATGAGGCTATCAAGGTGGTCCTCCCCGGTATTTGAGACAACAAACTCCTTTTAGTACTGCGGTACCATGCTGATCACTTTCAGTTGAAGATGATGTGAACACTTCCATTTGGTGAAAGCAGTCAGGTCGAATTCATCAAGTCCGTGCTAGAGCATCGATATGATTATCATCTGCGTTTACTATTGCGTCCTAAATCGCCTAATGACATAGTATATCATCATCTACCACATGATTTGCTAATGCAGTGCACGTAATTTACTTGGAAGACCTTGTACCGCTGACAAAGCTCCGTCAGATTTGCCAGCTGCTCGCAGTATGGACAGGAAGAATGAGAAAGACCGTAAGTCAGGACATGACGGACTACTAGATGTAATCGGTTGACTTTTAAAAGGTGCGCCCTTACTCAACCTGGGTAGAATATTTTTTAGAATTTTTTTCGGACAAGTTTCAAGGTCCAAACGCACTGTAAGAGGTGAATCCTTTCAGGAATAGTAATATTCGTGACGTTCTATTCAAACCCTAATCCGGTCGTACGAATCCCAGTCATGAAATTTTCCATCGCAGAAAATTATTGATGCGCTCTCGCATTTGAAGTCCCACTGTAGACATGCCTGAATAATACAGTATTCGGCTTGGATTCGTACCCTTTTGTTTCATGAGATCGCTGACTCCAAGAACCGCATGTATTCATACTCAATTAAACGCGCTTAGGCGTGAGGAAAACGTCTGTTTCATTGAATCGACGTCCCCCCAAGTCTGTCATTGATCCCTCGTACGATACCGTAGCTTGTCCCGGCAGCGAGGGCTCCAACGAATAGAGTTTGCACTGCACTAAGAACCGCTGTTTTGCGATCAGTGCCCGTGAAAATGGCTTTTACGTAGCCAAAAACGAGAAGAATGACCACTGATATGCCGATGCTTATGAAGAGTGCGTCGTTGACTTTCTTCATGAAGAAGTAGGGAAGCATGGGGATTAGACCGCCCATTAAGTACGACATGCCCATGACAAGTGCGGAGATCCAACATTTGGAAACGTCTGGTTTCTCGAGCTTGAGTTCAAAGTCCATCATGAACTGTCTCGTTGTCAGCAACTCAAACGCAAACAGAAGGAGGTATGTGAACAAACCTTTACCCACATATCTTCGTTCACCTTCAACGCTTCTACTACTCCCTTTGCAGCTGATCTACCAATGGCGTACTGTTCAAAAATCTCGTATATCTCATCTTCCTCTTTTGCAGGCATTTCCCGGACTTCACGTATCTCTCTCGCTTCTTCGATTTCATAGTGCTTCCGCTCCGTCTCAGCCGCAAGCCAGGCGCCGAGACCCATTGAGATTGCTCCAGCGAAGAGCTCCGCAAGGCCTCCTACAATTACTAGATGAATTGAGCCAACCCTGCACAAAATTAGTGAGAGACGTCTCTTGAAGCCTTGTCGCCACAGCTTACGCAGTCAAGCCAGCCGTCAAGGCAAATGGCACCGTCAGACCATCGGCAAACCCGATTATAGCATTAGATAACTGCGAGGAGTGGTTGTTGTGCTTCTCTGTGTGTGCAGGCGAAGGAGTCACAGTGACGCTTGATGTTGATGACGATAAGCGCTCTACATGAGAACTTTGCTCTTCATCCTGTGGATGGTTTGCCCTGGTTCCCCCGGATCTGCACACATAATTCGCCATTCTGTTACTTTGGGCAAAAGAAAATCAGAATAGTAGTTTATATTTAAGAGGATGAGGTCTTGTGCCTACAACCCCAGTCCCTTCAAAAGTTAGAGGCGATTGGGTGAACAGAGATGAAAAATATGATGACACTATCCAGGTGCCAGACAAGGAGGAATGAATTCATTTCAGAGGTCAAGCTCGTTATCAAGATATATAAACGCAATTCTGAGGTGTGAGCGCATGAGGCAGAGGAGAAGGCTGCATGTCGTCAGCCAATCACAGATAAGGTAATAGTCAGCGAACTACGCACTTTGCCTCCAACAGCCAGACCGCACTCGGACTCCGAGCTCATTCATCCGAACGTAGCATGAAATCGTGATTCGTTTAAATTCCAAACTTATTGGTCCGATCCATTTTCTCTTCGGGGCTGGTCTGTCGCTTCCCCGGAGTCGAGATTCTCGTATCTCAAGCAAGAATCCTAGCGTGAGGCGAAGGCATTCATCCTTCGAACATGACATATAAACGTCAGCTGTTTGTCGACGCTACCGCTTAAATATTTTTAGGCCGCACATATGCCCGTTGAAGGTGTAGAGGTTGTTCCACAAAGAAGCTACGGCTATGTATGTTGAAGCCATAGTTCTGCTATTGATCAACCGCCACCAACTGGGTTAATGATGAGAAGCCTGCTCCATTAAGCTTCTAGGCTATGAGTGATTATTCATGTTCTCATCTAACGTGCATACTTTGAGCGCCATTTAACGCATGTGCGTCGGTAAGGAGGGCTGGTGAGATGTTTTATACAACACGACAAGTTTCTCACCGCTGACTCCTTTCCGCATGAGGTCAAGCCCGCTCTTTAGGCTATCAAGCTCTTCTCCTACCTTGTGCAAAGGAAGCGGGGGCTTGTATCTCCCTTCCGCGAGCAATACCTGTAATGCTACGAAGAAAATTTTCCCGCCTGGAATCTCGAGGGAGTCGCGGCTTTGGAACAAGACCGGATCTACGCCTGCGGGACCTCGGATTTCGTCGCCACCTGTCCATACTTGTGCATATCTTTTCGGGCCCTTGGGCGCAAATGCATCAAAAATATGCTTTTCCACTGATCCAGCCCCAACGGCCTCTAGAATAGCATCAACACCTTCCGAGCTCCTTGTGGCTGCCTTGATGTCGTTAATCAGCGAGGGCGAAGAACGATCAAAGACCACGTCGACTCCCAATTGCTTGGTGATCATTTTGTGATGCTGCTGCGATGTTGTTGCGAAAAGCTCGCAGTTAGGCACAGCAAGTTGCAGTAGCTGGATCGCCGAAGCGCCGAGTTCCGAACTCCCTCTTAGGATAAAAAAAGGAGCTGGAATCAGGCCCCTCGTAGGTCCCTCTTGTAGAAAGAGGATTGCCAACCCCTGAACGGACCCTATATCTACCATCGCAGTGAAATATGTTACTTTAAAACAGCTAGTTAGCCATAGGAGAAAGAAGTTGCACAGAACACTCTGAAAGAATAAATTTGCCACGTACGGTATACTTCATGCTTCCTTCCAGCCCATTCCTGCGGGGGTTCTTTTTTGCCACTATGTCTTCCAGGACTACACCGTGGGTTTGGTACGACCCTCCAACGTTCTCAGCCGGGCCAGCAGTGAATTGGGCTAGCACTTCATCACCAATAACAAACCTTTTCACTTCTATCCCAATAGCTTCAACAATTCCAATGCCACCAAGGTCAGGCACAATTGTCGGCTCGGTGACGCGATTACCTTGAGCAACCATCTTGCAGTCAGAAGGATTTATGGCGACTGCATTCATTCTGATGATGAACTGATTTGGAGCTCTTATTGTAGGCTTTAGATTTGTCTCAGCTTCAAGTTCCTGACCTTTTGAGCACGAGTAACGTACCAGGTATTCCTGATTACAGCCATGTCTGTTTTAAAAATCACGACCAATTCTCGCGAAGGGAACCAAAAGAGGCGTCGCATAAGGGTATAACTTCGTAGCTAGTTGAACGGGTGGAAATCTGCACAACTCGTGTGGTACCGTCTGTGCCCTTCATTCTTCAGATAATGATGCACCGCAAAGCTGCGAAGCGTCCCGTTTCAAGAAATGTAGGTAGCATAACTTAGCAAGCTGACCTTCACGACGGATACGATATCTCCGAATGCCTCCATGGTATCTAAAGCGAGTAATTGTGCCCTGTGCGTGTTCACACAACCCGCTTCATAAGTAGCTTGCGTTGCTCTTTTCGTGATTCTCCATTTCGACTGTACTTGTAGCACGGTTGTCTCCATGGTTTGATCAACGTGTGTCTTGGTGCCAAGAATAGACGAATCCGTTCTAGGCAAAGCGGTAACAACCTGGTTGGCGAAAAGACGACGAACATTTCATCCACCCCGAGCACTTTACACTGTACTCAGCATACGGAACTACTCCGCCTTACTAGGAGTTGAACTTAGCGTCTGCCTCTTTGGCATGCACAAAATTTCAATGGATACCTCGAAACGCTCATATGAATTTCATTCTCAGAAACCATTGCATATGCTTTTTATTACGCGAAGAGGCTATTACATAAAAACACAGCACCTTCCCCCATTATCGACTCGAAGGAGGTGTTCCAGGGGGATACATGGCACCATAGTCGACGGCTGGAACCTGCGTATTCGATCCACTCAAGTCGAGCGCATTAACTGTATTGCCTGCCGCATTACCCTGGTACTTCATCGGGAATGCCTTGCACGCTGCAATGTGGTCCTCCGGGATTGTGATGTTCATGGCGCGAAGGTGATCTGGAGCCTCAATCATGGTCGCGGTGAACCCACTACTTACATGTAGCTCGATGTGGCAGTGGAAAGGCCAGACACCAGGATTGTCCGCACGGAAACGGATCACGGCCCAGCTGTTGTCTTGCACCATGATGGTGTCACGAATGGCCGGCGACGCGTGTGGATAGCCAGGGCGGTACGTGCCGTTGAACTTGCCCCAACCTGGGTCTGGGCGATCGAGCAGCTGGAACTGGCGACCGTGCATGTGCCACGGGTGAAGGTTCGTGTTCAGATTATTTATGACAATCTCAACGACTTCGCCGTACTTCAGGACAAAAGGGTTGACCTGTCCGTACACTTCTGGATTTGAGGCATCATCACCGGTAGTTAGCGCTGAATATAGCGAAGGAACATTCTGCATGAGATACGTCTAGCCAGTGTTGTCAGTTATTGTGACTTTTGATTGGTAAGCTTTAATCTAGATCGGCCTACCTCATTGTTAATTACGAATCGCGAGATTCCAGAAATGTTCGCAGCATTGATGTCCATGATAATTTGATGGTCAACCGGTTCAAGAAGCGGTGTTCCGTCGAGAGGCTCATAGTCGCAATCATCCCAAAAGTTGGAGTTGCTGATTTCGTGGAAGACTGGAGGGTCTGGAAGAGGCGCACTTTCGTTGTAGACAAGCCATGCAGTTACGTTCGGATTGTAGTTAGCCGGCGGCGGGATGATGCCCTTGTTGATGAACAGCATGTTCACATCCATAGTGTCCCAGATAGCATAGTTCTTGTCCGTCTCACTTTTCGTGCGAATGAGGACATCTTGGCGCTGTCCTGGAGCAATACGGGTGAGGTTGCCTCCAAGATTGACTTGAGCGGGCTTAGTGTATACACCATCAATGGCAACCGTGGTTTGATTGTGGCCGTCAAACACCCATGCGTGTCCAGGATAACTGCCTGGACAGATGATGCGAATAAGATATGTAGTGTCGGGCTTGACTGAAATTGTGACATTCTTTCCAGTATTGATGAGTGCGCCGCCAGAAGGAACAGGTGTGCCATCAGCAGCCTCGCCTTGTTTCGACTGATAGAGCGCTACAAGATCAGGGGCTTGCTCGTGGTACCAATCAGTAAGCGTCATGACAATTTCTTCATCATACTCGAACGGATAACAGTCATCCTCAATGATGAGAGGCCCCCACAGACCATCGGGATACTGGGCATCGTTGTGTGAGTGGTACCAGTATGTCCCAGCTTGTTCAGCCTATGAGAATTCAGTTAGATGATCATGAGTTAAGACGATGTTAGGTTGACATACTGTCCACTCGTACGTGAATGAGGAGCCAGGTGGTACAGGACATTGATGGATACCGCTGGCACCGTCCATTTGCGGCGTTCCCCTCTGGTGAATGCCATGCCAGTGTAAACCAGTCGACTGGTTTCCGAGCATGTTGTTGATCGTCACGATGATCTTGTCGCCCTTTGCTGCACGCAGCTCCGGACATGGCCATTGGCCGTTAATCCCAATGACCGGGCGCGTGTAGCCATCAGGTGCAGCAGACACCCAAGTGATGTTCCACTCTCGTTCTATGGTTTTGGCCAGCACAATCAAGGGCGCAGAAAATAAAGCAATCAACAGGGAACGCATCTTGGGAAGCCAAGGTCCCAAAAAATAAGCTATCGAACCTAACGAAAGAACCTAGGTAGCATCTGATAGCTAGTGAGCGATTGAGCACATTCGAGCAGGAATCGAGCGGACAAGATTATAAAAATAATAGCCCTGTGTGATCTTATTATCTTTATCTTCCGAGATCAAATTATGGTCGCCCGTCGTTCAGGATCCATCGGCTTGCAGAAAGGGCGATCGTCAGGCCCGGTATGACAGTAGATCAACACCTCGCCGGTCGTCAACGCACGCCTCGTCGTAATAGACAAGACCACGGATTTCAGGCCAAAGCCCCCTTGTCCATTGATGCATGCGCTTTGATTTCTGGGGGTCGGTTCGTACCTAGAGATGGACACCAAGCTCGTACGAGATGAGCAAGGTCGGACGATCCTGTGCGGTTTGTGGACAGCTAGTTCAGTAAGAATGCCGGTCTTTGAGGCAATAGTTCTATGCATAGGCAAGCTACATGCATCTTGATGTATATCCGAGACAACCTAAGCGTCCGAATCGAAGGCAAAAAAAAAAAGGTTCACTGCACGACTCGACTGGCCGTACGAGTGGGTGCACATGTGGAGCAATGCCGTAGACAAGACTGAGCACGGAAGATCACAGGTGCAAATAAGAAAGGCTGCGCGATTACCAGGAGGATCGTCTCACGGCTAAGCCTAGTGGTTCCATCGAACAAACAGTTAGTGTCTAAATGCAGAACGAGAAACACGCAAGAGGCGTTCTGGGTAGATCTGGCGCTCGATTCTATCCAGCACCTTCCTTGCAGATCAACGCCAGAGCGGTTGCACATGCTATTATCGCCGGATGGGAAAATCTCCCGGGAAATGATTTTGAGAAACATCGCTGGGAGTTTATGGACACAATCCTCTCGAAGGCAATAAACCGTTCGCGTCGCTAGAAAGCAAGGCAGGTTTGACCACAGGTTTCACGGTCCACAAGACGAAAAGCATCGCACTGTGCTGCGGTTTCTGTCAGCTGAGCCACAAATAACCATAATAATAATAAAAGTGCGGCACGGGAGTAACGAGCAAGCACTTTGTAACAGATGAAGCACATTGTCTTCTCCGCGCCGCAAATCGAAAGGGACGATGGGAGTGTCGTGCATGTTCCCTTGCGTCACTATCGCTCTCCACTTTCAACGATCAAAGCTCTCCAGAACGTCACGACCACCTGATTCAGGCTACCCTTTCTTCCAGCCATTCAGCACGTCCAGGCTCCAGAAAGACGTTGAGACAACGCTCAATGAGGACCCTGCATGAATGTCTCAAGGCCTTCAGTCCCGCTGGTGGACGGCGACAACGCGTCTCCGGCCGAATTACCGTCCATTAAACTGGGGCCGATGCGTGGTGGCTCGCTGATCTGCCAATTTTGTTCGGGGAGGGGTCACCGCTGTGAGTTTGTGCGCCCGTACGAATTGTGAGCAGCGCCGCCGTTGATCTGGGCCAAGGCTCGATTTGTTTTTGTCTAAAGCGTCTTGTATGCCGTTTTTTCACCTTGCTGTCAAGGCGAGTTGGTAGCGGAGCAGGATCATGCAATGTTTCTGATGGAGTTGTCGTCTGTTGTCGCGCCCCAAGTTTGGACAGCCCGTCAGCACTAGCTGCAAGGCCTCATCGCAATCGTGCGCACACACGCGGAAGCTTCCACTGGCAATTTTTCCTTCCGGAAACGTCTCGCCTTGGCATCAAGCTTTACACCATCCCTTCTGATCATGCACCATTCGGCCAAAAGACATGGCAATCTCTGTCCGATTGCAGCACCCATTCCTGTGCTGATCTACCCGTGCAAATTAGAACTACTCGACTCTCGGGCCCGTGACAATCAGTGCTTGCTGCCTCGCTCGTGACAGCCATTCCATCCGTGCATGGCGTGCACTCTTTGCCGTCCTGCAACCAGCCACGCAGCTACGTTTTCCTTGCCGGCTGAGTGATTCGCCCAATTGTTGATGCAATGCTCCTCTACAATCTCTCTCTTCTGACCTAGAAAACGCCCAGCGAGCAACAGGTTTGTTGGGAACAGAAACAGCGCAGAGCAGAACCAAGACACCGCGGTCCAATTTTAGAAAGTATCACGGAGCGCCAAAGGTCGGGAATGGCGTGGCTAGCTGCGTACAGCTGTTTCCTTGGCCTTGCGGCGGGCATGTAAACATGTTGTGCTGAGTTCCCAAAAGTACCATGTGGGATGATGCTGGCATCGTACATAGCGCCTGAATGTCCGAGTCAACGTATGGCCATTTCTACCCTGCAATTCGGACCGACAGACAACTTCAACGGCGTACCTAAAAAAGTCGTGCAGGGATTACACATTCGCAACCGAATTTGTTTATCGGAAGGCAGATCATGCGAATTCTCAGCTGTGCTGAGTCGAATGGACTGCCTTTGATCAACAGCCATGAATGTCAGCGAAATTTGGCTTGCACGTGCAGCGAGCTTCTCAATTGCGGGTCTCTTTACATTCCCGAATGTATTGCTCGGCAGGCAAGTCAAACGTCACACAGGTTTTCGAGCGGATATGTTAAGCTTAAAACGGGAAGCGAGACGACACTTGAGCTACAGTGTATTCGCAAGGGAATTACAAGGGACGCTTACAACGCGTCGGTTCCGCCTCGTTCGACTCATGATGTAATAATCAAGGGCAATCAGCCGTTCCTCTAGGGAGAGGTGGGGGGAAGGGTTTGTTGTGCGTGCAGTCGCGGCAGGTGACGGTAAACGAGGGATGCACATGCGCATCGCGCTGGTGGTAGCCTTCGGCAGCTGCACGAGTTGGTTTTTTTTTTTTTTTTTTTTTTTAATTTTGGTGGATGTTGCTCTGTTGATCGACTACGACACTTGAACGGATATGCACTGGATTCTGAATGTGGAAGCGACTCGCCCCAGAAGACCCAGGTCGAACATTTTCTTTGTGGACTTGGTATTGTCACATCTTGAACTTTTCGTCCTTATTCCCTCGCGCGGCTTTATCGGGATTTCTCTTAAGGTTGGTGGGATGCAGGTCTCAAGATCTACATACAGTCTTCCTTTTTGAAGTCAATACTAGCAAGGTTGAGGGCTCCACTGACCTACAGTATGTTATTGGAAAGCTCTTGTCCCCAAAAAAGACCCTCTAAGCTAATGTCCTGTTCGCCACTACTGAAAGACAACGAGGTCGTTTTGCTGTCTTTTGTGAACAATGTTGTCATCCTCGCGGCGGTAAACTTTGCTTGTTCGTGCTGGACACGCTTCAAGTGAACGCATGTTGCCGAAAGCTAAAGTCCATATCATTTACGCATGGATTCGAGCATAACTGGCTGATATCCGTTGGGGTTAATCAGCATATAATAAGAATTAGTTGAAGGTTCCGATGTAAGCCATAGTGACACTGTGCGTCTAACGAGCAGGTTATGAAAGAGAGTCGGACTGTGTGTACTATATAGCGGTGGTGTTATGACAGATTATACACATCATGGAGCCCACTAGAGTTGAGCAGACAAGCACCATGCTGTTATCTGAACGTGTAAATTCATGAGCAGTGGAGGCTCCCCTAGACAATCAAAAGTTCGTATTTCAAGTCCTCCACCGCCACCGCCGTGGACATAGACGACCACTGCACTGGAAATCCGTCGTCTATTCGACGGTGGACCGGTGGCAGGCGTCATCTACCTTTTTCTTTTTTTTTCTCCAGGGCAGCAAGCTCGTATCTTGAGGCAAAATGTCGGGGATATTCGCAGCGGGTCTCCTTCGATCCGACGGAGAAGTTGTGGAGCCTATTTCCCACTCATGTTAGAGCAACAAAGTTTATGAAAACCAAAATCGAAACCAGACAAAAAATTGAGAGAATGAAGAGAACGAAATCATGAACTGGACGGAATCTTAGATTGAATGAAACTCTGGTTTCGAAGTAAATTACACGGGCTATGTTCCCAGAACATATCTATTGTCAAACTGCTTCTGGATGTTCTCACAAATATGGACATTCCCAACCTGTTGGCCTTGTAGAACGCCACAAGACATCGCCAAAGCTGTGGATGACCTCAAGTGACTGATTTAAGCGTCATCCTAAACATGAAGGAAAAGATGCAGCCAGAAGCCACATGCTCTGCTCTACATTAATTGATTTGGATGTCATACTCTTTTAGAAAGAGATCCAGCTGCGACCAGATGGATTGAAAAATATGCGCCAAGCTAAGTTGCATAGATACATTTGCGGGCTGTGCTGGAAGGTGTTTAAAGTTATCAGATTTATATTTAAACCTTTCTGCATCTTCACACGTTTTTTTTTGGAATACCATCAGTACTGACGAAAGCTTCTCGGCCGATGGTCGTTTTCTCTTGCCCTTATGAGCTGGAGTTCAGCAGATGAGCCTTCACTTACTGCTTGATGGTGTGATCTGTCACCTCTGTAGACGACAATGTATTTGCTTGAAACTGGCATACGGCAAGCAGAGGCGAGTCAGCTTGCTGCAAATTCTGGGAAGCAATACAAACTAGCATCGAACTGCCAATAAGACACACACTTAGATTAGCCCATCATCATTGTTTGAAGTGCATAGGCAACTGGGTGAAGTCGACACGGCTAATGACGCCCGACGATTCAGGCAAGAACTAGTTTTGCAGGCAGCAGCATCAGGCAGCAACAAGCAAGCCGCAGCGGGCCCGTGCCCTGCGACCACGGCAAGGGGGGAGATCACGTTACGTGGGGCTTGTCCCAAACCAGCATAGCGTGGTTGACGCACAAGCCAAGCGCAGAGCAGTATAAAATCTCGCTCTCCCTTCGAACCTCAACTTGAAAACCATTCTAGTGCAAGGGCATTACGCGTGACAGTGAAGATTCGTCTGAGTCCGTGTTATTGCTAGTTGAAAACTATACTTTTGACCGCTTCTGCCGGAACCCCTCTGGGGATTCGACAGGGAATTTTTGGCATCCATTTCGTCTCGTCAACGGAGAGAAGCAAACTTTTCATCGATCACGTCTCGCGTGCGCCGCGGGGGGTTGAAGAAGAGTGACCAGACAACCAGCTGTAAGAAGACCAGATGGCACACGGACGAGCGACGTGCTTTTGCGCAGAATTTATGTTGTTTCCGTGGGATGATGATCAAGTCGAACGAGGTCGACGTGCATGAATCCGTTGCAGTGCTCGGAGACGCTGTCGATCTTTCTGCACCATGTATGTGTGGAGGACGCACACCGTCACCAGCAGCACCGCTTTGCCAACACACCCTTTTTCTCGCACAACATTCACTCTTTCTTCCTCACCCTTTCCACGTCATGTCCTCCGCTCCACCTACGGTTCTAGTGACAGGCGGTTCGTCCCTTCACAAGGACTCAAGTACCACCGTGAATGCTGATTGACGTCTCTCAACAACAGCATCGGGCCTGCTCGGTCGCGACATCATCAAAGCTTTCGAACGCGACGGAGATTGGAAAGTAGTCGGTACTGCACTGTCAAGGGCCAATCCCCCGTCCATTGTCAAGCTCGACCTGCAAGACGACGCCGCCATCAAGCAGCTCCTGGATGATGTACAGTACGTCCAGTCGCCATGCATGTGTTGTGCTCTTTGTTCGCAGCAGCTGTTCCGCGCATCATGATGACGATTGTTATACGAGACCGTGCCCATGCTGAGCTTTAGACTTGCTTAAGACCAAAGGTCATAGTACACAGTAAGGATCCGTCCATCCCAAATACGAAAATACCGTTTGCTCCCGCAACGCTCTGGACTCTCTGCAATCGCACGTTCACTGACTCTGGCCGTGTCACGCACAGGTGCGGCAAATCGATTTCCGGACAAAGTCGAGGCAGACAAAGCCCTCGCCCACGCCGTCAACGTTGCGCCTACCCGCCTCCTCGCTTCTGAAGCTGCCTCTCGCTCCATATTCCTGATCTACATAAGCACCGACTACGTCTTTCCCGGCCTGCCTGGGCAGGCACCATACACGACGTCCTCACCCGCCGCACCGACCAACGCGTATGGCCAGACAAAATATGAAGGCGAGGTTGCCGTGTTAGAGCAGACGGCGCAGGGTAGCACCCAGCTTCCCGTGCCTGCGGTTGTCTTACGTGTGCCTTTGCTCTATGGACACTGCGAGAAGGACGACCCGTCCAAAAGTGCCGTCCACCCACTCATTGACGCCTTGTGGAAGGCGCAAACCTTGCCACCAGGCGCGCCCAAGATCAAGGTCGACGATTACGCGTTGCGCTATCCGACGTGCACCGAAGATGTCGGCCGTGTCTGTCGCGACATAGCCAAGCTGTACACCTCTGACCAAAACCGTCCAGATCTCCCTCGCATCCTTCACTTCTCCGCTGAGGAGCAGTACACGAAATATGGCATGTGCAAGCTGTTCGCAGACGAAATTCTGGCGCTTCCCATGGAGAATGTTGTGCCGTGGGATCCGACGAAGGACGAGGGGCAAGCGACGGCTACCGTGAGACCGTACAACACTCACTTAGACACAAGTGTGCTGAAGCACTTGGGCATCGATGTCTCGACGATGAATTTTCTTGCCTGGTGGTACGTTACATGACCATCTGCCATTTTTCGTCCGTCACCTTGTCACATCGTCTTCTTGACTGCTACGCTTCCATTTGCTGCAACGCCCCACTCCCTGTCTGCCTTGGTAGTGCGATGTCTCCCCTCTCACATTGTTTCATGCAATCTCCTGGGGACCAGGTGGGCGTGAAACATTGTTAGCCCTGCCCTGCCCTGGCCCCTTACTCAGGCCGAACGCCCCCCTTGTTGACAAGCGGAACAAACAATATAAACATCTATATGAGCTGTGGCGGTGCTGTCTGTCCTCAAGCTGCCTTCTTGGGAAGTCGGTGCCGATCGCTCTCTTCGATGAGTGTACTGCATAAGGCTTGTACACCTACGTACACCTTTGCCCATGCCATACAGCGCACATGCCCGGTGTCCTCGAATAAATTAATGAGTGGCAATATACACACTTTTGTACGTACACTGACCCGTTCACCCAGGAAGCGCGAGCTCAAGGCGTTCCGTCACTGAGTGGTGCTTGCACGTGCTATGCCCGCTGCATTCACTCTTCCAGTTGTCTAGCTACACATGCCATGTCCGCGGTGAGATACGTACATGTACTTTTGTAAACAAAACTTGGCCGAGAATCCGCGAAATCTCCACACGGTGGCATTCGGGTTGGTATGCTTGTGCGTGTGTATTCTTAGAACCTAATGTGGCCACTTGAAGGTTACATTGTACTCAAGTTTCCTTCCGGACAAACACTCGAAGAAACATGTGGCAAACAGTGCCAAACATACTTTATGTAATGGCCAAATATCTGCGTCCCACCACGCTTGCCCCTTGCTCTTCCGACTCAAAAATAATTCGGCGGTTTGATCCGCATTCTGCCCTGTGAGATCTCCTTACTAATCGAGCAGAGACAATAAGAAAAGTGTATCCTCATGGTAATGAAATCCAGTGTGCCGCACGATCAATTGCACAAGCAATGCCTTCCAAAATTGCATCATCCGATTCTACTCCTTGTCGTGTTCGACGCTTTCCCTTCCAGCGGCAATCGAACCGTCTTGGCGGAACACTTTAATCTGAAGAATGCCTGGCATGGATGCGTTCCACGGCGAACCCCATCGTGCAAGCATCTCCGACATCTCAAACAGGGTTCTTTCGAAACGTCAATCCCCACATGTGGCGTAGTACGTGCTGGGGAAACCTGTCGCCACAAAACAGAAGCTGGCGGTGAACAGTGCCCTGCGTGTTTTCGTGGCTTTTTGGTTTTTTTTTTTTTTCTTTTCGGCTCGTGCGATCTACACTTTTGCTTTGCGAGGCGGTGCGAGTAGCTCGCAGGCAGGTTCGCGTCGCGGCCCGTCTGGACCGGCTAGGCCGCCGAGGCTGGGGCTCATCTTTGGCGACGCACTGCCAAAGCGGCGGGGACACAGTCCGGAAAGCAACGCTGTGTCATGTTCCCCTCCCGCTTCGGGGATGACCGAACGGCCCTCGTTGGTTGTACAATTCGTCACTCGATCCTCGGGTTGGACCGTTACGTCGGCTGCGGGAGAAAGAATCGAAAGAGCAGGCACAGAGAGAATGGTAGCAAAGATTTTCTTCATTTGGCCAAGTCTGGCTCAAGAATCCAAGGGTTCTATGATATACACACATGTAATCATTGAGGTGAAGCCTTCCCTGATCCTGGTGGCTGGCCTCTTTGACAGGAAGCCTAGAAAAATGCAGATTGTACAAGAACAAAAAGTTGATGACCCAAGTGCTCGCAATGCAGAGTCTCTGGCGGTAAGAAAACAGCGTAGAAGAAGAAGAGGGGTTAGAATTTTACATGAGGTCGCGTCCTCATAGTAGCGGGCTGATGTGTCGCATCTGGTGAGCCCGAGCATGGAGATGTCGTGGATGCGTCCGCTTCTCCTTCTGGGTAGAGGCAATGGCCTTGACGGCTCCGCCGCTGCACTCGGTGCCGGCGGCCATCTGCATTGGCGTGGCGCAACCCCAGGCGCACATGCCGAACGTGGTCGAGTCGATACAGTAGAAGCCTGAAGTTGAGCACGCAACCTGACCATTTGTGCACGAGCCGGTGGTGCCGGTTGATGCGCCTGTCGAGCCTGAGCCTGTCGAGCCTGAGCCGGTCGAGCCGGTCGCAGCTGGAGCGACGGCCGAGGTGACGAAGGTCGTGGCAATCTGGGTTGCAGTTGGGGAAGCTCCTGGTGCGAAGACGCCGCCTGGGTTTCCTGAGCCCGCTCCGGTGTTTCCGGTACCTGAGCTTGGGACGGCCGTGTACTGGCCGCTGCTGGCAGATGTTGCAGTGCTGCCCGTCGAGCCGCCTGCGGTTGTTCCTGTAGAACCGCCCGTCGAGCCTCCGGTCGAACCACTACTACCCTGACCTGTACCACAACCGGTACCCTGCATGAGCTTCAAGGGGTAGTTCAGAGTCGTGTCCTTGGTGACATATTGGCCTGGATCTGGAAAATCAGTGTTGAATTGCTCGGTCGTGCTGCAGGAGTTGATGCTCGCTAGGTTGGCAACGGCCATTGCGGGCAGGCTGTCCATCTGGCCTATGCCACCAGTGATGGAGACTTTGGCGCAATTCATGTACATTTCGCGGTTTCCGATATTATTGAACCAGGTCCAGGCTAGAATGGCATTGCCATTCTGAACTTCCTGAGGAATTTGGAAAGTCAAATTCTGGTACACGCAATCGGGCGCACTGGTTGGGCATGCCACAGCCGTGGGAAGATTGCCCTTTGCATTTGTTGGGCATCCACCAACAAAAGAATGTATGACCTTCCAATTAGCTGGATCCTTCAGCTTAGTAGCATCAGTCTCGTAGGTGAGAGATATTTGACAGGATCCACCACCATGAACGGCAGTGTTTGCACCTTGGCCGAGATCGAATTGGAGTGGCTGGCTACTACCAGCTGCCATTGAGGTGGTCTGCCCTTGGGTCAAATCAGCACCGTGGCATGGAAAATTATCTCCTGAAGCGTCCAATGGGTCCTTGGGAGCGGAGCCAGGGATAGGCACGGGTGTGCTGATGAAGAAATGTGCGTTCGCAGATGCGAAGAGTGTGGCCACAAAGGCGGCTGAGATGCTTTTGCAAAACATTGTCGTAGAGACTGTGTTGTGAAGACTGAACTTGTTGGATTCGAAATCGCAGAACCGGCTTGCGACGTGAGACAAATGTCAGCTCGAAAAGGAGTGTGCTGATCAGAAGCTTCACAGAAAAAAAAAGATGGTAATGCTATGCCACAGGCAAGCGATGAAGAATGAAGGAACGAACTGAAGGACTAGCCTTGACTATGCAACGAGCTTCAACAGATATCAGTCGAGGGTGACAAGAGAAACAATTCGAGGAGCTGATGCGCCTTATTATAGGTCTCTTCCGAGGAACCCTCAGCCCCTCTCCTGGACGGAGCGTGTGTGAGAAACGGTGATCAAGCTTTGACGATGCCTCTACGTGCATGATGCTGAGCCACAGCGGAGAGGATGTGCGCTACAGCGCAATGACGACCAATCTGGACATGGACTCATGGCGTAGCTCAGAACGGCAGAGTATGGCGTGTCAGGATGTGGATTGTGGTCCGTCCACTCAGGCCACTGGGAAGATGGAAAAGCAGCATTCTCTAAGAGCCAAGGGGTTCAGAGTCAAGCGGCCAAGAGAAAGCCAAGAAGTCAAAGGATGGAGCTAAGAGAGTACGATCGTCGGTATTGGACCACAAGAAATGGGACGGGGTATGTGTCGAAACATCTAAGCTGTGCACAAAGCACAGAAGGGGGTTTCTCAGGAGTCGACGTCGTAGGCCTCGTGCTAGCTGGAACCCCGTGTGGCGCATGAGGGCCTTGTTTGCTGGCTTCGGGACACCCAACGGCCTCCCCTATCGATAACTGGCTGTCGCACGCAGCACGCTAGGTGCCTCCGCCTGCGAATCAGATGCGTCAGCTCCGGTCTTGTTGTTCACTTCGCGGAACGGAGGTGTTCAGGCTACCACTGAGGTTCTCTGGTGTGTGTACGGACAACGCCGTTTGAATCTTGCTCGCCGCTGTCATGATTCGGTGATCTGCCAAACAGAAACAATTATCCAAGCCTTTGACGTGGTTGGGCTAGTAAGTAGGGGGGGACTGAAACATTTGTCGACAGCGGAACCCAGTTCGATCACAAGACCACGAGCTTTCTGGGCAGCGGCAGAAAAATCGTCAACATCCAGACTTCCTTTCTGCAGGCCGGATGTCATAGCGGTCACATCTGAACGTAGGAACCCGCGTCGACCAGCTCCACCGAAATTTCATTAGCCTCCGCCGTCGTAGCATTATGCGACTCCGCATGGACGAACGAAACTCGTGCACGTGCAACAGGTTGCAAAACTATTGCGATCCTCGTAAGAAATTTATCTTGTCTTTTTCGAGCAGGTCAACATGTCGATAAATTGATGTTTCTGGTCCCTCCTGGCTTGGCAGAACATATTCAATATCAAATCTCGATTTGGGGCCGTCTGAAGATTCTCGAAAGATTTGCAATTGTTTCAAATGGCCCTTGCCTTCTTCTTTTGTTATTTATCGCCGGAAGCACATCGTCTCGGAAAGTTCGACAATGGAGGCTTTTGTCTCCGTTTCATGTGCATCAACATCGAATAGACCGCTTGAAAAGGTTGAAAATACTAGAATGCGACGCTGGAGATTACATGTCACCTAAGCATGGCGGACCAGCATCCGCGCGCGATGATACCCTTCAGATGCAATCAAGCGGTTGCAGGATTTCTGTTCAACAAGATCGTCTATTCACACCTCATTTTTTATCCATTCCTTTCCGCTCGGAAGGAGAACAAGGTAACCATATCGTAGAGTTCATCAATACCGAAGAAGAGCCAAGACTTGACAGTAACGCTTCATTGAACAGACTTTGCTCGATTACAGCCATCCGCTCTCCATAGCTTTTCCAGACTTCCAAGTCCGGAATCGAGCTTTAACGTGCCGACTTCGCATCGTAGCCGGAAACATCCACCTCTTGTTGTTCGATGAAGTCGTGAATGTGTTCCCTCTTCTAAGCGCCACAACATACGGGCGTTTCTCGATCCCTACGTGACTTTCTTTATCTGGTCCAATGAAACTGCCAAATCCATATTCGGTGCCAAGGTCGTCAAGATGCTTGATGAGTGTGTGATTGCGAAAGGCTGCTGTGCCTCGCAGATCTCTCACCGCTCTGCTGGATGCAAAGTAAGCAATGACCGATGCCAGGTCGGTTGGCATGCGACAGAGTATTTTCCAAGGTCGACGTGTGTAAAGCACAACCGTCACGATCAAGTAAATACCCAGAATGGATTCTGAAAGAAGAAACATTGTTTTCGACATAAATATGCGCGTTGTTGGCTGAAGGACAACTCCCGAAAACTCCTCCTGGTTACTTCTGTTGAACACACTGTCCTGATTCTGCTGGAGCCAAATGGCGAAAAGCTCAGAGTAAAGTTTACTGAAGGGAGCCAAAACGTCTTTTAAGCCAAGCTGAGGGGCGTTTGGATCGAGCAAACGATTGCTGTCGATAGCTTGCGCTATGAGATAGTTGCCAAAATCCGATGGGAAAGAGTCGTTGTGCCAGGTTAGTCCAGGATTGAGGATAGATTGATGCGCTTGGCCGATAATATCGGAGGCGGTCGAGAGAAACATTGAGTCATTCGCATACAACGCGTGCAGCTCCTCGCTCTGAAGAACACGATCATCTCCGCCTACAGTAATATCTGCGAGGCCAGTCACGAGTCGGCTCCGGCAAGCCATGATGAAGGCAGAGTATGATTCGACGATTGAAGGAATTGTAGGGCTATATTCAGTCCCAGGCAGTTGAGTTCCATTTACAAGCTTGCCATGAACCCACCCTGCGGCCAGATGTTCCTGACAAAATCGATTATCGTCGATTGAGCTTCCATTAATTCCCTGCAGGGCATAGGTGAACTCATACGAGCAATTCCCAGTGGGTCGCGAGAAGATATTCAATGGATCGACAGTCAGCCCATTTATTGTGTATGGTCTTGGCACGCAAGACACTGTAGATGCATCTCTTTGAAGGACAACAATCAAGTCATTTCTCGATGGAATATTGGCGAATCCCGAGTCGTCGAAAGCTGTTCCCGTGACATTAAACACCGAGCCTTGAGGTAAAGTTTCGCAATCTAGGGCTGCGCCGAACATATTGGTCGTACCCCGGCGTGAATATGAAGAATTTACACTATCAGTATTATGGAAAGGCTGATAGAAATACTTTGCATCGACCCACGTCGGCAGCGAGGTGTTTGCGGTCTGATTCGATGTCGCAATATAAAATGGTTCCACGGTATCCCCAGTAGTTGCAACCACTGGAGGTCCGCTTCCATTGAGGTTTGCGAAATGCAAAGTCATTGGTCTGGTGAACTGTGTTTTCGACGCGAGATCAACTATGGATTCGAAAAAAAGTCCACTGAGCGCCACCGACAACACATTGGCAAGTAATGTCATCGTGCATACAGTCGCAAGAAGATAGTGTCGTTTGTATAATGCTTTGCCCACAACAAGTTGAGGCGGCAGCGAGCTGAATTCTAGTCCAATTGATTTTGAAGCTATTTGCGTGTCCTTTCGCAGTGTTTCAAAGGGTTGTAGGTAGCAAAGGTTACGATTCAACATCGTCCAAAAAGGCTCGATCATCGTACCGATTCCTGTCGGAATATAATTTTCCAATAGCTGTCTAACGAATCTGTTCGAAGTCGGAATCGGTATACCGTTATTCCTCTGTACTTGAGAATATAATATTCCAATCATAATAAAAATGATAAGAAGGACAAGAAAGAATGCCAAGCCGATCTTGAGCGAAAGCTCGAAAGGTTGAACGCCAGGTATAGCCTCTTCGCTGCTGTTATACGATGCTTGGGGTCTAATCGCATTTCCGTTCATGTCATCAGAAGTGCCATTCCTGTCGAAACGCGTCTGCTCCAGATATATATGATGGTATCCATTGCCTGACTGATTAAATTGAAGACGGAATTGCCTATTCTTGAGCACGGATTCAACCTCCTCTGTGGTCGAAGTGTCCATTTTAGCAAAAAGCCGCAGAAGCGCCTCGTCATCTGCAACTAAAGACATGGTTGCGGCAATACTAGCAGGGTCTGCCGAGAGCTTAGTTCGTCGAGTCTGTGAAAAATAGAGGAGGCTAGCAGCGAAAAGACATGCAGCACCGAGTAAGGCCTGGACAATGTATACGAAAATAGGGACCGCTATGATGGCTTCGGTTTCAACCTCGATCTCGCCATCTACTGCCGTCCCGTGGTCTAGCTGGGGTAGAAGCACGTCGGATAATTGTCGCGCAAATAGTAATCGATACGCATTTTGGTAAGACAGTGCGAGTGTTTGTGGGTTGAGATAGTCTGACATGGGCACTTTGAGTGATCCAATCGCAAAAGGTGCCATCTTGGAGAGAAAGCCAAGATACAGCTGAGAATCTTGGAGGTATGAAGTCTGATCAGGCCAGTAGAGTGTAGGGAAATCTGTTCTAAACCGATCTTGTCCCTCGCTCATAGCTTGTTCAAAGAGGCTTGTGTTGAAAAGTTCGATTGGGAGTGGCTCGGGAGCTGCCAAAGGTGTGATTGTGACGATGCTTCGCTCTGGTAAGCGTAGCGTGGCGCGAACCTTTTGTTCAAAATATGCTGAACGACAATAGAGGTTAGTTACACTAGCATTGTCTCGCTGTTCTGTCGCAGTCATATTGGCGAACACAGGAGCTGACACATGAGCCTGGGACCATTGTATCATGAAGGTGTTCGATTCATTTGCTGGACAGGGGCCATTTGACAGGTAATATTGCGCATTTCCGTCAATATTGTAACTAATTTGGATTAGACCAGTGTCGATTTGCTGAGTGACTTGAAAAACGTACTAGCCAACGTAAAGAGTGTCGAATATTTTAGACTCATCCGTGTTGTTCGATCCAGCAGGATTGCGAAGAGCAGGAGCACTGTAGGAGCAGCCCCAAGAGCTATTCAACATGTAGACACCATTGCGCTGCCATAAGGTAGCATTTTCGCATGATACATTTGCGAAGTATTGTTTAGTGACACCGGTCCAGCGCCCCTGGGCCAGATCCACCGAACTCGAAAGAGGACCAAATGGAGCTAGCATGGCATCTCTCGTCATGAATGGTTGCAATGTCTCATTCAGCCACAGGATGCTTGAGACGGATGTTGCCGATTTTGCTGAAAGTCCTTGTGTCTGCTGCTCCAAAGACAAATGAGAGGTAGAGTAGGCCATTGGAGTAGAAATCGTCTTGTTGACTGTAGCCGTCGCAAAAATGCCTGCTTGAGAGGGTGTCAAGCCCCAAAATACAAATGCTGTTGCCAACGAGGCTATTAAAGGACTCCAATGTCTGCGCAAACGTAAGTCGCTTGATGAAGTGAAGAAAAGAAATCGAACGATTTACCGAAATCGAAATGCTTTCAAGGGAACCGATGCCAGAAAGTCAACAGGGTAACATAGCAGCAGCGACTCTGAGGAAGGCGCGCCTGCTGGCTTGGAAAGTTGGTAGTATGGTTCCATTCTTCGTATATCTAGGTCTACCCATGCCCAAGCAAAGCCATATAGTACTGCCGTTATAGTAGGAAGATACAAGTATGGGAACGAGCTTGAGAGCGGAACTTCATTGATGTTGGCAGCGAAAAGAAGCCCATTGTTCCGTTGGCTCTTCGTAAGAAGGTATTGCAGAATCGTGATTAGAAGGATGCTGACGACAATGATACATGTGAGGAAAGGAAAGCACAAAGACTTTGGGCGCCAATCTCTTGGATCTAAAAAGCAATGAGCCATCTTTGTCGCCGTGGTCAAGTCAGCTTACCTTTCCTACGATTGTAGCTTCTCTTAAGCATCCGATACCATGGCCGTGAGGCATTTTGAGCAGTGTTGCCATCAGTGCCTGCCCCATCAGCAGCAGCGTGAACCTGTTCGATAGCTTCCATGTAAGAAAAAGAATAGTAGCGCTCAGCGCAAACAACGAAAGGAAAGAGAGAAACTACATAAACAGGATGGTACAAAGGAGCAGAAAATGAAAATTGATGTATATGCGGTCATTCTGTTCTGATTTCTAGCGATTTGAGGCAAATTCCCTTGTACCGTTCGACACTTTGCGTCCTGTCATTGGAAGACTGACTGAACATTAAGAAGACGAAGCCCAGCTAAATTGCGTATCCGCGCATTACTTGAGCCTCATGCATGGTCTGAAGCGAAAATTGACGCTGGCCGCTTAGGGGCCGTCATGCAAGCGCGCAACGAGCGTATCATATGCACAGTTGTGTTATATTTTTGGAGCCGCGACTTTGTGCTTGCTGCACGAATCGGCTATTCCTATCTGAGAAAAATGACCAACTCAGCCGTCTTCAACCACCACAGCCTGCGCGCTTAGAACCTGGCTCTGGAGAAGGAAAGATCCATCCTTGATGCTTGTGGTCTCATCCATTCGCACCTTGACTAGAAAATCAACCATTGAAGTTCATAGCAATCCGATCAGGGCGTGACTACGACTCTGTCTCCCTTGTCATCCCAAGACTTGGAAATATCCGCCATTTTAACCACCTTGAAAGGATAGTGTTTGACATTCACAAGCCCTTTTTGAATCAAGCTCGTCATACCTTCATTCAGTTGTGGAATGGTGAAAGAACCTGGCCCTGTGCCCGTCAAGATGATATTCTTACTGCGAAACACAGCCGCCGGGATCTCAGCAGTCAAGGACGACATTGCGCCAATCTGCACGTAGTGAAACGGCTTTGTGAATGCTGGCAGGCTGTTGAGTAGCGCCAGTGCTGGCGGGCCCCACAAATAGTCCAGTATCAGGTCCACGTCCGCAGCTTTGGACCAGTCTGTCTGGTCCGCGGGTTCCTTGAGCTCGATATAGTCATCGAGCCCCAGCGTCTTCAATTTTTCCACATTCCGTGCAACTCCGACGATTTTGCTCGCACCGAGCTGGCGCTCCAACTCAATCGCCAACGCGCCGGACGTAGTCGTAGCGCCCAGAATGAGAACCTTGAAATTTTCCGGCAGGTCCCTCGTCCGATACTTGGTTCCCATCCAAGAGCTCATGCCTGGATTCGCCAGGCCAGCGATCTGCACCGGATCTGCACCTTCCGGAACCTCAATCACGCCAGACTTAGGGACGTTGACCTTCTCGGTGAAGGAACCTCCCTTGGGCGTCATTGTGGAGAAATATACCAGCTTGCCGTCCAGCGTACGGCCAACCCCGTCAGTACCAGGAACGTGAGGTAGGCCTTGCGCAGAGTAATGCTGCCCGGATGCACGCGCCTTGACAAGCGCGGTAAGGCCTGCCGCGAGGACGTCCACCTGGACCACATCGCTATCAGGATCTGGGACGGGAGGGTCGTCAACTTCCAAACACTTGGGCCTTTGCCCGAATTCCGTGACTTGGATTTGCCTCATGGGTTATATATTCGCTTGGTTTGTCTCGACTGTGCCAAGTTGCGCTGGTTTATGACACTATGTTTGGCATGAAAAAAAAGAACACCATGATCCAGTGAGCTTTATACAAAGCACATCCCCAAGGGCTCTTCCCTGCATGGCAGCCAACTCGACAGCGTCGATCTAACTCTCCGTTGGTGTTTGCAAATGCTGATTCAGCAACTACTAACCAATGCTCTACGGTTTTCATCTACAACGAAAGAATTCGCGGAAATTTCCGCAGTCATACCTACGACACGTAGAAATGAAACCTGAAGCTTCAAGTGTACTGACGATCCAGAAAGCGAAATCCGAAATACTCGGAGGTTGGGCATCAGTCCTGGAGCTCAAAGCAATGCGGCATGAAGTCTTCCGTCGTGTAACGCTCGGAAATCTTTTCGCGGCCGAGAGCCGACTGTTTGATTACAAAGAAGCCTGACGATGGCTCGAGGTCGAATCACTTAGAATAACAAATCAATGGGGAGCAAATCAAGAACCGCATATTGATTTTTCCGCTTCTCTTATTGTAAGAATGTCGAATGCTGTCATGATACGAATAAGGCCCGAGCCAAGCGTAAACCAAAAAAATACATTCATCAACGTGTACTTCTGTCGTGACAATTCAAATAATAAGCAAGGGAACAACCAACAAGTCCCGGCGCGGCGAAGACGGGTATCAATCAAACACGCCAGATATTACCCCAAAACATAAGCTCCTGCCTCATAAGGTTTGCCTTTTCACACCCTCTCGCCCTTCTTGCCTCTCTTGATGAGCCTCAACCTCAAGTCGTCTACTCCTTCGGCCCATTTGCCCACATCCTGCATGGTCCCTACCTTTCCTCCAGTCCACATAGTCAAGAACTCACCCATCTTAATCTGATCATATTTCTCTCCGTACACGACTTTCACGTCTACTTTGACAGACGTCTTGATATGTTCTCCATCCTCCGCAACAACTGATGACGGCATTGCTGCAATTTCGAAACGGATCCTAACTTTGGTTTGGAGTGTTGCTAGTAGCAGTATAGCATCAACGGCCATACGCTCATCGCCAAGGATAACTTCTTGAGTGGGCTGCGACAGGTTGAGCAAACGGACGACTTCCGAAACTGCAAGTGCAGTCTGCCACGTCGATGATATTGTGCGTAGGATGCTCGAGACAGGAGTCTGGCACTGGGGAACTGATAACAAATGAGCTCGAAGAAGTTGTAGAAAAAAGCGCTTGGTCGTAGTGAGCGGTCTCGCTCTCTGATTACTGCGACTTCCGTTCTCACCATCCCCAATGTACGACAATGAAATCGGCATGTTGGGTTGGGATTCGATCGCGTTGCCGAACGAGTCCGGGTGCAGGAAGAGCTCCAGATCAGACATGTACCTCAATGTGACTGTGTTCGGCATCGAAGAGGCAGAGACGATGCTCCAGCCATGCTCTCGCTCCAGTTTGTCGACCTTAGCTTTCAGCTGAGCGACTTCTTCGGCTTCCCAGCCGCGGAACTCCTCCAGGACACGCTCTGCTGCCTTGATCTCTTCGAGACACTCAGCTTTGCGCTCGCTTACAGCTTCAATGCGTGACGTAGTCTCAGCAAGATCCGCTTGCAGCTGCGCAAGAAGTTTTTTCTTCGCTGAAATATCCTTGTCTGTTTCCACCAGCCTCTCTCGCGCTTGCTCCAGTTCCTCACGATCGTAGCTTGCTTCTTCATCTGCTCGCTGCTGCAGAAGTTGCGCCTGGGCGCTTAGATCCTCAAACCGCTCTTCTAAAGGCGGGAGTTCATCAGCCAAAACAGCTTCTTGCTTGGTAAGGATCTCGGCATCTTTGCTAAACTCCCAGACAGTTTGTTCGAGGCCTTTCTTCAACTCTCCTAACAATTGGGCTCGCCAACCGTGCCATCCCGCTTTGCTCTGCAACCTCGCATTTGTTTTCATATTCTTGAATTGATTGTCCATAATATTTCGCTCCTCGGGCGGGGCACTTAGATATTCCCTGAATAGAGGCGGTTGATTTTCATACACTTCTGCAGCAAGAATCTCGAGCTCCTCTCGTCCTCCCGAAATGTAGTTCTTCATCTCGTTACACATATGTTGGTACATGCTTAGCACTGGAAGGGTGCCTGCAGCAGCAGCGATGATGTTTTCTAGGCTTGGAGCTTCGTGCTCCTCAACTTCATTGTCTAGGCCAGAAGTCAACTTCCGGTCCGCACCCGGGTAGCCGGTATGTCGTCGCTTTGTAGTCGTTAAGTCCATGAAGCGTATATTTGTCATGTTAAGGAAATCCTGAAGTGAGATTTTTTCGCCCTCCTCTTCCTCGTCTTTTTGTTCAGTCACTTGTGATTCCATAACAGATTCCGCCATTTGCACGCGTTTCCGAGGACTTGCGCGTTGAGGTGTTATACCCTTTTTTGGTGTTGTAGATGCCTTCTTCGGGGTAGCTTCCTTCTTTGGTGTCGCCGTTATCTTCTTGACGGGCGACACAGGATGCTGTTTTCTCGGTGTGGACATGAGCTTCATTGAGTCTGAAAGCGAATGAGCTTTTGCAACTGTTTCCTTTAAAGGCGAGAAAGTGATTGGTGGCGCAATCTGGCTGCGATTTTGCTGAGGCGTAGTCATGACATTCATCTCTGCAGACTGATGTGCAGATAAAGTCTCAGGAGACCCAACATCAATCAGTTTAGGCAAAGACTGGGGTGCAATACTTTTGCGCGGAGACTTGTGTGGCGATCTTCTGGATGTCGGAGTCCGTTTTGGACTCGGCGTTTTTGCTTCAGGTTGGCGAGTTGGCTCAGGGGTCGTCTGTTGAGCAGCAGGCTGTTGCACCTTGATTGTCTTGTCCACGGTTGTCGTGAGATCCATGCTGATATCATCCTCTTCCGTTTGCAAGGTCTCCTGAGCCTGCTTCGAAGATCCTAGAATGCCGCCCTGAACCATCGTGAAATCCATGGTTTCTCCCTCTAGATCCGTCTCAATACTCTCGCGGCGATTACTTGCTTGCGCTTTGATCCCCCCCACAGCCATTGTAAAATCCATGGTCTCATCATCGGCCACAGACTCCACGGTAGAGGACCTTCTTCTTCGAATACTCGAACGCCGCGCAGGCCGCTTGGCTGGACTGCCTTCATTGGTTGTATTTGTGGACACTCGTCTCCTCTTGAGACTGTTGTGCTCCGCATTTTCAATGGGCTCATTCTGGTTCTCTTGTTGTCTGATGATTCCACCTATAACATGCGTCATGTCCATACTGATATCCTGTGTTGGCTCATCTTCGCCATCTTCGTTATCATTCCGCTTGAGTTCAAAGGACGGAGCGAACGGGTTGACATTCTCCTCATCTTGCATGGTCGAGAATTTGCGTAAGCCGACTGATTCGCGCTTGTTCCTCTGTGCAAAGGATCTGAATGCACTCGTAATTTCATCATTTGCAAGCTCCATTGACATCTCACCCGCCTCAATATCTTCTTCATGGAGCATCTGGTTCCCAGCCATCAAGGCTGCCTGCCGCAATGCTTCGTCTAAGCGACCGCTAGATGACGTAGATTCGTTAGAATCATTTGATACAATGCTTCTGCCTGTCGCATCCTCAACATCAACAAGACTCATGGCTGTGTCGTCGGCCTCATTATCACTGCTCCCACCAGCAGAAATCGTCTCGCTCGCTGGTGAGCTGCCGACTCCGCTCAATGGGCTTGATGAATACACGTCGTCTGGATTGTTGAAATTCATAGGCGGAATTCCCGAACTTCGCCGCCTATTTCTGCGCTGATGTGCATCACGTTGATTGGCAGGACTTGCAACCTCGGGTAATGAGTCTTGACTTCTTTCTGGCGGAGTCGAAGGAGGCTCCGCATCGCCTGCATGTGCAGGCGAGCATGGCTCAGAGGCCTCTGTTATGCTTGAAGCTCTTCGAGTGGACTCTGAGGAAGCACTCGAGGAGGTGGTTGCATCGCGCATATATTCAATGACATCCCAGGTGTGTAATGTTGCCTCCGGAGCAAAAGATACGCGTCGATTTGCTGTTTCAAGTAAGCCTATGTTATTATTCAATTGTACATCCCGCGTACCTAGAGATTTTCGTCGAGCCTCGCGTCTTTTCTTCGCATCGTCTTCTTGTGACGCTAGAATGGACTTCACCGACGGGATGAACGCAGACTACATGACGTGTCAGCAGGCCCCAAAGAGCTAAATACACCTCAATCACGCGTATATGTATACCTTCCTGCGGTTAACAGCGTTTTCGTTGTGTGGCACGTTCAGAGCTCCTGGACCCATGCTCAAGCTGCGCGACTTCTTTGCTCCCTTCTTGGGTGACGCAACAGAAGACATTGTGACGTTAGCAGACTTGGGCGCCACGAGCCCATCCGCAATATTCTCTTTGTTAGCCTCCATCACGAAGGTTTTGTGTGCTGCGCAATCATAGAAGGTGGGATGAAAGAGGATGGTGGGAGCTATGACGAGACGAATCAACACAGACGCTCGAACCAAAACGGTTGTAAACAATGCGCCACAATCGCAAGAGCACTAGCCACGATAGTTCCCATCAAGGCACGTGAGTCGTCCACAAAGACACGAACTCAGGCAGCAAGGCTTTCATTGTAAAAGTGGGTCGAAGCTACAGTGCCAAGCCCACACACCACCAATTCTTTCACGCTGTGTTAATCGCGGACGAAAAAGTGACATCCCAACATCGCAAACATGGCCACCGAGTTGACGGGTAAGTTTTGGCATCTCTACTGAGAATGATGTTCCATGCATGCATGCGATTACCTTTTAGCCGATTACTGCAATGTTCTGATAAATATGATGAGCTGACTGAAGATTCGCACAGTCCAAAGCGAACGCGCTTTCCAGAAGCAACCTCACATCTTCGTGAATCCGAAGGTTCAGAGCGGGTAAGCCCGGTAGCTGCTCTGTTTGTGTGTGAAAATACTCACATTCGCCGTAGCAAGACCAAGCGTAAGGGAAAGGGTGGTCGAAGATGGTATAAGGTGCGTAGCACTCCTGTGATTGAATGGCGGGACAATGGAAGAGTTTGGCCTATACAAAGAAAGAACTTCTGAGCGACTGTCGTGGAGTGGAGGTCAAGAATGGAGTCTCGCAGGGCCATCTGAATTAGCCATGTCCTCGGCATGATTTTGATGTTCTTGTGCGCCATCCTTCGCGCTCAATCCAAAGACAGCCATGATTGCGCGCACGAACTCTCGCGATGATGTTCAGGAATTTGGCCTAGCGAAATCCATTTTTTGTCCACCAACTATGAAGAGTGGAAAGAACAAACTGACGCAACCTACAGGATGTTGGTCTTGGTTTCCGTACCCCAAAGACCGCTATCGAGGGAAGCTACATCGACAAGAAGTGCCCCTTCACCGGTCTGGTCTCCATTCGTGGCCGTATCCTCACCGGCAAAGTGGTGTCTACCAAGATGCACCGCACCATCATCATCCGCCGCGAATATTTGCACTATATCCCCAAGTACTCTCGTTATGAGAAGCGCCACAAGAATCTGGCTGCCCACGTCTCACCCGCGTTCCGTGTTGAGGAAGGCGACCAGGTTGTCGTTGGACAGTGCCGTCCTTTGTCTAAGACTGTACGATTCAATGGTAAGATCCTCGTCGATACGAAAGGAGTTGACCATGTGATTAATGGATTTCAGTTCTGAGAGTGCTCCCGCGTACGGGTAAGGCGGTCAAGTCTTTCTCGAAGTTCTAGACAGCGACACGAAACCAGTTTTCACGGGGCACAAATGCATAGCATCATGGGTTTTATTCCGAGTTCCGGCGCGATGAGGCAGCATGACGCCTCGACATCACAGGCGTGTATGAAAATAGGGGTTCTCATTTGATCAAAGAACCAACTTGAGGGTTTAGCCATTAGATACAAATGAAAAGTCTAAGGTCTGACTCTTTCACCACTACTGAGATCCAGAATGATTTAGCTCCTATCTGCGTCCGATGAACATATGAAATAATACCAACGTTGAATGATTTGATCCCTTCATTTTGTAAGTGTGCCTGAACAACAACTCAACTAGGTGGAATGTGCCAGCGTCATGGGCATGGCTTAACGATCGGTCTCTGTGGTTATACAACTGGCATTGTAAGCTTTTCTCTGCAAGAGCTGTGTAAGGTGCATACTCTCCAAAACCAAAAGGAACGAGCTAGTCGTACTCTGCTCGAACACCTAGCAGCCACAATGTCAACTTCTCTCGTGCACGTGCACATTTTTTTCACCTCGCCATTACTAGCCTTGGTGGTACATCAGCAAGCACTTATACCCACAGCGAATGATTGGCTGCTTGCTTTAATGCCTCGTACTCGCACTGTAATTTATTGAAGTGCAATTGTAAAGCGCAAATGCGCGAACTTTTCGCCCCCGGTGGCTGACTTGCACGTTATTTTGTTAGACGTCGATTTCAAAATCAAGTATTGCAAGCAAAGCATGGAGCATGTTACAGATCACACACTCTTGCATGCTATAACGTCAATTGACCATCGTGGCGGAACAGGTCTGGATTTAGCCATTTCGAGCGACGTCGAGAAGGCTCCCTTCCCAGGGGTACGAGGAATGGCCGTCCAATGGCGCGCACGGCCAAAACCAAAACAAGGCTTTTCACCCAAGAACGGTGTCGTGCACCCCATGAATCTCAACAGTGGTGGGGTTTTGGCGCAGGAAACATCTCCAGGTGTCAGTACATCGGTGGAAAAGCAGGAGCCTGCAGAAAAGTTTCCCTTCCCAGTACGAGGGCGTCCGTGGGAAGTAGTCGAGCCAACGAGGGAGAGTCCAAAGTCGCAAGAGACACGGCGGATCGATGTTCATGAGCTGGCCGTACTGCGCGATGCCGCTGGAGGAATGAGCACGACACCAGACAACTATTTGCCAAGACAAATGAGACGTACCGAACGTGGCGACTCAAGCGAACGGTCTACATTACGGAAAACAGAGCCGCCAAGATACTCCAAATATGCGAATGCAGCTTCTGCACCCGCCACGACTCAAGATCACTTTCTTTCATCAAGTTCACAGGCCATGATTGAGGATTCGGAGACCGGGATGCATGACGACGATAATGATAATGAGGATGCGAGGGCTGCGGCCCAGTTAATGCGAGAGGGCGCAAAATTCATTGACAACATCCAATTTGGCCCACTACCCCCGTTCACCTTAGAAGCGCCTCCAGAACAGGAAATGGTACCAAAGGCTTTCACGGATTGGGCACCACCTGAGATACCGCTCAACTTTGACAAAATCCGTGCTGCGTGGGAGCGCAACCTCGAAGAATTCAGAGCAGATCATGCTGCCTACGCTGCAGATCAACTTGAGCGAGCTCGGATACACAATCAAAAGGCTGAGAAAGGTTACATAACAGAGCGTGCGGAAGCGAATGCGAGAGCAATAAGACGAAGTAATCATGCTTGGTACAATGCTCCAGCCATCAGCAGCTCCATGCCAACGGCCAAGACGCCCAACACATTCACATTCTCGCTCAAGATGTGTCAGAAGAATGCCTCAGTTACGAGGCTATACGCGAATATGACGTCTCTACACGCAGAAGAAGCTGCCAACATACCGCATTTCAGGACATACTATCCGATCCGCCGAAGCCAGCTGGTGCAAAGCGAGCGAGATCTTCTTGTTTGGCCTGAAGCAACAGAGGGAGATGTCTACAGCGAAAGCGACATTGAGACGGAACTGAAAGGGCAATTTCATTTCCGCATGGTTACTAGGCCGACGGAGGTGGCATATTTGCAGATTGGGAGGCAGTGGCAACCATATGCTGAGGCATTTCTTCGGGACCTCAATCTCACTGAAGAGGACATGTTACGATTCATTCTCGATGATTCGCATGATGAGCATGTCAAGGTTGCGCTCAGTGAAGTCAAATACCTGAAGGGTGAAGTACCGCCTTTGTATCTTTTGAAGCAGATACGACGGCAGCTTGTTCAAGCGCCTCAAAGCAGAACTATTCGTGAACGTATGGAAGCATTAGCTGCCGAGGAAAACGAAAAAGGAAACTTTGAGCAGCTGAAAAGGCTGAAGTTCCAGTATCTGGGCTTGGCATTCTACGCAGTGTCAAGTTATTACAGGTATCTTGCAAACCAGCTCTGCTTCAACTTCATGTACTGCCTAAAGGCAAGCCCTACACTAGACATTGCGAAATTCCTGGATCATCCAAGCCACAAGAAAGACGTCATGGAAAAGCCCAGGTATAGTGCAGCAACACATTTCGATTATGCCTGCCGCATATGTCATGTGTACCCTTGTTACGTCCACGGCCTGGAATCAATTTGGGATTATCAAGCGCCAGATCTGCACACGAACGAGGACGACAGTGACCATAGCGGGCAACCGTCTGTGGAAGATGAGCTATGTCCTATATTCGACACTCTCACCAGCATACACCGCCAAACGCTTGGTCGTCGACCCGTTCAAGCATCATCCAAACGATGCAGGCCTCCCAAAGACATAGAATTTTCAGAGAGGACATTGTATGGCGATCCGAATTCGAAAGGCATAACCAGAGTGTTTTTCCCTTGCAATCACCTCGGACCATGTGAGGTAGGCATTTGCCACTGCGTGGATCGCGAAGAAGGTAACAGCAGCCAGCAACACTACTGCGAGAAGTCCTGTGGTTGTGATCCATCGTGCAGGCTGCGATTCAAGGGATGTAAATGTGCACGCAAAGGGAAAATCTGCTCAGATGAATCCAAATGCGCGTGTTTAAGGGCGGGCAGAGAATGCGACCCCGATCTATGTGGGGTCTGCGGTGTATACGAGGTCCTTGACCCTCAAAATCACAATATCGAAGATATTGCGTTCTTTAAGGACAGGTGTCAGAATTGCCAGATCCAACGCAATATACCGAAGCGGACGCTGATTGGCGAATCAACTACGCATGGTATTGGCCTGTTCAGTGGCGAGGACATCAAGAAAGGCGAATATATCGGGGAGTATCTTGGAGCCAAACTCAACTGGAAACAGGCTGAACGCAGCGGTCTTTACTTCCTGTTTAACGGATACAGCTATCTATTTGACATGACGGGTGACCAAACTGTCGACGCAATGGTCTTGGGAAACAAACAGCGCTTCATCAACAGCATCCCGAACAAGTGGAATTGTGCTCCCAGAGTCCTCATGTGCAATACTGAGCATCGCATGGGCCTGTTTGCTACGAAGGACGTGGCCGCAGGTGAAGAATTAAGTTTCAACTATGGTGATCCATTCTTCCACAACCATGCCATTCAAGCGAAACGGAAGGCAGAGCGAGAAAAGCAGAAAACAACGGCGGGCGTGAAGAAAAACGCACGAGGGTCGAACAAGAAGAGGATCAAGACAAAAGACATGGAGAAGGCGGAGATGCCGGCCACTCCAAGGACCAAAAGATCTGCTTCCACTATTCGCAAGATGGTAGATGAGGTGCTCAGTGAGGCATCACTTCGTACCAGTACGACGCCTGACCTGCAATCCTCTGCTGAACGAATGAGCGTTGAGACGGATGATGAGATGGATTATGACTTTGTAGATCGAGATGAGATGGTTGAGGATAGTGGGGAGGAGCCGGATAGCGACGATTCGAGGACGAGGCCGCTACAGTTCGTTTCCAGAACTCGCAGAGGACAGAGGAGGTAGGAACCTGTGGATGTATTATCGACCCACGAAAGCAACCAAAAAAGACCCAAGCGAGTGCGATTCACAAGTAGTTACATGCTAATTGAAAAATCAGCTCCATGAATACGTGGGCTTAAGGAGAAATCTTTTTTTTTTCCTTTTTTTTTGGCCCGTTTTAGGCTGCTCTACTTCTTGTGAGAGAGATAAACACTGCAAGGTCGCGCTCGACGTGTAGCTTTTTGTTTTGCCGAACGTAAAGTCAGCATAGATGACGCCAGCTGAGCGTCTTCACCGGGATCGTGCCAGCGGAATTGAGTCACAAGAATCATTTTGGCCACTTTTCACCTTCTTTTCGACATGGTCTCCAGCGCATCTTTCAGGAACTCGGCAGTCTCTTTGGGTCGGCTCAGGAACGGGGAATGGCTGCACCCTGTGAATTCCTTCACCGTGACATCTGCTCCATCGGCCCTGGCCTTCTCGATCATTCCCAGCTGCAATTCGTACGGCAATGCTTTGTCTTTTGCGCAAGCGAGGTACCAGACCGGCGCGTCCAACCAGCCCGCGTAGGCGACCGCGGCGCCGGTGTACGCGCACTTGAGCGACTGCTTGCACAGCTTGCTGGCCCAGAAATCGGCGTCTCCCGCGCTCAGGTCGTGGTAGAACGTTTCCCGCGGGTCTGCGGTCAGGTCCAGAAAGCCAGTCTCCCAGTTCGTCGTGAACCACGGGAACTCCTGGTAGTTGCATGCTTCCATATAGGTCAGGCCAGTAGGCTGGAAGAAAGACGCCACCAGACAGATGCCGACAACGTGGCCCCGGAACGGGGAGCCAGACTCCTCTGCGACCAGGCTGTCCTTTCTCTGCCTCAATGTAAGTCCCTTCATCGCCGCGGCTCCGACGACCCCGCCATATGAATGACAGACGAGCACCACGTCTCTCCCATTAGAAGTCTCGGCCACGATCTTTTCGCGCAAGAAATGGACATCATCCTCCAGTCCTTTCGAAGGGTCACCCCTTGCGCTCGGCATGGTGAGGCTGACGCACTTCTGGGAGTTGTTAGCCGACGTGAGGATCGTTGTCACTTCGTTCCAGATCAAGCCTTGATGCCAGGCTCCCGGTACAAGTATCAGAGTTGGCGGCGTTGACGACATCGTCCTTCCTTTCCTTTTCGCTCAGATCTGGCTCGCGTACTGGCGGAAGACACTGAAAAATCTTCTCGAAAAGACATAACGATGGGGACCCAGAAGCGACTTTTATACACAATTGTTCTGCAGCGACTAGCAAGTGCGTCGAAAGTCCACTATGAGCGATCGTTAGCCGCTAGCTCTGAGAAACTGGCATTTGCATCGGATGGTTGCACTTCTCGGTTGCACACATCGCCGCAATTATCGTTCTATAATCCTGAAGGATTTTGGCTAGGCTCTAGGTCGCTCAACCACCTCAGTCCCAATGAAAGAGAGTTCCAGCGGGCCGACCCATGAGTACAACCACCTTCGGAATGGAAATCGATGAATTGTCTGGATTCTTTACGGCGTCATAATTAAGTTGCAAACGGAGTACTTGATGCCACCACGAAGAGTAATGCAGCTCATGTGATTTCATCTATATGTTTGTGTTCCCTGAATCACATTAAAAACGCCATAATGCGTGGTTAGCCTCTGGCTTCCTATGCATGTGTATCGCACCAATTGCATAAACAAAAGAAAAAAACAGCCTCAATATTATCCAGCCCTTCCGCAGTCCAACCGTGCAACTACCGCTTCTCTACAAGCAAAAAGTGCATGCTCGCATATGCCAGCACAAGGAACACGCCACAAAAAACAACAAGGCCAATTGCATCCATCCTGAGGGCACCGTTATCGAAGCCAAACGAGCTTAGTATAGCGGCTCCGGGTACTTCGATGTCTAGGCCGTATTTGTGATCGATTAGACTAAGTGGGCGAACTTCGTTGACGATGAGACCTTCAAAGCCATAGTGGAAGATGGAGAGCTGAGAAATTCAGTCAGTACTTTCACTACAATCATCTCCGGTGCAAGTATGGATTAGTTACCTTCTGCAGCCACAACACTGTCGGCGGAATACTGTTCTTGTTGAGCAGAAAACCTGAGAAGAGCAGCGAGAACAGCATAACCAGGCTGCCAATTAAGTTCGCTACGCCTCCGTTCTTGATTAGAATACCAATGAAAAGACAGATATTCGCGGCAGCCAAGTTGTACAGGACGAGGAAGACGATGAATTTGGAAAATTCGGGCCACTGAGGGATCAAACCTGTCATGGGATACACGATAGCTCCCATAATTAGTGGTGGAATCAATCTCAACGGAATGATGTCGAAAATGACTTTGGCCATGAAGTACGAGAAGGGAGAGTAGTAGCCCTTAGCTCGCTCGCGGACAAATAGCAGTCGCTCCGAGGCAAACACATAGAGTGTTGTCAGCGTTGAAAAACCGAACAGAGATAGCAGGAAGATGAATAATCCAAGTCTGTTCTGGAAGCCGGCGATATCGTCTGTGAGCCCGTAGAAGAGGAAGCCAAGGAAGACAGCCAGTACGATCGCAATAGCATAGTGCGTAAGCATGAGCATGGGATTTCTGTACAAGTTTCTCCACGTTCGTTTCGAGAGGATAACGAATTGACCCATAATGCCAGTCTTGTGGTACCCTTTGACCTTGTTGGAGTTGATTGCGCCATTAGGTTCGGTTGTAGAACCGTTTGCGCCGTTAGCTGACGCAGCATTGCCAATCGCTGTTGCGATATCAACTTGAATGTTCGAAGCAATTTCAGAGGCTTTGTAGGCGGAAACGAGCATCTCAAGATTACTTCCATCCTCAAATGACTCGAGTAGGTCGTCAGGGTCCTCAATATTGGCTGACGTTCCTGTATGCCGCGACAGTCTTAGCCATTGATGCGTACTATCCATCCTAGCTTCTGGGATCGCACCTTCATCATCACCGGATTGCGGCGTATCAGGAGGATGATGTTCGACGGGTTTCTTGCGAGTGAAGAGCTGTCGCTCTTGCTGCTGTCTGATAGAGGTCTTGCGCGGATACTTTGGTCGCAGCAGAGATTGGGATTCAGGTGGACTGCCAGTCGACTCCACACCCATACTTCCGCTAACACTTGGCACTGACTTTATTGCGATGGTACTACTTGCGCGGGTAGGTGGCAAATCTCTGGGGTTGAATACAGAAGAATCCTCATGGATTGGTGACCTGGGAATGCCAGCGTGCATTGTCAAATCGACAAGATAATCAGCAATATTAAAGCCCGGAGGGCAAGAAAAGCCGATGTCGTCAAAGTACGACTGGCACTGAGAAAATGGTCCGGAGTAAACAACTTTGCCCTTGGCTAGAAGTATAAGCCGGTCGAAGAGTGCGGCAATGTTCGATCTGGGTTGATGGATGGTAAAAACAACGGTCCTGTTGTAGGTCTTGACCAAGTTCACAAGGCATTCCACAACATTGAACGCATTGTACGCGTCTAGGCCACTGGTCGGTTCGTCCAAGAAGAGGATACTGGGTGAAGTGACTAGTTCGCAAGCAATACCAACGCGACGCTTCTCACCACCGGAGATGCCTCGTTGCCCTTCCTCCGAGCCTATGATCTGATGCCTGATGTGATAAATGCCGAGTTGCCTCTCTACATCATCCACACGCTGGAGCTTCGCTGCGTAACTCATCTCTCGAGGGAGTCGCAGCATAGCACTGTCCATGATAGTCTCGTGAACGGTCAAGGTTGGCAGCAGCGTGTCCTCCTGATCCACAAAGCCAATAACGCTCCTAAAATCTTCGTCCGAGATTTTCTCTCCGTTGATGTAAAAGTCCCCGGAAACCTCACCCCGCTTGTTCTTACGGGCAAGGATGTCTAGGAAACTCGTCTTGCCAGCGCCTGAAGCCCCCATGATGGCCAATAACTCGCCGGGATGCACCGCGCCTTGAATGTCTTGCAGAATTTGCTTACCCTTGATTCGGTACGAAACATTCTGGAAGTACAGGGCTGCTGGCTTGTGGTCGACCATGAGCTTCGACTGCTCGTCATCTTCGTCGTCCGAGAGGGCAATAGGACCGTAACGGTGCTGGCGTCGTGACATGTACCAGACTAGTAGGACAACAGCAACCACGAAGAGAGCACAGCCTGCAATCACACCAGCTATCAAAGGTGTGTTTATCTTCTTGACCGGCCGTTCGTAGCCCGGAACCTCAGTCTCGTGCAAGCATTCTCCCGAACGACACTGCAATGTGATAGCATCGTCGCCAAAAACAGCAGAGATAAGCTTGTTCATCTCTGGTTCTGAGAAGACACTGCCATCGCTGCTGCTTCCACCGACTGTGCTCTTAGAGGTGAAACTGGCGGGCCCTTTGATTTCTGACTTTAAGAAGTCGCCGATGTCAACAGAGCCGTTCTCGCCACACAGCATACGGCCTGGAACACAGGCACATTTGATATGTTCGCACGTGTATTCGGTGATGTTGCGGTCTGCTTCGACGGTGAAGTCGAAGGTACACGTGTCGAGAGCGCAGTAGAAGGATTCACGCTGGTCAACCCAAACTGAACGGACCTGTGTCAGTGCCTATCATGGCGTTCTGAACGGGATTTGAGATCACTTACATTGAAAGTTGCATGTCGCATCCGCCGTGTTACAAGAAAATGTAGCCTCGGGCTTTTGGTCCTTCAGCTGTTCCAGGATTTTTTTATTTGTAATGTCACAGTTCTGATAGTTCTTATGCACGACTTTGCCCTCGAAGCAGACCCCTCCCTCTCCTCCCGGAATCAGAGCATTGCACACATCATCTCTTTGGCAGATGTTGCAGTTTATGCCCGACCAGCCATCCGTACAGTCGCACGTCTTTCCCTCGCGCGGCTTTCTGTTGTTACCGTCTGCGGGTGAACCGCACAGCGGAGTCGAACAGTCTTCCCCTCCCCAACCTTCAGGGCACGAGCACCTTCCAGTGGCTGCGGTGCAGTTGGCGAACTGGTGACAAGTGAACGCCTCAAGGTTGCAATTGAAGCAGGGTGGACAGTCGTCCGGGCGATCTTCGTAGAGGCGGAACACGTCAGGAACTAGGTCTACAGTCGTGGAATTCCGGTTGAACTTCGGGGTCTGCAGTCCAGCGCCAACGGTGCCCACGTATGCCAACAGCGCTGAAAGGCGCAGCAGCGATGACAGTGGCGCCATCTTGAGCTTCTATCGTGAAAGAGGGCGGCCGCGTACCGGAGGTTGAGATCGATGATATCACCTACGCATTGGCGGCGATGTGAGAGAGCGGGCCCAGGATCCGCCAAGAGAGGCTCTTATACAGGCGGAGGAGAAAGACACGGGGTATACAAGAGCCGCAGGCGATACGTATCGATGGGATGAGTTGTGAGGAGAGATCCGAGGGCTTCTTGTCTAGGTTGCCTTGCGTGTTTGAGGTATCTCGAGACAAGCTGCCCCGGCGACGACCAATCACACACGTGCGCGACCACTTGCCCCCATACGGTGGGGACGGATGATCAGCGTCATTCATCACGAGCCGAACAAGCTGCCCGCAACGCCCGGCCTGCTGTGCTACGCGCGGAGAAAGCTCAAATCGCTTGCAGCAGGGCTACCAGAGGGAGAGAATGAGACGAATTCGTACACGGGCAGCAGATGTCCGTCGATGTTTTGGCTTGCCTTCTGCTTCGGTTTTGAGGCAGCCTCTAGTTCTATGTCGCCCTCCTTTGACCCGGCCCGCAGTCGGCGCCGAGTGACTTAGCCATTTACGCCCTTTGACTTCGACTTTTCTTTAGCTAAGCGCAATAATTTCTTTCTGCTGGCAATTCGTACGCTTGCTTTCTCGTTTTGTCTTGTCATCCTGTGCCACACATACCACAAGCCAAAGTACAGACCGAAAGCATGGTTCAGCTGGACACTTTCGGCGTGGAGCAAGTAGGTCTTATATCCTTGTAAGGATGGGTATCAAAAATGAGCTTGGACGTAAGATACAACGGTGTCTTTTAGCCCAGCTTCGTATATATACGTCCAGAACTAAGGGAGCTCACTATTTCACGTACCCTTGACGATGGAGATTTTTTTCCCCTTTCTTTACATGTTACATGGGACACGTGCTGAGAACTTTTCGTCGGCAGTGGATGGACGAATACGAGCCGATCTGCTCACACGATCTCGGCGAAACATGCTGTGATTCCATCTCGATAGAACAGCTTCAGGAGTTGTCTGATGATAAGGCAACGCAGATACTACAGCCCAGCGCAAGGCTTGGCTATGGCGAGATACGAGGCTCAAAGGAATTGCGTGAGAACCTCGCGAGACTCTACTCAACCAAAGTTGGTCCGTTGCGCGGGTGAATACCAACGCAGTCTTACCGAGGGCTGAGCATTTTCTAGGAACTCCTTTGCCGTACGAAAACGTTCTCATCACGCCTGGCGCCATCGCTGCAAACCACCTTGTCTTCTACGCACTCGTGGGACCTGGCGACCACGTGATATGCCACTACCCAACATACCAGCAGCTCTACGCCGTACCAGCGTCCCTTGGAGCCGAAGTTTCTCTGTGGAAGGCGTCTTTCGACAAGAAATGGATCCCCAGCCTCGACGAACTCAAGTCTCTAATCAGAGAAAACACCAAGCTTATCGTTCTCAACAACCCCAATAATCCGACTGGTGCTGTGCTCCCAGGTCCACTATTGAGAGAACTCATTGACTTTGTGGAACCCAAAGGGATAACGATCATGAGCGACGAGGTATATAGGCCTATTTTCCACGGTATATCTCCCGTGTCAAATGATTTCCCGCCCTCGATCCTGTCGCTGGGGTACACCAACACCATCGCCACCGGGTCCATGTCAAAAGCGTACAGTCTTGCGGGCATTCGCACCGGGTGGATCGCGTCGCGCAACCGGGACATCGTCGAGAAAATCGCTGCCACGCGACACTACACCACCATTTCGGTTTCGTCCATCTGCGAGCGCGTCGCCGCCTTTGCGCTCTCCCCCTCCACGATCCACAACTTGCTCTCGCGGAACATCACTCTGGCGAAGGCAAATCTGGAGATCCTGGAGCGCTTTGTAATAAAGCACGATGACATTTGCGAGTGGGTGAAGCCGGTGGCGGGCACCACCGCCTTTTTGAAGTTCCATAGAGACGGCAAGCCTGTAGACTCGACGGAGATGTGTAAGAGGATCGGAAAGGAATGCAGTGTTGTGTTTGTGCCCGGTGCTTATGGCTTTGGAGATGAATTCAAAGGCTATGTGAGAGTAGGGTACGTGTGCAAAACGGAAGTTTTGAAGGAAGGTCTGGAAAAGGTGAGGATTTGGCTACGTAAAGAGTTTGATGATTTGGCATTAGCAGAGTGAGAAGTCCTATACACTAAAAATAAACAAATAAAGAAATGTTTTGAAAAAAAAAAAACCCCGTAATTAGAATATCGAATTTGCAACACCAAGGAATGGGTATCTATATGAACTGCAATCATGTAAGAGACTTCCTAGCAGAACACACTGACCAATTGGCCAGTTCTGGACTTCAGTCTGTGTAACGCACCTATGAGCGAGAAATTCGCATTGCTGGAGTAATTCTTCCCGTCTTCGTTGCGCAAACTTTCCACGATGTCATCAATGACTAGCGCTCCCTATTCGCATCCTATCCTGAATCATAGCCCCATTCAGACGGCTCGCACCACCTTCTTTCTCAAAAGTTTCGCAAAGCTTATCAGTCTCGCGGAAATTGATGAAACAGTCCCTCAACAAAAAGATAGGTACAAGGCGGCATGACGATGTACGATATCATGCAAACTCTTTCTCCAAAGTCTTTACCAAGAAGTTCTTGTATGCCTCGTGGGCCTGGTGTTTTGGATGAAATGGCCTCTGGAAATCACCCAGGCCGGCGAAACCGCCGCAGTTCCTACAGAAGCCGGGAATTGCGAACTCATTGGCCGGGCCTTCTACATCGTTCTGCTCTTGCTGTGCGTACGGAATGCACTGCGGCCACTCAAGATTGTACAGCCACGACTTCTCGTTCATCTGTTCCATCGTCCCGTTCAACGTCGGTTCGCAAAATCGATGGCCTTCCAGAACCGCGTTTGCGTCGAGAAAGCTTACCCTCGGATCGAGGACGAGGTGGTTGAGGTACAGATCGTACATCTTCCTGCCCTCGTCGATGACCGCGTCGATGGCGATGCGAAGATCGCGCGTCAGCCGTGGCTGCTTTCCGCCCCAGATTCCGAACGTCATCTGCGAACAGGCCTCGTCCTCGTGGTTGAACAGGTCGGCGTAGCTGACCACGAACAGGCGGAAGTTTGGTTTTCTGCGTATGTGGGGTTCGTTCAAGATCGCGTACACAGAGCTCAACATGCCCGTGATGAATTCGATGGAACGAACCGTTTGTAGGGCATTCTGAAGCGTCCTGTAACACGAGCCGTCGGGATCAGGATACTCAGGCCCATAGTCCTTGCCTCGATCGAATTGAAAGACGCAGTCTTCCACGATCTTTGGGAATCCGCCTGGGTTGCCACCGATCATCAGAAAGCCCAGGTCAAGGGTTTTCGTCTGATTCAAGCGACGCACTTGATCGAATACATCAGCAAACCACGAACCGTAGCATGCTTGATAGTCAAGCTCCAAGTCGTACTTCCGCGCCCACGAGCTGTTGTCGTGGAGAAGCTGGACGGGCCATGCTTCGTTAACGCGCCGGCAACGGCACACTTCTTCACTGTCCGGGTAGTTATATTCAACCCTGTGTCCCGTTAGAGGTGGACGGAATTTGCGACGGTCCTGTGTAATTACTCGGCACTTGGCGGCCCCCAGTTTATGCCGGATGCCCATGAGTCTCCAAAGACAGCGTAGCGAAGAGGCTGCCGTAAGCTTCCACTCGGTCTTCTTGCAGATCCTTCAAAGGCAATTTGATCTTCAGTCCAAAGCTGTGGCAAGGATCTCGCCCGTGCTATGCTGACCATTATAATCGGCAACATCACGCGAAGAACAAAAGAGTTCCAAGCCATGGTTGTAGCCGAATCAAGCAAACGAACTACAAGACCGAACAGGAGCAGTCGAGGCGCACCCCTCGCCGGAAATGGAAGATGAAGTCCTCCTTATCTTGTGGTCGTTGACGCGAGAGTAGGCCAGCTGTGCTTTGCAATAAATTGGTGCCTAAACTGAACAAACGTCAAACACGTGCAGCTAGAAGGCAGCAAACGATCACGGAGAAAATGATCATGAGCGAACTCATGTAGGATGCTCAGGCGAAATTCATGTGCCTTGCATATAGAAGATAGCGATATATAGGTGGCAATGCTGTTACACTGTATACGTCTACGAAGAGGCACGCGCCGAACGTGCGGCAGGTTGAGAGGCGAGCACGAGCCGGTTGCACGACTCTAATTGGTCATCGTCGACTGCCTCAATGAGACACTCCCTTGTTGGGCTACAAGAGGAGCTCAACACGGAATTAGAGAGATGCACGACATTATTGATTTCTTTTGGCTCCAGACTCCCTATAAGCGGGTATCATATTGAAGCTAAGGCACAAAATGTGAAAGAGAAATTCTCCAAGTTGGATGGAGACGAAGATAAAGAAGTCAAAAGTACGAGGTGCAAAACTCGAAAGTGCATATTACCTCTTAGAATTACAATACATGCCCAAAAGTTCCCGAATGTTCCCATATGCTCAATATTCATTATCGGACTTCGAGTGCCTTAGGGTGGCCTAAGGGTCTTGAAACCCGTCCCGCGACTCGGCGCAGCTTTTTTACACACCAGAGTCGATCTGCAGTGGGATATTGCGGCTGGTCCAAGCATCGTAGTCCTGGCAGGTCTGCTTAACAGGACCCGGAATCTGGTAGTTGATCGAACCAGGCTTCTCGAGGACGTTGAAATACAGACCTTGGGACACGTGCCAGGCGATATGGCAGTGGAGTGGCCACATACCGGGGTTGTCCTGGTTGAACTGAATAACGAGGTAGGCGGGGGCATTGATATCTGGCCTGAACGGTGGAAGAGGACCGACATCGCGGACAAGAGTTCTGGTTGGGTTGGTGATGGTGCCATCCCATTCACCAAAGCCAACAGCAAGAACGTTGAAGTCATGGCCGTGAAGATGCATCGGGTGGCCGTTCTGGAAGAAGTTCCTCATAATGATACGAATGGCCTTCTTAGAGGAATCGAATTGGAACACGTTCCACTCCTTCTCGAAATTGAAGTCGCCATCAATGACATTCGAAAGCAGAGCCTGGTTCATGTTGGCGCGGAAAGTCTGGTTGTTGACAGACCACACAAGGTTGGTACCGTTGCTCTTGAAGGTGAAGTCAACAGTCAGAGTGTCAACATCCTCATCGGCCGCGAGAGGAACTGGGCACAAAGCCTGCGTGAGTGGGAGAGGGTCGTTTCCGCAAGCATTCTTGAGAGCCGGGGTAAGACCGTTCTGAGATGTTGGCACGGAATTAGTATCAGCACCGTCATAGTAGACGGCAGCAACAGCCTGTGTAGAAACACCGTCGCTGAATGAGCAACCATCATTGGCAAGAGCGTTACCCATCTCAGAACGCATCCAGTAGCTGTCGCCAGCCTTGCCGACAGCCTCAACAACAACATCAGTACGCTGACCAACGAGGAGGGTGACGACTTGAGTGGTGTAGGGCACCACTGGCTTGAAGTCGTTGGCGAAAACGGTGAAGTTGTGTCCGTCGATTGTGAACTTCATCAGAGCCTAGAGTCTGTGGTAAGCAAACGAAAATTTTTGGCAAAAGCTTCTCAGAACTTGTCATCTCACCTCTGCGGACGTGTTGATAAGACGAAGACGGTATTTCTTGCCAGGGGTGAACTTGAACTTGGAGATACCAGCATTTGGCGTGCAGGGCAGGGTAGTGTTTGCACATGGATAGTTCATCTTGCCGTTGATCAGAGCGTTGTTCGACAGAGGAATAGTGTTGTTCATCACGCTCTGGAGCATGGTGAAGTAATCCTTGTGGTACCAATCTTGGAGGATGATTGGACCAATATCCTCGTCGTAGCAAGCGGTCGCAGGACCGTGAACCACAATTGGGCCGAAAGCACCACCAGAGTATTGCGCGCTGTAGTGGGAATGATACCAGGACGTTCCGAACTGGTCAGCACGGAAGCGGTATGTAAGGGACTTGCCTGGGGGGATCGGGCACTGCTGAACCGATGGGACACCATCATAGTAAGGAGTCTCTTGCTGGAGGAAACCGTGCCAGTGCATCGAGGTTGGCTCGCCGCCATCAACGCCAGAGTTGTAGGGGAGATTGTTCTTGACAGTGACTTCGATCCAGTCACCCCAGTTTGCCTCGATGAGAGGACCGGGGAACTGGCCATTGACGAGGATTCCGTTCACCTCGATTCCATCGGGAGCGATGACACCGTAGGAAATCTCGAAGTTGTACTTGCGAGTGACGCCAGTGTCTGGCATCTTGCCGCAAGCCGCCGAGGTGTCATTAGCTACGCACTTGTCGGTGAACGAGGAGGTGATTGAGGGCACATAGCTGGAGCTCGTCTTGGTGCTGTTGCTTGGGCTGCTGTAGGTCACAGAGGGGCTCTGGACGATGCTAGAACCACCAGCAGGCTTGGACGTGGGAGTAGAGCCACCCGTGGTGGATGGGTTGACGCTGCCACCACCTGGACCAAGATAGGGAGGCAGATGTGGGCAATCGATCAGACCCCATTGCGAAGCACCGTTGGTGTCTTGCTGAGACAGAGCTGGCTTCAAGTCACTGCCTTTCAAGCACCAATGCGGCGCATCATACTTGGAAGCGCTGTAACCACCGATAGGCAGAGGCCGGCCGGACGGCATTGGTGGCGGGTCAATTTGACCCTTCTTTGGAAGACCAGGCCAGTTGATCGGCTCGGGAACGTAGTTGTACGGGTTGTAATACGGTCCGTTCGGGTTGGGCTTCTCGGGCGAGTACGTCGGAAAAGTCACACCAGGAACAGACCACGAGGGGTTCGGGGTGTACTGTTGGCTGCATGTAGAGGCTGCCTTGGGCGACTCGCTAACAGCTGGCGATGCCTTCCAACCCTCAGGAACCGTGACGGTAGTATACACTGTAGTAGTAGTAGGAATACATGAAGGATAACCTGGAAAAGAAGCTCCAGCAGAAACAGCAGAAAGAACGGAAAGAGCGGATATGGCAGCAGCGTAACGAGTGGTCGCCGCCATGGTGAGAATTAAGCTGTCTCACAGCAAAAGAACGACTATGGTAGGAAGAGACAGAACGAAGGACAGGAGAAAGAAGATCGAAGCCGACCAGCTAGAATATATTCGATCTCTACGGTGCATGAGGAGGAGACGGGGGCGTCCAGCCTTCCTGCTAGCGGTTATCTTAATGGGGTAGTCCAAACATAGAAACCGACTGAGTGGCACGGCTGCCGAAACAATTGGTACAGTCTTGGAAGTCCACAAATCGTGTGGTGGAGTCTTGGAAGCGCTCCAGATTGCCCATTTGCTCACCATCTAGCCTGTAAGAGGAAACGTGCCAGGTACCAACCCCCGTTAGTGGCAGATCTTATTTTCTTGGGAGTGATTCGCTGTGCTTTTTTAGCTGCAGGAACATTTTAAGCGGTGTTTGAGTGCTGTCCTGAGGTGCAGAACACGAGGTGGAAATTTGGCAGGTCAAATCTTGTTTACATGACTGATCAGAGATGCCGCTGGCGGACTGCTCTGTCGGTGCGGATGTGGACACGGTTGGTGTCCATAAGGCTTTGCAGATCCGTCGCAAAAGAGGAGGCGGACGAGTCGATCCTGCGATTCACTGTTACTTGTACTCGGTAAAGGATGAAAAACGCCGGAAACGTGATCAGATCGGGAATACGCGCTGCACCTTGATCACGGTTTTGTCCAGTTTGCCGCTATGCGTACGGCTACGGCATCGTTTCTCATGCACCACGGCGCAACAACGACAGAGACAGTCCAGCCAAGGTTTCTCCTGATTTTTTTTTCTCCCTCTCGAATAATGCAAGCCAGGCTTCTGGTCGAACGATTGCCCAAGCCATGGTATTGGCTTTCCGCTCAATACGAGCGCTCAGTCGTCAGTAATTCTGCATGACACGCAGGGGAAGGGGAATGCTCGCGTCGGGGGGCAAAAGTCTTTGATGAGCATCTCGTGTCCTCGCGCCTGAATCACTTGGCACGCCGCTCAAGTCGAGCTCGCCGAGACGTGCAAAGACATCCTCGAACGGGACGCACCCGTACGCATGTCCATCCCCATCGACGGAGCTGCTGGCCTGCAGCCCACCCTCTTCCCCGTTCGCGCTTTCGAAGGGCAGGAATCTCCGTTGTCCGTCGCTGTCGTCATAAACGGATCCGTCACATTTTCGGCGGTCGACGGGTGCTCGTCCGGTCCATTAGCGGGCGCAGCTTAGCGAGTATTTCGGCATCATATCGGCCCCTGCGCGGTAAGTGCCTGCGCCTCCTTTTCTGCACCATCGGACCCGACCTCCACACTTTTGGCTTATGCCGTGAGCCAGCCAGCTCCCAACGGCGGCTGCTTGACGAGGAACGGGCAGGCGCTGGCGTGACCACAGTCAGTGACAGAACAAAGGCAAGATCCGAAGTAATATATTGTTGCAGCCTTGGCGGTGTCCCTGTTGTACGAGGGCCCAACACAGGAGGCCACAACGCAGTTCACAATGCTCGCCCTCTGCGAAAAGGATGCTAATGGTTGAGCAAGACGGACAGGCAGTGTTCGGGCAAATGACACCGTTTCAACGCGCGACCGTCACGGCTGTGGGCGACAGAACGCCATGGTGCGAAAGCCGCTCGGAGGGGCCACCCTGTCACGCGACGTCAGGATATTAGAATAGTTAATATGGTGGCCAGCTTCTCGAGGGAGCGGCCAGTTCTCTTTATACAGAGAGAGCACGACGAGGCCGCGTCATCCGCTTGCGTGTATTTGCGCGAGTTTTGCTTTCCCATGCGCAATTTTGAGATAGTTGGCACTCACGATCCGGCACCGTAGTGCAGCTCTCAAAGTCGTCGCATCGCCTTCTGCGGCACGAATTATGTAAAACTCGCCATCGCCCGACCATTCGCACCGTAATGCTCACCGGTGGTACGCTTGTGGGAAATGAACGGCGAACGGTGAAGATTTCCAACTCGCCCATTGTAGATAGTGCCACGGTCTAGACGATCTGCCAAAAGCCAGTGGCAGCCTCCACTGATTGTCACCCAATGTTCTCCGTGCTAGCATGGATAAATCACAAGTTGGATGCTGTCCATGTCCGATACCAAAGCATTCAAATGGAGCTTTTTTTTTTGTTTTTGTTGTTCGGACGCGATCCTTCAATAATGGTGCTGCTGTTGTGCGTCTTGTCAGGGGAAAATTCGCCCCAACAAAGTCATGCAGGGGCAGGACCTCGCTAAGCGATAGCCGACAATCTGATCAGATAAGATCACAAGATCCAGCACTCGAAGCTCCGGCCGCTTCTCATCTGCTGACACAGAAGCTTTCTGCTCAAGTCCTTTTGTTCATTTCAAGACAATTACAGGCAGTGTATCAGATGACACTCCCGCTTCCGGCGCTTTTCCAAGTGGTTCTGCAGCACTGGAAATGGCTTTTCAGCAAAATAGCGACGGTCTTGGACGCCGTTGGACGCTGTGGCATTAGAAAATAAAAGCTTGGCAAACACTTGAGATGACTCTTGAACCTACTCATCGTGCATCTTGCTGAGCTGCTGTTGCTTGCGCTCAGTCCTGTTAAACGTATCAGAGTGCCATTAACGCAGATAACCGACAAGCTTTCTTTTATATTTAGCCAGGGTATCTAGCCAACTTCCTCCACATTTGCTTTCTACGACCTTCGTGTGCGAATTAAGTTACCAGCAGAATCTGCCCTCCTCGCAAATATCACGTCTCTCGTTGAGTGGGCGCATCGATACCAATAAAGTGCTTCGGAGACACTGCAAAGGCCAACAGGCGAAGCCGTTTGGCACGTTGAGTCGGGGCCAACATGATGTTTGACTTGAAATCAACGCAGACGTCTGATACCGTCAAAGCACTGAGGCACCTAGAGGCATCACACAGGAAGATGTCCATCTCTGCGTCAAATCTGTCCTTTCGCGTCCATTTGCAGAAAGGCAACCAATCGAGCAGGTGATACCGCATAGTACCGTATGAGTTTCCGGAAATTTTCAGCTGGATAGTCGAGCCTCATTTGAAGACGTCCAAGCGTGGTGCAGCACGCCGAGCAAGCTATATTCTTATGATCCCAAAAAGAAGAATACATTGTGTCCTTGCGTTCATTTCTCGCATGGCATTGTCGTTTTCCAATTGGCGGGACTTGGTTTTAATATTTGGGTTTCACAGACTGAATATTTCAAAACACAGGACGTACGTTCTTGTTCAATGTCATCAAGACGCATCTAGAATGAGGTACTTCGACTTTCGGGTCATGGTTTGAGACCTTTCTCAGCTCCTAGTCCGATACGGATATTTCCTTCTTTGTACTATCCCACTCGGCTTCTTAGCTACCTTTTTGTTGAGCTGAATTGCGAGACTGTTATAAGTAGTCTATTCAAACTACACTCACCCTGCATCATGTTTCACCTCGATTCTGCCGTCTAGGTAGTACCGCTTTTGAAGCACCATAAATCGGGCCTTTCGCAAAAACGGCATGCCCTTATAAAATTGGCTCTTTGAATAAGCATTTTGATTTTGCTTGCTACTATCTGTTTTCAAGTCTCATGACCTTATCATTCAAACCGTATCCTGCTACCTTCCATTCAACGACCCCTAGAACTGGAATCTTCGTCTCAGAACCCGATAGACCTATAGCAAAACAGAAGGCTTCTCTGGCATGTTTATTTGCCTGCCATCTCATGCTCAGGGGTGGTGACCTGTGACGGTTAACATAGGAAGTCTTGCGTCGGAGAATGAACCAAACGTACCCAGGCCTCCTTTGCGCCCTTCTCTGCACCCTGCTGATACAAATCCCAAAACACCCCCGCGATTCTTTTTGGACTGAAATGCTCGCTCTCAGGACTTACGCGTCCCACAACAGGCACTGCGGCGACATGGACGCCCTTCGAAGCATATTCCTGGTGCATGCTCATGGTGAGATTGTGCTGTGCCGCTTTGCTCAGAGCCAGGCTGAAGTAGCCGGGACGGGGGTACCTGTAAAGGCCGCCCGAAGTCACGAGCAGACTCGGTTTTCTCGACGGGTCCGCAGAAAGCGAGACAAGGAGCGGCAGCGCCCAGGTCGCGGTCGTGTACAACGACACGGTCGATATCTGTCCCCGCGATGCTTGAGCACAACCTTCTCACCCGGCGACGAGCCAACGGCTCAGGCGAGCACTTACTTTGAGATCCGTCTCTATCTCGGCCTCGCTGTATTCGCCCAGCTTGCTCATCGTCAGGTGGCTGGCATTGTAAACCACCACTTCCGGACGACCGTTCTCCGCCTCGATGGCGGACAGAACGGCTTTGAGCCCTGTGCTGTCGGCGAGATCGGCCGTGTAGGTCTTCACCTCGGCCGACGGCGCCGCCTTCGACACCGCCGTGGCGTCCTCCTTCAGCCGTTCCGCGTTCCTGGACAAGAGAGCAACTTTGTTGAATCCTTTCTCTGCGAAACATGTCGCGACGCCAACACCAATGCCCGGCCCGGAACCCAGGACGAGGATAAAGCGATCAAGGGCCATTGTCGAAGTACAAATAATATTCTATAGAGTGTTGCTCTGAGCACGCTAGATGATCTCTACTTGTGTCGTGGTGCGTTGATTTTTGGTTTACCTCTACGTACTAAGCCTAGGCAATCGATCCAGTCGAGGTGAGGAGGCTGATTTCTAAGCAGATTTTATCCATATTGCGACTAAAAGGTAACACCAACGAATAACCGAGACGAACATTGGCTTTCATCTGAAACGCAGCATAGCGTAGAACAATATCACGCTAGGAGGTTTGGTGCCTTTATACATCGTTCTTAACTTGATGACTTAATCTAGTGGTTGTGGGAATATCAAGCTCAATGCCGTGCAGCTTCCTGGCTGGTATGCCTTCAATTCGTCGTAAACTTATGAAAACGAACACATCATAGATTTTTTTTTTCAAAACCTGGGGATGAAAGCAGACCATGTTCCGTCCCGATAATGGTGATGCAATGGATCCAGAAAATACCCCTTCGCTATGCTAACCAAACAACCCAATCATAAACAACAGACCATCCAATGCGCCTAGCTATAGAGTCGCATCGTTCCATCGTCCCCACCTGATCTCCCTCCCCGGCTGTGTATCCAAACACCAGGAGTTGAAGCCACGGCTAATCATCTTCATCAACAAGCATGCTCTCTCCCTCTAGGCTTACCCTCCCCTTTCGACGCCCCCTTCTCCCTCTCCGCGGGAACTGTGCCGCCAACTCCCCTATCTTTCTCTCGAACTCATCATCCTCATCGACATCAACACCATGCAGGGTCTCGACTTCAAAATCAGCCATGCAGCGGTTTAGAAGTTCGGTGGCCATTGGATCCTGTGGGCTGATAGCAAGTGCTTCGTGCAGCGCCACCGCCGCCTGCTGCATCTCACCCATTTCCATAAGAGTGAGCCCTTTGGCTGCAAAGGCACCGGCGTCCTTGCCACCAGTACGGAGAACTATGTTGAATTGTTCGAGCGCGGCGGGGTAATCACCCACTCGGCGAAGTGCATGGGCAAGATTCGAGCGTGTAGGTACCCACGCACGTGGAGGTGAGTCAAGTTGTTCGGCCAGCGACAGAGCCTGTGAGAAGGTGTTGATGGCGCGAGCGTAGTCCTGCTCTTGGTAGAAGACGACGCCGAGCTCATTGAGTAGAAGGGGATCCCCGCATATGGGAGGTTCCTTTCCATTGGTCGAAGGCTGCGTTGTCGTCTCAGTCTGCAGACAACACGTGTCCCAGCTGAGTTTGAGGTACTCTTTGGCAAGTTTCAGATTGCCCAGCGCAAGGTTCTGCATGCCGAGGAAAAGATTGGGGAGATGTGTTCCAGGGAAGAGCCGAGCTGCTGTGGAATAAGCGGAGATCGCCTGCTCATGCTCACCTTCTATGCTGAAGGTGTGTGCAAACCCAAGCCACGCTGCTGCTAAGGTTGGATCCAGCACGGATGCCTGTGAGAAATATCGCCGCGCCGATGCTATAGAGGAAATGGTGAGATAGTAGGTGCCGATGGCGAGATAGGTAAGGGGCGAGTTCGGATGTGTGTCGGCCAAGGTGTGAGAAAGCAGGTAGAGAGCGTTTTTTTCTTGCAGCTCATGCAAACAGGCAAGGTGCAAGGGCAGCGCCGAGGCATTGTACGGATCAGAGGAGAGTACGCTGTTGGTAAGCTCGAGTGCTTCGCGGAAACGACATTGGGTGTAAAGAAGCGAAGCCTTAGACAGCTGGATGTCAGGGTTTGACCCTAGCTTATAATGGGTTGAAAGCGTCTCTGTCGCCGTCGCAAATTCTGCAGCGTGTCCATACTTGGATAACCGTGTGGTATATAGGAGCTTTGTGAATTCTGCTGCCTCCTGTGCCGCCGACGGGTTGGATCCGTCCCCTACAGTGATGGTATCAAAATTCAAGGACGCAAGGAACTCCCCTTCTTCCGCCGGCGACATTAACGAGTTTGACATAAGGGCATCGAAGGCTTCAAAGTTGAGAACATCTATTCGCACCGCATCCTTGTAGCACTCCTTCGCTTTCTCAAATGCGTTTTGCTTTGCGTAACAAATGCCCCGCAAGTAGCACATGGCAGCCTCGGCCTTGATGTTGGCAAGCTCCTCATTGTCCCTCTCTTCGTTGCGATCGACGCGCTGCGATCGCGACCCTGCCAACGCGCCGTTCCGCACGCCATTCGAACTCACGTGCTGCAGCTTCCTGCGTATGCTGCCAGGAGCCTTGATGAGGTGTGTGGGATTCGTCTCGCCCAGCAAAGAAAGCGCCTCGTCATGCTTGCCCTGTTTGATGTAGCACAACGCACACAGGTACCTGCATTGCGGATTCGAATCTAGCAAGTCGGCTCGTTCGATATAGCTCTGGGCTCTGGTGAAGTTTCCCTTAGCGAAGTGGACTTGGGCCAGCCACCAGGCATCGCTAGTACTGTCTGATTATGAGCATATTAGCCTGCACAGTTGGCCGAATCGCTGAAGGGGATCCGGGAACATAGAGGGAGGACACAGGCACGTACTGGTCAAGGCAAGCAGCTTGTCGCCGATGAAGATTGCCGCGTCGTGTTGATTCTTGTTCAGCGCTTCTTTACGCCATTCGCGCAGGAACTGCTCCATGATGATGACAACGACGCCTGACTAGCACGCCACATGTGTCATGTCGTAGCCTGAGCTACCGGGCTTTCGTGGTTTTTCGAGCACTGTGCTGCACTGCACACGAGACGGCCGACAAAAAAAAGACGTCACGGAAAGCGAGTTCCTGGACGGTGGGCAAGGAAACGCGCTTCCACTGTGCGCGACCGGCATGCACGCGCACAAGCACCACGTCGAGCCCCGCCGCCCGTCGCGCCTTCCCCCAAGCGGAACCGTCGGCATCGATGTCACCCACCCACTGAGCAGTCGGCTTCTGCGCCACGCTTGTGGCTCAGCTCTGCAATGCCTCGGCCACACCTCCCATTCGCTGCCTCCCACGTATCGCCTCATCGACCCTTCGATCGACGGGCCGACCGCACCGAAATTGAGAAAAATTTTAATTCGAGCTCACAGCCATGGAGAAAATAAGCACGAGTGCCTGATCTGCGACTGAGCGCGGCTCACGGAGTCAGGTAGCCCTTTCTCCTGGCCCAGCCAAAGTCCCCGAGCGCCTATCTCGCTTTGAACTCGGAATGTCCTTGCACATCTCCAGCGAGTGGACGGGCCTAGACGGGGCTTCGGAAAGGAAAGAAGGAAAAAAAAGGGTTCGTTCGCACAGCAGTCGTTGGACACGACATGATTTCCGTCCTGCGACATATAAGTAGCGCGTGGACCGCGCGTCGTGACCGCAGCTTTGTCCTTTGAAACGCTTTCCTCCCCTGCGGCCCAAAAGATGAGCAGCGGCGCGGTAGACGTAGACGAGCTTATCTATCTCTTCGGGGACTCCATCACGCAACATGGTTACGATCCCAGTGTGTCCGGCTGGGTCGCAGCCGTGAGCAACGCGTACGTCCGCAGGCTGACGGTCGTGAACGCTGGCCTGAGCGGGTACTCCACCGACCAGGCCGTGGACGTTCTTCCGCGGATGCTTCCCAGCCCGGCGCAGGCCAAGATACGTGTCTTTGTCGTCTTCTTCGGCGCAAACGACGCCCGGTTACCCGGCACCGGGGAGGGATCCTCGCCAGAACAACACGTGCCCCTGGCGCAATTCAAGGAGAATTTGCGGACGATCGTGACCCATCCCCAGGTTCAGGAGCATGGGCCCAAGATCGTGATGATCACTCCGCCGCCCGTGGACGAGGCCCTGCTGACCAGGAAGAATCGCCAGGCCGCCGTCACCGCAGAATACGCCGTGCAGGTCCGTATCCTCGCCCGCGAGCTGGCTCGCGAAGGCCTCGACGTGAAATGCCTCGACATCTGGACCACGTTCATGCAAAAGTGCGGCTGGCGACACGGCGGGCCGCTGCTGGGAGCTCTGGGGGTCGAGCAGGACAAGACCACGGGGCTGCCGACTTTGTTGAGCGATGGCCTGCATCTGACTGCGGGTGGCAACAAGCTCGTGTCGGAGGAGCTTTTGCAACTGATTGACCGAGAATGGCCGGAGTTGACGCCAATGGCCTTGCGATTCAGGTTACCTGTATGGCTGGACCAGGTAGCCTGGAAGGAGATTTTCGAGAGGCGCGCACCGGTATGACCTACATGCGGTGGCAGTTTTTGGGGACCCACGGTTTTCCATTGAGTGGCATGAGCTGGCCTTTGCTGCATGTGGAGGAGGCTAAGAACGTATCTTTGGGAGTTGATCTTTAAGAAAACAAAGGCGGTTACTTCGGGTTGACTAGAGGTAGCATTTTTTTTAGCGCGGATGAACACGTCTTTTGCAACAGAAAGACGGCATTATTTCAAATTACATTACACAATCGATTTCTGATGCCAACAAACGCCTAGATCTCTTGGATAGGGTATCGTTAAACCACATTTCAAAATAGAAGTATGCCAGTAATAGTCAGATAAGCCACCAGCCAATTGAGAACAAGACAATTCCCTCCCTAACTTTTACGAATCCATGACACAGATTTCAGGTGCGTATGCCCCAGCCGGGACATAGAACGATCCCTTGCTTCCTCATTATTCGGCTGGAACTGCGCAACTGTTTGCGATCTAGCCGCTGCAAATCGAGGAGGCCATGAAAGAGCCGTATTCCGAAGAGCTCAGTCCGACACGGGCGAGTCTCGTGCAATATCATCCAGGTATCTGAAACATTCATAGTAGTCATCCCAAGACGTCCCCTTAAGGGCATCCACATATGGTAGTTCATCAATGTCAATGCCGTCGGGATCTTCCGGAAGTTCTTCATCTTCGTGTGCGACAATTCTGGCACGGAGTTTCGGTTGCAGTCTTTTCTCGCCGTCGCTTTTCAAGCCACGGATGCCTCTGGCCCGGAGATCCGCAATGTCTTTCAGCCGGAAATCAGCTATCGTCTTGGGAAGCATGTCTTTGCTCTTCTCGCGCTTCTGAAGTGCTGGGTCGTCGTCGTCGCCGTACTCAATGTCGATTTCCATAAACTGTGCAGCCCATACCCGTTCATCTTCGTAGCCGTAGCCGTTGCTCGCCTGCTCGCTATGTTCATGACTCGCCTCAGCCTTGACCTTGAGCGTTCCAGGAGGTAAACCAGCGGCTACTGATGGGTCCGCGCCCAATCCGCCCTCGACTTTCTTGTCACGGGAACCAGCCGCATAGACGTCACCTCCAGTGACTAGTTGAAGGCCCGTGACCATCCAAATTTCGGGAGCCTTCCACTTGTGGTGACCGAACTTGCCTTTGAATGAAATCGAGGCTTGCGTTCGGATCCATTCGTCGCAACCTTGCTGAGTCATAACCTTCTCCTTGAGAAACTTTTGCGGGTACCTCAGCTTGAGCCGACGGCCTTGTCTACCCTCGAGAACGGCGGCTATTTTTGCATTGGCTTCGCCGTCGATGTGCAGCCATTCTGAGAAATGAAAGCCTGCTGCGGTGTCCTTGGATATGGCGAAATCAAGAGATACACCGCGATCATCCCTTTGTTCTCTCCACGAATACGGCTTGATCTCTGACTCATATTGGTCTTGGTCAACTCTGCAAGTCGTTAACGTTCTGTCTCGTAGCGTAATGAGCACAAAAGCATTGAGTCCGTTTTCCTTCCTACGATTTTCTCTTGCGAAGCGAAATTTTCTCGAAACAATGCTTCCATCCGTTCGTCGCATCGGCTCCGTGAAATCGAAAAGATGTGAAATTGCACTCACCCCTGCAAAAATTCGAAGCGCTTGTTCTCTAGGCCGTCATCAGGATTCAGCGGGTTCAGATACAGAGATCCAATGCGCAGTGCCTCGGGGTCGATGCCGCGCAAATATGGAAGAAATGTGCGAAACTGGCGATTGGCCATCGTAAAGGACGTATGAAGAGCCAGAGAATTGGACAGATGGAGAGCCGACGAGGCCGCTATAGTTTATGTACCTGAAATTTGTGGCGGCCTCGTCACGAGCATGAGCTGTGTGGCTGTGCAGCAGGTTTGTCAGGAGAAAGCAGTCAGAGCATCTGCAAAGCCACAGTCAGGACGTACGCGTGGTCCTTCAGATGAGATGAGAACACTCTTTGCGGCGCAGCTGAGGCTTCGCGACCTGCTTCATGACCTGCTTTGATGCTGTTTGGACAGCGCGTGACTCTGTGTGTCCAGCGGGAGTCACCGACTGCTGCTGCTGCGCAATTTGGGGGCGGAAACAGTCACGGCTGCCTGGCCGTGTTTTCGTAATGCAAATCTGTAAAATCACACGCAGCGAAAGGTGTGAGTATGCGCCGGCGATCGATCCACAAGTTCAGGGCCCAAGACTGACCACAAGTTCCTGGCGTAGTTCATGCGTGGATGTGCGGGCGGCGAGCATAAGAGGTCGCAAGCACGTCGCGGGAGCGGGAAGACAACAAAACCTGCCAGGGAAAGAGAATGACACTTCCCTGGAAAAGTAAAGGCTTGACAGCGCACGCATCAACCCTGCATGGATCCTTTGTTTCGCCTCAAAACCGTCCAATGGTGGACGCCTACAGCGTTGGAATACTTGGGCAGTGGCTCTTTCTGAGTCGTATTGATGCCTCTTCCCCACAGTTGATACCGGAATCGGTGTGTTTGTGTCTCAGCTACTTCAGGACGCCTTGACGATCTGCGGCGGAGCCTCATTACCAGAACTTCGACTTAGAGGCCGCTAGGCCCCAAGATTTTGCACACGTTGATATTCGCTACATATACTGCGTGCGCCGTATTGTATTCATATAGAACGCTGTGAATGTCCAACTTTTGCAGCCGAGCTTATGTATGATCCGTGCAACGTATACTAGACGACTGCTCCCCTCCATTGCATCTCACGTTATTGAGCTGCTCCAACTCAGCAAAATCACGCCAAGTAGCCGGGTAATTTCCGCCATGCCAGGCTGACAAAGTGATGCCATCCCCAGCTCCTTCGGTACCACTATTATCAGACGACTTTTTGCCTCCCGCCTTGGTCCGGTCTGACACAAATCAGACATTTGAAGATGTGGTACGCGAGGTATCTCAGGCGCGCATGAGACGGGAACCCGACGACGAGACAGGCAACAGAGACCTCGAGTTCCAGCAATCAAAGCTAGAGGACCTAAGCGCTTGTGTGGACGAAGTTGAACGACAGAAGCTAGCGCATTACCTTCCGGAAAAGATTGTATTTGAGGCCCGCAACGCCTGCTACGACTCCATTCGACAAGGACGCGATGACGGTCTCGAGGCGCTGGAAGACGGGCTCAAGTTGCTCAATAACGAGCTTGGCGAGGGTCTCGAATTCTGGGATCTTAGCAAGGTCGATCTCTTGCTTGATCTGGGCCGAAAGGAGGAAGCCCGGCAGCTTCTAAAATCATTGGAAATCCCGGGAGTACTAGAAACGCCTATTGAGAATTTGGGGAGCAACCGCCAGGCCGCGTCAGATCTTTCCAATGGAGACGCTTCGTCTTCACTGCATGTGCGTTCACCAAGCCGAGGGAGCTCTCCGCTCCAGAGTGGCTTGAGAGCAGAAGACATGGCTGCGTCAGCGCATGTAGAGACCGATGCACCTCATCTCGAAAAGTCGCGGAAGCGATCGTTTCGCGGCGAGATAAAAGCCTCGGCACCTCAGCCACCCCAGGGACGGAGACGAACTACATTTAACACCGACGCTGAATTTGAGCGAATGCTTCAGCTTGATTTCTGCCAGAAGAAGTTGGATTTGGAGATTCGCGCCGAGCAATGGGATCAGGTGAAAAGGACTCAGGTTGAACTTTACGGTCTGGATCCGAGCTACTTTGATATCAAGAAGCCCATGGACCGGTTCCCGAAAATAAGGCAGCTTCTCAACATTGGCCAGATTCACGAACGCGACGCCAAAGAGAGCAACGATCCTGTTCGGAAGCGCTCTCATCTGGAGGAAGCTCTTCGGACTTACAATCATGGTTGCTATGCAACAGAGCTATTTCACCAACACTTCGACCAACCATACAATCATCTTTACACGCATGACCACATCGACTGCGCAAATCTGTTTTTCTCTGCAGCTCGGGTGTGCATATCTTTCCATGAGTGTGACTTCAAAGATGGCAAGAACCGTTCCATCACCCCACCAAGCTGCACTAAGATTGAGCCAAAGCTGGTGGAGGATACGTGGAAACAGCAGGCACTGCATTTTCTTGAACAGGGCAGGTCTCGGTCTCTTCTCGACAGCATTGTTCGCGGAGATGAGGTTGTGCCCAGTCTGCAACGAAAACTACTTGATACGGCGATCGACAGCTTTGCGTACGCTGCTAGAGCTAGCATTCGCATCATGAAGGGTGATTCTTCGCGTCCAACCTCGGCGACGTCGTCTCCAGATTCGCAGGCTGTCAGCCCTTCCGAATCACCTCCGGAAGGATTCCGACTGTTCCAAGCGGATGGCGCTAAGCTTACGCCATCGAATGCAAGCCCTGCTTTCATCCAAGCCATCGAGAAGAACAAGCGACGTAACACATACAACCACACGGTTGAGAGACCAACTATCCAAGAGCCCGATTCATCTTCGCCTATGCTAGCGGAAAGGTCTCCACGAGGCAGCTTCTCCGAGGAGCAAATGAGACGACTCAGAATTAGAATGAGGTGGAGGAGATATATTCTTTACGCCTTCTCTCAGACCAATCCTACGATGAATGCTGCCGCTGCCGCGCTCCCGGAGTCTGGGATCCGGCCGTTCGAAGATCTCAGGCAAAACATTCCGGCTGACATGGTCGTCGTCGAATATGGCTTGACATCAAGCTCTCCGAGTGGCTTGCTTACACTCGTGGTCAGCTCAGACGGTGTCGACGTTGCCATGTGGAGGGAAACCGAAGCGAAGGACATCAGAAAGTTGATCCGTGCTCTTCGAAGGATGATGGACGACGACATGGCTCTCGTCAGACGAGACGCTCCATCTCCCGTCTCCCCCAAATCCTCTCGTTCGCAATCCTCGCAGGCAGAATTTGACGACAAGTCGATTCAGGACCTAAGAGACGACTTGTATGATCGCCTGATTGGGCCTATAGAAGTAAAGCTGCGTGCAAAATCCCCACGGAGGGTCATCGTCATTCCATCCGGTGAACTGGCCCACATCCCCTGGGCCATGCTGCTGGAGTATCCCTTCTCAATCGTGAGCCGCCCCAAATCTCTTACGCAAAACCTCCGAGGCTCTCTCTTCGTCACAATTTTTTACATTGGAAAATTCAAAACGAGTGCTAATTCTGGGCGAAGGTCCCCTCTCTATCGATTTGGCAACGTCTGCATCAGCACCAGCCCGCCTCGGCACCGAAAGCGCCGAATGTATCGGTCTTCAGCAACAAACCGACGAACGAAGACGGCATTTCTCGTGACATTCCGTACTCGCGGATTGAGGCGCTGTATCTCTCTTGGATTCATCAGAAGCTGCCCGCCCTTGCCGACGAGGTGGATCTGAAGACGTTTGAAACCCAGTTTTCACAGCCTCTCGAGATTCTTCACTTGTGTATGTATATGCTGTTTTTTTGAAGCCGTTAAAAACTCCCTCCGACTGACAAAAACGTGCCGGCCAAAATTGGGGCCGCATCTCCTGCTTTAGAAACTTGTGCTGACCCTTCTCCCAGGTGCGCACAGCAACTTTGACTACCATGACCCGCGCAAGTCTTCTGTACAGCTCTCCAAAGATCCCTGGTCCATTGCTCAGTGGCGAAACATGTCCATCAAGGCACACGTCGTCGTCTTTAGCTCGTGTCTCTCAGCTGTCTCTCAAGCTTTCGACTCAGGCAGCACGTTTGGCTTCGCCCACGCATTGCTGGCTACAGGCACCCAGGCTTTCATCGGCAGCTTGTGGCCGGTCGAAGACGAAGCGACCCTTCTCCTCATGATGATGTTCTACGAGGAGCTAAGGCGTCCGCTGCCTCCCGTAGACGCTTTGTACGAGGCACAACGTCGTCTTCGCACTCTCAGCGAGCAGCAGCTGTGGGAGCTAGTCGAGCTTCTAAAGAGGATGTTCAAAATCCTCGGCACGAAATCACACGAGTACATCAATTCTCCGAGGACCTGGATTCGCCTCCTTGATCGGTACGATGTCACCAGACTGCGAGAGCCGAGATGCTGGGCAGCCTTCGTTCTTACGGGCTACGGCTTCCGTACCTTGTATCCGGAAGCCATAATGCAGACCTAGCCTGCTTGGATCAGGTTGGCGACGCGCTGAGGGACCAGGACTTCCGCAGGCATTAGACGTTTGAGTTTGGTTACAAATGATTATGCATAGCGACGCGTTACGGGATGGATATCGACATTTTGCGTGGTCAAACCCCCCTTTTTTTTCTAAGAGACCGTTAAGAGATTTTTTTTTTTCTTCTCAATAAGCATAGCGTCGGTATTTGCATTATACCCCTGCAGATTAGGCGACTCTAGTCCATCCTGGTTTGAATAAAAGCGAACTGCACAGAAAAAAAAATTTAAGAGCTTTTCTGAAACGTGTTTTGTGAAGAATTATAAACCCGCTAGGGACGAACGGAAGTGGTCTTCGCCCCGGTCTAGCCTCACAAGCTCGTCCTTTGAATTGTCATTCGGGCATCTTTTCGGCTTCCTGCAGAACCTGAACGACTTTCTTCTCCAGCTGTGCACCAATCACTCGTTCCAGGAGAACAACAAACGCCCGTCGTTTCTTCTCCTCTTCGTCCCCGCCGTCGAACTGGTCTGTATCTAATTCCTCCCATATCGCGTCGATCATGTCGTACAACTCCTCCGCATCGTCTGGCAAGCCCAACGAAGCGGCTGCATCCTCCGTGCGCTCGTCCATGAACGGAAAGCTCTGGGTCCAAAGCCATTGGATCCGGCGGTAGAAGATGTTCAGGCCCGTGTTCCCCAGACCATGAATGCTTGATTTCAGAAGCGCGCGCTCCTTGTTCGGGTCGTAGTCGCTCTGCTTCCTCACCTCCTCCAAGCTCGTGTCGTCCTCACCGCCAAACTTCTCCGCAACTACGTCAGCGAACTTGGCGATCGCGACGGCCGTTTTGTCCTTGTGCTGGGTCCGCGCGTCGAACATGGCTTTGAGAACCCGGGCCGGACCGGCCTTGCGAATCGCTCTGGCATTGCTGAACCTATACGGCGGGTTCAAAATCGTCCTGATCGAGCGATGGCCCAGCGCATGAGAGATGGGTCGCGAAAGGATCACGGCGCTGAGCAACTCCTCGAAAGGCGTCAAGACGCTCCCGGAATATGTGCGGTAGTCGGCGCTTGGGCCTTTCTCGGCAAGCTCTTTAGACTCGTCTTTCGGGCGGCATAGTTGCAAAGCCGACGGGGACAGAAGATATAGAAGGGTTTGATACTGCGATGGGTTCGGCTGACGCTCTGGCTCCTCCACTTTGGGAATCTTATTCGAGGCCGTGGGCGCTTTGGACTTTCGTTTTCTTTTCGAACCGGTTTCCGTATTTTCCCGCGCCGCGTCGTCCAGAGCGCTGTCGTCGTTGTTTTGGAAATACTTGCTGGAGACCCTGCCTTTGCTCCTCGTTGAAGTTCTCGTGGCAACGTTTGGCTTGGCGCTCGACTCTGTGGATTTTCTAGATTTTGGCATCTTTATTCGATCTTGCCGTCGATTGACAGGGCATAGCAAGTCCTATGTTTTGATGTGATGGATGGGGTTTTTTTCCTGTCGTCGGTTTGCGCAAACGTCTATGACGCGTTGTTGGTTCGAGAATGCAAGAAGACCTAATACGAACCAGCCACTTCGTCCTGTGCAGCGTTTGCGCGACAACCCAAATGCATATTATAAAAAATGGGAAAGCAGCACTAGGGAATGCGACGGACGACGGCCTTGAGATCAGCCTTTGTGTGGCTCACCGCCTGGTTTCTTACATTCCCTTTCTATTTCCCGCAGAGGACGAGAGCTGCGATCAATACGTCCGATGCTTCGACGAGAGAGATATCGAATTCTTGGGGCTTTGCTTATTCTAGAAGCCCGCAAACATATGTATAAATATATGTATACATATATCCAAGACTGGCTTTTAAGGCTTGGTGTCAAACCCCCAGGCGTCGCAGTAGACTTCAGGGTGACTTCATTGGCATGAAGTGAGCAGGCCAGCCCCCACACTGTCGAGGGTGGAACTTAACCACCAACGTCGCGCCAAAAACCACACATTGTTCACCCGTCCTCGCAGGCCTGTCTCACCAATCGCCCGCAGGGCCATGTTTGGGCTTTGTAAACCATCCTTCCGAGCTGCGTCGGAACTTTGCGAGCCCGTGTCTTTTTTTTTGAGAGAGTCAAGGAAGTCCGGGGGGCCCCGTGGGCGTCCTCCGCGCGCCTCGGCGATGCACAAAAGGCGATCCCACACCAAGTCACGGAAGGGATGCACCAATTGTAAGAAGAGACATGTAAAGGTCTGACCCTCGCGGAGGGCCGCGCATCGCTTTCGCCCAGCCGACAGACTGACTTTGAACGCAGTGTGACGAGCAGGGTCCTCCGTGCGCCGCTTGTATGGCCAGAGGGACCACGGACACATGTGCATATCAGACGAAGCCGTCCGATGCAAGGAGCGAGGGACAGGCGCGCAGTGCGACGACGACGACGACGACGACGACGACACCGTCCGCCACAGACGCGGAGTCGTCGTCTCGGTCAGACGGGCCGCAGATGGAGGAGTCGGAAGCGCGCCGGCTTCTCGAGCTGCGACTGATGCACCGGTGGATGACGCACACGTGGAAGTGCATGCACGGCCTGGACGAGGACGCCGAGTTCCTGATCGAGCAGCTGCCCCAGGCGAGCCTCAGGTACGAGTACCTGCTGTACGGCACGCTGGCGCTGTGCGCGGCCGACCTGGCGATCCACGGCGAGCAGACGACGCTGCGGGCGCGCGGGCCGAGCTTCTACCTCGCGACGGCGATGAGCTACTACGACCTGGCGAGCCAGGCGCTGCGCCCGCAGCTCGCCAAGCAGGACGCCGACGCCCACGTGTGGGTGTACATGACGACGGTGATGCTCACGACGCTGCAGATGGCCATCGCGCAGTGCCTGGAGGCACGTGGCGGCCGCGAGCCTCGGCCGTCCATGATCGAGCGCCTGGGCCTCATCATCGACCTGTCCGCAGGGAGCGGCTCCGTAGCCCTCTCGGACTCGTTCTCGCTCTTCTCCGGCGCGGGCGGCAGCATGATGCAGAGGGCGGCGGAGCTACTCGGCGGGCCGCCCCCGCCGTGCGTCGAGCCGGCCTTGCAGGCCGTCATCGACCATCTGCATGCCGTCGTGAGCGACCCGTCCGCCCCGGACGCCGAGCCGCTCGCACCGCAGTACCGGCCCTGCTACGCCCTCGTCGCCAGACTGCTCGAGCTTAGCGTCCGCGAGGAGTCCCGCCGCCAGATCAGGGGCACTTGCGTCAGCGTCCCCATGTACTGCGGACGCGACTTCTACGCCGCCGTCACCTCCTCCCAGCCCACGGCGCTCTTCCTGCTCATCATCTTCGGCGCCCTCGTCGAGATCGGCGCGAGGGACGGCTTTTGGTGGGCCAACCACTTCGGTCCGGGCCTGGTTCAGGAGTCCTGTCTGGCCATGGCGAGTGCCTATCCCGACTGCATGCGGAGGCCACACTGGCGGGAAGGTATAGCTTGGGCGAGGGCGGAAGCCGGTCTTCCTCCCTTGGCTCTATGATGCTCCCCCCCCCCACGGCGAACCCGCAGCCCGTGTTCCTTTCCGTAGCAAATAGCCGACTGCATTGTTGCGGCTCCATCTGCTTGTGCCCTTTCTCCCCACTGTCCGGTTTCTATTCACGTTTCATTTCTCGCCTCCTGCAGCTACATACAAGATACCCCAGCCGAACTAGGCATTTCCCAATCGACGTTTCAAATATCCACCCTCAGCATGCTACATGCCGTAAAGTGGTGCAAATCGGGAGAAAGTGGCAGGTTTGAACGGAGACAATCTGAGATATGGATCGATAGCTTGATTCAGAGAATTAGATAAAAAGAGAAGAAAAAGAAAGCGAATCAGAAGGAACGTTTCTACGACGATGGAGGGAAGAGTATGTAACCTCGTGTCCGCCTCCCCTTGTGTACTACGAGTTATCATTTTAGTACTTTCCATGGAGCTACTTCGCTACGTGTCAAAACGTCCCGATTCTTCGTCATGATCGTATACCCCGTAATCATTCGTGTAGCGTACGCATGAATAGGTGGGTGCCAGTGTGACGAGTGTAGATATGAGCCCGCCCACGATTGACAATAAGCAGCCCAACCATCATCCAGGCGTTGTGGATGCCGCCCATCAACTCCCACAATTCGCCGCAGTCCTATTTGGCGCCCCCGGCCCTTATAAATGCAATGAGAAAATTGCCCTGACAAAATGCTGTGTCAGACGATCTACAGCAGCCCCGGTGGCATAAAGTTACTAAGTATAATATGCTTACAATTTTATCGCCTCTGAATAAAAGCTGAAGAGAAAAAAAAAATGATATGAACGCCCAAGGTGTTCTTTTTAATTCACCCCCCACCCCCCCCCACCCCCCCTTTTTCTCCCTTTGCCGGCTGGAAAGAGAATATCCTAGAGCAAGAAGTTTGTGGACGAAGACGGGGAGAAACAATAATGATTCAACCGCCTAATGGCTATGCACATGCAAAGACATAAAAGCGCTCCCCTCATTGTTGTATCTTTACGAAATAACTGATCCAAATGAAAACGCAGTGGTGGGATTTGGTACAGTTTCGTGATTACCGGATGAAGATGTTTTCCGCACGGCTCCATATCGAACGCTGCTTGTTTGTGTGGTCGAGGCCCAGATTGATATCGGACGCAATCGCCTTGTCCCACAAGATGTCGTCTGCAGATACTCATGTAAGCCCATGGACTCTTGGGAAGCAGGAAACGTGGACTTGACATAGGGAGCCAACTTACCATCTTCGAGATACTCAACCTTTCCATACGGCGATCGGTGGACCGTGGCGAACTTTATGCGCTCAAACGCTTTGCCCTTGATCCCCGTGCGCTTGCTCAACCGCTCCTTCGTTTCCTTCATCGGTTCGCCCTTCTTGACCAAGAACCTGAACGGTATGCCGTGCGGCTTACTGACCTCCTTGTCAAACGAGAAGGCATGTAGCAAGCCCGCGTTCTCCTCGTCGTACTCGCCCTTCATCTCACCGTCCGGAACCACCTCGGCGTACAGGGCCGTGAAGTCGCTGAGGTTGCTGACGGCGAAGGAGGGCACGAGTTCGCGGTAAATCTTGTTTGCGTGACATTCCAAGATTCGTACGCGCTGCAGCTTGTCGTCTGGCAGGGCTTCGACGCCGATCTTGCGCTGGATGGCTGCAATGACGTCTTCAAGAGTGCCCGTTTTCGGTACAAGAAGCTCCAGCGGCTCCTCCTTGCTGATGCCCTCGGGAAGCCACGTGAGCTTGACACTCTTTCGCTGCTCGAGCTCCGACAAGCTGAACTCAAGAATCTCGTAGTAGAAAGCGTCGGAAAGTTGATTTTGCGCCTGGCCGTACGAATTATAGCCCGGCTGCAGGAGAGTGCCAAGGTTGTGCGTCGTCGTGTGCCGAATGGGAGCTTTTGCTCGTCCAGTATGCGCGTTTACGGGCGAGAATCTGAGATGGTCCGCCTGGACGTCCGGACCCAAGAACTCTGCAACCCGTTGCGCAAACATGTTGTACGTCATGCGCTTGGACAGCTCAAGCTCAAACTCGCCCCCGGTTCCGTCGTCAAACCTGGGCACAAATTTAACTTTCACTTTGTGCAGCAAGTTGTCGTAGTACTCTCTACAGTCGACAATCTTGCCCGCTGCAGCGATGGCGCTGGCCTCCTTGTCGGAGAGGTTCTTCTGAACGGTGATGATGTCGCCGTCCTGGATTTCGGACTGTGCCAAGGTCTGCTTCGACTTGATCGGCTCAATCATATTGTGCTTGATCTCCTCGAACATCTTGAACGCCGTGCCCGCAGGCCAGCCCAGCATCTTGAGAACGCACGGCGCAAGATCCGCAGCACGATCCTGCTGTCCCGCATAGAAGTGCCCGATGCCTAGGAGGCTCTGCGTCTCGACGTCAAAGTACTTGAGGAAGAGCACGATCGCACGATTCTGAGGGTTGCTCTGGTCAACTGCGGCATCCAAATAGAGGGGTTTGCCGTCCTTGTCTGTCTCGGTCGCGATTTCCATCCAGATCTTGAATGCCGGGCTCTTTGTGCCGTACGTGTTTGAAGCCTGTTCAATGGTAATGTCCGGTTCCAAGATTACCCGGTCTGGTCGCACGGTACCGTTCTGTCGGTTTACCATTGCCCACGGTCGGCACATCCGCGGATCGAGGCCTTGCTCGACGGCCCACTCCTCGACGAAATCTGCGACTTGCTTTGCCCTCAACACGCGCTTGCTCTTCGGTCGCGCGGCTTCGTTCACCGCCGCATCGGCCCTCCAGGGCACGATGTCGAAGCCTTGGTGCGCCTTGAAGTTGGCATCTGTTGCCACATACACCTCCATGTAAAGGTGGGCCTCCTCTCGTTCCTTGCGCAGCTTCTCGGCCAGAGCCTTCTCTTCGGCAATCTTGCGAGCAAGGTGCTCCGGCGGCTGCAGCTCCGACTCGGGACACAGCACCTCATCAAGCCGAGATTCCCGAATGTACACCAACATGTATGCGTTGTTCGAGCGCTTGGTCGTCCATGTCCGCGTGTACGGATTACGTTGGGGCGCTCCGTTTGCCGTCGTGAGCTCGCCACCAAAGTTGTCGCTGATGGCTTCCCGAGGCAGGGAGCGCATCACTCTGTCGTCGTCGAACTTGAACCACTGGCCGTTTTTCTTCGGCTTCAAAAAGGCGTAGTAGTGGCCAGCGTTCAAGTCGCCGCTGTGCACCAAGACGCCGTGCAGGTGGTAGATGTACGGCTCGGACTTGTCCGCGTTTTCCGATAGGTAGGGCGATGCGTCCCATATCTCAGGGAACTCGTATCTATCGTTGATCTTCATCATGGCGTCGCGCTGGAAGTCGTATTCGAATCGTTTGAGCTGCAAGTGCAGCACATTGGGGAAGCTCTCGAAGATGACGCCTTTTTTGGCATCCTGCAGTCCGAAGCCTTCGGCGAAATACTTGTTCTCGCCCTCCATGGTCTCGACTTGAATGTAGTCCCTGAAGGACGCGTCGAGGTCCTTGTTCCCACTAACGTTGAGCTGGATGTCCCAAAAGTCCTCAATTCTTGACGACTCGTAGTCGACGTTTATGCACGAAATGTACGTCTTGGTCTTGCCGACGAACATCCTTGGAAGAGCGTCTTGAGCCTCGGTGCCCTTCATCTTCTCCTCCATGCGCTCCATGAGTATTCTCGACAGCTCTTGCACATCCTGCTGCTCGAAAATCTGTCGCGAGTCCCAGCCAAAGGCTTTAGTAAGCTCATTCGTGCTGACCGCCGTGTTGCTGGTCTGAAGCTGGTAAAAGAGTCGCTGTAGCGCGTACGCACTGTCTGCCTTGGAGTCCTGCTCGTGCTCGGTGGGTATCTGGTATATGGATTTGCGGAACAGGTTCGTAAAGTACAACGATTGGAGGAGCGAGTTAAGGTAGCAGGTGGCGCCCTGATTCTTCAAGCCAACCATGCCCGTCTCCTTCTTGGAGTCGTAGCTGCACGCCCGACGTTAGCACTGTCAAATCTCATGAGATGTCAGATGTCAAAGGGCTTGGGGAAATATTTTTTTTTTCTCTTTTTGTTGTATGGATCTTTGCTCGTCCGTGTTGGCGCGGGTCAAGGGGAGCAGGCACGGGAGTGAACGAATGTACTGCTTTCCTGCTCAAAAGACTCCCGGATTGTGGCAGGCGCCCAGCACCAAGAATCATGTGCACAAGAATGGAAAGTCAGACTCACTTGATGAAGTTGTGCCACAGCACTCCGGTGGGATCCTTGTACACGCGCACGTAGGCGGTCAGGTTGGCCGAGTTGTTCTCGACCATGGGCCTGTCGTAGCTATCCCAGCGTGGGGCGAACAGCTTCCGCAGCTCAGCAAAGCGAGTAAAGCCCCAGTCGGCTTCGTCGCCGTTGAACCTGTGCGTGGCCGTATGCGAGATGAACATGCGGGGGTCGTTTGGGTTCCATAGGCACAGCATGAACTGGACGCAGGCGTACCAGTCGTCGGGGACCTTGTCCTCGAAGCCATGCTCTAGGTAGAAGGATGCGTGGTCAACGTTGTTGCCCTGGGGAAAGAAGAGCACACGCCAGGGGTGGTCACCGCACTTGAAAATGGGGCCGTGTTCTTTCTTTGGCAGCGTCCGCCAGTTCTCGATGTGCCAGGTGTGGACTGCCTCGGCCTCGACGTCGAGACCGTCCTGCAGGGGAAGGAAGCGCTTCTTCATGGCATCGTAGTCGTCGGCGCGCAGCTCGGGTTCGGGCTCGGGGTCTGCCTCGTCCATGGATTCGTCGGGCGAGATGATGGCGACATCCTGCTTGTCCTCGTAGTCTTGGTCCACGAGCATGTCGCTGTTGATCTGCTCTCGTTACGTCAGCGCACGCACTTTTCCATTCCCCATTCTCCTCCTTCCTGTATCTCACGCAGCCGGACTGGCGAGGGCAGTGCCCAAGGCTGGATGCACACTTGTGCACCTGCATGCGCGTGGATGTTTGTGTGCAAGAGGGCGTGGGACGGGGCGGGAGAGGCTGCACAGAGAGCTGGTTTGGGAGCGTACCTGATCCATGGTGGAGCAGCTCGACCACTCCTCAGGTGGGGGGTGCCAGGCTGCAGAGAGCGGGTTGGCTGCAGTGAGGAATGGATTTCTGATGTGGAATGGACGGGATCAACGGCGCGATGTGCACGACAACGAAAGCGTTTGCGGTGCAGAGTAGGGGTGGGTGGAGGGAGATGGTGGAAGTGGCGGAAGGCAGACGTTCTGACCTGGCCGAGCTTGTGCAGGCGGACGGAGAGCAGGAGAAATGGCGGAGGCAAAAAAAACCAGACGACGTAGGCGGCGGGAGGAGTGGGGATGGGAATAGCGAGAAAGCAGCGCGGCGAAGTCGCTAATGGCAGAAGAGAGGGGAAAAAAGAAGGAGATGGAGGAAGACGGAGCAGAGAAAGAGAGGAGCGAGGCGAGAGGGAAGAAGACGAAGAGAGTGTAGGCGCAGACAGATTGCTCTTCAGCGTGCTGGAGGACAGAGAAGAGGACGAAGAAGCTGCGGTGGCGGCGGCGGCGGCAGCAGCAGCAGCAATAGCTGTAGCTGTAGCAAGAGCAAGAAGAGCAAGCAGCAATTTTTTCCCCTGCGCACGCACGAACAGAAGACTCTCGGCGTCCAGCGCCGTGACTGACGATGCTCGCTCTCTTTGCCGTCACGCTGGTGGTGTCCGGCCGAATTGCGCGCGCACAAAGAACTGCGTCAACCACGTACGCAAACACGCCCTCGCAAGCTCACCCGCTGACTCTCGCTCCCTCAACGTCTTTCTCTCTTGCTCATCCTCGCTCTCGCGCCCACGTTTACTCTCACACTCATGCCTCACTCGTCATAACCCCCCTTTTCCCCCCCAATTCCCGCCCTCCTACCTTCTCCTACTCGTACTTGTGCATCCCCAGTGCCCTCTTGTAGCCCAGAGCTCTCCCGCGTCGTGGTCCCCTTTGTCGTTCGCCTCTGACGGATGACCAGGCTTTGTTGCGGCGGGGCTGTACAGTGAGCCCAGTGCGCGCACGCCGTCGTCGGCCATTGGCAAATGGTAATCCTGCATCGAGCTGCTTCCCAACGCCGGACCAGGCTAAGCTACGCTGCCAAACGAGAGAGTGGGAAGTACGAAATCGAACAAGGCGACCCGGCTCTCTGTTGGTCCGCCTGTGGGCTCGGGAAGTGTATGAGTACGGGTGTGTGTTTGTGTACATGCAAGTGTCTACGGGTAGCAGCACACGAATCGGTCGTTCAGCACACCTGTCTGCACACTTGTCAGGTGATAGTGTGTGTTTACTTCATGGGTTTGCGTGTCTACATGCTCATCTACATCGAGAGAAGGGGGTGAGAGAGACCACAAGGTGTGCACGTACGTCCATACGTGTACAGACATTTGCACCCGGTGCAGCTTATCAGTGTAGATACGAATATATAGTGTGAGCATGTGCACTTTGCTCATCCCCTTTACCCATACTACTCCTGTGTCCTCCGTACCTGCACCTCTGCTTATGGAGAGCAACTGGCTGTTGGCAGTTGGTGTGTTGCAAAGCGGATCAACGCATGGGGCAACCTGTCAAGACAAACATGTGCTTGTCTGCGTGTCTATGGCTCACGCAAAGCCTGCCTGCGGTCGAGCGTGCCTAGCTGTGGTGATGTTTTCGAAGCAACGAAGTGAGAGCCGCTTGTTTTGTTTCTTCCGCTTCTAGAGTCATTCTGCTGATCCTCCGCATATCGCCCCGCAGCCCACACATCACGCTTCCCTCACACCATCTGCTTGACCTCCATGAAGACAAAGACAAACAGCTTCTCATGGCATGGCGGCCCAGATTAAGGCCCAAACCCGCTGCCCTTGATGTCCTGCAATGCTGTTCCACGCGACGTCTGCCATTGACCAGGCATCTTGCCACTGAACAGTTCAAGCACGCCGCCCACACTGCGCCCGCTTGGAGACCGTCGGTTGCGCTGGACGAGTACGCCAGGACCACCCGCCTATGACACACAACATGTATGGCTAACACTCGCATTCAGATGGGTGCAGCGGGATGCGAAGCCGATCAGTCTGCGTCAATTGACGTACTTCGGCCGTACTCTGACTGAGTCGCGGTTGCTGAGCTCTGCGAACTACGTACGCACCGAGCTGCCTACCAGGTACGACTCTCTCGTTCTCCCCTACCAATCCAGACAGCGACGCCTTCTCTTCTCGCTATCTCCAAAGGCTTACCATGTCATTGGCAACAGGCTGGCCCACCGCCTGCGTGATATGCAGACGCTGCCGTACGTCGTCCTCTGCAACCCGCACCTCGCACACACCTACGAGCTCTACTACAAGGCCTTCGAGCGCTTCCGACGGGTTCCCGAGATCCAGACGCTCGACGACAATGACCGATACTGCAAGGTGATCAAGGAGATGCTGGAGATGCACCTGTCCGTCATCCCTCGTCTCGCCATCGGCGTCCTTGAGGTCGAGGGCCTGATGTCACCCGACGCTCTCGACCGCTTCATGACGACGCTGCTAAAGTCGCGCATCTCCCGCCGTGTCATCTGCGAGCAGCATCTCGCCCTGACTGAAACGTTCCACTCGCCATGGCACTTTCCTGACGCCACCGTGCAGACTCAACACGCCGACACGGACTCTGTCGGGGAGATATTCCTGCGCTGCAACGGCAAGGAGATCGTTGAGAGGTGCGCAGCCACGACAGCTAGCCTCATGCGTGCAGCGTACGGTTCGGACTGTCCCATCCCAGGCCTCAACATCGTGGGCGACCCGGCCGTCACCTTCCCCTACATCCAGAGCCACCTCGAGTACATCATTGGCGAGCTGCTGCGCAACTCGATGCAGGCACTCGCTGAACAGGCACGCAAAACGGGCTCTCCGCCTCCAGATATTGAGGTCCTGATCTGTGAGACTCCACAGCACGTCTTCTTCCGCTTCTCAGACCGTGGTGGCGGCATACCAAAGGACACGTTGCCGCACCTGTGGTCCTTTAGCAAGGGACCGCGCCGCAGCGATCGGATCAAAAATCTCCGCCGCGTGCCGCGTATGGCGGCCACGATGCAGGAGCTGCAAGCCGAGCTGGAGGGCAAACATTCTCACTCCTCACCACACTCAGGCACCACCACCAAATCACGCGGCTCTTCGCTAAGCAGGCTGACCAGCAGGCCGCCAGATCTAAAACTTGGCATCGGCCTGCCCATGAGTAAGATTTATGCCGAGTACTGGGCCGGCTCGTTGGAGATTCATAGCTTGGAGGGATATGGCACGGATGCAGTGCTGATGATCGGTAAATTGGGCAATCGAAATGAGCAGCTGAGCACGAGGGCTTTGATGGACTCTGTCTAGAAAACAAAGGCGTCATGTCGCTGGTGGTAGTGGTGATGGCGGTGTTGACTCTGAACATGTCAAGGATAAACACGAACGTCTCGATACAGTCAACTGTTGGCAGATCGTCGTCGTCTCTCTGAGAGTGCCTGCCTTCGGAGAGTGATTGATGACCAGAGGAAGGTGCAAGTGGAAGCATAAGAGCGTCAAAGCATGTGAGCGTCTGTTGACTGCTTATATCCTGTTTCAATACAAGACATACACGACTGACGGGAAAAACCTCAGTCTTTCGAATCGGACAGCATAGCATCACCAGAAGGCTATCTAGCACAATTAAGCATCAAATAGCAGTACACAGTTCCATCGGCAGCGTTAACACAAGAGATGTCTCTTCTCATTAGCGTCGATAACCCTTCCCTCCCACAATGGGACAAGGACTTCGAGGCCTTACTCCCGCGCTACCACCGGTTTCAAGATCCGCATCCTGACCCTTCCATCCAGCTCATCGATGTGACCGAGATGTGGACCGGCCTTCGAGATACGCAGCCAGCCGAGCTGCGCTTCTGGCACAATGCGCTCAGGCTGAGCGTCGAGCGCTACGTGCGAGAGGCCCTGCTCGCCCACTTGCACGACGCGGACGTCAGCGCGGACGCCCACCAGCTCCATGCGTTTGTGCTCGCCCTCGGCCACCAGCAGATCATGTGCGACGTTGACTGGATCGTGGAGGACATGATCCGTCAGCAGAGCCAGGCTGGCGTGGCGAGCCGCTGGTGGGACTGGGATAAGCGGGTTGCGATCACGAATTTCATTCGGCTGCATCATTGCTTCTTTGAGGATCAGCCATTACTACAAGGCTTCTTCACGAGCGAGCTTACGGTGAAGGACGGCGACGGCACCGGCACCGGCACTGGCGTGCTCGCGTACTTTAGAACGTCCGCGCGGCCTCGCGTCTTTGCTGTGGATCATGCATCGGGCTTGTTTAGCTTTCAAAGCCCTGTATTGGACCCGAATATGGGGTTCTATCCTGTGCAGCTTTCGGAAGCGAAAAAAGAGAAGACTGGGGACGTGTGGAATCTCAAGGTTGCGACGCTTTTTCGTGATGGTGTGCGGTTTGAACGAATGTTTCGGTTTCGTAGCAACATGCAGGCACGTGTCGAGTACGAAGGTCACCTCCCCAAGCGTAGAAGTTAACCGCCGCACAGCGTCATCGTCCAACACTTCCTCGGTCGATTGCTGAGTCGAGCCAAAAACGAATCCTGGACTCGGCTAGAGGACGCAAGTCGCGAAAGAAGCTTCGTGAAGTGTCGCTCAACAGCGTCCGAGTACAGGGGACTTCGGACTTTGAGCGTGCCGCCCGAGAAAGCCATCCCCAGCTCTTCAGGGCACACCTAGACCATAGCATTGGCAAGAGCGATATTCTGGGCAAACTTTATGGATCTCGTGGACAGTCGCCAGAGCGCCCAACGACAAACATCATGCTTGAAGATTGGGAGTCGACGCCACCTCAACTCGGGACCATCACAGCGCGAGTGCGAACAGAATTCGCAGCTCTTCCATCGTCTCCGTACCCGCAGGCACATAGCGTTGATGAAAATGACTCGCTATACGCTTTCTCTCCCGTCAGGCCGCGATCTTTCCTCTCTCCTCTGCGGTCGGACCAATGTACCAAAACATGGTACGCGGATAATGTTTTTGCGTCCTCGCCACGATCATTGGCCGCGCGTCTGCCAGTGCAGAAAGGGAAAAATCCATTAAGTTCGTCGTGGCATTCCGTGAATCCTCAACCTCTTCCGGGGACCGCACGGCATGGTTCTTCCGCGGCAGAAAGTGATGCTCGGGCTGTGCGAAAGCGGGCGGCAGGTGCGGAAAGGGAGAGCTATGAACGCGTGTTTGCGAATGGCATCGCTGGCAGTCAAGGTACAGCCGAGATCTCACCTCCTGAGAGCGTTGATGTTGAGATTTGAGTATATTGGCACACAGTACAGCCTAGCTTATCACGCATATTATTACGTGAGAAGAAACTATCCTTCGACAGTCAAAAAAGTTTCTAGACTAAAATTGAGGCTTATGAATGTGCGGCTTTAATTCCACCCTTACTATGCCACAGTTGTTGGTGCCACGCTTTGTGATTGGCCAATTGGCGTCTCGCTTGCCGACCCCGCGTACATAATCCACTATGGTCGAGGCGGTTACTCCTCGGCTGAATCTGGTTATGCGTGCAGTCAAGATGTGAGTGTTTTCGCGCAGTCGTCGCGGATCCGGCCTTCGATTCTTCCTATGAAAGAGACACATATTGGCCGGACTTGATCGCAGAAGCACTGGCCGAGCAACTTGACACGACAAGGAGCTTGGAATCTCAGCAAACGCACCGCGAGGACGCAACGGAAAGATCTAGTAAGGATGGCAGCGCCGGAGGAAAAACTCCCACGCAAGCTGTGGGAGCATCCCAACCCCCAGTCTACGAACATGTGGCGCTTCATCCAAACGTGCAACGCCCGGTACGGGCTCAAGATGTCGACCTTCCAGGACCTGTACAAGTGGTCGGTGGGAGAGTCTCGGAACGACTTCTGGAACGCGCTGTGGAGCGAGATCAGGCTCATCCATGAGGGATCGTACTCGCGACCCGTGGACCCGGACGCGAGGATGGACTCCATCCCGGAGTGGTTCAAGGGCGTGCGGCTCAACTTTGCAGAGAACATCCTCTACACGAGGGGCGAGACGAAAGAGAGCCGCACGACGTGGGACAAGAGCGACGATAAGGTCGCCTGCACCGAAGTCAGGGAGGGCGGCACCGAGGTCAAGGACTACACGTGGCGAGACCTGCGGCGGAAGGTTGCGCTACTCGCGAACGCGATGCAGGCCCAGGGCGTCAAGAAGGGAGACAGGGTCGCTGTTGTGGCGAGCAACAGCTTCGACACGCTGTGCGTCTTCCTCGCCGTCACCTCTCTGGGCGGCCTGTTCAGCAGCTCCAGCACGGACATGGGCACCAAGGGCATCCTCGACCGGCTGCTGCAGATCGACCCGGTATACGTCTTCTTCGACGACTGGGCCGTCTACAACGGCAAGACAACGGATCTGCGGCCCAAGATCCGGGACATCTTGAGCGGGTTGGCGCCGCTGAAGAACTTCAAGGGCGTCGTGACGATGCCGCGCTTCACGTATTACGCCAACGTGAGCGGTTTGCCCAACACCGTCACGCTGAACGAGTTCCTGGTCGCGGCGCGCGGCGACTATGAGCTGCGGTTCGAACGTGTGGAGTATCGAGACCCCTTCTTGGTCGTATACTCTTCTGGCACGACCGGCGTGCCCAAGTGCATCGTTCACTCCGTGGGCGGCGTCCTGACCAGCTCGATGAAGGAGGGAAAGCTACATCGTGACCTGGGCCCGCAGACTGTTCAGCTGCAGTACACAACGGTGAGTTTTTCCCTACCCGCACTATAGTTTTTTTTCGTATTGTTTCTTGCGTCCGGCGCACTCAGGCTGACGTCGCGCAGACCGGCTGGATCATGTACATGTCCGCTGTGCTCAGCATGCTGGCAGGGGCCCGGGCAGTTCTGTACGACGGGTCTCCTTTCCAGCCAGACCTTACGGCCTTTATCAAGGTCATCGGTGAACAGAAGGTTACCAACCTAGGAATCTCGCCGCGTTACATGCACGAGCTGCAGAAGAACAACGTCTCGCCACGCGAGGTGACGGATCTCAGCTCGCTGCAAAGCTGCACCAGTACCGGAATGGTGCTTAAGGACCAGCTGTTTGAGTGGTTCTACGACGTCGGCTTCCCTCCGCACGTGCAGCTCGCTAACATCTCCGGCGGTACAGACCTAGCCGGCTGCTTCGGCATGGAGAATCCGCTGACCCCCGTCTACGTGGGTGGTTGCCAGGGGCCCAGCATCGGTACTGCAATTGCCGTCTACGACCAGACCATTGAAGGAGGGAAGGGCGTCAAGGGCGTGGAGCTCGAGGACGGCACTCCAGGAGAACTTGTTGCGTATGTGTAATTCCGGCTGTTTCTCATCTCCCCCTTGGATTTCCTGCCTCATACTGACTAACCTTGCTACAGTCCGCTCTCGTTCCCGAACCAGCCCGTCTTCTTTTGGGGCGCCGATGGGGCCCAGAAGTACTACAACTCCTATTTTGCCCGTTTCGACGACGTCTGGACGCACGGCGATTTCATCATGATCCACCCGATCACGAAGCAGATCTTCTTCCTTGGCCGCGCTGACGGCGTGCTCAACCCCTCCGGCGTACGCTTCGGTTCCGCGGAGATCTACAACGTCGTCGAGCAGTTCTTTCCCCAGGTTCAGGACAGCATATGCGTGGGACAGCGGAGACCCAACGATCACGATGAGACCGTCCTGCTGTTCCTGCTAATGGCGCCCGGTCACAAGTTCAGCCAGCAGCTCGCGAAAGACGTGCAAGCCAAGATAGGACAGGAACTGAGCAAGAGACACGTGCCGAAACACGTGTTCGAGACGCCGGAGATCCCGACAACGATCAACCTGAAGAAGGTCGAGCTGCCGGTGAAGCAGATTGTGAGCGGACACACAGTCAAGCCTTCGAGCACGCTCATGAACCCGGATTCTCTGAAGTATTACTATCAGTTTGCTGACATTGAGAAGCTGCTGGAACAGGGTAGCGTCAAAAGTAGACTATAAATGGAGACTTACCTGTTAAAAATCACCACAACGTGTATGCTTCCTACGTCCACGTTCCAGGATAGGTTGTCAGAACAGCTAGATATTCTTTTCTTCTCCTTATTATTCGAATTATGGCGGGGGAGAGTTATAGGGGTGAGATGACTAATCTAGAATGTAACAAGTTGTGTCCAAACTGTATGATACGCCTGCTTCATTTGCCTTCAGATCCTCGTCTTCGCGCTTTATGTAAAGAAAGCGAAAGCACCTGCATTCCTTGCGTTGTAAAGCATATGAAATCAGTACGGGACCGTTGCTGTCCGAAAGAGCTCTGAAAAAAGGTAAACTGCCGTGTCTTTCCTCGGACTGACGGTTGTTGTCAATGCAGGACGTAAGATACGAGGTTTGTTGACCCAGATGCCCGTGGAGCTTAGAGAAAAAGCCATATTTCACTCCTCATTCTCAACTCCAAGTGATGATCGTGCTCAACCAACTCTGTGGAGGCAAATGCAGCCTAAACTTATCGGCACACGAGGAATCTCGTTGACCTACCCTACCAGAAACCACTCCGTGATATCCAAGAAAGCTCCTAGGTGATTTGAAAAAGTAGGACCGGGTCCTGGATGAGGCGAAACTTATCAAGCGGTTCGAGTCGTTGAAAGGCGACAAGTAGAAATGAATCCAACACTTTATGCTTTTCATCCTCGAAGAGGAGAGAAAGAGGACAATCGGGGAGTACTCAAGTCAGAGCATTGAAATCCTGTAATTACTAAGATTGCGAGCTAGTCAATTAGAAGCTTGACTATTCTTGGATGCGTTTGTCTTCTGTGATCGCACAAACGTGATTTGCACCTTGGCCTCTCATGTCGTCCGCATTTCACGATACTTGCTAAAAGGAAGTCGCCTGAGTCTCTCACCTTCCACAAGATGTTGTACTCGTTATGTTGACCTTTTGACCGATACTATAGCCGGTCCAAGACGATGGCAGCGCTGGGTAATTTGGAGCCATGCTCTTAGGATACGCCACGCAGCTCATTGCTCAGCAGAGCGGCTTTAATGACCACAAGAACTTATCGGCGATGTTTGAATGGGAGAATTCTGGTTACAGTGGGATCGCCAGTCATTGGAGATCGATGGAATCTATTATTCATTAAGAAGGAAAAGAAGTGCCACGGTGAGATTTGCTGCATTATCTAGGAACACTAAGGGCAGATGACGCATCTGACGATACGAGCACGTAAAGTGGGTGAGCATATGGGCATAATTAATAGAGAGATGTATTCCAGGTTATTGGGCTTGTAATACGGAGGTACATGAGTCCAGCACTTCGTTGTATCTCTGACCTCGGTGGTAAGTCAGCTGTAGAGATGCTGAAATTATGCAAGCCTTTGTGCCTTGGGCATTAAAACATTAGACTAGTCTATAATTGGTTTAGCGCAAAGAACCCTTGTGGACGAGCCCCACGGAGGGGCAGCCAAATTCTTCTACAGCCTCCATCAAGTTGGAGTTAAAAAGCCTCCAGAGAGCAAACCCTTTCTTACGAATTCTCAACCAACTGCACCATGTCTACCACTGAGCAAACGTGAGTTCCAGTCTGCTCACTGCAAGGCAGAAGTCGCTGACATCTCACAAGTTTCATTGCTATCAAGCCTGACGGCGTTCAGGTAGAGCTTTAGGTTCACCGCCAAATCGAACGTGTACTGACATATCCTCTCAGCGCGGCCTTATCGGCCCCATCATCTCTCGTTTCGAGAACCGTGGGTATGTACTACCGTGCTTGAACGTTGTCAGGTTGGTCAATTGCTGACGAAGATCAGCTTCAAGCTCGTTGCCATCAAGCTTGTCACCCCGGGCAAGGAGCATCTCGAGAAGCACTATGAAGACCTGAGCTCCAAGCCATTCTTCCCTGGTCTCGTCTCTTGTGAGTAGCCACCTCATTATAGTTCGAAGTCTGTAGACAGTCATTGACACCAACGAAACTCAAAGACATGAACTCTGGCCCGATCTGCGCCATGGTCTGGGAAGGCCGAGACGTCGTTAAGACCGGACGTGCAATCCTTGGTGCTACCAACCCGCTTGCCTCCGCCCCAGGCACCATCCGCGGCGACTTCGCAATTGACGTTGGCCGCAATGTCTGCCACGGCTCCGACGCCGTCGAAAGCGCAAAGAAGGAGATCGCTCTCTGGTTCAAGCCAGAGGAGCTTGTGTCATGGAAGAGCGCCCAGTTCGACTGGATCTACGAAAAGGAGTAAGCTGCTCGCATGTTCTGGCTCAGGCATTCCCGCACTTCTCCAGAGGGCATCCAGAAATGAAGGATTGTTTGTGAAGAGCTACGGTAGACAAAAGCTATGTGATTGCAGTGTCGGCATCATTGACTACCATGTCACCAAAATGCAGTGCACCGTACTTCAATGCTCTCTCTTGCTGGTTCGTGCTCTGTTTCAGGCACGTCGACGCTGCTGTGCATGACTCCGCAATAGCCCCGTTTCTCTGCTTCACTGTCAAACAACTGGATAACCACAACTTCCTCAGGCTCCATGTCCCAAACCCAACACCACTCGTGATTGTCGCTTCCGTATGCCAACAAAGTCTCAGCTTTGTGAGACTTCATCTCTGCTGGATACATGTGACGCAGCGCTTTGCCTGTAGGTTCGACAAGATCGACAGGAACGTAGTCAGTCCTGGGGAATGACCTTCTGTCTGCAAATGCCAATGGATCGCGTGTTACCCGCTTAAGAGGACGCCAGATTGAGAACATCGCCCACCTTGGTCCGTCATACCATTTGTGAAGATCTTCGGCTCGTACACCATTTGCAACGATATTGTCCTCTTTAGATATAACTTCAGCTCCCGCTTTTGCGAGCGCTCCGTGGTACTTTCTGAGATGGACTCTTGCTCCAGCTGGAGAGAAGTCCAAGTGCACTTTTGGCGCAGGAGAAGCTCCAGCTCCAGCTGAGATACCGATCATCTTCGGCCACGAATCGTCGTCTCCAGTTCTATCAGTCTCGCGTATCTCTTCCGAACTGGCTAATGCATCGATCTCGCTGTGAATCTCGCTTCGTATCAATACCATCTCGGTGACGACCTTGTTAGCCCCCGTAAGATTCCTCAGCAGATCTTCCACTTCGGGTATGTACACTGATTTCAATAGTGTCTCATCATTCCAGCTTAGTCTTGAATACGGAAAAGAGTGCAGTACGGAGGGATGGCGTCTTGCTGTGAAGCCATGTGAGTCTAACGTATAGGGATTTTCGTCGCCTAATTTCAAAGATTCTTTTATGTCACGGATTGGCAGCAGTCGTATGTCCCCAAATTCGGAAAGAGGTGGCAAATGGTATAGATGTGGTGAGGCCGTGGGGATCAGTCCTCGCGTGATGTATCGTAACCTGCCATGTGAAGGAACGTTCTGCTGGTGCTCCAAAACCGACAAGCATGCGGGCTCGGCAGCTAGAACTGTAGACGTCGCCATGTATTCTGGACAGGAGCCTGGGATTGCGTAGATTAATGAGATACTGAGAGCAATATGATAGACTATAGCTGTATATTTGTAGCGTAGGTCTCCAGCCAGATAACGGAATTAGTTGCCTCATTTGGCAAGCTAACATTGGTTTGGATGATGTACATCCAACGTCTAGATTTTTGTTCTTCATAATCGTGGATTCTTCCCCATCCGATTCTTCGAAGGTCATTTGCGCAGAAGCTGAAGTGTAACATCTAAACTGTCAATTCGTCTTTCGTTATTGTGTGAGAGCAATCTTCCTCTTATTTGGGGTAGGGTTCCGTGAGTTTCTCATCGGACCATGCTTTTAGAAGTGCACGGCTGCTTGGGAGAGCATTCTTCGAGACTCAAGACAAACTAACAAGAAGTTCGAAATCTACAACTCGAATCCTTGTGAGTCTCGCAAAGAATCAAGGCTTGTCGCTTGACCGTAACTCTGACGCTTCTGTGATTGGCCCGTTTCAAGGCGACATCATCACTACGCACACGATCATCGTTTTGTCCCAACGAAGACACAAAGATTGAAGCTCTGGTCTTCCATCCGCTTGTCGAACAAATGGCATATTCACGAACGTCTCTCGGGTCGTTCCTGAGACATGCAAAATCCGGCCTAGCTAGCGCCATTGCCAAAGGCGACAAGGTCAAATTCGTCATTGGAAATGAGGTAGAACTTTGCAGCTTCACATTGCATGGCCTCAGTAGCACTAATTTCCACAGTCCGCAGGTAATTTTCGTGAAAGAAAGTGATCTGAAATTCCGTCTGAAAATTATTTAGACCTGGACTCACTTACATCATCACTGCTTTTGGCATATATCCGCTCGACAGCCCCTCCGGCAAATGCATCTTCGCGCATCTATTATCCTGTTTTGAATATTCCCGCGCGAGATATCGAGCTTAGACCGGAGTTTCTTGCCTTACTCCCGCATGCAAATGTCGACCCAGGCTCATTGATAACCCTTGACGACCTTCGGAAAAGAGAGACCTCTCCCTTTGCGCTGGCTCCGCAAGCGACAAGTTGGATCTTGGTGGACCATAATGCATTGCAAGGCTCTTTGGGCTCCGTCTATTCCGCACGTGTCATAGGATGCATAGATCATCATGAGGACGAGCACCAAATACCAGATGACACCGGCGATGAACCACGAATCATCAAGAAGAGCGGTAGCTGCACGTCACTAGTCACGAATTACTGCCAAGGTATGTGGGACAAGATATCGGCGGACGCGAGTACTTCGAATGAAATGAAAGCTGGCGACGATGCCGCTAGTCTTGGCCGGGATGCAGCTTCTTCCTCATTGTGGGATACTCAGGTTGCGAAGCTCGCTATCGCGAGCATTTTGATAGACACCAACAATCTGCGAGACAAGGTAACAGAACATGACGTACTTGCGGTCAAATATCTCGAGTCAAAGATAATAGCTTCGCAAGAAGGGAGCAAAAGCTATTCCAGAGACCAGTTTTTCAAGGAAATCAGCGAGGCAAAACAGAACATAGGGCAACTGAAGTTGCATGACATTCTTCGAAAGGATTACAAAGAATGGACCGAGGGCGGTCAGGTTCTTGGGATCAGCTCTGTTGTCAAGGATATTGACTTCCTGGTGGAGAAGGCGGCGCAGGAGGGTTCCGGAGGAAATAAATTCGAGTTATTCGTCCAGGCTGTCGACTCGTTTGCTAAGGACAGGGGGCTTGGATTGTATGCCATTATGACCACGTCCACGTCACCAGAGGGCGAATTCCAACGAGAGCTTTTCGTTTCAGCAACTAATGCACAGACTGTCGAAGCAGCAGCGAAATTTGTCAACCATTCGGCAACGGAACTTGGACTTGCAAAGTGGCGTGGTCCAGTGGACGGTGTCGAATATTCGAGAGCCGATTGTTGGCGGAGAATTTGGCAACAGAATAACGTTGCGCATAGCCGGAAACGAGTTGCACCACTTCTCCGAGACGCAATGAAATCTGAGGACACGGAAGGAGGATGGCAGAAGCAATGAGAGACATGGCTTGCTGTGGACGGGGTAGCACATTGCATCTGTCGAAACGCATGTCGCGGCAAAAGAAATGAGACTTTGATACGGACGATTTGGCTGGAGATGACCGCAAAGCTGATGGGAATCTTACATCTTGCACTCACCGACTGAGACGCGCTGGGCGAATGGGCCTGATATTCAGACCGGCTGCATTCGTACTTATGAGCACATCGTATTGATGACCATCTGTTACCAGGGTTCTCCATGTCATAGAGACTTTGAGCAGAGGTACCATTTAGCATTTTTTACGTAGCAACGTGAACCTTGAATGAACGTCTAATCGGTGGAGATTGACATGTCCAACAGCAAACGGTAACAAATCCTAGGCGATGGGGATATTGGCCGTCGTCTGGACCGGTTTCACAGAACGTGTACATGCAACGACGTGCACACTGTCGAGGCCAGCTCTTTCGATCGATCGCATTTTTTGGACCATTTTTTTTCTCTCTCTCTCGCGCTTTTCAGAAACACGTTGTGGACACCAAGACCAATTGAAATAAGAGCTGCATGAAATGATTGAGAGCGACGCAACTTGCTTGATCAGGAAGCGTCTTACTCAAGAAGCATCAAAGACATTGCACGGAGCCGGCTGCATCGAAGAGACGATTGGAGTCGGCATGGACTTAAAAAGGTCGGTGCAGCAGCAAGAAACTCCAGCTACGGAATACCTGGGCATGGTTTGATGCCTTGCAAAAGTTGTGCAGCTGCCAACTCATCACGACCGGCTGCACGTTCCAGATTGCTAAAAGTCTTTGGCCTCTGCTGCTGCACGGCACGCTGTGGGTGTTCGCGTAGTTGGCTGTAGGCCGCTCTCCATCTGCAGCCTCCGATCTAACGCCCCGGTCACGTCCTTGGTGAACAACAGGTCCTCGTTCGCAGGCGGTTGGTAGAACGGCCGGAGAAGCGCTGGGCGGCTGCTCTGGCCTTCTCGGTTTCCTCCCTGCTGGCCGTCGTCGCTCTCCTTTGACTCATACGTCTCGACACGAGTGAGCACGCCTCCAACAATGGGAGGCACGGCGAGCTCTGTGTCTACCATCGATTCACACGAGCGTTCATTATCCACCGCTGTCCAGCTCTGCACGTCGATGAAAGCAGATGAGCGTGCATGAGACCCTCGCCCTTGCGCTGCTCGATCCTGGTCTGAACGCAAGCCGCTGGCGAATCAGCACAAGCAGGTGAACGGGCCATCATACGCCAGCTCATCGATGCAGGTCATTAGCAGTCTGGATGACAGCGAGAGCGCACTTCGTTGGGTGTATGCTCTTCCCATTCACGTTGCCACCGCGGTCTCCAAACAGGACGGCCAATCCTCTCTTACATACATTGGCTTTCTTTGTTCGCCCCTCTGCCAGCAAAACGGGGGAAACAGCCAGCTGGAAGCCTCGCCTTCGCGTTCTGACCAGCAGACTCGGACACGGCGACTAGCCAATCGCTGGCCTGTGTCCTTCTCAATATCGATAACGCTGGGCATCAAAGCCTCTACTCGACGCCAGCGCATCCTCGCGCCAGACAATCTCGCAACTGCTACGCACGCCTGGAACAAAGCATCTCTCGACACAGCAGCAGCGACACAGCACATGCGGCCCCTACGCGCAGCCATGATTTGACACCACACTGGCGCCTATAGGTGAACGCACCCAAGGCAAGATGGATACATCGCAACGATCTTCTTCGCCGCCCGCGCGAGGCTCTTCGCCTGGTAAGTGCCGACTTTCACTCCATTCGGATCTCCTGATATACAGCTGCCAATAGGCGGCTCTCTTATGCAAGCGCAGAAGGGACACGATGTGCTGGCCGGGCTAACGTCTCTTGTGCAGCAGTTTCCCCTACAATCACCCATGTATCTTCAAGATGCCCGACACCATCTGCAGCTGTACCTGAGGAAACATCCGGCACGGCCCCATCTCGCTCTTCAAGTCCTCCTCCTCCTCAAGAACCACTTCCCTCTCAACCTTCCAAGATGGACAAGCTTCAAGGTGAGAGCACGGAAGAGGGCGAGGCCGGAACCGCTTCTCAGAGACCGCCTCTTCCACCCTCCTCGCTGTCGGCGCCCGTTGGGTTCCTGCCTCGACTTCTTCCGCTCGACGTCTCTGAATACTCTGAGCCCTTAATTCTGCATACGGCGCTTCCCACATCCCACACTTCTCTCTCTGAACTTGCACATCTCACACGTCTGCAAAGATATCAGGAGCAACGGCGGTCACACGCCAGGATACGGCTGCACAGATGGCTGGTCTCCGCCGGTCTCTCTGCGCGTTTGATACATTGCGGCGAGCTGGTCTACCGCACCTTAATCGAGTATTTCCGCAATGATGAAGGGAAGAAATTTGCCACTCTTTACGACGCTCTGCACGACGTGCGGAGCTCTTGTGATGCAACCCGTCGTTATGCACTACTAGAACCGGACATAGAAAACGGAAAGGCCAACAAGGCGGTAAAGGACGACGTCACTGCATCATTTTCTACCTTTATGCACGAGATACCCTTGAAGATACGCAATGATATTTTGGACTTCATCAGCGAGATACGCACAAACCCGGACTTCCTAGCAAAACGGATCTGCAGTCTAAACCAACAAGAACTGATCTCACTTGCCAGTTTCAGACCAGCACCGGAACCAGAGTCTGTCATCGGAAGCGGAAAAGGTACTGGAATCTCCAAGAAACCATCGTTATCAACCGCGTCTAACCCGGTTGAACGGCTTCTCTCTTTCCAACGTCATGATCCTCTGTCGGCCTTAATTTATACGTGTTTTGCAAATTCATATGGGCCAGATTCTAATGAAGACCAAAGGAGAACAGAGGCCTGGGCAACAACATGCGCTCGTTTGATCACTGAGGCCAAGCAAGGTTGCGAGCCGCTTCTCAAGAGTATCCTGGACGCCTGGGCCAGAATGCGGGATTGGCCAGCCAAGGCCAACATAGAGCTCTTTCTCATGCAGGTTCTCCAGGATGGCCAATTTTTAGTAGAGAAAGCCGATCAGGTCCAAACCATCAAGGATGAAAAGGCCCTGAAATATGAGGCAGAGGCGTTCTTCGACCGGGCAATTAGACGTCTCTTTGATGTTATCGATGATGAACCTAGTGCTGGCGGCATGCCGGAAGGTATCTGGGAGATTGGCGTCGCACTAATGAAAAAATTGAATAATAAGAAATTACGACAAGCTGCAGAAAACATAATTATTCAGAGATGGTTCCTTGCCGGATTTCTGCGTAATGCTATCATTTATCCAGAGGTGACTGTTCTGCACTATGATTGTCACGAGCTGGGGCTAATCTTCAGCACAGAGTTCGGGAATAATGCTAGGCTTCCATATCTCAACGCAAGCTCGAGAGAAGATTCTCAAGCCGATCGCGGACGAAATTCAAAAGCAAGCTTCAGCTGTCTTTTGGAGCTTCAGCCGTCAATTGTATGCGCACTCGGCAAAACTTGCTATTCACGTTACTAAGAAAGATGAACAGTGACAATTCCCCAGCTATCATCCATGAGGTCAAACAGCATATGGAGAATCTCCTTGTACGCCTCCGTCATCCTCGCGCGAATCAGCGTCCCATCCTACTTCCAGCCAAGGCCGTCACTTCTCCGAGGGAGACTAGCGAAGTCCAGCCGTTCTTGATCGTATCTCCCCGAGACATCATAACGTTGGTCAACGCGCTCTTCCCGGACCGAAGGCCCCCATCGATCCATGGAGACGGTGATCTTAGTCGGAGAGGTAATGCCTCAACGGCTTCCTCCATATCTGGTATATCAATCCCCTTCCGCAGCAGTTCAACTCCTGGTGATGGGAGCTCAGTCTTGAGCATGAGTGCATCATCTGCGACGAGTGACATGACTTCCCGGGAGCCATTGCTTGAGGCAGCGAGTCGACTAGAAGATCATGCGCAATTTGACAGTGAGACCGAGCTTTCAACCAAGCCTACCCCAACAGAAGAGTACGGTCGGAAGATCAGAATGGCGTGCTCCGAAATGGCTAGGATTCTCGGTCCCGAGGCAGTTTCAGGGTCTTGTCACCCTTGTGCTGAGCGTTGGGCTGTCTTATTTGTAACCCAAGACGGTCAACACTTGCGTACGAGGATGCAGGAAGATGTCGAGGATGCTGACTTTAATGAGGATGACTCGCCGGATTCGGAAAGCGATGAAGAGGCTCCAGGTCTTGGAATGGACCTTGAGAGTGATTATCACCAACTAAAAGACTCGATTTGCAAGCTACTCCAAGAATACGAATTACCAAAAAGCTTAGCACCAGAGAGTGAGTCTAGGTTCTTTTCGAACCGCTCAGGACAGAGGATGCTAGCTCGCCGTGGGCTGAGAAGAACAGATCCAACTCATCGCGCCGAGGAGCTATCTTCAACTGGTCACGGCCCGTCCACTCTACACAGAGCCTCACCGGTGCCTAGGCAGAGACTGGTGACGTCGAGAAGCAACAGCACTAACGATGCAGATGATTTCAAACGAAGGAAGTCATCGGATCTTGTGGTGATGCTCGAAGCGGCATATCATCAATGTAAAACCCGAAATGAGTATGTCGATGCTTTGCTGTGGCACAAAACTCTTGAACAGCTGGCGAGATTGTCCTCGCCATCCTTGACCCGCGATGGTTACGCACCTCTACTGAACTATTTTGCTCGAGGTCCAAGAGATGCGTTGAGCAAATCGTTCAAGGCGATAGAGAAATTTGAGGCATGGTTCGCTTGGCTCAAGCAATCACAGGAGCGATACGAAGCCAATGTCGAGGACATGATTGCCAGCACCAAGCAGCTGCGGGATAAGATGTGGTTCAAGACCGCAGTGTTGACATCGGCAGTATATGAAGAAGCCCGAAACCTGGCGGTTGCTTTGCGAATGATGGCTCAGCCTGTCAAACCTGGCGAAGAAAACGTACTTCAGACTCACAGGGCTCGCCAACCATCCAGGGCGGCCAATCTACTGCTCAGAACTGAAACACAGGTTATGGATCTGATAGCGACTGCCGCTGATAGGGCAGGGCCCAATAAGCTGGTTGATGAGCAAGCTGATCTTACATCGAAGTGGTTAATTACCTATAGAGTGGAGAACCTATGCAAAGGGGAAGAGCGGATTCACAGACTGTGTTATGAGGTCGACAAGGCGGTGAACAAACTTGTGGGTGAAAGTCGGCTTGTAGCACCTGTGCTGTGGTCAAGTGATCTATACCGACGCGACAAGGACATCCTGGATAGCGGTCGCGGGAAGGGTGATCTCTGGCTGACGGGTGTTGGCAATCTTAGCATTGCCGGCGATGAAGAATACGAAACGGCGCCAAATAGAACGGTGTCGCGAAGTCTTGACATAGTGCAACAGCCTAGCCACTCAAGCTTGCGCTCAATATCCACAGCAGGGTCTCAACAGAGCCTTGAATCATCTTCCAAGTGGAGCAGTGCCAACCGAGGGATTAACATTATGGATGCTCAAGACTATTTCGGCATTGCCAGCCCAGCAGCTACAATCGACACGGCAGTCACTTTCTGGTCGCCTTTCCAGTCGAGCGGTTCCTCGCAAACTTCTACAAACATACGTCCAATGACGGGCACGTCTTCGAAGGGAACGGTGATGTTAAAGGATTCGGCGTCAGTCAACAGAGAAAAGAACAAGTTCATTCAAGACCTAAAACGGGCACTTGTTGGCTTGCTACTGAGCGACCTCGGCACCCTAGTCTTCAACTCCGGCAGCGAGACCGATGGTTGGTTCAACGGAGAAATTGCAGAGGAATGCATTCTCCGGAAAGAAGCAGACGATCGCGAGCGCAAACTCAAGCTCTCCAGGAAGAAAAGCATGCGAAGCTTGAAAAGTGCTGCATCTCGAGAACAGCGTGCTACCACATCAGATCGAGCTGGTGGCCAAGGTGACGGAGTCCACTCCACTGCCGAGCATTCTGGTTCATCCAGTGATGCGACAGCTCGCTCGTCTGGAATAAATGCAGTCAGAAAGCTCGGTCTGCTTGAGTTTCCCTACAATAATGCCTATCAACGACTCCTTGACAAATTCGCGACCCACCCAAGCCCTTATACAAAACTTCAGGCGCTGTATGATCTTCAGCTCTTGATAACAGCAGCATTGTCCAGCAAGACGGGAAAGCATATTTCTCGTCGCGAAACCTTGCCACCCGTTCCTCAATCACCAACTCTAGACTCTGAGTCTGAGCTTCCGACGCGTGAGGCAGTGGTACAAACCCCTCAGGCTCATAATCTTGATGAAGCCATTGCGAACGTGGAGACGAGAAGATCGCATACAATGAATGCAACCCATCAAAACACGATACAACCCCCGCCATCCCCACAACGTGGGAATGGGAGATCACCATCCACTCTTCCAAGCACGGACATGATTGTTGATGTCCTGCTGACTCTATTCCGCGACGCAGCAATTCGCCCAAAGACATTGTTTAGAGACCTCCAGTATGTTGCCTCATTTGTCCCGTCGTCGATTCTGGATAGGACACCGAAAGGCAAAGCGTTCTGGGATGCGGCTCTGGCAGCACTTAGCCTCAAGCAAGATGTTTGTCGCTACATGGTTGAGATTGCTGACGATATCGTCAACGAGGATACACAGAGTCGGACTGCTGCCCATGGAGCGCAGGCACCGGTTCCAGAGAATAAGCTTCTGGGCCGCTGGACGATGGCCGATGCCGCGCAAATGTACATCATTACAGCTAAAGAGGGAGATCCTGCGGCTCAACGTGAACTTGCCATCCTTTATCTCACGCATCCAGATCTTCTTCCGAGAACCCTCTTACCAATGTCCAAACCCCGTGAGATCTTTAAGGAGTCCTTACTGAATAGGAAGAGGGAAGATCCGCAGCGCAGTGATCCGATGACTATGTGTGTTGCACAGCATTGGATGGAGCTAAGTAAAAAGGGAGGGGATGATTTGGCGATAAAGTACCTTCGCGCCAGAGATGACATGGAAAAGATACCCTGAGCACAGGTTTGCTCAATATCACGACATTTGCAATCTTTTGCAGCATGGCAGATTTGCAGCTTTTTGCATATATGTTTTGGCGTTATAGCCTTATTTCTTACGATGCTTCATCAACCGCGAGATATCCCCCTGCCATCATTGTCTCTGCAAGAATCGATTACTTACCCTTCCTCCCATCCACACGTGCACCGTTGTGATAGACGTTTAGCATATTCCTTGAATTGATGAATTGATGCATAGCGGGCGCAGAAGATAATGGACATTTTGGATACGATCTAGCACTTAAAATCTTAAATAAATTTATCCATATCGCTGAGTGCACTGTGCCATTTCCCTTAGAGTACATATTGCAGATTAAGTTATCTCATCACTCTTCAAGTGCCTGCACTTGGTTCGTCGTTACTAATGGCGCCTGTATCCACTAGTGAAGATCTCATTTCGACGGACGTATTGCTCAGGCCGACTTAGTTCTTGTATGTACCATCTACATTCAGTCAATTGTATCTAGAAAACATGAGAAGCTGAGCTTGTTGGTGATAAAGGGGATCTAAGAACCAAGATTCTTATGGTTTGCAATCCTGACCTACATTCATCCATTCATTCCATGTATTTCGATGGTCGTCAATTTCAGTGAGACATACCAAGATGAAATAAAGAAGCAAATTGATGTCCATGCTATGTTTGACTAATGCCCATCATATCAGCTAAACTTAATCATCATCATCATCATCATCATCATCCACACATCTCATACCTCTTAGGAAGATATTTCTCGCAGCCATGACGTTCCAAAGAGGATATACAGCGATGGACAGATTCTTGGAACAACTGAAAATTCAACATTCTTAAAATTGGCACAAGGCACTGTCAAGGAGGGAGCTTTACAGCCCTCAACGAGAATGTCAATCCGCCTGCATGATACAGGTGTGGATCTGGCCTAGGAGTCCATCTGGGGAGTGATGTATCTTGAGGTGACAAATGCAGGCCTCGTGTTCTATCCAGGATCTGAAAGCAGTGGCAAGATGGACGTAGATAGCACATAGTTTTTTCTATTGTCAAGTCGTAAACTGTAACCAAGCCTTTGCTTAGACGACTTAGATGAACATCCTGAAATGCCCTGGACGCTGCGCGTTATGGACAGACCAATTGGGTTGCATCACATCAGCCTAGGCATTTTGTCCCGCGGCATGTTTTTTGTTTTGTACGCTGCATGAGGTCTTTATTTTTTTTGCCCTGGCTATCTTGAACAGGTCGTCTTTGACCCACTCAGAGCAGGGCTCGTCCGGTCGAGGCTGTTTTCTTTACACAATTGTCCTCGCATAGAGCATCGTAGCCGGCCCGGTCGACGGCGTTTCTCCACAAACTCAAACGTCTAGATGGATCCGAACAGAGGATGGCCAGATGGAACTTTCGACGTGGGAAAAAGCACCAATAAGGCGGAACGGTCGGCAGCGCTGAGACGTCGAACATCGTCCCCCGACGCAGGGACAGACGTTTAGAACGTGGCGGTTGAATGGAAAAGGGAACTACACGACGGCCATGCCCACACAGTCCGTCCGATTTCTGGCTCAGGACTGCATGAGTGGCAGGGCGTGACATGGAACCCTAGTGGACGACATCAATCTACACATTCTCAGCTGTCACGGAATTTTGCTGAGATTGTCGATTGGGTCGCTGTGACGGCCGGACGAAGCCTGCGCTATGTGATTCGCTTACGCGCCTGTGAAGAATTGCCAGCTCAGCATTGCTTCTCCAGCTGCAGACGTCCGCCCCATTCAACGCACACGTTGCAGGCCTTACAATGCGTGAGACCCGTCTTTGACCGCTCAGAGCAAACTCTCCTTTGCATTTAGCTGCATTCGACGAGCCATGGTCGGATCTTCTGCAGAGCAGGCTTCGACATCGGCTACGAGACGTGCAGTAGGGTACAGTGCTTCTGTTGTTGCCTCTAGGAATCGCCTCAGTAGCCTTGCTCAGGCCTTTCCTGGAGCCTTTCTCTCCCAGCTTCGGAACCTCTGGAGCGACAGACAGCCGGTCACATCACGCAGAAGCAATTCTGCCGTCAGCGAGACCGACCCAAATACTTCTTCCGTGCAGTTGACCGGATCGGCATCCAATATCGTTGCATCTCATCTGCCACTCGTGCAACGGCCGGCTAAGTCGAATAGCTCCAACGTCTCGATCTCGTCCCGTCCGGTCGTAGTCAAGACATATACTCAAGTTGACAGATCTCGGCCGTCATCCGCCAGTACGTCCACCCGTGGTCAAGCACGGTCAATGACTACGAGTGCAAGTCTACCACCCGTCGACGCATTCTCTTTCGACGGAATACTTCGAGCCATTGAGCCTGAAATCAGCGATGCAATAGAAGGGATAGCCGAGATTTACGCACGCAGCAGACTAAGTCTTGCTGATGAATACGGATCACATCTTCCACCGCAGGGCGAGATACTATCTCATCGGGTGAGGCATAGTGGGCTCGCAATACGGACAGCCGGACTAGAGAGGACTTTGACCACGGTTACGGAGGCTTCATCCAGCAGTGAAAGGCTTGCAGGAGGAAGTAAGGCCGGCTCGGTTGCGTCCGGAAAGGGCAAAGTCACTGCATACGGCTCATTGAGGAGTATTATTTCAAGAGGAAGGTCTAGCTCACACAGCTCCGCGCCAGCGGAGACGCCGACAGGAGCTCAGCCTGAGTCTGCTACTTGGAGCATAAGAGCTGATAAAGACGCATTTATTACGATAAAAAAGCAGAACGCTGCTCCTATACAACTGTCGCTCGCATCGGTTGCCGAGATTCCTCGAGCCAAAGTCGCTCCACCTACCGTTGAGGCCGGCATTACGGGCGAAGCGGCACCTGGGTCACAACATGCGTCCGCTTCGTGGCTTGTATGGAGAAGGTCGAACTCTGTGGCTGATGAAGGAACCGCTTCAGAACGGGTTGATGCCGAAAGCGCCTTGAGAAGCGTTCTCCGAAGTATGGGCGGGTGAAGAAGCCGACTACAAAGGATGATGTGCACAAATTAAAGACCAGCATAAGATACGAAGCGTCACGATGCTCACGAACGTCACGATTCATTACGACTATAACGAAAAATTACGAAGATACGAATTTGACGACAACAAGACCCTGCGAAGGACAGATTGCTTTGCAATTATGATGACGGGTGGCAAATCTGATGGAAAAAAACTATAGCATAGCCTCATTTCACCCTCATAACAACCTGTTTTCTTCTTCGCTTCAATGACACATCGGCTGCTCAGATAGTTTGACTTAAGATGTCTCTGGTCACGTGTAGCGGACTTTAGCAAGTGCATTTATGGGCGCTGGATGATGAATCTGAAGATTGCATTTGACAAAGCAAACTGCATAAAGCAGGAAGTTTGAGCATTTTCTCACACGTGCATACATACACATTGCTTGAATTCTACCGCTGTTTCGTCGAAAGAGTGTCTCAGCGATGCGGAGACTGCGAGCTCTGCCCCCTCATGCGTGGGACCTGAATTGGGATGGTCAGCCGACGCCCCAGCCTCGTTCTTTCTTCCGTAGCCAACTTTAAATGCAAACAGTAGTATCAAATACTGGATTTCCCCAGTCGCTGGATGCCAACTAGTCGTAGAGATTGGATCGTTTTGAAACAATGTACGCAAAAATCGTCTGCCATCCTCCACTCGGGCAGCCCACTGTCGTTCCTGCTGGGCAGTGTGCTGTTGACTTCATCGTCCTTCTTGAAACAGCAGCTGATTCTTCCACTTCGAAGAAGCAATGGCAAGTCTCCCTCTGGCACGATCTAGATGCAGAGGGTGACGAATGGAACTCTTCGGATTTCACGGAGATTCACGATGATGATGAAGCAAGAGTAAGGATCGACCTGGTTGACGCAGCATAATCTCAACATGCTCTGAATTAGTTCCCTCCTTCAGCCTTCTGCGCGCAATCTGTATAGCCATGTTGCTGATATCCGAATAGCCTAGTATTCAGTCACTGGGATCCGCGCAGTCGCAGAACAAATACTTCAAGCTTACCTTGAAAGGTCGACCGGCCAACAAGTCCACCGTTCGTTTTACAGTCAGGTATCGAGCTAACAGTGACGCCCCCTGGAAATGGGCCCACAGTCAGTTTTCTCATGGAGATGGCGTACTACATTATCAGGAAAGGTTTGAGCAGCATGATCTGTCACATTACCTCCGGGGAACAAGTTCGCACATCAAATTTGAAAGCATTGCCGCGGAGACGCCTGACACGCAACTGTGGTCCCTAACAGCCCCGGTCAAGGCCGCTAATGGAGACGAATCTGGATACTGTACTCATCAGCTTGGCCTGCCAGAGTCGTGTACCCGCTGGTTTGCCCTGGTACGTCTATGGGCGCCTTGGCTGGCGCCCCGACAAGGTAGAGACAAATTTATTTGTGACAAAGAAGCAGTCCTGGCTTCTTTCCTTCGAGAGGATGGGCTAAATGTTGTGATTCTGGCTATCAGTGGGATCGACGACGTGCTTACGTTGCTCAAAAATGACGACACAGGTAACGTACTTATCTCTGGACGCAACGATTCGGAACAGCCTGGCACATGTCGGGTGTTGGTTGCCGTTTCGACTACTTTCGAGGTTGCAAATGCGGCTGTCATGTATCAGGCGCGAAGAATGGTCATGGAAATTCGATCGGCATCAGGCGAGTCTGACGCGGTCGCCCAGGCCGTCAAAGACGGAGGTGTTAAGCCTGACTGGCTGGAGGAGTGGGCTGATGGTTTTGCGTACTGCACCTGGAACAGCCTAGGCCAAAACTTGACCGAGCAGAAGATATACGACGCGTTAGAGTCATTTGAGAAAGTTGATGTCAAAATCACGAATCTCATCATAGACGATAACTGGCAGTCACTCGATCATGAAGGTCAGGAGCAATACGTCCGCAGGATGACAAGATTTGAAGCGAACAGCAAAGGCTTCCCACACGGACTGCGGCACACTGTCCGTGAAATCAGGAAGAACCATCCCAGCATCCAACATATAGCTGTCTGGCACGCTATCATGGGCTATTGGGGCGGGATATCTCCTGATGGACAGATAGCCAAGGACTACAAGACTGTCAAAGTTGCTGGGCCTGACTGGTTGTGCATCGACCCAGAAGATATCTCGCGATGGTATAACGACTTTTACTCATTCCTCTCTGAGAGTGGCATCGACTCAGTCAAGACAGATGCGCAATTCATGCTCGATAACCTGCAGTCAGCAAAGGACAGGCGAAGGATGATTCGGGAATATCAAGACGCGTGGTCAATAGCAATGCTGCGTAAATTCTGGGCCCGCGCAATCTCGTGCATGTCCCAGACACCTCAGATTCTCTTCCATTCGCAGCTACCCACCAACAAGCCTAAGCTCCTGGTCCGCAATTCAGATGACTTCTTCCCAGACGTTGAATCTTCTCATCCTTGGCACATCTTCTGTAACGCTCACAACTCGTTGCTCACGCAGCATTTGAATGTTCTTCCAGATTGGGATATGTTCCAAACCTCACACCCATGGGCTGAATTTCACGCAGCAGCTCGCTGTCTCTCAGGTGGACCAATCTATATTACAGACTCTCCGGGACAGCACAATGTCGATTTAATTAGGCAGATGACTGCTAAGACGCCAAGGGGCAACACCGTCATCCTTCGACCACATCGACTAGGCAAGAGCTCACAGGCCTACGTTGGGTACGAAGAACCGAGATTACTGAAAATTGAAACTTATGTTGGAGCTGCAAAGACAGGAAGCGGCATTTTGGGCGTTTTCAACGTCACCCAGGGCACCGTCTCCGAAATCATCACACTTGATGACATCCCTGGATCGGAAGATGGAGAATATATCATCAGATCACACGTGGCAAAAACAATTGGTCCGCCGACAACGAGGGCGGATAGAAAATCAATCATCAAAATGGAACTAGGTCCAAAAGGTTACGATATTCTCTCTGCAACTCCATTGCGACGCTTCCAGATCAAATCCGGTGAGGTTGCAATTGCGAGTCTAGGCTTATTGGGCAAGCTCTCGGGTGCGGCTGCAATCGTAGGGAACGACATTTACACGGAGAGGAGCGGTCGTCTCAGAGCATATACCAGCTTCAAGGCCCTTGGAATAATCGGTATTTTTCCCCCAAAAGGAACTCCCAACTTGTTTTTTTTTCGCTAATACGTTCTAGGCTTTTACATATCTGGACTTGAGGCAAGATCCATCGAGGACGATTTCATGGGTTTGATGTTTGGCAAGCCTATCCCCCTCCATTGTGTTAAGAAGAGCGTCGACTATAAGAACGTGCTTGAAATCGATACGGAGAAAGCCTGGGCGGAATCTGATCAGAAGGCTAGTTGGAGCAATGAGGTACATTTTGAACTCTTCATTCTTCAGTAGCTATGACTTAGGCCAGGAGTATGAATAATTTTGATATCCCTTTGCGTCACTGGGCCTTTGACATGCGGTCTCATAGCATATGCAGCCAGCCTCAGAATAAAAATACGACGAAGGTTATAGCAGCTCTACACCAAAATACATTAGCTGGAAAGGAAGACACGTTCAAGTCTGCGTAAGCTAGATTCTGATTTTTCCCGTTCTAAGATGCAATCTGGTTCAGCCTTTTTTTTCTTTCTTTTTCGTTCCTTTCTTTTTTTTTAAAAAAAAAAATCTCAAGAATGAATGTATTCGCAGCTTGCCATGAGATTTTCATCAAGCAAGCGGGTTTGTGTTATTGGCATATTCGAACTGTTGTCTGCAAAAAGAAAGGAACGTCGGAAAAACTCCATGCATGATATTAAGAGATAGCAAGAAGCCACACGTCAACATGAAGCTCGTCTGCATATTTACCAAGATCGATTTTTTGCGCTATTGGACGCTTTAAAGAAAATTAATTTGGCTCTTCAAAATTGGCCCCAGGCGATGTTGCGCTTCCGCTAAGCACGGTAATTTTTGCTCCTTTTCCGGCTACTTCGGAGTCAGGTTTCATGTACTTCTGCGCCCTACGGCACCACAGGACTGTTCTCAAGGCCACCCTCCAGATATGACTAGCCACTATAAGGAGATGTGCCCATCGCCCCCTTGGACGATAGGTATGTAAAAGCCTCGAGCTCTGATGCTGGATCAAAATTCGTTCCTCGACTCTTGTTGTTTCGCTTCTAAGGAACAACGCTGAACAACTTTGCCGACACACTGCGTGCCCGTCGCACTCGAAAATTATGGACAAAGCCTATGAAGCAGCGTCAGTTGTCGCAGAGGCTCGAGCATCGGAAAAGCACCACAATCAATCAATTCGCCGTCCGCGCATCCGGATAGTGCCTGCCGCCTGTTCTCAAGATGCCGAGTTCGTTGACACCATCACCGCCTTGGTCAACAACGTCTACCGAGAGCACGAAAGAGACTTGTTTGTGCAAGGATACAAGCGGACCAACGTAGATGAAATACGTTCTTTTATCCAGGCAGGCGAAATCGCCGTTCTATATGCGCCATCGACCTCGGACGCGGCCGGCCAAGAACGACCGATAGGTTGTATCCGAATCCAGCGGCTTTCGCCCACCCTCGGAGAGTTCGGGATGATGGCCGTCGAAGCAGAGTACCGTGGAAACGGGTTTGGCAAAGAACTGGTGCGTTTCGCCGAGGAGCAATGTCGGCGTTCTGGCTCGACGGCCATGCAGGTGGAACTCCTGTTTCCAACGGACTTTGAGCATGCCTTCAAAAAGCGTTTGTTCGAGTGGTATACTAGAATGGGCTATACCTTGATCAAACTGGGTGACTTTCAGGATGATTACCCTCACTTGGCGAAGCTATTGCGAGGACCAATCGAGTATCGTGTATTAGAGAAGCCTTTGACCTGAACGCGCCATGTGTTGAATCTTGATAAGGTTGTGAGAGTATCTGGGTTTTCAGAGTATCCCCTATAGGTATATGAACAGGCGAGCAAATAATCTGATGTGATACATTGTAACATGTTTATATCTAGAGTTGTCGTACATCCTTTCCTTTGAGTTCAGGCCTTTCCAGTTCGACCTCATCTCTGATGACTGCATGCAGTAGATCGCCCGTAAGAATGATCAAGGCTAGACTCCATACCAATGTGATTGCATAGAAGAAGTTTGCATTACCCGACCCAGCGTAGATCCACAAGTGATAGAACGCAGGTCCTAGCAGCGTGGCATACAAGAGTGTTGCTGTAGCTAAAAATGAATAACGCATGACTATATGTCCAGTTAGTGGTTTCGAAGGCCTTGCTGCAGAGTGAGCATAGAAGCTTACGAGGGAACACATGTCGATAAAGAGGCACCGTGCCTAAAAACAGCGCTGAATCGGCGATGCTCGGGTACGGCTGAAAGATAGCGATGACGCCTAACATAGCTACAGCTGCGAAGAGTGGTTGTTTGTGAAGCTTGATACACAATCCACCAACATATGATGCCATATGTAGCCAAAAAACACCCAGAAAGAATTCTCTGAATGAGTCGAACATCTCGATGAAGAAATACCACCACAGGCCTACATTTGGTGTAAGATCAGGTAGCAGCAGAGGCGTGCCGTACGTGCTTGATATGAATTGCCACGATCCCATTAAGAAGTATGAAATATAGAGTAGCCCCAAGATCGATGCACTAAGACCAGCTAAGTGGCTTATCGTGAACAGCAGCGGTGATGCCGGTTTGGGGTGTCGATCGTAGAGAATGAGGGCGAGAGGTGGGAACAGGAGGATGGGATAGAGCGATAGATAGCTAGACAAGCTCAGGGAGAGTATAAAAGTGAGCGATCTGCCTGTAGCGGCGCTTGCGATTGCTTGAAGAATAAATGCATTTGTGATGACGCTTGTGGGACGTGCGATGCACGTCGCGACCGTGAGAGGATTGAAAAGATACCTGTACGCTTTTAGCGCCCACTCATAGGTAGAAAGTAAGACTGCCAAATGCCACGGCAGGACTCACGCAGCAGCGATCGAGAGACTTGAATAGCCAAAGCTCTTTCTCGGTGATGTAAACAACCTTGTGGACTGCGCAATGCCACTGTCGGCAATAGTTATGAGCGCATTGGCACTCAAGAGATCGAGAAGTATGTAGAGCAATCCGGTTAACGCCTCGGGAAGGAGATTGAAGAGTGGCAGCAACAGCGGAGCCTGATGGAACACACCCCCATCGTAGGGAGACACATTGTGAGTGTAGAGGAACAAGCCTTCTTGCACTGCGAAGACATTAGCCGCTTTGCACCTACACCACAGCCCAGTAAAGCCCCATAAGAACAAGATAACTTCGGCGCACTTCTTGACCAAAGCCGCGTTAGAAAGGCACTTACATCTCTTGTAGCTCGTAACAGGTGTGGATATTTCAACCCGGCCAGTAAGGACAGGTGGTAAAGAAGGGAAAGAGAAGAGCAACAAGCGTATCGCGGCCGCGGCGCCGAAAAGGAGTGCCTTATGCTTGTTCATGGTTCTTGCTATCTTCCAGAGCCTTTCATCATGAGCCGCAGCGGATCACGCTCGTGAGTTTGCGACGTTGCGCAAGATGTCGAATTGAGGCCACCAAACGGCCGCGTCAGGGTCCTACTTAGCCAGCGTCTCAGCCTTACCGCTCTCTGAATTCGTCCCGCCGCCAGCCTTGCGCCTAGATAGATTCGCTGGACAACCGGCCGCCGTATTCAGAGACACACTTGAAAATAAGTGACACGTGGGCCTTCTTTCTTACATTTGCATGTAATTGTCGCAACTTTATGGTGGGCTGATTCGGGCAGGACTCAAGGACAAGTTCACGAACGCAACGACACGGCAATCTGTGGACAGAATCACGATAACTGTATAGTGCTTAGCGGCACGAATGTAACCTTTTCCTCAAAAATCTCGATTGATCATACGGCCTCAAGCTCCTCCCTCTTATCGTCCAGGTCAGGAATCCACCCCTTCGGCCTCTCAGAGCCCCTCACAACTTGGCCGTACGAAGCTTTCTCGACCTTTTCGACACATTCCTGCATCGTCGGCATCTTCTTTCCAAAATCCTTTGCCAGCGAGCTGCCCCCTGCATCAAGCAACTCTAGATACCCCCTTAGCTCCCGCATGTCTGAGAGTACGGACCGAGGCTCTGGCAGGTCGGTATCCATATCGTCGTCGTTGACTTTCGACGCCGCTGGGGCGATCTGACCACCCGTGGCCATCGCGGTGATGGCAAAGCGCATTAATTCTCCAACCATGTCGCAAATTCCGAGGACGTAGTCAGACTCCGTAAGCATGACTTTATGCTTGCCAGAGGACATTGCCGCCAGTTTCTCGCGTGACTCTTCTATGGTTATCAAGCGCTGAGTCTCCAAGTAGTGCTGGAATGAAATTGCTTCCATCAGTTCCTGGTTACCCCCCGTAATGTTGTGACTATATCGATGCGCATTGATGTCTTGTAGGTCTGCGGCGATGGCGTCGTATGAATTGCGAATTGTCTCCCATTGCTTCGGCTGCTGGAGCTCCTTGGGCACAGCGCAACCAACTTGTCGTACTCTAGCACACTGTCGTTAAAATACCATTGATCGAGACGGGACGAAAGTTTTGGGATACCTCTGTAAGGAGAATATGCTGAGCAATGTCAGCTAGACATAAAGAGTCCAGGCCCATTGGTTTAGCTCACATCTTTTTGCTCGCCGCAGTAATATCTCTGGACGCCTTTATTATACGTTCTCTCCGGTCGTGGTGCTCGTCGAGCTCGTCACGAAGACTCTCGAACATGGATAGGAATGGCGACTGGGGGTTGGCTTCGCCATCGTCGAAAGCAGCTTCGGCAGTTCTCTTTCCTTTTCCCCTGTGCATAATTGGTGCGGCAGAATGCTGTCTTCAAGTCTTTCAATGTGAGCGGCCGAACGAATCTCTCAACACCGAGCTCGGACTTGCCTGTTTCGGGAGACTGGCCATCCAAAGAAATTTGTACAGGAGAAACAAAAAGTTGATGGCCCTATCAAACCTGTGCAACAAAATTTAACGAAAATAAAAAAGCTTGGAAGAGGAGCATATGCATATCGAGATGCAGCGTCTGGTGTGAGCAGTCCTTCCCCAATCAATCCTGCTGCATAACTTCGTCATGGGCTTGGTATCACTCTTTTCTAGCCCAACTTTTGTCTTTGGAGGCGCCGTTGTCCTTCGCGTGTTCCTTCTGTTCTGGGGCCTGTACCAAGATGCAACATCAGCCTTCAAGTACACAGACATAGATTACTTCGTCTTCACAGACGCCGCGCGCTTCGTGTCTCAACGCCGATCGCCATATGATCGAGACACGTATCGCTATACACCGCTGCTTGCCTGGATTCTGGTCCCCACAGCATGGAGCCGCGCATGGTTTTCCTTTGGAAAAGTGCTCTTTGCGCTAGCTGACATCGTCGCTGGATACTTGATTGTCGTGATTCTAAGATCGTCCTACCGCATGCCGAGGGGGAAGGCGCTGGGATTTGCATCGATTTGGCTACTGAACCCCATGGTTGCAACTATAAGCACGAGAGGGAGCTCCGAGGGCCTCCTAGGAGTCTTGGCTGTAGCCTTGGTGTGGGCTGTCACGCAAAGACGAATCGTTCTGGCTGGGTTTATCCTCGGGTTTTCAGTTCACTTCAAGATATACCCGTTCATCTACGCGGCTTCGATACTCTGGTGGCTGGACGACGAGCGCAGAAACGTTGCCTCGACAAAAGGCGCGCACAGAAAACCGACTCAGAAATCTGTGATCCAACAGGTTTTAAACAAGGATCGCGTTCTATTTTCTTGCAGCAGTCTGTTCACGTTCGTGATATTGAACGTTTGGATGTACTCGATGTAAGCAGTGCGCCCACACATAGACTGGGTCCAATCTAACGGCCGAACAGATACGGGTGGCCTTTCTTGGAGCACGGTTATCTCTACCATCTCACTCGTGTCGATCACAGACATAATTTCTCACCATACAACACTATGCTGTACTTGAACTCGTCCCCGGCTGCACAGTCATCACTACGTCTTGAATCTTTGGCTTTTCTCCCCCAGCTCATGACCAGTGCAGTGTTGATACCCTTAGCACTTGCGAAAAAGGACCTTGCTTCTACGATGCTGGCTCAAACCTTTGCATTCGTGACGTTTAACAAGGTCTGTACAAGTCAGGTAAGTCCGAAGCACGCTTTCGTTACGACGACCTGAGCTCCTGACAACCGGTAGTACTTCTTGTGGTACCTTATATTTTTACCCTTTTATTTGCCCTCTTCGTCGCTGCTTCACAAACCTTACTTGGGCATTGGTGCTCTAGTATGCTGGGTGGCTGGTCAAGTATTGCCTTAGTCACCGTTCACTCTACAGTATAGAATCTAATTTTGAAAACAGGCATTTTGGCTGTTTCAGGGTTACCAACTCGAGTTTCTGGGCAACAGCACCTTTGTGCCAGGACTATGGTTTGCCTCCATAGCGTTCTTCCTCGTCAACTGTGCGATATTGTCGGTCATCATTTCCGACGTGGCACTCATGAACGATGCGGCAAAACAGAAGAAAGCTCAATGAAATGAAAAAAAAAAAAATAGTATGTTTAACTTCGTAGAGCACTGTTTGCCACGTGCTTTGGTATCTAGAGGTGTTTTCTCAGTAATCGTGACGTCGTCCTTCACATATGTCCGACCATTCCCATAGTTAAGGCGTTAAGAGAGCTCTACGAGATCCTAATCTTTCAAAGGATTCTCGTCTGGCTGCAAAATACCCTCTCTGATCAGATCCTCCGGCTTTGGCCTGTTGTGCAGCTGCTTCTCCAAGCTGTCTGCTCGCATGTGACGCTCCAGTTCTTTTTGATGTGCTTGGAGGGCCGGGGCGGCGTTCGAATCTGGAAGGACGTTGCCTGCGTAGAGGGAGCCGCGTCAGCATTGGTCCACCAAATGTTTGACATCGCGTAAGCGTCAAGCTTGCAAACGAAGACATTCCCCGTCTTTTACCAGTGTGAGGGGGGTGTTGGGAACTGAACCTACGTTGAATCAGCTCTTCTCGATCTGGACGATGCTCGAGGCTCTTTCTCAAGCTGTCTGTGACTTTCTGTCGCTCCAACTCATGTTGTGCTGCTTGAAGCGCCCTGTGTTCGGTGTGATGTCAGCGTAGTCCCCACCAACAGAGCCGCAAGAGTGACACGGTCAACGGCAGAGAGCGGGGGATTTTCCATACGGTGCAGCATTGGTGTCGAGCAGAATGTGTCTGTTCTTCAGCTCTTGAGCCTCCGGCCGGTTAGTGAGATGCTTTTCAAGCGAATTGCGGCGCTCAAGAGGGCCTCTGGTGGGGGAGATGGAGGTGGTGTCGACGTTCTCGTTGGAAGACATGACGTTTGCGCTGGTATTCAGTGCTTTGGGTCGGTATGAATGTTCGGAGAATCTGAATCCAAGAGCTTGAAAAGCTGCAGCTGCACGAAGCTGTAGGAGAGAATAACAAGCCCTTCAGTTCATGCGGGGACAGCTGATCTTTTGACCAGCACCAGGTGCAACAAACAGTCAAACAGCTGTGACCTTCCCCACACATCCCTGCAGCGGGCAACGGCGGGCACACGTCACAGGCTGAGCGACGCTGTTGTTGTGGTTGGACGTCACCTCTACCCTCAGCCTTGTCGTCGCACTCGTGAGCTCCGAGTTCTGTTCAGCGGTGATCTTTCTGGTGAGGATGTCCTCGGCCAGATTGACCCGCTGTACAAAATTCGTCCCCTTTCGGCCCTGACCGATCACAGTGTTTCGTTGCTTGGTGCTGCGCTGAAGTCACGGATTTCTCCGCCGTTGGAACCTAAACTCTCCAAACTCCAAATGAACTATTTTCGCCGCCTCTGAAAGCATGATTTGATGTCTGGAGCCATTGTGTGACGAACTGATCACGCGTTGCGAAGACAGGTTAGATGATCCATCTCTAGTCATGAAGAACAAGGCTGTGGCGAACACGAGGATAATAGAGGTGACAACCTGGACGGTCCATTTGCCATTTTTGCATGGCACCAAACTCATAAGCAGAAGCCAACTATTACATGGTCCACTTTGGCCTCTTTCTGTGGCTCAAGCGGGATACAACAGGTTAAAAGCGTTCATGACACCGACTACCGCAATCTTGGCAGCTTACTGCGGCCATGCCATTGCTATCGGCAAGGGATGAATTAGCATCCTTCACCATCGCATTTTAATTCAGTAAGGGTGCTCTTTTCCTGCTGGCCTTAGTGGCGTTACTCGATCTCTCGACTTTTGTACGAGTACAGTAGACGACCACACTTGGAAGACGAACCGAGTACTCGTTCCTGATTGGCCCACAGTCAGCCCTGCGCCTCTTGAGCAGGCACCGCCTCAGCCTCACAGCCCGAATTCACCACAAATAGCACAGCTCAAGCTCGATCGTGGGTTGTCGAACTTACGGGTACCAAATATGGAATGCTAGAGCTTGAATACACAGCGAATTTTCATGACTGGTGGCTCATCGCTTTGTGCGAGGCGTCCACGAGGAAGTTCCTCCCTGCGCAAGCGCACTTGGCAATATGAACTCGTACAATATGTATGTACATATATATACAGCAGGGTCGTGCCGTTTGTGAAAAGGACACCACTATCGTCGCTCAAAGATCCAGAGCGTATAGAACCAACCAACGGAATACATTCAAACAGCTCTTACCACTTCCCAACGTCCGCTATACAGCGTCGCGCAAACCATCCTCCTCCATGTTCGCCAAATCCGTCCTCGTAGCCGCGACCGCGCTCACTTCAACCGCTCTCGCTGCTCCAGCCGCTGTCCCGCAAGCAGCACCAGGCTCCGTCTCCATAACCCTCATCGACGCTGTCGGCCACGAATTCCCCGTCTGGGCGCCGTCAGATCAATCTCACTTCGCCACCAATGTCAAGGAGTCCATCTCTCACGTGCGCATCAACAACGACGGTTCCATTCCCTGCGCTTTCTGGGGCGTTGACGGCGTGACTATCCTCTCTATGCCGGGAGAGGAGAAGTACATGGACGTCGGACCACCGCAGACCATTGTTGGCGGGTACTGTGGACCTTGGCAGGTCACTCAGTAAGAAGTCGATCGGCAGAAAAGTTCTGAGGCATTGCGACGGAGTTTGTCTTTGGGCATGTTAGAAGATGCGCATGTTTTTGACGTTGCATCTCGTCAAGAGAGCGTATGAAATCAATTGTACATATAATGGCCGCGCATAATCATCACAACCCGTAATCATAATACATGGAACGTCGTCAAATCGTACCTTGACCCTGTCGCTCTCAGCAGCTTCACCTTTGACTCACCAGGTAGACGCAGATACGGCGATTGTCGCAAGAGGTTCAGGCCATGCTCCCACCACTGTCTCTGCCGCCTCCCCCAATCAGTCCGGCCATTCTCAGCAACTCTCGGTCCGCTTCAATGTCGCCAGTGCCCAGGTTGATCCTTCGCCGGGCTTCTGCCTCCTTCTCTTCCCAAGCCCAGGCCTTCCTCTGCTGCTCTGCTTCTTCAGTTCCTCCACAGCCCCAAACCTCGAGCGCCTCGATCTCAAACCGGTCTTGCCAGTCAGCACCCTTCCTTTGCGGCAGAGTGGACGTGTGAAACGCGCCCCCGCCTTGCGACGAGTGCGTGAAGGAGCAATAGGTGAGGGTGTCGTCAATGTGGAGCGAGACAGGTCCAAGAGGCAGAGACATGTCAGCAGAATAATGCGACGACGTCATTGACTGGGAAGGAAGCGGCGATCCGAAACCGACGCCAGTGCGTGCAGAGGGTGACTTGGTGAAGTAGATGTACGACTTTTCGAGCGTGTTGGCGCTGAAGACGTCATGAATTGGTGACAGCTGGAAGAGCTTCGTATCTGCGGTGCCAAACGCAGCTTTGGGACTTGTCTTCCATGGCACGGGTATATAGGCTCCGTAGACGAGTCGCTTGCCGGTGGTAGAGGGCGAGAACCTTTTGTACGGCACACTCTCGAGAAACTCGCGTTCCCGGCTGTTATGGGCATTGGGCGACAACAATGTTCCCGACACGAGCAATATCGACGGCGCTAACCACTTGAAACAGGATTTTTCGAACTGGCCCATGCTAAAACCGTGCACGTTCCCTGAGTACAAAGGCTGCAACCTCCTGTACAGCGCGCTGCCTCCCAGGAACGATGCGAGTTGATGGAGCATGGGAAGGTCCAAGATGTCGCCTTCCTTCGGCAGCAACGGCTCTGGTATCGAAGGTTCTTTGGGAATTTCAGGCCGCAACGCCGACGGGTTGGACAATGACTTCTTCCTCTTGTGCATGTCAAGGTCCTTGGGGAAGAGGAAGTGCTCGAAAAGCGGCTGGATGCTGTCTAGAAGGAAAGGCATGGTGGCGGCCAGCACTCTCTCAAACGTCTTGTATCTCACGCCGGGTGACTGCTCAACGCCGCCGAACGAAGCTAGCATGTTCCCAGCCGTTTCTCGCAGCCGAGCAAGCTTGTCCTCCTCTAGCTGGGCGGCCGAGTACTTCGCAAGGCTCTCCTGCGGCGCCAGCGGTGCGGCCACTAGCAGGAGCTGTATCAGTCTCAGGAAATTGTCCGACGGTATCATGGCATGCTGCATAGTGCTCTTGTCAGTCAGCCCATACGTCTCACTCACGTCCATCATCTCGAAGGCCTCAAACGCAAGCCCATCCTCTTCGTCCTCCTCTTCGTCGTCCACGGCACGGTCAACGGCGAACCCTTGAGCAGCGCCCTGGGATGGTTCCGGCTCCTTGCTCATCGTCCCCTCTACTGTAGGACTCATGATGCGGTCGAACACCGCGCAGCCCCTCCAGACCTCTCTTCGCCACAGAACCTTCCCCCGTCCGCCTCTCCCGCTCTTCAGCACCTTGGCCCACCTACCCGTCAACACGGTGACACATCGCAGCAGCGCATCGTTCGTAAGGATGGCGGGCGCCTGGCTAGGGAAGGGAAACGCGCCCAAATAGCTCGCTAGCTGAAAGATGACGGCACCAACATTCAAGGCATCAGGCAGCTCGAGGAAGCGGCATAGTGTGCCCTCAGACCAGTACTTGATGTCCGATTGGTGGTCGGCTAGACTCTTGAAGACCTCTTTAAAACAATACAGTTCCAGCGGCGTGTAGCATTTGGTTGCGAAGGTCTGTGTTAATTGTGCGGAGAGCTCTTCTGTGACGCATCGGTGCAACGGTCAGCCTAGCTACCATGGAGATCACAGCAATTTGTACAAATTCGCGAAAGAGTGCTACGAACCAATTGTGGGAGGCGGCCCATGCTGCGATTGCCCCTGTCCCATCACGACCTCATACAAAGATGTAATGCGGATGCGGATGTGTTTGGCCCAGAAATAAAGTGAAGAATTGCAGAGGGCTAGGCTGACGCCCGCTCTCATTAAGGTGGAGCTCGTATATCTTACTCCTAGCCTGCTTGCATGTGATAAATTACGTTTCTGAGCCAAACTCTCCACCTTTACGACTGCTGGAAAGCTTCGTCATTTGCACATTATGTTGCAAAGGTCCGCTACATTAATGCATTATCCGTGTTATTCTACTCTCGCTGACCATAGAATTGCCCACGTTGCAGACAAGATGCTACACACGTCTTCTCAACCATGGTCTAAGTAACAATGGTTCCACCTTGAAATAATCGTACATTGTGCCTCCCGCCTAGGCTCCAATACATCACATACACCCGGTCCATGCAATAAGAAAAATTAATTCAGTTTCAAAAAAGTACAGAATGAACCAAAAATTGACGGCTCTTGCCATCGGAAATTACTGTCACACCGTAAACGGTGGAAGCGCCACGGTTCCAACCCCAAGATCAAAAGGTTGATCGGGCAGACCTCAAGCTCGCATGGCGGAGAAAGAGATGGAATTTGTCAATGTTCTGATCCGCTCCTCTAAGCTCGTTAACAATACGCTCACGAACGAGGCACACCTCTTCTTGTATTAAAGAGGGGTACTTTTTACGCCTTGCGGCTACGCGTAGTCATTCCGGTCTTCTCGTTCTGCACCGGGAGCTGATACGCGTTCGACTTTCCGGAAGATGAGAACGACAATCGCCTTGCTGCTTCCCTGACAGTTGGCACTTGGTCACTGGCCATCTCCTTGAGAGCGCTTCTGGCCCTGGCGCGACCCTTGAGTGGCTTCTTGTATGTCGCAGCGTAGAACGAAATGAAGAGCAGCAAGTACGACGAGAGGATGCAGATACCGGCAATCGCAGCGAATTCCTCGCCAGCGCATTTGCCGGCGTTGGGCAGCCAATCCCAGTAAGTGCTGGTGAAGTAGGTGTAGGACGCGAAGTAGACAAAGCCTGCATTGTGTTGTCAGCTGGGAGAAGTTTGAAGACAGATGCACGATATCGGCATACCAAGGTCGAGGATGAATTGGGTAATCTGCATGATGGTGATGTACTGCTTCCACCAGATGCGAATTCCACGTGCACTCTGGAAGTAGTACCAGTACATGACGACATGGACAGTCAAGTTCAGAGTGATGGGGACCCAGGACACTGCGGTCTGGCCGAGAAGCTGGGTGTAGCAGAGGAGAGCCGTTGCGCCGTGATGATATGTGTGCAGGAAGGCTGTGCTCGGATTAGTCTATGCCTTTTCACGACTGTCAAGAACCAAAACGTACTGAGAGGCTTCTTCTTCAGGAAGAGGAAGACTGTGTCTAGAAGCTCGAGATACTTGGTAAGATAGTTAAGCTGTTGCTTACATTAGCGTAGTTCCTCGAACAGTGAGGGGACTGCAGCGAAGGGGAAAACGAACATAGTACAGAACGACCATCTTGTCGGTCCAGCCGCCGTCGTGGGCGCAGATAGCATGGAACACGCCATTTCTGGCAATCTCAGGGATGAGCTGCTCCAGAAACAGGACAAGCAGAATACCGCTGATCGCTGTCAGATAGAGATTGTGGATCTTGAACAGGCCATTGAGCTTGAGCGGCTCGCGGTTGCGCATGATCTCACGACCGCCGAAGATGATGACATAGTAGGCAAGCAAAGTGCTGGCTGTCACGCCGAACGTCGACATGGGAGTCTTGCCCTGCACGAAGCGGAAGTCCTGGGGTGCGTAGCCCATCACAGAGCCGTACGCCTTCTCGAAGATGGGCCATAGAGCCAGGCCAAAGGGACGATCGAGCGTCGGCGCACCGAATTGAATCCAGTCTGCTCCCATGGCTGTGATTGCGCTGGTTGAGACGCAGAAATCGGGTGTGTCGTGTGTGTGGTCACAAGGATCGTCGAAGCGAAAGAGGGGGCCTGGGAAAAGCCAAAGCGAGGCTGACGGACAGTACGAAAGGGAAAATCGTCTGCAAGGGAACGAAGAGGGCGAAGTCGTGATACGAATTGGCCACGGCAAGAGAAGTCTCCGGCGGTGCCTTGTTTCGTCGTCGGGCGACGCTCCTGCTGGCGGAAACGGGCGGAACGGACGACGCAGAAGGGGCAAATGGCCAAAGAAGCAGGAACGAGGGGCCGGAACCTTGGAAGTCGCCGCCTCGCTGGATTAAAAGGAAGTAGCGCAGACAGCAGTGAAGGGGAGGACAAAGGGAGCAGAGACGGACAAGACAATGGGGGGATGGCAAGGAGCGACGTGACAAAGACAAAATTGGTTGGGCGATTTGGGGTCAAAGAGGTTTATGAAGGAGCAAATGTTGATGGACCAAAAAGGGGCTTAGCGGCCATCATCCCTGCGCTGGACCGCGCGCTGGGGGCGTCGGCCTCGGGGGCGGAGATGAGACCTGTTCAGGAACCCGTCGGGCCGGCCAACGACTGCGCGGCGGGCACGTATGCATTTTCTCAGCTGCCAGGGCACTGGATCTTTCTTGCTGGAGCACGACCGCATCCCGGATCCGTCGCCCGTCTTGTGACCGACTGGCGGGCCCTCCTGCCTCGGCGACGGCCTCGGCGACGGCCTCTGCGCCGCAGCAGGAAGCAGTTTGGGGTTCAAAAGCTCATGAATTTCGAGAAGTCCGCGCACCCAATGCCGGACCAAGTCTATGGTAAAGGAAGAACCGATTGAACAAGTACCTGGAGAGGCTTTTCTTTCCACCATGCCGCGTACATTGGAAACTCGCTCGCTGCGCTCCCGTGATACGCACAAGTGCAACACATCTACACGTGCACATCCATAACCCGAAGCCGTCAAAATCCGTCTCATCGTCATCTCAAAGCAGAAGAAAATGGAAACAAAAAAAATACAGCCCCAACACTTTTAGTCCTGCCATAAGCAGTGTCGCTGCATGAACGTTGCTCGACCATCCCCTCAATCGCCCCCGTTGGACCCCATACTTGGCCCGAGCAAGCACCTGTCTGGTATCTGTCTCTACCATACCACTAGGCCGTACAGAGGCTCCAGGTGGGCGATCAGTTACGCCTAGAGCCGTAGAAGCGTGCTGATTCCGCCGCCTGTTACATCTCGAGTGGCTGGACGTTATGACCGCACGGTTGGGTTGGAGTTTGTTCTTTTGGGTCCACCAGATGAATTGGGTCGGCTGTTGCTGCGTGGCCTAGTGTGCGGCCGCTGCGAACGCGATTCATCAGATTGAGTACGCCTCTAGATCCAAAACTCCGTGGTTAGAGCCAACTCCAGGCGCCACAAATGCACACCAATGATAAAGAAGAGAGGAAAAATGAGATCGTAGGTCGGTCGAAGATGTACAGAGCGAGATACGACAGGTAGAATCCCGCAAGATGTTCCTCGAAGCGATCGGAACGTTCAACTCACCGAGGAGGGAGGCGTTTCTTGTGAACGCCTATCTTTCGCAACGTCATCCTGCAGCCTCATCGCTTCCAGATTCCGTCTTTCCTGGCTCAGTGGGTCTCCATCTTCTGCCCTGGGCGACAGGACTTTGGTTCCTTGGCCAGTTGTGGTTGCCAAGGGAGGCGGTATCCGACCGTTGACGCCCTTTGCCAGTTCCTCGAGCTTGCTCCATCGTGCAGCTCTGGCGAGCTGCTTCTCTTTGGCCTGTTTTTGTTGTTCGGCATACTCGTGCGAGCAATCATCAAACAATTGGGGGTTCACTTCCATGAAGAGCTTCATGGCATTGTAGACCATACCGTGAATCGTCCTATGCCTGTCAGCTGAGCCATGGCAACACCGATCACCTCACACCTACCTGTTCCAATGTCCCTTTGAGTTCTCATACAGCGGCGCAAACATTATGGGAAGAATGACCTCGACATTATCGCTGACTAGGTTGCAGAAATATTCGTTGTTCCAAAAGTATAGAGCTCTCTCCGCGACCTGATCCTGTTAGCAATGGTTGTCCCAGGTCGGACAGCTGCACTTACCTGGAAATGGGGGCTCGCAACGGACTTTGCAAGCTGGTTGAAGAGGGGTTCTTGGACTTTCGCAAATTCGGCCGGATCCATAACCTCAAATATGTCCTCAACTTCGTTAAGGAACATGACTTCCTTCGTGCTGTTGACTTTTGGCCAATATCGCAAAAGTCCGAGGACGACGTCTTCCGTCAGCGCTGCATCCTTCTCTAGAAATTGAACGATGCAGTATGCTAGCTGTGGGTGATACATGCTCAGGCTTTTGACCTTATGAAGCGGTATTAGAACTCTCGTCAAAAATAGCTTGTGCTCTTCTTTGAGAGGAAGTGCAAATCCGTTGATGATGGAGCCGAGAATCTCAAGAAGTTCTGCGACGCCGTTGAATCGTTCGGTTTCGTACACAAATTGGAAGAACACGTTGTTGATAGATCGCCTAATAAAGGATCGCAAGTTCAAAAACTTGCCATATATTCTGTGCAATGTTGTTTTGAGGAAGTCTCTCTCGCGAGGATCCTCGGAATCGAATAACTCGAGCAACTAGAGAGCAGTCAGCAATAAGGTCAGCACGACAGGCGATCTGGGTACGTACTGATAGAACAAATTGATGATCTATGTATTGCTTGGCGATATTTGTGTTGAAATCTTGACTTTCAATGAAGCGCAGGAAGAATTCGTAGACAACTTGAATGTGGGGCCACGCAACTTCGAGAACTGGCTCGTCTTCTTCGGGGTCGAAGGCCTCTCCCTGCGGATTCATTGGTGGCGGAATGGGTCTAAAGAGGTTCTTGGAAAACATTTCGACAACCTTGGGGTACATAGGCTCGGTGATGACCTGCCTGTTGTTTGCAACATAGTCCAACAGCTCGTGCAAGGCAAGACGCTTGATCTCTTTAGACTTCATGTCACCGCTGGCATCGTTGAAGTCGAAGATTATGTTGCATTGATCGATCTTCTGCATGAAGAGCTCTTGTCGACGGTTTGGAGGCACCTCGTGGAAGCCTGGGAGCTTCTCTAGCTCTCTCTGACGCTGATCTGAGATGTCGAATCGCGACGAGTGCTGACGCTTCGGCGTTCTGATGCCTTCGGGAACATCCTTTGGTGTTGCTTGTAATCTGTCGAACAACAGACGCTTCTCTCCAGGTTTGGGTGGGGCCAGATCGGTTGGCATGGTTTCGGTAGCTCCAGGCGCCGGGACGTGCTTCGTGAGCCAGAGTGGTTAGCATAGCTCAAAAAATAAACACGATACACGTGAGAGCCAACTTACAGGGCCGCTGGGACTAACGACGACGCTTGGTGGAAGGTGATGTGGTGCACGAGAGGGAGTGCCTGCATTACTGTGGTTCATCGCGCCGACGACGTTTGGAACGCCGGAGCTTCCCAAAGTCGACTGCGCGGATGGCAATGAAGAAAATTGAGTACCAGAGGTCACTGAGCTGTTCAAGCCGGGTTGACCTGGTTGCAATGAGCCATGAAGCGAGCTAGCGCCTATATTGTCATTACTTGGAAGAGGCTTGTTACGGGGGTCTACAAGCTGGGTGGTAGACGAAGTTGGCGTGCCGTGGTTGGAAGTAGCTGGTGACTGGGCGTGGCCTTGCGATGGCGATGCAGAGCCGGACGACGCTGTAGAGTTGGCGTCTTTTGTCTTCTTGGAAGACGACTTAGTCGAATCCTTGGCTCTGGAGAGCTGCTCGTGCTAGAGTTAGCCGTAAGTTAGACGTGCTGAACAAAGAGAAGCCAGGCTCAGAAGAGCAATACTGAAAACGAAAAGCACTCACCACTCGTTGGCGGAAGCCTTTCATCACTGCGACCAGCGCGTACGAGATCGTGCGTCAAGACCGAAGCTTGGTCAACTGCGTGGAATATACTTCGGCAATTCTTCACGCAAGTGGGCTGGTGGAGCTCAAATGCTGAGACGAGTGGTGTGGTAGGCTGAAGAGACGGTGACTGTGCGAAGATACCAACGCTGCCTACGCCCGGTGCATCGGCGACGACACCAGCTACAAACGCGAAGGCAGATCCAGCGTGCGAGGGCGAGGAGGGCGCGGACGACAAGTCAACGTTGCGATAGGGGTGTGTGGCAGCCTCGTAAGGGGAGATGGGAGCTGCTGCAAGAGCAGAGATGGCGCTGAGCAGACGAGAAGGATTTGTTAAACGAGACACACAATCGTCATCACCGCGGCCGCAGACGTTCAAATGATGGTGAGAAGGTTGGTGGTGTTCGGGCTTCCTCACGCCGCCCAGTCGATTTCCACTTTCGACGGCGCACGGACGGCACATCAATGAGGGGAGTTCATGTTCGGTTTCGTCTTGCTGTGGTCACGCCCATCAGCCAAGTTTACTCTTAACGCACGCCGTCACCGCTGACGTACCGATCGAATCACAGCCGCAATGGAATTCCAATAGTGATTTTTTTTTTGAGAAGGGGACACATCGGGCAGACGGTTCTCGCGCATGCCGAAGCCCCTAGCGAACCCTTGATGGCACCAGCACCAGCACCAGCAGCCTATGCTTGCTGAAGCCACAGCCACCAATGCACACTCTACCTCTTCTCATAGAACTTTATTTTGGCGAAAGCTGGTTCTTGTGTGCAACATCTGCGTCAGGAAGCAGACTCCTAGCTGCGTGTTGTTAAATACATCGAAATCCTTGATCCGTTGCCTTTCTCACCTATCTGCCATGCCAGGCTGGATTCCGCCCTCCCACGGCCTGGGAGGGAATTCGCGTGATGAACAGACACAAGCCATACCAGTTCCCTCGCAAGCGGTTGTATGTGTCGAGCACCCCTGCATCATCAAGAATCTTGACCGCGGCATCAGGTCCTTGGGGGGAAAACATGAGATAAACAAGGCAGGTCGGCCCTTAGAAGCGCCCCCTAGGCACGACTGACCAGATCAAGTTGTTCGAGGATGGCAAAGAGCCTGAGTTCTTTGAGGTGTCGCTTCGTCCTGATGACCCTATGGCAAAGACCATATACTCAAAGAAAATCGACGTAAATCATTTGCTTCTGAAAGTCACCGTGCCCAAGAGGACTGGTCGCAGGCGCAAGATCGGCTCAAATGTGCCGTTCCATGATCAAGGTGCACACCAAAACGCAACTATGAACGATCACATTGCGCCCTCGCATGATTCTGCAGATGCTAGAGCCCTTCTTCATGCCCTTCGGGACAATAAGGACAAATCTTTTGTTCAAGTCATGGGCAAGATTGATCAGACTCACCGCTTCCGCAGTATGCCAGATTTCCAATACGCCACATCAACCAACTCTCTTATGCAGAACATGAGGAACTCAATAATGACAACAGATCTAGCCAAGATCAGAGACTTTAAGTATGACATGTCCCGTAAACTTGCTGAAGACCAGGACGTGGGTCCTCCGCCCTTCTTTACAACTATCAAGCAACCTTTCAATTACTCTTACAAGCAAAATCCATACACAAAAGTCTTCAGAGACTCCGAAGGCAACATTCAGGTCATTAATACTACAGCTCCCATCAAGCACGTTCGTCACAACGTCGATCCAGACGCGCTCACAGTGCCAGATAGCCCACCGCATGAGCTTCCTCCACTCGAAACAACATCTCCTCGAATACAAGATGCTGTTCGAAAGCTTCGAAGTATGTTTGATGAGCGGCCACTCATGCAGCGCCGCGTATTTGTCAACATGTTCCCCGACAAGCAAAGCGAGAATGAGCTCAAGACTGCGGTGGGTTACTGCGGCTATGCCTTTACAAGTGGGCCCTGGCGAGATGTCGTCATCAAATTTGGTATCGATCCGCGAAAAGATCCTCAGTATCGTATATATCAAACAGTCTCATACCAACTACAAGACGAAGGCAGAGGCGCGCCAGACGACCCTGGCAATTACATGCGAACGGTGGGCGGAAAACGCGTCACGGCGAAAACGGCTAAGGTCGAGCATTCGCATGTCTTCGATGGCACTAAATTCTACAAGGACGGCAAGGTGTGGCAGGCATGCGATGTAACAGATCCGCTGCTAAGCGAGTTACTGGATAGGGCGGAGCTCCGTTCGGAACCTGATGTACGTCTTCCTGAAGCTAGCGATATCGTGCTGACATGTACAGATGATATTTTCTGGCTGGTATGGGAACGGGACCTGGGCGCTATTCAGACGCCTTATGAAATACAAAATACAGACCTTGGCTGCGGGCAAGCAGCCGAATGACGAAATGTGTCGCGCTATCATAGCCATGTTTCCACCGTTCGTCGACGATACGAATGTACATTTGACCCGTGCCGACGAGCCGCTATCGTACTTGAGCAAGTCTCAGTACGCGGACTACACGATTGAAGGAGAAGCATCAACCATTGCGTCAGAGGTAAGGTCAACGGCCATGGCGGCATTCAGATACCGGAACCGTCATTACCAGAGGAGGAATAAAAAGATCAAGTCCAGAGACGTAGATGGAGATGTGGACATGCTAGATGCAGACGAGGATACTCTGAGGGTGGAAAGAGCTGTGGCAGAGGAAACGCCACCTCCAGGCGAAGAAAGTGATGCAGCTTTAATTGGTCTAGAATCAGATAGCGAAGGGGACCAAGATATGGAGGCTGAATCTGCTGATGAAGGAGATGATGAAGATTAACATGAGGTTGCATAGTCGTCTCAGAGAGCATCTCCTATGAGCGGAGGAATAAGCCATTGGTCCCAAGGAGGTGAGACAAATATTTTGCTCGTGATCAACCGAGACGGAGCATGATGAGAGCATAAAACATTGCACATGCGCATTGAACCGAATCATACATTGAGCCGATATCTAGTTCGAAGGTCCAGGCATTGGAACCATAACCATGCTATCATGGTGGATACGAACTCAGTATAAGGTCTACAGCTCATGCAAACCTTCACCGCCTGTGATGATCCATCATTTCTGAAGAGATGTATGTTCGCCTATGTCTTAATTTTATCATCACATTTGAGCTCGTGCCATCTGCTACATTTAATCACCGGCACACGCTCGAGAAGGAAGATTCCAAAGTGCCTAGGAGTGTTAGCCCGAGCGATGATGACACGGTGAAAGGGAAGGACAGCGACGTTATATAAGGTTACCGAGCATGTAGCTGATTTGTGTGCCGGTCCCCAAGCTGGTGAGAATATCGAGTTCTATAAGACCTGTATTTGATCTAAAACTAGGCCGGAGCTCCGAGCGAGCAAGAATCCAAAGGAGCTTTCAAGACGTTTGTGAGACACGATTACACACATCGTCTCTACGGAACGTACATTTGAGTTTAGCTTCAGATCTGGCTCACTTTCTCTTTGCATTCCTCGCAAGTTCGAACGCTGAGCAGCAGTATTTATATTGATGTGCACTCTCCTGTAACCTTCGTCCTCTTGCCAAACAGCACCATCGCGCATCAGACAAGCCTGCTGCTCTACAATCCAGTCGCCGAAAGGTGTCCTCATTGCATTCACCATCGGTCAGAATGGCTCCGTCCAGCTGCACGACGTGGGACGACAGCCTTAAATACAGGTTCTTGCTGGAGATCATCGCTCGAACGTCACCCTCCGTACCATCCCATGTCTTTGTCGACATCGCTGAAAAATGGGGGCCACCACATACCAAGGGCTCGCTCGCGTAAGTTCCATGCCGCACCGCGATGTCGTGCACATGACTTAAAAACCATAGCATCAAGCTGCGACGTATCAAAGAGCAGCATGCCAAACAGGAAGGAGGAGTTTCAAATGCCTCCCCTGATTGCACTGATATTCAGACAGTGGGCAAGCGAAAGACTTCAGAACATCGAGGCGATGGTGAAACGCAAGAAGGCAAGAAGATAAAGAAAGAGCGCAAGATCAAATCTGAGAAGACGGCCTTTTTATAGACATCGAATATAAAGGCGGATTTCCAACAGTGAGGTATTCTTGTGTGACGGCGAATTAATCCCTCCCGAAGGATCTGACGTAAGGTCTGGTGATTCACATGAAGACTACAGAGTAGGGATAGATGTAAACGTACGTGAACGATGCTTTGCTCAACAAATCCCCCCGACTAATATTCTGTTCTTCGTGCACATCTCTGATTTTCGTTCGCTGACGTGCACAATTTTCAGGCCTTCAAGTCCTGATGCTATGCGATAATGGCCAACGTTCGAGAAGCCACCAAGATCACAATCGCTCTGTCAAAAATGCTGAATCTTAGAATGTCATTGTCGTCCTTTTCAAGACGTAAATGCAATCTAGCCTTGACAAGAAGCAGACTTGGTGAAGGGGACTCGTGCTAACTCCTGAGAGCGGTTCGCAGTGACAAAAGAGCAGACACACTCGCAAAGCCTCCTCCCTCTTCTACCAATTCCTTAACTTCCGTGAGCCGCCACTTCCCAGCTTTTTGAATAGCGCCTTCGGACGATACCGACTCTTGCCTGAGCGTTGAGCAGCCAAGTCGTACTTCGCAATCCCCAAGAAGAGTCTTCGTGCACACCTTAGCGAGGTCATACAGATCCGTAGTATCAAGGTAAGGAACCAGCATATACCCGGTACGAGAGCAAGTTCATGCGAAAAATGGGCAAGTCCCTGGGACTGTTTCCTTCACTTCTCAGATCAAGTCGAATTATTCAAAGATCTTGCATCCGAGACTGCATTCAAAGTCCATCATCGTCTTAAAACTTGGGCCTTTATTCGATGTGACCATGCTTGCGAGCATGCAGAATGCAGAGAAAGACATGATTGTTCGATCGGAACCCGTCTTTGTTAGCGACGACTACGGGAACGTGGTAACGCTGCATCTGCGCCTGCTTCATCGGCTAAGTTAGTAATGTGATGATCCACCCTCCTATCCTTTTCATAACCTAGGTGTGTGATATTCCTGGTCCTTTAAATAATTTTCATATAGCCATTTTAGCTAAATGGTCAGAATTTGATTAGAAAAACATCTCAAGTGCAAGACATGAATGATGCGCTCTCTATTGGTCTATTGAGACTGGGTTTTATAAAAAGATATGTTTTTAGTCTAGCATGTCTGAGAAGTGTTCTTTAACCAAGTCATCACACCGCCCACATAAGCCTTGATGAGTTAGCTGCAAGTATCTCCAACACCTTTCGCATTTATGGCCACTCGGTCGAGATACAAAGACTTGACATTCTGCCTTCCCCGAAGTGGATTCTGCTGTGAATGTTCGTCTAATTGGATGCTCTTCTGTATTGATGTCTTCGTATATAGACCCAGTATGGACCTTGCTGACCACAAACATATTTGCAAGTACAGCCTGCATGTCTTCGGAGAAGATCTGCTTAAGGAATGCATCAGACTTAGCAGGTACAACGATGTGCACGTCACATTCAAGGCTGCTTCCCATCTTTTGCTGGGCGCGCAACTCCTCTTGAGCAGACTTAATGGCGGCATGCGCGTCTGCGAGAGTCTTGATTTGCTTCTCGAAGAGCAACGTTTCCGAGTTCGGGTAGCTGGGTTCCGGTGGGGTCCAAATCTGGCGTAGTGGGTGCATTGCGATGTCTTTGATCTGTTGAGGCGTGTGTTCCCAGACCTCTTCGACAAGCAAGGGTGTAATCGGTGCGAGCATTTTTAACAAGCCGTTAAAAATTTCGTAAAGTACAAGCTGTGCTGGACGACGTTCGCATTCAGACCCCGTATAGAGCCGATCTTTGAGCGTCTCGAAGTAGAACGCTGAAAGATCGGAGTTGATATATCGATTGAGGGAACTGATTCCTTTGAAGAATTCGTAGTTGGAATAATGATGGTGAGCTTGAGCCAAGGCATCGCGGAGCTGCTTCCGAGCAATCTTATCCACAAATGCATATGGTCCAGCATCCTGTACTTCTTGACTCCCCGAGACAGACGGATTGAAATCGCTCAGTGCTCCAAGAAGCCACTTGAAAGTAACACGATACTTGTGGAGACTTTGATGCAAGGCCTTTAGCACTGGTTCTCCAATGACGACATCATGGGTGTAATCACTGCCAGCGACCCATAAACGTAAGATGTCCGGACCCATGGCATCATGTGTAGGTTGCGGTGATGCCTGATGTCCCTTTTGCTTCTTTCTTTTCATGGGTGGCAATAGAGTGCCATTTATGATTTGCGAGGGGGCAATCACATTTCCGAGCGACTTGCTCATTTTTCTTCCGCTCTCATCGAGAGTGAATCCGTGTGTGATCAGAGTTTTAAACGGCGCCGGCGGCTCGCAAGACATCATTGCTTGATGGTGAGCGATGTGCGTCAAAAGGGACGACTGAAACCATCCGCGATGTTGATCTGAGCCCTCCAGGTAAACATCAGCTGGTGGTTGGTCCCAATCGCGTTCATGAAGCAGGGTCCAACTTGTTCCACTGTCGAACCACACATCCATAGTATCTTTGCCGCGGATATATGTGCCCTTGCCTCTCATATTTGGAGGGATCCAAGACTCATCATGCTGTGGATCAGTCCACCACGCATCGAGCCCTCGTTCTTTGACAACTTCCATGATATGGTCAATGACTTGGCCATCCATGACAGCTTCATTCTGGCCACGGTCAATGCGGTATAATGTGGGAATTGGAACACCCCATGCGCGTTGTCGAGAAATGCACCACTGGCTTCGTCCCTGAACAAAGCTTTCGAGACGATGTCTACCAGAGCTAGGAATAAACTTGACAGGATCTAGCGATCGGAGTGCGTCGAGCTTTAAGCTATCCACATCAGCAAACCATTGCTCTGTCGCACGGACGATGACCGGTAGTTTTGTACGCCAGTCGATTGGATATTTGTGAATATGCTTGTGAGTGGCCAGTACCAGATTATCATAATTTTGCTCTGCAGAAATCTGCTGAAGCAAGGAGAGCACAGCTGGGGTGCCCTCTGTCTGCACATTCTTGCCTTCTAGTCGCCTGGGGTCGCTTAAGTATGCCTCCGAAGTGTACTGTGCTTGATCGTCAACGGGAGCTGTGATTGGCAGCCCGAGAGCATGGCAGATAAGATAGTCATCCATGCCATGGCCAGGAGCTAGGTGGACCAAGCCGGTACCGGATAATGATGATACAAAGTCTGCATGGAGTATATGTCTTGCTCGTCCGTCGCGTAGAACATTGAGATACTTTGTAGAGACAATGTCCGCTCCAGTGATGTTGTCGGCGATAATGAGGAAGTCCTCAACACCGAGATATGACCCAAGATAGCCCAATCTCGACTTGGCAACCAACAACTGAGAACCAGACGAGCCAGGTCGACTTACGACGCAGTATTCGAGATTTTGATGAACAGCAATGGCCTCATTTGCAGGAAGTGTCCACGGTGTTGTGGTCCAAATAACGGCAGATAACCGCGCGGGGTCGATTTCTCTGTATCTTTGAAGCTGTTCAGAAAGACCAACGACTGGAAATGCAATGAACGCGGCTGTGCTCTCGTGGTTTTCATCGTACTCGAGCTCAGCTTCAGCCAATGCGGTGCCAGATGACGGAGACCAGTAAACAGGCTTCCGCATGCGATATATCAGGCCCTTGTCAACCATCTCTTTGAATATGCCCAGCTGCCTCATTTCGAAGTCCCTATCCATGGTTCTGTACGCATTGCCCCAGTCACCCATCACCGCCCACTCCTTAAAGCCCTTCTTCTGCTCCTCAACAGTCCTCTCAGCAAGTTGCCTTGCTGCTTGTCTTACAGCAACCGATCCAACATCATCGTGGTGTTTCTGAAGTGCCTGCAGAGCTTTAACCTCAATTGGCAGACCGTGACAATCCCACCCGGGCACATAATGCACTCTTCTACCCTGCGAAATCTGGAACCTGCATATTATGTCTTTCAGAATTTTATTCAACGCATGACCCACGTGTAGGCTTCCATTTGCGTAGGGAGGACCGTCGTGTAGGACGAATGGGTTTTTGGCAGGTCTGTTAGCCTGTTGCCATTCGTACAGCTCATCGGTGACTCGGAGGGTGTACGGGGATGGAAGTGGTGGTCGCGCCGGCAACGCCGATTTGGGGAGGTGCAGCGTCTTCGACCATGATGCGCGGAGAAGAGAAGTTGGTCTCAGCATGCTCTGCGCATCATGCGAAGCGTGTTGGGACGTCAATGGCTGCGTTGAACTTTCTGGAGATTCCGACGATTTATCTTTCCGAGTTGAGCTTTCTAGAGGGGGGAATCGTTTAACTTGAACCGAGGGTACATTTATAAGCTCCAGGTGCATTGGAGCATTGGTCTCCGCGAGTCCCCCATGATCCACCGAACCCCCTTCTCAATACAGAGAGTTACGAAGTCAAAGTAATGAGAAAGGCAACCTTCAAAACACCGTTTCGTTGCAAACTGGCTGTTTCGATGAAATCCTGGTAATATGACGACAACTACGGGCTTATTATTGATGTTGGCTATCTGCTATGCCACACATGTCTTCCGTAGGCTAAGACCTTCGAGCTCACCCTTTCCTGGCAAGTAGACTCCAGCCTGGCCGGTGTAACCACACACCATTTGTGCACTCATCGACTACATCTGCGAACATCTTATATTATGTCTCTCTCGTCATTGGGAAGTTCAATGGTGGATCCTTCGCTAGAGGGAACTCTCCAGCTAACTCCCCGTATTATACAGTCAACAGGTTGTATTCCATCGCCGCTGGAACTCGGGTCCCCATTTGACATCCTTATAGGATAGCACTTCTAAGCCTTCCTTTCGCAACTTGTCTTGGATATCGGCAATCCAGCAGCACAACTATATAAGCCATGACTCTTTCAGCTCAGGGTAGCACTTGCTTTGACAGCGTAGACCTAGCTCGGTGTAAACTTATTGAACGAGTCTTATTTTGTGGCTTGTTGAATCAGAAAGCTACTGACAAGCTAACGTATACTGGTCAATTCACACAAGCAACGACGTGGACATCACATTCCTTGGATTCCACTTCTGAGCAAGCAGCTTCATTTCCACATTCATCCGTCTATATCCAGTAAGGATTGCTTGATCTTTGATTCGATAAAAATTGCAACGTACAGATGTCACGGCCTGTAGACATAACTCCTGTTTTAGTGTGTCAGATTGCGGGTTGTGTATGTAGTCTGGCATCATTGAGTTCGGTGCAGAGTTCGAGTACGGTAGTCTCTGGAATGCACCATGTGGTGTCCATGGCGCACGGTTTACATAAATCTTAGCCAACTCTCAAGCCATCGAATCCCTTCCAAGCAACCAGCAAAAAAAAATTGAGCAAAAAACAAAAGCTTTGATATTACAGTCGGGGGGGATCGAACCCCCGGCCTTGACCGAATACATAGTGCATGTAAAGGTCACATCATAACCACTAGACTACGACTGCAGGCAATATGGCAAATGTGAAAGTGACACTTATGATTGATAATGCAGAATGTGCAATCACGTATAACGTTAAAAACTTCGAGTAAACTGATTGGTAGCGAGCAGGTGATATGCCCGCTCTTAAAGTTAATTAACAGTTCATCAAAATGGATGTCAACGGAAGTAAGCTAAGATCTAAGGCATTTCAATATTTTGTCCACTCGATCATAGTCACCGCTCCAGAACCTTGCTGAGTAATTGCCATCGAAGACAAGAAGACACACAGAGGTCAAAGAGCAAATTTGTACATCCGCGTTGCCTCTATTCTAACAACCCACGCAACTGAGTTGAAGTGCAACCATTGGGGGTCCTTAGGGTGCTTACATAAACGAAATCCAAATTCACGACTTTTTGGACATCGATCCGACTTCGGCGCGTGAGCTTTGCAAATGTACGACGAAGAATCTAGTCGGACGTAATGTTCGAGTCAATATGCTCTCTGCCATTGGCAGGGGACATCTTCACCCAGGCAGTGCATCCATCGAGACCCATCGTTGCCGTTGGGCTGTCCACTGGGCATGTGGAGGTTACTAAGCTGCCGCCTGTGGCGGGAGAAGACGATTCGGATCACGACGACGCAGCTTCAGCAAGTGACAAAGGCTTAGGGCTTTTGGAGACAAGTTGGAGAACAAGAAGACACAAGGGGAGCGCCAGAGCGGTACGGTTTAGTCTCGATGGTCGAGCCCTATACTCTGCTGGCTCCGATGGTCTCATGAAGGCTGCGGACTCAGAGACTGGAGAAGTTTTCTCAAAGATTGCTATTCCTGATGACGACAATGGCATACTTGACGCTCCAACACTTATGCACATCTTGAGCCCTCAATCGCTGCTCTTATCAACTGACTCATCCGCACTTCACCTTTTCGACCTGAGAGTTGACGATCGCGCCTTTGCGAAGAACAAGCCACAGCAGACATGGTATCCACACGAAGATTACATCTCTTCTCTTACGCCTTTGCCGCCAAGTGAAACGAGCACAAGTGGCTTTAGCAGACAATGGGTTACAACTGGCGGTACAACACTTGCTGTCACGGACATCAGGCGCGGAGTCCTTGTGAAAAGTGAGGATCAGGGTGAAGAGTTGTTGTCTTCGGAGTACGTGGGCGGTTTTGCGAAGAAAGGTACGAGCCAGGGTGAGAAAGTTTTAGTTGGAGGAGGTGACGGCGTCATCACGCTCTGGGAAAAGGGTGTGTGGGATGACCAAGACGAACGCATTATACTCGACAAGGGAGGAGAGGATAGCATCGATGCTCTCACGAGGATCCCAGAGGAGCTAGGCATGGGCAAGACCGTGGTAGCTGGTATGAGCAATGGCTGTCTTGCTCTGGTAAAACTAGGTATAAATAAGGTCGTCGATGTGCTGAAGCATGACGAGGTCGAGGGCGTGGCGGCCATTGACTTTGAAGTTGGCGGACGCATGATAAGTGGTGGCGGCCCGATCTTGAAAGTTTGGCGTGAGAAGATGAGGGATGATGAAGAAGATATTGACGTTAGGGGGGTAAAGAAGCGCAATGTTAGTGACAATGAAGCGGATAGCGACGACAGTGATGATGAGCATAGCAGCGAGGAAGAAAGGGAGGAGCAGAAGCGGAGGAAGAAGAGGAAGAAGGGCAAGGGAATCAACGGTTTCTCGAAAAACAAGATGTTCTCGGGCTTGGATTGACATGGTTTGCAACACGATTTTCGCTTCTGGCGTACGGCAGCATTGATACCCCAACGGGTCAATTAGCATTTACAAAACCTCGGAGGCGATCTCCTAGCCGAGTTCCCGAAGTCTGGCTGAGATTTATTCAAAGCCACACCGATCCCCTCATATACTAAGTCTTGATCCGCTTTGTGGTTGCATTCGCTTGCTCTCTCAGGTTCTTGCTCAATATCAGGTATTCTGGCCTCTTGATCTTTCCGCCCCTCAACTTCCTATCACGCGGGCTTGAATCATCTTCCGTGTAGCCCAGCCGTCTGTAGAAGGCTTCGGCGTGTTGGTTGGTCGTAAATACCGTAAGCATGCTCATACTGACTCCGACCTTGCGTCCAATGCTCGCAACCATCTCCATCAAGGCCTTGCCAATACCTGTGCCACGGAGCTCGGGTGATAGGTGTATCTCGTAAATGTATATGACTGGCTGGTCATCTTCCGGGGTGAGCATGAAAGATGTGAAGGCGAGTACACTGTTGTGACCTTCTTTTCCCGAACGATGCACAAGTATATAGCGCATGTCCCTCTCCCGCATTTCTGAGCGCTTATGGTCTGGATTCCATCCTTGGCTGGCAGCTTGGTAATCTGCAGAACTTGTCTCTTCAACCAGACTGAAACATGCTTCTAAGTCATCATCATTGAGATTACTAGATAAATGAAACGTCCACACATAGGTCTTCGAGCCATCTTTGGACTTTAGCTCCGAGCTTGAGGGCAAGTATTTTGCGAACGCAGCCTCATCAAGCGCATTCAATGCAGAAAGGAAGGATTCGGTGTCCTTTGCATTCGAGCGCCTAGACGGCATTGGTTAAACTCATATGTTATATTAATTTATCAATTGGTTTCTGTGGATTTTTTTGGTGGCCGAGCGCGTCGCGTCTCCAATCGGAACGAAGCATTTTCCGGAAGTCGTCATCGTCAAGTTGATCAGCTTCTATGCACAAACATCATCCATCCAACAGTCATCAGTTTGAAGACTGTGACTTCCACAAGGGATAGCCAAATGAGGTCGCGCATCATCCAGTATGCGGTAGTGGTCCAAAGGCGACAAGCAAGTACATCATCGCGCAAAGACAACATTCGCAAAAAGGAGCCTGTATTAGGACTGGAGCACTTTATTCAACGAAGCAAAACACTCGGACTATGGCGTGAGATCATGCGCGCCGTCTACCGAATTCCTCCATCGCCAACACGAGAGGAAATGAGACGATTTGCGCGAGCAGAGTTTGAACAGCATAGACATGTCACGGATCTCCAACACATTCGTTACCTAGTGTCGAGCGGCAAGACGCAGCTTGATGCCATGAAAAGATACATTGATGAACAAGTGAGACGATAAAAGCGACCACTCTCCTTGCACTTGGGGCAACGCCGAAGGAACCATCGATCATAGCATGGACGGACCACGCAGTCTGACGCGGTCTATTTCGCCGCCCCCGGTCGCAACGCACAGAAAGACCAGAACCGATCTACGGTCGAACAAAGCACGAGAAAGACCTAGAATGCGAAGCGCAGACTTGAATATATCTGAACTGGCTGCCATCGAGGCTGGAAAGGCCATAGTTCACAATCACCTCGACTATTTCTCACGTCAACTGGCGCAGGTGGCTAAGCCGGTCACGAACCAAAGCGATCCACGACTGTCCATCGGAGACTATACGGAATTATACCGCCGTAATTCTCATTCCCACGGTCGTCACTTTGTCATCCACCAGCACAATCATCCGATAGCAGGCTGTCACTACGACCTGCGCCTTCAATTCTCGGAGACAAGCTCCTGTTCATTCGCAATACCCTCCGGCCTGCCCGGTAATCCCAATTCGCAACGACAAGGTCGTATGGCGATCGAGACGAGAGTGCATACTCTGTGGAACAGCCTAATTGAAAGTGCTAGCCATGCCACTGGCAGCCTGCTGATCTGGGACACGGGCGAATATGAGGTTCTTCCCCGCAAAGCGTTGGGCAGGGAAGCTTTGACGACGGACGACGAGCTCTCCGAACACGAGCTAACCGCAGGTGATGCGTCAAGTAAAGAACGTCATGAAAACGAGAAGCTTATGGAGGCTTTCAAAGCTCGATATATTAGACTCAAGTTGCATGGCACTCGGCTTCCAAGAGAATACACGATAGTTTTGCGTCTACCCTCTGCAAACGATGTGGTTAAGCATCCAAGACCTATCCGCCTCCGCAAGCGAAAATACTCAAAATCCACCAACATCAGTGGTGGATCAGTGCAGGTGGAACAGGATCTGGATAGACTCGTCAACGATGAGGCCGCCCTAGCTTCCGAAGACGACGACTGCGATGCCGAGATCGAGTCCATCCGTGCCAACAATGCATATACCGGCGCTGAGAATACTATTGGTTCAGTCCATCAGCGCCGGTGGTTTATCACGCTGGACAGGAGGCATTCGGGCTTCGTCAAAGAAGGTCGGACGTGGGTTAGAGCAGGCCCAGATCGCGGATTTGAAGCCTTCTACGTCCGAGGTGCCGACGTAGAGAGAAGCGTTGTCACTGGACGGACAAGCGCAGAAGTCATGGCGGACGAGGGCGTTGAGGGATTTGTTCCGAGGAAGAAATGGAGACCAGTATTAGAATAGAAAGCCGCCAGGCTAGTATGCTAGTACCATGTATTTTTATTACATTTGACAGTCCAAGACACACTTCTCAAGCTAGAAAGCGCTTATTCGCCTTGCAGAGGAAGTCCGTTACCTCCGAGAGTGATCGTCTTTGTCACCACATACTCGTCTATTCCATACTTGCTGCCTTCCCTTCCGAAGCCAGATTCCTTGACTCCGCCAAAAGGCGAAGCGGCGTCGGAGATCAGGCCAGTGTTGACGCCGATCATGCCGACGTCCAACGCCTCGGCAACACGGTACACACGCTGTATGTCTTTCGAGAAAAAGTAGCCGGCTAAACCAACCTCAGCATCGTTCGCCAACTTGACAACCTCAGCTTCCGTATCAAAAGGGAACAGTCCGGCAACAGGACCGAAGGTCTCTTCGTGCGCCAATTGCATGTCTTTTGTCATGTCTCGAATGACCGTGAGCTGGAAGAAGGTGGAGCCCAGATCTGGCAGTCTCTGGCCTCCGACAAGAAGCTTACCCCCGCGTTTGACGGCATCTTGCACGTGCTGTTCGACCTTTTCGATGGCACGGTCGTGGATAACGGGGCCGTGAGTGATACCCTGCTCAAAGCCATTGCCAACTTTGAACTGCTTCACCTTCTCCGCGAAGGCGGCACAGAACTTGTCGTAGATGCCTCGCTGGACGTATATTCTGTTCGCGCACACGCACGTCTGTCCGGAAGAGCGGAACTTGCTAGCTATAGCTCCAGCGACTGCTGCATCAAGATCTGCGTCGTCAAACACGATGAAGGGTGCGTTGCCGCCGAGTTCGAAGGACAGCTTTTTGACGGTGCTTGATGCCTGTTTCATAAGCAACTTGCCGACGCGTGTGCTTCCGGTGAAAGAGACCTTGCGAACGGTCGGCGAGGTCGTGAGTAGTTCACCAACTTGGCTCGTATTTTCATGCGCGGTGACAATGTTCACTACACCCTTAGGAATGCCGGCCCGATGCGCCAACTCAGCGATCGCTGCGGCGGTGAAGGGGGTCTCAGCCGGGGATTTTGCCACGACTGTGCAACCAGCAGCAAGAGCTGGCCCAATTTTACGAGTAATCATGGCCGCTGGAAAGTTCCACGGGGTGATCAGACCGCAGACGCCAACCGGCTCCTTGATAGTGAACACTCTGTTACCAGCAACGCTAGCTGGGATCGTATCGCCGTACAACCTTGGAGCCTCTTCGCTGAACCATTCGAAGAAGTTCGCAGCATATGTGACCTCGCCTCGAGCGTCAGCAATGGGCTTGCCGTTCTCCCACGTAATGATTGTGGCCAGATCTTCTGCGTTCTCCATCATCAGGTCGTACCATTTTCGCAAAAGCTTCGAACGTTCTCGGCCAGTGGTCTTGCGGAAAGAAGGAAGAGCCGCTGCCGCTGCTGCAATGGCCTTCTCAACATCCGCTGTGTCCATCTCGGGCATGGTGGCAATCTTCAGACCCGTCGCGGGGTCATGAACCTCGAACGTCTTGCCTGACGCAGCACCGACCCATTCTCCGTTGACGTATGCCTGTGTCTTGAGGAGCGATGGGTCCTTGAGCTGTCTCAGAGAAGCGTTAGCCATCGACACGGCATTTGCCATGCAAGTGTGAGCAACCTACAGCAGGCACGTTTCCACCAGCCATTGCGTACGATCTTGCAATTATTGCAAACGGTTTGTGAGAGGGTATGCGAAATGTTCGTACCGGGGCCCTTGCGCTAACGTAACGGAGTATGGAGGTCATTCTTAACGTCTTTATACTTGTTGCGATTACACGCACGCGCGAAAGAGGGGAAGAAACCCTGGTTAGCGTTCGAGTGCTGGGACACAGTTCCTTACTTGAGCATATGGCAGCTTAGAAATTCAGCTATTTGCTACCGCATGATTGGATACAGACCAATTCAAGAGTGAGCTCATGTCCTCTCGGACGTGAAGATTGAATGCCCGCTTAGCTGTAGGAGCTTCGTTGCTGCATGAGCCCAAAGCGGTAATGAACGCCTATTTTGTTCCACTTCGGCAGAGTCTGACGCCCGAATGACGTAGAGGGTTTGGTTTGCACGAGAGTGGAGCTCGCAACCAAATGACTTGAGTTACCTCACGCGCTGTCTTTGTCGCCCTTGGGACAACTGATCGCTACATGACGAGTGCACATTGGACCGACCATCTAAAGAGAGGCATTCATTTTGTGGGAGGATCTGTCGCCTGTGTCAGGAAAAAGAAGCTCCAGATTTCTGCAAGAAACGCACCCAGCCCGACGCTCTGCCGAGAACGGCTGAGGGGCAATACGCCAACCTCATTGAACCACCCTGAGAATGCATTTCAATGCAAAACTTTGACTTCGCCAGACGTGAAAAATTGTAGCCTGTTGGTCAGAAACTTTGGTGGGTTTTGTGGGGAATCCAGAACGTGATGAAGACATGGCCTGTCCGGGTGCCATTTGACCATGATGGCGGCATCGGCACGAGCATGGGAGTGGTCGACAGAATGACGGCCAAAGCAAATTGTATAGAGATGTTATTAGAGCAAGCACGTAAAGAGCGCTGAGTATTCGCTTGACGAGTTCTCACATCGCTCAACGTGCAGGGCTTTGCACCCGCGCCCCGACTTGCACGCAAAGGCTGGGCAAAACTCAGCGCATTCGAACAGGCGAACACGAGGTGACATTTTCTATTTGTCAACAAGCCTACGAGATGCAGCTTCAGGCGAACGAAGATATATCGTTAACGCAATCAAGCACGCGAGAGACAGACCTCCGCAAGGCGACGTCGAAAAAATCTGTGGTTCAGAGCTTCTACGCTGAGCACTGGACAGGAACCTAGGTAGGTCGCGATATGATAGATACAGTATTCGTGATTTGAGACAAACCCAGCTGCGAGTAGTTCAACAATCCCGTAACGAGCTTTGGCAGCTTGTCACGTCGAGTGTTTTGTTGTCGACAAGAACGAAATCCGGAACCGGGCTTTCTCAGACAAAGGCTGCGCTGCAACGGCGCTGCGTCAACGTGTTCGAGGAACTTGGGAACCTTAGATGTCTCCGTGTCTTGTGAGACAAGGCTGAAGCCGTAGAATGAATCGAGAGGTAAAATTAAAGAACGGGTTGGTGCCGCTGCAATTGAGGAGCGCGCTACGGCGAGTCCTGCTGGTTGCGACAGAGCATGCAGCATTCCACGACCACTTAGGACAGGCGATATCAGACGGAGTCCTTGAGACAGCAGCGAAGGCGCGATCTTTGCTTCCAGAGTCCAAGCAGCCTCGCGCCCAAGCAATGCGATGCGTCCTCGACGGGTCATCAGAACGTGGGCAGCGCACTGGCGCTGGCAGACCCGCCACAAAGTCACCTTCAGCCAATGCATTTCGTCATAGCCAGCATGCGTGTTTCGATGCCTTCTTAGCATTGTTTTCCACAAAAACGAACTGTACCTGCTCGCTGGCCATGTCATGAAAGCTTCGAGTCCCGCGTCGTCACAATGGCGCAGATTTCTGACTACATCATTGTCTCAAGCTCCGTCTTGCTGAGACTGTTCGCCTACATCTTCTTTCGCTGGGTGAGTGAGCCATCGGATCTCCGTCAGCTTCCAACTCGCCACTAACACAAGCCTTCAAGATTCCAGGACACGTAAGTCACCGCGGTCGGATTCCGAGATGGGATGTTTTCTGAGCAAAACTGCACAGCATTTCCCCCCGCTCATCTACAGCTTTGCTGCCATATACGCTTGGTCTTTCTATCCAAAGTTCCAGAAGACCGCTCCATTCACGGTTGTATCTGACGAAGTGTTCGTTTATACGCGTACCGCTGATGCCCCAACACCCCACAACACAGGAAAGACGGATGGAGAGAAACAAGGAGAAGGATTAGCGGCAGCCGCGCCTGGGGAGCCGGAGCAGCTCGAGGAGATTGATGTTTCCGAACGAGTTGTGCTTAAAGAGCAGGATTCCCAGTGGTGGCAGACTCTGCTTCTTGGTCTGCCAAGTCCAACTTCGGCCATCCTCAGTGGCATCACATACCTCATCAACCTGGCGCTTGTCTTGATGACGCTCGACGCAGTCTATCGTGGGCCAACGTTCTTCAACGCACAGGATCTCTCGTTCGCCCGGGTGGGCTATGTGTCGGATACAACAGCCAAGATCCTCGTGCGTGAACCTCGTCAATCTCAACTTCCAGTCTGGGTTTCGTACCGATATGTGGAGCCTCTCGCGGGTTTGGACACAGCCTCAGGAGATTCAAACTCTGCCTGGAAATCTGCCGGATCAATTGAATCGCTCCTATTCAATGAAGAGACGGACTATACAGCGAGCATGACTTTGACGCGTCTAACCCCCGATACGAGGTATCAATACGCTTTGTCCAACAATCATACTGGCTACTTCACCACAGCTCCTCCGGTCGGAAAGATTTCCAAGTGGAACGATGGAAAGTTCACCTTCCTTCACTCAAGTTGCATCAAACCTCACTTCCCATACAGCCCATTTGACCACCCTCTACATATACCAGGATTCAAATATCTCGCCGACTGGATACCGAAGTTGAAGGCTCAGTTCATGGTATTCCTTGGCGATTTCATCTATATTGACGTTCCACATCGACATGGAGCTGATAGAGAAGCGTATCGTTCAGAATACCGAAGAGTCTATGCGTCTCCGGACTGGCCATCTGTGTCTGACAATCTGCCGTGGATACATGTTCTTGATGACCATGAGATTGCGAACGACTGGGACAGGAACACAACCGGACTCTATCAGGCAGCCTCGGATCCATGGGAATTTTACCACGTTTCGGTTAATCCCCCTGCTGGAAAGGCTGGTCATACGTGGTTCACCTTCACCCAAGGACCAGCTGCTTTTTTCCTGATGGATACAAGACGGTATAGAACCGTGGAGACTGACGATCCAAACGGGACCGAGAAGAGTATGCTTGGGGCTGAGCAGCTGGCCGACTTGATCAAATTTTTGCAAGAACCCTCCCCGGTGGGTGTACACTGGAAAGTTGTCGTGTCCTCTGTGCCCTTCACCAAGAATTGGCGATTCGGAGGGAAAGACACCTGGGGCGGCTATCTCGTCGAACGACAGGTCATCCTAGAGAACATGTGGAATGCTGGAGCGAGAGGAATCGGTGTTATCGTTTTGAGCGGAGACCGGCACGAGTTTGCAGCAACGGCGTTCCCACCGCCCCCAGGCAGCGTGTATCCAGCTAGTGCTACGGTGTACGAATTTAGCACAAGCCCGTTGAACATGTTCTACTTGCCTGTCAGGACGTACAAGCAAACAGATGACGAGGATGTGGCACTCAAGTAAGCTATTTTTTTTTAGCTCATTTTGAAGATGTCGTTTGCTGACTCGGCCTCAGATACTTGCCTGACGGTGGTTCAAAGTTCGGTGCAGTCGAAATATCGAATCCAGAGCATGGAGAACAGAGCATTCTCCATTATCGATTATTCATTGACGGTTCGGAAGTCTGGACGCATACCATACCATCCCCACCACGTACATCGGGCGGATTATTCGATAACAGGTGGGCATAGTACACAGGTTCAATAGAAGGATACCAAACATCGCGAGAAGTAGCCAGCGCCACCTCAAGTGGTGACTGCATTCTTTGAATCTTGGAAACAAGTTCTCAATAACCATCCTGGAACAAAACAGTCTTGGGGAAAAAAAGCTTGGCTGATGTGCGAACCAAAAACTAGCCGGTCCTGTCTCATTTCAGATGTCAGAAGCAACCTTTGTCATGAGGTACTGTAAATCCGAGGAAAGGAGACATGGCCACTAGTCCTCGAATGTGACAATCTGCACCAGCTGTCCAGAACAGGTCCCTCCTCTAGCTCAATCTGATCCTTTCTCGGCTCAACCCAATAAGATGGCAGCCTTCCATACAAATGTATAAATATTCTTCTACTGGCTACTTTGCCTGCAATGCTTGCGCTTTTTATGGCCCTACTCACGTGACTAGATTCGAAAGTGGAGGTTGTGCTTCATTGTGTAAAACTTGATCGTTCTTTGTATTTGACGGCCATACTGACTGACGAAGGCAAATTGAGTCTACTTTAATCGATTATCGCGCTTGTTTTATGCACGTTACGAGAGAAATTTTGAACGCGAAGCCGTTGTTTGCAATTTCCCTCCTACTCCGTTTGGACGATGGACAGGTTAACACCGATCATGCACTTTTGCAACAGTCGACCTTCAAAGCGAAGGTAGGCTTCCTTCTCTAACTGAGTGAGGCAGAATAAATCCGTATTGAGATATGGCCCATGACGAGTAATGTGATCTCTCACACCTTTCGCGACGAGTTTTGACGCATGATGCGCATTTTAGAAGTGCGCCCGACCTTAACCCCGTTTAAGGTTATAGCATGGCAACTATGAGTTTGAAAGCAAATTCGACGGGCCTACCCAACATGATCACTCTTGATCCCAGCTGACAGATTCAATTTCCGAGGACGTTCGCGAGCTCAATGTTAGGCACAATGTAGGGTCGCACCTTGTTTCTAACCATTGTGCGTTGCTCAAATGCGTAGGCAAGCCCGATAAGTGTAGCTTCACTCCACTTCGCTCCGAGAAAGCTTAGGCCGAACCTGTACAACTTCAGCCTCTATCGAGTCGAGTTCATGACAATCTGACTCACGGCACATTTGGGCCAAGAGAAACCAGGTCACCCCGACTATTCCATATGACTTCTGAATCCCATGGATAGAAGCCCATAGGCACGGTCACAATAGGAGCGCCAATAACAGCAGCCCAGCTGGAGGCGAAATTCGTTGGCAAAATCACGGCGTCTAGCTTGTTGCTCTCTAGAGTTCCCAGAAGCCCACCGTCTCCACCGAAATACAAGTCTCGCTGGTAGGCGGCCCAAAAGCGAGGATCTGTGTTGTTATATCTCTGACTATCCAACGCATCATCCCATATCGCTGTGTTCCTATCCGGATAGTCCTCCAGCGGGAACTGCTGAGTAAACTGGCGAACTTCTTCAAGCGACGTTACCTTGTTTGGATTGTACGTCAATGCTGCTAAGTAGCTTGCAAGGTTCACGATGAAATCGGCGTTCAGGACTTCTGTCTCGGATGTGGAGTTTAGGAATTCAGCGGCAGCGGTGAAGTTTGCGTCGTCGACGATTGTGGCCCCTGCCGCTCTGAGAACCGCAATCGCTCTTTCAAAGGCATCGGTCTGCGGTCCTGTCGTGTTATCCGACAACAAGTCAATGACGTTACGAGGAATCCCAATTCGCGCACCAAGCAAGGCAGAGTAATTACACGCGGCCACGTAGTCCGGGAGCCTTCCGCTATCCGGGATAGCACTCGTATAGTTGTCCGACGGGTCGTACCCTGCAATTGCCTGTAGGACGTATGCGGCATCTTTGACGGTTCTTGCCATGGGGCCGATTGTATCTTGCTGTTGCCCTGTATGAGGTCGCGCGTCAGAAATTTGCGGGACAAGCTTACATGTTCAGAGATCGGGATGACTAGACTTCGAGAAGTCAGCCCGACAGCTGCAATTCGTCAGCAAAGCATTCGTGATGCCGACAGGCATCACACACTTGGCTTGATTCCAACGATGTTGTTCTGCGAAGATGGCGAAACGATCGAACCATCCGTCTCGGTGCCTAGTGATGCTACCGCAAGGCCTATGGACGAAGCAACTCCGGAGCCAGAAGAGCTGCCACTAGGATCTTGTTTGGGGTAATAAGCCGCATACACCTGGCCTCCAAGTGCCGACCAGCCATTGCTTGTATTCGACGATCTGTAGTTAGCCCACTGGCTCAAATTCGTTTTGCCCAGTATGATGGCTCCCGCGGCTCGGAGTTTTGCTGCGATTGCACTGTCTCTGGGAACTTTGGCACCGAGAAGGGACCATGACCCGGCGGTGTTGTTCATGCGATCTTGGGTCGCGATGTTGTTCTTGATCAGTATGGGTAGTCCATGCAATGGTCTGGTCGCTGTTATCTCTACTGGACAGAATCAAACGCACCCGAATCACGCACCCCCGGACGGACCCGTTCTTCCGTTCATCGTCAAGCTCACCGGCGATCGCAAGGGCGTCCGGATTGAGCTCGGTGACGACGTTCAGCGAAACATTCACTTGCAGAATCCTCGCAAGGTAAGCCTGCGCGAGCTGCGTTCAGCGCAAGAGCGAATGAAACAGGAGCGCCCGACGCATGTCGAATCTGCGAAACAAAATCACGAACGAAACCTACGTTCACGAGATCCACGCTCGAGAATGAGCCGCGCTCGAGGCCAAGAGCAAGCTCCTCTACGGTCGCATCGATCAAGAGCGGGTAATCGTTTGAATACGTCGAGCGCGCAACAAGGTCCAGGCCAAGGACGGCAGAGAGCAAAGGCAGAAGCGATAGGGCGAGAAGCCTCAGCCAAGGCTGCATCGTTGGATCGTCGTCTCGAACGAACAGCAAAGCAAAAGATTGCCAGCTGCAACGGTCGGAAAGAAAAAAAAAAAAAGAAGAAGAATGACAAGGATAAGACACTGAGCGTAGCGCTGGACTATCGCTATTGCCTTTTAAGCACCTTACGTACGTGTTCATCACTGTCGTGCTGGTGGACTACGAATCTTTTCCCTTCCCGGCTGGCCACACGACGGCCCTTAGCGGGTCGAGTCACGAGGGAGAAAAAGCAAGAGGCCGATCGAAAGGACTACCTACAAAGTTTGCGCGAAGTGGTTAACCCTCCTCGGGGCCCCCAGCACCCTGTGTGCTCCCTACAGCGATCCCAATAACAACCAGTCGTGGTTCCCGCGACGGGACACGGGACACGCGCTCCTATGCTCGTCTGGAAGGACGGCTGTTCTGACGCGTACGTGCCAGACCTTTTGCTTTCCCCTTCGTCCGTTTTCCAAGGGTCGAGACAGTGTGTGGAAAAAAAAAAAGAGGAAAAGAAGAGAAACGAAGCATGCTGATTGCCATGCTTTGAATTCATGGAGATTCTATCAACGCGCTTCTCGATTTCTTTTTTTAATCCGGCGTCCGAGTCGTTTATCATGCATGCAGTTTCGCTCTGACGACATGGACGTGTTAAATTAGGAAGGTGGCCTGGAATAAGGCTGAAAACGCCCAGCCAATGAGAGTCTCAACGCCCCTTGCTTGATCCCGCTTGGCCGTCTCTGACGTGGTTGACGATGATTTGAAAGGCTCGTGACATTGAGCAAAAAGAGGCGCAAAGAACAAATTGGAAGGTAATGTACTTTATTTCGATTCCTGGTTATGTACGCCAGCTGCCATGATCCCTCCTGTAAAGGGACACTATCATTCTAGAAAGCCGTCGTGGCTTGCTCGCGAAATTGCGGCCAAGTGGTACGCCTTGTCCTCCAAAAGGGGTTGAGACGAAGAGAGAAGTAAAGCCGACTGGTGGGTATAGAACATCCACTCGGCTTGAAGAATGCCAAACCCAGTCGAGAAGTCTTGAAGCAGGACAAATCTTTCTCTTACTCAGCGCTGTGCAATTTTGACCCTTCCAAACCTTTCCTCGCCCACAGGATACGGAAACTTGTGATGAGGGGGAAGCAAAAAACCTCAGTCCGGCCCCGTCCGCTATGAACTACAAGCAAAAAGATGATGCTTTTCCCATGCCTGTGCAATACCCCTCGAAAACCAAACATCGTTACGGATGCGGTGTGTCTGTGTTTTCTCTTTAACAAATGAAATTAGACAATTAAGGGGATCATAATGGCAACGCTTGCAAATGCAGTTTGAAATAAAAAAAAAAAATAAAAAAAAGATATCAAAACGCTCAGCCGCTCGGATTTATTGTGATACAGTGGCACAGTCCAGACGGAGTGTGCCAATTGAGTCAAGACCGAGATTATTGGTCTGGTGAACATCGAGTAGGGGCTGCAGGAGTATTTTAACTGCGCTCATACGTGATGTGGATGTAAGTACTGTTGGTGTTCATATCGCGGGAGCGATGCATTGGACGTGTGGGGATGTGACGTCGGCGTTGGGGTTGGCGAGTACGCGGGCGGTGTGAATTGCGCCTGCTTGTTGTATCCAACGTGAACGAACATCTCATTCTCCGGCGTGATCGGAGGCGTTAGGCAACCATATTGAACTGTAGCAGAGCCATAACTCTTCTGGGGAGTGTGTGGCGACGAGAACATGGTCGAGTTGGCTTCCACTTTAGGTTCCTGTGGTGTTTGAATCGTCGGTTCGGGGGTGAGCTGTTGTCGTTGAGCTTGCAAGAAGTACTCGACCGTTTGAGCGACGGACGAGAAGGTAATCGAGCTGTACTTCCGAGACAAAACCTGGGATGGCTGTGGGAGATGATTCGCTAAGCTGAGGACGATGGAAGATTCGTAACGTCCGGCCCATGTCACGTCTTTCGATTGCGGACGGCCTAGGATACATCTGGCGAGGGCAAGTGCGGAACGTGCAAGAACGGACGGTCGAACCGAAACAAACTCCCTGTGAAACAGAGCCAATTCACAGAGATACCAGGTCATGTGCTGCAGTTCCATGTCGGCCTCGCACGGATCCTCCTCCAAGGCAATTTGCAAGAAAGCGTCGATGGTTGGGTGTCCGATAATCCAGTTGAGGGTTTGAAGCACATGCCATTCCATTTGAATGAACATGTCTTCGTCATAAAGCTGACAGCACATGGCACGAAGTTCTCGCACAGTTGGCACCTTCTCTTTCTTGTCGCCGTACTTGGCAGCGATCAGCAGCGCTGCACATCCCACGAGCTGGTAGTGTCGCTTGTAGACAACACGTCGAGAGCAATAGCGGTCCAGGAGATTAACAGCGAGAAAGAACGTGTCGGGCAGCAATTGGAAAGCAGCGTGAGCCTCGATGAGGAAATCTAGCAGATATGGTCGCATGTACCACTGAATCTCCGTCTGGATGTCAATTGAATTCACGTCAGGCATGGTCTCGTTCTATCAGACGTTAGTCAAGTACATTCTCGTTGAGCCCACAGGCAGAAAAAAAAACTTGCTTCCATGAATTCCATGTGATCCAAGACGTCCTCTTGGTATTCGAGAGCGGTCAGTTCGGACAGCTTTTGGCCCAACTGACGATGGGCGACTTTGGCAACGGCACGCGCCCGTTCCCTGTTGCGCTCTGCTATAGTGTATACGTCCTCATCGTTCTGAACGAAAAAGCTGTCACACGGCCCGAAACGGGAGTGTTGCATTTGCGGATACGACATTGTGTCGCTTTTTGAATGAGTGGAATAGTCTTCACCTGGAAAGACGATGAAATGAGTGTGGGGTTCGAGTAAACAAAACCAAAGAGTGGTCTGTCCGAAGCGGACGCGTGCAAAGATCGAATAAAGTTGGTTGGTGAAAGGGTCTTCTGCGATGCCCGGTATGAAGCGATCAGAGACAGAAGCTGTAGGAAGGCAATTAGCGTTTGGCACGAGCCAGCATGCAAGGACAAAACGTTTCACCTTGCGAATTAGACAATTAGGTTTAAAGGAGCGTGATATGTTTAGAAACGAAGAAATGGATGTCCACGGGCGTCGAATTGCATCAAGAGAAATGGTCAAGAATGCAAAGCCAGCGGATTTGCCAAATCGTTCCGCACGACTTGGTTAGACGAGACAAGGCAGAGCACGAGCAAACGTGTCCACCGTGGCCAATGCCGTACGCGCCGGGGTAGACGAAGCAATGAGGAGGCTCGAGAAGGTTGAAAGTACTTCCAAGCAACTGCAGTTCGAACGCGGCCTTTTGTTGTGTGGGCAAAAGGACTGCCGTCGTGAAATTGCAGTTGAATGCAAATCTAGAAGACAGCGTTAGTCAAACGAGGCCCCAATAATCAAGACAAGCAATGAAGAACCGTGCCACTGCAGAGCCGAGCGAGAGGGTTCAATAATCCTTCGAGTGTCGGTGTGGTCTAGAAAAAATTGCGGAGGACGGCCAATTAGGCCCGTCTCTCGAGAGACGCAGCACTGCCTACGCACGACGGCAGCCTTCCCCGCCAGTCTTCCACAGGCGACATGATGCCAAAACACTGGCTTTGCGGATGCGAAGGCGTGCCAAGGGCTGGAAGAACACAGAGAATAGTGTTTGCTCATCCAAGACCCCGCCTTGTGGGTTGGTGCACACAAATCACGGGCGTCCAAACCCAGTGTTCTTTTTGAGGTTGCTCGAGCGTGAGACAAATGATGTATAGCCCACATGTGCAGAGCGGAAGCTGGCACATGTGGGCATGTTCGAGGTCCGGATTGCAGCACGGTCGGGTGCGAGGGCGAAATAGGGAGCAAATGTTTGCGAGAATGCTAAGGCGGCGACGAGGATCGAAGGGGTGAGAGGGGACAGCACACCAGCGGGTATAAACGTACCAATTGATGCTAGAACAGCTCAACAATGCTTCTTTCTTGACTTTGAGAGAGAAGAAGGCGTGGTGGCGGATGCCGTCTCACGACGTCACGAGTCTGACGGAGCAAATGAGGGCACAGGCTTCCAGGTTCTCCCTAGGTCCGACCGGCGGCAGCGACTCGAGGCAGCCTCAGGTGTGCAGAGACTGGAGAAGGAGAAGGAGGAGGAGAAGGGGAGGAGGAGGCTGTTCGAAGAGGCTCGGGGATGGAGGAATGGAGGAGAGACGTCTCTTCTTATTCGACCGGAGGGGATGGTCGAATGTAGGGAAAGGGAGAAGAGGAGGCGGCGGGAGAGAGCTCGAGGAGGAATAAGGGGAGGGTACACTGCAAATGTGCCGAAACAGAAATGAATCGAGCACACAGTTATACGTCTCCAATCCAACGCTCACAGCTCCATGGATTCGAGGTGGAGAGGGTAGGAGGAAGAAGAGACGAGGGAAGAGTAAGGTAATGAACGAGTGGTGAGAAAGGTTTGGAGCATGGCGGCCAAGTGCGACCCCTGCCAGAGCATCGGCTGGCTTTTTGGCAAAAGTGGTTCGAACAGACCAATCAGCCGGGATTCAGACACAGGTCGTGTGGCGCATCGCCGGCAAGCTGAAGCTTCAAGGCATGGATTCCTGCCCAGCGGCGTGTTGTGCGTGCAACTGCAAGGAAACGCGCTAGCTCACGGCTGCTGCTGGCCTGGTGTTTTGGTGCTTGGGTCGTGCTGGTCGTGCTGGAGCTGGTGCTTGGTGTTGGTGCCGGCGCCGGTGCTGATGCTGGGGACGGGAGTCCGACGGGCACACGCACGCGCGCTCCACCAGACAGAGAGCGGGCGAGAGAGAGACACAGAGACGGAGAGACAGCCAGAGACTGCAGAGCGAGGGCGATGGCGAGACGGAGAGAGACGTCGAGGGAGGCAGAGAGGAGAGGAGACACAGAGTCTCTCACATTCACGCCCACGCCCACTCTCTCGCACTCACGCACACACTCACACTCACACACATGCGTACGCGCACACGCGCACACAACCGCCGTGTCACCACCTCCCGTCACCGACTCAGCTGTCGGCATCCAGGACGGAGCTCTTGTCGGCGTGCCCATTCCACAGCCTGCCGACACAGATGCTGCTACCGCTGCTCTCCACCTGTCGCTCCGTTTCCCGCCGTCTGCCCCGTGCCACAAGGACGACCGTCCTCCTTCACGGCGCCCTTCATGCCGCCCTGCTCGACGAGCCTCATCTCCGCCGGCGAGGCGTCTCGTGCAACACGTTTTGTCCTCTCCCACGGCCAAATTGCGTCTGTACCGCACCACCTGGCGGAGACGCGTTCGACGTTGCCCCATCCGGCCGCACGTTCGGGCTCGTCGGTCGCTTCGACACGTCTGGCGCGACGCACGACGCGATTTCGATCATCAACCGCCTGCCTCGCCCGCGGGATGGCGTGCCCGGCTGTCTGGCTGCGCTGCGGCTTTGCGACAGGATCCATCAGCAAAAGAGGGGGCTGACATGGACGACCGTTTCTATTCAGGTCATGGCCGCCCTCTCATTGCTGCAAACTGCATCTACATGAATCTGCTGCTAGGCCGCCGCCCGCCAATCGCGTCGCCGCTACACGCTATATTTCTTGCTTTCTCACCCGTCTCTGCATCAGTCCGTCCGTCCTCTCCAGCCCCAGGGCGAGCCCGAATTGCCCATCCAGGCCGCGCGCTCTGCTCGTCCGAGCTCTCCACAAATCAAACTTGGGTCTTCCTTGAGCTGCGAAATTGTCTGGGATCTGCGAGCACTGTGCGTCCTGGCCGCCTCCATTTCGCCAGAGCGAAGGCGCTGCTCAATTCCGGCCCCTGGCCTTACCAGCGCTGCAGCAGGAACCCATCACCGCTGCCCGTCCGATGCCTGGACCACAGCAAATTTCTCCCTGCAAATCCGATCCGTGGTTCGTTCGCTTCAAACGTACGCGCGCGGATTGTTCACGACGTGACAGGTCCTACTTCTCTCCACCTCCACTCCGCTCCACAACGCTGCACGTCGGCGTCGACCACTTTCACGTCGTCGATGCTTTATGAGCTCATTCCACACACCGACATCTCGTGTTGCGCTGTCGTGTGCCCGTGCAAAGTCTAATTGCTCTTCTGAACCCTAATATTGTTGCTCCACCGACTGCGAGCTAAACCGTTCAGACACGTACTGAGCCTCAGGGCTTCAGAACGCGAACGCGGATACTCGCGACTGCATGTGAACGATTTCGACAGCAACCCGAACGAGGCGTCTCGTTCTCGCAGATCTAGATTTTTTTTTTTTTTTGTTTTCCCCTTTTGTTGCACTCGTGAAGCCAGGCTGAAGGGTCCCGCCCCCCGTTTTTATTTCCTCGTACGCAATGAGCACAATAAGCATTAAGTAGCTTGTCATTACACCTTGATCGATACGGTCGCCATGACCTCCAGCTCCCGTGGCAGATTCTGAATAAGCTTCCGGACAGCCTAAACGATAAGAATGCGAGTCTCCGTGTTCAACGACGCACGAGCGCTCCTAGACACTATTCGCAGAGATCTGTTACGAAGATCCCACCCAGACCCGCTGTGCTCCAAGTTTGTCGCGCCAAAAGAAAAAAAATTGTAGTCATTTGCGAACACGACGACGTAGGATTCTCATGTATCTCGACTAAAACGCCTCCGCCCGTTGAAGGCAGACCTAGTACTTTTGTGGTGATTGCGGGCGTGATACGCGCAGGGTTGTTCGGCTCAATGCATCACTGCCCGGCGACCCTCCCTCACCCTCGTCGCTTCACTTCCAGCTGCTCGAAGTAGTGAACAATTGCTTGCGACCAGGCCATGTGTAGGCCGGGAACGTCCGCTTGAAACCGCGTCTGTGGAAAAAGCCTGGGCGTGATCACGCCAACCGGGCTCTATTTCTGATCCTCGCGTGCTGGGCTCGCGTGCGCAGCCGCCCTTCAGGAGCTTTGATTTGACAGTTACGGCCTTTCGATTCAAGATTGGCCCGGAGGCCAAGTCAGAGGGCAATCAATGTCAGCACGCTCGTCCACAGCCGTATCTCTGCTCAGTCAAAGCCGCGTCAAAGTGGAGAGACGGCCAAGCCGTCATCGTCATCAAGTACGGTCCATATTTGGGGACTTGAAACACTAAGCCTGTTGCGTGCCGGTCAACGCCCGAAGATCGTCACCATGAGCTCTACACATGGGCGTAAAGGAAACACAAAGCGAGATGCTATGCCCCTTTGAAGCCGCGGCCGGTGCAAAGTGGCGGGGAAGGCTGGCTCGATTTTTCTTTGCAGAGACGCCAATTACGCGCCCAGAGGTCTCACCTGGGCCTTAGACCATCTGCTAAAAGCCTTGCTGCTGCGCTGAATCTTGCTAGAAACCTCCACCATAAGCCGCCCATCCGTTGTCCCGTCTGAGCTCTTACCACTATGCGTGCTTCGGCTGCGGTCTTTGCAACTGTCGTACGTGGTGGCAGGTGTCAAACCGTGATGAACGTGTGCGCGAACGCGTTTGAACGCGTCCTTTGACGCTCCATCATCTCCACTGACTGGACACTCGTCCCGGTCAACTCGTCTGTGGGCGTCACCGACATGTTTTGGCTTCTAACAAATTCCACACCGGCCGCGTTGCAAAGCTGGCTCCATTGGTTCGTCCGGAGACGCGTTCGTGAGATCGGGATCATCTCGCTACCTCTCCACTTCGGCGACGACAGTACAAAGCAGAAAAAAAAAAATTTTTTTCTTTTCCTTTCTTTCTTTGGCGTTCACGCTGTGATCTCCACAATCATGGCATCAGTCAAATTTTCAGTTCTCATAGCCGCCGGTCTCGTCGGAAAATCACATCTCCGCTTGAACAAGCAAAAACTCTTTCGGTGTCATGAGATTGACAGATCCGAAAAATTTCCTTCGCCCGGGAAGAAAAAGAAAATTTCTTCGCATGCAGCGCGCAATAGCTGTAATGAGAAGCAATGCATCGGGACTTTTTCGAAAAGCAATACCGTTTGTATTGCATTCGGACGCTCAGACAGGCCGCCGCCTCTCACGATAGATGACCTTTTTTTTCCTCCTACCGTACGTTTGTCACAATTGTTGTAAGCTATCGAGGATGTGCGCGTCGTACGTCTCCCTTCGTTGACAAAGTCTTACCCTACACTTCGTCCAAGTGTCTTTCTTGACACATGAGTCGACGCTATTTAGGTTGGATTTCGCGAAGAAACGACGAGCTCAACGCCTCTTTGATACGACAAGACGGTGACAGAACATGTCTGCTCTCCCCAGCTTTCATACCTCCAGCCGCCCTTGCGTGCGTAGTTCTCAAGATAAATATCACCGTCGTCGCAAATCTATACCACAGATGCGTTTGAGTGCATGGCTAATTTGTTTTCATATCGCACGAAACATGGATGCTCCGGCTCAACTTGAGAAATGCAGCCCACGTACCTCCGTACGATCTCCGCAAATTAGACCATAGTAATAACGGCCTCACCTAGGACTCATGGCTTCGACCGTCTTTATCTTGCCCAGAAAACACCTCGTAAAATTCGTGAAACTGAGTCACGACGTCAAGTGACATCACTATAACTCCTAAGAACCACGCTACGAGAAACCGGTGATTTACATGACTCGGGATGTCTGTGAGGCTGAAACAACCAGATTCTAGAAAAAAATGAAGCTGTGTCAGACGGGATGCTAAAGAAATTGATCCAGACGTTTATCTCCTGCGCTAAAGGCTCATAAGAAGCACAAACACGAAAATAAAAACACCTGGATTCTCTTGTGTTATGCTCGTTTTTGGTGAGAGGCGCATGCATAGCCATCGTGAACTGCAAAGGCACAAAGAAATAGCATCACCGTATTTAGCTAGTGGCTTGAAAACAAAGATGGTTGCCTAGTATGTACGATATAACGAGACATCTATGTATGAGGTGCCTTTGATCAAATTTTTTGACTCCGGTTTCCTCTGTGGAAGAAGAGACGATGTCGAGCACTTCTGAGGGAATTTGCGTCACGACGCTTACGCCGACGTATTCAACTCTGCCGCGCTTAAACACCACGGTACTACTGCTCGTCGTCCTGTTCTCACCAAACAAATCCTGGGCCACGAAAGCTGCGCTTGCTGCATTAATGACTCGGGTGTCAACCATTGTCATACATTCATTTGTCCTTTTGGCAACAAAGAATTCATCGCGACCCTGGGACCTAGACACCATTGGATCATGGTTTATTCTCAGCGAGGTGGCTGCCTCCATCCCAGCCTTGTTATGCTGGTCACCTGCTTTGCACATGAGCAAAGCACGATATTTGGTGAAGACGTGGGGGGTTATGGTTTTCGCTGGAGCCGTATGTGGCTTCACCACAGTTCGATGGGCTGGTAGGCACACACGATCCCAAACGTGTATGACTGTGGACAATGCCGACGGATATCATGTACAGACCAGCATCAGCAGGGATAATATTTTCTCACCACTGACCAGTAGATCAATACTCGGAAAATTTGACGTTGCCGCCGTAGTTGCAGCTACGTTTGGACTGTGGACATGTATTCGGCCAGATTCATGGTCGAAATATGACGCGAAGAGAAGTTCGAGACGTGTCATTGCCGTCCTAGAGCTTCTATGCGCTGTCTTCTCGACGACAGTGTTGGTGGCAAGCGTCGTGCTTCACGAAAAATACATGCTTCAGTCCCCGCGACTACCTATGCTGCTGCCTCTTACTGCATATGAGCAGTGGAGTTGCTGGGCAGCAACGGGCATCATCTTGGTAGCAACATTGGCGAATTGGGCTCTCGGAGGGGACAAAAAGCCATTCAATGTCGCCGGTAACTATTCCCAGCGTCGATACCAAAACGAAATCGAAACAGACTCCAGGCTTGAATGGAGCGGTATCCTCGCTCGGCCCCTTCCAGCGTACGTGAGCTAATAACAATCAATTCTATTTCCCCAATTACTTCTTACTCTTCTTCTTGCTTCCACTCTCCGCCTCGTGGCTGAACCCTGCCTTGACAAGGGCGTCTCTTGCGGCGGAATTGATGAGCCTGAATCTGTCGGGTCCAAGCAGGATGCCGCCGTACCATCTTGTGACAACCACCATAACGTTCCAAACGTCCATCAGCTGCATGAGGTGTAGCACTCTTCCACCAGCAGCCGTCTCTCCGTCGTCGTCACAGTCCTGGTATGTGACGCCATTAACACCTTGAATTCTCCATGCGTTGATGTTGTGCGTTGCATTCCTGACCTTCTTGTCCGTGTGAAGAAGGTGACGGAGATATTGCTGAGCTTGCGCTGTTGAATTCACCACAGCTGCACGGCCCACAAAGACCGATTTCTTCTCACTTATAGGATCTGACAGAATCCACGGAGGCTCCGGCCCGAGATCCTCTTCCGCGGGCTGTGCCGCTTGCAAAACGTTTGGAGAACCGTCATCTGGGGCGTTGCCCAACAGCAGCGCATGACGGCTCAGAGCCTCACCCGTGTCCTCCAGCAAATCGTAGACGCAGGCTTCGCCTGGCTTGTACACGTTCGAAAGCACATCTCTCACGAGCTCCAGGATCTTGTGACCTGCGCCCTTTGGCAGGTCATCTCCGACGGTCTCGATGCCTGCTACTGAGGGTGGTGCGTCCGGATAGTCGCGCGGAAATTCTAACCGCAGCACGGTTGATGTGTGGGCTGGCAATCGCAAGAGACATACCGTAGGGTCTCTGGACGATAGCACCAGGGTTTCATCGCCGTAGATTGAATTTATCGACGTAATCTCATCATCGATAGCGGATTCCATTATTTTTTTCTATTTGGCTGGGGGGAAAGGTATACATCAATGATCATTCGAGTTTGGCAGGTTTGAGATAGCCCCCGATCGCGGAAAGAGGTCACAAAACCTCGCTTTGGCAAATGCCGAGAGCTGTCATAATTTCTACCCAATTTTCATTTGTTCTTCCTTGTCTTTTCCTCTCTCTGTTCCATGAAAGCACGCACCAAATCAGACACCTTTGATGTCGCTCATTTGATCCCTTTAGCGCCAAATTGTAGTTTCTCAGAGCGATCTGATTCAGCGACAGCATGGCGGTTATCACGGTCTTGGGAAGCTTGAACGTGGACATGGTCACCGTCACACCCCGCGTACCAGAAGGCGGGGAGACTTTGCAGGCAAAGTCGTTTGAAACGGGATGGGGAGGGAAAGGAGCTAATCAGGCCGTCGCAGCAGCCCGAACGTCGCGGCGCAAAACAGGCCCATTGGACTCCCATGTCGTTGTTCGAATGGTTGGCGCTGTTGGCGACGATGTCTTTGGGCCTCAGATGATCAAGAGCATGGCACGCGATGGTATCGATATGTCGGGTGTGCGGACTCTTTCAGACCACAAGACCGGAACCGCAGTGATCCTAGTCGAACAGAGTACCGGCCAGAACCGCATCCTGTTCACCGCGGGCGCCAACTTTGGCATCAGCACCGAGATGGAGCTTGTGAAAGGCCATGACTTTGGCCACGTTGCTATATTTCAGTTGGAGACGCCGCGAGACGTGGTCAGTATCGGCGACGGTACACACCCGCTGACCAAACTGACGATGGATAGGTGTTTCACAACATCAAGCTGGCACGGGCAAAGGGAGCTCAAGTCATCCTCAATCCCGCCCCAGCACAGGAGCTCCCAGATGACATCTTCCCTGAGCTGGCATACCTCGTCGTGAATGAAACCGAGGCCGCGATAGTTTCCGGCCAACCGTCGGACGCGGTCTCATCTTCTTCTGACTTGGATGCTCTCGCGGCGAAATTCATCGGGAAAGGCGTAAAAAACGTAATCGTAACTCTCGGTTCCGAGGGCGTTTATTATCAAACTGCCACGGCAGCCTCCCACAAACAGCCCGGCAAACGACTGCCAGCCGTAAAGGCCACCGTTGTTGACACAACCGCTGCCGGCGACACCTTTGTGGGTGCATTCGCGGTCAAACTTGCCGAAGCCGCACGCGAGAACGTAGGAGACGAAGCCGACGTGTTAGACGACGCGATCGCCTTCGCAATCCGGGCGGCGGGTAAAACCGTCGAAAAGGCGGGCGCTCAGAGCTCCATTCCCTGGCTTGACGAACTGTAAATGAATCTGACGATTCTCATCCGTCGGACTCCAGTCACGAATCCGTTGCTAGAGGATGACGTTAGGATGGACGGATACGAGCCTCAGATGCGAATCCGCTATACCTAGTGCACACAAAACCGTTGCTGTATCCTCGTTAGCGGTGTCAAGAAGGCCAAACCGTGCAGGCACCGCAGGTTAGCCAACCACGTTACGCATCTGCCAGGCTTCGGGAAGACACGAAGACGAGTAAAGAAAAGAGAATAGTTGCCCTGATCTCAAGAACCTCCCACGCAGATATTTCTTAACCCCCCTCCCCTTCCCACCCAAGCTAGCCCTGTGCCTGTGCGGCCGGCCGAACCCGTGCTCAAAGGTGCATGTTTTTGAATCGGACGTCAAAGCGGTGGAGAGCTAAATAAGAGCGTGCCTCCTCCTCCTCCTCCTCCTCCTCCTCCTCCTCCTCCTCCTCTTCTTCTTCTTCTTCTTCTTCTTCTTCTCCTTACTTTAAAAAACCGAGTGTAAAAGACACTTCAGGAAACGGCGTGGTTTAAAGCCATTTTATGGGCGAATTTTGCCGTTACAATGTGTGCCTCGGTCATTGCTTGATATGTCCATGATCCAGTCCATGGTGATGATGCAACACTATCGTGGAAAGATGAATTATGGACGTAACGAGAGACTACCGTTTTACTTTTTCAAAAGGGTTTTTTAAGGCTTGGATAATTGAGGTTCTTCTTGACTGAGCGAGGACTAGAAGTTGAACTACCTCATGCCAAAATCTGGATCGTTGGATCTAAGCTGTTCAGCATAGGAGAAGAACTGGGACAGCAATTTATCAATCAGGCGTTCTGTCAGTCCTAGATCAAACGCATTCTCAGCATATTTCGTGGGCACTCAACCACTCCGCCAGCCCGCCAGGCAAACTCTCCAACAATTGTATCTCTGCCTTCATGTTCAGAAATAACATGACCTGGAGCTCTCGTCTCCACTCAGTCTCAATATCTGTAAACACCTTGCGATGAAGCATTTGCGTTGCTTTGCGTCTGTCTCGTTCAGTGAGCCTCAGCAGTCCCCGACTCTCGTGAACGTTCCTTAGAAGCCCTATTTGCCGACTGTTGAGGCCCAGCCATTGAATGGAGGGCAGCTCAAGGCCAGATTTCTCGTGAGACAACGCGATAGAGCCATGCTTGTAAGTGGAAATGATTTCCATACCGTCAGGATCGTAGTCCATGAGCCCATATATTGATAGCTCTGTACAGTGATTGCGCCTGGAGCCACACCAGATTGAACGAAGAAGCAGACGTGTCGCAAGATCTGGGTATCCTTTTCCCTACAGATGTTCGATATTATGAGCAGCAATCAAGGTGAACCACCTACCGTTACGAGCAAACCATGTGAAGACAGACGAGCCCAGAATGGCGAGGAAACGAGAGAGCGGAAGGTTGCCTTCGCTTATTAGATTGTCCCTCCCATTATTTATGCGCTCTTACCTCTTTCTCAACTACTAGAACCCACCGGGCGAAGTCAACGACAATAAGATCATCCTCTTTCAATGTTGAGATCAGCATACCCTGAGTCGTTAGTCCTTGCGGTGGACTTATGGCGAGTGATTGCGTACCTCACGCTCGAACTTGCCATTTGCTACAGCCCTGTTGCTCCTGTGTATCGAAAAGTTGCCGGCAACGAGCCCTTTCGCCGTTGCTGTCTTGTTCAAAGTTAGCGCTATTTAGAAATCCTGGCTATGAGTTGCATTACGACGTTTAAAAGCAGTCTAGAGACGCCAAACGTGTAAGCGAGATCATCAATGAATCGATCAACAACAGCCTGCTTCGAAAAAAGTGTAGGATCCCGGTAGTATATATCTCTAAAGCGGGAGTTAGTCAACAATAATAGGGTGACGGCACTTCAAAACCTCTTCGTGATGATTGTATCTGTTACGAGCGCGTCATGTAACAGCTCAAGAATGCGGATGATGACAGCTTTCCATGGTTAGAACGAGTCAATACAGCGGCACGATATCACGCTAACTGTATCGCCACGCATCTTTCTCAGACCTTCCAGGAAATCTGAAACGGCGCGAAGCTGGTGCGTTATCGCTTTCAGACCTTGGTCGCATACTGACGTCAATCTCAAGATGGTTCTTGTTTGCAACAATGGCGGCCAATTGCTGCTCGAAAATATCCTCGATGCGAGCAATGACCCATAATCTTTGACATTGAGTGTCAGTCAAAAGTTGAAGGCGATGTGAAGAAACCGAAAAGAGAACGGGTCGGTGAATATGAAACGGTACCTATCACGCTTCCCTGATGGAATGGCTGCCGTAGGAACTTTATCATTGACAGAAGGCTGTATTGGAGAGACTGAGTTTGCTATATGAAGCGAAATAACATCTGTTCTATCGGTCTTTTCACGAGTACTACGATTCAAGCAAAGAATATCACGCGACCTGAACTCCTCAGCCGAGTTGATGGTATTGCTGCATTGAGACAGATAATCGTGAGCTTCAATCTTGAATGGGCTCATACATTTGGGACGCGCATTTTCGTCGTAAATCATCTCGTGATTGAGTGATGCCATGGTCTTGGAATGTATGACAGAGAGTGTGCATGCTGGTGGTCTCCTTGACGTTGCCTCATCCCGCCATGAGCGCCAAGACCGACTGCGAACGGGAACGCGTCGAACGCGATTCTGGCGTCGCACCCTGGAGACTTCACCGCCCACTTCTCCAACACCTCAAATCTAAGGGTACCGGCATTGTGAAGTCATACTTATCTTCCGAGACTGGCTGCTGATAATCCTTCTGTTGATTCTGTGAATTATTGGCCATGTCAGTCGAAGCAGGCGGAGGGTCTGGTTCGACGACGCCGTCGTCTTTAAAGAGACCGCGGTCCGACGAGGAACTGCCAGCTACCCCAATCAGAAATACACAGTCGTCGCTGTCTCCGATGAGCTCAGCACTCTCATCTCCGGTCGCTATCTCAACTCCAAAGGATACTCCAATGACGACTGGAAACTCCAACAGCTTGTCGAACTCGCCATGCAAGGCCCAAAACCAGCACGACGCTAAGACGACCACCCAACCTTCATGTCCGACAAAAACACTGTTGCACTCATCATCGGCACCACCTGCTAAGCGTAGAAAGCTCACCGCAGAAGAAAAAGCAAAGGCTGAATCTGAGAAGGCAAGGAAGGCATTGGAACGCGCCGAAATGAAGGCGCGCAAGGAGGCTGAAGCGAAGGCTAGGGAAGAAGAGAAGCAACGTAAGGCTGAGGAGAAGCAGCGGAGACAGCATGAAAGATACGAGGAAAAGAAGAAAAAGGCGGAAGAACGAGAGCTCAAACAAAAGCTTAAAAGCATGGAGAAGCAACAGAAGGAGGAGGAAAAGGAACGTCGTGAACGCGTAAGTTATGGGACCACCCTTAGTTTTGCTTGCCCTGCGTTGACTTGATTTTACACTGCAGTCCCAATTACGCCTATCGAACTTCTTCAATTTACCGAAAGCCTCTCCCGCTGCAACCGATCAGACCAAGGTTTTGGAGGCTACGGCTAGTCCATCGAAGCTTAGTGCAATGGGCCAGGACGACGTGCAAAGGAGGTCCTCCTCTCACGATCCACTTAAACATGAGGCTCCTCCCCATACTGGAGCCAAGCCCGTTTCTCATATTGAAAAGCAGGCGAAACAAGTAGACAAGGGATTTCTCCCATTTGTTTTGGCTAAAAATATGCGACTTGCTCCAATCAATGCTTTCTTACCGGATGACAAAGATCTGGATCTTGTGAATGCGGATATGGACAAGTATAAAGAGAACTCTACGACTGAGCCTAGCCCTTCTCTCAGAGAAACCTTCGCGAAGTTGAGAGTCAATCGTGGATTCCAGCCGCCAAAGGTCACGAGCGTACTGCATCAGTTGCACGGCACATCAAATGCGCCCATTGACCTAACCCAAGATGGCGCCGGAAACCCTCTGAACGTCCTCAAGTCTATCCCGGTCAAGTTCTTCTCATTTGGCGAGGACGTGCGTCCTCCGTATAGGGGAACCTGGACAAGGCCTGTAGGGAGCCGTCTTTCCCGTAAGCTTGCTCTCAATCCGCTTAGGCAAGAACTTCCTGAGGTTGATTACGCCTACGATTCGGAGGCCGAATGGGAGGATGTAGAGGAAGGCGAAGATATTGATATTGAGGAGGACGAAGAGGAGGATGAGGACGAAGAGGAAATGGAAGGTTTCATCGACGATGAGAGCGCACCGCAATACCTTGCTCGCAGAGGCTTACCTGCTCTAGACTTGGAACCGAAATGCAGTGGCTTGCAATGGGAAGACGCTTCTGGCAGGATGAGGGCTGCAGACTCGAACTACGAAGACGCTGATTTCGAAGAGTTCAAGGTGTGCTTCCTGCTAGATCCCAGCCCTAAGACCATTGACCCGTTCACCACGGCGTACTGGGAGCCTGAACCCAGACACGTTTCATCAAGACTGCCTCTGACAAGCTCGATGGGTCCACCACGATTACCTCTTCAGGATCGAACGAACGGGCAGGCCACGGTGCAAAGCACGCTAGTTAATGGGAAGGTGCCAAAAGCAGCCAAAGTCGGTCCTCGCCTCGTACCTGCAGACATTCTACCAGCGTTCAAAGAAGCTGTAAACGGTAGTGACATGACTAAGATCGCCCTGATTGAATCGTTGAAAAAACAGTCAGTTTTATCTCACTCAACGATATGTTTCATGTCTGACCATCGTGCAGGTTTCCAAAGCTTCGAAAGGATCAGATAAACGAAACTCTTCCCTTGATTGCGCAACGAGTTGGTGCAAAGCAAGCCGAGAAGAAATGGATCCTGTTGCCAGAGGGCAAAGTCTGAGTCCTTGTTCAGAAGTTTTTGTATGGAGAATTGCTCGTGACGGGTAATGATCTATCTGTTTGAGCTCAGTGTCGTCGTGGGAGTAATCTTGAGGTTTTTTTTGGCTCATTTGCCCATGATCGCCCCCCTTGTTCAGGAGCATGGCTTGGAAGCCCCTTAATATGACACGATCGTTGCACAATGCCTTCGTCTTGAGTTAGATGGCTCATCATGAAGGCAATGTTCGTATTAATTACAAAGTGCGAAGCACATAGCTGAGGAAATCATAGACACGGCATTTTGTCGAGTGAGCAGTAAAGGTTCCTTTCAAATCAGCTACACCTCCCTGAAAGTCTATAAACCCAAAAGCCAATCGTATTAACTACGAGACTATGTCTTGGATTGGGTGTTCGGACTCAACATGTACGAAAGATCTTTGCGCATGCTGACACGAGACTTTCAGTGCTTCGATCTGCATGCAACTGCTTCTAAGTTAACTGCAGTTGCTACGTTACCACATTTCGGTGTGAGCACTAAGCTTATGGCTCAGTGATTACCTTGCTTCTAAACTGCTCATCTTCCCACAGATAGTTTAATTATGCTAATTGGATCCCGAGAGGTGTTTTGTATGACTGGTCTCGGCCCGTCGTGGCCGGGAGTCTCTGCCTCAAGTCTTGTTTCCGTGCTTTAGTTACATGTCTCATTGGTCTTTCGTACTTGTTGAGTTTTGCTGTGCTCATCTGTTGTCGAAGGATTGGTGCAGTGTATCGCGTGCTTTATAATTCTCTCCTTTGCTATGCCAGATCTTTAAAAGACGTAGATTTCTTCCCCCTCATATCATCAGTGACTCGTCCTTCGCGAGGCAAAAGCAACTTCGCCACGTCTCTAGAGGCAATGTACGGAACTCACGATAATAAATTGCTGAGAAAACTCCGAAGCAGCTTCGAGTTTTCCTGAGGATATGTCTGGACCATGCATTTGAAGTCAAGCTTCCAATGTAAACAGCAATGTCCTCGAATTACTGATCGTGTAAGAGTCCTGATAAGTATGAGGACCCGTTCTGGGTTGGCAATGGCATGTCCATCCAAGAAAATCTGCCAAGTATACTTGCCTTACTCTGGTGGGAAACACGGAACTGCAAAGGAGGAGTGGTAGAAAGTGCAAGGAACCTATGTGGGGAGGCCGGGAAACCAGAGTGATCCGATCCACACTTTGTCGAACAGTTGCAGAGGGTTGGATACGGAATTAGATTGATTTACGAGCATATTGAAGAGTCTTAGGATCCCGTAGTATTCTATGTAAAGCACCAAACCATGAGTTTCTCAAGCTAGATGTCTGCCATTTTTGTCCGAAGACCTCGACGTATATATGACCGATGCCAAGCCAGAAGTGACTTTTGTGCAATTAGCGCTGCGAGACTTACCAGGAGAGAGAGACCAAAATCTCCTATGTGCGCGATCTAGCAACTTTTGTCGTAAAAGGGATGCCGCTTTCCAAGAAATGTATTCGCGAATTGCAACTTCAGCCTTGTACAGCCTTGCCAAGCCAGCCACATGTCACTAGCGGCAGTTCGGCAAGATAGCGTCATTTCCGAGTCCATGCCACAAATTCAGATTTTACACATGAGCTCCTGACTTCATGGCAGGAGCAAGGTGACGATGGCCGCTGAGGTGGTTGCAGCCATCTGTCTGTTCTGGGGGTCTCTTGTCGTTCTTGTTTCTGGTATTGGTTATTGGCAGATGTTTGTGCTGAGGAGGCCTCCCGTTCCTAGTCAAAACTCACTGACACTTGTGAAGACAGAGACACTACTCTTCGGCTCAGCCAAAAAGTCGGTATGAGGATGAGGATGCTCCTCACGTAACAATTATCCGGCCAGCGAAAGGTCTAGATCCTCAGCTGTACGAGTGTCTTGCTTCGACGTTCCGACAAACCTATCCGAAGGACAAACTCACGATCCGCTTTTGCGTAGCGTCGCACAATGATGCATCTATGCCTGTTCTTGAACGGCTTGCGCAGGATTTCTCGAGTTTTGATGTAAAAGTCCTGGTCGAAGAGGAGGATCCGCTCCTGCAAGATGGAGTGCCGAACGCACTTGTGTTGGGACCTAATCCCAAGATACGAAGTATGAGTCGCGCATACCGAGAAGCGAAGGGAGACATCGTCTGGATCATTGATTGTAACGTATGGGTTGCCTCAGGAGTCTGTGGACGTATGGTCGACCGATTGCTAGGACGAACGCCAGGCAGTCGTCCGCAGAGGCTCGTACATCAAATGCCGCTTGTAGTTGACATTGAAGGCCTAGATGTTGCATCTACGAGCTCTGTTATGACGGAAGGTTTTCACAAACGCGATTTGTCAATTCTAACAAAAGGAGGACGGCTCGAGGAGATGTTCATGTCTTCAGCGCACGGCAAGTTCTACACTGCCATCAACACGGTGCTTATTGCGCCCTGTCTTGTGGGCAAGTCGAATATGTTTAGGCGATCGCATCTTAACGCTCTTACGAATGGAGAAGGCATTGACTACTTCAGCAACAATATTTGTGAAGATCATCTTATTGGTGACCTCTTGTGGAAAAGACCTATTCCCGAGGAAGTTTTGAACAAAAGTCCTGGAAAGAAATGGGGCAAACACGCTATGCTTTTCGGAGATATAGCTATTCAGCCTATGAAAAATATGCATGTTAGCGAGTACATCGCACGCAGGGTGAGATGGCTGCGCGTTCGAAAATATACCGTGCCAGCTGCAACCGGTGTCGAACCTACCACGGAAAGCTTTGTATGTTCGGGAATGCTAGCATATGGTGCCACAACTCTTCCGTATGCGCATGAAAAGCTTGGAATCCCGCAGACTTGGCCAACATTCGTTCTTGTCTGGCTACTGGTCGTATTTTCATGGGCAATAACCGATTGGACTTTGTACAAGAAGATACATTCTGCGGCGTCTATAGCACAAGACGAACATACGCCACTCTTCGCGCGCCCTGCCAACAATGGCGGTGCGAGAAGACCTTTGAATGAGTGGTTACTTGCTTGGTTAGGCCGTGAAGCACTTGCGTTTCCGATATGGCTATGGGCAGTATTTGGTGGGGCTACTGTCACTTGGCGAGGCAAGCAATTCTGGGTCGGAATGGACATGCGTGTTCATGCCATTGAAAAGCAGGCGCGAAGTAAGAAGGATGTAATGATGGATAGGACGAAGGTAGAATGACAGCGATGATTTTTACATCAGATAGTAATGACCTTCAAAAACTGAAGACAGCGACCTCAACTTAGAAGCGGTCTACTTTCTTCCACGACCAGCATCTGAGGGTCGATATCATCTTCATTCCTAGTCTTGACCAACATTCCAATCCTTCTCCACGCGTTCTTTAATCTCCCTGTGAATCCAATTCCCTTCCGCACCCAGACTCCTTGTCTCCAGTGTTCACCATCAATTTCATCGACCACGTCAATTCTCCAACCTCCCCTAGGTGCAAATACAGCACTGAATACATATTTGAGGACCTTCCAGATGATCCAAAGAATGAGCAAAGAAGTCAAAGTAGAAATACATGTGATAATTGCAGCCAAAAAAGTGGTTGTGGAGCAATTGCAGCCAAAAGTTCCGGTTCGCAGTTCCCATCGTTCCTGCCATGGCATTGGGCAAATTTGGGCATCATAAATAGGAGACAAGAGATGCCCCCTATTGAATAATGGAACACACGTTGAAGACTGCCACCATGTCAGTAGATGGAACATTAAGGCTCATCCACCGACACTAACTCCCCGGTCTACGGGCGCATAAAACAATGCATGGCGTACATTGCTGAATTAACATCCACGAGGCTGGGACGATACACTGTCGAAAAAAAAAACCTACATATGGACACCACCCGCATTTGTGGTTGCTACTAACACAGTGTCCGCAGTCTTGAATCCGCCAGCACTGTCTTAAATGGCGATCATCATCTTCGGATTTATTGCGTGCAAGACTTCCGAGGAAGCGTTCCATGAGGATTTCCCGATCTTCCATGACTGGCCAGTCGAGAAACTATCGGTTTTTGTGCGGCAGAAGAAAGTATTCTGCTGCAGATGTGCAGTTAAACGGGCAACTTTGTTGCTGGGATAGAGAGTCCGTGGAGAAACTGGAAGGCTGTTGTCGTCATCCACCATCTGAATCGAGTCTTGGCGCCGCAGCAAGAACCCCGGAGCTTCAGGATTTGAAATACGAACACAAAATCAAAATTTGAATCACCTTTCTTTTCTAACCCACTGAATATCTTCATCGCTCTTGTGGCTCCAATTTGGCGCCACGCGTTGTAGTAATGAAAATTGATGCTCACTGACCTGGTAACATGACACGTGACAATGACACAAGTTTCTGCGAGGATGTACTCGGTACAGATAATTATCCAGCTGTGAGAAGCTGAATCTTTGAAAAGTGGAAGATGTAAGATTGTAAATGTCTAATATTATTGGTTCTGAAGGCTGAAACTGTGCAAAATAGAAGCCCGATTTTCCAGTTACAAGGATAAAGAAGGTCTATCTTTTGTAGGGTATGTCTATTGTCGTACAACTTCTGTAAGTGAACTTGAACTTTGTGTATCCCGAAATGATCCGTCGCAGTCTAATATAGCTCCAATTTATGCATGTGCGCTCAAGAATGCGACTGTACTTATTCGAACGGGTAATTGGTCAGTCTTCAACGTCCTCATCCATGTGAGGATAGACAATGTCGCGTACAACCACAGCTCTAACATTCATGTAAAAAACAAAGCACCACATGATGACAATGCAGATAGTCATGGCATTGCCCAAATATCGCAGACCTTCATTGTTCAGTGCATTGCCAATTTGGATGGTAGCAATTGTGAAACCCGAATTTGGGAAGACCATCGCCCACCAGCCGAGATGAAAGAGTTTCGGACGCTTCAGCAAAGTTCCAATAGTAGCAATGGCAAAGAACCACCAGGCCAGAATCCAAAGTGAGATTGCGACTATGACGGCCATAACTCGAATGGTCGAAACAGAAAACAACGGACTGACCGTGAACTCAGGAGGCAGCAAATTGAGCTCTGGAGGAAGTGAGTTCGCCATACCAAGGACAGCAAGTGCTGTAAAGGATGGTGGCCCAACCCCAATATACATAGCTGGCCTATGCTCTGGGTTTGGAAACCCAGTGCACATCAATCGACCGATGTAGTGCGCATACATGAGTATACACACCGTGAAGCCAAGGCCCTGACATCCAAGGCCGGCTACCAGAATGGGTAATCGACTTTCGACTGGCTGATCTGCGGCTATGACAGCAGCAATGGTGCCAGCGAGCATGATTGGGAAGATTGGAAGAAGCCACGAAGGCATGAATTTCGCAACGCTGTACATGTGTGTGTTGAAAAGGTAGCTGTACTGGAAAATGGCGACCAGAAACGTTGCCACGGTATACGCCCAGAAAGCAATGGCAATACTGGTCAGCAGCCACGGTCGCATGCTGTGATCCTTTTCCAACGATTGTATAACGTATCTCTGCGTTCCCGTGATAATAGTGGCTACAGAAAGCCAAAATGGACCAAAAAAGAGACCCTCTCTTTCGTGCTTGAGAGACTCTTTCAGTGTTCCTGGATGTTTCGCGAAGCGTAATAGCAAGCAGGTGCAAACAGCTGTGAACAAGATTAGGTTAAAGATATAAAAGAAGGAGCCAATGGATATGAGGCCTTTGAATGCGTGTGGCTGAAGAGATAGTAGAGTAGCAAGGCCTCCAGTACTCATGGTCAATGTATCTGCGCAATAACTTAGGGTCTAGTTATTGACCTTGCATTGAATGTACTTACACCAAGCCCAAGTGAAATGCCGTATTCTCTGACCCCATGGCAATGGAGGTCGGATTCCCGATACTAATTCGGTATGTGAAGGAGACTTCGCATTCTTATTATCGTGCAACCCGCTTTCCAAAGAATTTGCTCTCAGCGCCTCTGAGCCTTTGGATGGCGGAATTCTTGGGTCGAACGTTGGATAGCGAAGTTTTCCTCCAGACGTCTCGACATTGGTCTTGAAATCGCTCCCATTCCAAGATTCGTGTGATAATCTACGATTCTCTTCCATATTGATGATTCCTCGCTGTTTTCAGAGGTAATAGAGTGATAAACAAACCCGTCCAGCGGGTGACTATGAATCAAGGAGAGTATTTACAATTGAAAGGAGGTGGTCAAGATGATGCTGAAAGTCTAATGAGAGACGTGGTTTAGCGGGACTTGTTCAGGAATAGGTCAGGGTAAAAAGATGATAAGAAACCTCGAATGCTGGCTTGCGATACTTGAATGACTGTAAGAAGACAATGTTATCTCCAACTTCAGGAGTAAGGAGATAGCGTATGAATGCCTTGCTGTCACAGATCGCGCACAGGTTGTTCCATTGATCGCAAAAATATCCACCGATTGCTGAAGTACCCACCCACATGAGGCTGTGAATGTGTTGAAGCATACTTGGCTCTTGTGTCCAGATAGGGGAAGAGGGTTGCCATGGTGTTCCAGTAGAGTCAAAAAGTGGAGATGATTGTTCTTGGTGTCGCTGACGGGGCTTTCCGGCTCGACGATCTTGAGCAACCATCTAGACGTTTTAGGAGCTTCAGCTTGGCACGTGTGCTGAACGTCTCGAGAGGATACAATGTCAACAAGCCTGATGCTGGCGCCTGCTGCAACCTTGGCTCAATTCTTGGGAGTTGAAGATTGGAAGATTGCAATGAAAGACACGTAAACCAGGTAAATGGCGGGTGGGCCACTAAGCACGGTGAGCTTCATATTGGATCAACTTGAGGCTCTTGAGGCTCAACGAAACGCTTGGGTCTTACCGTGGGGGCAACGTGGGAGCACAACGTGGGAAGAATGAAGATTTTGTGGCGTTCCACATGTCGAAGTAGAGTCTTTTTTCAGACTCAAAATGTTTATGCTTTTAGTGCCTAGCAGTGGCGTGTTTCGAGGACAGACAACGACGTTACTTTCAGTGTCTACTACCGTTGGTCGACACTGAACCTTGGCGTTGTCTTAGACGTTTCTGATAGCCACAACTGCGCTTGTTTGTGCTGTCCAAAGTGCCCAATGAATCAGATCGTTTAGTTTCAAATTTTCCGTCTCGTCTTCCACGCGGCTCACCGCAGCCATGGCTTTATGCTCAGTGCAGATCATCAGGACGCCTTTAACGGGCCGGTGCCGACGTTCTTGGCACTGCCGATCAACCAACGCTTGGGTACAAAAATGAACATCGTGATATCAAAAGTGGAAAATGGCTGACTCCCATATTGAACGCCTAGATATTTGCCACTGCCCTCCTTCGTTCTTGCTCTTCGTGAAGTGCAATACAAGAGTTCCAAGTGACAGAGATGTGATGAATCATGGCGAAAGCACCCTCAATTAAAGCGTATACTCGAATATCACTTAACCTTTCTCAATATCGGTACGTTCTGCATGCAAAGTGCTTGTTTTTGCCAACCGTCTCGGAATCAACTAAAGTATTGGCATCGGAACTTGTTGGCAGCGGAGCTTCGATCAGCCACGCAACGTGGTGGCTTTGCAATACGCTGAAAACAAAATAAAATCTCCTTCAATTCCCCGAGCCAATGCTTGAGCCTCACATGTCAATGCCACGCAATTCCGAACTGGCTGCTTCTCCTGTGCAATTTACAGAGCTTTCCAAAGGAAATGATAAAGGATTTCATACCGGTTCATAGCTACCAGCCACTCTGCAACATCCCAACACTCGGAATAGTGAATCGCAGAAACACCACTGAGCACTCGAGCACCAGCGTGGATTCATCCTGGCAGATAAGCCAAGAAGATAGCAGCTTGTTGGTGTGGATATGATTGAGGCCAAGCATTCGGGAAATCTCGGTTCCAGCTTGGGTCTCTCTAGGATCAATTCTTTCCAAGACAGCCGATAATCTCGCGTTACAAACAGAGATTTTTGTGCTGACACAAGATGTCTGTCGTTCCAGAAGCGCTTCAGGATGTAAGGGATACTTTTTTACGCTGCTGGGTAGAACATTATCAGAAATCCTACCTTTATCCATCGTTCTATGACACGATAAGCAGATGCAAGGTACGACCAGCTTTATGACAATCGAGGAGCCTATGGGATGAAGTTCATTTATTTCTTGAATAATTATGCTTGAAAGTGAATGATACCCGCATGTTCAACACGATGAACACACGTTGGCAGACTGCGTTATTCGACTTTCGTCCCTTCAGCACGATATTCTCTAGGACTGATTGAGAAGAGGGAAAAGGTGATCAAATCTTGTTCGATATGTTGCTCGCACGCCCTCGAAGTGTGCAGAACTCTCGATTTGCAACCTGCAATCTGCTCTGTGCGTGCAAATGCAGAAGTCACATCCACCTTCCCATGCTTGTGACTGAGCAACAAGATTTCAGATGTCTATTGAAGAAGTCGCAGAACCAGGATTCGCTGCGGTCTCTGAGAATCCTTGGCCGGATCACACGGAGTGAGCTTATATATAGGCTTGTCTTATTTCGGAAGGACGCTGCTTCAAAAGGGGGGAAGCCTGAGCTTTTTTTATGCCAAGGGCGGTATCGCCTCCTATCTTGAGAGGATAACAGAGTTGTCCGAGATTTTAGGTACAGCAAAAACAGCTGCAGCGCACGTTGCTGTGCCCGAGAACGCAAAGCATGTCAGACTTGTGCTATGCCCAGGCCAATCGACCTCGGAAGTCAATGCACTTTTCCATCGTATCTCTGGGACCATCGCAGCGACCATAACTTCTCACCCATTTCGCGTCTTGAATGGCTACGTGATCCTTGGCGTTCTTCAGTTTATCATGGCAAATCCAGATACTCGTGTGGCAGAGATACTTGCCGGATCCCAATTGAGAGCAGGTTTGATTTCTTCCTTATTCAAGAGCACGAAGGACGGTAAACGAACTCCTGTCCGGATGGTGCGCATCAAGGGGCTTTCTGCAACCACGTGTGGAGTTCAAGTCAACACTGAGATCAGGACAATAATTCGACGAGACAAATGGGACCGTTTTTAGTAATACTATGGCTTGGCACTAGCTCGCTCAGTTTTTAACAGGGGAACGCGAGTTCACGTGAATTGGCGTTATGAAAAGTGGGGTTAACTGCCTCGATTGCGCAATCTCGCGTCGCGCTTTCCGTTTTCGTGCATTCCCTCCCAGCCTTCAAGCCGTACTTGTTCGACAGACTAATAACGGAGTATACATCTGCGTTTTCGATCTGCTAGAGACTTAGCCATTGCACATTATGTTGACTTCGGCCACTTATCACCTCCTACGTTCACTTTCTCATGCCCTTCCGATTCAGTCATGTCTGTCAACTCCTGACCGATCTTGAGAGTGTGGTGACCCACGACCCGCCATACTTGACAAAAACCCGTGATGAGGAATTGAAGCGAAAGATAGAATACTGGTTTCGATGTCACCGAAAAGCCATCGATCTTGGCGAGGTCGATGGAGTTGCCCTATTATCAACCCTACTTCCTGAGAAAAGAGCCGACAGAGTCTACGGTCTGCAGGAGGCCCGCCTTTGCAAAGTCATAGCAAGATGTCTGCGCTTGAACAAAGCAAACACGAAAATACTCCAGGATTGGAAGAAATCTGGACATGGCGGTCTTGGTGGCTGTGTTCAAAGGATACTCAAAGAGCTCGACTGTGAACGAAAACCTGGACCACCTGTGACCATCGAAGAGCTCGATATGACGCTGCACACCCTCGCGTCCCGTTGTCGTTTTTCCGACCCTGCAGTGCGCTTGAATGATGCTTCGACATCAGTTGATGAGCTAATTGGACAGCTCTTCCGAAGGCTGAATTCCGTAGAAGCCAAATGGTTAACTAGATTGATCCTGAAAAATTTTTCTCCAGTCGAAATCAACTACGACCAAGTAATATTTGAGTTTCACTTTCTCCTGCCTGGCCTTTTGCGCTTCCAGGACTCGTTTACGGCCGCCGTCGCACAACTGAGGACTTCCTTTGCACATTATCCCTCAAAGCCAAACAACGACATCCAGCGAGCGGCTTGGACAGCGGCTTCTACCCTTTTCTCACCTGTAATTGGAGTAAAAGTAGGACGACAGACATTTGTGAAAGCTAGGTCCATGCAACATTGCATTACTCTTTGCGGCACTCAAGCTTGGAGTGTGGAAAGAAAGTATGACGGTGAATTCTGTGAGGTGCACATTGATCTTTCTAAAGGCGAGAATTGTATACAGATCTTCTCTAAGAGCAGCAAAGATTCCACTGCAGACCGCCATGCTCTCCACGCCACCTTGAAAGAATGTTTGAGGATAGGAACACGCCGCTGCGCTTTTCAAAATCAATGCATCTTGGTTGGAGAAGTAGTCGTATGGTCTGACGCTCAGCAAAGAATACTCGAATTTCATCATCTACGCAAGCATATCTCGCGCTCAGGTGTTTTCCTTGGACGTGAAGAAGATTCGCAAATTGAGCCAGGAGAACATCTTATGATCGTTTTTTTTGACATCATATCGCTTGACGATGAGATTTTGCTGAGAAAGCCATACAAGGAGCGCCGTCAGCGTCTGAAAGAGGTGGTGAGATGCAAGGCAGGATACGCAATCACATCTGAGCGTTCTATACTCGATTTTCGACAACCGAAACGAGCCCAAGATCAGCTATGCTACCAGTTCGCTGCAGCATTAGTGAACCGGTGCGAAGGTTTGGTCCTGAAACCCCTGGATATGCCGTATTTTACTAGTGAAGGTGACACGCGAGAGAATGGCAGAGGATACGTGATCAAGCTCAAGAAGGATTATCTGCACGAACTTGGCGAAATGCGTGATATAGCAGATTTTGCTGTTGTCGGCGCAAGTTATGACCACAAGCTTGTCCCCAAGTCTGGCATTCGAACTATAAAATATACGACATTCCACTTAGCATGCTGTGTCAATAAGGAGAGATCTGTAAGGTTTAAAGAACGCCCACGATTTCGGGTCATTGGAGTAATTGATGCCAATCAATGCATTCCTCAAACCGAATTACAAGCACTAAACAGCTACTTCAAATTTCACCAACTACCAACAGCAACAGCTCCCTTCAGCAACCCTGAAGCGCGTCCAATCACATTCGATTTGGAGTCTGAACGTTGCTCCAGAACACAGATCGATTCTTTGCTCACAGAGCCTTGCGTAGTGGAGGTGCTTGGGAGCGGCTTCGTGAGGTCACCAAATGCAGGCTATTATACGCCCAGACACCCTCGGATTTTAAAATTGCACTTGGATCGTGGCTGGCAAGACGCTTGCACGTTCCAAGAGCTGCAAGAAATGGCCGAGTCTCAAAGGCTTCCCGCAGAGAACGAGTCGCAGGAAATATTAGATCTTTTGAAAAAGCTGCAAGGTAAATTTCAACGTAAAGTCGAACGGGAGTGCTCTACACCATCCTCCTTCCGGAGTAGGAAGTTGCCTAGCAGTTTCAGCACCATACATCCTGGGCAGCATAGTTCTTCACCTTCACCATCATCATTAATAAGACAAAACACGGAAAGAACGAAAGAGACTCGAGTTAATTTCAGGACGAACAGAAACGGAGATTCGGCAAAAAATTCAGGCGTAGTTGCGCGCGAAATTCTCGAAAGCCGCGATGACAATTCGAAGGAAGACGGTTTACGGCCCAGGACTCCAACCTGTTCTATGACAACAGAGCTTTCCAGCGGATTTGTTTCGAAACGTCCAGCTTCCGGCTTTTGGGTATCCTCAGTTGATAAGCGCCAAAAGTCGACTAAACCAGCGAGCATTGTCACTTCCAATGCTGGGGCTTTATCGCCCGTAGATAGGAACGTTGTTTTCCGCTCGTCATTCAGTCAGCAGAATTTCTCGAGGGTGCGGTCTCGTGGTAGTAGAATTGAATCTTGTGGGGAAACTCACAAGGGGCTTAGTTCTCAACCTATGGCAGTAATGACTCCACTTTGCCGCAATGAGAGTTGTCCGCTCTCTAAGTCCATGATATTTCTATCCCCCTGTGTCCAAGGCTTTCATTGGGTCAGCGATACTCTGCTAAAGTGGCACGGGTCGAAGCAAGTTCTCTCACTCGCACAGTGGAGTGCCGACGACAACACGACGCAGCAATGCAGTCGGGCACTACGAGAAAATTTAACCACTTTTGCGCACCATAAGCTTGTGCTGGTGGAGACTAATCGACTTGACGCCACGTTTCAATGCGTCAGCGAAGTGAAAAGCCTCAGGGTGCGAGATCCGGTGCTTTTTTTCGATTGGCGCATCCTGGAAGACTTGTGGGCGTTTGAGATCGAAGAGCATCAAGCAGAGGGCCGCGTTAGAGAGGAGATACTGGAGAGAAGATATTTTGGGCTAACATGCTGGTCAGCAGACAAAGTCGTATTTTGGCACAAGGACCTTGTCAAGATGCCGACGGAATGGCTGGACACGTGAGTGAGACAAGCGCGCTGACAATGGCTACCATATCATTGGCAAGGACGATGGGCTGTAGTCCGGTACATATAACGGCTTTGTTTTCGGATTAATGTTTCTGAGAACGGGGCTGCCATGTCTGTAGAGGAATGCATTCGAAGCCTTGGACGTCGGACAACTTTGTGGGACAAGGGAGAAGATGCAGACGGAAGAAGGAAGGAAAGGAAAGAGATTCGCCCAAAATCGATACCAACAGTTTCATTTATCCTTTACAAGCATTAAATAAAACGCGCGGTGTAAGCATGTCTCGATCGTGCCTTGGGCAGCAGCAGGCACCCAGTGCACATCGACATCGGGAACGAGGCCTAAATGCTCAGCGGGTGTCGTTCAGGCAAGTGGCCAGAACGGTATCCAAAGCGGTTGAAGGCAGGCGATAGTGGTGGGTAACATTTGTAGACGCAGCTGGGTGGCTGGTTTCCATTCATGTGCTGTCAGACCGTGAGCAGGCCTGGGCTCCTTGGTTGGACGCTGCTGAGATGGCGTATACCATGCGGGCGCGCTGGGAGGATGCACAGAAGTCAGCTCTTGTGCCGTGACTAAAGTGGGACGAGAGAATCAAGCCAAAACAGCCACAACAACTCGGTCCAGCCAACTGAGGCTAGGCTAGCCCACGTGTGGGTGGATCAGCAAAGCTCATTGCTGCCAGTGCCGCGTCTAGGTCCCATGCTCGACAGCGACATAGCTTTGACGCTCAACCACGCAGCGCATGAGGAGGGGGTTTCTTTTTGGGGAGCCTGCTCGCGCTGAGGACGCGTATGAAATGCATAATCCGAATGGCGGTGAGCAGGCCATGCTGGGGAATGGCATGGAGAAATGCATTCGGTGATGCGGGGCGGAGGTGCATCGGACGCTTGAATCGCGACGGATGGAGCAATGTTCAAGGCAGCAAGGAAGGATCTCCGCTCAGGACAGACGGGAAAGACGCTGGTGACGGTCCATGGGCACCACCATGTCCGGTGTGCCAACTCTGCTGGGGGCAGGATTTTTTTGGGGGAGCGACAGGCCGGGCCGCACAGGGAGGGCGTGACGGTGACATCAGCGACGGCGTGGACCGCAGGCTAGTTCGGCACGCCAGCAGAGACGTGCGGGCGCGATCTGAGATTGAGAAGCAATGCAGGCAGCGCGCTGGCGGGATGGGCGAGCGTAGGGCGACAATCAGGCACAGCGGCGCATGTGTCATGTACGCACACATGTACGTAGGTTGGCTGCGAGTGCAGTTCCTGTACGGGGCCGTGGCGGAGTGGATGGGGACAGCGATGGCTGTCGTCGGGTTGGAGCACGGGCAGAGCGAGGGAGCTGGGCGCCGGCAGCGCGCTGTCAGCAGTGGCGAGCCGGCATGCAGGCGTGCGAGCAGGCCGGACGACGTGTGCGATGGCGTCAACAATCATCAGAGCACCGCATCCAAGTGCCGTGCTTGCATCAACGGGCACCGGAAAAAAAAGTAGAAGTAGACGGCTTCGACGAGGCCACGGGCGCGCCATTGCCTTCCTTTCCTTGCCCGGCGTCGTCCTGCGCCTCCAATCCCTTCCTCGCGTTCGTCGCCGTCATCCTCACCCTCATTCTCGTCGTCAGCATCCTCCTCTTCCTCCTCTTCTCCGTCCTTCTCAACGCCGCGCCCGTCGATTCCCAAGACGATCGGATCGGCCGTTGTCTGCGTGAGGCTGTGTCAGGGGAAGCACCACAGGTCCCCACCACCCGTGACGTGAGCGTCCGTCCTGCAACAAAGCCCAAGGCGACCATTGGCCGCGACGATCGCGGCAAAAGAGGCTCTTGGACGAAGTTGACACAGCGAGACTCCGTCCGGGCATCGCGTCCCCACACCAGAGAACGAAAAAGAACAGAAGGGCGGCGGGCCAGCACGAAGCGGTGCAGCACACACAGTTCGTTGCGCAGGCTTCGCACAGCGTGCAGAGCCCATTGGCGCGGCGTAGAGAGCGTGGTCGTGGCACGCACGCTCGCTCGCACTCGCTCACTCACGCACTCGCTGCCTGTGCGACGAGGCCAGCGGCACGAATTTTCAGACCGTGGGCGCGGTCGTCGGTGAACGTCATCGTCCGCTCGTTAGCACCGGCGCTTGCTGTCTCCACCCGTCTAAACTGCCGCATCGATCCTCTCCGTCACTAAAAAAACGGGCTGGAGGGGCGAAAAGGCCGCGCGCGTCCACGAGCAGGACCCAGCATCCAGCACGCAGCGTCCACAAACCACAACCACGGCGAGTGGCCACGACAGGCCGCGGCCTCGACTGTTCTCTGAGACGACGCTGGCCGCACCCGCGAAAGAGCCAGCGCACGGGATCGCCTGCAAGCGAGAGGGCTCTGCGCGGCGCCGGGTTGTGATTCGCACGTTTGGCTCAGCTCAGCTCGCCGACGCTCGTACCAGCTGCGGAGCTTACCAGCAACATCCACCGACTTCGACCGCTTTGCCTTGCGTACTCGTCCACTCACCTTTCCGCGCGCCGTCGTTTCGGCCTCACGATTCTGCCCCCAAATCCACTCCCATCCTTCCCGGACTTCGCTGGGCCTTCCCTTCACTCGCTGAGCCGTTCTTTTGTGCTTTTTCCTCGTCGTCGCTCCTTCGCCCATCGCTCAAACATGTCCGCCCCCATGGTTGACTATGCGCGCGTTACCCATCGCAAGCCACTGCCTGCACACTCGACCTCCATCCTCCCCACCCACAACCACCACCACCACCACCACCCACAGCCGTCGCCGCACGCCTCCCAAGTCAGCCTGTCGCCCCGGATGAGCACCGCACAGCCGCAGATCATGTACAACGGCAGCGGCAATGTCGCGAACCCTTACACCGGCCAGACGCGCCGGACGCTTTCCAACGCGACCTCCTCCACCAACTCGTCCCACAACTCCATACGGAGGTCTTCTTCTGATCGGTCCACCGGCCCCCCGCCTACTTCCTACGTAGCCTTGTTGCGTAAGCAGAAGGCGACGGTGTGGTGCGACCGCTCGCAAGCCGAAGACCCTCGCATCAGGATCCAGCAGCGGCTGGCGAAAGAGAGGGCCGAGCGGGAAGTCGCCGCCGGCCCTATGGGCCACGGCCGACTCACGCCTGCCTCTGCCAGCTCGGGAAGTTTTACCGGCGGCGTAGCCCGCAAGATACGACATCACGGTGGGAAGCCGGTGCAGTACACGGGCGGCAACCTGGCCGGTGCCGGTGTCCCTCTTCGGCTGTCTGCCACCGAGGTGGACGACGAACCTGACGACCCCAGGAACAGCAACAGCAGGCAAGAAGAGGATCTGCACAACGAATGGGAGAGGGATCCTGCTTGGGGCTACGCAGGCAATGGGCGACAACATCGGCGCACTGGCTCCGGTAGAAGCAGCCTGGGCAGTCAGCAGCGTGCCAACTCCTTCCAACCTCGCTTCAGCACCACAAGTTCCACACCTAACAGCGGCCATTCTCGGAGCCCCAGCGAAACCCATCTGTCCAATCCCGCCGAGCAGACCCCCGTCCCGTCAGCAAGCCAGCGTCGGGCGTCCAGCTACTTCCATCAGGAGGGCTCGAACACGCCAAGCAGCGAGGAGGACAGTCGCGAGAATTCTTTTGGCGCCATGGGTGCGCTGCCGGAGAAGAAGGGCCGTATCGAGAAGAAGGAAACGGCGGAGGATTTGATAAGAAGAGGAAGCGTTGACGAGAGAACTATGACAATGGGACGACAGCGCCTTTTTGTCGCGAATCCGGACTTGAGCGATTGAATGGCATGGCCAGAACTTTTTTTCCCCTCTTTTTTTTTTGCCAGTTTATCTTAACGCATGCGCTTATGAACGGGTCGCAGGTGCGATCTTGTGGATGACTGCATATATCGCTTGAAAAGTACAGGCCTGGGAGACAGCGGGAGGTTTATTTGTTTCAATCTGCCAAATCATGCAGAATCATGGAGCTTTTGATCAACGGCGCAAGAATGTTTGCTTTTCTTTTTACTAGTCGACAGGAGATACATCCCTGCGGATGGATTGCAACGGTACAGGCAAGTTCCTAATCCTAATGCTGTCGCTTGTATTGTATCGAGGAAAGCCAATACCAATTGTGAATATCGTTCACCCTGAAACTTTGCAGCAACAAACTCTGTTCTCTTTCACCTTTTTGACCTTTGGCGTTCAACCCGCGTATGCGGCTGTACGCCGTTCTTGCGGGAGAATTGGAAGTCTTTTGCGGCTCTTTTGGTAGCCTCTCTCGTTCCTCTTTTTGGCGGGAGATGAGAGGTGAAGGAAACACGACGTTGTAGCAGACCGCACTTTTGGCCGGCCACACGTTGATACCAATCACACGGTTCAGACCAGCACACGGCTCAATCCTTACTGAACGTGTTTTCGCCTTTTGCGGATCCGTTGGCTCCGTGGATTCGAACATTTCTAGGAGAAGAGAAAGAGCTACAATTTTCTACTTTCCCCGCCACGTCGGCTCCACGTCCCTACACAGGTTCAAGTTAAGAACATATTTTCCCTTTGTTTTTTTTTTCCTTCTATTTCCTTTCCTATTTTGTACAATGCGCCTTCCAATGGCCTCCCGCCAGATGCGCAACGTGAACAAGCGTATGCTGTTCCACCCAGCTCGTCAGCGCAGCCGATCGCCCTTCTTGCTCCTCCACACCTCGCTCGCCTCGTACTTGCTCTTCTCCTCCACCTGCTGGCCCTGCGTCGTGGGCGCGTGCCGGGTCGGCGCCGGGTCGGCGCTCGCCTCCATCGCCGGATGGCTCGCGTGGTCCGAGCCGTTGAGGGCCGAGGCGTGCTGCGACCGCTCCAGCTCGGCGTACCGCGCATTCATCGCGCGCCGCTCCTGCATCTGGCGGTACTTCTCTTCCCGGTCCGCGTTGACGTGCTGCTTGGCGAAGTAGTACGCGCCGCCGCCGGCGGCGATCAAGACGAGCCAACCGTAACTGCGCGAGGCGGTCTTAGTCGAACGGAACTGAGCCGGGCTGTGGGCGTTTTTTGGGGGGGAAAGGGGGAGGGGGGGAGGAAACGGAGAAAGAGATTGGGACAGAAGAGGGCCAAAAAAAACACGGCATTGGGAGGATAGGAAGGGAGGATGAGAGGATTGGTTACCCGACTGATCTGATCTGCGAGGAAGACGTTAGCAAACGAAAGGAAAAATCCAAAAAAAAAAAAAAAAAAAAGCGGGATCAAAGTCGCTTGCAGACGAGAAGAGGGGAGGGAAAAAAAAAAAAAGCGACATCTTCTATCACGTACGGTGTTCATGTCTGAGCGAAGAACCTGATGAGCGCGAAAGTCGTTCCCGTTTGAATTGCAATGGGTGTTTTGAACCGTTTGAAACGACGTCTGGTCTCGCTCAGGCGATTGGGGGGGAAGGATTCGGGCGGAGACAGTTTATGGACGGTGACCTCATGCCACGTTTGGCGGCGCGAACAAGGGTTTTCTCCCCCGCCCCAGGGCGGAAGCTAAGTTAAAGCGGGCTAGCATGGTCGCCGACCTTTTTCTTTTCCGCTGGCTGGTCCCCGTCGCTCCAACGCTGAACCTTTGACGGACGCGCCGGAGAAGCTCACGGGTTTCTCGGTCCTTCTGAACGATTTGGAGCAGGAAGAAATGAAAAGAAGAGAAAAAAGTCAAGCCCCTCCTCATTGAGGCATGGGTTGCGTGACGTTTGTGAAGGCAAGGAATGGTCGCGTGGTCAATCAATGGGGACCTGTTTTTTTCCCTTTTTCTTTCTCGTTCTCTTTTAAAAGAGGAAAAACAAAAATGATTCAATTCATCAGGAGCCAACCATAGTTTGCGGTGATTGCAATCCATAGATGTGTATACATATAAATAATATAAAAACAAGGCTACATGCTGTGCCTATCCTAGTGAGACTTGCAAGTCAAACGTATCATCGTCCGACTTTACGAAACCTTCTTCCTTTGCGTAAAAAAAAAGGCACGACGTCTCAAGATATGTGCGTGATCAGCAGTAGATGTAAGCCGTACCTCCAGATTCCATGAACTCCATCCGACGAATCAAATTGTCGCACCTCGAATGCATCTTCGCCGAAGGCGTCTCGGAATATCTTCACAAAACCTTGCTCTAGTCGAATCAACTCCGAGACCCTCGCGTGGGTAGGGTCAGCCTTGACGATGATGGTCGACTTGCATGAAGCGGGCAACCCTCCACGAAGAATGGACAGCCTTTTCTTCCACTGCCTTTGCCTGGTCACTTCCTTCACCGCGTCCGCGTAGGTTTCGTCGTGCCCTAGAGCAATCACAACGAAGATGTTCACCTGCTTGAGATTCGGCATCCTCGCGAATGTACTGGCCAATTCTCTCATGTGGCCGACTGTGAGCACCTTCGCCCTGGTAGACTCTTCGCACTCGACGAACCGCAGTTGCCTCCAGATCCTGATCGTCAGCGGAATCTCCAGCACGCTGGTGAGACGCATCGGATGCAACGTTAGCCAGTATCTGAGCTGCGGTATATGCGTGGAAACCACGGACGCGGCGATTCGAAATCTTATGTTCTTGTAGAGCTCCAGAAGCGCTTCCCTGTGTATCCGCTTGTTGAGCGCCAGTAGATTCCGAGGGAAGCTGTGCGAGGCGTGTATGTGCATCAGCGGCGAGTACCGAGAAAGCTTTCGGTCGGCATGAAACCCCCCTCCCCTCACCCACGCAGAGATCAAGACGTTTAGCGAGCGGATGTTTGGTTCCTGGAGGCAGGATCTGTAGATCTGTAGCCTGATCTCTGCCGGCAGATCCTCGAAACCCAGCTTCGCGGGCGAGTAAGTGCTCGGGATGGACGATCGGGTACGGGTTTGGTTGTAGATCGCTATCGCGCGCCTGGTCGCCGCTGCCGTGGGCCTCGCGTAACTCGGCACATTCGCAAATTGCTTTCTATATTGGGTCTCAAACTCCCCATGGCAAAAACTACACAGACGACCGCTGCACACCGGCGGATCTTCCACGGCAGAGAGCATAGACAACTTTGAAGGCTGCGAGTGAAGAGAGGAATACGTTGGCATCAACAACGAGGCCGTCTTCAAAGATTTTGCCTAATTCCACTCTATCGATCCTGTGGTTATGATGACGACGTTGAAGGTTTTTGGGTGGAAGTCAAAAGGTCACAAGGCTGAGACGCAGATCATGTTCACCTTAGCTTACAATGCTTGCCCCACCTAACTTAACGTGAACCATCAGTCAGTGTCGGCTGGGGAGCCAGAGTGTACAAACACCCCATAAATGCAACCATGTCCGAAGAACGTTGGTGACGATTTCAAGACGAGCAAAATAGCTTTGCTAACGTTTCAGCTAGATCCTCATCCGTTGCTGGCGCAGCTTCCGTTAACCGTTTCACCATTCGTGTCGTTGCCGACCGCAACGCCTCTGCCTTACTCGTACAAGCAGCTGCCAGCCACACTGCCTCCCTCCGTGACTGACGTCGCAAGTCCTCAGCAGCACAATGCATCCTCAAATTCGGATGAGCAGACCCAGACGCAGCAACCGGCATACGTGATATCGCAGAACACAGGGCACTCGGCACACCCTGACCAGATCATCGCGAGTTGCCAGGCGCTCCAAGCGCATCTCCAAAAGCTGCAGGACGACGCCGTGGCCACCATACAGAAATGGCAAAACGGTATCAAGGAGAGAGAATTGATGGAGAAACGAAGGGTGGCCCCTGGCTGGCTGGACGCTGAGCAGAGGATGCTCGTTCCCGAGAGGGTAGGTCGGCCTCAACCGTCTGCGTCGCAAGACTCTCAGGCCGATTCCAAGTCCCCCGGGAACGCCGACGGCCAGAAGCCGCGTGATGAGGGAGAGGAGCTTGACAGAGCCTTTGGCGGGCTTGGTCTGAAGTGAGAACACCCCTCCGAGGGTTGCGGGGACCATAAACGGTTACCTTGGCTCGGCGTAGAATCCTTTGCAGCAGCCCACTCTTCTCTAGTATGGCAATGCAGCCTCATCAGCGGGATGATTCCATGTCTTCGAATGCACTGCCTTGGGCTCTCCTGCTACCCGCGCCATCAACACGACAATCTAGATGTGGAGGCGCGCGCGTGTGTTTTGGACACTATCGGTCCATCTGCGGCTGCGGATCCCGCTAAACACTACCGCTCCTCATCCAAAAGCGTCACCTATCCAGACATGTCGGAGTGAATCATCTTGTTAAGAATCTGCGTGTCGCGATCTTCTCATGGCACGGCTTGTCTTGCTACGGATGGGTTCAAAGTGTTCACACGATTATGCTTGAATATACGTAGTATCTATCTTGTAGTTTCATGATGCACTGCGTGTCTCACGAGAGCATCTTTGTTGCAAGAACATGTTAAGGTTCCTTATGTATATGAGAGCAGCTCCTTCAGTTGAATCTGCCCCTTTGCCCTTTTCCTTCAATTGCGCTCACTGAACAGATGCACGCACACACACACACGCGCGTGCCAGGAGCTGACGCTTCCGCAAATGCAATTGATTCCGCCCACAGCCTAGGCTCTCGTATAAGTAACTTCTTCGACGCTCGGCTTCTTTTACATATATGATCGACAATTCGCTGGAGCATCATCCACGTGCTCACAATCGATTGGGGGGGAAAAGGTGACTTGAAAAGGTAGCAAGCCTCTCAGCTTGTTCTTCTCCATTTTGTTTCGTCATGTTCGTCACCCGGGTCTTCTTCCTCGTCGTCAACGGCATCCCTGCTTCGTACTTGTCCTGCACCCGCACCTAGAACGGGAACTTCAGGGCCTATCCAGTTTCCGCTTTCATCCATGAACTCGTGCATATTGTCTGAGGTGATCCACCCACCTGCGCCAGGCTCGGGCATTCCTGAACCATCATCTTCTTCGTCCTCGTCCGCTGGATCTGGGTTAAGATCGGCGCACGCGGACAGAGCCTCAAACAGAGCTTTGGCCGCAGAACTGTTGGCGGGAAGCGCACCGTTCGTGGCGTGACGACCGTCAGCGTGACCATTAGCGTCTCCGTTGCTCTCAGTCCTCGGCTCAGCGCCAGGAATGAGATGCAGCGTTAAGGTCTGAATATCCTCATCGTCGTTCGTCAGATCCTTGTCATGAAGGTCTAGCTGCAGGTAGACGGCTGCCTCGCCATCCTGTGAACCCAGCGCGTGCAGAGCGATCGTTGGATAGTCGACGCTGACGCCTTTTGAAGCCTTTGAAGAATACAAGATCACGTTTCTGCGGCCACAACATTAGCGCTCATCCAAACCTCAGGCAGTGGTGTCTCATACTTCGACGTGACCCAAACGTCCGTCTCTAGGATCAAGTCCTCCGTGGCGTCGCCAGGCGAGGGATCCAGCTGTTGCAATGCTTCACTTTGGCCAAATTCTGATCTCCTTACGGCTAGCTTGACTCCTGCAGCGTGGTGGTGGAGAACAGGCTTCGCGCCGAAGAACACGGACGGGGTCTGTTCCTGATGCTCAGACAGCGGAGTGAATTGGTCCTGCTGAGGACATTCTGTGACGATCTCGAGCGGCATGTTGGGTTGGCTGAATATTTAGATCCTACTGGTGGCCAAGACTGCAGCGCTATTGCTTCTCTGTTGATCGGACTTGTTCACACTTTTTCTGCGAAAACTCACGCTAAGAGAAAAATCCTGGGGCATGACTCGAGTGACGTCAATCCGCTGCAGGTGGTCTGACTCGAGAAGTATTCGTTATGCTGACTGTCCTTCTCAAACATCGCAACCTAGAGATATCGTAGGCAAAAAGTCAAGTTATAGACGAGGTCGCCGAGTTTTTAATTAGGAAAAAATGGCGAAGGCCTGCAGCAACGCCGGGCAGCCATACAGCTAGGGCACCGCATCCGCAGTAAATATAGCCACATGTTAGGAGATTCTTAATATTGAACAACCAAAAGATGAAGACATAATTCGCAAACCTGAAGATTTTCTTTTTCTTTCAGCTACATCAACTTTGATATGTCATTTGAGCTTGAAGTCCGCGGCGTGTGCTGCATTTCGTGGCTACTCGAAATTTCTACAGCGATTGAACACGAAGGGCTGATTTGCTCTATGGCCCTTCATTTCCTATGAGTTCTGGTTTTAACCAGACGAACAAGCATCCTCAGAAACGAAAGGGGTTAAAAGGGAGGGGGGCTTGGGATTTGATATAAGAAACAGGTTCAGATGATAGGTCCCGAAATGTCGCAATGTACCTTTTCAATACAACAAGGCAGTTCAAAAGCAGAGACGAAAGTTATCAAGTACGGAGTACACCATTTTGTGAAGACGTTCGTGGAAAAGAGATCGGATCGTACTTTTTTACGAGATGCATTTGCTTATTCTCTTACAAGGCTTGCCAATTCGTCTTGGTCCATAGGTGAATTGTACCACGCGTTATCTCCAAGTGACGAGTAGCCCATACGAAGCCAAAGATAGGGAAAAGCGTGCCTTCCATCCGAAGCTCGGGCACGCGTTTAGCTATTCAGGTGATCTCGTTGCTATGTTATCGAACCGATCACTAGGTTTACTCAAAGCACAAGGGCCGTTTAAGAAGTATCACCAACCCGTCACTAAACACGTTCACATGAGCTCGATCTTGCGAACATGGCATACGCGATGGTTTGGCCACACAGAAAAGGCAGCACGATGAGTTGGACGATTCGTTCCCCACACCGTATCACTCGAGACACCTTGTCTCAGCACTAGACCGTTCGACAGCCGAGATTCGGCTCAATGGAAATGAATATCCTTCCGCGACACGAGACCATGCTTTGAGTTCTGCTAACCGACAGGCAACACAGGCTAGCTTCAGCATCAGCAGCAGACGAAACTTTCTTCACCCATGCCGAAAGCATGAAATCTTTCGCAGGCTTCGGCTGAGATAGCGGCTAGCTCGCTATTCCCCCACGTGGGGGTATCTTGACGTCCATGCGCTTAGGGCTGGTGGCCGTTTTGCAGTGATGGTCGTCCTACCCCTCACTTGCCGCCCAAAAGGACTCAAGAATCTCTGATGCAGTCTGCTGCCGTCAGGATGCGCTGGACGAACAGGATCCCATTCCGCAAAGGGCTAAGCACAAAGGACCCTTGGGAGGTTGGTCGCCAGCAACGTGTACCTGACTGCGGCCCCGATCGCGTTCCAGCAAGACGTCGCTCGAATGCATGCCAAAAAGCCTAAGGTCAAAGCCGGACTGGACAGCTTTTCTCATCTGATCGAACGAGTGGAATTTCTCACGGCCAAATTCATCCAGCCAAGAGATCCCGTCTAGCTACTGCAAGTCAGATCGGATTCTCTTCCAGGGGACGACTTAGCCAGAGGACAAGGTGGTTCCCGTGACAGCCTCTGCCGAGCTAGAGAACCGCTCGGGAGATTGGCGAAGAGTCGGGATCCTGCATGAAATACAGCCTTTTGACGGACCCAGCATCGTCACCTTGCGCTTCGGAGTACGCATGCTATAGTTCAGCTTTACATCTGACTAGCACGCCTTTGATGACCGCTGCGTGCTCATCCCGATTGAGTTTCTTGCATGACGATTGTCACATCGCTTCCTTCATCCATTCTGTTGCTCTTGATTCACTACATGCGAGAATACGTGCTTTGCTTTCATTCTGTGGCTCGAATCACACCATTGCTGGCGTCTGGATCCAAGTGGATACCGGGCGGGAGCAAATCTTCCTTACTAGTTTTTATGACTCTTTCCTGGTATCTTTCTTAAGCTGATCTCGCACAAACGGAGTTCCGTACGCCATCTTTGACGTCGAACGCTTTCTGTGATCTTAAACCACCTCAAATGAATTTTGGCCTCTCTCAACATCAAGTCTTCTTGATCAGGCCTTTGCCAGTTTTTTACCCCACGTCACACCTGCATCTGACCCCACGTTTTCGCGAAGTCACCCCAGAAAACTGCACCTTAGCGGTCGCTGCTATAGGCTGCTCTCACGAAACTAGCTGGGCAAGACACTTGAAAATCGACTTTGAATAAAACATCGCAGCTTCTCTCCTCAGTCATCCCCAAGCAGGAAAGGAAGCAAGGTCGATGTGTCGTCTTCCAGTGCGGCACTAAGCCTTGATCCAGGACCACCACATTCTTATCGAATTATCTCTTACGCATTCAAGCTGACCCCCAACCTCATATCTCGACCCTATTTGTGATGAAGTTCAACGACCGGTATTCTCATTGGCGCGCGGAGCCAACACGCATGAACCGCTAATCACGAAACCACAAACGACATCATCGATTTCACGATAGAGCCAGCCATCTCGCCGTTTTATGACATATTGCGCTATTATCTACACTCAGCCTCACCATTATCCGCCAGATCCACTCCGTATTGGTGCCCACCCCGATCTCGTTCGCCAGGAGACTGCCAATACCCCAGGTTTGGCCCCGGAATCCATCGCAAGATCCTGTGCAGTGGCACAAAGCATGATGGAATCTTCGCAGACGCTCATGTCAGCGCAGATTCAATTTCTGGTATGTCTAAATTCTCATCACCCCTGCAGCTGTTTGCCGTCAAACACGCATACATGGTGTCTTACCTCCAAGTTTCTTGTGAAATTTGTGGCGCGTGCAGGCACCTCATATGTATGATGGTCTGGGCTCCTGCAAGACTGCCACCGCTTAACATTTGTGTTGCAACCCACTTTATTTTTTTCCGCGCAAAGATGCTTTGTTTCCTTTGGTGTCTTGTGCGTTCGAAGCCATGTTGACAGTATGATTGAAATCAAGGATACGCAATTGGCGCTCATTCACATTCCATTACGACTTTACCCAAGCTTTCTCCAACCAATATTACGGTTATTGCTTCCCACGGACGCTGTAGACGAGCGTCCTAAAAGTAGGGGTTCTGGATCGAGCCTACATACCAACGAACATCCATTCATCAACATCTCAGTTACGCCTATCGAATGCTCGATAGCCCTGCCTCGGCAGATAGCTGAGACTCTTTTCATACCGGCTCGCGACGGGCTATGTCCCTCGGATAGGGACTCAGTTACGATTACGAAGGATGACTATGTCGTCATGCAGGTCGATGGAGAGGGTCTCGAGGCTGGGCAACGGGTGTTAGAGTTGACATCTCCGCTGGCTATGGCGGGCATCTCCATATTTTTCATCACAACCTACTTTTCGGATTACATTCTAGTTCCCCTCCGTGCGAGAAGCCAAGTCATCTCTGCTCTCGAAAATCGAGGCTTTGCGTTCGAACCGCACAAATCATCATCGACCAGTGCTTCATATTCCCACCGTCAAACATCATCATCTCATGATATATCCTTACCCGGAACTCCACCGCCTACTACAATCACTGAACTGCAGACGCGAACTTTTGCAACACTGAAAAGGCATCATATTGTTCCAACCGTGGACGAGAGCATCAAGCTGGTACAATGTGCCGGGCGTATTGATGATTCAACACCGATTAATGATAGACTGTCCCTTGGGCTTGTGCAATGTCTCGCTGTTGGCCCGAAATTCCTCAGCCTAACGCTGACGGATACAGAACCGCCCAGCTTGCTTCTTGAGCAAAGAATGCTGCCCTTCTTCGAGCAGACCTCAGGTATAGGATCGCAGTCTGTTCTTCTCGGATCAAAAGAAGATATCCTCATTCCGATTATCCTTGATCTGAGGACGCTTCCATTAGAATCTACAGGCATTGTTTGCGGAGTTGCAGGACGCTTGGTCGGTGGTACAAAGCTTGGCCTTGACAACGCGGTAGAAATGAGTTATCTTTCTACTGCCAAGTCAGGGACGGTTACCGTAGCAGAAGCGGAGCTCGAGCGGGCACTCAGCGCATTGAGGAACGACTGCAGCGAAAATGGAGTCGTACAGCCAAATTGATCGAACGAAGCCGCACCGCGGGGGGAGGGATGTTTGTATGGGGGGACATGGTACCTTTTTTCTAAACAAAAGTTGCACATTTTTTTACTTTTTTCCTTTGGTAGGCATTTTTGCATAGCGACGGGGTCGATTGCTTTCCCAAAAGAGAAGTGGATACCTGAAGGCGCATGTTGCATTGCCTCCTCGTACTGAATCGGATGCAGGGATTGCGCCATCGCCTGCACTTTGCAGTTGTTTCATGTTCTCCACTGTATGTTTGTACTTTTGGCATTCGGGTGCTACCTATGCCAGACGGCTGGGTCGTGGGATTTTGGTGCAAGGCATTCAGGTTGGGGCCTGCAAGATTTTCTGCTTTGGTCATGGGAGTCCCCGTTGCATAGACAATGCTTCTGAATCAAAGGACTGTTGTGCGCGTATCTCTCGAGCCTTCTCTGTCGTTTAGACCAAGTGTAGCACCCTGAATCGTGAATGGTTGTCCACGCAGCTGTAGGCCTGGTCCGTAAAAGATTCTATTCATCAGTCGTGTTCTCCAGTTCCCCAGACAACAACAACCCCATTCCCACCGGCGCTACACCATTCTTTTCTGCCGCTGGGACAGTACGCTACTGCGCTCACCACATCCCTCTTCTTGCTTCCGCTTGCAGTTATGCCCATTGTGACGTGACTGAGCTTGTGTAGCAATTTTGCCTCGACGAGATCCCATACATATATGCTTCCATCTTCGCTGCCAGAAATAACAATGCTATCGTTCATCCCTAGAGCTGCTCGTATGCGGTAGTCTTCATTCCGGAATCCTTCATCCTTGAACGATTGCAGCAGTTTCCCGTCTCTGCGATCAAATAGCCGTATCATCGAGTCCAGCGTGGAAACAAGCACAGTCGCACCATCCTTCGTGCCGGCAAGAGAAGTGACCGAATGACCCACGACATCCACAATGCACTTCCCCATGCGGATATCATAAGTCCTCACCCTTCCATCTACACAGCCAGCCGAAACCTCCCACCTGGACACAAGAACACTTGAAATACTGTCCTTTGCCTCCCCTAGGCTCATAATCGGTTTGTAGCTCTGGCTCTTTCCATCCCAAAGTTTGACCGTGGCGTCATAACTGCCGCTAACAACGACGCTGTCCCCCTCGCCAGCGAAACTCACGGCATTGATGCGCCCGGAATGACCCTCCCATCGTCGAACCGTGCGCGCCGTGGCCACGTCCCACAGAAAGACGAGCTTGTCGCCACCGACAGACGCGAATGTGGTGTTGTCTTGCGCAACGCTTATGTCGAGCACTTCGTAGCCGTGGCCCCCCACGTACTTTTGGATGAGTGTGCCTTTCGCTGGATTGAACAGGCGGATTGTGCGATCTGTGGAGCCTGTGAGGAGGTATTGAGATGATCCGGAGGAGTAGGTCAGAGCGTGAACTTGTCCTGGTCGTGCTTTTAGTCTCCGTTGGCTTTCGAATTTATCCAGCTTCTGTCCAATCTCAGAAACATGGACAGTTGTTGACTACAACGAACCATTGTGATCAGATAGAGTATGCAGTTTCTTGGTTGGAAAGGATCCAACTTGACTTAAGCTCATTGCACCCTTGGTGAACCTATTACATCGTGCTATTTGCGGCGGAAGAAAAGTGGGAATGTGGAGCGTTTGCTCGTTGTAAAATAAAGAACGGGGATCTGCCTCTGTGCACGTGCTTTTGCATGTGGGATTGTGGGCTCCTCTTTTATGATTTAAGCTACACGGTTCTATCACACCGAACAATTAATAACATCTTAGAAATCGAGATACAGTGCATCATGAGAAGATTACACGGAAACTAAGAAAGAAAAAGGATGGCATTAGAAAATACGGCGTACTAAAAACGAAAAATAAAGACTGGCCAACAAGCAAACAGAGACCCATGCAGCTTTTAGATCATATCATTCCAATCCAGGCACCACCATACACCTCTTTCTCCTGCGCTGAGTCGTACTGATGGAACGACCTGCAATATCGATCGAAAAGAAAAGCAATGACCTGGATTGTTCAAAATCCAAACCAAAGCCCCCGCCTCCAGATAAGGTACTCAATACTTCTCTTCAGAAGAGCCGTACTACGAATCCTGAAGAGCCATACTTCCCTTGCGCTTCGCAAACTAGGTATCTTGTATTTAGAATGAATTAAGTGCTCAACAGTGTTAGAGCGCTGTGTAGCTGTGTATGTGTTCAATAGCAGATGATTAGCGTCGACCGGAGCGGTTGATACTGCCTTGCAGCTGCTCGACTTCCTGCTCTAGCTGCTTGATCATAGCGTGGCTCTGCTCGAGATCCTTGTTGAGCCTGTCGCGCTCCGCGATCAGCTTCTGCTCCCACTGCCTGAAGCGCTGTTCTTCGACCTTGACCTGCTCCGTGAAGCGCTTGCGCAAAGCCTCCTCTTCTTCCTTGAACTTTGGATTGTCAAGATTGCGTGGGCGAGCCTCGCCAAACTTGCGCGTTTCCATCTGTTGAGCGCGGTACGCCTCGTAGTGGTTCTCCTCAGTCGTGTGAATCAAGTCGAGCATGTGTGTGCGGATGAGGATGGCGCGTAGCTTTTTGAAATCGCAGTGTTCCTCGTTTTCAACCTCCGCCACACCCCAGGCGTACTGGCGGCCCTTGACAGTGCGACCATCAGAAGTCTGGACGTCCTTTTCGGAGCCAATGACGGAGAACGGCATGGCCGCAATCAGGTTGCGAGCATGCTGCAGACCTGGCTCATCATCCTCCTCAAGAGGCGGCTGGTAAATCTTGATCCCTTGAGCATCGATGACTGCACGCACACGTTGCTTGAATTTACTGAGATCCGCTGGACTCAGAGTGTCGGCCTTGGCTACGACTGGGATCAGGTTGACTCTAGTGGAGAGCCTCTTCATGACTTCAATGTCCAAGGGCTTGAGTGTGTGGCCGGTTGGGCGGATAAAGTACAAGCAAGCGTGCACGCGAAGATCAATCTTTTCTGAGCGGCGTGGCTGTTGCTCTTGGAGCATGTACGACTCGTGTTGGTCATCCAGGAATTCAATGATGGGCTGCCATGAGTCACGGTTGTTGACATAGTCACCGAAGCCCGGAGTATCAATGACGGTCAAGCGGACTGTTTGCCTGTTAGTTTGATGTCCTAAGAAAGTTAGAAACGTGAATGAAGCATGCCTTTGAAGAACTTCTCCTCAAGTTCTGCCTTTGTAATCTCAATTTCTACAGTCTTATCGATCTGCTTATGGTGTCGTCGCTTGTGGTCGGCGTAATTCTTGATGGTGGTCGAGAATAAGGTGTTGATAAATGTGGTCTTGCCCAACCCGGACTCGCCTGCCACCTGTGAAGCGTCAGACAATGTCTTTAACGGCAGTCATCGAGCATCTCACCATTATCGTGAAAGCAGCTCCACGCTTTGCAACGATCTTATGTCTGTATGACATGTCAATACTGATGTGGTGCATGGATATACGTATGCCGTCGCGTACCGTTGGTTGGGCAGCTACAAATGGCGATTAGCATCGAACACAAGTGACGAGTATGTAACAAACTTACGTTGGCAATACCAATCTGATTAGCCTCCGCCATTGTGATACTGACTGCGGGATGTGAGTATGGGAGGAAATGAGTATGCGATTGGAGATTGAGCTCTGCTGGCAGGTTAGCGGGTCATCAAGCAAACGTACACCTGTCCCACGAGCTATGGTGCTGAGAAGCGACACAATAGCAGCACGGTGGACAGGCCATTCTGGGGAGCATACCTGGCGCAGAATTGGGCCTTCACACAGGGCGACAATGTTGAAGGTGGAGATGGTCGTGGTTGTGTTGAGCGTGTACACTTTCTTTCTCGCTCTGCTTGTCTGTGCGAAAGCCAGCCCCTGGAAGCCACTCCCCCCAGACGATCCCAAAAAGGGGAACAGCAGTGCACAGACCGCGGCTTCCTTCTTTGAAAGACCCTTGCCGTCGCACCTGCCAACCAGCAACTGCCCGCCGCATGCGAAATCTTGGCGGGAAACTGCGCTAGTGGTTGGACTGGACCTGCCCGTCTAGAAAATTTTGGGAAGGAACGGCGATGGTGATGTATATTCGCAGAACGATTGCACCTCAGACAATGGACAGCTCGGTATGATTTAGTAGTTGAAAATGAAGACAGACTTCCAGGTGAGCACCCGCAGCTATTCATCTCGAAGAAGCAATAGCGCTGATGTATGCTTAAGTTCTCAAATCTTTTGGGTACTGTCTACCGTCGTGGAAACTTGCTCTTCACTCCAGACGGAACATGTCTTCTCTCGCCCGTCGGAAACAGGGTTACGGTTTTTGATCTGGTTAAGTATGCGATCGTTTTTGTCTTCCATTACTTAGGCGCTCTGGAACTGACCGCAGCTAAAGTAACAAGTCTCATACTCTGCCCTTCGCCCATCGCAAGAACATCGCACGGCTAGCTCTCAATCCGAAAGGAAACCTTCTGCTCACTATCGACGAGGATGGCCGCGCGATTCTCACCCATCTTCTTCGACGAGTTGCTTTGTATCATTTCTCATTTCGACAGCCGGTCACAGCGATAAATTTCTCGCCTTCCGGACGCTTCTTTGCAGTGGGAATTGGTCGCATTATAGAAGTATGGCATACACCTTCAACTCCTGATTCAAATGAGGATGGAGGCCTGGCATTTGCTCCTTTCGTAAGACATCATCGGCATGTAGGTCACTTTGACGACATTACAAGCATACAATGGTCGAGCGACTCGAGATTCTTTCTGAGCTCGTCAAAAGATCTGAATGCTAGAGTCTGGAGCCTGCACCCAGAGAATGGATTTGTGCCCACCACTTTAGGTGGACATCGACAAGCCGTGAAAGGGGCCTGGTTTTCAAAGGACCAAGAAACAATTTGGACCATTAGTAAAGACGGGGCATTGTTTGAGTGGCAATACATGCACAAGCCTGGCACAGAGGAAAGTAATGATCTTTCCTCCGACGAAGATATGCGTTGGCGCATCGCCAACGTGCACTATTACAATCAAGGGAACGCCGACTTAACATGCGCCGCATTTCATACTGCTTCGAACCTGATGGTTGCCGGCTTCTCCAACGGTATATTCACATTGCATGAGCTGCCGGGATTTACCGAGCTTCAGACCTTGAGTATATCTCAAAATAATATTGATCAAGTCACAATCAATAATTCAGGCGAGTGGCTAGCCTTCGGCGCTTCAAAACTTGGCCAATTACTCGTTTGGGAATGGCAATCGGAGTCGTACATTCTTAAACAGCAGGGTCACTTCGATTCAGTGAATGCATTGACATATACTCCGGACGGGCAAAAGATAATCACATGTGCTGACGACGGTAAAATCAAAGTCTGGGACGTTAGTTCAGGGTTTTGTATTGTCACCTTTACAGAGCACACTGGTGGTGTCACGGCCTGCGAGTTTTCGAAAAAGGGCAATGTGCTCTTCACAGCGAGCCTGGATGGCAGTGTGAGGGCCTGGGACTTGGTGCGTTATCGAAACTTCAGGACCTTTACTGCTCCGATAAGATTAGGCTTTTCAAGTATCGCAGTCGATCCCAGCGGCGAGGTTGTTTGTGCGGGCAGTCTTGAATCAGATCAAATACACATTTGGTCTGTGCAAACTGGACAGCTTCTCGATCAACTTGCTGGCCATGAGGGTCCAATCTCGACACTCACGTTCTCTGCTGATGGGTCTACTCTCGTCAGTGGAAGTTGGGATAACACCGTTCGGCTATGGAGTATTTTTGCTAGAACACAGACAAGTGAACCACTACAGTGCCAGGCGAATGTTCTTTGCGTGGCAGTCCGACCAGACAGTAAGCAATTAGCTGTTTCGACACTGGATGGCCAGTTGAGTTTTTGGTCCATATCCGAGGGCCAGCAAACCAAAGCCCTTGACGGCAGGCGCGACGCCTCGGGAGGCAGAAGATTAGCGGATCGTAGAGCTGCTGCAAACATTGCAGGCACAAAGGCGTTCAACACCATCACATACTCCGCAGACGGTAGCTGTGTGCTTGCCAGTGGCAACAGTAAGTATATCTGTCTGTATGAGGTGCAGAGTGGTATGCTGGTAAAGAAATTTACTGTGAGCGTAAATCTGAGCCTAGACGGCACACAGGAATTCCTCAATTCCAGAAATCTGACAGAAGCAGGCCCAAGAGGCCTCATTGACGAGGACGGCGAAGAGTCAGATCTGGACAGGAGACTAGAAGGGGAGAAGAGATTGCCAGGCGCTCAAAGAGGAGATGCCAGCGAACGCCAGAGACGACTTGAGGTCAGGGTACCAGCTGTTGCGTTTTCCCCGCAAGGAAGAGCCTTCTGTGCAGCGAGCACCGAAGGCTTGCTTGTTTATTCGTTAGATCGGGGCATGCTATTTGATCCGTTCGACCTGGATGTTGATGTCACGCCGGAAACGACTCTACTCAAACTGAAGGCGGGGGAATACCTCACGGCACTTATCATGTCCTTCCGCCTCAACGAAACGCCATTGATCCAGCACGTCTTTGAGAAGATACCACATGCCGATATCAAACTCACCGTTAGACAAGTACCGGATGTGTACCTCCCTCGCCTGATGCGTTTTATTGCCAAACGTACGGAAGAAGGCCCACATATTGAGTTTTGCTTGCTGTGGATAGAAGCTTTATTCGTAGCAAAAGGTCGAATTCTCCGAGATCGCAAGGGAGAGTATGCGAGTGAATTGAGAGCCCTCATGAGAGTTCTTGGGATGGTTGAACGTGAAGTTAGGAGATTGGGCGAGAATAACGGGTACAAACTTGATGTGCTGCTTAAACAACCGCTAAAACGGAAAGAGGATGGGTTTTTGATCATGGATGTTAACGATGATGTTTCAGAAAATGTTAAGATTGAAGGGAGTGATCTCAGCGATGAAGGGGAGTGGATGGGTGTGTAGTGATACAAGCAGTCGCAAAATCACGGCACATATGCAAGCATTAAGTCCATCGCAACTTCAGAGAGCTAACCTGACTTTAAGAAGATCTTCGTCCATAATGACCTCCTTCTTAGCCATGAGCTCATTCCAATCCCAGTTGACTGACAGGTATCTACCCGCAAGCCATTCCCTTCGCTCACTTACCAGCTTGACAAGGAAGTCTCCTGCTAGTTCCGGTCTGTCGTTGAGGAGAGAATGCATGTATTTAGGCATGTTTAGGGCAAGCTCAGTACTGACGCCACCCGGATGTGCTCCAATGGCGATTAGGCCTTGCGATCCATACTCTTCCATCAAGAATTCAGTGAGGCGCAGAACAGCCAGCTTGGAGGTCTGGTACGCAGATGCTCCATGCATGGTCAGGTGAGCTCCAATAGAAGTGATGTTGACAATGGTTTTAAGCTCAGACTGAAGGACTAAGGGCAGAAAGTAGCGATTCATAAGGTATACGCCAAGAATGTTCACATTCCACGTCTTCCACCATTCTGCCGGGTCTGTCTCGGTAATTGGCGACCACTGCTCCAAGTATCCAGCATTGTTGATTAAGACATCCACGCTGCGAAATTCGCTGCGCACCCTAGAAGCTGCGTCCTCGACGCTTTTCTGCGAGGACACATCAATCTCAAGTGCGAGCACTTTGGGTGGCGAATGGCCTGCTATCTTCGCCTGCTCGATTACGTTATCACGGACTTCAAGGAGCGAAGATCTTGCGCCAAGTATCAGACCCGATGCTCCAGCCCGGGCGAAAGAAATAGCTGTTGCACTTCCAATACCTTTCGAGGCTCCGGTAATGAGCACGGTCTTCCCACTCAGGTCGAGTTTAGTTGGATCTATCGTGGGATATGTATCATTGTGCAACGTAGGCACAAATGCTCGCACTAGTCAAATATCAAGCTTAGCAAGAGCTCACTTGATAGGCAAATCGAAAACAGTTACCAGCAAACCCGGATTGAAAGCAAATTCAAAGTACAAAACCAACACGGCCCATTTTAAGAAGTGAGTAAGCTTTTGGCCAGCACCCCACTTACCAGTTGGAGTATGTGACATTACCGATAACCCAATCTCCTTGCTGTTTGTTCAGGTTTCGGCTGTCCGTTCGAGACAAAATTTCTGGTTGTATTAGATTAGAATTGATGATTAAGTCTAGTAAAACAGTGATTTTCTAATCGTTCTTCGCATTTGGGCAATTTATCCCCCGTAGCTGCCGTCGCCACTGAGCCGGACGGGCTTTGCCAAAGTCCGAGATTTGGTGACAAATTCCTCCACCATAGTTTCAACCTTGACCTCGCAACCATTCATTTTTCCCTGTAGAGAATGTTATCATTTGGCTCACCAGATCATTTGCAAAGACGTACTGGAGAACATGTAGAGAGGCTCTACGCTTATTGTACCTTTTTTTCTTCCGGAGCATGCAATCGAGCCATAAAGATTTGCAGTTATGAGTGATACGCTGGCTGTTTAGGCTGCCGTCCTTTGACTCTGCAGCCGTGCCAGGTGCCTGTCTCAGCACAATTTAGCCCAGTGTCTTGATCGAACATAGCATAAGACTGAAGCCATTGGTTTCGAGCACTTCAAGTAAGGTGAATGCAATCATTCGCGTGGTAACCGCCTCTTTACCTGAGGGTACCAAGGTCGCCCAAAGAGCTTGATCTCATGGGTGCCCGTTAGAATTTATCGCTGCTGGACAAGGGCTCCAAATGCACGGACAACAGCGTCGCTCATGTTTTGAGAAGCATCTAGGATATATAACCGGTCAAATCCCATGAATGAGCCGCGTAATTATTCACATGGCGGAAGTACCGACTGCTGGTATCAAAATTGTGGAGAGTCTGACTTCTGGCGAAGTTCCTAGAGTTTCCCAAGTTGCATCAAGACGAGCGAGGCAAACGCTCTCGTTATCACAAATCACCATTGGCTTTCAAGACCCAGACCAATCTATACAACTCTCCTGAAAGGTGCGGCAACAACCCTCTAGAAGACATCTTTTCTCGGTCCTATGACTTGCTTGACCAAACGGTTTCCCTTCAACTTGATTTCTCTTGAGGCCCAGTGGGCGCGTGCTGAGTGAATACCTTTGTCCCAAGTCCTCTGGATCGTGTCTCGTAAGTTTTCCAGCGTGCTTCTCCGAAAAGCCAATGAATCGAATCCAATCCGACATGTTCAGTGAGACGCATGCGAATATGTGCTGGAAGGTTTCAGAGGATGGCAGGGCTTCAGAAGCTTCAACATAGTGAGGTGGCACATCAATATACTCGCTTGTCGATGCACTCTCATCGTATTTGTGCTGCTGAACAGCGGGCATTTTCCAAAATTGAGATAGAGTAGTACAGTCTCGTCGATGTTGGTGCATGCGTTTGTCTCTTGTGAATTCAGGAACCAGACATGACAAGGAGCTCGGACTGAAGGGGCTTTCGGCCCTGAATGCTTGAGCTATGGAGATGTATGGCTCAAGGAATATGAAGAGACAATAAGCATTGTCTTTGATTAAGTAGCATAAGAGATGAACCTTGACTCTGTTGTGAGATAAAGTTTAGCATCTAGACGGTGACAGTGGCGCAGCAAACGCCAGGGAAAAGCATGCAACAACACTAGTAAGCCGGAACTATCAATACTTGAGGAGGCTTCAAATCTTGGCATTAAACTATACTTGATGAAGAGGCAAGGTATTTGATCTACAGTCCAGATATTTCGAAGCTTGTGGTAGCTGTGCAAACATCTTTCGGCTAGCACTTTACCTTGCAACTGCACCTAGGAATTAACCAACATTGAGTCTTTCTGATCATTGGCTGATGTATTCAAGGAGGATATTACATACTCGAGATTTTCAAATATTTTATACAGAAGCAGAAGAACTCGCACACATTCGACATATTCCGAACAACTTTCTCACAACCCATTACTCAACGTAGCCAAAACTGACATTATATCAAGTATGAAATCACCAAGCAAACCCAGAACCAAGCACTATTCAGCCACCAGATAATCTATACCCTTGATTAGCAATCGCCACTACTCTATCTTTGACTTGCTTATACTCCAATCCATCACTGTCAGATAAAATTTGCAACCACATGCGACTATTTTTCAACCAAGGTTCAGGTTTTAGTAATACGCTCTATATTAGCACAAGTATATTGTTCTCCCAAAGTCTCATTTTCGATGTCATTCTTACATATCTGGGATTGTCGTAGGCGCTCATAGAGAGAAATTTAGTTCAGTTTTCAAAATCGCTCGTTTCAAACATGTTGACAAGCAGCTTTTAGCACGGGGCTTTTTTCATGAATCAAATGAAAAGCTTACGAAACGAATTCAGAATCATTTGTTCTCAGAATTTATCCTACAGCGATCTAAGAAGGCGTATTCAGCAGTGGCGGACGGTCAAACTTGATCGAATCAATCCATAAATTATATTATAGATTGCCGCATATTGCATCAATGAATAGCTTAAAAATTAAGCAAGGGAATGGTTTCAGGTCCTCGAGGTCCAATGCTCGGGCGCTTCAACAGATCCTTGAGAGGTTCACCTGCTGCCATCCGCTTCTCGAATTCCTCAACAACAAAGTCTACGCCAAAGGGGTTTTGCGCGAAGTCAGAAGTGCGCATTAAAGTGCTAGCTTCCTCTGGACTGTCGAAAACATCCACTTGTGTCTCGATTTGATTTCCATCTGGATCCGCCCAATCTGTACGAAGTCAGTGTATGACCAAAAATTGTAAATTGAGACGTACAGATACTTAGTGTTGGGCCGTGATTGACACACCATATTGGCTTCATTCCAAGTGCTTTACGCTGATGATATGACTTGAATAAGTCTTCAACCGTATTATATGTAAAAGCAATGTGCTAAGTGCGATTGTCAGCGGCATATAAATAGTGGACAGCGACAAGATCACCTCGAGGCCTGCAGTGGAACGGTCTCTACTACGAAGATTTGGAAGTCCAACTATGGCAACGCGATGATGCTCGTCGTCATAACGCAAGAAACATATCATGTCTGTCTCTAATTCGGTCTGGGCTCCAAGAAAGTCGATATAAAACTGTTTCATCGACGCATATCGATCGCCTAACTCCGTGCGTAATACAACATGCGCCAGTCGAGCTGGGGACAGAACTTTAGCTACCGTCATTGCAATGAAGCTTCTTGAAAGTAAGATAGATTGAGAATAAGGGCCTAGGAGGCAGGGAATCGAGGCTTACCGTCCTTAAATTTAATATAACTCAACTAGACCCATCGACAAGCATTAGAAGATGTACAACATGGATTCGTTTCGTATATGCAAAGCTTACCAGTGGAGAGCTGTCAATGCTGTAAGAGATCTACAGAAAGCTGACATGAGAATCTAGGACTGAGGTCGATGTGGTGCAGGTTTCCGTGGCCTTGCATGATCCAGGAGCTCCGTAATAGGTGCTTAAATGGGGCGGATGTAACGGGGAACTTTCATAGTCAAGTTTTCCGTTGCGCAGTGCTGACAATTCAGGATTGTCGCTTTCACTGTTCACGAAGACTGAGATGCTGCGTAGGGTGAGGATCAATCTCGTCTTCGCTGCTAATGTCTATTGTAAGATAACCATCAGAGGTGTGGAACAGTGGAACAGATTTACTTGTTTGTTGGCTGCAGAATAGGCTCTAGAACTAGCGCAGGGACCCATTCAAATTCTCAAGTCAACTTAGTAACTAATCTAGCGGCTTTACATCATTACCTGCAAGCGTTTCAAGTCCAGTTGACAAAGTTTCATCCATACAATGCCTTCGCGCATCTCCATGGCGTCTCTGCGGTCGCTTCAGATGCGCATTTCATCTCGAACCTTTTGCTGCTCCCAATGCCTTGCGCATCGCTCGGTAGCCCGTGCTAATCTTCGAGATCGCATATCCGCACTACGAGACATTCGGACTGGGCGTTTCGCGTCAACAGCGACAGCGACCCGAATTGAGGCCGATGGTGTTGGTAGATCACCGTACATTGCGCCTACTACGGCGATCAATAAACCAGCAGACGTTGCACCGTCGAACAAGGAGCTGTATGGCGCTCTTGATCAGCTCAAGATAGACGCAGCCAATTACGTCGACTCCAGCAGACTAGCTCTGGCATTGAGGAGCTTAGAAAGAAATGATGCAGTCATCAGGATTGCTATTTTGTCGATGAATGGAGATGTGCATCAAGTGAAGAGGCTGGTGCGATTGCTCCTCGCTGACCCGCTAGGAAATGAGGAGGCGTGGGAGCAGGAGCTGCTGAGCATGGAGCCGGGAGAAAGTGTACTTCTAAGGTATATATTCGTGAATTACAACTCTTTGTACAATTCTAAACCTTCTTAGATATGGGGACGAAGTCGACGCCGTACGGTCGAGTTCTCAAATCCGGACTCTTCCGATTCCCTCTTCTACGCTACAGAAGCATAGGTTAGAAATCCTTGTGTCGAATTTACACTCAAAGATATCTGTTTCAGAAGCTACTCCAGATGAAATAGCTATTAAGTCAATATTGGTTCCAGCCCTCGACAGCCAAGCTACCTCGAGCGGTCAAGTTTCGCGACTTACGTACCCCATCCACAAGGCACTACTTGTAGGAGAAGGTGTCAAGAGTTTGGTTGACTACGGAAGATTTATATCTGGGGTAAATTTGCAGGTTCTACAGCCAGAGATGGTTCAAATCGCTGCAGAAGCACCAGCACTATCAAGTGTCGATTCTTCTCAACACAAGCTCGGCGATCCGCTGTTACTAGACGTTCAATCTGGTGAACATGCTCTGGCTAGCATTCGCCAATCGATCCGTAATGCTATTGCTTGGGAACACGGGTGGTTCAAGGCGGGAATACCACCTCTATCTTCGTGGCTGGTCGCAGGAACAGTGAGTGCGAATGATGAGCTGAAACCTGCTGTGAAGAAGCTGGTGGAATCTGTCTTGGAACACGCAGAAACATCCATTTTATCTGCAGAAAATGCAGCACAGCTAGCGGTACATGCTGCAACTGTACCTGCCAGTATTCGGCGTGACATCCTTGCTGCCACAGCGTCGTGGTCAGAAGACGCTCATAACGAACTTCGTAACCAGCTGGATCTGGCCTTCTCAAGCAAAAATTGGGCCCGCCTGAAATGGTACAAGCTTTTCTGGCGTAGTGATGATGTAACGATGCTATTATCAGAGATAATGGAGCAGCGATGGCTTCCGGAGGCTGAGAAGGGCGCCATTTACCTTGCCGGCAGGATCGAAGGCTCAGGCTTAATGGATTCAAATGTCAAGATGAAACTCTCGAATCAACCTACAAGCTTGCCAGAAGCAGCTCCTGAGCCTGCCTCATCTGACATCACGCAGCCCATTGGCCGGCATAAATATCCGATGCAAATCGCTCGAACACGCGAAGCGCTTGTCTCGAAAACCATCCCTGCCTTACAAGCACTTTCACAAAAACTAGTACTCGAAACAGGTTCCGCCACTGCCATCACTACAACCCTCACTGCCATGGCATACATTGGCTTTGCAAATGCCACTCTATTCGAGGCAGGCGCCATCTTCGCCTTTGGTGTTGTCATCAGTCTGAAGCGGTTGCAGAACAAATGGGAAACTGCACGCGACTTCTGGCAGGGCGAAGTTCGTGAAGAAGGGCGCATTGCACTCAAGAAGACCGAAGATGCTATCAAGGAAATTGTTGAGATTGGCGGTGTTGGTGCAATCGATGAGAAGGGTGCTGAAGATCGCCGGAAGGCTAAAGCTGCTGTTAACGCAGCAAGAGAGGCATTGCGCAGGATGAAGTAAAGTGATAGAGCATGCATACCTGCACGGTTAATATTCGCTCTTCTGCATCACAAACTCCGAGTATGCGTGCGCTATCTCTTCAAATTGGAGATTGGCGACCTTGCGTTCGAAACGAAGTGGAGTACTTTCTTGATGGCGGCACTCACCATAGGGATAAAAAATGGGAATGTTTGAATTACAACACCGCTTTCAAAAGAGCACAAGCACCAGTCGCGCGTGTCTCAGTTGCTCTAAACAGACATTCGGAGAATCCTTTTTGCTGATCACGGTGCACCTGTGGAATGTCCTACGTCTAGACGGGTTCGCTCTTTCAGACTTGTCTCAACATCGAGCCCTCGGACATCACAATGTTTGTTTGAGACGATTGACAGTCTGGGTCTGCACCGTACATTAAATCGAAGCCCGAAGGCGTTTTGAGACGTCTATCCTGTTATCCCACCATCCTCAACATAACCAAGGAGAGCAGACAGATAGAATTGGGTTTTTAAACAAGTCACAAAGGAAAATTTTTAGTCTCCGATGGATTTAATGAGGTGGAAATGATCCCCAAAGTTGCGAAAATGGCATCACGTAGTTTCGTTCGTGTCCGAAGACTTTCGTAGTGTTTTGTTGTATAAATGTAATGGAGAATCGTGATCGTCTTGTTAGCACCATCGTTTTTCGAACTGTATAGTAATTTTCATCTTCTTAAGCGGCTCTGGCTACATGAAATGCAGCAACTGGAGGCCGGGCAGCGACGAAGGCAAAGAGGGGCGTAGAAAGTGAACATGAACACTCAAAGTCACGAGACTAACACTTTAACCAACATAACTAAAGTCATCCTACTTCTATAACGTTCGTTTTTGCTCAGCCTCCTGTCTATCTCCAGGAATCACAGGGCAAAGGTTGAAGAAACCATTTTTTTAACATTGCGAAGAGACAAAAGCGCCAATTATCGCTGAATTTTTGCTTTTTCCCTTCCACTTTATCATGGCCACCGTTCTGATCGCAGGCGCGGCCTCGGGGTTAGGCAAATCCTTCCTGAACTTCTTCTTGCAGCAATCGAATGTCGAATCTATTATCGCAATTGACCGAAATGCCGTCGTGGATGTCACGGATTCCAGGCTCGAAACGTACCTCGTGGACATCAGCTCGCCGGAATCGATCGAAAACTTTGCAAAAGTCATAGGCGGCACACCAATCCATCTCGCCATTCAAAGTGCGGGAATAAGAGGTCTTGTGCCTTCAGTCGAAAATGAATATCCAGATGAGGTTGCGAGAGCAGAGACGCTGGAAGTCATGGACATGGCAACAATGGCGAAAGCCTTCCAGATCAACGCGATAGGAACATTTTTGCTTATTCGAGCCATCTTGAAAAACTTGAAGCTCGCGTCGAAAGATGGCGCCCGGGCAAAAGTGGTGGTCATGGGTTCGAGAATGGGTTCAGTGAGCTATAATACCGCAGGTGGCGGTTACGCGTATAGGGCAAGCAAGGCTGCCCTCAACGCGATAATGAAGAGCTTCAGCATCGATGTTCCGGACGTGATCTTCACAACGCTTCATCCGGGCCGGGTCGAAACTGGCCTTGTCAAATGCCGTGAAGCCGGCGCCATAGAAGCAGACGAAAGCATCGAGGACATGATGAAGGTGATTGACAACCTCACAAATGCCGACAGTGGTAGATTCTATGACAGGTTCGGCCAGGACATAGGATGGTGATGTTTTTCTACATAGACGCTTTGAGCACGGCAAAAGCATCCTCCCGTGCTCCGACATAACGTTCCTCCGCAGTCTTCCAGTTGATGACCGACCAAACATTCTCCACGTAAGCAGCTTTGCCGTTCAAGTACTGCAAATAATACGCATGCTCCCACATGTCAACGCCAAATACTGGCACCTCTCCGGTGCCGACGACTGGATCTTGGTCTTTCGTAGTCACGATGCCCAATCGGCCGTTCTCATTCTCAAACTTGACGAGCCAGCCCCACCCGCTGCCTTGAATACTAAGCAGAGCAGCATTAAACTTCTTTCTGAAAGATTCCAGATCTCCGTACGTTTGCGTGATAGCAGCAGATAGCCGTGGCGCGGCTGCTGGGTTTGCAGCGGACGAGCCAGGCGGCGCAAGGTTCTGCCAAAAGAGTGAATGATTAATGTGGCCTCCACCATTGAATCTTAGAGCGGACTGGAGCTGGATTTGGGTAGTAATGTCGGAGGCCTGCTGGGCCACGGCCAAGCTCTTCAGGGCGTTGTTCAAATTGGTCACGTACGTCTATGCGAGTCAACAACACCATTCTCATCTTCGGCAACGCAAGAAAATCTACCTGATGATGCTTCGAATGGTGCAATTCCATTATCTGAGCCGATATAGCTGGCTCGAGAGCCTTTACATAGCATTAGCAGACGTCGCGGAGAAGACCAGCATGCACAGACATTGTACGGGTATGGTAGTTTAGGTAGAGTGTACGTTACCGCATCAGCTGCCATCATGAACGATGCTCAAATTAGCGAGTTTCGACAGACGTCCAGGACGAAGGGATGTTCTTTTCCTCTAGACAGGATGGTAGCAGTGACGACAACAAGGCGAGAGGGGTTGTTGAGTAGATAAAGCACCGTGATGGACAGGCTGCACAGGTTGACGCAATACCATTTCATGGTGCTATTTCTGGCCAGCTACAGCGCGATTGGACAGATGTAGCGGATTTTCTAAACAAATTCCTATCCCCAGCACAAGAATTGCTGACTTGTCTCGGCGTTCTGCGCTGGTAGGTGGACGAATGTTGGGTATCGCTCTCAAACTTGCTCATACCAACTCAACAGCCACAACCGTACGTCCAGAAGCCGTTGGCCAGCACCAGGCCAAATCATACCCATATTCAATCATCTGAAGCTCGATTAGCCAGTTCATCGCCGTGGAAACTCAACGTCCGACACATCTCCCAAGTCTGTCTGCTCTGAACTCTTGCTGCAGACGATCCCGCAACGCAGAATCGGACCATGTGCCCCGGCAGCTCCTCCAGAACGAGCGGAGGCGGAACCATAGCGGTTCTGTCGACTCCAATTTCGCAACGTCAGGCGCCTCCCGCGAACGTGTTTGAGGGTGAGATATACTTCCACCCGAGCTCGACGCTGTCTCGAGGCACCACAGCAAGTTTCAAAAGCCGAACGCCGCACGCAGCTCTGACGGCCGTTCCTTACTACGTCGTCATCCAGTGCGTAGTCTAAGTTCCCGTCGTGAAACGTCGTATTGAGTGCTGATCGGCTCACAGCCAAAAAGGCGACCTGTCAATGCCCGTTGGACAGGCCGGTCTGCTGCACAGGTTCAGGATTCCACCTCAGCAGGCAGTACCAGCAGAGTCGCTCTACCGATGGGACCTTGATCAGGTGTTGAATCTGAGCGTCGGAGGCGACGGCATCGTTGGCAGGAGAATCTCCATTTTTGAGGACGTGGGTCTGCAGAGGCAGGTTGCTGAAGGAATCATCGGGTGGAACTGAACAAGCTTCCAACTGCGGAAACAGTCGTAATGTCTGGACAGCCAGCTCATTCGATCTTTCGATTTGTCGCCGTGCAATTTTATCTGCGTATTGGACAAGAAGCAGCAGTTTCACCTTAAGGTAGACGAACCTTTGCAACTGGCAGCTGAACGACACCAAATGAGCCAGCTTGTAAGAATCTGGAACACGGCAGGAATAGCTAGCATGGGAAAAGGCCATGATCAGTGCATCCTAGAGAGAGAGAGAGAGAGAGAGCATTCTGAGGCGTTCAGCACTTCTGGACAGTCGGAAATGGGGAAACAGTTGAAGCACTCAAGCTCAGATTAGTACTTTGAATGATTTGGATCATTGCTGCGAAATGTAACCATCATCGTAAAGGGGGCCTTTTTCCAAATGTAGATTACAAGGAAAACACACAAAAAAAATGAGGACAAAATCTCTATACGCTGTCGTGTTGTTTTTTCAAAGCTTAGATATGGGATATTGAGTTCAAAGGCAAAGCGGACGTAAGAATCACTGCTTTCTCTTCGAAGCCGGAGGCGATTCGAGGTCGCTGTCCTTCTCTTTCCGCTTGCTGCTTTTGCCCTTGACCAGCGCGCGGATGTCGATCTCGTCGCCGCTTTCGTCGTCGTCGCTTGCCTCCTCGAAGTCAATTTCGGAGAGCTCCTCGTCGTCCATCTCCTGCGCTTGAGCTGGTGCCTTTGTCAGTGGACGAAAAAAAAAAATTCCAAACAAGTCGAGCGGATGTTTGGATTGCACTCACTGAAATACTTGATGGCGTTCGGCCAGATGTCCTCTGCTATCATGGTGGCAAGGTCGGCACCGTGCGGACACACCTCGGCCTCGATTTCCTCAAAGTCAACCTCTTCTTCCTCCACGTCCTCGACCTCCTCACCAGCCTTTGCTTTAGCTCTCCGCTCTTTCTCGGCTTTGTTCGCTGCATCCGACTCTTCGGCTGAGACGTAACGTCTCTCCGAGACGAAGCCGAACAAGGTGAAGAAGCGCGAGGCTGAGTCTGACGACTTGTTGATCAGGTCAATCACCTCCTTCCTTTGTTTGATGTGGGCGGCCTTCCCAGCGCCATTGGCGACGTTGCTGTTCTCAGTACGGGCCTCCCACAGCTTGATCGCGGCGTCGGTTAGACCGAGCGACAAGTCTTTGCCTTGCTTCCAATTGATCTTAACCGGCTCTGAGACTAGGCCGGTCCAATTGTCAGCCGCGCGCCTGAAGTAGAACTTCTTCTCCAGGGTCGCATCCTCAAACCACTCGTTGGGCGCAAATGTGAAGGTGATTGAGAAGCTGCGGGGCGTGTTCTGAATGTCGAATCGCTCGACGGAGATGCCGGTCAGACACTCGGCAAAGACTTGCGAGTCCGAGGGCTGGATATACTGATCAACATCTGGAGGTGCTTGCTCGAGGACAAGGGCCCAGAAGTTGGGGATTTTGGCGACCAGTTCTGCGCGCCTCGCGTACAATGGACGCTCGAGCTCGTACTGTCTGCGCACTGCGGATGGCTTTTCAGCGATTGCATTGTACGACTGAGAAGAGCGCGGACAAACGGAGAGGGTTCGGGCTTGTTCTGGGACGTACCTAGTTCATCTTCGGCATCGTTGAATTCGTATTCGAGCTGGATGAGCTCCTCGTACGAGACGGAGGACTCTTGCGCGCCGTTGGTGGCCATGTTGCGAGCGTCAGGGAGCAAGGTTGTGGCTCAATAAAGGGGCTCAAGGTCAGCCAGGCGAAAGAAAAAAGCAGATTTGCGAATGGCCGAGCAGAGGGCGGAAGGGCCGGGTAGAGATAAGTTGATATGGTCGCAGTGTTGAGCGCTCAACCAAAAATTGCGTCGCTGGGCTGCAGCACAAAATTTCGACAGGGATGCTCCTTCCGGCTCGAAAGGGGCGCGCGGACCCTGAGTCGTGGCCGGATTGCGGGGTGGCCAAACTGCTGCGTGCGGCCTGCGAGTCGAGGCAGAGGCGGAGTCTGCTGCTTTGACATCGCCGGGCGAAGAAAGCGCTGGAAGAACGAAGCACGGCGTGGACCACGAGCCGTCGCCTCGTGTGGCATTTGCCGGACCAGCAACGACGGAATGCAAAGCGTGCTGGCGAGCTGCAAGGCGGCCTGGAGCGGCACAACGGAAAGGGGACGAGAGGAGGAGCGCAGAGAGCAAGAGAAGCGGGAGGGGCGAGGTCGGAGAAGATGGAGAAGTACGGAGACGGACTTTGGGTCATGGCCACGACCAAGTGGGCGGATGGATGGCCAGCAAACGGAAGAAAAGCTCTGCTCTGGTTTCCACTGAGCTTGGCGTCGAAGCCGTGTGCCATGCGAGGGCAATCATGGAGCCAAAGGCAGTGGATAAGTTCGGGCATCAGGAAACATAAGTCGCAGATCTTGCTCGGCCATGGCGGTGACGACGGTGGCGATGACGAGAACGATGACGACGAAGGCGGTGGCGGCGTCGGCGGCGTCGATTGGGATCAACGTCTCACCGTGTGAACGTCATCAAGCGAGCGAGCAGAGGAACAACGATCTCCGAGTCGAGCATCAATCTCACGTGCTTTCATATCCTCAGGTCTGAGGTCTTTTTGTTACGATTGACCAGCCTAAGTCGCGGGCATGTGCTCGGTTAGGTGGGCACGAAACGGTTGCCGTACTGCTCTTCGTGCCCGTTAAGAAGATGGCCGTGGTCGTCGATATCGTTGTCGTCGCCATCTTTGTCGTTCTCATCATCATCACCATCGTCGTCAAGCCTGCCAGCTCTCCGCTGCAGCCTTCCCAGCTTCAGCAGAGGCGGCAATAACTCGAAAAGCGAAAGAAAAAGGCAGCAGTTTTGTCCCCTTTGAAAGCGCTGGTCTTCCCTGCTTAGTTTTCAGTGGAGCATACGGCAGCTTAATTTAGCCCACCTCGCTGCTGCAAGCTACGCATCCTTCTGCTGCTGCTGTTGCTGCTGCTGCTGTTGCGTTCTCTTCCTCTTCTTCTTCTTCCTCTGCTTCGTCTCCGTCCGTGACGAAATCACAACGTCCGTCCCTCTGCTGAACGCCGCCAACCCAGAAAGCCATCAGACTTGGCCTGCTTCCACCAAGCATTTGCCTTGGCCTACCTACTTGCCTCCTGTCTACCTACACCCCGTCTCCATCTCCCTCGTTCTCTTCTTCTGCCGTTCTGCGAATTTCTTTCCTCTGTTGTGCTCACGCCTAGCGAGCCCCTTCCCACTACGGTCCGACCGCCTGCACCAAGCTTTGTCGCCGCCACGCCGACTTTTTAAGCCGCCGTCAGGGGGCATCCTGAACCACGCCGGTGCAAACGCCTCCAATCCCAGCAAGACAGCGACTTTGTCATGTCGCAGCGAGCTGAGGTACGCTGTCACCTCGATTGACAATTTCCTCCCCGCATTCTCCTCCCTGCGTCGCGCCGCTCTGCGCACCTAGCTGACTGCCTTGCCTCTCTGCAATTTTCTTATTTGGTCTCCAACCGGTCAAAGTCTGCTGACTGCTGTGATAGCCCATGGAGGAAGACAAGAAACCCAGCTCTGTGTCGGCAGAGCAGCACAACTTCGACAATGCCATTCGTGCCGTGCGGGAGAAGAAGCCGCCTCCAGAGGTCGACTTCACCTTGCACACCATGGAAGACGGCACTCAGGTCAGCACACTGGAACGAGTATGCAAAGGTATGCCGGACATGTTCAGTAGCCGCCCTCGTTGCAAACTATTGTGCTAACTCGACGTAGATGTGCAAGCACCGGCCTTCCACCCGCCTACCGACGAGCAGTTCTGGTCGCCGCACGATCGCAGCAAGCCCAACCTGCAGTTTCTGAAAACGCACTTTTACCGCGAGGGCAGGCTCACTCACGAACAAGCCTTGTGGATTATCAAGAAGGGCACGGAGATTCTGCGCAGGGAGCCAAATCTACTCGAGATGGATGCGCCCATCACGGTGTGCGGCGACGTCCACGGCCAGTACTACGATCTCATGAAGCTGTTTGAGGTTGGAGGTGACCCCGCTGAGACGCGTTACCTGTTTCTTGGTGACTACGTTGATCGTGGATACTTCAGCATCGAGGTGCGATGGCTGCCTTGACGTGCCTCTAAGACCACGCTAACAATGGCTCGCAGTGCGTTCTCTACATCTGGGCGCTTAAGATCTGGTATCCGAACTCCTTCTGGCTGCTGCGTGGCAATCACGAATGCAGGCACTTAACCGATTACTTCACCTTCAAGCTTGAGTGCAAGCACAAGTACAGCGAGGAGATCTATGAGGCGTGCATGGAGTCGTTCTGCGCCCTCCCCCTCGCCGCCGTCATGAACAAGCAATTCCTGTGCATACACGGCGGCCTTAGCCCTGAGCTCCACACTCTCGAAGACATCAAAGCCATTGACCGTTTCCGGGAACCGCCAACGCATGGCCTGATGTGCGACATTCTGTGGGCCGATCCGCTCGAGGAGTTCGGTCAGGAGAAGACGCAGGAGTACTTTCTTCATAACCACGTGCGAGGCTGCTCGTACTTCTTTTCGTATCCGGCTGCCTGCAGCTTCCTAGAGAAGAACAACCTTCTCTCCATTATTCGCGCACACGAGGCCCAGGATGCCGGCTACCGCATGTACCGCAAGACCCGCACAACGGGCTTCCCCAGCGTCATGACCATTTTCAGCGCGCCCAATTACCTCGACGTGTACAACAACAAGGCCGCTGTGCTCAAGTACGAGAACAACGTGATGAACATCCGCCAGTTCAACTGCACGCCGCACCCGTATTGGCTGCCCAATTTCATGGACGTTTTCACTTGGTCGCTGCCCTTCGTTGGTGAAAAGATCACCGATATGTTGATTGCTATCCTGAATACGTGCTCCAAGGAAGAGCTCGAGGATGAGACGCCGCTTATGTCAGGTCCGTCGTCGCCCGAGTTGAAGAGCGCAATGGATCCAGAGTCGGTCGAGTTCAAGCGCCGTGCCATCAAGAACAAGATCCTGGCTATCGGCCGCCTGGCCCGTGTATTCCAGGTGCTCCGCGAGGAGTCGGAACGTGTAACCGAGCTCAAGACGGCCACTGGTGGTCGTTTACCTGCAGGAACGCTCATGCTTGGCGCAGAGGGCATCAAGCAGGCCATCCACAGCTTTGAAGATGCCCGAAAGGTCGACCTACAAAACGAGCGTTTGCCGCCTAGTCAGGAGGAACGCAGACGCAGCATGGATCGTGAAAGGCAGAGTGCCCTCGATCGGGCATCTAAAGAAGCTGAGAACGATCAAGATATCCAACGTGTTGCCCGGAGGATTAGCCTGTAAGTTGAAACCTTCCACAACAAACCTATCGCGCGACCATCATCCCCATTCTTGCTTCCTTCCGTGATCTCTCTTCAGAAATTTCCTAGCGCGTATGCTGACTGCAAAACAGGTCTGCGGGTTCTGGAAGGAGTCGTCCACCGGGCCGATAAACTAGCCTAGGTGAATTGGGGCGGCTGCGTTTTGTCGCGAGCCGGAAAGTCAAGTGCTAGTCGGATTGTGGGTGGCAAATCAGAGCAATGGGTGTATTCAGAGAATAGATTCACTTTGGGCCGTGAAAGCGGTTCAGCGGTGGCCGCTCGGTTTCTTCGTTAATCTATACGGCTCCGCCTGATGGTCAGCACAAGGAGACGATATTGTGTTGTGTAACAAGGCTGCTGTAACTGTGTAATGTCTACCGTGCGAAGCATAGCCAGCGCGGATACGAGAGCACGAAATTCATTGTTTCAAAGTTTTCCTCCGTCTATGGAATGGAGTGCGCAAAGTATACCGCCGCATCAAACAAACATGACAAAGAAAAGAGAAAGATAAAGAAAAGAAAAGCCGAGTGTTTTAGCCCGGTCACGATTAGTCATAGGTTCGTTGTGCACAAGTCATTCGGCGCGATATGAAACAAGCTTTTTACAATGCAACGACTGCGGTCTTTTGATGATCCCATTCTTCCCGACGTCTACTCCGTCGCTATCTGGCCTTGTCGTGCGGGCCCAACAGCCTGGGCGGCAGATCGAGCTCCCACATTGGTCTCTCCACCACGACCGTTTCTATGTACGAGGCTGTCTCCTGCAGCGGGATCACAGCAAGGATAGGTCGGTAGGCAAAAGAATGCCACGTCTTGCGCGGGCCGTCCCCCAGCTCGCCCTCGCCGTCCGCTTCCTGGCCTCGACTTCGCTTGCCGCGCAGGTTCTTACTCGCCGGCTCCTCGTCTGCGTCCACATCCTCGTCGTCTTCTCTGTCCGTCTGCTGTCCGTTGAGCGGCTGTGTCTGATCGGCCGGTTTCCTTTTCTTTTTGACTGGCTCCCCGTCTTGGATGCTTTCCACGCCGGGCTTGAACCCCACGTAGTCCTCGTCGCGGATCTTGTCGCCGGCGCCGCTTTTGCCTTGTCGATTCCTCTTTTGCGGCCTAGCAATAAGGCCACCATTTTCCGATTCTGGTTCTTCGTCTTTGGTCTCCGGAACAAAGTCTTGCATAACGTCCAGCATGAAGAGCCAGTTGCTTCCATATACGTATAGACGCTGAGCCTGTAGTGTTGTGTGCCAATAACACCCCATCGCCCTGTCTTTGATCTTTTGGAACGTGTCGGGAAGACAATCGGTCGTGTTTTGGCGCGACCAACTCGTCAACTGCCCCGTTGCCAGATCAAATTCGTATAGTTGGTGTTTGGCAGTCAGGACGAAGAGCTCGTATTTGTCATTCGTCTGCTCCACTAGCGCGTCGTCATCACGCTCCACGACAGCTTGTTTAGGAGCATGTTTCGTTTTGATGCCATTAATTTCCTTCCGTGGCGTTCCGTTTGCTTCGGCTTTCTTGGTGCGCCTTCCAGGTCGGAATGTTAGGAAAAGAGCGGCGGAGTCCAGCTGTGGTAACGCCTTGGAGGCCACCATTCGAGTCCAATGCTGGCCAAAGGACTTCATTTCAGTCTGATCATTGTCGTCGTCCTCATCGCTTGAAGAGTTGTCGGACGTGTCATCGCCAACATCAATCATTTCAACATCCGGTGCCGAGGTATCCTCAATACCCTCAAGCTGCCAGCAATCAATAAAGCCAGCCAGGTCAGCCACAACGAGGACCTTGCTGTCGGGGGAAAATTGTAACCGAGATATCCTTCTGCGATAAGATCCCAAAGATGATGTGTCAGAGCCACGCTTGATGCGCTCCAACCTGAACGGCTGCTTTGAAAGCTGCACGCCGTTCTCCTGTCGACTCAATCGAAATACAAGCACGTCGTTGTTGTGAGTGACTATGCTCAGCCATTTCTGGTCGCCCGAAATTTGCACGATCCGACCTGCATCCAGCGGAGCTTCAGTGGTAAGTTTCACAATTTGTAATTTCTCCTTGGGTCCATCCTCGATCCGAGATATCCTGAATAGCTGGGTCACCGCTGCCGTGGATATGGCAATGAGTTCGCCATCTTTTGATAGAGAGGCATTTGCGATGGCTTCTTCGCCTTTAATAGTCATGTGAACTAATCGACGAGGAGCACCTCCATTACCTGTGTCCCCATCCTGACTTTGTATTTTCCAGATGTCAACCTCTTGTCCGTGCCAACATGCGACGAGGCGTGTAGCCTCTGAACTAGTGACTGGCGGTAGCTGAGGCAAGCCTGAAATACCTCTATGGTATTCTTCGCCATAATGCTGAATGGGAACAATTGCTAAGTTGGTGTCAAGGCCTGGATATTGTTAGTTCGAATTAGACGGAATATGCGATGACACCTACCGCCAGACGCTAGAAAACTCATCTGCTGCGTTTTGTTCCCGTCATATACAGCCAAAGCTTTAACGTCATGATCATGGTAGAACTTGTGGGTCTGCTTGTTCCACTGTCGTCCCGACCGTCCTCTCCGAAAAATGGACGTTCTTCGGTCGGCACCGGCAGTAAATAATGAGGAGCCGTCATGACTAATCGCAATGCTGAAAATATCACCACGATGGGCGTTGATGCGCTGGTATTGAGTAAATAGCTTCGAGTCGAAGAAACGCAAGTCACCGGCGGAATCAGCGCAAGCAATCTCTCCGCTTGGCAACCATCGTATGGCCCAGACGTGAAGGTCTTTAGGACCGCCTTTTGAACCAGCTCCTAACGAGACAGTACGTATGACCTTTGAATTTCTGATATCATAGATCCGAAATGTGCTATTGTTAAAGCCCACCGCGATCGTGTAACGATCTCGAAAGGATATGCTCAGAGGGCGAACGTCTTTCCCGTGCGGTCTTGAAATATACTTTTGGAAGTGCAGGTCGTTATCGGCGGTGGACAAGAGGGCGATAGAGCCATCGGAGCAGCCAACTACAATATCTTGGCCTCGTGGCTTTCCTTCGTTCGCAGCTTTTCTAGATTCGGTTACATGTAGTCGTGGTTGCGCCGCAAAGCACCAAATCTCGTTCAGATTGCCGGTAGAGTGTCGAAGCGGCAGTCCGGTGCCCAAGTCCCACTCGGTAACAGCACTTGAGTAGCCAATGCTAAACAGTCGTAACTGGCCTGTGGAAGTAATTCTGCCCTCCGTGTCAAATTCATTTGGTTCCTGTATCCACAAAAGGCCTTCAATCGTCCTCCCTTTGCCTCCATGAAAAACTGTTTCCTGCACCCATGCACCCCTCAACGGGTTCCATATTTCAATGTCACCATTGGCACGGCCGACTGCCAATCGAAGGTTCTTCAAGCCGCCTTTCGCGAGCTCACCGTCGTTGATAGCGGAAAAGGCGAGAGCGTTGATTGCCGAAGATGGGTATGGTATAAATCTGGCGCGGTGGATATCCATGATTTGAGTGAAGAGTGTTCAAGATACGCGAGAATATAATCTCGCATTTAACTTGAGTCTATCATTGTTTCCAATTCTGCGATTGAGTATAATTTCATCTCGTGCGATCGCTGAACTTTTTTCGAACTTTTGAGCACGGACCTTCTGGACCCTTGATCGAGGCGGATGGTGTCGAAAAAAAAGTTATGCTCGAAGAATCAATCCTGCGAAAGACCAGCAATCTTAGAGAGAATACCTCAATATGCCGAAGAAGCCTAGAAAGGGAGATAAAAGTATAGCAACTACCGATTTTATGCTATTATGCATGCTAAAATGTCTCAGGGGCGTCTGGCAATGCCAGAAATTTCATAACGAGGACACAGGCGGTTAGGAAGCTTCAGGTTTCTTTGCCAGACTTTCGACGGCTATGTATATTCAAAGGTACTTAAAAAATCCTTGCTTGCTTATCGTGGACTAATGTTGTTAGGTATTTACCCTCGGGAACCACGAGACAAGAAGAAGGCGGCGAAAGGCGCCACCCCGTCGACCACCTTTTACTACACCAAGGATATCCAGTACCTTCTCCACGAGCCTCTTTTAAACAAATTTCGCGAACACAAAGCGATCGCCAAGAAAATTGGAAGAGCTCTTGGTCGTGGTGAAACTGGAGATGCTGCACGACTTGAAAAGTCCGTACCGCGCATGCGGTTGGATCACATCGTGAAAGAGCGATATCCAACCTTTGTTGATGCGCTTCGAGATCTCGACGACGCTCTATCTATGCTCTTCTTGTTTGCGAACCTTCCTTCAACTTCTACAATTCCACCGAAGACCATCGCATTATGCCAGCGATTATGCCTTGAGTTTGAACACTACCTCATCGTTTCGCACTCGTTGAGAAAATCTTTTCTGTCCATTAAGGGAATATACTATCAAGCGACCATACAAGGACAGGATATTCTGTGGCTGGTGCCATACAAGTTTGTCCAGCGCATGGCGGGCGACATAGACTTCAGGATCATGGGCACTTTTGTTGAATTCTATACGACCCTGTTAGGCTTTGTTAATTATAGACTCTACACGTCGATCGGTCTAGTATATCCTCCTAAGTTTGACGCAACGCGAGATGACCAAGGGGCTGAGCTAGGTGCTTTCACATTGGAAGGGAAGCAGATCTCTACTGGTACAACAACAAATGGTACAGATGGACTCGAGTCTGCGAATGTGACGGCAGTGGACGCCCAAGCCGAGGCAGACAAGTTGATTACCACTGCTCCAACAGAGACCGAGGACGTACTGGACAGACCACAGGAAGAAGAAGAACAGGTCAATGATTCCATTGACAAGTTTGAGTCAACCACTGCGCCAGACGCAGATGTCCTGCCACAACCGCAAATGAGCGCATCAGATGCTGCATCTTTATTTGCAGACTTTACATTCTTCCTTGGCCGTGAAACACCACGGGCACCATTAGAATTCTTGCTAAAAGCCTTCGGCTGCAAGCGGGTAGGATGGGATGCAGTTCTTGGTGATGGAGCTTGGACCACGGATGAAATGGATCCAAGTATTACCCATCAGATCATTGATCGACCTAGTCTGCCAATGGATGCCTCCACTAGTGGCGATGGAAAGGGAAAGTCACACATACGTTCTTCAAATTTGCGGGTGCCAGGCCGGATTTACGTCCAGCCCCAGTGGGTTTGGGATTGCATTAATCAGGGAAAACTGCTACGACCAGATCTCTATGCACCAGGCGCTGTACTGCCACCCCATTTAAGTCCATGGGTCAAACCAAAAGCTGGGCAATATGATCCCACAGCTTCATTGGCAGATCAGGAACAAGAAGGAGAGGCAGAGCTCCACGAGGAAGAGTTTGCAGAAGAGGATGCCCAAGTGATCAAGGATGCTGAAAAGAAAGAGGATGAAGGAGACGCAGAGGTAGATGATGAAGGCGACGACAGTGCCGACAATGAAGCCAACAGCGACATGAATGCCGAGAGTGATTCGGAGGGTAGTGATGTCGAGATAGACGGTGGTATGGACATCAAACTTGCATCATCGGACGACGAAGATAGTTCAGAGGATGTAGAGCAAGACGAAGAATGGGGCGGGATGTCTGACATTGAAGGCGACGAGGAGTCCGACGGCGAGGCCGAACGCTTACAAGAGCAATTAGAGCTTGAAGCTGAAGCTATGGGCAAGCCACTGCCAGCGAAAGCGCCAAAGGCGATGTCAGATGCCAGGAGGAAGGCGGAGAAGAGGCGAAAAGAGAAAGAGGAGGAGATCAGCCGGCAAAGAATGATGCTGTCTAATAAGAAGAGGAAGTTGTTTGACAAAATGCAGTACGGTAATCGTCAAAGGGAGATCGAAGCGGAGAAGCTGAGAAAGAAAAGGAGAAGGTTGGAGAGATTAGAGCAGAAAGCTTCTGTCTAAGTAAATATTGTGTTTCTTAGACTTCATATACAGCACGGCGTGCATTCAATGGCTTTCAAAAGCAAAGAGACATTGGTCGGGTAGTTTAGCCTTGTCACCTTAGGCATGTGAGAATTTTGTATTCCCCGGAAGTAGCCCCCACAACGAAGAATACGGTTTCTATTGAATCTCGGTCTAAAGGTCCTTACAACATATACTAGACAAATATGTGCCGAAGAGCTGTTTCTCGATGCTGTCTATACAGCTATATTCTTTGTCCTCCAGGTCCAGCCTGCCTACACTCAGGTTACATCTCGTACTTGTCCCTGAAAGGTCCTCCATTTCGCTTGCTGCTTTTCTCATTAAACTTAATCGTGACAGAAAGAATGCTCAGACTCGGGAATTGTAAAATTTGTGTTTCATCACTATTTCATGTTTGAAGCAGTCCCTAGTCCCACCCGCAGGTGAGAGCTGTCTCTTGCAGCCTTGTGCATGAGCTAGCCCTCAGCTCTGGCCGAATACGGAAAGTAAGCTGAGCGCCTTTTACTGGGCGTCCAGCTTTTAAATGGAATCTGACAGGGTAATCGAGTATATCTGCTTGTGGTTGCGCTGTTGTCAAGTAATGTTTTGAGGAACTCTTTCTTCTCCTGTCACGTTGTCGTCTTTGGATGTTCCCCTTCACTAAATCTCAATTTTCTTGCACGCTTGCTGCCCATCGATTATGGCACTGACGGCTCCATTCCACAGCGCTATGCGCTTAGGACAAGGATTTAACTCGTATACACAAGAGCTTCGCCTCGATGGTGCTATGAAGATTGTCACTTCGAATCAGGCTTCTCCAGATCCATTTTCAAGGCGTCAACCACAGACATTTGGTGCGATTTCTTCAACCAATCAAAACGCATTTGAGATAGTCCCAGCCTCAGGGCCTCCAGAAGGGCAATCTGGTGAACATAATGATTCTGTTTCCAGGGAGGAAGCTAAGAAGAGTGTAAATGGCTCCACAGTCAGTATCCGTGAAGAAGCACTGCGTAGCCAGGAAGCGAATAAAGAAGAAACACCACGTTTTGTACTTCCGCCGGGTGAGCCAATCAATTCGAACCAGAGTGTCACGTTCTCGACGAGATCGATTAGCAATATGTCTGACATTATGGATGCTCTTAACATTTCGGCCTCGATGTCCATCAAATATGGAACAATTCACGGCAATGGCAGCGCATCATTTGTAAACGAAGATAAAGTCCTGGACTCTCAGCTGAACTACTTAATTAGTGTTCGCGTGAACAATAATGATGTGGCAGAGATAGATGAGATAATATTCTCAGGACTGGAACATATTACACCTGACAAATTCACCGAAGTCTATGGAGACTGCTTTATTGCTGGGTTTCAGACGGGAGGCGAGTTCAACGCCATCATCTCCATCGATTGTCATGACAAGAGCAAAGCGAATGGCGTCAAAGAAGCGATCGACATGCAGTTAGCTGTGCCTCCGGTTCCTGGCCTTGAGGTCGGTGGTGGTCAAGGATTTAGCAAAAACCATAGCGAGCTTTTACGGGGCATTGAAATGACTATCTCTGTTAACTGGACGGGTGGTGGCGAATTGAAGCCTCCAGGTGTTCCTTGGGACCTGAAGACTGTTATGGCTGCAGCAAATGCATATCCTTCGATGGTTGCTCGATCTTCGACAAAGATATCAGCGATCCTACGACCATACACCTCAGTCCCAAGCTTCGTCGAGTGGCAATATAAACGATTTGCTGAATATGACAAAGATCTGAAGAACTACATGGCCAGCAAAACTGAAAAAGATCTGGCGGACCCGAATGTAGCGCAAGAGATTCAAAACCTAAAGGATGCCCGAGACCTTTGGATAGACAAGAGTCTAATTCTGAACTATGCTCCATGTCAATTATACACAAACGACCTTTTCAATGCTTACATGCAGTATAAGAAACTCTGGAAAAGGATCTCCTTCATAATGTCAGATACAAAGAAGTGGCGACCACGAACTATTGCAGATATTTACAAAGACATTGGAAAGCCAGTTGACGATGATATTTGCAATGTCAAAAACAACGAAAACGTGCGTCCAGAGTCCAATCGACAAGCAATGGCCACAAAGCCTACCAATCTAGGGGTGATTACTGAAATGAATGAGAACGGATCAACAGATAAGAATCTTCCTGCAAGCGCAAGAACCGTTTCTAAACCGAGAGATACCACACCGAAATCATCCGGGCCTTCAACCCCAGTTCCTCCAACACCTCATGTAGGCTCTATAAGTAGATTTGGTACCTTTCCATTGAAAGATCCTTCAATCAAGGAAGAATGGGATTTAGACGCTCTTAATAAAAGGCGTGATCCAATATCTCTTGATCCAGTCGAACTGAATGAAGCACGGTTGCTCTGTCGAGAAGCCATGACACTTATCACTGAAGAAGCATATAGTCTGGTGTACCATCCAGATCTTGCATATGCTGAATATAACAGTAAGAGTCTTTTTCATTGCAAGTTGAGTGACTAACATATGGATTAGGGGAATCGAAGAAGACAAGGATGAAACGGCCTATTTACATGTACCCAGAGGTGCTGAAGGCACGGCTGCCGACATTCGTTCGCAATGACGCGGCAACGGCACACCGATCGCGTGATCCAGTAATATTAAAACTGAAGCAATTTGATGACAACGATCTGTGGGCCAATCTTCTAGGGGATGATCTGAATCCCAAGTGGAACTATAAGCATTTCGTGTCTCTTGAAAGAAACGAGAGCAACGGATGGGATAACCCAATCATTAGCCTTTCCATTCACGCTTATGCTCATAGTGCTCGTTTCAGGGTTCTTGAGCAATGGTACAGTGACGCGCAGGGATGTATTGGGGGGTTCGGATTTCGTTTTGAAACTGACAAGGACAAACCGGCAGATGACGGCTGTACACAATGGGAGGGCGATTATCAAGATCACGACCCACGCCTCTTTCGACATATGACACTTCGAAATCCAATCGCACACATGGAACAAACGCGAGAACGTCAAGGAGAAGAACATCACAACATAAAGAATTCAATTAAAGAAATGTTTAATAGTTCTGCGCATGCGACAATACCGGAGGTGAAAGAAGCAGAGGCATTCAAGAAGCTCGATGCAAACAACTTCGCCAGCAAGGATAAGAACATCGAGAAAATCGAGGTGTTTTGGGTTCCTGGAACAGGACGCATAGCCGGCATGGTCTTTCATGATGATGTTGGAGGCATGCTAAGTTGGAAGCAATGGGAAGGGATATCGGACAAGCCGGCCGCCATGCATAGCGAAATGCAATATCCGCCAAATGATGGCACAAGATGGCAGTTTGTCGGACTGATGGGCAATTGGTGCACAGATAAAATAGGGCACAATAAGGTTCTTGCCCGTGTAAGCGGTATTTGGCGGAAGACATGATCTTCTTTCCATCCTATGTCCTATTCAAAAGTAATGAATAATCAAGTTATATCGTAGTTCAAAGGTTCCTTCAGATATTTTGTTAGGTCGGATATTGCTAACCCTGGCTTGTGAAGCCAATCCCATGGTATCATGCCACTATGCAGTAATTTGCATCCTAACGCCCTTGCCGATTCCAGAAATTAAGCAAATTCCCAATGAAAACGATTTGTTTAAACTCCCTCTCGGGCGCTATATGCTGATATCTGCTTGTAGTATTGCTTTGGTGAGGCGAGCATTCTGAGCCTCGGCAACCTTGGTGCCTATAACCTCACCGACTCGCTCCTTCAAACGTTCCAGCGTGTTTTCAGAGTTTTCACCATTCTGAACCTTAACTACATCATTCGTGAGTAGCATAAGACTCTCTAGGAGAGCTTTCAGCACCATTTCTGCTTCCGCTTTCCGGTTTTCATCCGCAAGGCCCTCTTTAAGTAAGGTATCGTACGCTGCAAGGTTAGGAAGTAGTAACACTCTCACTCCCTCAGCGCCAACCAGACCCTGCAGGCCCTTTATAGCACCATAATGAGCTCCAAATGGCTTTTTGGGCTCGAGGAATGTTTTGAGAAGTGTTCCTGGTGCATATTAGCGTTGAGCCAGTGATTCATTACTGAAACGAGATGATTCGTATGGGAAACATTTTGAACTTACGCGCAAGACGCGGCTTGAGTGTCTGTGAGGATTTGCCATGCTTTTTAGCAATAGCTAGGATCAGTGCTGCGGCATGATCACGCAGATTAAAAACAGCTTGCGTTGTATCCGACGGTTGGCCGAGGTGTTTCCCCACGAGACAAGTGAGGACGGGTGGAACAAATGAAGAAATGTAAGGCTCTATATAGAGCGATGGGTTGTATAATAACTGTTCCAGGAGATTGAGCATTTGCGTAAGGGTAAACAGATCCTTGAGCTTGTGGGTAACCTTCTCATTCACGAAATGGATAAAGTACGGTATGAGTTGATGCAAACCAGGATCTGTTCGTAATGAGTTGAATGCTGCACCTCGAAGCTCGTTGTTGGACTCGTCTAGGATAGCATGTGTAATGCGCTCGAAGTAGAGCTGAATTTCGCTCGAGAGGATATGCTTGACCAAAGGCTTAACCGTGACACTGTCCTGTCCGCTCAGAGCTGCCAGACTTGCGCTTGCACCAGGCCCTTTAGGCAATAAGTCTTGATGTCTTAAATCGGCGGACGTAGGGTTTTGTGGGATTGATGGCTGAACACCCTCTACTGCAAGCCAGTGCGCCGTAAACGAAATCTCACGTGGAACCTTCGGAAGCGGGGCATTGATGAGCTTTTCAAAATCCACCTCCTCGTCTTCAACATAGTATAGAGGCTGGCCGGGACCTAGGGAGGCTTCGCCAAACCTTAGAGGTCTTGTCGACTCGTACCCAAAGAGCGGCTCGACATCCAGCACCTTCAAAGCCTGTGATATATCATCTGTGTGAAGAATCGTGCGCTTTGAATGTCGCATGAACTTAATTGCCTCCTCAATCACTTGTGAGACCCGAAAATCTACATCTCTTGCCAAGCTGTCCACGCATTCTGCGGATATGTTATTGATGCCAACTGATTCGGCGACATCTCGTATGTTGTCAGGGTTCCACAAAGATTGTGATGCCATCGTGAAGGTTCTCTTCTGTGCGTCCGAGGATTCTGTCAATTATGGCAACATTCGCATCAGTTATCGCATTGCTTGTTGGAATGTGTAGAAAGTGTGCTGTGGTTACCGCGATTCAGCACTAGCCTCCTCTCACACCAGCCACAGGTTATGTCGGGCTTGTTGGCCTATGATTGGCTGGATATCTATTGAAAGCAGCTATCAGAAGCATTCAAAGGCCGCTGATCTCGTGGCCTCATGTGAAACTAGACGTGATTACTGATGTATTTGTCCTGAATTTAGAAAAAAAACATTTCTTGACGCACAGCTCTCCACAGGGTGGGAGATCGTTGGCTCTGTGCCTTGTTCAGTATAACGTCACTCCCTAATCTTGGAAGCCATTCGACTTGAGGTTATTTCAAACACATCTCAGTTCCCAATAATAAAAGAAAGACCATTTCCTCTTCAAAAATCCACAACCCTGGCGTAAATCGCTATTGTACTTCGCAACCTGCATCAAAGGCTTCCGGTCCGAATTCGGCAACTACATCCCAGAGCTGGCAAAAGGTTTAAATACTCTGAACTTTCAAGTAAAGAGCAGATATGGATGCCAATCTTCTGTACGCCTATCAAACCCAGAATACTTCGGACCGACCCAAAATGGGTATGGAAACACCTTTCGGACCGCACACAGCGTTCTTCTACGGAACCTTGATGGCGCCAAAGGTGTTATCGCGTGTATGCTTCGGGCCAAACGTTCCGTTGAACACAACGAAGCATGGAAAGCTCAATATACGGCCAGCTCTACTACAAAATTTTCGACGGCATCGCGTGTTGAACGTAGACTACCCAGCAATACTGCCTTGTGAGGGAAGCACAGTTCGTGGAACCTTAGTATCAGGTTTAACGGATGGTGATCTGTGGCGATTGGACATTTTTGAAGGCGATGAGTATGAAAGAAGAAAAGTCCTTGTGCGGGAAATAAACTACGAAGGCGACCTGAAGGTCGAGCCAAGTGAAGATCAGTTGGGGGTCACGGTTGAGGCGGAGACGTACGTTTGGATTGGCCCAAAAAGTGACCTTGATGATCACGAATGGGACTTCCAGGAATTTGTCAGAGACAAGATGTGGGCATGGGTTGGTAGTAGCGGGGAGGAGAGAAGCGACTACAAAGGTATGTCCGATATCTGCGCTTCACTCGAGGTTGATTCTAGACTCCTCATACACATAAGACAAATCGTACTGATTCTATTCAGATGTGGACGATGCTGTACGGGCAATCGAGAACGATCAAAATGACCCAACTCGCGGTCGTGGTCTTGACGGAAAAATTGGCAAGGCTCTTGAAATAGGAGGTGACAAAGAGGCGGATGTGACTAAGACCGCGGTGTAGTTTCCAATACGTCAATCTGGAAGATACCATAGAGGAAATTAAAGACCATTTCAAGGCTTGTGATTTCCACTCTCTTCTATCTGTGCAGCCTAGTTTTCATGTCCGGTTGGGAAAGTAGGAGGCTTAGAGTAGTCGAGAACACCAAACATTGATGTCACTGGCGGAGTAGTCCATATTTGGTCTTTCGATTATCTTTAGTGTGCTACAGAAGTACATTGTAAATAAGTAATTGTCTGTGTACGATCCCTCTGACGCTGGAAACGTAATTAAGGAATACGTGGCCAGCTCTTATGGAACCATGTTCGTCTTCGCACCTCTACATCGCAATACAGCAATGAAAGACACCGGTGCCAAATGACAGAATGCCAAATGACGTGGCTGCTGAATTAAACTGTCTAATGGATGCGTTGAATATGTTGTGAAGAATGACTTGCGGGCTTTGACCTTCTTCAAAGTTTTAATCTTGGGCGGCAAAACTTCGGTGGAACAGATCACGTGTACGGTTGGCTGTTGCAACTGCCCCCATTGAGCATTTGGTTGCGCAATACAGGTAACTGACGTTATCTGATCAACACGATCCTGTGATCTGGCTTAAGTCTATGCTGTTACTCCTGATATGCTGGAGTAGGCGTTCCTTTTCTATTCCCTCAGCGCAACCATTTCCACCTCATATGCGCAAACAACACCATGGCATCAGCAATCTTCTTCCTTGATCTCAAGGGCAAGGTCCGGAGTTGATGTACGACCTTTTTTGATTTGTGCTGATGACTATTTAGACGCTCTTAGCGCGTAATTACAGAGGCGATATTCCTATGTCCGCTGTAGAAAAGTTTCCCATCCTCTTAAGCGAAGCTGAGGAAGAGAGCTCAGCAGTTCCGCCGTGCTTCTCACACGAAGGCATTAACGTACGCCATATCCTCGTCGTTCATGCAGGAATGCTAAGAGGATTAATAGTATCTCTACATCCGTCATAATAACCTCTATCTATTAGCAATAACCAAAAAGAATACCAACGCGGCCGAGATTCTACTGTTTTTGCACAAGATAGTCGAAGTGTTTACCGAATACTTCAAGGAACTAGAAGAGGAGAGTATACGGGACAATTTCGTGGTTATTTATGAGCTATTGGACGAGATGATGGACTTTGGGCATCCACAAACCACCGAGTCTAAGATATTGCAAGAGTTCGTGGATATCATTTGTAACTATTTTGCTCCCGAAGCTTACAACTATCAGGTATATCACTCAAGAATCGCACAAGTTGGAAGTACAAGCACGCCCACCCATTGCTGTCACGAACGCTGTTAGTTGGCGAAGCGAAGGCATTCGATATCGAAAGAATGAGGTCTTTTTGGACGTCATCGAGTCTCTAAATCTGCTCGTCAGCGCGTCAGGTAATGTCCTACGATCTGAAATATTGGGAGCTATCAAGATGAAATGCTACCTATCTGGAATGCCTGAGTTGAGACTGGGTTTGAACGATAAAGTCATGTTTGAGACGACTGGTCGAGCTACAAGAGGCAAGGCCGTGGAGATGGAAGATGTCAAGTTCCATCAGTGTGTACGGCTGAGTAGATTTGAGAATGACAGAACTATCAGCTTCATCCCACCAGATGGAGAGTTCGAGCTCATGAGCTACCGTTTAAACACGCAGGTCAAACCACTAATATGGGTGGAATGTGTTGTGGAAAGCCATTCGAATTCCAGGATGGAATACATGCTGAAAGCAAAAGCTCAATTTAAACGACGGAGCACGGCGAACAATGTCTCCATCATCATCCCTGTACCTGAGGACGCCGATTCACCCCGCTTTAGGACGAATATTGGCACAGTCCATTACGCTCCTGAAACAGCGTCAATTGTCTGGAAGATCAAGCAGTTCGGTGGTGGTAAAGAGTTTCTTATGCGAGCCGAGCTTGGATTACCCTCTGTTCGGGGCGACGATGATAAAGGAGGAGGTATGATGGGTGGTTTTGGAGGTAGTATGGGTGGCGTCGGTGGTGGCAAGGGCAAACGTCCGATCCAAGTCAAGTTTGAGATACCCTACTTCACGACTAGTGGCATTCAAGTACGATACTTGAAAATCATAGAGCCCAAGGTAAGTCGACTATCTAGTTTGCATTCCAAAGAATTTTACTTGGTTTCAGAAACATTCCGAGTTTCTTGGAACCGGCAGCTTTCTTATCCAGTTCATGGGTAACATTATGCAATGCCAACGAGGGGTGTGGTCCGTTCAACAGGAAGGGTTTCCCCTACCCTGAGCTGCAAGATGGGACATTGTTCAGCCTACTCTCGCATTGAACTAGATCCGGCTATGGTTCTTAGACTGACGAAACTAACAGCTACAATATCCATCGCTACCCTGGGTCCGATACATAACGCAATCAGGCGACATTGCCGTCCGATTGCCCGACGTTCACGCTACCTGAAATCTGAACTACTTACGAAAACGATTATACGCATACCCGTAAGATCACGCGAGGGTGAATCAAGTTGCATCTGCTGTTGCGCCCCAGATTTGGAAAGGTTGCTTGGACCGCCCCGTGACCTACAGATGCACACAGGACACCCCGGAGACAACTTTGGCACACCTCGGATAGGCGGTAGAGTCGTCTGCTTCCGCAGCTATGTTAAGTTGTGGGGAGCGTCCTACCTATTCCTGGAGCAATGAACGAGTGCCAAACTCTACTTTGACTAGACAACAACACACTACAATTTATAACCGTTTGCAAAACCTGGTAATTCTTTATGCTGCGCACTTCGTTTTGACTGGAGTGGAATATCATATCGAAACTTCACCTTACCGGAAAGGAGGCTGACGGTGATGAGAATGCAAATCTGAGTTGTTTCTACACCTTATTCGCCCACAAACGTGAATTGTATGGCTCTTCGTAGTTTCTATGTGCAGAAATGCTATGTAGAATGATACTATGGCCATATCTTCCCGTAGATCCCTCGTTCAAGCCCATGTAGTTCGACTTCTGTTGAATATGGCGGTAAACTCCAGACTTTTACAACAAAACCGCGCTTGTCGACCCCTGCCTGCTATCAGAACCTAAATAAAAGTTGTTCGATAATGAGAAACATACATCCTTCTTCTTCATGTCTATTGTGAATTTTCCACCCGCCGTTTTCGCCATGAACGGCGCGTACAGAGTATTCGAAAACGTCCGCAACCGCTCCGTCGTACGCTGAAAAAGCTAGCAGCGCAATCAAGATGGCTAGATCACCATTGAGACCACCATATAATTGATCTTGCGTCCTTCTACTAAATTCAGCACGGTATGGGGATGGTAAGAGCCTATTGACCCAATGCTGATCAGGTCGTTGAGTATTAAGACGAGGGTACGATCCATTGAACCACGCTTCGGACAAGTAACCTTGAGATAGCCAGTGAAAGCGCAGCAAGGACCAGTCGATGCTATTGATCTCCAGCTCGCCTTCGTCCTCGCCTTCTGCATCCTCTTCCTCTGACGAGTCTCCTTCTTCGTCATTGGCGCGACCACTGCCAACAGTGTACAATGTGCAGTCATAAGGCACCATGTAAAATTGCCCGAGGCTGTAATACATTGAAACTGTCCTGTACAGTTCCGCATTTTGTGGAAGCTCGCCTATCTCTGCAGTTCTTTCGCCGTTGAAGTAAAAAAACCTATCTGTGCTCTGCCCAAGTCTAATCTGACTGCCGTGTAAAGCTCTTGGTGGTTGCCATCGCCCATGAGTGTCTCGAATGGATCGCAGATTTTCGTTTTGCCGTATGCGATTTGCTTGGAAGATGAAAGGAGGCTATCGAGTTATTAGATAATGTCAAAAGAAATATGTTGACATACGGTTCTCATTTCAGTCATACTGCTGTTGATATACGATGATCTAATGAACGTAAGCGCAACTCAACGTGATAAAACAAAGTGTAGATAATAAGGAGGACTTCCTAGAACAGGCACGCAATAGTTAAGGAAGTCGTATCTTGTCGAACACATTGCAGCTTTTGATGAAGAAACATGTATGGTGTGACGGAACTTCGTTCTTGTTGCGGCTCTGGTGAGAAGACCGCAACTCTGCTGTCAACTGAATGCTGCTCCTGCAGAGCGCTATTTCTGGTATGCCAGATGCAGGCGTAAAGCTGTGGAGATGCCCGAAATGAACACTTGTTTGAATAATCGCGTTTAGCGCTCAGTAAGCTGCCATCTGCCTGCCCTGCTACCCCACACGTCTCCCAGACTTTAAGTCTTCCGTAGGAGTGTCTGAGCTGTGGAATAGAATGAATGTATATCGGTAGCTTATGTCAGACATCAAGCTGATGCGAGCAGTTCAGAGCTCATTCTCTTCCTTCTAAGGCTCTGGTAAATGTTCATTAAGAGGTAGATCGGCAAAATATACGATTCAATGGAACTTCCTAGACTGGAAGAAAGCAGGGGTGGACTTGTGATCGCGCCAAACTGTGGCTAAGTGGACATTAATACAGGATAGCTGAGAAGCAATGTCGAGAAGTGTATTGGCGTGTTTGCTGAGCTCTTAGACACTAGCGTGACAGTCTACGCAAGGAGGCAGCTTTAGCAACAGCATTTTTAAAGAAGTTGGCCTCCATCAAGGACTGTGGCTCTTGAAGCCTTTTGGACAATCTTCGGCAGAGTGGGGCTGAAAGAGCGGAACGGCTCGTGGCCGGCGCCGTGAGTGTACCAAACGCTGGGAATTTGGATATATAGATGAAGTGCGTTGTCCGTTATACATGCTGTGTACCATATTGTCACAGGCCTCATCTAATCGATAAATAAAAAGAATAAGCAGAAGAGGGAGATCAAGCATTTGAAGTGCAAGTCGCCGCTTTTTGAACTCGCATCTGCAAAAGCAGGCCCGAATCCTTCGTAAAACTGGCCTATAAATGAATAAGGATGGACAGTCCCGGAAAATCAAGAGCAGATTAGTAACGAGAGACTCGTGCAATATACCTTCTCTGTCCCTTACTGTCAATAGTTCGTGCATAAACCTTGACAGTCTCATGAGTTCCCCAACTTTAGCATTCATTTTGAAATAATTCTTTACTCTGGCCGCTCTTTTTGAGACCAATGCGGCCATTTGGTAAACTACCCAAAAGCAATTCGTGGCATTGTGATGCAACTTCAACGGCTGTTCAAAATCATTGGTGCGACGTGGGGAAATCAGGAAAGGGCAGAGACATAATGTTTTAGTTGCAGCTAATCCTTGTGCAGGAGTTCTCCAGAGGAGCGAAAATCGGGTTCATATCCAACACAGGGGATTACTTCATGCGACTGGATTTTGACTGAAAAAACTTTGACCGGAAAGTAAAGGATACCTTGAGACGTCGGCCATGAGAAAAGCCGAGTCATGGTGGATCACTAGGGCCGTGTTTGGCGGAGGATATTCTCCGCCAACACATAATAACCGCTGGTGTTCATTAGCGAGCCGAGATCTTGACATACGAAAAGGCCATGTAGATAAACTGACACATAATCCCCTACATAGACCGCCATGGCCAAAAATCATATGCGATAAGCCACTGCAGCAGAAGGACGAATTGTTTGGCAAATGGGCTTGTCCACTAGCCAAAGGTACACCCACCTTGCAGGTACCCTGGACGAATAATCCGGCAATCTAAAGCATTCGAATATCATCAGCCTCGCGAAACGCGGATCAGACTTCATAGTCTCGTCTTGATGATCGGAAACTTGGAAACAAATTTGAGTATGATATTTTGCGAAAACAGTTTAAATTAATTCCAGGCGACGTTTGTTTGCGATCGCGTCAGTATGATCCTTTCGCGCAACTCGAAAGACTTCGTTCGCAATTTTTGTGGCCAGAGAGCTGCTCAGTTAATGTTTCCTTAGACTAGTGTGCAGATCAGAGAATAGAAATCATGCGCTAAGTAAAGAAAAGCTAGGTGCATGAAAATGGCATCTGTTGTATGCTTTATAATCCAGAATAAGGAACGTATGGCACTTGATTCGAACCGAATCCAGAAAATCCAAAATACCATCAGCATGGCCAAACTATCTGTACCTACGAAATGCCCCCGAGCATGAGACATTTCTCTAAGATAGAGACCAGACAATTGGTTTGACCGATTCTGCATCATGCTAAGATCGTAAGACTGCCGGTAGCAAAAAGAACGGAGCAGGTTGAGTTGACTACTTGTAAGCCAATTGGAATCGCTGGCATATCCCCATTTATGAATCCGCTTTTCAGAGAAGACCCGCGTAGGAAATTAATAAATTGATGACACGTTGCACGAATCATCGACTAAGACGGGCTGAGTATTGATCTAATCGCTTTGACTTTGGAGCATTGCTCTCGGGTGGACGGGTGGGGTTGGCCAACGCATCGTGCTTGAGTGGTAAAAGTGTTCGTGCAGATATTCAGAAGAAAGCCAATATGGTCTAGCGGATCTCCCTTTAAGGTTCCATAGACAATTGATCTTGCTAAAACAGATCATGCTACAGAACTTGCGCCGTCAATTCTATTTTGAGGAGTTGCTCAACAGCAGGTTTAGAGCGCGAGCAGTGACTACGGATCCTGGTCCAAGAATGACATATTCTCCGATCGGTAGAGGAGCGAAAAAACAAACTCTGTGATACCCTGGTCTTCCCTATATCGGCCGAGTTGTGGGCTCAAAGGAAGATGAAAAGTCGTTGCCTTCTCTCTAAACGATCCTTGATCTGTTGCCTTGTCGTCAGAAAAAGTCTATCACGTGATTCCAAAAGTCTTTAAGTTGAATGACTAAGCAACGAACAAATTCATTCTGCTCAACTTAGATATTTGAACAAAATTTCCAATCATAAAAACAGATACACGTCGAAATCGCCACCCGCACCATGGTATTGGAAAAACCTATTCATACAATTGTCCTCGATGCCGGGCCTATCATCAAAGGCGATCCTAGTGTCTCATCACTGCTCGCTCAATCAGAGCAAATTGTGACATTACCGTCTGTAATCCAAGAAATTAAGGATGAAGCGACTAGAACACGACTGCAAACTGCTCTCTTACCGTTCTTGGTGCTGCGAAGTCCAAAAGAGAGCAGCGTTAAAATAATTTCAGACTTCGCTAGAAGGACTGGTGATCTTTCTGTTCTCAGCCGAGTTGACATACACCTTCTTGCCTTAGCTTACGATCTTGAATGTGAAAGGAACGGCGGAGATTGGAGACTACGAAAATCGCCTGGCGCGAAAAGAATTAGCGGGCCTAAGCCGACTACAAGTGTATCGACGAGCTTGATTGAGGAAACAAATAATGAGTCGATTCAGCCGGATTCATCCACGCAGGATACTGAGCCTCCGTTCACACAAGATGAAACTCAAAAAGCTGAGTCAGTATCGATCTCCTCTCAACCAACTTCTGGACGTGGTGGCGAGGGAGTAGCATCCAATCTTCAAGAACAATTGGAAAACCACGGGGAGACACAAGCTACACCAGGGTGCACAGTTGTTTCGGATTCGCAGACAGTAGAACTTTCAACCTTAGTAGCAGATATTCAATTATCCGAGGCATCACAAGAAGACTCAAGTGATTCTGATTCCGAAGGCTGGATTACGCCTTCAAATCTGAAAAAGAAGCAAGAAGAGGACACCAGCGGAAATACGAGTGCAGCACCCGAACCTAAAGTGCTTCAAGTTGTAAGAAGACGTAATGTAACATGCACCATAATTTGCTCTCAACTGACTTCTTGAGAAGGCGTTGCTAACATCCGATTTCGCGATGCAAAATGTCGCGCTTCAGATGAACTTGAATCTCATTTCACATTCATTGAGTCGTGTGAAATACGTCAAGACGTTTGTTCTACGCTGCCATGGTATGAAAATGCTAGCTAGAGAAAAAGCATAAAGCTGACGATTTTCAAGCTTGTTTCAACGTTGTAAAGGACATGTCCAAACAATTTTGTCCCCGTTGCGGAAAACCTACCCTGACACGAGTTTCGTGCAGTATTGATCAAAATGGCCAATTCAAACTGCACTTGAAGAAAAATATGCAGTGGAACAAGCGCGGTGACCGTTACAGTGTTCCAAAGCCAGTGGCGGGAGCTGCTAATGGTCGAGTGAAGGGGGGCGGGAAAGGCGGCTGGGGCAACGACTTGATTCTAGCTGAGGACCAGAAGGAATACGTCCGTGCTATTGCAGAGCAAAAGAGGCAGAAGCAGCAGAATTTCATGGATGAGGACTATCTTCCTGGGATATTGACAGGAGATCGGTCAGGTGGAAACAGAAAGATCAAGGTTGGAGCAGGAAGAAATGTGAATTCCAAGAAACGGAGGTGAGCATTTCTAACTCTTCAATGTTGTATATCATATGACGCTGCTGTCAAACATAGGCTTGAATTGAAATGAAGTATGAAAGTGGCGCATTTCATTTCTCTCCATTTTCTTACCTTTTCGACGGGTCTATAGTCCGATTTTCTTTGCAATTATAGATATGTGTTTACTCTTCGCGTTCTTCCACTCTACCACAGACCATATAATGGCTCATCCTGCTGGTCTACGGTATCCGGACGCCTTTTATAAGTATTTGAAGGGTAAGGTATATAGAAATCATTAAACTTGAGACATAAATAATCAGATCAGAATATTGCGCCATCAATGTTTACGAGATGGATGAGGCCTATAACTCGAGCCGCTCCTTGGTTTTGTCACGGCTCCACCGGAAATAGATGTAAGTTTGGATAAGTTGACCTCCTTATCTGAATGGGGCATATTAAGATTAATCTCCCTTTTCCGTCTCAAAGCCGCCAGGCGCTCTCTCTCCTGCTGTTTGGGATTCATCTTGGCTAGCTTTCTGGCAGCGATTGCTTTGCGTTGAGCTTGGTATGTCGTGTCTTGTTCGTGATCCGAAGCTTGCGACTCATCGCTATCACTGTTCGAAGAGCCTGTTTCCGACTCGGGCCCCTTGTTTTCTGCTGATTCTCGCTCTGCCTGTTTGATCTGTGCAGTTATGTAAGGACAAAAATAGGAGGCAGGGTGCGGGGAAAAGTGATAAATAGCAACCAGTTCCTGCGCTTCAACTTACCTGACCAAAGACCATCCTTCCCTTTACAAATCTAACTGTTGATTCTTCTCCTTCCTCGCTGTCTTCACTGCCTTGGTCATCATTCTCGGCTGAGTCTAGATCCGCAAATCCTGTCTGAACGACGGTAAATGGTCTGGTCTCTACAGCAGGCTCTTTGACGTTCAACACCCAACGTGTCTCGCCAGCCTCCGCAGCTAGCCTTTCGATGATAGCATTTCTCTGGAGCTCCTCTTCAGCACGGGTCTTTTCTAGTCGTTGCTGGTCGGACAGCTCTGAAATTGGAGTAGCAGAATTGGAGTTGGAGAGCCGAATTCGCTTGGTTGGAGGACCATTGGGTGTCGAAGGCGTCGATGTATTAGCTTCAGTTGCTGCCGCACGTTGCATAAACTTCTTCCATCAGTGTTTCGCCTGAAAGCTCGAGCAAAATTTGACACACTTTCATTGACAGCAGCCGCGTGGACGCGGTGCCTTTTTGTCCGGACATGGTTGCATACGTTCCTTCAGTTGCTGGGAAATAGTCTGTTTAAGTACTCTGAGGAGGCAGAATTTGGAATTGAAATATCAAAGCCATGATTTAAGTTCTTCGCGCAGAGAGAGGTAAGTATATTGAAATCCGCAATGCAGTCATTCCATTTGATGAAGCCTTAACGCCTCAGGTGTACGATTAAAGCCAAGACGGGGTTGAAGCTCTCTCAACCTCATCATCCGCAACAAGGGAGCATCTTCCCTAATCCATTGCAGCTGCGACCATGATCCCAGTACTACGCACGCGGACCCCAGCGCTCCTCAGATGGGCTGCAACACGAGCATACAGTGCTGGTGTTGACCATCCTCCGGCCAACGATCCTAAACCCGCCACCCCCGTCCAGAATGTCTCAGCGACAAATGCTACACCAACCAGTTCTAAGGGCGCAATGGATTCACCGCTCGTCGGATTGGCCGCTGAAGAGGAGAAGGCGAGGACCATGCAGGCTCCTAATCGGGCTGACATCTGGAGCCGAAGCCAGAGGCCCAGGAAAGAGGCTATGGCGGGGCCTCGCTTTGAACAGACCATCATGGCGGATCAAGTAAGTTGCCTCGCGACGGCGACGTTTCGAGCTGTTTCTTAGTCCCTCATTGACTACGGATGTCTCGAGCAGCTCTCTTTTCCGTCGCGTTTCATGCCTGATGATAAAGACTAATTCATCTCCAGCCTCGACCACTCGCTGCTATCGAACTTATCCACAAACAGCCAGTTCGCTGGCGACACGAGCGTGTTGTATCATGCGATGGCGGAGGCGGCCCTCTTGGACACCCACGCATCTTCATCAATCTTGACAAGCCACAGATCAACGAATGTACTTATTGTGGACTTCCCTTCGTATGTGCTCCTTGCTACGACCTCTGTCGAAACCTTTGCTGACGTATTGCAGGCCAACGAACACCACAGAGCAGAGATTGAGGCACAGCCAAACCCACCTTATCCTCTAACGCCAACAGGTGATGTAGCAGAAGTTGAAGAAAGCCAGCGTATTACGAGTGAGCCACTTGGTCATCGGTAAACGCAAGGCGAAGCAGACTATCCATGACATGTATATAGCCGTTGAAATGTGATGTCAGCACCAATCAAATTAAGTCCTTGTACATTTCAGGCCAAGACATTCTTCTTAGATACTTCCTGGTCATAAAGCTTGACAATATCTGAAATCAAGACGAGCACAAGCTTTGCTAGCGTACTATCAACTCCCGAGATCAACCGCTTCGCTAATGTTCTGCAAGTTTGAATTCTACACCTCAAAGTCTCGAGATAAGTAGGATTGTAAAGCTCCTATATAATTCGATGATGTTGGTACAACAGTCAAATTGCCAATGGTAGTGCATGTGTTACACTTCATGCATCCGCCAAAGCACCCAAAATCAGGGTTTGAACTAGGAATTCGCTGTCTACGACTTTGACACTCGTTCCAATGTTTGAACGGGTAATACCAACCTTTTTCTTCCTTTTTTTGCCACCTTCCCGCTGGCTCATGCCAAATACGACATCTCTTGCTTTCGTCTTATCGCTATCACAGATGACCCAGTCGCAAACCAAACCATTCGAAAGTATCTCTTTCGCCTCTGATAAAGTTTGCGCACAATTCACAGACTTCGCACCAGCGGCGTAGGCAAGGAATTTATATGTCTTTTGTCGGTCTGCGGAGCTCATAGCAAGCAGGATTGTGGAATTTCGCAGTGGAACAGATCGCCTGTCGAAAACCTTTTGCAAAGCTGCTTCGTTCCCATCAGGAGCATAGGGCACAAGTAGTCTTGAATGCACAGCTCCACCCAAAAACTCACTATCCCCAGCTGGTAATAAATAGCGTTCGAAGTGCAAAATAGTCGATTGAGAAATGCAATCGGTAATCCAGCGATGATGTAAACATGGGACTCCCAAGGCGAGTGCTTGCAAGTACTTCTCCTTACGACAATGGCGATCTGCTATGACGGCAGTAAAGCCAAGATACTGTGTATGGGGTTTGAGACGCAAGCCTTCTCGCGCGAATCCACCGTTCGTAGTAAAGCGAGCTGGTGATTTACTTGGCGATGCGGCTTGGGCCGCATTATAGTCAAAGATGCCATGAAACCCATCGTCCACAAGGCTCCCTCCACGGCTAATTATGCTCTTGATGATTGTATCCTTCTGCTGTGTTTGAATATTGACAAAGGTAACCGCAAATAGCATGTTCGAAAAAAGATCGGATGTAACGGTCTGCTCCATACCATGAACGCGTGTATCAACATTTTGACGCCGCGATCGACTCCCAGGTGATGTTGGTTCGCTAATATGCAACGCAGGCGTAGCGAAGCGTTCAATTTTCCTAATTGGTGCCAGAAATTTTCGGTCAGCGAAAGCTGGCAGCATACTTCCCGTCAAGTAGATGCGTTCCACGGACACTGTGATAGGTACCTGTGGGGCGGCGGTTCCATCTGCAGTCTTAGATACTAACTTAACAGCATTGTGCCCTCCTGCATCCGTGTAAGATGCTCCAGATATATGATCGAAGTCTTGAATCAAGTATGTTCCCTTTCGCATGCCGTTGAGGTCGACCTTCACACAATCGTCAATTCTCAGCTCAAGCGATCGCACCTGCAGTGGATCGACAACGGAAACCGTGCCATCGTAAAATCTGACTCTGTATTTCTCCCCATCCTGGAATACGGTCTCCAGATACGTGGCAGGGTAGTAGTATAAGCTATGGCCTTTGAACAACGCCAAAACCCTGTGCGCCGAAGGAGCAGTGTCGGGATGAGTAACCTGTGCAGCAGCGAGAGAATCGTGAACAGCGCTTGATATTAGGGGGAAATTTGAATCCACCGAGCGCTCAATCGTCTTATTTTGCCTAGCGGCGTCCTCAACATGTCGTCTTGCATTCGCTTCAGTCATTCTTTGACCTTTATCTGTTGTTCTTTGTCGCTTGGGCTTTGGACTTCTACGAGCAATATTTCTGTGGTACGTAGCCAACCGCCTAGCTACGTGCACAGCTTGTTCACTTTTGAGCTCTTTTTGCTTCGCTGAAAAAGGCATATCTGTACTTGGTATGGATGGTGTCTCGATATGGCTCGCAACTTGTTCTACTGATTGGTTGACAAACTTTGCAGGAGCCGCTACAGATATCGCCCTTGTTATCTCTTCAGAATCCGTTTTGTCGCGCCTCGAGACATTGGAGATATTCGCATTCAAGGATGGCTCATACAGGACAGAACGCTTCTTGGTGTACGTACGGAGACGCTTTGTAGATTGAGAAGGGGAACCATCTGAAGTCATATTCATGAACTCTTTGTCACCATCCGTGAAAATGGTACTAATAAGTCCGTCGATCTCTTGAGATTGAAAACTCTCCCCAGATCTATTGGGCAACGGCGCTGTGGCAATATCCTGAAGTCGCTTGATCGGGCTATCATGTAGTTCCTGTTGGCTTTTTTGAATGCCCTGTATAGGAGTACCAGCTGATGCCACTTGTCGGGAAGCGGCTGTCTCATAATTCTCCGTATCTGTACCAACCACAGTATGATTGCCATTCGAAGTTTCCGTACCTACTAGTCTCTCTGACAGCGAAGACCTTGTTTGCTGAACGTCCGTTAGTTGTTGTGTCGCTTCTATTGTACCTGTTTTGCTAACATATTGTGCATGTGCACATTTCGTCGTGTGCACAGGATTACGTCGACGTACCGGAAGCTCGTCAGCCTCTTCATCAATGTTGACATTTTCCTTCGAATGTTCGTCATGCATGCCGTCAACGTTGGGTTCGTCCTCTATAAATTCATGAACAAGATGATCATCGAAGTCATGATCGTGTTCCGAGAACTCTATGGGGGGACTGCTTGGTATAGTCTCGTCTCTTTCAAGTAAAGTGTCTCCATAAATATCTCCTGCCTTTACAGTCTCCAAGCGCTTGTTGTGTTGTCGTTGACTCAACATTTGGTGATCCTCATGTATAGGCGCAGCATATTGTGACTGCGCAATGCGATTACCAGATAATGCTGACGATGGTGCTGCAAGGGGTGCTGCAGAACTTGAATTGAAAGGATTTCTGTGACCTTCGCCCTGGGAATCTTGAACTGCTACTGTCAATTGCGTGGGAAAATCGGGTGGCAAGCTTTTCTGTGAGCTCGATGGAGATGGTTGCTGAGAGTTACGTGTATGTGAGCCCCGAGGTAGCTTCGACGATGTCATGGGAACTTGAATTCCAGCTGCAGTGCTCCCTACTGATTGGCCTTGGACTATATTAGGGAGATCGGATGATTCATCTGGAGAAATTGGCTGTATGTTCGTGACATTCGGCGCAGGAGTTTGGAGATTACGTTCGCTTGACAAGTAGTCAAGGGACTTGGTTCGGCGACTCCTGGATGAGCGCTCAGGAGCGGTCAGCTGGATCTCCTTCACAAAAGCAGACCTTTCCCGCTGTCGAGTGTTTCTTTGCCTTATTCTTTCTACCCAACCGTCATCCATCTCGTCGGTTTCAGAATCATGGTTCATGCGCTCTTCCTCCTCAAGCTGGCGTCTTCGTGCACGACTCATTTGCGAGTCTTCCATCCGTTCATAGAAGTTCAACGGTTCATTATGAATAGCACAAGCATTCAAAGGCCGAACGGGCGAAGATATCGCCACCGCTCTGGGTGAGGAGGGCTGCATGAATGCATTTGGTGATGGGCGATCAAATACAGTATCCGAAGGGGGGGCACCTGCAGGAGGTGAAGAGCCAACCTGTGTGTTTGCGAACAGTTGCGTCATGTTCAAAGGAAAACCTGTATTGCCCAGCATAGCCTTGAATGCCGAATCTGGTCTTTTGGTAGAGGAGGTGTGATTCTCTGGACTCATCATATCATGCCAGTTCCGTTTTCTGGCAACAGTGCCTGGCGTCTTCGGCTGCGGAACTTTGAATAGGGGTGCTGTTTGGGCCTGGATGCGAACATGAGCAGCAGGGCTGACTTCATCAGTACGAGTGAGACTCGAGACGTCAAACTCGTCATCTTCTTCCGGTCTCTTCTCGACAACCTTCGTGAGGTCAACATCGTGTCCTCTGGAGGGCAGTATTTCGCTATCGACAGTCGCGATGCATTCTCCAGCAAGCAAGCCTGTGTTTGTGTCCAACCCCACGCGACTTGTCCATATATCACTGTGATCACGAAATTCTTGCGTGGTCATCGGTTGCGTGTCACCGCCCGCAGCTTCAAGTCCAATGTCGGCAAACGAGTAGTGCATCTTGCGCTCTTGATTTCGCGCATGATCGAAGGTTTCGGCAGGTGAGGTCTTGTTCGAGATCCCTTTGGCGGCAGAAGAGATCTGAGAGCCAGAGTCGCGCCTCTGCGTTGCTTGTGTGGCGAGCGAAAAGTCAAGAGGCACCGCGTTCATCGAGTCTGCAGGCTCGGCACGTGGTGGCGATTCTCGATTCATCACATTTTGTGGCTGCTCATATCCCGCGTCGACCTGGGAATCCGGCTGGGCGGCCTGTCGAGCCTATCATTAGGCAGCGAACGTCAGCGAAAACACCCAGCTGGCGCTGGAAACGTCGTCACAGGCAGACTTGAACTTACCCTCCACGCACTCCTCAGTTTGCGGACCGTCTGCGTATCCAGAGTGTCAATGCTAGCCCGCGATGCCATGGCAGGAGAAACATAGGTTGAGTTGGGGCTGATTTCACTTTGGTGTTCGTCTGGCGTCGCGCTAACCCAGTCGCCGCCAAACGACGACGCGGTGGCAGGTGATCTGGATTTTTCAGATACAGATGCATCCGCTTACACGCACCCTATCTTTTCAACAGTTGCCATTGATAGTGAAGAGAGTCGATTCATGACGACTCGGCGAAATTCTCACTGGCAAGATTGTCGACTTTTGCGCAAACGTACCTCACAGACTGTCAATCTGTGCATCGTAGATCTTGCATAAGAACATATCCTGTCTGAATCCCGCTTTGAAATTGATTGCAGTTTCCATCTCTATCAAAAAATACATAGTAGCAGGCTTTGTAAGTGCGGCAGCTTGTAGGGATAGCACAATGAGTCGAAAAGCACACAAGACCTTAACATGATCTATCGACCAACAAAATGCTTGCCCTGAGACAGAGTGGAATCCGTCACCTTAGGAAGAGAATAGATCCTTCGACTCATCCCCAGGTTTTTGGCATACTCCTGCTAATTTGCTTCGCAGACCCGAAGAGCAAGACTCATCAAAAAAACCTGCATTATCCAGAAACGCCTGAGCGCCTCGCTACGCATGATGCTGACATCTATTTCTTAGCCGCTAGCTTATCTAAGACATAACGTTAGACATTGATTCCAGCAATGGAGTTGACTGGGACACGTGCTCGCTTGTTGTGTAAGTAGCAGTCCATATCGCTTCTTCAACGTGACTCTGTGCCTGTGGTAGGTTAGTCACATCTTCGTAGGAGTTCCAAGGCAGATGTTGGACACAAACCTCGAGTACTTGTCATCCGGCGAGAATCGAGCTGGGTGTGCTGATTTTGTAACTTCTCCCTCGACGACTTTCTTGAGGGTATATATGCGCTTGCCGTCGGCATCGAGAGTATACATGAGATGCATGGTTGGATTTCGTGGCGAAGTACTGAATTCCGCTCTTTGAGTATGCTTCTGTGGGAACAGGATCGGATATCTATGATACAGAGTGAAGACAGCGGCAGAGAGAGCTGAGGATAATCTTCGGAGTCTGGTGGTTGGAAATTTTCGATCAGCCAATGAGCTTCGTCCATCTCCGCAGTCTTGGCGCCGCCACTTCTGGACGTAAAGTTGTCAACATTTATCTTAGATCTTGCATTCTGGACGCTGTTCAGATTCAGTCCATATGCCGAACCCATGAACACGTATACCGCCACATTTTAACGTTAAAAATGCATCTGCTCATTCTTCTGTCTGTTATGGTGCTGTCGGTGAGGGCACAGTTCCAATTCTTTGAGAATTTCTTTGGTGGCGATGCGCAGCAACAGCGCCACGAACCACAGAATGTGCCCAGCGATTCGGCATGGTATAGGGACAACTACGCAAAAGGTACCTTTCTTTTGCTTAACCCTGCTAACTGCAATTGCTGATGCAAACTTTAGCTCCTTGCTCGAATTACCTATGCCCCGACACACTTGCTTGCGTTCATTTCCCGCATCACTGTCCTTGTGCGTTCCCGGAAAACGAAGACAAGGTGGAACTAGGGGAGGGGATCGCTGTTTGTGCAAGCAAAGGTGGATATAAATCCGGAGAGACAATAAAGAAGATCGAGCTTGCCAGGAAAGGGCTGCTTTAACATTCTTCACTACTCCAGCTAAGCCTTGTCTCTCAAGGCTGAGAGGACAATAGACATCCGTCCCAAGCGATCCGCTTTTCTGTACAATATCAAGTGCCATATGCGAATTGATGTGTTCAAGGACAACATCGGGCTAGACTGCGGTATTCTTCCATGTCTGACTCCCTCGTCTTCCGAGTCATCAAACTAATCAAGACTACGTATCCTCCGCGAACGAGGGAAGAGGTGGACACTTATACCCATACGCTTCCAAATCTGAATTAGTTTCAGTACTGTCGCGAGTCACGACTTGTGCTTTGTTCAACATCGTGCATAAACCTACCGGATAAAATTGAATCATGGAACCCTTCCAAGTCGATTAAATCCACACCTTAGTGGCTTTGCTCCAAATCCAAATACAGTATTTCCACTTTATCAACATGTTCAATGTCCCATTTTGCATAGATAGACTTCTTCCAATCCGTTGCCTTGGATCTAAAAACCGAATATCTTCTGAAGTGTAATATATTTGTCGAAGATGACCAGCAGGTCAAAGCGGACGTTCTATATGAAGCCCGTAGTCTCAGCGAAGGATATTTGGCCCTTCTGTGCTCAAGGCAGGGAAAGTTGACCTTTCCATTTAGCAAAACGCTCTACGATCTTAGGCGGCGTTAAGATTGCAGCTCCGGTGAAGATCAGGTTTTTGATATCAAGCCGTTCTGCCGATGTGCTTGTCGTCTTCGATTTATTACGCACAACAAGCAAGATCATATACGGAGCCTGAATTTCGTACGTGGTACATTTTTATACTCTTGTAGAGACCTGCCAGCAATAGCTCTTGGCGCCGTACTTGCACCGGCTTCTTTGCTGTTCGCAATTAAGCTCTTGGTCATGATTTGCCACCGGACTAAATTGCTCATCAGGATTAATCCGGTTCCTCCTAGATTCTCGTTTTTTATTTTTCGAGTGCATGAACATAATTTGGGATGGCTATCGAGTCATTGATAAGATACTCTACCTGCCTACCGGAGTATTCGTTACCTATCATGTTCGTACTCATATTTGCATAAGGTAGCTCAATCATGTTATGCAGTCCACTTAATCCTAAGATATTGCCGGAAGGTGAGCTGGAGTGTTCGAAAATGTGTTTCAAAACCTTGAGAACGGTGTACATTTCGCTTATCCTTTCACCTCTCCATGGGAAGGAGGATCGGCACTCATACGAAAGCATTACTCACGACGAAATTCACTGTTGACAACACATTTTCAGCTCAGACATTAAGAAGATTTATAGCATACTGTTTCGTTCACATCGCGCGCTTATTGAAGACCCGGGGATCACGCTAGCCTATGTTCATCGAGTCCGAAACCCAAGAGCATGTTGTTTACAACGTTCTACAGTCTACCCTAAATTCTCCTTGTCTGTGAAAACTCCGATACGTGTTAGCATTGTCTTTCAATGACTAGAGTGAACAATAGCATTTGGGATATTGAAGTAGCAATTATCAGATCCAGAATGTCTCATCTACATGAGCCAAACTCCTCGAGAGGGCTATATTAGCAATCAATTGAAAAGATAGCCGTAACGCAAATTCACAGGATATGCGGAAGTAAACAACCATCAGCTGCAGTACGCGTCTGGAGGCGCAGCATTCTTTACCCTTGTCTTCGAGCACCTGGTGATTCTGTTGAGAGGCGTTATGACAAGTATTGGTCTTGGTAACAAGGACGAAAAGAGACTTCGGCAAAGGTGTTTCGGAAAAATTACCGGTTTTGTAGATAGAACTATGAGCCGCACGTGTGATCTTCACTGTGGTAAGTGTACGTTGGATCATACGATCACGAGCCTATTGACATGCTTGGTTCTTTGAAGAGAAGAGAGGCTGGGAGTGCCATACTTGGCATGCTTTCAGCCCAAAATCAACTTATAAGTGATCATACGCAGGTGAACTACAAGCTTTTGTATCAAATCCTGAAAGATATCGAACACAGGCGATCTTCTCGGCCTTCTGCCTAGGCAAAGGATTCATGAGTTAGTTGTGGTCGAGTGGATTAGCATGTGCGGTGCAAGCCAGTCACCCGAACAGGTTAGTAAGCCAGAGACGGGGCAGGGAACGTTAAGGAGGTATCCTTGCTCAGATCCAGCCGCAACAATCTCAACTTAAATCTGCCAGCCGAAGGCGGTGAAATGTGGAGAGACCTGGAGAATGCAAAGTTGACTCCTGAAGGTTGACACTGCATCTTGCCTTCTCTGATATTAGCACCCTGTCGTCCAATGGCTCGAACTCGCGCTTCAGATGCAGTTGATGGCGCCCTTAAAACTACCAAAAACCCGATTACTGGCGACCAGAAGACAGACCTAACTCGATGGCGCCTTCTCGACGAAAGAGGCCGACAAACGTGGCATTATTTGAAAACTGACGAAGAAGTAAAGAATTGGCCTCAGAGCGTCGCGGATAAATGGTTCCTGGGTCTCGATACTGTACCTAAGTCCTTCTCTCTGTTGCTCCTCATTTCTTTTACTGAATCGAGCGCAGGAACAACCAAACCTACCTCCGGCGACGACCACCAGACAAGCCGCCGAAAATGGTCTCACATTCTTCAAACAGCTTCAGCTGCCACCTGGCAACTGGGGTTGCGAATATGGCGGACCGATGTTCCTCCTACCGGGTTTAGTCATTGCTTGCTATGTCACAAATACGCCAATCCCCGAAGAGCAAATAATTGAAATGAAAAACTACATTTTTGCTCGGCAAGCAAAGGACGGCGGCTGGGGCTTACACATTGAGGGCGAAAGCAGTGTGTTCGGTGTTTCAATGAACTACATTGCACTCAGGCTTTTAGGTGCCCCGGCAGATGATCCTCGTCTGGTGAAGGCACGGAATCTGCTTCACAGCTACGGCGGTTCCGTCAATGGCCCTCATTGGCTCAAATTCTGGATGGCTGTTCTAGGAATCGTGCCGTGGACCATCGTGAATCCTGTCCCAGCTGAATTATGGTACGTGTGAACATTTCGTATGTTCTTTTCGGTTTCCAGAAGATTAATACGCTCATAGGCTACTTCCAGACTGGACTCCAATTTCTCCATGGCGATGGTGGATTCATATGCGCATGGTCTTTCTCGGCATGTGCTTTATTGCCTCTAAACAATGGTCATATCCACCAACCGAACTCACGCTGGCTCTTCGCGAAGAACTTTTCGTTGAACCGTATGAAAAAATCAATTTCGCGGCTCACAGAAACAGCATACACCCACGTGACAATTACCACCCTAAGACCTGGGTTCTAAATACCATCAATTGGGTGTTCGTGAATGTTTGGAACCCGTACCTGCGCTCAAACAGGCTTAAGGAGGCGGCAGAGGACTTCTGCTGGAAATTGATTCAAATTGAGGACCAAAACACGGACTATTCCAACTTAGCCCCAGTCAATGCCCCAATGCAAATGCTTGCTTGCTATATCAAAGAGGGGCCTGATGCTTATTCTGTCAAGCGACACATCGAGCGTTTAGAAGACTTTAAATGGATGAAAGGAGAGGGTATGCTTGTGAACGGAACCAACGGAGTACAGAATTGGGATACGGCTTTCACAATACAAGCTACCATAGAGGCAGGCTTTGCACAAGACGAGCGTTTCCGTCCAATGCTCATCAAAGCATTGGAGTACCTCGCAGACATGCAGACGCTAGAGGATCCCCAGGGCATTTCTGATATCGGTACAAACTGGAGAAATGGCTACCGCCACCCAACGAAAGGCGCATGGGGTTTCAGTAACCGTGATCAAGGTTACTCTGTTTGTGACTGTACTTCCGAAGCACTCAAAGCTGTTGTCATGTTGCAGGCCATCCCGTCCATCCCCAAACTCGTCTCAGACGAGCGATTGCAACTCGCTGTCGACAACATTCTCACCTATCAGAATCCAGACACTGGTGGATGCTCTTCGTACGAACTGCGCCGAGGCTCGGAGCTCTTGGAATGGCTCAACGCTGCAGAAGTGTTTGGCCGCGTAATGGTCGAATACGACTATCCAGAGTGTACGACCGCCTGCGTCATTGCTCTTACGACTTACCGTAAGTACTATCCAAATTACAGAAGCGCCGACATTCAAAAATTCATCGACGGCTGCGTGAAATATATCCGCAAGGCGCAACGGGCAGATGGTTCGTGGTATGGCGCGTGGGGTGTGTGCTTCACGTACGCAGGTATGTTCGCCCTGGAGTCGCTAGCTTCTGTCGGGGAAACCTACGAGAACAGCGAGCGTGTCCGACGTGCTTGCAAATTCTTCATCGACCGTCAGATGGAGGATGGCGGGTGGGGTGAAACGTATAAGAGCTGCGAAACTGGTGTGTGGTCGCAGCATGAGAAGACCCAAGTTGTTCAGACGGCGTGGGTCATCATTGCTCTGCTGCACGCGGATTATCCCGACGTTGAGCCGATCAAGAAGGCTGTGAAGCTGTTGATGGAAAGACAGCAGGCGAATGGCGAGTGGTTGCAGGAGGCTATTGAAGGTGTGTTTAACAAGAGCTGTATGATCTCATATCCGAACTACAAGTTTGAATTTCCTATCAAGGCACTAGGCATGTTCACGAAGAAGTACGGAGATATGAAAATATTGTAATGGCTTGAAGTTTGGTTTAGTTTCTAGGGCTGAAAAGCAAGAGGTCAACAATCGTAATTACATTATTTGTCAGATGACTCTACGACCAGTTCACTTCAAAAGGCCGTAATGCATAACAATTAAGAAGGCTAAAAACACTTGTGCATAGTTTTTTTGAGCGAACTTCTATGATTACCGTTGTGATCTGATTAATATAACGTCAAACACATCACCGTCACAATCGAAAACAATGAGCCTTAGGTATTCGTATTGTCGGAAGTCATGGTTCGTGACCTTGCATGTTCACATTGGTGTTACATTAGTCTATAACTTCAGTATTTCGTCATAGCCAGTTGCCCAAGTTCACATGCACCGACTTTTTGTTTGTGTAAGCTTCAAGGCCAGCCTCGCCGAGCTCGCGGCCAATGCCACTCTGTTTGACACCTCCAAAAGGAACTCTGAAGTCCGAGTCGTTAGAACTGTTAATCCACACCATGCCAGCCTCTATTTTTCTCGCTACTCTGTGTGCCCTTGCTATGTCCTTCGTGAAGACAGCGCTGCCCAGCCCATATGTAGTATTGTTGGCACGAGCGAGCGCTTCTTCCTCGTCCTTGAATGACGAAATAACAACGAAAGGACCGAAAACTTCCTCGCGGAAAATCTTCATATCATCCTTGACGTTTGTGAAAACTGTCGGTGCAATGTAGAATCCTTTCCCATTGCCGACGTTTTTGTAGGCCTCGCCACCTAGGGCCAAAGTTGCACCTTCGGACTTGCCGGATTCGATATACGAAAGGACGCGCTCATATTGTGCCTTTGTCACCTGAGGACCCTGGAAAGTATCATCCTCGAATGGATTGCCAACTTTACTAGTTGACTTGACTCGCTCCTTGAATGCTTCAACAAATTTGTCGTAAATGCCTTCCTGGACTAAGATTCTGCTCGTTGCGGTGCAAATCTGGCCCATATTCGACATGATACCAATGTGTCCCCATTTCACCGCTTGGTCAAGGTCCGCATCGTCAAAAACTAGAAGAGGCGATTTGCCACCAGTCTCGAGAGTGATATTCTTCATATTAACAGAAGCTAGCTTCATGATTTCCTTGCCTGTAGCTGTGGAACCAGTGAAGGCAATCTTGTCGATGCCCATATGGGAAGCAATCGCAGCACCTGCTACACGTCCGTAGCCGTTCAAAATGTTCACGACACCTGGGGGAAAACCCGCTTCCTTGATTAGATTGGCCAAGTACAGAATTGAGAGAGGCGTTTGCTCTGCCGCCTTGATGACCACGGTATTACCACAAGCCAAAGCTGGGCCAAGCTTCCAACCTGCCATTGACAGCGGATAGTTCCAGCTGCTTACGGTCAGCATAAGCAAGAACAAATTATGGGGAAACTCACGGAATGATCTGACCGCAGACGCCAATTGGCTCGCGAATCGTATAAGCCAGTTTCGACGGTGTTGTCTCAATGACTTGGCCGTGAATCTTATCGGCGTAGCCAGCATAGTACTTGAGCGTGCTAATCACGTCCCCTAGATCCTCATCCAGCGCAACGGAGAATGGTTTGCCTATGACAACATGAGGAACCGAATCATGGATCAACGCTTCTAGTGTCCGGCTCACCGTTATCCCACGTCTCAATGGTGGCAAGAATCTCCCTGTGCTCTTCAACAAGCTTGACAAGCTTGAACATGAGGTCACCACGATCTGTACCGGGCAAGTCACGCCAGGAAGGATCATTGAATGCTTTGCGTGCCGCTGCGACAGCTGTGTCAACATCCTCAGCCGACGCGGCATACACGGATGTGATTTCGCTCTCATCACTAACGTCGTGAGCGAAAACTTCAAGTTGAGTAAGCTGAACAGTAGGAAATTCCTACCTAGGGTTAATGCTCGTGATCATTCCACCATCGCTGGACTTCACCCATTCATTGTTGATGAACAGCCCAATCGGCTGCATATACTTCTTGCCATTTGGCGCTGTCAGCTCAACTGCTAGGTCCGACATCTTCACTGAATGGCTGCTAAATGTGCGTCGTGGAATCCGCAGATAACGTCTTGGCTGTGAGACTTTGCAATCTCGAGCGACGGTTTGGAGTGGAGCTGATTTGAACGAGCTGAACCGACACAACAGTTTCACGGAAGATGATGGGGAGAGCAAGAAGTTTGACATCGGATAGATAACGAAGCACTTTTGGACAGTCCTTCTATTTGATTGCTCCAAACCCACTGATGATCGAGTGCCCCGCAGGACGCTTGCCCCTGCCAAAGTTGGTGGGTTGCGCGCACGTAGATAATGGAAAGAGCTACTGCATAAAGGTTAGCGGTTACTGCTTCGAGAAACATGCACCGAAGGCGCACCCGAAGCAGGTACGGGAACCTCACGGGAGCCCGTGGACACCGACGCAAGCAAGGAGACGAGAACGGCGAAATTATCAACTCAATGCCTTTTTGGCCCTGGTGGGGTTACGCACAGTGGACGTGAACCAATAGGAAGTTCGCATCAAGAGAACGATACAGTGCAGCAGAGGACGTAAAAAGAGTGACTTTTTCTACAGACGAAGCATCAAAGGCGTTTCTCGTTCTTTGAATCAGACGAACGACTGCTTTGGTGACCGCCAACGCCGTTGACGTTGCACTTCCTCCTCTAGCAAACCTGTCACACCTCATTGTGAATTTAGAAGGAAAGGTTTCTTTTGAAATACTGCCACAGCCAGCTCATTTCCCCTCTGAGGCTTGTTTTCTTCGAAGGCCCTCGGTCTGTCTTGTCAACAACTCGTACTTGTGATTCACATGCAGTTCGATGACCGTGATGTTGATCCATATTCGATGGGAAGTCTGGACATTAAACCGATGGATGCCTTGTGGATGCCTTGTAACTCGTTGCATATAGAGGACCTTTCTGGCTAAGCTGCGGTGAAAGATTCATGCTCGGAGGAGTCTTAACGCTGGTGTGCGTTATCATCTCAATACGATAGGCTACGTAATTGAATACAATTGCTAGCCGGTTGTCGACTATCCTGGGAAGCTCTGTGGATACTGGTTTGCGGGCTTTTCGTTTGTTAGTAAAGATTTGATCGCCCAGAAGGGTAGAAGCACGTACCGGACTGTTCAGCATGGTCTGCCTCTTGTTACGTCCCTTCTTAATGTGCGACTTGAGCTGGCTCGAGTCGAGTGGCTTGAGCAATTCGAAGCTGCACAAAAGTTCGGCGGAGACAGACATGACCGCCCCCCAATTGTCAAATTCGCCGCAATACTACTCAATATGTTAGCGTGCACACTGAATTGGCTCCAGGCTCAGACTTACATTAGGCGCGGAGAATACCGTGACCAAGATCCTGTCGTTGAAGAATTCATATCCATCTTCAACAACCATGTGAGCGCGACACACAAGATCGAAGTCATGTCTTTGCAAAAACTCCATGATGACCTTTTTTCCGAAACAATATGACACTCCACGTTCGTTGCTTTCCCAATCATTCTCCATGTCGGCAGGGTCAGACCAGAGCAGATCATTCAACAAGCCATAGTCCGGCACATCCGTAGGGCGAGCAATGTTCCGAATGTCGTCCATGTGGCTAAGTGACGGCGAGAGGCCTCCGTGGACGCAAAAGATCTTTCCTGCAACAATTGCAGCGATTGGAAGCGTGTTGAAGGTGTCAATGAATCCTTTCCATATTTTGATATTGCAGCGCCTCTTGCATTCATCATAGAAGCCATACACGCGCGTAACATTAGCGCACTCGTGGTTCCCACGAAGTAAGAAGAAGTTCTCGGGGTATTTCAGCTTGTAACATAACAGCAACAGAATCGTCTCCAACGACTGCTTTCCACGATCGACATAATCGCCGAGAAACAGGTAATTCGATCCAGGAGGAAACCCGCACATCTCGAACATACGAATCAGATCAGTATACTGTCCGTGGATATCGCCCACAATCTTCACTGGTGGCGCAAGCTCAAGTAAAGCTGGCTGCGAGAGAAACAGCTCGCGTGCAGCTTGGCATATGGCCGTGATCTCAGCATTCTTCAAACATACCGTCTTGGTAACTTTGCCGGCGTATGCTGCATCCAAAAGTCGCTTGATCATGTCATCAAGATCAATGGACTTGATAGCGGACAATTCCATGGGAGATTCAGATGTTTCCGGCTCTGGCTCTGGAACCCGCGGAATTGCCTGGTCTTTCTTCATCATCAATATGGGTTCCTTCGGTTTGGCATTAGAGTCGTGCAATGGCACACCAGAAGGAGGAGCATCAGACACGTGGTCGACCTCTCCAGCTCGTTGAGCCTGATCAACAGACTCATGGCCTCTTCCTACTGATTGAGACTGCGTGGGTGATGGTGGCGGTGACTTATCTACATCCTCGAGCGCATCCTTCGCCTCTTTTGCAGTAGGGGTGTCGGTAGATGGAGGTCGCGGTTGAGAAGTGCTTGGTGCTTTGCTCGATTTCGCTCCATTTGCCTTCGCATTGCTTGCCGCAGACTTTGCAGAGGCAGCGTCCGCTTTGTCATCGCTTGTTTCGAGGATGCCAGAGGATCGTGGGCTATCCTTTCCGGTGTTCGGAATCTTCGATCGGATGGCTGATGAGATGGATCTGCGTGAATCCTTCGTGTCCGATCTGCTGAATGAAGGATATGACTTGAACGCGGAATCCTTCGCGGAGTCGTCACCGCCTTTCTTATCTTTTGACGGCTGATTGCCCATGTCGCAGAAAGGACTTGCTGGCAGTAATTATAGCTAGCCAGCTGCCCCGTCAAGGACGTACTGAAGCAGCGCAATGATAGTATAGGCTGCTTGCTCGCTACAGGCCAACGGAATAGCTCAATATGCTGTGGAGATGCCAAATTCGAGTACGTGTGGTTTGTTAAGGAGGTCGATAAAGGCGTTGCAGGAATGAGAGAAAGCGTAACTCGACGACAATAACAGTCCTCGCAGTTCGAGTGGCGGCGCGGAAGTTTGGCCCGTTCGAAGCTGGTAGCGAGTGGATGTAGGGGTCGCGATGACGATGCCTTTGAGCCAGTTTTTTGCTGAGGTAGAAGGCAGCCAAAGCCCAGGTGTCAAGCACGATGACGCTAGGCAGGGGATTGGAATGCGACGGTGGAAGAACAACAATTTCTGCTCATGGAAGTGCAGACGGATGTAGATGGCTTACGTTGTCGGATACGGACAGGCAGATAAGGGAGGCGCGACTATCGAGGTTGAACGAGGAGGAAGCAGCTCGCCCAAGGAGGAGTTATTGGTCGTGCCTGCCTTGGTAAGCTCGGGTGGGGAAGCAAAGCTGTGGTTGGTACGCGTGTGCGAGTGAGAGAGAGCAGGAGCGAGAGCAAGCGCAAGAGCAAGAGCAGGTGGGAGGTGCAAGAGCAAGTGGAAGAGCAAGCGCAGGCGCAAGCTCGCTCGTACAGCAACTGGAGTTAGCGGACCGGAAAGCGCGGTCGAGGATGACGCAGGGCCAGGCTGTGACCAAGATCTCGCCCAAACTCCGTTCGTTCGTTGTGGCTCGCGAGTGAAAGATGAGGCCGCACAATTCTGACAATACCTGTTGCAAATCTCTGAATCCCAGCCGGCTGGATGGGTGATTTTTGAGGATTTGCGTGCCGCAAGTGTTGTGGTTGGAGATGTGTTCTGGGTTCACCTTGGTCCTTCCTCTTGGCGCCTTTTGATCACACAAGTGCGCTAGTCCCCTTTCAGCTCGGCCATTGCACCGGGGTCGAGGCCTGCGGACAGCGTGGCATTAACATGGCATTGATATTATCAGTCAATTAGGTTCTGTTTCCAGAGATCTGCCCTTTAACTTTGTTCAAGTTGACTCGTGCATTGTTTGTTCACGTCCCCTTTTCTCTCCTCGCGAGATGACTGAGCGTTGCTGTGGTTTCATGATTGGGATCCTGCAAACGCCTGTAGGCCCCGGATGCCTGCAAATCTTACTGCCCAAGATCTCCACTTCAAGGTCCAGATGCTGACTGACAGGGCAGCGTGGAGCCGCTGGGCAAAGCAGCTGAGCTACGCCAAGTCTAGCGTCCGATCGTCTCTCATGCATGTGCAGTTGGCACGAGGACGCCAAAAAGCGAACCCAGAGTTCGGCTTCAACCTCCTGCTCTTCAATTTCCTACAACAATCGCCATATTAAATCAAATACCGTCGGTTCATAGATAAGCAGCGCCTTGCAACCTATGCGCTTTCGACCCCGTCCCGTCTTTAGCCGATTCTTGGTTCTCCTTGTTCCACATCGGTCGGTCTGTGACATGTGCTAATTCCCAGTTGTCTTCAGTTTGTGATGAATCATTTTCGGACAAGAAGACAAGTTTGGAATACGCTTTGACGGCGTGGATCTTTCTAGAAGCCTGTTCATTCTTCGAGGCAGCATGAGCTGCATCAGGTGCTGTGTGAATATTCGACAATTTGGGGGCTTGACTTCATCGAACTGCATTGATAATGGGCTAGAAGCTGAACCTCCACTCTGCATCTTTGCAAGCCGGACGATTTTACGAATAGGTACTAATGAATTTTTTCTCGCTACTGAAAGATAAGCTACCATTCAACACGCGCATTGCCCGCAAGTGTCAGTTGAGAGGCTAAACTCTTTCAGAGTGTCCGATGCAAAGGTTAATGGGATGCCTCTATGTCGATTGGTCATGAAAAATGGTGCTAGAAAACACAGCCTTTCAATTGTTAGCGTAGATGTCATCTGTGGCACATAGTCTTCAGAGATCAGAAATGACGAAGTTGTTAGGATTGAATTCAACGTCCCCCCTTGGCAAGGTCAGAAAAGGCATTCTGTTCTGATCCTCTCGTGACTTACTCTAATCCTGCAAATTGAGCGGGCCCTAGTCAACCTGATATTTTTCTGTGCAATCTGGATAACGGTGTTCTGACGCATTTGGTGGAAAACAGAGTCAGCCTACGGATTGAGGTCTCGTGGCGGATCTGGAATAGGAGCAATATTGAGAGATTTCCGATGATCAATACAGACACGTCGTGTTTTCCCTCTATGTAAAAAGAAGAGTAAACAGATAAGCGTATAGTTTGGAGAAGATGCTTGTGCTGAAGAAGGCGGTGAAGAGGGAGATGCGGACAGCCGGAAGGAAGCGACGGGGCCCCGGATGGCGCAGAGATCAAGTAACACGGACAAGCCCGCGTATCGGCTGAGTTGGGGGATGGAAGGCGGGCCTCATCCACTGTGATTTAGATGATCGTATGAAATCAATTCCGAGCAGTCTTAGGGAACGATCCTCCATCCTTTGGTTACACCACTAATATTGCAGTATCAGAAAGGTTCAGCAGCCTGTCAATTTTCGACATATCTCTCCCTGCACAAGGAGAGTTCCAAAGACTGTCACTGTTCCCTGTCACCCATCAACAGTGAATGGTCAGGAGTACGGCGTCATCGTCACCACTCAAAAGCAAGAAAACCAAATTTTCTGAAAAGTCGTCAACTGAATATCGAGGTCCTGCAAAAGTTAAGTCAAGGACTACGTGACGTTTTGATTGACAGCATGCCTCGATTTGATCATTTGCCCACCAGAGTAGCACCTGCAATAACGCCCGATGTGAGCTTTGCGCAAGGGTGGACAGTCGATATCTGGTCTCACCAGCATGGAAGAGAGCAGATTCTCTATCGAGACTGCACACTCACAACACTAGTGCGAGCATCCGCGCTCTTTGAGCGTCTTGCCCGCGTGGAATGCTCCAAGCCCCTTGGGTATGGTCAGAAAGCCAAGATCAAATTTTCCCTTCCTCGAGGGATCGCTGGCGCAGCTTTTGTTCGAATTGTTGAATGGATCAACGCCATCAACGAGATCAGCGCGCACGGAGACATCGAGGATCCTCAGATCACAACGTTCGATGGCGATGGGCTGACGCAGTATCTGAGGCTGCTCCAGGCGGCAAATCTGCTGGAGCTGAAGCATCCTCTGCATAACCAAAAGCGGCTGTTAGATATGATCAAAGCTACGATTAAGAAATCTTTCGACACCAAGAATAACAGCTTCAAGAACATCTCGATCACAGACAGAGAGATCGGCATAATCTGGGACTTTGGCCAAGGTGATCGTGAGAATGCTGTCGTCAAGCTCCTGCTCGCTTTGTTTGTCGACGCGTATGACGTGCGTAAGGAGTTCCCGACAAGGTTTAAAGATAACGTTGTGGCACGCTTTGATTCTCTTCTAGCAAAAAATGAGGACTTTCGGTCTGCGATCATTGACGTCAGAACAAAGAAAAGCACGAGGATGCGTGAAGAGGAGCGTGAGCGAAAAGGCTTGCCGAAGGGGCAGTATCCTCAGAAAACTGGCCAGTCCAAAGCACATTCATCGCGAAAAGGTCAACACTACTACAAAGAGAACAAAAGCATCCAAAAGGCTGTCATGTCTGATGATATGAATCGGTGGCATGAACTGGAACTCGACGAGAAGCAGGTCGATGCGCTGCTGCATAGGCCAGAGGAGTTTCAGATTCCGTACGGCAATGGATACGGCGTGGCATCTGGCGAGCGAAGCTCCGATGACAACAAGGGACGGGTTTGCCATGGCGGCTGAAACGAGTACGTTCACTCCATTGGAACTTGCCACAGACGTGGTGACAAGATGGATAGGACGATGGAGATGCAAACCGAGGCATTTGGAAACCCGAGTGAAAATGGCAGAGGCCAAAATGTAAAATCAGCAGAGGCACCTTACTCAAGGAGACACTCGTGGAGATATTCCTGTACCAAATAATTGAGACCGCATCTTGAAGTTGAACCTTGCTCTTAATTCAAATGACGGTCATGATTCTCGTCAAGCTTGTGAGCAGTGCAGTCCGACGATCTTTTAAAGCTCAAGCCACAGTCCATCTCGAGTCAGACAGGTTCCGTGCCAACGATTCCGATCAAGTGATGCAAAGATGGATGGCGCCATGGTCGTTTAAATGAGTAAGATTGCTCAGGCGTCTCTCATGATCCCACTTTGATTGCTTGCGTTTTGCGCAAAGTTGGCTAAGTTTGGGCGTTGACCGGGTCACCGCCCAATGGGGGAGGACATCAGCCACGTGGCGCAGGCTAAAACGTACAGACTCACATTGGCTAGGCCAAATTTTTTTACATCAAAGGCGGTCCGATGTCTCTCGACTGCGGATTTCGCAAAGCGACTCGTCATTGACCAGACGTGCTAGGAGCAGTGCCGAGCAGTCTTCTGAAATACATTAATAAAAAAGAAAAGAAAAGGAAAAGAAAAATAAAAAACAAAGCCCCCTTCCTCCCATCTGGGCAAAAAGCTCCGCCTTCGTCATGGTGCCGGGGAAGCTGTCGCCGTTTCTCGAGCGAGCGGACAAGACGCAGGCAGAATCGCTCGCCATCGTCTCGCTCAAGCGTGACCAGCAGGTGCCCGTGATTCTGCGGGACCTCGCCCACGGCTCAAAGGACACGATCACGAACACGCGCTTTGGCAGCTTTCCGCACAGCACGCTGCTCGGCAAGCCATGGGGTTCGCAAATCATGGCGACGAACGTGAACGCGAAGGAGACGCGGAAGGGCAAGAAAAGGAAGCGGGAGGACGACAGCGAAGAGGCCCAAGGCGACGCCGACGACGATGGCGGTGCGCTCCCGCCTGCGTACGAGGCGGCATCACGTGGCTTTGCTCACATCTTGCCGCCCACGCCCGAGCTCTGGACTGTCTCGCTGCCGCACAGGACGCAGGTCGTGTACACGCCGGACTACAGCTTCGTTCTGCAGAAGCTGAAGGCCGGACCGGGCGACTCTCTCGTCGAGGCCGGAGCCGGCAGCGGAAGCTTCACACATGCTTCGGCAAGAGCCGTATTCAACGGGCCCTCTCCCGGCGGCGATCGCAATGTAACGAATGGTCATGCGGCGAAAAAGCGGCAGAGGCACGGCAAGGTCTACAGCTTCGAGTACCACGAGCCCAGGGCGCGGCAGCTGCAACGCGAGGTGATCGAGCACGGCCTTGATGCTGTCGTCACGGTGACCCACCGCGACGTCTACGAGCGCGGCTTCTTACTCGAAGACGGCACGTCGCCGGAGGCCGACGTCGTCTTCCTGGACCTGCCTGAGCCGCACAAGGCTCTTGAGCGTCTCGTACGCTCTCCACCCGACGGTTCGGCGTCTCCTCTGAATCCCCACGGCCCGGTTCGACTGTGCGCGTTTTCTCCGTGCATAGAGCAGGTTCAGCAGACCGTGGAAGCCATGCGGCGGCTTGGGTGGGTTGAGATCAGCACATTCGAACTTCAGCACAGACGGCTCGACGTGCGGAGAGATCTGGTAAGCCTGAAGTACGAGGGCTTGCGAGGCGTGAATGCAACGGCAGCCAATGTGGAAGAGGCGATGACCAAGCTCAAGGAGCTCGAGGCCAAGATCGCTCAGTTTCACGAGACCTCGAAGCAGGAACAGACGGACGGCGAAAAGGCGGGGAAGCCAGCTAGGAAACAGGACGGTTCAGCTGTGGAGACGAAGCAGGAGAGACTGAACCGTATCAAGGAAGAAGATAAGACGAGAAAGGTTTGGCGAGAAGGCAGGCTGGTGCACAGAACCGAGCCGGACCTCAAAACGCACACTAGCTACCTGACATTTGCTATTTTGCCGCAAGCTTGGAACGAGGGGGATGAACGTGGGATCCTGCACCAGTGATTCGATAGCGTAACCGGATGATCGTCCAACATGTCCGTTGACAACTAGGCCAAGCTACAGTGCACACCGTGCAATGTTGGCCAGTCATAATACCCCTCCAGCCTAGCTAATGCAAGTCATTCAGAAGCATGATACAATGAGACATCCGCAGCCTTAAACTGAGATGCACTTTCATGGCGCTCATTCTTCTTTCCCACCCCTTCGGTCTGCCATCGTCGTTATTGTCAGCATGATTTTCGTCAATTGAGGGGGTTCGGGGCGGATCAAAGCGGGCGGCGGACCCGCTTTATCGATAGGCCAGCACGAAGGCCAGGGTCAAGTTTTCTGATGCCAAACGGCGAGCATGTGGACCTACGTCAAAGCAATGGTGAGCCTACGCTGATTCAAGATCTACGAGCACTCAAGCACTAGTTCCGAGTTCCACCTGCAGGTTGCTGGGGTGCCACGTCCGCAACATGTATGTCATTTCCACGCAAACGTTGCTCAACATGTCAGCAGGGTTGTCACATACCGCGCCTTTTTGTGTCGACCATCTGTACAGCAGCCGTTTAGGGAAGCAATAACATATCATCGTAACTACCATGGTCTTCTGCGCTTTTCGCAATGCATCCAGGCAACGGCGTCATCATGTTCATGGCATGCGGAGATCAAGCGTCTAGATCCCGGCCCACGCTTTGTTTGAATTATGTTTGGGGCCTTGTAGATTCCTGTCAGGGCTTCAATAAGTAGGTGCAAATCGTCTGCTTGCCGCTCTCGCTCCAGGGAGGGGAAACCATCCAAGGCGGTGTCCCTTCCCCGCTGAAATGCGTCGTAATCCAAAACCAGGTGAGACGAATGTGAACTGGTGAATAACCTTGTTGCAGTCCTGTTCACAATCAGACGAAAGCTTGACTCCACAATCGTCGTGGTCGGCGGAGAAAAACTTGTCCCCCTGGAGGTTCAACGTTCTGACAGCCGTGCCCTGAGAAAGCTACAGTCTCTGATCACGCCATTGTTGTCGCAGAGTTTCCGAGCGGACTTGGTTGATCGAACATCTTGAGCGAGACCTCAAACCATAACCCCATGCTTTGACGGGACGGCTCGTGACCAGGGAGGCGAGCTAACTAATTGTCAGCCAATACCATGTAAGCTTTTCAACGCGGTATCGCAACACGGACCATGGAAAAGAAGTGGAAAGCATTTTCCGGCTGAACAGCTACGCTTTTTGGCCCAGCGGGTCTTTTTTTGACAGTCACGATACACACATGTAGGCTTTTAACGGGCCATCGTAGGCTGTAGTCATGGGACCAGTTTTAGAGTATTCCGACGCAATGCATAATTCTCCCCGATCGACTCCGGGCGTGGCATTCTAAACTTTGACTACTTCTTTTGTTCTACGTTCTCTTTTTTCTCCGGACGACTCGAGTAAGCGGACAATCTTCTCATCAGATGCTCGCATCTCTCATCCACAAGGCGAGATTTCGATGCCCCTTTATGAAACCGGATGTTGCCGGCTGCATAAGAGGCCTCACCGTGTTGTAAGCATCCTCGATTCCGACAGCCTGGATACGAGTGATGAGGGTTGCCCGCTCTGTCGGCGCATCGAGATGGCATCACCACCCGGCTCGACGTGCAGCCGCTCAAGATCGAAAAAACCAAGGCTGTGCGGCTTGACTGATTTTCTTTTTGCCCCCGTGTATGCCTCGCAGGAAATGTGAAAGAGGGATAGGACCATGCGTGTGTGCCCAACGTGCGCGAAGACCGGTGAAGCTGTACGGTGGAAAAAAAAAGCAGACGATGGTACGACTGCAGGACAGCGTGCTGCCTCAAAGAAAACCCATTGCCGTTGCAGGCACTGAAATGTTCCCAACGATTCCCACCGCTGTATTTTCCACGCGCTTGAGGCGGAGGATGATGATGGCTGGACAGCAGTATTGACGATTAGCCGGGGGTAGATAGCGAGGCTTGCCCGCCATCACGCATACTCAGCTCCACCGAGGTTTTCGAGCCGCGTCCAAGGAAGAGTGGTCGTCATCCCGTGCGAAGAGAGTGGGGGTCAAGTTTGCTTTCGTGCATGAAGAGAGAGAGAGAGAGAGTAGACAGAAGGAATCGTTGCCGGGATTGCTGCCGGGGCAGGTCTTGAATGATCACTCCCTTGACCCTGTACGTTTGCCGGGTTCGCCGTTTGGCCCCCCTCCAGCAAACGTATGATCCTGGCACTGTTTGTGACGTTGCCATGTTTTTCCAGGTGACGAGCGATCACTATTCGTCCATCTCGATTTGGGATGATGGTCTTTTGAGCGCTAGGTCAGGTTATGAATCATGACCTCTTCGACAAGTCCATTTTTGCATCAGAGACCTTGGCCAGGCTGTCAGATGTCCGTGTCAGGTCCAAGCACACAATGTCAGGATGACAAAGCATCGCGAGATCGTTGGAACACGTCAAATAAGCGCTTGCGAACAGAGTTGGGACGGGCTGCCGAAGGACGCAAGTTTGATAATTTTTGTCTTTTCAAAATAAAACAAATACTATAATCCTGATACATGTGCCATGGTAATATCTGATAGACCAAATGACAGTAGTCTAGCTTTGAGTTCGGGGGTATCGATGTGGTGTGCTCGAGGCTGCATGCAGAGTGTTCCACTTTAGACCGAAACCATTGAACGCCGTGAATCCGATTACTGTAGAAATCTCCATTACCGTTACCCCGTGTCGAGGGAACAAAAAAAGTGTTCAACTCGCCTGGCATCTAAGCATCCCACCGAGAAAGGAGGGATCGCCGATGAGGCAGACAATGTACCAGAGCTCCCCAAGTAGAAACCAAACACGCAATGACGAGCAGAAGAAATAAAAGCATGATTATATAATACATGATTGGTTGACACCAGGTCAACAGGATCGTATTAGTGTTGAAACGGATTACGTCGCTGAACTGCCGAGAAGTCTTTCTTGATGAGGGAAGCGGAATGCATCCCATCGAGTGCAAGCGGCCAGAGCTGCAGCGTCGCAAACGCTGTGCATGTGGCGTGCAGCCATGTCAGCCGCGGCGTAAAAATGGGCCTTTGGATGGAAGGCCTCGAACTGACAGCACGGTCTGATACATAGCAAATTCAAGAAAAGGGTTTCGCATTCATTGATCAGACGGCCGAGGAACAGAGCGGTGGTCAGGTGGTGCAATCGAAGTCGAGAGGTGTCCACGGTGCGCCAGCCCCAGTAGAGAAGAGGAAGAGGAAGAATCGACAGGACGGCGTGCGAACAGTTGCCGTGTGTGCGCCTATTGCTTAGGCACAGGGGGGAGTGGCTTGTTGGGAGGTGCTGGGAGATGGAGTCAGCATTGAACGACGAAGACGCTGAAGGGGAGGCGGCAACACTTACGGCCGGGGAGAGGCGGCAACGAAGTTACTACGGAAGGCATGTTGGTGTGTGAAGGTGGTGAACCAGTGAGCAGAGCCTGGCGAGAGCGATGTCGAGATGCCGAGCACTTGGCAGTCGATCTGTCTAGAGTCGACGGCGGCGTGGGAGGGAGATGCAAAGGATCGGGAAGACGGGTAAGGCGAGCGTGTGTGATGGTGGCAGTAGCTGTGCTTGTTGTTGTTGTTGTTGTCTTTCTGAGACGAGAAGACAGAAGGCGGGATCAAGTAAAGCAACGACGAGATGATGGTCAAGATGCGATTCCTGCTTTGCTCGAGGAAAGGCAAGCGTGCGGACGGAACAGGCTTTATGAAGAGAGCCAGGCGGGCACGCAATGGTTGATATAGGGTTAGCGGGCGTAGAGTAGGCTGGCACGACAGTTTAAAATACAGTCATGCATGGTAATTCCCAGGACGATGGTAAGGAGACGGTCGGCAGGGATGGGCTTGCTAGCGGCTGGGGCGACGGGGACCAGGATGTCAGGCCATGGGGCTATGGCCAGCAGCTCCGCCAGGCGTTGAGGTCCTTGCTGGCCGCACCGATGCAGGAGAAAGGGCTGGCGCGGGTTGGGTTGAAGGCGAGAGAAGAGGTGTTGGTAGCGTCCTCTCCCGGCGCGCGTGCGTGTCCGAGCGAGTACGTGTGAGCGAAGCGGGCGGCGTGCGTGCGTGAGAGAGAGAGAGCGTGAGCGCGGGCGGGCGCGAGTGCGTGGACGTGCGCCCGGCCGTCCCTTCCCAGTTTCTGCCTGCGCCTGCCGTGCCCGTATCCGTGTCCGTGTATGTGAGTGTGCGGGCGTGCATGTGTGCGGGAGAACGACGTGCGCTTGTTTGTGGAGTCTTTGTCTTGCTACGCCGACGAGACTGCGCTGCCCTTTCGCCGGCACTCTGCTTCGTCTCTGATCGCCTGTTCCTGCCGCCGCCGCTGCTGCTGGCGCCCCTCCACCAGCACTGTTCCTATCCATAGCCGCCGCGTTTGCTGCCGTCGCCTTCGCTGCTGCCCCTGCTGCTGCTGCAACCCATCCACCGCAATTTCCTACCGACTTGGATGGATGACCGACCGACCGACGGAGTGATTAGTGTGCGAGTCGTCCGTCGATGCCTTGGTGGAATTGCGCGCGCGTGTCCGTGAAGAGCCTCGTCACCGCCTTTTGCTCATCTTCTCGATGCTCAGTAAGGTGATCCACCTTGTCCACCACCACGACTGTCCGTTCCTCCGTCCACTACGTATGGCACGTTTCACGGCCACAGGGTCGCTTGTCCGTCACGCTGATTAGACGGCTCGCTATCAGCTTTGCCATGTCTCCTCGCCGCTGCGATTGGGCACACCGAGAGCATCACCTTACCGCAGCCTGTCCGTCATGTGCTCATGCTCGCTGCCCGTTCTGCCATGATGCAATCTGGTTGGCACGATCCAGCTTGCTCCGTCACCGTAACTGTCACAGCTGCCATCTTCCCCTCCCTTCCCCTCCCAATCCTTTCCTGCGCTCAAACCACCGTCCTCCCGCCGTGTGCCTTTCGACCTTGTGCTGCTACGGCAATATCTGTCCTATGAAGAGCAACGCCGGATCCACCCCAGGGCAGTTGGCAGCCTCTACGTCACCTCTCCGCTCCCGCTTGGGCTGTCCACCACCGTGCCAGTCGCCGCACAATTCACAGAAGCTTTTCTTTTCTTGATCCTTATTATTAGCCTTGCCTCGTGTATCTGCCAGGTTTCGTGCGGTAAACGCTCGGAAATTCTTTCCAAGCCACCATCATTGTTATTTCTCGGAGCCGTCACCGGCCAGGTCCCATACCCGAACACAGTAACGTGTCCGTCCGTCTCTCTCGCGGCCTCCGAGCGCGTCAAAGGGCGAAAAAAAAATTCGCCCGTCCGTTGCACCAGCTGAGCTCAGCCTCCCCATTTCGAGCGGTCGGCGTTTTCTCCCGCTTCTACGGACGTTCCATGCATCTCCTGTAACGAAATTAGGCGAAGGCCCGTTCACCCCTCGCCCTCCACCTGCGCTTTTGCCATCGCCGGGCTTCACCGCGCACGGACTTCGCTGTTTCTTCTGTGCACGCTCTTCACTCTCTCCTGCGTTGTTGGATCCAGCAGCACGTCACGATCTGCCACGCGGTCGCCGTCTCCCCGCTGAAGATGTGCAATGTGCACAAGCGTAATTGCGCACCATGAGCGCTCGATAGTCCACAGGAGCAATGAGTCATCACATATATCTCTCCACTGGCGATCCCCCCTCGGCCCTGCATGCGTAAACACTTGTTTTTTGCCCAACGTTCGCCGCACAAAAGAAACAAAAATGAGGAAACAGGTCTGCCTAGGACAAAGCCGAGGACTTGCCAATTTGCCGTCGCTCAGAATGCGGCGGGATCAAATCTGCACGGATACATTAGCCGACCATCGTAATCACAGCCACGGCTCCTGCACCTCGAAAAGCACCCAGCGCAATGGTTAGGCTTTCATCGCGCTCTCGCTGAGAAGACGGCTGAACACGATCGGCCAATGTCTCCAGCCTTTCTAGTGCTGTTTGGTGCGCGTGGATGCAGGCATTATTTGCCAAGGGTGCGATCACCTTTTGCACTACTCGCAGCCTCCTGACCTTAGGGGGCCCCACCAGCGTCTCTCGAAAATTCGTTCCCTGCGAGTTCGACGGCTAGTACAAGTAGTACGGAGTAATCTTGACTGCGTTTGTGTCTGTGTTTCGATGGACAATAATCTCACCCTGAAGCCGTTTTGTCTGCAAGCTCCATGTTGTCCCAACGCCATCGCCTCATGATCCACTTGCGATTTCCGACTGCTCGGAAACACCCCTCCCTCCTTTTAAAAGACGTCCACATAGGAGAATTTCCTCTGCATCCCTCAAACGCAATCTGAAACATGCGGTCTAGAATTTTTCTGGTGCGCCTTTATTGTGCCACAAAAGATCTTTGCTTTCGCTAGAACAACGGTGCGCCCTTGCGAGCACTCAAGTGACTTGAAAGAGATCTCTTTTGCTGCATCCCAGGTTGTGCAAGCGTAAACGTTCGAAACATTGCGACTCGTTCATTGTTGTGGGAATTTTTTTTTATTTTGGCTTTCGCGTTAGTTCAGAAACTCGTGTCATGGACTGCGGCTCGACCACTACGATTTCGCCTCGCTTACGACATGCCGACGCAACAAAACATTCTACTCTCGCTTCCCAAAAACCTTCCCAAGGCTCCATGCAAGTCAACAGCGACAAAGCACGCTTATGGACAGATCGCAAAGTCTAGCGCAAGACCTGAAACAAAGTATCAGATTTTTTTTTGCGACGCCAATCAAGATCGGCTTCTACTCTTGCCTGATTTGCCTCTTGATCTGCTTGCCACGTGTGCATCCCCTTGGGGCTGTACTATTATTTCCGTGCTGGTCCTTGTCCGTGGTCCGTGATCAGCCGTTCGCAGCTCTAGCAAACTGGATATGTCATCCTCGTCTTCGACGGCATCCCAAACCAGGTTGAGACCTGTCCAAATCTCTCCTGCTGACAAAAGTTGACCCTAAGCAAACGAAGGAGTGACAAAATTGGGTCCTACAAGGCAGCATCGAGGGTCGGATAAAAAATTCCGGATTTCAAACAGTAATCACTCGCCAAGCCTGCCAGCGAAATTTTTTCTCGGAGTCCATCACATGCACCTCGAGTGCTAGAAAGGTGAGAAGAATAATACGACATACAGTACTTGTTGAGGAGCTTTCCGTGGGGGTCCGTGGAGATGTCCTGCTGGTAGGACAGGCGTCGTCAGGTCGGAACCCTCCTCGAAACGTGGTTGCATGCTTGTAATCATCCCCGAGTCATGGACCCGGAACGCTTTCCAGCCTCGACAGCTTTGCTGACAAAGTCGGCCCGACAATGAACAGAAATGTCGAACCACGCGACCTTCTACGATGCGGAGATGCGCTTTGAAAACCTCTTCGCTAATCTTCTGGATCATGCGCGTATCTACAACGTTGCTGGTATATTTTTGGTGAGCCTTCATACTGTTATGATCATTTGTTATCCCTGAACGTCAAGAGTCTTGGGGATTCGTCATAATCACCTATTCTCGGATACGAATGACACGTCTGTCGTGTGAAATCACGCGCCACATGATCAAATGAGCCCATGAGCTCCTTTGTGCCGTGGACCGCTGGCTGACACATTTCGTTGAGCATATTCCCTACCTCCCCATGCCCCATATGTGCCGATTTTAAGCGCTAGACGGCCCTACTAAGGATGCACAAACGGCATTGCTGGCTACTTTTGTTTGCCGCCTATAGCGCTATTGTCGCGGTCGTGCAGCGTGCTCGCTATCGGAACACCGATATCTGTCTTGATTCAAACTCTCATGCATTTTTCTCGCATTGCGATGTGCTCTTCTTGGATGTCCCGTGGCCTTCTGAGCCAGTGGGAATGAGCAGACCTCGGTCGCGCACAAAATCTAGACTTGGACTAGGAACGCATCTGCGTCAACTCGACGCTCAGGCACGCCTAATAGCCCCCAATAGCACCATCTTGAAGACACGAGCGCCTTGCTGCACGACACAAATGACTTGCATGAACACATCGGCCTTCGTTCCTCCGCCCGTCCGCCCGCACTCAGATGATTGCCTCGGGGTAGGGAATGATGCTGCGCCCTTCCCCGCAATCCTACGTTTTGGTTTGGATATTGCAACACATTACGTGGATTTTGTGTATTTTTTTTCCGCTTTTTGTTCAATCATCAGACCATTTGCAAGATCAAGCTGGAGCTATCATGTCATTGCTGCACGGCCGGAAGCCACTGCTGCGAGCTCACCTCACCGTGGAATGAGGAACAGACGATCCTGGTCTGAAGTCGAAGACAGACGGTGGACGAGGTTCTCAACCCTTTCCACAGATAAAGACCACGTTGAAAAAGGTTGACTTTTGGCTTCTGTGCGGAGCGGCACGACGCGTAGTACAACGCTAAACGGGTCAACAAACCCGGAGTAGCTTAGCATGGTGTGGTCACAGAATGCCTAATTCGCCCTTGGCTCATACATGTTTGAGGTACGTTATTACTCGACATACCGTCCTATCTTCCCCGCAAAACTGGGTATGTTTTCGGATGCCGCAGGCCTGTCTCTTCCTGGTCTTTCCTCGTTGCTCATCATCATGGGTACGTGCTGCCGTGGCGTAGGTCTCAGGGCTTGCACCCTTGATTACCATTACTTTTCTCCATATTGCCAATTCGCGTCAATGAGGATCTGCGAAACATTGGTCAAGTATTGAAACTCATCTGAAATCGCCCGAGATGGTTTAGCACCCTATAGCCCTTTCCACTTATGCGAAGGCTTGAGCGGCAGATGTGCTTGGTAGACGAGCTCGTTCTTTTTTTTTTTTGGATGACGATATTACGAGAACGTTTAATTAGAATAACACGGTCTTCAACTGTACGGCCGAGTTTGTGACTACATGCACTATTTATGGAATAAAGAACTAGGGCCCAAGACGTCGCTTAGCCGAAGATACGACGGAGCACAAAGTTCGTATCGTCTCTTCGACAAAGGTTTCCACGTGAGCCTGCTCACATTGTGGTGTTCGTCGGATAAGGCCGACCCACATGCAGGCCCATGCATAGTGCCGAACTCCGGCAGGGTCATGTCCAGTATCCTGGCGCTGCTTCCGATGATGCTCCCTCTTCCTTCGAAGTCGATGCCAGCGAATTTGCCATCGTGCAGATAGATCGCTCCCTGTAGCTCTTTTGCTCAGCTGATCGGCGGGAGAAGGCGTTGGCATGATCGTCCAATGAAGACTATAGAGTGATGGCCTTCGCTTTTGACTCACGCTGCACATGTTGACACAATCGGTATATCGCCCGTGACCTGGGTGTCCCATTTTCCATTCTCGGGTGTCTTCTGCTGAGTGTCGATGCTAAGGATGACCCTGTTTCCTTTCCTTTCCTTTCCTTTTTTCTTTTTCTTTTTTCTTTTCTTTTCTTTTTTTTTTTTTTTTTTTTTTGGGAATCCTTCATGAACACGAGTTATGCCAGATCAACAGCGGCAGAGAATCCTTTTCCCAAACTCTCGCATTAAGTCGTTCGCAGGGTTTTACATGGATACTCCTTTCACTCCTGAGTGAAGGGTAGTAAGTCTTGGAGGTGCTATTGGGTTTTTTAATTCTTTTAATTCTAAATGAAATAAAGGAAAAGAATTTGTCAACCCGTTCATGCGTACGCGGCCTCCACTGAGGGAGGCTCCTCACGTGAGTAGAGTCTTCAGGGATGGCTTGCAAGAGATGAAGACAGACGTAGAACTCCCAAAGCTTTCGATACAAATCTTTCAGGTCGCGGTTGCTTTGGTACGTTGTATGCATATAGGTAATTATGTTTGTAAAGCACTCTTGCGTCGCCCCATTAGCTGATGCTGTTCACACTTCCGGGCCAATTCGCTGCTACTGAACGATCCTAACGATATGTGTTTATGGATGTGCCTTGGAAGCAGTTGCAGGACGGATGGAAAGCCATCAGACGGTAGCTAGACGGTTTCCATGTTATATGTGCTCGACATGACGCTGCGTACAATTTACAGGCGTTTCTCATGTTCTTCGAGCGTGTCAAGTTTGTTGAGAAAAATCCACAGCATTGGATGAAGATTTAGCAAGATCTCTTTAGGAGACTACCCTTCATGAGTGTACTCTCTGGGACATGACCATCTATTCCTAAAGCTAAAACGTTGATGTGTGTGATGAAGGGATGGGGAGCCTGATTCGATCCCAATCCGGATAACTGATGGGCAAATGGAAATGATGCCTAAGGACTCAAGGGATCACGCGTTTTTTCGACGCGACGCGTCTCCAAAATGAGGGACACCTCCACTTCAGCAACAAAGATCACACATCCGAAAGGCACAGGCCGCAAAGCTCTCACTATGGACAGAGAATCAGTCTATGCCTTGAGTATCGGCCTCAGCAGGGGCACCCAAGCCGACGAGCCTGATAGCCGTATCAACATAGAGCAACGGCTCGTCGACTTCATTCTCGAATTCCAGATCGACAACGCTTTCATATACCGGTAGGCAGGAATCAGCGTCGTCCAGATTTGAAATCATTTCTGATATATTTGTAGAGACCAGATCCGTGAGAATGTGCTCGTCAAACAGTACTACTGCGACGTGGACGTCGCCCACCTGATATCGTATGACGAGGAACTTGCGCATAAGCTCAACACGGAACCAGCAGAGATGATTCCTATTGTACGAGACCCATATTGAAATGTGTGCGATTTAGACAGCTGACATTAAAGTACCATGTTTAGTTCGAGTCAGCACTTAAGAAATGCACGCAACGCATCGTCTACCCTTCTCAAAAAGATGTTCGGTTGCCTCAGCACCAACTTTTGCTACACTCGACCGCGTCGCAGATCTCAATCCGTGATCTGACTGCAGACAATGTTTCGCATCTCGTGCGAATACCGGGCATTGTTATTGGGGCATCGACTCTGTCATTCAAGGCGACAACACTCGCCGTTGAGTGTCGGAACTGCCACTACACTGCCCATATCCCGGTCAACGGTGGCTTAGCCGGTCTGAGTTTACCGCGTACATGCGGTCGCGAAAGAGGGCCCGAAGACAAGTCGGAGCGATGCCCCCTTGATCCGTATTTTGTTGTCCACGAGAAGTGCCAGTTCATTGACCAACAAGTACTGAAGCTTCAAGAAGCACCAGATCAAGTCCCTGTTGGCGAACTTCCGCGGCACATTGTCATCACAGCTGATAGATACCTTACGAACCGCGTTGTGCCTGGATCGAGATGCACAGTTATGGGTGTCTTTTCTATCTATCAATCCAAGGGCGCAAAAGGAAATACGGCCGTGGCCATACGAAATCCCTATCTGCGAGCTGTAGGTATACACGCCGACGTGGATCATACAATGAAGGGCAATGTAATATTCTCCGAAGAGGAGGAACAGGAATTTCTTGAAATGAGCAGGCGCCCGGATCTGTACGAGACTTTCGCCAACTGCGTCGCGCCTTCCATCTACGGCAACCTAGACATCAAGAAGGCGATTGCATGCTTGCTGATGGGTGGCTCAAAGAAAGTTTTACCAGACGGAATGAAGCTTAGAGGTGACATCAATGTGCTGCTTCTCGGTGACCCTGGCACTGCAAAATCGCAGCTGCTAAAGTTTGTGGAAAAAGTAGCACCAATTGCTGTGTACACTTCTGGAAAAGGCTCTTCTGCAGCAGGTCTTACGGCCTCAGTACAGCGCGATGCATCAACACGCGAGTTCTACCTCGAAGGTGGTGCCATGGTTCTGGCTGATGGCGGCGTGGTGTGTATCGACGAATTCGACAAGATGAGAGATGAGGACCGCGTCGCAATTCACGAGGCTATGGAGCAACAGACGATCTCGATTGCGAAGGCTGGTATCACTACTATTCTAAACTCGAGAACATCCGTTCTCGCCGCGGCCAACCCAATCTTCGGTCGATATGACGATTTGAAAACTCCAGGCGAGAACATTGACTTCCAGACGACCATCCTCTCGCGTTTTGATATGATCTTCATTGTTCGAGATGATCATGATCGAGGACGGGACGAGCGAATAGCCAAACACGTGATGGGCCTCGCAATGGGCGGTAGGGGCGTTGAGGAACAGGTCCAGGCCGAGATTTCGGTCGAGAAGATGAAGCGTTACATCAGCTATTGCAGACAGTAAGTTGATGACATGTTCAGACACCCCTCTTTGCGACTGACAAGTTTCAAGAAAATGTGCACCTCGATTGTCACCCGAAGCTGCCGAGAAACTCTCGTCACATTTTGTCTCCATTCGAAGGCAGGTCCATGCAGCAGAGATGACTGCCAACCAGCGGAGCTCAATTCCGATCACCGTTCGCCAGCTCGAGGCCATTGTTCGTATTACAGAGGCTCTTGCCAAACTCACACTCTCACCAGTTGCAACCGAGGAACATGTTGATGAGGCCATTCGACTTTTCCTCGCAAGTACCATGGACGCCGTGACACAAGGCGAGGGTCAAGGCAGTAAAGAGCTCATGGACGAGGTTAGCAAAGTTGAGGACGAGCTGAGGCGAAGATTAGCCATCGGCTGGAGTACAAGTCTGGCAACGTTGAAGCGCGAGTTTGTGGATAGTAGAGGTTACTCTGAGCAAGCACTTAATAGGGCACTGATTGTGCTGCAAAGGAGAGAGACAATCCAGCTGAGACATGGTGGTGCTCAGGTGTACAGATCTGGTGCATGATGACGACAGAGATGCAAGGCTAAGACACCTACCAGGCGCATGGCGTTACTTGACTAGGGGGGAACAAAGAGCACATTGGGAAGCGGGCCATTGCGATGGCATAGATGACTTGTACGAGCTTATAATAATAAAAATCCTAGCAGATATGCAAAGGTTGAGGTGCGCTTCTGTTCTAACTTGTCCCTCTTACCGACACATTGTGATATTTGGACCCAGTCATCTTGGGAACGAAAAACGAGAGTCACGAAATAGTCGGGCGACAGCAACTGTGCCGATGGTTGCACAGGTAATCGCCATGGAACAGCGCGTGCAGCAATTTATAAAGTGTCGTGGCTCGGGCGCCGGGGCAGAACAACGGAGGAGTTTAGAGGGAGTGGAAACACGAGCCGGACCGGGGCTAATGCAGGTACGCACAACAACGCTGGAGGACACTAACATATATTCGTACACGGCAGGGAAAAGGCCCAGAATTTCCTCTAGCGACATCTCGAACCAAAACGCACTCCAGCGAGGATTTCCTAATGCACGAACCCGGATGCTGACGGCCGTTCCATCATTACAATCACAAATCCAGCGAATCGTGATACAAAGCCGAACCCCCCCAAAAAACAAAAAGAGAGGAAAGAAAGAAAAAAAAACCCAGGCCGACAGAGAGATCGGCTGCTTCCGTCGATAGTTCTTCCTCGACCGGACTACTTGCCGACGGGATTGCCCAAGTTCTGTGCTTCCATCTTCCTTAGCAGCGTGCCACTGCCAAACAAACTTGGCTCGCTCATGTCCAACATTGGGCCCTTCGCATGGTTCCCACTTATTACACCGTGGCCCACCTGGCCATCGCCCCAACCGCTCTTCCCGCTCTGCGCCAGCAGGCCTACGGTGAAAGGTTCAAGGTCGTCAGGCGCACCATGCGGTTGTCTCCTCGTGCTCTTCGTACGGTTGATGCTCTTCGATTTCTCCAACCCTCCACCGCTCGTCGATGGTCTTGCGCGCCAATCGTTGTTTCCAGGTATGCCAAGAGGGTTCTCCGGTGATGTGGCGTTCTCGATGAGGCCGCCAGAGCCAATTTGATCAGGCTTGAAGCCCTTGCCACGCTTGGCGAACTGCGGGGGCTCTTTGTATTGAGGTGTGAGATCGACGAGAGGCTTGCCGAAATCAGGTTGGCGGACGCTCTTGTGCCTACCAAGTGTGCCTGAGTCAAACGAGTTTCTGCGCTGGGAAATACTTGACCGAACAGAAGTGTTACGCTGGAGGCCGCCTCCGTAGTCTTGCGAGGCTTTCGCGTTATGCTTGCGTTGCTGGTACTGTGAACCTAGCAAGCCATTGGGGTTGAAGGCATCGTCGCCGCTACGAGTGCTGTCCCAGCTTAATCTGTGGTTCTGTGACGCACCGTTGAGAGCGGCCAATGCATCTTCGCGGCCTCCGGGCCTGTTGGGGATTCCGTGGCGGAGTGCTGTTGGTGGAACGCGCGTTCTCTCCTTTCGTTCTGACAATTGCCTTTGGTGCATCATACGAGAATGCTCTTGCGCAGAGGGGAGAGCCAATCCAAAGGCGCCAAGCGGTCGATTCTCATCGAAAGAGTCCTTGCGCTTCTCTGCATTAGAGGGTTCTTGCGTTCTTCCGAAGTTGCTAAAGTCCAATCCAAGGTCATTGAACGAACCAAGCATGTAGTGCGATTCCACGGACTTGCTACGCTGGTGTCCTCCCGTAGGATCGGACGCCAGATCTCCAAGCTTACTACCTTTGCCCTGGCCCATCTTATTGACCAAGTAGTAGCTTCGCCAATCTTGAACAGCACGGAAGAAGTCCTCAGCGGCCTGCTTGTCTTCTGTGCAAAATACGTGGATGAAGTCAGACTTATTCAGAAACATGGCGCTCTTCTGCTGCGACTTCACGAGCAAGGTGACCGTCCTGGACTTCTTCTTTTGTCGCTTCGGATCTAGGATAGGTGCGTAAATGTCAAAGTCTGAGATGTTGCACACTTGGACGACATCCTTTCCGCTTTGGTTTTTCGCTGCAAGAATCTGGCCGTCGGTTCGAACGGTGATCCAGCGGTCGTCGAACTTGCCAGGTTTGTATTGATACATGAGCCAACGTTCAAATTGCCTGAGTTGATGTTGTTGAGGAGCGTGAGCTTCATATAGCTCCTGATCAGCTTCAGGATCGGACGGCTCAATCATGAGATAGTTCTGGTGATCATCCTCCCACGAGTTCAGAACTTTCTGCACGTGCTCGTACATACGTAGGGGTCGCCGTATGTTTTCTGGTCTGTAGTGCTCGTATATAACAGCCTCTCTGGGATTAAACTGCTCCGACATGACGTTGGATGCAGATTTGATCAGCTGCTGAGCAGAAGTTGTTGGTTCGACGGGTAAGTTAATCTCCGACTTGCCAAATCGAATTCGAACCCGTCTCTCTGCGCTTGCAACACCTGAGACCGGTGCATCGCTGAGAGGCACGATCCCGCCGCCGCCTGGTTTGATGGTCGGGAGGTCAAATTTGGGCGGCGATGCATGACTTGTCTTCGGGCGTCTATCGTCTGCAGCTGTCGAGGGCCGTGGTGTCCCATCTTCCTTCTTTCGTCTAAAAAACCCCCCGACCCTCCGTGAGGAGGTTGGAGAGCTTCCGCTTCCCCTTGAGGATGGCTGTGGACTGCTCGTCTGGTCTTGAGAGGGCACGGTGACATTGGTAGGCCTTCTCTTGCGTGCAGCTTTCTCGTCCCTCTGACGTTGTTTCGCTTCTTCCTTTTCACGCGCAGCTCGTTCCTGCTCTTCTTCCTTCAGACGACGTATGCGCTCCTCTTCCGCCCGTTTCTCCTCCTCAACACGGCGTATCTCGGCCTCCTCGGCCTCTCTTTTGCGTCTCTCTGCCGCAAGTATTTTGTCTTGTTCCGCTCTCTCGGCCCGCTGCTGCGCCTTGATTCTCTCGTATCGCTCTCGCTCCTTTGCCAGAAGTTGCTCGCCCTCACTTACGCCGACTGGGTGGGCTTTGCGCCGAGCTTGCTGGTCAAGCAAGGTGCCCTGATTGCGAGACTCATCCTGCTTTGCGGCGCTTTCCGCTTGCGCCCTTCGTCGCAATGCGCCACCAAACTCTGGTTGGGGACGCTGGGCCTTCGCCTGTATGTTATACGACTCATAGCGTCGGCCGAGGGCGTGCGGAGTGTCCGCTTTTGTCGCTGTAGCGGGCTGTGGAAGTGGAGGCGCAGGTTCGGTCTTGTTTCGCGAGCTTGATGGTTGCGAACGACGGTAGCGACTCATACTTCGCTGAATATTTTCTTGCACTTTTACATCGTCAGGAATCGGAGGCGGGCGAGGTACCTCCGTCTCTTGCTGCTTCAATTGGGCCTTTCGCACAGTGCGGTACCGCGAGAGCTTAGCATCGCCAGGTTGCGCCCTGGATGGAGCAGGCTGCGGCTCATGTACGATTTCAACGTCGGCAGCCATGATTTCGAGTTCGTCGCACAGGAACACAGTTAAGAGAGCAGGGAACAGAGTCGGTACGTGAGGCACGATGCTGGCCTCGCGTCTTGCGAGCGCACCATGCAATATGGGCTTCACCGGGGTGGAGAGCGCCAGAGCCAAGAAATGAAAACGCTGAACGACCACGCGATCCACACACGCAGACGCGGAGCCTCCAAGCAGTATCCGTCCACTGCATCGGCGGCGCTGCTGGTGCGATCGCTCGCGGCCGGGCAATTACTGCACTATCGAGGCGGGACCAATCAGACCATTTGTGTTCTGTCACTCCCAGCCGACTCGTGCGCAGGAACCTTGCCTCGAGTTCGCAACGCCAGGCCCAATGCTTTGCTCGGCCTGCCTGTTGCACAGCAGCCAGCGGCTGATCCCACTCCATAGCCCGTCGCAGCAGTGCGACGCGGGCATCCCATCGGTGGCCCAACCGGCTGGGGGGTTTGGTGGACACGCTCGTTTCGGGATCAGAGCCACGACGACTGACGTTTCTGAACGATATCCCGGGCGATGATCATTGCCGATGCACAACCTGGACAACAACAGTCTGAACCGTGCTCTCTCCACTCCAGTTCCCTTTTCTTCCTGACCAAGCTGCTCCCACATCTTCATCGTCGTCTTTCCCTTCGAAGCCTCGTGAGCCTTGTGTCTCGGACGTGTGAGCCAATTGCTTACTGCCAAGCGCCTCGCTCGCTCGTATTTATGCCGCCTAAGGGGGTCTAGCTCCTGAATAGCACCAGCCCATTTCCCTGCGAGGAACGGCGCGATGGAAGGGAAGGCGAGGGACCTGACCGTATTGGCTGCCTTTGCTCTTTTCTTCTTCCTGTACTTTCATCTGCGTCCCTTGCATGAAGATTCAAGTTCCTTCGACGACCTGCTGTGGGAAAATGAGAGGACACGCGACGAACGCCCAAGGGATGATAATGTCGATCCCTTCGACGGCAACGCACCCGCCAACGAGACTCTCGGTGTAAGTGATGGCAGCGACGAAGGCTGGCGTCGGCGGGATTATGAATTGTGCGAAAGCAAGGCAGCAGAATCTTCTTGTCAACTATGCCAGACGCGTCGCATGATTCGGCAATCCCATCTTTACGCTCCGTGGCCCCTCCGAGCCAGAGTCAATCGAGTCTTCTCACACTGACAAACGAGAACAGTTCGGCGCGATAGTCGCTGTGGCCAAGCAGGATTCCAAGAGAAAGAAGGGTCTACTAGAGGCCGCGAAGGCAACAGAATTACAGATCACGATTCCAGACCAGCCAAAATGGACGGACGAAGACATCGAGGCGTTGAAGGACCCAGAGTACTCAATTGTGTCCAAGGGCTCTGCAATGGCATGGCTGGGCCACCTCAACGCCGTCCAGTGGTTCCTCGATTCTAACCTGACCACGGCACTGATCATAGAAGACGATGTCGACTGGGATATTCACATACGCTACCACCAGATCCCGCTGGTGGCAGCGCAGATGCGGTCATTGCTAGCGGCGAACCCTGCCAGCCCACGAGACCAATTCAGCGCGATCCGTGAACACAACAAGGAGCAGAGCTACTGGGGTGACATGACGCAGTGGGAGGTCCTCTACCTGGGCCACTGCGGCGACAATTTCGACCTGAAATACTGGCCGGATCTTCCCCACAACATCTTCAAGGACAACACAGTTCCGCGGTTCGACCAGCTGCACCCTGACACGCAGAGGTGGCTGTGGGAGGCTGGAATTGGCAACAAGCAGCGCATGGTGCACAAATCGAAGCAGCCGCTGTGTAGTTTTGCGTACGCACTGAACCGAAGGTCCGCCCAGCGAATGCTGGCGGAGTTGAGCCACGAGGAGTGGGGTCACGGCACCTGGTCCTTTGATGTGCGGCTGCTGGAGGCGTGTCGCGACCTAGGCTGGAAATGCTGGACCGCAAACCCGGAGCTGTTCCACCATCAGGACGAGCACGACAGCGCAATTACGGAGGTGAACGGCAAACCGCTCTTCGAACTACAGCCCAAGTACGGGGACGGAAGCACCCCCAACATCGGTCAGTCTGTCTCCTTGTGGCCCTTCATTCCGTTTATTCTGATCTCGAGATTCGACGGGTCCTACACGCCGTCACTCGCGTACAGCAGCTAGATACTGACGTTGTCCTTAGGATGCGGAGCTAGAAACGCGTGGTTCTCGACGACGGACCCGCAGAAACTCAAACTCATCAGGCAGATCGCCATGTATGAGGACGTCTGCACGCTGGAGGACCTGCAGGACAGGATGTCGCAGCACGAATTCAAAAAGGACCCCTTGTGACGTGGGAGCTGATCTCCGGCGCTGGACCCGCTGGTTCGGAGAAGGATCGAGGCCATCCGCGACAGATGCGCAGCCAAGAGCGACGCGCACGGGAATCTGGACATGCCCGAAAAAGACAGGCCTGGGGTTCGTGAATGCAGCTTAACAAGCGAAGAGAATGGGGGAAGAAGCGCGCCTTTCGAAAAAACTTCAACGTGATTGAACCACAGCACCCCTTTCAGAGCAGGTGGCGGAGTGCGGAACTGCTCGCCAGGAGTCCTGATATCTGGTCATCTCGAAAACAAACGGTGGTTTTCTTTTCTTTCCTTTCTTCGTTTTTTCTTTTTTTCTTTGTATTTATATTCGGTCATAGCGGACAGCAAATAAGCACCCATATACCCGGCCCAACGAGGGCCACTTTCTTAAGGCGAAAGAGAACTTTTTGTCGCTCGCCCACCGTCTGTCTCGCTCGCTTTGCCCGTGACGCCGCCGACTGCCCCGGCTTCGTTGGAAAGCCAGTCTTGTGTGGCCAGAGCCGCGGCTGAGCTTCTGGCAAGATGATGAGACGAAAACTCACCTTCGTCTCGGAAGGAGCAGCGCAACTTGGCTGGCCCGAGCGAAAACTTGTACGAGCGTGGCTGTCAGGTTCCAGTTGCAAGGCGCCACAAGATCGTGTGTAAACTTTACGATTACCGATGTTTTGGGCGGGGGTATCTACGATGAAGCTAACTAAATCCTACAATGCTCTCGCGTTCCAAATACCGTCTCTCATTCGTTCCTCAGACATGGCTTGTCGTGCGATCCCGTTCTCGATGCATCTGAGAGCTGTCCGCTCCCGCTGTATCCAGTTATCATTCCCAGAGACACCCTAGGTATAGAGAATGCCGCTTGTCTTCCCCGTCATTGCTGGCTCCTGGCTCAGCGAAAAAAAAAAAAAAAAATACAGTGCCACGCCCACTAAAATTGATAGAAGATTGAAACAAAGGAGGGACTCGAGTCGCACCCCAAGGCAGATAGCGACCTTGTTCAACGCCACAGGTCGTGCTTCGAAGCTGTGCTGTCAGTCTTCCTGTGGCCTCGGCCGCCCCAGAAACTGCCCCGAGTGGCAGGCTCACTGGCAAGAGCGTTCGCAATAGCGTGACTGCTGCCCGGGCGGTGGCTGCTCCCTGGTCGCGCGTAGCTGATCGGGCGGACGCCCCAGCCCTGGTTTGATCCAGACGTGCTTGGCCGGGGCACGTCCTCCGAAGGTACCGCGAGAAAGCCGCCGACACCGTTGCCAACGACAACGGAGCGACGGGCCTCTCCCGTCCAGCCTTGGTTGCCAGCCTTGATCGAATAGGTGCTGATGGGCCGGCCGCCCTTGGGCGAGGAGCCAAACACGTTGTCAAATCCCTCCTCTGGTTGCACGGGCTGGAAGCTCCACTCCGTGTCCGCGAGGCCCTTGGTGTAGATGTCCAGAGGCTGAGAGAAGCCACGAGGCTGCGTGCGCGATCCCGCAAAGCTAGGCATCGGCGGAGCAAGGAGCAGCGCATCGGGTAAGCCTGGATCGCGTACGTACAGTTCGCGTAGGGCGGGTAACGAGTTCGACAGCAGGGACGAGGTTAAGTAGTTGTAGTACGAATCCGAGGGCTTGATAAGATTCGAGTTGATATACTCGTCTGTGGGCGAGATGTCGTAGTGCAGCACCTGCAGACTGATGCTCTGCATCGGAGGTAAGGGGTCAAGTGGCAGCGAGTGCTTGACTGTGGCGACGATTGTCAGATTCCGCAGGTGCGTCCCCGCCCACAGGATCTGGGCCAGCTCAGGGATGGCGACACCCGTCTTTTTCAGAGTGAGGTCTGTGAGCGCTTCTCGGGTCTCCGACCTGTCAAGATACTGAACAAGGCCGGCGCCTGTGACGCCGTGACAGCCCTCAAGGTACAATTTTCTCAGCGGAGGAAAGTAGCGCACGGCGGGGCTCTCCTGGAATATGGCGTCCCTGAAGTTGGGCATACTGATGACCCTTAGCTCATTGATGTTGGGCAGGCTGCCCAGAACGGCACGGAAAGTTGTCGGCTCGACCTTCAACCGTGACAGCTCCAGCACCTCGATGTGCAGCCAATGCCGCTGAGCTAAGAATTGGAAGAATTGCTCGGCACCCTCGTTGTATGTCATCTTTCTGATGTCCGGACAACGCGCCAGCAGCTCCTGCCGCAGCGTGTGGCTGTTCGCGTCACCGTTGTAAAAGCCTTCGGGTAGATCGACGTATCGCAACCTAGGGCAGGCGGATATGCAGCGCGTGAGCTCCGTTCTGGCCGTGTCTCGTGTCATGTATGGGACTTTGAGAAACTGGACCATACCGGCCAGCCAGTCGTTGCTGCGCAGTGTGTCTGCTAGAAGCCGTAGTCGCGCCTGAGGAACATCTTCATCACCGTGCCGTGACTTTCGCCGCCTCTTGGCCGTGAGAATCTCTTCCAATTCGCAGTAGTGCACCGCATCGATTCGAATGCTCGTGTATCTGCACAATGGGAACCATCTGTTAGCTAGCGGCTTCTCAATTGCAACCGACGCCTGCTGTCTGCCTGTGAGGGGTGGAACGTACAGCAATTCTACCGCTGGCCTGTACCACCCTCTGCGGGTCTGGGCGCAGTGAGCCAGGTCGCGTAGGTCACACAGCGGACAGCTGTCGTCCGCAATGTCCGCATCTTCGCAGGGTTCGTAGCTCTTGTCGATGACGTGTGGGCAGACGAACTGCAGTATCTTGGACACGACCTTGGGGGGTAGTGCGGCAGTGTGATCGCGACCGGTGGGGGAAAAGCTGCCTGGATAGTAGACCTTGGTCTTCTCGCTGTTGGCCAGGTTGAAGTGCGCCTCCCCTCCGTTCTCCTTCAGCTTGCTGCGCGACTTGAAGTGCTTCAGCAGCCCCATGATTCCGCCGAAACTAAACAATTGCGTAGGTCAGTTTCAGCGGGGCTTGGAAACGAGTATTGGCCAAGGCAGGTGGGCGGCGGGGAGGGACAAACGGCGGTGAATGTGCAGACGGGTGTGGCGAGGAAGAGAGTCCGGAGTTGAATCGAGGGGATTCAAAGCCTTAAAAAAAACAGACTTGTGATGTATCGCCGTACCTTTTCTTCGCCATCACTTGGTGGTTACAGGGATCCAGCGTGCGCTCTCCACATTACCGTGTCTGCTTCACAATAGGCCCGCTGTTTCAGCAGTGACGCATGCCGCGGCGTTGAAGGAAGCGATCGGAGCGCACTTGTGCAGTCGAATGGACGCGAAAGACTATCACAATAAAGCACTTGACAAGAGCACGCGAAGGCGGGATCAGGGAGCGAACGCATATGCTTTTACGCGGCGTGAACGGGAAGCATTTGAGGAAAAGGGGGCCGAAAGATGATCTCCCCGTCAGCGTGCAAATCAATCAATCCGGTTTGTCCAAGGCTGGGCTGGAACACAGTAAGCGGCCCATCGCTGTGGGCGACGTGACGACGATGACAATGGCTGGTCACTTCACCAAGTGACAAGCGCGCAAATCTGTACTGTTTCACGCGCGGGCTCAAGCGTGGCATCATCTTTCCGCTGGACGAGCGTGCGCGAACACGGCGAGATGCAAGGAGCAAACGCAACCCGCGTGCGATCACGCAGCCTGACGAGCGCCCAAAAGCAAACGCCGTCGCTGCCAGCGAGGGTTCGCCTGCGTGTCCAGCACACACAAGCACGCACGAACACAGCCGGTGTGAGCAACGCTCAAACGTTCGAGTCCTGTCGCTCTCCTCCCGAGCGATGCAGCGTGGTTGGGACTGGATGCTGCGCGGCAGTCCTTCCCAGCTTCAGGCGCTGTGTACGCCGGCGCGGTGCCTTGCGCGCATCTCTGCCAGGGCTGGTGCGGTATGAGTGACGATGGTGCGTGTGGGATGCCACATCCTTCCTGTAGGCCTTGGTACAACGCAGCAACAGAGCCAACCGACATCAACAAGATGAACAGAAGCATCGACTTCGGCTGCAGCATCGTCGTCATCCGCAGCAGCGGCGCCAGCGGCAGCACTGACCTGTTTGGCGCCGTCGCAGCACGGCGTGTGCGGCTCATCAAGGACGAGGAGCTGGTCCGTCCTCGTGTTTGAAACATTGTCAGCAAGGACTGAATTTCGGATGCGCGGACTCCTGGTCAGCCAGGCCGAGGGCACATCCAAAAAGGACTTGCAACATCATCACCCCAAGAAACAACCACATCCTCCTCCCAGCTCTGCTGTTCTCCCGCACCCCCCGGCTCATGCAAGGCGCTCGTTCTATAATTGTGTCGAGCCACCGCCGGTGAGCATTGACTTCCTGCGGGACGAACCCCATGCCGAGGATTGTATGTGTGTCCTCACTGCTGCAACGGACGACGTTCCGTGGAAGTGCTGTCTGCCGTTCTCATTTACACACTCGTCTCCTTTCGACTCGTGCAATTGTCATTCGTGAAGAGAAAGTTGGCAGTGTGGACAGAAGACAGGCAGCTGCAGCATCCAGCATCCAGCACCCAGCACCCAGCACCCAGCACCCAGAGCCTTGCCAGGCGTACGTGTACGTATTTGCACACGCCAAAACTCCACATTCACTCTCGTAGTCGTTCCTGACCGCCCGTGCTGCATCCATTCTCTCAGAACCAAGTCATTGCGCATAGATTAGATGTTGTGAAATGGGCAACGCTCGCCCACCAAAGCAAGCGTCCAGCGATTTCGTGCCATACTACAGTCATATCACTTCTCAACTGAACCTCAGGATGATCACGACCGTCCGTCGACAGGACATCCGTGCAGAAGCGTAGCGGCTGGCCATCCTGTCCTTAGCCTCACCGTCGAGATGGATCGTATTCTCCGAGAACACATCTTTACAGGAGCGACACGAGTGTCCCAAGTCCGGTTTGCACATGGGTCAGTCAGCGCCAGCTTTGGACGACGAGATGTGGGAGGCCACAGGCAAACGCGCTGGTGAGACGGAGCGGATCGGGCAATGTCATGGATAACTGCAAGGCATTCTGGTCCATGGTGTCGCCCTCTTGCTGGGCTTGAGCCCGAGATGGGAGGCGTGTTTGACTTATGTGCACACAGTACGGCGGCGTGGTTCTTGCGCCCGCTGGAAGAATGACGAGTCCACGCGGCTTCGATGGTTCCTCAGCGTGGTAGGTCTGCGTGTGGCATGGCTGTGCGCATGGTCGGCGTTTCAGAATCCGATGCACGCTCGTTTTCTCGTCCCCAGAAGCTTAAACACAAGTGTCGTCTTTGGCGAGCGGCTGAGAAGGGAAACCAACCACGGCGCGGAGGGATTCGCCGAGACGGAGTCGGCCACACCACACGTATTCGCTGTCAACATCGCATGAGACTGCGACGGTGCCAAATCGTGCCACCACAGCACAATCGTGCCCAACGGCCTGCTCTGCTCGCGGACATTCCCCAAGGCGCCCACCCCCCACATGTGATCTGGAGCTGTCCAGACAGTCGGCAGACGCTACGCCAGTCCAGTAAGAGCTCCGGGCTAAGCCCGTTTGGTCGTCCAAGCCTGAGAAACCCGAGCACCATCGACAGTCCACCATCAACCTCCCTGTTCCCCCATCCCATCCCATTCTTCTTGCAGCCTTCAATTCTTGAGCAAGCTTTGCATTGTTGCCGGGCTCGCCTTGCTCTAACTGTATCATTATTGCCCGCCGTCGCCTCCTCGCCAAAGCGACCCTGCCAGACAGTGCGAGCCTTCCGGGTGCCCACCAACGGAACAGCTTAGCTACCCTCGTTCGTGCTTCTCAAATCCCGTTTGAACGTCCGACACGCTCTTGTTTGACTCTCCCCCTTCCTTCCATCCTCCCGCCCGTGCCATCAACCCGTCGCTCGCTACCATCTCTCTGCAAAGCGCTCTGTATAGGCAATGGCTTCGAACCAGACCCCTCAGGCTCCCAACAATCTGGACCGCTACGTCGTTATCCACATCGCAACTACCTGCGACGAGCACGGTGTATACGTGACCAAGGACTCGGCCGAGGTCATTGAGATTGGATGGCTGCTTCTTGATGCAAAGACGAGTGAGGAGGTGAGGCACCACTCGTTGAAGTCTCACACCTAACAAAGGAAATCCCGCGAAGAAGTTTTGATAGACCAAAAGGGTACTGTAACTGACGCACAAGGCAGCTGCATCGTGAACAGATCCTCGTCAAGCCCGTTAACACTCCAATCACTCCACTTTGCAGTAAGCAGACACACGCGCGCCCAAACGGACACATCATGCTCTCGCTCTCGCTCTCGCTCTCGCTCGCACACTCTCTCTCACTCTTGCTTGCTTGCTTGCTCGCTCGCTCAGCCACACACGCCTGCCTCTCCTTTTTTTTCTCTTCCACATACTCCACGCTTGGTCCTCGCTCAGCTGCTAGATACTGACAAACTCTCCAGCAAGCCTAACGACCCTGACTTGGGAGCATGTCAAACATGCCGGCACGTTCCGAGAGGCTATCAATCGCTTCGATCAGTTCGCACAAGAGCACCTCTTGTCCAAGAACCTGGAATTCGCGTTTGTCACCCTGGATGCTTGGGATTTGAGGGTCCAGCTGCCGCGCGAGGCTCGTGACAAGTCGGTCGTGCTACCTCCGTACCTCCAGCACTCTCGCACCTTTGATCTTCGTACCGAGTATCAGCACTGGCAAGCTCATCATCCAGAGTCTCTTCCCTTTGGATCCAGCGCTCTCTCCAACATTTGTGCCGCTCTTGAAGTCGAACCCGTCCAGTCGTCAGCGCCCATCAAGCACAATCTGCCCTTCCACCTTCAGGCACTCGCTCCAGCGAACCCACGCCGCGCGCTCGAGGAGGCCATCACCCTCGCCAGAGTTCTGCGAGGCCTGATCAGGAAATCCCAGCCCTTCTCCGAACATCCTGACGTGCTTACGCGGCCGATGGATGCCCGTGCTGATGTTCGAGCCTTCCTCAGCGAGCGAAGCAAAGTTCTTCACATGAGCGGCTTGCCTCATGATACAACCCAGTCGGAACTGGAGAGCTGGTTCACCCAGTACGGCGGCCGACCGATCGCCTTCTGGACGCTTCGCACTCCTGATCAGCATAAGCCTACAGGAACAGGATTCGCAGTGTTCTCGTCGCACGAAGAGGTAAGCTAGGCATATAACGCTCCGTTCTCTTTTACACCCTCATACGTACAGATGTTCCAACATGGCTCGATTTTGAGAACTATTGCACTGACAGCTTGATTCCGTTGTTTCACAGGCTGCCGAGAGTTTATGCATGAATGGCCGCGCTCTGAACGAAAAGGCCATCGAGGTTTCGCCTTCATCGTCACGCGTACTTGACCGCGCTGCTGAGATTCTAACCCCGTTCCCACCGAGCAAGAATCGTCCGCGGCCAGGTGACTGGACTTGCCCTTCATGTGGGTTCAGCAACTTCCAACGCCGCACCGCCTGCTTCCGCTGCAGCTATCCGCTGTCTCAGGCTATGCCCCCTCACGATGCCATGGGCTACGGCTATGGCTACGGCGGCCCTCAGATGATGCACCACGGTCCACATGGACATGGTATCGGTGGGCGCTCACAGTCGACACTGGGTGCATCCGCACCCTTCCGGCCCGGTGATTGGCGATGCGGCGTCGAGACGTGCAATTACCACAATTTTGCCAAGAACGTGAATTGCCTGCGTTGTGGAGCTCCGCGCTCACAAGCCTCTATCGTCGCAGACTCAACCAACTTCAACGCCATGAACGATCCTTCCTTTGGAATGGGCCAGCCGCCTATGGCTGCCAATCCCGGAGGCGGGCCTTTTGGTCCTGCCGGCTTCGGCGCCCCCGGTGCCTTTCCCAACCCCGGCTTTGCAGGACCCCCTAGTGGTTACGGTATGCCTTCAGCCATGGGTGCACCGTCACCTTTCCCACCCATGGGCGGCTATGCCGCTGCTGCTAATGGCGGTATGCACCAATCTGCTGGGTTTGATGCCCGGACCGAGTCCGCATTTTCAGGTGCTGGCCCATCGGCCGCTGGATCTGTCGCTCCTGTCACCACGGGTGGCACTGCAAGCTACAATGGAGCCAATACCGGCAGCTTCGATCAGGCACCTGACCCGTTCCATTTCCTTGGAAGCGAGCTGGGTAACATGTCGCTGAACGATTCACGCCGTCAGGCAGGCGCGGGTGCCACTAAGTCTCCCAACTAGTCATGGAGGAAGGCGACATTATCCACATGGAAAAGATTGTGTGGAAGCAAAACTACGTGGATGTGTTTGTTAGGTCTGGTCGGTCACGCCTTTGCTTAAGTGTCCGATGGACCGACAATTTCGTCGTCGTATGCTTACATACTTCTTTGCTTCATCTTCCTTAGTATGCCAACCTGCTTTTTAACTTCATTTTTCTTATCTCGCTCTTCATATTCAGGGCCTGCATGGTGTCGGGTGGGGAACAAACAGGGGGCTGGAACGGCGGATGGGTACAATGGAAAACGCTCAACACACAAGCACACTACTACTAGATCTGGCGGCCTTACCAAAAGTTGAACACTCGAGAACCATTTTTGCAAGGAGCTAAAGAAGCGGGGAGTCACGAAGAAAGAAGGCTGCTTTCCAGAACCTCGCTATTGCTCTTGTGTCCTCGATTTTCATTCTCACTGTTTGCTTCTTTTATTTTCTTTTCCTCTTTGATTGTCTGCCCTTCGTCTCCTCATTTGTACCTAAATTGCTTCAAGATTCCTTTGTCTCTCATCAATCTGCGTGCGTGTGTTTTGTCCAGGCTCCTTCTCTTACGGTGGGAGGGAGCGGAAGTGGGATATGTTAGGTGTTTGTAAATTGCAAGACTAGGAGGGGCGCCGGCATTTGAGAAGAAAAAAAGAACTGTTCTGGTTTTTTGTATGTATCCCGGGTGGCGGAAACGGAAGACAAAAGAGCAAACTGATGGCAGGATGTTAAAAGCATACAAGTTGCCGGAACCCGTACCTTCACAGCAACAACATCAAGCAAAATATGGGGGTGGCGCCATGGCAAAAAAAGATCACACGATCACGGCATACCAGGTTGCAAGGATGGGAAAACTTCGTGGGGAATTAAACAAGACTGCTTTGCTCTTCTCTGAACAGACAACGTTAAGGGTAATGGATGGATGGGTTCGGTTGCTGCAACTGACTGCTACTGCTACTGCTACTACTTGCTTACTTGCTGGAAGGGTGGGGTTTCAATTCGGATTCTCATTAGCGAGGCGAAGGGCGGGGTGGGCATCAAATGGGATATCTGTCTTTTCTTGCTCGCTCGAGATCAATATGCACTGCGTTTTGTCACCGCTCTCTTCTTTTGTCCTGTACGATTGAAATCGCTGTGAGTTTCATGGTGTTTAGACTGGGGGGGGAGAGGCGGTGCAGTAGGGCAAATTTCATCAGCAAATAGGAAAGCCGTGGTGATAATATCTTCACTTATTTATTCATTACGACCTTGACTTTCAAATCAAGGAGAAGCTGCGAGGAACCAGCAAGAGAGACATGGCCTAATTTTTGTACTAGAAACGATTTTCTTCGCAGCGAAACAAGCAATTGGCCTCTATGCAAGACATTGACGAGAGAGCACCTCTGCTGTGGCTTCATGCACTTCGCTAGCCACTCAGGCCTGACAATAGTCACTCATGCACGAGCTTGAGAGCCAGAATCTTGAGCGATCGACACCGAACTTCAGCGGTGTTGGGCATGTGATCTGGTTCGAATAACGCAGACCATTTAGAGTCGCACACCCAGTGGATAAGGTGGTCCTACGACCAGAGCAAGGCAGACATCTCCAGAGCGGAAAATATGGTACTCAAAGATGAAAAGTCGTGCAGACGGAGCTTTCACGCAGAATCACATGTCCCTCTTGTATCGTTGCAAGGCTACTCCTCTGATTCCACGACCGCTAACCAGACGTGGACGGCTAAGTACTGGACTGGCATGGCAGACTTCGAACTCAACGGCCAGAGCGTACGATGGGGGCCGTTGCTGAGTAGTCACCCTGGTGCCAGATCAAGGAATGCCGAATGTTCTTGATCACACCAGTAACGGCCGTCGACGTTCTCTCCCTTCGAGTCTGAGGGATCGGACATGGGGCCCACAGAACTAGCTATCATGCGGGGTGCAACAAGATGCAGTAGGTACCTCTAAAACCGAATTGGAATGCAACCCATGACAAAGTCTTCTTACGTGTCGCCGGGCCAATTTCGTTGTTCCAGGAACGGCATTTGGCTTCACATCGTACTTCAGACGGTTGACTACGAATTAACAACTCTCGACGTGGATGATTCGTAACAGTAAAGCACGCCGTGCGTCTCTGGTATGAGTGAAGTTTTCCTTCACTTTCTTCACCGCTATATAGATTTATCATCGTGGGAAGCTGAACTTATTTCCGATTTCAGCACGCCGAGACTAAAGACTACTCATTAATTCATCATCAACTGATGGATCGCTACCATTCGCGATGGTACCAATCGACATGCAAAGCCGGCGTAAATCGAAGTCCTGAGCAGATTTCAAGTGGTGGAGATTCCAGATCTTTGAAGGCCATTGAAACCAACGTGGGTTGCATGAGCGATACATCTTGAGAAAGTGTTATAAACCTTCGTGTATATAGTTACTATTGCGATCCAAGCCGCTTGACCCTCTCTTCGGAGAAATAGACACAAAATAATCAGAGCGATGTGTAAAGAAACGTGTTTGTATTTTGCTTTGAGAGCCTCTTCACGTCGTGTCATGGGTTCTGCGAAAACCGATCCTAGAGTATAAATAAAAAAAAAAAAAAGGAGAAACGCTATCAATGTGTGAGAGTCTCAAAATGGAGGGCGCTAGAACTGGTTTCTCCCGTCTTTTTTCTTCGCGTAGACTGCTCACGGTAAGGAACTTGCAACTCTGCTGCTGCGCATTTATCTTCTTGAACTCAACGACTCCTCGATGTGCTCTTCGCCTTATAAGACTCCAGGCTCTTTCTGATCGCGAATCTCAGTGGCAATTACAATTGTCAGCTGGTCGCTGACCGTTCGACAAAGGTCAACTACCACAAAGCAGCGGGGAATATGGTGCTCTGACGTGATTGACCACATACGGAAGGTCGATGAAGTCACCGCTTCCGACTTGTCTTTCCCGTTATGTCTTTGATGACTTCCAGTGTTCGCAACACTTTTTGTATGTCGAAGTTGTGACCACTCAGATTTTGGCACAGATAGATCGGCCAAGCTGCGCTGTCGGTGGACTTCGACTTTGATCGAAGCGCATTCTCCAGCCGAGTGATTCAGGCGACATCTTTTCCATCCCAGAATGCGACATGTCTGACCACGCAGTTTTGCAAAGCGACTGCGTGATTGAAAGTTTGCTCTTGAGCAAAACCGAGGCTGAATTTTTCAGGTCGGTAGATGGGACGTCAATTTAAAGAGTGTATCGCGCGACCTGATTTGCCGGGCCTGGGCGCGCTGCCAATCGCCCAGTCATTGGATGATGAGAGCGGCTTGAAACCTTCGAGTACTTTTACCTTTGAGGCCAGCATGTAAGACGGGCAATCATGATTCGGCCAGCGAATCCATTGCCCCTCTGGCGACCGCTGCAGTCGGGCCTGCGACTGTGTTGTCCACGGCGGTGGACTTCGACGGAGGCAAAAGCGCCACAGAGCCGAGTTGCTCGCATCAATTCACGGCGTAAGCATATCCTTTGCTCGTCATTGTCTCCCAAATCAGTCTCCTCCGCTGACACAGGACGAAGTACCGCGCTTCCTTCGCCGCTTCACTGTGCCTTTGGCCGACGCGCCAATCTCTCACATTACCTCCTTTCTCATCCTGCACGAACTCACAGCCGTCGCCCCCCTTCTCGGCTTCTTTGGCGCCTTCCACTACTTCGATTATCTGCCACCCTTTCTCACCGAGGGCGCGTGGGTCAAAGAGGGCATCGAAAAGTTCGGGAACTATTTCCGACGGAAAGGCTGGCTGGGTGACGAGGATAGTCGTCGAGACACGGGCTGGCGCTATGGTGAGGGTGCAACCAGAGTTCTGGTAGAAGTTGGCGCCGCGTGGGCGCTCACCAAGGCCCTGCTTCCTTTGAGGTTGATAGTGAGTGTCTGGGCGACTCCGTGGTTCGCCCGATGGTTTGTTCTGCCTATCGCTGGCCGGTTTGCCAGCTTGTTTGGGAGAAGGAAGGCTGCCGTGATGTCGGCGCAAGGCAAGGCTGCCGGTACTGGGGCCACTGCTGCTGGTTCAGTGACAAAGAATACTACGACATGAAGAATCCATCTTTGATATCATGGCTAGCCATGCGAGCGAAGAGGTCGGGCCGGTGGGAAGGCGAAGAAAAGAAGCCATCCCAGTCAGAAACGACTCGTAGAAAACGAGAACACAAGATTAGAAATTACAACGAGCATTTTTTTGCCATTAACTAGCGTTATTTCATTTATTTCCTGAGCCATGATCTACAATTTGCTCACGTCTTTCTTGACGAGACCGCCCTTTACAACATCGTACTCCTTTCCTCGCCTCCAGCCTAGCCATTGACCAAGTCTTTCTTCGCCACCCTGTCCAGGGGCAATACCGTCGTCTTCCCAGCCTTTGCCCGGTACTCCAGGGCCTTGGCCCATAGCTGCTTTAATGGCCGGGTCCTTCTGCGAAGCCGCTCTGTCATCGATCGCAAGACCTGGACTATCAGAGAGCGTTACCGGCGGCCTTTGGTCAAAGCCTGCAGCCTCAAGCTCCAGTTGACCCAAGACCGGGGTGCAGCACGCGTCAGTACCGTCGAAGATATCTTCCCATTCCTTGCGCGTCTTTGACTTGAACGCCGCGGTGAACATTTCCCTTAGCTTGGGCCAGTTCTTAGGGTTTTCTCTCATTGGAATATCTGATTTCTGGAAGCCGAGGCCCTTAATAAGCTCAGCGAAGAACTGCGGCTCAAGGGCGCCACTGGTATTTCCGTATTAGCACCTGTTCCTATTTCTCGTTCTTTTCCAGATCACTCACACAGCCATATACTTGCCGTCCTTTGTTTCATATGTATCATAGTACGGGCAGCCTCCATCGAGGGTGTTTGTCCCTCGTGGTCCACTCCAGATGGGTCTCTTCAAACCCATCCTTGGCATGGTTGCAAGATATGTGCTTCCGTCAACCATGTTGGCTTCGACAACCTGCCCACGCCCTGTGCGTTCCCTGTTGATCAATGCAAGAAGAATGCCGAGGAAACACATAGCTCCACCACCAGCGAAGTCGCCAACAACATTTCCTGGCGGATACGGCTTTTCATGTGCACGACCAAACAAGCTCAGAACACCGGATACAGCGATATAATTGATGTCATGTCCAGCCATGTCCTTGTACTTTCCGTCTCTTCTGAAACCAGTCATTCTGGCCACGATGATCCGAGGGTTGATCTGAAGCATGACTTCCTTGGGACCCAGACCGAGTTTCTCGAGCACGCCTGGCCGGAAGGGGTCTATGACTACATCAACGTGCGGAAGAAGCGACTTGATCAAATCAATGCCGCCCTGGGACTTCATGTCCACTGCGATTGAGGTCTTGTGCCTTGTGAGAGTATCGCCGGTTGGAGTCTCGAGTTCTGGCCCATGAGAGAACTTCGTTGCGCGATCGATTCGTATGACTGAGGCGCCGTAGTCTGCAAGAGCCATACCAGCAAAAGGTCCTGGAGCTAAACCTGCGAGCTCGAGAACTCGTAGACCAGCAAGAGGTGGTGGAGCAGACATGATTGCTGCCGCGTCAAATCGATTGCAATAATGATAAGATGGGTTTTAATGTCCTGAACAATGTAAAGTGAACGTACTAAATTAATTTTCCAAGTAGTAGTCGCAAGTTCAATGTCCAGGGCAGTTGCTGGAGCTAAATGCATGCGGAGAACATCATCCCATCCGGCAGCCGAGGCCAGTTTGGACGGCGCCAGTCGAATCGCCGGCTCTGACCAACAGGGCACTGGTTCATCATTCTAGAGGAGGACCAGCCTGGGATCGAACGTGGAACGAATCCCCGAGGATATAGCGAGACGTCTCCAGAGCCCTGTTCCAAGTTTGTGGATGCTGTGTGCTTGTACTTGCTGTTGTCGCGGCCAAGCTCTAAGCGCGGGCCTGGTAGTGGGGAAAGCGCAGTGTACATACAACCCGGAACATCCTATTTCCGTTGCGGACCGCTCTTTCCATGACAATGAGTATATCAAAGACTTGATACGAAATACCACGGCACCCATATTATTCGGGAAAATCCTATTTCTGTCCGCTTTGGATTCAGATATAATAGGCCAATATTCACCATCGATTCATCTTTGCCGTTCGGCAATCGGAAGTATAGTGCAACACGCACCTTGCTACTGCTTCTGAGATGGATTGATCAAAGTCTGCTGGAGACTAGTCTGTTGTAAATTGGTAAGGAAAAAATAGGATTCCTATGCAGAGGATCGCGATCATCTTAGTACGCATGGAAGTGCTGTCATAGGTGGTTGGACAAGGACTTCGCCAGAACAGAGCAGCTTTGAATCAAGTATGTATGCCTCATCTGACCCGCAGAAAGCAAGACGGTGAATTTAGTTTTGCCGCAGCAACTTTATCGTATTGCAAAATCTTGAGACTTGGGGGAGTACGCTCTGCAAATACACTTAAAATAGATAGCGTCTAGTCCTCCCGTAAGCGCTTCATTGAGAGGAGAAATGAGGTGTGTACATTGCAACTTGTTACGTTTTCAAGTGTAGTAAAGAGTGGAATTTCCGAACGCAATGGTCAGTCATCAATGCATGCTTCGCCTTCAGGAACCGAAGGTACGTGCTTAAAGGGCTCAAAATATTCGATCAATAAGAGTTGATTGATGGAAAGTCATAGTTTCATTACATGATATAAACTCATCGAACTCCAGCTATAATATTTAAGTCCCGTCCTACGAAATGGTATCATCGCTATCGTCCAGCAAACTCTCCAGGAGGCTCTCGTTGGCAGCGGTTTCCTTTTTAATTATCACGTTGCCGGGTGTCAGTTCATCCTCATCCTCATCTTCATCTTCGTCATCCATAAATCGAGTGCCTTCTGCGTCAGGCAAGCCGGTGAGTTTTGTCATCATCGTTTCGTCGCCTTCTTCGTCTCCTTCGTTTTCTTGGCCTGCGTCTTCGGGCAGTTCCGTGGACTCGATAGCAACGTTTTCTTCCTCGGTGTTGCTTGCATCTCTGCCCGCAGAAGCTAGAAGCTTGGAAAGAGTATTTTGCATTTTCGTGAGCTGATTCCTTGAGGCTGTCTCTGTGATGTTTCTGACCTCGAAGGTTTCGTTGACGAGATCGAACAGTGTTTGGAGATTTTCTAAAGGAATTGACTGTCCTATGTGCAACTTGCCAAGCATCGAAGTGTATGTTTTTCTTTCCTCCTCTGCATGTCGTGTTAGCATTCACTTTAAGGATGAACAAGCACTACTTACTGCTACAAGCCGGAGAAAGTATCTTCTCAAGCAATTCCTCAGCAAGTACGGAGTGTCCATTTGTGCCTGTCTCATCTTTAGACGTGCCATTGATTTCTGTGACAGTCTTCCTCGGATCCGTCCAGTCGCAAATCTGAGCGGCGACAAGATTAACTCCAACCATTTCTACTTCCTCGTCCATATCCTCAGCGCGCTCAGCAAGAGTGTGGAGAACAGGCACAGCAACTCTGGCCATGGCTTCAGCATTTTTCCTTTTAGAGTGACAATACACAGGGAGGAAATAGGTCAAAGCCTGCCTTAAACCTGGGTTAATTTGTGTCTCGGGGTCAAAGTAGGCAAGAACCATTTGCTTGAGCAAATCCTGATCGGTGACTGTACCCGCCAACATAAGTTTTGACAATGCTACGCAAGCATTGGTTTGTACAGACTTGTGTTCTGAGCGCAATCCCTTGGAATACATCTTGAGAACTGGCTTGACGAGAGGGTTGACAGCTTCTGGCTCGTCTTGCATCGACTGTTGGGCTGGTGACGGAGCCAAAAGCGATGGGTGAACGACCAGAATATCGGAGATAATTTGAATCGCGATATCCTGAAGAGCTTCAGAACCTCTGTTGAAGCAATGAAGGAACAGCGCCAGATTTTCTTCTGCAAGATTCCTGCTAAGGAGGCAGCACAACCCCATGCATTTGAGGCCAGCTTCTCTTATTGGAGCCTCCTCGCTGCGTACAGCAGGTACTACTAGATTGTTTAACATGGTTTTCAGATGGCTGCTGTTCTCCAGGCTACCTTGTACGTTTTGCAGGAGACACTGTGCTATGAATAAGCATTTCAGGTTGACCTGGATCTCGCGCAATGCTTTCTCTTCATCGTCTTCATCATCCTGAGTGCCCTTTCTCGAGACTTTTTTGGGAGCCTTGGTAGGCGTACCATCCCCACTGAGTTCGGATTGGGCCGAATGGAAGCTTTCGTCGGCAGTGCTGGACTCATCGTCCGAGATTGTGTCGTGAACTTCTGCGATAGCTTCCAAGACGATACTTGCAAATTCCTCTTCCGAGCCGCAGACGACACGCAAGATCTCAATAACCAGTTTGGTGCATTCCTCAGGTAACTCGAAAAGTGCAAGAGCTTCACGCATGATCTGAAACATTTTACGACGACCCATCTCATCCGAGTAGTCGAGTGTGAGCGCAATATGGAGGAGTTGCTCAATACAAAATTCCTGCTGTACAGCATCCTCCTCAGACTCTGGATCCTCAGGATTGAGTGCCACCCGATTCACAAATTCGACGAGCTTGTTCAGGTGCAGTTGGAGCAAGAAAGCAAACTTTGTGACCTCCGGCATCTTGTCTTCCAGCATGCCTTGCAGCTTGCTATCACCTGACTTACGGCAGTAGTCCGTAAGTGTTCTCGCGATAAAAGCACTTTCGGCAGTCATTTCATTGAAGTAGGGATCTTCGAAGTTGACATGATTTAGGTAGTCAGGTCGACCTTCCCAGAACTCCTTCATCGCTTCATGCGCAATTCCCCCCTCGAGTCCAGAATTGTTGACGTCAATTCGCTCAAGAAGTTCCATAAGCGCGTCGATGTTCGGATCGGACATGGGCCTTGGGCCAGCGTCTTCGTCATTTTCGCCGCGCGGGGCAGCGCAGTCTTCGATCCATCTTTCGTAAAAGAGTCGAGCAGTGGCTTTGCGAACATGTTCATCGCGATCACGGAGACCCCAGCGCAAAAGCTTTTCACGTTGGACAAGGGACAGATGACGAAAATCACCCAGAGCGGGTAAAATACGCGCATATAATGCACGCCGTGTCGCTGCATCGGTATCTCGAGCTCTTTCCATGAGGAACGGTAGTGTTGTTGGTGTGAAACTGAGATTGAGTAAGAGTGCTCGTCGAACATCCGCACTTGGATCCATCTGGAGCGCTTCTAGAAGGCGTTCGAGGACGCCGCTCGCCGCATCTTCGTCGCTGTCCTCATCATCTTCGTTATCCTCGTTGTCGTCTGCGAAACGACCCAATCCGAGCACCGCCTGAACCCGTACGATACTCTCCTTGTCTCGCAAACGTTTGATTAATGCATGTCTGATGAGGTGATAGAGTTGGTCATCGATAGAATCCAACGTATTTACAATGTGCGCGATGAGCTGCGTAGCGCGGTATCGTACGAATTTATCTTTCGCCGTTATGACATTAAGGGCCACCGTGAGAACATGAGTAGTCAGCCGGCTAGTCGGGGTCTCCGGTATTCCGTCAGTGGTATCCATATCAGGACTTTGGAAGATGGCATTATCTGAAACCTGGTGTATTAGCACGGTTTCAGGGAAAATCTACCGACTTATCCAACCTTTTTCACTTGCGTGCTTGAGGAAAAGCCCCACAAACTTCACCAGCCTATCACCAACTGGCTCGCTTTTCTTGATCCCAAGTACTCGGCAGACACATCGACCAAATTCATCATTGAATTCAGTCTCGTCGTAGTCCTGATCTAGTCGGTGCTTCCTGGACGAATCGACCTCATAACAGCAAAATTCCTGGATCTTACGAAGAGTCACCACGCTTTTCCTCTGAGTTGCTGCGCCCCGTTGCGCATCCGAAAACACAGAGGCGATGTGTTCTCGCAACGATGTCTCCGGGCCTTCATCTGGTATTTGGACTGCGAGAGCAGAGCTGCGAGCTGAGCTTGCGCGCGATTTCAGAGTTTGCGTGGACGATTTCCGCGAGACTGTGGCATCCGAAGCGCGATTGCGCAGATTAGCACGTACTGACGTTCTTCCTGGCATGTTTGCTGTATCTTAGTTAGTTGGATATGTTGTTGACTGTTTTGTTTACACGCTCTACCAATTTACCAAAATCGGAAGATCCGCGCGTCGGAGATAACCCGGCGATAAAGGATCGCCTGAGGCATCATTTCGATGGCGACATCTTTGGAGTAAATCCTCTGCCGATGGGAGGCTTTTACCTTCAGTTTCTCGGTAACAATCAAGCAAACAATGTTTCGAACAGCAGTACGGCGGTTCGCTGCTACGCCATGGCGTGCAGCTGGCAGCGTTCCCGAGCTCACCATCCCGCAAATTGAAGAAGCGAATGCATGGGGCATACAAGTCTCGAAAGCGCAAGCGATTGCAAAACGAGGTTTGGTCGATGGCATGTTGATAGACATTGAACGACTTGAACTTGAATCAGATTCCTAACTTACGGGTAGCCATTGGGAAGACTCCTCTTATTCGTCTGAACAAACTCTCTGAAGAGACGGGCTGCGAGATCCTCGGGAAAGCTGAGTTCCAAAATCCAGGAGGTTCGGTCAAAGATCGCGCAGCTCTATACATTGTGGAAAACGCCGAGAAGTTGGGTCAATTGCGTCCCGGCGGGACCGTGGTCGAAGGCACCGCTGGCAACACGGGCATAGGACTTGCCCATGTCTGCAGGGCGAAAGGCTATAAGCTTGTCATCTATATGCCCAATACACAATCTCAAGGTAAGATTGACCTGCTGAGATTGTTAGGTGCAGAGGTACATCCTGTACCCGCTGTTGCCTTTGACAACCCTGAAAACTACAACCATCAAGCCAAGAGACATGCCGACAGCTTGGACAATGCGGTGTGGACCAACCAATTCGACAATATTGCGAATAGACAGGCACACATAGAGACTACAGGACCTGAGATATGGGCGCAGACCGGCGGTAAGATAGATGCATTCACGTGCTCCACAGGAACCGGTGGCTCTCTGGCTGGAATAACTAGGTATTTGAAGGATAAGTCAAATGGAAAGGTGAAGTCCTTCCTAGCAGACCCGCCCGGCTCAGTTCTACATTCATATATTCAAAGTGGGGGGAAACTGATTGAGCGAACCGGCTCATCTATAACAGAGGGCATTGGCCAAGGTCGCGTCACCGACAATTTGCAGCCAGACATTGGCCTTTTAGACGGCTCTTTAAACATTAGCGATGAAAAGACAATTGAGATGGTGTATAGATGCCTTGACGAAGAGGGACTGTACCTGGGCGCAAGCTCCTGTCTCAATGTTGTCGCTGCAAAGGAGGTGGCTGAAAAACTTGGAAAGGGCCATACTGTTGTGACACTGCTATGTGATGGAGCCTACCGATACGCCGATAGGCTCTTTTCAAAGAAGTGGCTCACAGAAAAGAAACTCATTCACGCAATTCCCGAGCACCTTCAAAAGTACATCGTTTTGGCATAGACGGCAAACGTGAACTTTCCCTGGCTTCGGGCGACAGCATTTCCGGCGTTGTAAAAACCGATTGGAGTCAAGTCACTCAGGCCTTCGCCTAGAATCCGAGAACCTGTATATAGGAATAGGAAATTTTTACCAGAGTTTCTTTCATCCTTGAATGGCAACGATCTTCCCATACGAACGAGTAACATGGTAATCACAATACACCGTTGTAGACTCATCCTTTTTTGGTAGAATGGCATATTCGACTATGCTATCGATTGGACAGGATATGGAACTAATTGACTTAAAGAAAATTGAGCGAACCTAAGGAACGTCTTTCATTTTTCCAAAAAATGGAATATATTATTATGTTTATTATTTATTATGCGTATGTCATCAATTCATGATGATCAAATGCCATCTATATTCCGCCAGTTCGGGGTATCTTGCAACCGGACGTTCAACGTCCGGGAAGAGTCTATCGCTGATCTAAAAGCATCAAAAGCAACAAAGAAAGAGCATCCTCCACTTCTCCCAAGTGTTCTAGAGTATTCGGTTTGCCTAAGCCCTGGCATCGGAGGGGATGCCGTAGTAGGCCATGTAGGCATTGTTGACGCCCTTGTGGTGCTCGACGGCCCGCTTCTTGATGGAGCTCCAGGCCTTGCTCACGGATGATGGGTTGGATTCCGTGGACTCCGTAGAAGCACGACGAGAGGTCGCAGGAGTTGGGTGGAGACCATACAAAGCTTCCCAGGCAGCCTGGGTTGCCTCGTGGTGTTCCTTGTACAAGCGGCCGACGGTCTTCATGGCGCCCTTGACTGAGGAGATGGAAGCAGTGCTGTTCTTGCGAGTCTCAGACATTGTGTTTGTTGTGTTGGTGGTTGTGTTGATTGACTGAGATCTGGTGATTATGCTTTTCGGTTGTTTGTTGTGGTTGTTTTGGAGGTATTAGAGAGATACGGATGCTTTGAGTATTGCTTTGAATTCCTCTTGATGATCTGATGCTGATGATAATGTCTACTCCACGATACGGTCATGGTCCTTATATATTCAAGACATTCGCTTTGCATCGGCTGATCCATTGCAAATGTTGGGCGCATTGGAGTCAAAACTATGCCATGTTTCGACAACTTCGGCACGCACGTTGCGATGGAACTATCCACTTGGCCCCTTGCGAAGGGCGAAGATTCTAGTGCGAACTATTTCCATCACACGCGAAGGGCGGAATTTAGTAATCGAGACGAAGCGCTGGGGGATGATTGGCGCGCCTGGCGTCGGCAGTGTCATAGAATCCACCGCGTATGAAAACTCTGCTAAGAAATCTTCATGGCCTGTGACTGGCTCAGGAGAACGACAGGACGCTGCCGTCCAATAGTGTGGCCACCTGCTGCCTCTAAAGGGAAGTACACGCAGTTTACGCAGGGCGCACACGGGCGACGAGCGAGAAAATTACCAGCGCGGGGCCCGTGCGCCAAGAAAACTTTTGCTGACTGAAAAAAGTTTTTGTTTGTTGGTCTCATGCGCCTCCGATGACGTCGCCACTCGTTCCACCATGGCCAAAGGGCGCGGTTCTCGCTGGCTGTCGCACGCCCAAGCAACGACATGACATCTCTTGGCCTCCCGTTTGTCAGCCACGAGCCTCTGCAAGCATGAATGACGCCCTCGGATTGCTTACCTTCGAATTGCGCGCATGCGTGCTTTGCAGCCCACCGCAGCGTTGCTTGGTCAGCCCAGTCAACGATGACTCCCTCCATACTGCCGTCATGACGGCGGTCTACAGTTTGCTCGCTTGTAAGCATTGGACGGCAACGACGCTTGTCAGAAACAAAGGTTACCAACAGCTCCGATGCTGTCAGTCATGATCTCTGGAGCGAACAGATACTGCCGTGGTTAATTGATGCAGCGATGATAATCGCCATCGTCCTCGTCGTCATCCTCGTTGTCGTCCTCGCCGTCATCCTCGTTGTCGTCGTCCTCGCCGATATGTAGCTTCACTCCCGTGAGGATCATCTGAGCCAGCTCCCCTTGATGGATCAAGGTTTGCCGCTCGCCTCGACAATTTCCACGCTCCTGGTGCACTGATTGAAGACGTGATACTCCTTCCCCCTGTTTGCAACGCGTAGATGCTGCAGCGAATGGCCGGAACGCAAGGAAGTACGCGTTCGGTTTCCGACGACACGACTGCGAACACCTGTACCAGAATTTGGACTGGAATCCGGTGGATGCCGGCGGTCTCTACTAAACATTTGAGCGAGGAACACCAATAGACCGCGGCATCTTAGGAAGTGGAACAATGGATGGTCATGCGGTTTGCTACTTGACGTCGCTTCCCGTATGGGGCGTAGAGTTCAGTGTAACGTGTTGTTTAGTCTGTGATGTATCGTTCCATTTGTAGAAGACCTCGACAATCTTGACACACAACAGCGCTTGACTTTGCTTGAACTTCCTGACATCCACTCGCTACTTCTCACTCCATCCTCAGCTTTCTGACTGACTACACATAGGCCGAGCAGTAAATAAATCCGTTCATAACGGACTCGATAAAGGAAAGCCACTCTTTTCTGGGGATTATTTGGAGTGAATTCGCGCTGTCGTTGTGAGAATATTGTGACCTGTGAGTGTGTGCGTGTGCAGGCTTGCACTGGTTCACGCAAATACTTCACACTTTACGATTTACGCGTACCGACAACGACAACTCACAACCAAGATGAGGTGCTTGACACTCTGGTCTTCGGTAATACTACCAGCTCTTGCAGTTACTTGCTACTATCCCAATGGCACTCCATCCGCAGACGGAGTTCCTTGCAGCAACAACGACACAGTGATGTGCTGCCCGGACAAATGGCAATGTCTCTCCAATGGCATTTGTCACTACCAACCAGACAACACTTGGGGACGATATTCATGCACGGATAAGACTTGGGGTGGTAGTTGTCCTTCGAAGTGCATTCGAAAGGTCTCTCAGCAAGGTAACGAAGCCATCTTGCAATGCTCAAACGGCCAATGGTGTTGCGACACCAATCATCCAGAACTCGCCTCAATGCCCGGAAGAAGCTGCTGTGATGCTGGTGACAACAGCGCCTATTTCGATTTTGGAAATGGAATAGTCTTCGCGCAGATAAACGGCACAGAAGCCATTGCGACGTCAGCGGATGTGTCCTTCACTTCAACGACAGTACTGCTAGATTCAACAACCCTGCCAATAGGTTCAGTCTCGGGCAACTCGGCCAGTTCGAGTGAGACATCTGCTGTGTCTTCTCTGCAAGCACCTACCGCTAGTGTTTCAACAACAAGAAGCTAGTGAGTAATGCTACTTTCGAGCACATCTTGTTTGATAGGGGAGCTGGCACGCACTGACTCGTGATGCAGCACATCGAATGAGAATGGACACAGCTTAACATCTTCAAGTCCTGTACCTGGCATTTCGATAAGTCCTTTGAGTCCGTTGTATGAAGTCCCATCGTCCACATCCCCACCTTCAGCCTCGAGCAACGCTTTGGTAGTGGGGCTTGCGGTTGCGGTGCCCACAAGTATCATCGCATTCGTTATTTTGTCTTGGTTTCTGTGTTCAAAGTTCACAAGAAAGAAAGGGCATCGTCGACATGAGAACATCTCTGCAAAATTCGGTCCGGGATTCTTAGAAAAGCAAGACTCTGAACATGAAAACTCAACATCGAAAATCAGTGACAGAGAACCTCCACTTGCGCCCTCTGAAATCGACAGTCGTGAGGTTCGCATTGTTGTCAGCCAAAATGATACTGTCCACTCCGCATCCACTAGCAGTCATTTCTTAAGAGAAGAGACAACCGACACCTTATATCCACATGCGCGGCCAAACTACAGCATCGCCATCAGTCCTTCTTTGTCACAGAGTCTTGAGGCCAGTGCGTCAAAGAGTAATCATCAAGACTATTCCGGATGGGCTGTAACTCCTTGCCTCCAATATCAGAGATGGAGTGAGACTGCGAACCGCGAGGCTGGTATCGTTCCTGTCAATTCACCAAATGGAGGTGGGATTGAACAGGATGCAGGGCAAAACGTTCATGAAGTCACGGGTAGAGCGCGAATTCCGTTTCCCATTGCTGAATTGCCCTGAAGCTGACTAGCATCCGCTTCACTCACTTCACATGCGGTAGTAATCGGTAACGGCTGTAATTCAATGTGTAGGACAAGCTGAGACTTTGCAAAGTCATGAGCTTATCGCAGAAGACAGTTGAAATATCACTTAGTCTTTCATTTCACTGAATGACAATGTCGTCTTGATATGAGTTGAGGATGAACAATTTGTAGCGTAATTCTCACAATAGAACCCCCTGAAAGCTTTTAGTGATTCAAAACAACTTCGTTGCCCGCGTACAATTTATTAGCCTCAAAACACCTTTTTTTGTCTTCTTCTGTAGACTAAAATCGTGCTAATGCTTGCCGGAATCTCATGTATGGATGGTCGTTAAGGCCGATTTGAGCTGCAAAAGAAGTCAGAGTGAGTAGATCCTCACTTTTTACTTGCTTTCGGATCTTGTCACCGGAAGAAGCCTTTACGCTTCTCTGATTCAAATGACAGCCTAATGAAAGCTGCCGAGGCCAGATTTCGCCATTATATAAGTCCGCCCGCCCTCGTCCACAACATCGACCTTCTATCAAATCCTTCAAACCGTTTGGCACCTTTCGTCTAACATCCACTCTTTACTCCTGTCACATTCTGTCACCAAAAGCTGTGTACTCAATCACACTCAAACAAACTTGATTGGCCAGCAACCTTTCCGTGTTCAAGATGAAGATCACTCCCATTGTCACTGCCGTCCTCGCAGGACTTGTTGTCCTTCTTGCCAGATGCACCACGACAACCATGAATGCCACGGCAATCCCTGCTAAGGAGATGTTAAATCTTACCTCAAGCGACTTGGCCTGTCAGGATCTGAAAAGGCAGTTCTACACCACCGGACCCGATGATGAGCAGATCTTTCACGCCATGAGGAGCTGTGGACCCAAAATGCAGAACGTGGAGACGATGATCAAGTTCCGTAGGCCCGAGTTGAAGAAAGTAAGCCTACCTGTTCTAGCATTCAGCACCACCGAGCGGGCAGAGTTGCCGAGCCTTGCAGCTATCTCGGCGGCCGTCACGACCATGAGTGAGAACGTCGAGATAATGGCCGAGTACCGCGAAGCCCTCGTAGCAAACCTTTCTACGATGGATCAGAACGCCCGGGTCGAGCGCCTGCTCTGCAACACGGACCTACCGAACAATCCGTGCGAAATAGGCCTCTCTGTTCTTGGTCCACTCGTCAAGATCACCGATATGGACCATATTCTTCAGTTTGCAGACGAGGCCGCCAAAGCTCGCAGCAAGTTGCTTGAGTTCGCTCATAGCTCCACAAAGATTTTCGTCCACGCGTACCCGAACGACGTCTCACCACAGGCATACACCTTGGTCTGGTCCAAGGCTTATCGAAGCTTGCACGCGGAACTTGTGGGACTGTCGAAGATGTTCGACCTTGGTCTTGTGGCGACTGTGTCTGTGGCGGCGGAATAGTGGCCTCTCGCTCACGTTGGGTGTTCACCAGACATCGAGTAAGTGGCCTTGATGACGAAAAAGAAGAGAAAGAAAGATGGCTTGTTTTTGTCTGATCATTTTCTCCTGCCAGTGCCAAGTCTTCACAATGAATGCGATGTCATTATCTTGACCATCACCGTCAGGCTCTCGTTGCGTAGGACCGTTGTAGCCGCGACTGATTATTGCACATCACACACATACACACACTAACTCACTCACTCACTCTGTGACACACACGAAGATGTTTCGATTTCTTCGACTGGCCTTTGATGAAGATCAGACTATGTGAATTAGGAGATTGCTGGTTAGGAGTAAGGGAAGAAAACTCGCAAAATGAAGAAAAAAAAATTTGATTTAAGGATCGGATTAATACCAGCGATTACCGTGCACATTGGGTTTAGGTGATGGTTCATAAGGCTTGACTCAGCGCAGATCGTCTGTACGCTATCGTCGCGCCTTCAATCAATGCCAACTTTGACCCCTCACGTAGTTCCGAATATGATTGACGACGCGTTCCCAGGAAGTAGTGTAAGAATGTGTTGATTGCCTGAGGCTGCAGCACCCCCCCGCCTTCCCGCAAAGGGAGACCCTTTTTCGTGCGGTTCGTCGCTTCCTCTTCTTTTTTTTTTTCTCTTTCAGGAACTCTACCACAATGCTTGCGCTACGGTCCATCCAGACCGCAAGGTTGTCATCTTCGAAACCGGCGTCATGCTGGTCGGTTCCTAGACGAAAATATTTTGCCCGTCGTTAATCGCGCATTAGGTGCTTCACTATGAATCGATGCGTTTCATATCAGGGTGACATTCTTAAACCTCGAAATCTTGATAGTTCGAGGTAGTTCGTGATTCTGACTGTGGCAGACGTTGGGCAACAGCAAAATGAACGCAGCGGAGGCTCCATTTTCAAGGCTTCGAGTCCAACGACGAGTTAGGCCGTGTAGCTACTGTGGACAGATCGGGCGTGTGACGTGAAGAAACGATACTATTTCATGGTATTATCCACACCATTCAAACTCCCTTTCAGGATATCAATATCGCCCTACGACCAGCGGCACAAAAATGAGAGCATATTCTATCTAATGTGGTGGTTATCGAAGCCTTCAACTCAAGACACCCAGCATAGGAAAGGATAGGCACATCATGACTAATGACGAATAAGAACTCTTTAGCCTAGGCGGGCAGCAACAAGTGATGATCCCACCCGATGAAGAGCTCTTTGGTGCGCCCAAAATCCTCCATTTCCAACTCGCAAATATGTACTGTCCCGCATTTACTGTACCTGGTTGACGATCTCGCTTGCCTTGGTCAAAGACTCGACCATCTGCTGGCACTCTTTCCGCCGTCTGATGGTGTACTCGCTCTCCTTGAGTAACTCATCTAGCTCTTCCTGCTTGTACAGTTGCTCGAGGAGTTCCTTCTGCATTTCTTCCTTCGTATGTCTGGCACAGTTGTAAGCATAGGTCCCTTTTTGGGTGAAGAATGCGGTACTTACCCCACAAGGTTCAACATAACGGCTTTCGGCACCATGTCAATCATGGTCCGCTTGACAATGTTGAAGTAGCTCGTGATTAAAAGCTTAATGACCTCGACCTCCTGGGTCTCCTTCTCGTTCAGCGTCGAAGAAGCTTTGAGGGTGGCTGGCGGCGGCTCCATGGCAGCCATCTTCTTCTTGTTCTTGCTCGCCCAGAAGCTGCCGAAGAAGCCTCCTCCCTCAGAGCTATCAAGCGTTGGACTCGCAGCTCGGGGGGGCACAGCATTCGGAAGTGGCTTGCCGGTTTTAGGGTCCACTTGCACCGGCTTGTTAGCGTTATGACGCTCGTGAACAATAGCCATGGCCCTTGAGCCGTTGATGAAATCTGGGTGGCCAGTGTTGATATACGTAGCTTCCATTGCGACGAGATCGCGAACCAATTTGTTGGTGGGTTCCATGGCCTTCTTAAAGAATTGTACAACCACGTAGTGAAACTTCTCCTTCAAGGCTGGGTATCGTCTGAACATCGGTTTGTTGAGAAGCTGGCCGAGGATGCGAACAAGCTCATCGTACACAAGGGAAACGCACTTTAAGCTTGGGTCCTCGAGTCTTCTGATCTGTTGCTTAACAATGATCTCGAATGCTGCTGTGCCAACGAAGAGTGCCGGTGATGAACCGGACGAGTTGTAGAGAATTGTGCGAATATCTACGTCTTTGACGACATCGAATGGATCTATCGCCTTGATACCGTTCGAATAAAGCTCATGGTACACGAAACTGATTCGGGCACCACCTGAAAGCTCGACGCTTGAGAGCTCTTGGTTGCTACCCTCCAACAAGCTCTTGTAATCATTCGAGAACTCAGTGATCATGTTGAGAATTATGTTCGCAGGGCTACCAAGCATCGAGTCGCCAAGCTGTTCTAGCTCTGCCTTGTATTTCAAAAGAGAAGATGAGATGCGCGACTTGATGTCTGGAAGGGTTTGTTTGATGTGCATCATGAGAATCTACATAGGTTAGTCTCAACAATTTCGAGAAGCTGGACTTAGCCACATACCAAGTTCAGTTTGCGGGCGAGGTATGGCGTACCGCAGTACGACGCCTTGTTGCGATATGCCTTGTGGTTCTCGAAGAACTGTCGTTCGTGCTCTAGGGCATATGAAATAGCCTTCTTGTTCTCGATGTCACGCTGGCCACGGTTGACTACAGGCACGTAACCTAATCTTAGAGGAATGATTCTGCCGGCCAGAATGTCCACAACATCCGTGCCTTCATCCATGAGATCCACTTTGGTGAGCACACCGATCGTACGCTGACCCTCCGGATCGACTTCTCTTGCAAGCTTGAGACCATCCGAGTTGGCCAAGTCAGTATTGGCGGCCGTGACTGCTAGAATGATCGCATTCGGCTTGCTGATCTGCTTGAGCACCATATCTTTGATCTGCTTCTCGATATCTCTCGGCTGGTCGCCGACAGGGACCTTGGTCAGCCCGGGAAGATCGACAAGTGTAAGCGTGAGGACGTTTGGCGAGTAGATGCGCAGGTTGATCGGAGCGGGCGAGATGCCAGCATTGCGACCCGTCTTCGCCTCCGTCTCTCGCACGATCTCTTCCCGAATCTTGTTGAAGTCGTAGAACTTCTGACCTGGTATATGCAGGAACTCGCCCCACTCGTCGATATTGGACTCCTTATCTGTGCTTCCCTTGATTTTGCCGTCGCCGTTGACCTCGCCATTCGTGGTGGGCTTGGAAGACGCGGCTCGGTTGATGAGCTGCAGAACGAGAGGTCTTCGTGTGACGATACCCGTTCCTCGGGGCAAGCTGTGGCGCTCAGTCAGTATACCGCACGTAATGTTTCCTTGTTTGCGTAGGCTCCTCCGGAAGGCTTACAAGTCTCGCCCCACGATATTCTCCAGTACAGAGGACTTCCCCGACGACTGTGATCCGACGACGACGATCTGGGGTAAGTCTATAGGGTTCTGAACGCCCACTGTCGTGAAGACATCCTGCAGCTTGTTGACTAGCGTGATCAGAGTGGGATCGTTGACGTTTATAGCATTGCGGTCGGGTTGCATGCCAGCCATGGCCGGCACTGTGCTCGCTTCTAGATTTTTTTGATTATTCTGTGGAGGAGTAGCGCGTGAGAGGCGCGAGGGGAACTCGAGGCTGGTATACGATGAGTTTTGGTGTTGTAGGCGTGGGTTTACGGGTTGTTGCTGCAAGTTTACAGGGTGACGCTGTTCGTAAATGACCATGCCTCAAGATACATGCCCCGAACGTGGGCCCGTGCGGTTGAATCCAGATGTGGCGCAGGCCGTATGGCTTCTTGTCTCAGCAGACACACTCACGCGAAACACAAAAACACCATCGGTCCGACAGGGTCAGCTGTTGTGAGCCAAATAGTCTTGTTGCCTGGCCCCAGAAGATTCTTCGACGAGGTACATTCTCTCGAAGCCGTTCTTGAGTCTGCTTGCTCTGGAACGCGCGTCCCCAAGCATGTTAATGCTCACACAAGGAGTCGACTATTAGGCTACAAGATTCTGCACCTTCATTGCTTACGATATCGGCCCTCGCTGACCTCTCGTGGCCCAGGACAGGTACAGCAGGGGTTTCACGGAGCCGAAAAGAAGCCCTTCAGCGCAGATCTTCTTTAACACTGGGCAGGATCGTGAAAGCATAATACGTGCTACGGTGGCCAGCGGAATTAAGGTTGAAGGCATATCATTCAATGTTTACTACATGGCTGTCCTATTTTACGCCTATTTACAGTCTCTATCTCGCAATCATGTGCTATTTATCAGTCAATGTGACAGAAACGGGTAAACGAAACAATACCGAGAATCACATATAAATATTTAGCTTAGCGTTGCCCCTACTCGTCCACCACGCTCGCGAACTTCTCCTGCATTTTTTGCATCAATGCCTCGTACTTCTTTTCAATCTTCTCCTGGCCCTCGCTAGGTACCTCGAACTTCATGCTCCTCAGCGCGCTCTGAATATCACTTGTAGCTTCCCTGATCTTGGCCCAACTTTGGCCCTGGCTGACTGCTTTTTGCGACTCGTCGTGGAACGCCATCATAGCCTTCATCATCCACTCTGTTTTCCAGAGTGGACAGAACTGGTCATAATCCGAGTAACCGTTCTGTTGAAGGAAATCTTCCTTGATCAGGGTCGCTACATCAAGCGTGATCTTGTCTGGGTCGCCGAGTGCCGACTTGCCCACCAATTGCACGACTTGATCAAGATCTTCGGAGGTGGTGAGCAGTTCCTTCACGCGCTCGCGCAAGCGCGGGAAATCTGGGTTGTGCTTCTGATAGTATTTGTCAAGAGCATTGGTGTACTTGCTGTAGCTGAGACTCGTGTTGACGGACGGAAAGTGCTTTCGCTGGGCAAGCTTCTTGTCGAGACCCCAGAAGACTTGCACAATACCTAGCGTGGAGGACGTGACGGGATCGGAGAAGTCGCCACCGGGAGGGCTAACAGCGCCAACGATAGAAACACTGCCCTTGCGATCTGGGCTACCTAGAGCGGTGACGCGACCTGCACGTTCGTAGAAAGAGGCAAGCTTCGCCCCAAGGTAAGCAGGGAAACCTTGATCCGCAGGCATTTCTCCTAAACGACCGGAAATCTCACGGAGGGCTTCAGCCCAGCGCGAGGAAGAGTCCGCCATCATGGCTACGTCCTTACCTTGATCACGGAAGTACTCAGCAACGGTGATACCGGTGTAAATGGAAGCCTCACGGGCAGCCACGGGCATGTTTGATGTGTTCGCAATCAAGGTTGTTCGCTTCATGATGGGTTCATCCTTTCCGTTGACCTTGATCGTAAGCTAGATGATTGTTAGCACGAGTTTATGATCTATCATAGAGGGGTTTAATACTTCAGGGAAATCCATCAAGACTTCGGCCATCTCATTTCCTCGCTCACCGCAGCCAACATAAACAATGATGTCAGAGTTGGAGAACTTGGACAGGGACTGCGAAATGACAGTCTTGCCGCAGCCAAAGGCACCAGGAATGCACACGGTGCCACCTTGCACGGATGGGAAGAGCGCGTCTAGCACACGCTGTCCGACTATCAACGGCTGATCTGAGGAGAGCTTCTCGCTGACGGGTCTCGGCACTCGGACGGGCCACTTGTGCATCATGCTGTACTCGGTTTTCTTGCCGTCAAACTCGAGCTCCAAGATCTTCTCGTCGACGGTGTAGCTTCCCTTCTCGGCAATTCTTGTGATAGTGCCCCGTGCTCGTGGCGGCAGCAGGATCTTATGCTCGCTAAGCAGCGAGTTTTCGAAGACGGTGCCAAACACGTCGCCGCCAGTGATATGATCGCCGACTTTCAGCTTGCCCGGAGTGAATTCCCACTTCTTCTCACGGTCTAGGGCGGGGAGGGAGATACCACGAGGGATATAAATGCTCTCCGAGATGCCGGCAATGGCCTTGAGAGGCCGTTGTATACCGTCGTAGATGGTTTCCATGAGGCCCGGGCCAAGCTCAACCGAGAGAGGCTGGCCAGAGCGAATAACTGGATCACCAACTGTGACACCGGCGGTCTCTTCGTAGACCTGAATGGTTGCCTTGTCCGCTTCGATACGAATGACTTCGCCAACGAGCTTGTCGTGGCCAACAGCACACTGGCCTTGGTCAGCACATGAGGAGTACAGTTACAGAGGGGCACGCAGCCGTACAAGTTCGTACATGGCACATCCTATCATGTCCTCCGCCACGATGACAGGGCCGGACACCGAGAAAACCCTCCCCATGTTTTCATCTTTCTCCGTCTTTGCAGGCGCCATCTTTGCAGCCTTCAAACCTCGCTTCGGCGACGCGACAATTTGAGAGAACGCTCTAGAGGGAGTATGCGGCGGAGTCGAATTGGCTCGAGTCTTTCGAGGCGATGTTGGGGACGGAGGCAAGGGGATCTGGGCGGGAAGCTCGTCGTCAACGGAGGCAGAGGAGCGGGAGGTGAGTGGGACGGGACCAACGTCGAGGTTGTGACGCTGAATTAGATCAAGCAGGGAAGGACGAGGCTTGAGTCGAGGTCGTAGCCCTAGCATACAAGAACTGCCAGGGTCGAGTGGTATCTTGGTGGGTAGTGCAGTCGCTGGACGATAAGGACCATCAAGAGCTTTTGCCTGCGGGAGCTGCACCTTGATGCCTTTGCGCTTGCAGCTTGGGGAGCTTGGTCCTTGTCTGGCTTGGCAAGCGCAGAGAGGCGGGCGGCCACCCAGTCAGTGAGTGCGTTCTATTGGCTGCTGCATGCCCGTGAACAAACCTCGCCTTCGAAGGCTGAAAGCGTGGTGTTCGCCGTCTAACAGTCGCTGGCCAGCGATGGACTCATCGCCTGGTATTTCATCTTGTCTAGCTCTGCCTTGTTGGCGTGTGTGGTTGAAGCATCGTCGCCCTCCAACATCTCATGGGCTTGCTGCCCGCGTCTCAAATAGCCGTCATAATGGCGTTTGGTCCGGCCTTGGAACCTCCCAAAGTAGACCAAGATCGTTTGACTGCTTCATCAATTCCTGAAAATCGGCATTGCTGTAGCTTTTTTATAGCTCCTACGACCTTGTCTTCTTTGCGACTTGCACAGCTTGCTTCTGCTGTGTCCAACGAATGGTTACCAAAACAGGCTAGCGTCATAGAAATGGAAGATGTAATGCCCGCATCGCCCGACCCACTGAACGCCGATAAAACATTCCAATCATCTCAGCAATACCAGAGGCGAATGAATATAGGAGACAGTCGTTAGACCTTGTCTTCTCCAGTGCCTACAAAGATTCTGGTCGAGAGACCTTCGCCCACGTGTCTGCGATACTCAATCGCCGCAAAGCCAGACCGATCCGTCCTCTCCGAATCGTCTGACCATGGATTCCGGTGTGCCTCCTTCGAGGTCGGCCATGCCGTCGTCCTTCGACGACGACATGTATGTATACCTCGGATGAGCAGCCTCCTAAATTGCTAACGCATTCGCCTAGCGACTTCCGTGAAAGCAGCCGCTGGGCCAAGCTCAAGCGGCTCATCCTTCAAGATCCCCTCATCCCTCTCGGCTGCGCGCTCACCGTCGCCGCCCTGCTGGGCGCTTCCCGGGCCATGAAGCAAAACGACCACGTCAAAGCAAACAAGATGTTCCGACGTCGTATCTACGCGCAAGGCTTTACTATACTCGCTATCGTTGCGGGCTCGAGCTACCTAAATAAGGACAAAGAGCAGCGAAAGCGTGATATTGAATTGGAGAAGGAGAGGGCGCAGCGGGAAAGGAGAGAAAAGTGGCTTGCTGAACTTGACTTCAGAGATCAGGAGGAGAAAGAGCTGAGGGCTGAACGCGAGATGAGACGCAAGAGAATGGCCGAGGAGAAGGCCCAGAAGGCGGCACAGGAAGCAACAGGACCAGTCAGTGAGGCGGTGAAAGGACTGTGGTGGAGCAAAGCAGACGATGATAAGAAGGATAGATGAGGAGGACATCTGTGATATATGCATCGCCTCGTTCTTCACTTTCGTACACATCAGGTATCCGTTCTTTCTGGTGTGGTCCATGGCGATCTGGGCTTGATCGTTCATCTCAGCTTTGGTAGGCGTCATGAGGAAACGAAACTCTGCATTTTCGATGGACCTGCATATTATCATGATAAAAGACGAGGTGCTGATTGAGCATTCCGCTCTCGCGTGACCAGCTGAAAGGCTTCTCCTGCTATATCTTTGCTATCGTTGTCATTGTCATTGCGCCGCTGAATATAGCGTTCCTCGCGAGCCATGCGGGCGCGATGATACGCGCTGTTGAAAGCAGGAGCCCAACTGCTTTGCGCCTGTTGAAAAGCGAGCAGACGACCGATTAGGCTCATTCTAAACACGCGTCATTCTTCGTCGGCACGAATGTTGATGTGCAGACGGATAGGTCACCTCCATAAAAGTAACGCAAACCCTAAATACAAAGCAGGTGATGTGAAGTAAATTAGAACTCTTACGGTCGAAACTCCGCTACCTGCCCGCCCAACACCGCAAGCAGCCGATAAAGAAAAAGCCCATGTCGTATTGTCACATTGTAGAATCAAGTCAGCACTTGCACCGCTCCACTCCCATATCGTCTTGGCTCCCCATCTAGACCCGAAGACACAGAGCGCCTGGTCAGGATCAAGCTGCTACGTTTGAGCCTAGCCCAAACGAACACAGCATATTCTTAAATCCGCCTCTTTTCTCTTGCTGGTGCCTAGCTTAGCACTGGCAACCCTCTCCCTTCTGCGTGCCGTGCGCCTCTGGTCTCAAATCCACACCCTGTCGATTGACGGCCTGTCTCATGCTTCGCGGTCCAGCCTGATCCAGTGGTAGCTTCTTTGCTATCGCGGTGAAGAGCTCTTTTACATTTTCTGCCGTCTTGGCCGACGTCTCGAAAAAAAGCAGTCCAGCCTCCTTGGCGTACTGCTCAGCGTCTGCGGTGGGTATGGCACGTTTGTCCGGGTTCTCGTTCACGAGGTCAAGTTTATTGCCAGCGAGAGCAATAATGATATTCTCATTCGCTTGGCGCTGGAGTTCTTTTACCCAAGCTTTTGCTTTGTCGAGGGAGGCCTGTTGTCGTGTGAGTGTTCGGTTAGCGCCCGTGCGTAAGCATACCATCAACATCATGATGATGAGGTTCGGGGACGGCCCAACGTACCGCTTGTGTGATGTCGTAGACGACAACGGCGCAGTTAGCATTTCGATAGTACATTGGGGCAAGAGACTTGTAGCGTTCTTGGCCTGCTGTGTCCCATATTTCGAACTTCACGGTGGTGGACTCGTCTAGGGTGATGGTCTGCGTGAGGAAGGCAGCGCCAATGGTGGACTCTCTGTAGTCGTCGAATTGGTCCTGAAGGCAGGCGTTAGTTTGCATGCTGGAGACAGCGGCATGAACCGGTGGGCAAACATGCTTACCTTTACGAACCGCAAGACTAGCGAACTCTGTGGGGGAAGACTGTTAGCAGGTAGACACAGGGCCAATGATAACGACGTCGCACCTTGCCAACGGCAGATTCTCCTGTGATACGTGTCAGCATACATATGTACGTGAACATCCCACGCATTTGAAGGGCATACCTAGCAGCACCAGCTTGAACTGTGCAAAGCGCGAGCCTGCGCCGGGTCTGCCTGGCTGCATTCGGGCTGCCATGATGAGCGTTGGGGCGGGCGGGGAGGAGAGGATGGCGGTGGAGTATCTGAAGTCGGCGCAGATTACGGAGAGCGTAGGAAGCGGCAAGCAGCGGTAGCAAGGGGTGTGAGGGAGCGATGGGGAGGATGCTGTTGGTCGAAGAGAGAGCCGTGGATCGCAGGCCCGCGCGTGGTCAACGAGCCTGAGCGAGATGGCAAAACGTATGGGAGCATCCGAGCATGTCCTTGGCCTGTGCACGGGCGCCGAGCATACCCTGCGAGGATGAGGCGTCACCGCGCAGATGGCGCCTTCGTGCAGGCCAAGTCAGCTTAGCTACGGCGCGAATCAAGCCAGCAAACAATCACGGCGCTTCCCAAGTCGTGCTCCGGGCTATCCAGCACACGCTTCTCCATACCCTACATCCCCGTGTCTCGCCGCCGTCCTGCCTCCGTCTCTGCTGGCCCCTTACAGCCAAACACGCGGGCCCTCGTCATGGCCGCTGTCCCTTTTCCCTATCGTGACATCAATGTGCACGCTTCACCCTCCCATTACTCCTTCACGTCTCCGTCGTCCCCCAATGCGCCTACGCTCGTTGTAGATCGCCCCTCGGGCGACTTGAGGCTCAGCGATGAGAAGCTGCTCGGCACGAGGAGGGTGTCCAGCATCGCTGGCATACTGGGCATCATAAGTTTGCGCCTGGGTACGTACGCCGTGCGTGGATTACAGCCGCGCGTTGGTTCCACGGCACCGATGAATTGAAAGTACTCACTCCAGAATACAGACAAGTACATCATCACCGTCACAAAGGCCGCCCCCATGGGCCGTCTGAAGGGCCATATGATATATCGCGTCGTCTCCACCGAGTTCCTTCCTCTCCGCGAGAGACCATTGCACGACCCCGAGGAGGACACGTACCTGCACCTGCTCAAGAACGCGATCGCCACCAACCCTATGTATTTCTCGTACACGTTTGACATCACCAACTCTTTCCAGCGCCAGGCGGAATCCAACGTGACAGACCCCATGTGGAAGCGAGCTGACAATCGTTTCTTCTGGAACCGTTATCTACAAAGCGACCTAATTGAGCTGCGACAGGGCAAGACGAGGTTCGGGCACCATGGCGAGCTACCAGCTGTGGATCCGTTCATACTCCCGGTAATTTCGGGCATGCTTCGCATAACCAACACGTCGATCAAGGGCAACCCTCTTACTTTTGTGCTCATCACAAGGAGATCTAGGTTCCGGGCTGGCACTCGTTATCTATCTCGCGGAATTGACGAGGACGGGAACGTTGCTAACTTCAACGAGACTGAGCAAGCGATCATTTTGAATGATGATACCTCAAAGGGCACCGTCAGCTACGGCGGTGATCAGGGTATGCAGAATGGTAGAGTCCCTGGCAAAGAGCCTCAGGTACTATCCTACGTGCAGACGAGAGGTAGTGTTCCGGTTTATTGGACCGAAATAAATACCCTCCACTATACACCTAAGTTGCAAGTCCGTGGCGTGGAAACGGCGGTCAATGCTGCTAAGCGCCACTTCGAGGAGCAGATCAACCTGTATGGCGAGAACTATCTTGTCAACCTAGTGAACCAAAAAGGTCGCGAGCGACGGGTCAAGGAGGCCTATGAGCAGATGGTTCGTCTTCTTGTCTCATCGCCCTCCGAAGCGGTGGAGAGCGATGCGCGAACACGTGAGAAGTTCGACATAATAGAGCCGCGCAAGAGCAGGACTGATTTTGATCGCCTGCACTACGTCTACTTTGACTTCCACAACGAGACCAAGGGGCTACAATGGCATCGAGCCAAACTTCTGTTGCAGCAGCTGGAGCGACCAATCCTCGCTGGTGGGTATTTCCGTGGGGTTGACATGCCCGGCCACTCGGATGGTCGCATGGAGATTCGAAACAAGCAATCTGCGGTTGTGCGCACAAACTGCATGGATTGTTTGGATCGCACGAATGTTGTGCAAAGCATGCTCGGCCGATTCATCCTCACGCGCATGCTGATCGACCTTGGGCTGCTTAGGGAAGGCGAGGAAGTCTCCGACGACCAGGCCTTCGAGCACCTCTTCCGCAACGTGTGGGCCGACAACGCGGACGTAGTGTCCAAGTCGTATTCGGGCACTGGGGCTCTGAAAACGGACTTCACGCGCTTGGGCGTACGGACAAAGAAAGGCGCGTTCAACGACTTCACAAACTCGGCCACACGCTACTTGAAAAACAACTTTGCGGACGGCCCCAGGCAGGACGGTTTCGATTTGTTTCTGGGCTACTACTCACCTGCGCAGGCAAGCCCCGGATCGGGCAACGTGTTCGTAGACCGTAGACCGCTTGCCATTCAGGCTGTCCCGTACATACTATTTGCCTGCATATTCCTCGTGCTCGTAGGCAGCTTTGCAAGGCGGGACCCTGAGTCAGTGATCTGGCCATTTAGACTGCTCATGATTGTCGCGTTAGTGTGTGCTGGGCTAACTGGCCGGTTTGTTTTTACGCATGGTCCTCTCTATGTATGTTTTAAGTTACTTCCGACCAAAATATTGGTTTGCTGATGATAGAATAGGTCAACTGGCCCAAACTTAACCCGCGACCGTGGGCACTGGAAGCCTACGAAGAAGCGCTCGGACGCGCTAGGCACGAACCCGTACTCAGTTCGTTCATCAAGTCCCATGAGCGGGGCAGGAGTATGGCGAACATTGGATATATGGAGGAGGGCAAGAAGAGAATCGAGTAACATCATTGATCCGTATTCGCCTCCTTTTGTGTATTTGAATATCGTGTGGTTTCCTTTGTCATGTATCATATGGCGGATTTGAGGGTTTCATCTGTTGAAGCATAGACATATCACAAGAGTGAGGCCATGCTTGAGGCTTCAAACTCGCAATTGAACTCAGGAATCGCAAAGTGGATTTGCGACAAACACGCAGAGCAACACATACATTCATACGTCCAAATCAAACGGCAAGTTTGAATGTGATGCGCATGCCGATATGGTTCCCAAGCTACCTACTCCGTAGTTTTTTACCAGCCGTCCGACGACTGACATGTGACACGTAAATTTTACCCCCAATACCCAGGTTTAAGCAAAAGCACAGAAAATACATCGCAAAACCCCCAGAGAACCAAATCCCAAGCCAACCGGTCGTAAAGTATCTTTACAAAGCTTTTGTCAGGGTCGAATGTATACCGTTTGCGCAGGGGATTGGAGAAGAAAGGCGAGTTCTCCATGCGCAAGGAACTAGCGTCCTACAGAGCACTGCTTCTAGGTGTGCTGGCCACCTGCAACGATTGCTGAGATGACCAAAATCGTAATTCAAAAATTTTGATCATCTACAAACCAAATGAATTGTCACCGCTCCCAGAGCCGATATCAGGGTTTGATCGTTGCGTTGGACTCGTGTGAGTGAAGAACATGGAGCTGTCGTCCGTCTCGTCGGGAACAGCGAATGTGCCCCCTCCACCGGCAGTGAATGGAACAGCAGGGCTGAAATCGACTACAGGACTAGTTTGTTCTGAGGCCACTGCAACAGAGGTCTTCTCAATAGCCTTTAAAGGGCTGGAGGATACGTCTGGTGTCTGACTTGCTGATCAGTCACGGTCCTCTTAGATATGCACATAAGATACTCACCTCAACAGTCTTCGCGGCCGTTCCCAACGACGGCGCGCGCGGAGACCGGCGAGATGCATCTCCCTCCGTCGCAGAATCTGGCGCAAAAGAGGGTACTGGCCCCAGAGACGACGCACGACTTCCTACACTCGAAGCTGGTTTCGACGAAGTCCCATTCGGCTTGAGCGATGTACGTCGGTCTGTTGGTGTCTTGCGTGGGCTCATCGAACGTCGCCCAGTAGTCTGTATAGGTGGAAGATCAGCGAGGCGGTCAAGCGTCTCGTCATCGACGGTCGTGAACGATGCATCCGGGAGTTCGCTTAGATCGTTGGAGATAGCTTCGCGAGCGATAGGAAATTCTATGCTTGGAGCAACTGCGGTAGGTACTGTATGAAGTCAGGTTCTGGTTAAGTATGAATGCCGCTCTAGGAATCGTAATTGGAGAGCTTCGTTTGTGCTCGGTGAAGAACGCTCCATTTGTAGAGTCCGCGAAAGCGGCACTCCAAGAAATGCTCAGGTGCTGTGAATGGTTCATGTACTCACCCATTGCTCCCGATATTTCAACTGCAGCTTCTTGAACGGTAGGAACATCTGTCTCTGCAGCAACATTTTCCATTCGCTCAGCAACCGTATCTGCGGTCTCACCTTGCGCTTCTTGAGCCACGTTATTTTCAATCTGCTCTTTCGTATCCTCTTTGATCTCTTTGGATGCGTCCTGTCCAACAACCTCGGTAGCGACATCATCAACATTTTCATCGACAACTTTAGAAGCGTCTCCAGTAAGGCCTGCAGATCCCTCTCCTTCTGCGGCAGTCTCAGCCTCTTCCCCGGCTTTATCCGTCTCCTCCGGGGTAGATGTTGCAGCAGGAGCGTAGAGCGATTTAGGCGCAGACTCACCGGCCATCTTGAGTATATATTCCCACTCCTCAGGTGAGACCTTGCTAACACTAAGACGTGACTGAGTGAAAAGCTGCATATTCTGGAGAGGCTCGCCAGGCAAAGAGCGTTTACGGAGCTCAGCAAGAGTTACGGCGCTCGGATTAGCAAACTTGGAGCGGAATTCTACCTTGACATTAAACCACCTTGGTGTTTCGCGTGAGGATTTCGCATCGTAATATGGACTATTCTCGTCAAAAGCAGTCTCATCGACGGTAGCCTCCTCAACAATCTCCATAATACCCACCGCGCCTGGGACAGCACAACTGGAGTGATAGAAAATGGCCAGATCACCTTTTTTCATAGCCATCATATTGTTCTTGGCTTGGTGATTCCGAACGCCTGTCCAGGGCTCTGGTTCTGTGACTGCCTTTAAATCGTCAATGGAGAATTTGACGTCAACGCCATTCTCGAGTCTGGATTCCGGCTCTGCTTTCATGAGCCAATATGAAACGCCACCGGGTCCGGCGGGAATATCGGACGACTTTATGGACTTGCGTTTTTCAGCCGCACTTGACGGACTAGTGGCGCGGCGTGATTTCCTAGACGCAGGACCGGGGCTAGATGCACGCTTTCGTTTTCCAGCGGCTGCTTTCTCAACCTTTTTTGGCTGCACCGTTTTTGGAACTTTGGGAACAGCTCTTGAAGTCTCTGGAGTCACTGCTTCTGAAGACCCGATGTTCTTCAGAGGACGGCCAACAGCTTTTGACGGCGCTGTGCCTGGAACTCCAATTGTAGTCTTCGGATTGCTAGGTGTATGCAGTTTTGCATCCAAAGTCTTTCTGCGCGATGGCCTGTCTTTGGCCTCTGGAAACTGAGTAGTGGTCTTACTACGGCTCGCCTTGTGATCTAATTGAGTATCCTCTGCGTCCTCAGCTCCAGCAGTCTCCGACTCCTCCTCACTCAGTATTTGAACAGTGCTAGATTGGACCACTGCTTTTGGCGGTGCCGTTCCTGGTATAATCGTCATCGTCTGAGTGTTCTTTGGCGTTGTTGGATTAACAGCCAAAGTCCTTCTGCGAGATGGCTTGGTAGTAGATTCTGGTAGTTGCATGTTACCAATGCTAGCTTCTGCGGCGTCATCTGCAACTCCAATCTCCTGAGTGACATCGGAAGTAGCAGCGGGAGTAAGAGGTGACTTCATCGCCGAAGATCTAGGTGGTCGGCCGTGCGCTTTCGCTGGGGCTGTTCCTGGAACTGGCACCGACTTTGAAGTACGTGGTGTGGTGAGCTTCGTGGCGGCCAACGTCCGTCGACGCGATGGTTTGTTCTGAGGAGTTGCAATTTCAGCAGCTTTAACCTTCGCACGTTTTGCTGGACTTTCGGCAGATTCTCCGGCGGATCCAGAAGGCGATGGGCGCTTCAGTGGAGATCCATGAGACTTAGGCGGAGCGGATGAAACCATTCCTTGTGCTTGAGACTTGCTCGTTGGTGTAACCTCGCCTCCTACGGTTTGACGGCGACCCTTCGCTGCAGCCTTCGGAGTGTGTTGCATTGGTTCATCAGCCATTTCGACAATACCGTCAGGGTACTCAGACGATTCAGTATCAGCGACGACTCGAGCAATAGGCTCTTCAACTCCAGAACCTTGCGGCTCTAGACTCGCCTTCTTGCGTTCTCCTACTTTCTCCGAGTTTTTACTTGTCGTTGATTCTTCGTCAATATGGTTTTCCTCCAATACTAATTGAGAGTCACCACTTCTCTTGATTGTCTTGCCTCTTGTTTTCTTCCCCTGATTAGCTGGAGCAGAAGGCGCCGCCTTTCGACCTCGTCCCTTGGGAACAGGTGGGGCTGGCTCTTCCGTTTCTTCCACCTCAGGATCCGCAATCTTGACGCGCTTTCCCCGACTCTTAGGTTTAGTCTCAGCGTCAGGTTGTGGTTCAGGCATTGGCTCATCCGAATCAGTTGCTTTGAAGTGTTTGCTTCGTGTCTTTACCAGTTTGGCTTTGGGTTCTGCCTCAGAATTCTTTTCCGATTCTGTTTTAGCTTTTCTAGAACGAGTCTTAGTTGTTTTTGGCTTGGTATCAGCTGTTGATTCGTCTTCAGCTTCCTTTATCTCTGTCCGTTTGCCTCGTCCTTTTGCCTTTGGGGCTTCAGGCTCTGGCGCGTTCTCTTCTTGAGCCTTCCCTCTTGCTGTAGCTCGTCCGCGCTTAGATTTTGTCCCCGCCTCACTGGTAATTGGCAATTCTTTTTCAATTCTTTTTGACGTACGTCCGTTGCGTTTAGAAACCGCGACGTCTGAAAGAGCATCCTCAAGCTCTTCCTGTATTTGCTTCTTGGCCGTTCTTCCACGCTTGCCGGGTTGCGCTGTGCTAGATGGCCCATCTGCGGCGATGACTGGAGCTGCCTTTGCCTGGCGACCGCGCTTCTTCGGTTCTGGTGCTGATTTTTCGACCTCTGATACCGGGACTTCCTCCACCTTGGCTTTCCCTCGACCTTTTCCCTTTCCTGAAACTGCATGTTCCTCTTCGATTGGCGTGACTGGCGGCGCCTTCGCTGTCCTGCCTCGTTTTTTGGGTATCTCAACTGCTACTGCTTCCACGGTTGGCGCATCTGCTTTGGTAGTTTTCCTGCCCCGAGCAGGCTTCATCGCTGGTGGCTCATCCTCTATCGGCTCTGGCTCCGCTGTGCGTTTCCCCCGCGTCGTCTTAGTGGCTATAGTAGATTCGGCCTTAGCTTTACGCGCAGTGCTAGATTTCGCTGTCGCTGTGTTCTTCGCAGTGCTTGTGGCGCCTGTTGCATTGCGCCTGGGAGGCATGGTGGCTAGCTTCTACAGCAACGCAGGTAAACTGTGTTGGTGAAAAATGCTGTGGGGGGAATATTGTTTGTTTTGACGCGACACCGTCGTTCGACTGGAGTATGTGGGGAAGACGCGTGAAGCTCGGGCACTCGTTGACGCAAACCAAAACATCATCGTCACAAGAAGCTTGACTGTGCTCAAAACGGAATAGCGTTCGGACGTTCCAACTGCCCAGGAACATCTTGAGTCCGGAGAATGGACAGCAAGTCGAAAAGATTGAGAATGCTGGATGATTAGCGTGCCTTTAGCCACTACAGTCCACTACTCCAAAGCATTGTCTTTTCAATATCGTAGGCTTGCATCATTGTGGCACAGCCCATTCAAAATCTGTGCCTCAAAATATTGCTTATGAAAGCGTTTCGTCGCAAGCCTACTTTCGAACTTTCACGAGGTGCGAAACTTTCCACCGTGAGATCCACAACAAAGGACACAATCTTATCACATACATACCTGGGAAGGGAGGTCTCGGCTACACACTGAGCTTGCTTTTTATTCCCTCCATGGCCTCAAACAAAGCCTTCGATGAGCTCACGGCTCAAGAACAAACTATTGAAGTAACCCGGCAGCGTACCAACGCCCTCGCTAAGAATCTGGACAGCTACCAACGTCTAGCCTTTGAGAGTGGCGCCCAAGGAACAGGAAATGTTGCGGATTGGAACAGCATCAATACTGCCGAGCAGGGTTTTATCAACAGCATTAAAGCATTCACCAATTTTCTTGATGTTCCCGATCCTTCAAACACAACACTGCGACCGGTAGCTTCGGGTGAGCGGCGCAAATTTCTTGAAGAAACATCCGTATTTCCCAATGAGAAATTTCCCTATCAGAAGGGGTACGGTAGCGATCAGACTTTGTATGAGCTTCTAAGGAGAAGACAGGATCCACAGGTCAGTGCCTGGATGCAGCGGATGGAGAATGTGGGTCGGGAATTGGAGGAAGGAAGTTTGTTAGATGGGGAGAGGATAACGGCCAGCGAATATGCAGACTTGTGGACTTGGGCAGCAATCACGGGAGATGAGATGAATAGGGAATTATTTGGAGGTGCAGGCGGACTGGATGAAGAAGACGACGAAGGCGATGGGGATGAAAGCGAGGATGATGAGGCGGGCAAGGTTAAAGGGAAAGGCGTTGAGGCTCAAAAAGCGATGCCGTTGACGCACATCTTGAGTTTTGCGTCGAATGGATACATTCCACCTGATCAGCCCAAGGACCAAATTAGACGATAACGGCTGGGGCAAAGACAACGATTATAGAGAGCACATTACGCTGTTATACAACGAAGGAAACGTCTCATAGCTCGAACTGCTTCGAATCCAGATCATGGAAGATACCCACGAAATCAAATTGAAGGTACGACAGAGAATTGAATTACGACTACTAAACAAATTTGTCTATTGAGGGTTCTAACCACGCCTTCGCGTGGTCGGGCCCTTATGCTGAGCGCCAGTCGTTGTAGCGACTGGCACGCCCTTTTTACCGATTACTTTATCCTGAGGCGCATCCGTCTTGCTCGGTGGCGCGTTCCAATAGTAGAGCATTTGAGCCGCTAACACAAGATTAAGCGTGAAGCCTGCGATGAAGCCGTACAGTATAAGCGGATCATCAACCTCCTGAAGTGTGGTGAAGATGCGCGAGAGAGAGCCCGCGAGGTAGTTGAAGACCTAGAATTCCAATTAACATTGAGCTTTAGCTGAAGGGAACGATACGACATACTGCGAAGGCACTCAACTGTCCAGTGCCACCCTCATGGTAAATAGCCAGGATTTGGGGGATCTTACTGCCCACGCCCAACACGCCCGCACCAGCCTGCAAAGTGCTCAAAAGCTTGTTGTCCACAATCTCCGGCTTAAACATGGCAAACAGCGCGCCCGCAAGGCCGGCCACAAACACCGCGGCCGCTGAATCCTTGCCACTGTAATGAAGAACGAGTGTAGATATCACCACATTCTGCAACGCAATGAGCGCGCTCTCGCCAAAGGTGCTGAAAGGGTTTCCCTGGCGTACGTTGTACGCAAATGTGATGAGAAAGGAGGACGTCTCGAGCAGGTACGACAGGAAGGAAACGCCGGCAGCGGATTGCGAGTTGATCAACTTAAGCAGCTGTGGGACTTTTACAACCGCAGAGGCGCCGATGATCCCAATTCCCAGGCCTTTGGAGATGGCCAATTTGAGGCAGTCCGGGTAATTTATTGGGTCGATGTCCAGCACAAGATGTTTGTAGCACACGGGACCAAGAAGATTATTGCCCAGTTGATAGATGGGGGTGGGCAGATTGTGTGTGATCGGCTGGAGAGCGCTGCGGAGTGCGTCCATATCGCCTCGTTGGTTGGAGCAAGATTTGGCGTTTGTTCGCGGATGTTGACAGCTTGCGCTTCGGTGTTGCTATGTGGACTTTTCGGCTCGTGACGCTTCTGGGAGGAAGCTTGGACCACGATCTGTTTCCTTTCAGATTTCCATGGCTGGACAAAACGTCGAGTGAACTTCAAAAAATGTTCAGTTCGTTGATTATCTTGTCAGTACAGCCTCTAAGAAATTGAATTCTTCTTATAGCCTAACAATACCTTCTCCAAGTCCATGATCGTCCTCAAACTTGCCACTTGTTCTTTCATTCCGTTTCGAGCGTCAAACTGCAACGCATTGATCTGTTAATATGATTGTTGGGGATGAAGCAAGGTTTCCGATTGCTAATACCTGGGAACTTGCGTAATTCAAGTTGTGAATGGAATCGGATGTGATTACACACTCGCATATGCGTGTGTCAACCTTGCAAGCGCATAGAGTTGCGAATTCATCTCAGTTTCTTTGAGAAGACAACGCAAATCGCAGAGCTTGGAATTCATTGGGTTTGTGTATGTCGCGATTCCTGCCCAGATTAATTTCCGGGCTGCCGAAGTCAAATTTTGTGCTGGTAGCAGTTTATATTATGAATATAAAATTTTTGTGAAATCGTAGCTCGCCTCATCTTCATGGAAACGTGTTTCAGTTACACATATCAGATCAGATGATGGTTAGCAGGACCGTGGGTCAGCAGCATCTAGCTGCCAATTTAAAAGACAACTAATTCATTCCTCAAGGATAGCCGGAATCAAGCAACGTTAACATCAGATACATGACTAGATTTCTCCGCAATGTCTCCACCGAAGCAATCAACACGAAGCGGCCATGATTTGTATCACAGGAGGGACTGCGTGCTAACTGACTGTCACTTAGATGAAATATTAGAACGTAGAACGTCCAGGGGCACGTCCCTCCGACACGTCCCAAGACGAACGCCGAAGTTTAAGAAAAGCAAACGGTGTTGTCAGAGAGAGTGTCTCGTTAACACTGAGACAGATGAAATTGAGAGAGCAACTGACGACTTTGGCAGTCTTCCAGCACCGCAACTCCAAACTGGACAGATTTTTGCCAAGTTCTTCCCGAATATCATTACGGAGCAGGAACGATCGTCACCGCCGATTCCAGATGCTGACATCCCTTTCGATGACGATTTTCTGGATGCCATTGAAAGGCAGATACGCAAGGAGTTTCGAGAGCTTCAGCTGGTAAATGTTCAGCATTTTCATACAAAGTTTTCCATAAAAGCTGCAACGAATGCCAAGGTCAGCATGATGCGTGATCATTTTTCAGCGCCAAAATTTTATAAGATCTTTCCGCAATGGGACGAGCCACATCTGGTGCCGTTTAGACTGTACAGTAAAGGAGACGCCAAATTTGTCCAAGTTCGATTTAACGGCGGATGGCAATGTTTGGCTTCATTCCTGGACACTCTATGTCACGTCGGCGAGATCGATTATAGATTAATGGGCGAGTATTGGGAGCACGTGCAAAATCATACCAAGAAAGCATTTCGCTTCCTGGAGTTGCCTCGTGAAATTCGCAATATTGTCTACCAATTCGTGATGTTCGACTCCCCTCAAGGACGCATGGTCCTTCCAAGCACATTCTGGGGTCAAACAGTGAGAAGAAGGAAGAAATCTAGGGGCCAGAAATTGTTGAAAAGGGGGGTGAGGATGGCAAGGCTGCCCGGTACAGAGACGATGCCGTTGTTGAACCAGTACACGTACAGTCGGTCCCTGCTTGCAAGCAACAGGCAAATCCGTACGGAAGCTATCGAAGAATACTACACGAGGGCGAAGTTTTGTTTTATGTGGACTTCGGATGTCTCTGCTTTCACAAACGCACTGAGTACACAGCAATCAACCTTTGTCCGTGAAGTGCTGCTTAACTACACGTTCGCTGACCACGATTGGTTCCTACGAAGGACTTGGAGACCAGTCGGAGGAAGAAAACTCCGGGACTATAATGGGCTAATGAGCCTCAGTAATCTGAAATATCTGTCAATCTTTGTCGATTTCAAGAGAGATGGACAGCATAATTCGAACTGGAAGACTAAATTTGACAATGAAGAATCGGCGACGCTCTGGGTGGCGAAGGAATATAGAGAAAGACTTGCCGGGCTAGAGCAACTCGTGGTGCGTGTTCTGAAAGACGTCACAGATGGTCTCAAATTATAAGCACCAAAAATTTGTCTTGATCAGGGCTTATTCTACGGCGAGATGTTCAATGCTCATGCTGGCGAAGCGACAAGGAAAGAATGTTGGCACATTGGCAGGGGTTAGAACTAAATGCACCCAACACAGCTATGGTAGATACAGCGCAGCCTAGATAGAGCAGTGCGTATGGTAAAACACAAGCATCGAGAAAAAATAGAATTCAGTCAGGAAGGTCATTCTGAATCATCAAATTATGCAGAGCATAATACAATTTGATCGACGCATTCATCTGAATCGAGTGTGCTGCGTCAACAAAACAAGGCTGAAGCCTTGTTCGGGTCAACTAGGCAGGGATTCTCGAGCCAGCACCGCCGCAAATCGATGACGCAGCTCCGCCACTGATGTTGACCACATGCAACCGCGTGATGTTAAAGCATTAATACGCGGCGTATGCCCTACTTCTCATATTTTGCTGTTTCAACTCTCCAAATCCCTCACTTACACAGTAAATACTGTACTTCGCATTGCAAAAATGATTGGAGTCATCTGCCTCATCATTATCACGCTCTTCCTCCCACCTCTTGGCGTCCTTCTCATTGCTGGCTGCGGAGCTGATTTCTGTATCAACCTGTGTCTCACGATTCTAGGCTTCTTCCCTGGACACATCCATGTTTGTCCTGCTCGTATCAACTCCTCGCCTAGCGTGCTGATGTTTTACCAGGCCTTCTATGTCGAATACGTCTACTACAAGCGCCGTGACCAAGCGCGGATGGGTGTATACGACTCACGACCCGCGCCCGGCATCTTCTCTGACCGCGTGAACTTCGGACACAGAAATCAATACGTGGTTGCACCCGATCAGCAACCGGCACAACCACAGCCACAGCCACATGCGTATCCGGAGCCCAGCTACGGCACTGTTGCGCCGCCTCCTGCACAACCACCTGTGTATTCCAAGTAAAGGAGCGAACTACGCCACGCAGTGATGATATTTGGAATATCAGAATTATTGCACCGATCACTTTGATCTCGCACAATAATTCCATGGAGTTGGCAGCATGTGTTTAAGTGTTAAGATGTGAAATCGATGACGAGTTATGACTTTATTTAGGCAAAGAAATCTAGCCAATTGAACCTTTCAATTCAACAGCTCTTCTCATACCCGACCTTTTTTTTTCTTTGACAAACAATCCAAATAAAATTTTATTTCTGGGCACAGTGAATTTTTTATTGTCTTCTGTCAGGCATTTTGGAGAGCTAAATCGCTAACACAATGAGTTTATGACATTGTATCTTTATGTTCCGTTTGCCATTTCGTTATATCTCCGATCCTTTGAACGATAGGTTGTAGGAGTCGTTCACACAAACTCACAAACGAGAGCACAAAGCTCATTACTCCCACAAGCCCCTCAGCAAGACAAAGAAACCTATTTCAACATGACAGACAATGGTATATCTCCCAATGCTTCAACTGTTGACTGCAAGTCAAGATTGTCTCGGAGAAAAGATGCTGTTACGCTGATATGAAAGGTGCCGGGCTTCGTTTTGGAGACGATGCGATCACTTCATAATACTCCTTTTGATTTTCTCTATTCAGAATATAGCCAGAAACCTACAGGAAGAATTTTTCTCGTTAGTATAGCTCACAATCTGTTTATACTTCCCTTTCCATTCTATCTGATACTATCACTTTGTGAACCGCTCCATTGGTACAACACCAATGTTTACTTGGCTGATTTCGAACTGGTTCGAAGACTTTGTTCTCTTTCAAAGTGATACCATTTGCGGAACTGCTTGAACCTCAGGATCTTCTCAAAGATGCAGCTGGGCATTGTCCCTAGTCAACAAAAGCAGACCATTTTGCTCTTCGATTATCAATTTGGAGAAGCATCGCCGAACTTTACGATTAGTCGCCATTTCTCAGGAAAACAATTATTGCAAACTTTAACATCTATAAAGTGCCGCCTCTTCGCCCAAAGCGAGCTACCATTCCAGTAGTAATCAATATTAATAATATGGACAATCAAGATTCATGGCAAGTATCTTTCGACGACGTGGAAGTCCTTGAAACGACAAATGATTACCCATATACGCAGATTCGTGGTTATGAGCCTGGAGAAGAGCCCGAAAATGCTCAAGAATGGTTGTCGTTCGATGAATCTGCAACCACGATGCCATCTTATGGACGTACAAATGACCGTACAACTATGTCTGCTGCATCGAATCTTGAGCAACTTGCGCCTTCACCATATCCTGGGCAAAGTCCATATCCGGAAACGCTCATAACGCATGGGACTAATGAAATTCAAAGACCATCGTACAACCAAGAAGAGGCTAACGAGACCTCGACGGTTCCGGACGGAAGTTTTAACTCTTTGACTCAATATCCAGTCTCACAAGAATTTAACACGTCCAAAGACGAAGTAGAATCCACTGATATTGCTTCTATATTTGCTGGATATGGAGAATTGGCGCCAGAAATGACACTCGGTGCACCTGCGATTCGCCAACTGTCTACATCCGGCTTAAACATGCATCATAAGGAGGGCATCGCTGGCTCTTTCCCTAACTCCTCCTGTAGAAAACGTAAAGCCTCGCAAGAGCTGGAAAACCCTCTCAAATCACAGAAACAGCGGACCACTAGTCCAGAAATAGAGCCACTTAGCGGCCGCGTCATCAATTCTGCAGAAACACCTGCAAAGCTTTTCATTGAACCATGTCCGTATAGAAATGTAGCGGAGGCCCTGGCAGCTTTAAGGCGTCAGCAATGGCACGGTATACCTACCGCGTTTACAGATGACGATCTAAATAGCATGGCAGATCGCTTTTATCGGGCGTCTGCAGACTGTAGTGGCTTTTTAGACAAGGTTAAGAATCCCGGCGCGCAGAGACCGTCCGTGAAAACTGGTATTAGACTTGTTGATGGAGATATTGACTACAGAAAACTGTGGGAAGCATGTTTTAATCTCGCTGTGAGTTCTTGTCAGTGGATTTGAATCAATAGCTAACTGTTCGAAGGATGCTGTACGAAGGTTGCACAACGAAAACGAGGGAACGTGGCTTGACGGTCGAATCGACCCAACCACTTTGCGCGGTAACAGGCCGGAACGTGATTGGACTGCTGCAGAGCGAGAAGATCTTATTTGTGAAGCTCTTAGGGTAAGTATGAATTTTTGGTGATACCCACGAAAATCTACTGATATACCCAGAAATGTAAAAAACTGGTAGAAGATGCGGTTGATCAGCCCGAGAATCTTGAGCATCTTCTAGTCCTGGCGCCTCGACATGCACTTAAGTCACGACTTGGAAATATGAAGCTCAATGATAATAAGGCGAGAAACCTAAAGAATAAAGGACTTCTTGATGATGGTGACGATCAAGACGCCGCACGATCGACGTCTAGGAGGCCACAGCAAAACAAAGACAGCGAAACTTCCGGGAGAAAAAGCACTGCGAGGGCAAAGCCGAGATCTAATCCAAGATCTACCAGGAGAGTCACAGCCAGAGTGGAACGGTCCACAAATCATAATGAATACAGCTATCTCCGCAGAATGGAGCAAAGGCTGGGACAGCCATTGCAGCCATTGCAGCCATTACAGACTGGTGCAGAGATTCTAGATGTGGGAGCATCAGAACTGCCTTCATTACCTGTGAGTGTCCCTGATCTTGATCCCTTCGAACATGATTCGAGAACAAATAGCAACATTGATCCGGTCTTGCTCGATGCAAACTATCCGGATTGGTTCAATGATAATGCAGATACTCGCGACTTGAGCCCAAGCATGCAAAATATCTTATCAGAGGCACCGGCTCAAGACACTTTCGCGGCATTAAATCCTACAATTTATCCTGAAGTCAACCAGTCAGAATCAATGTATCCGCTGCTCTCCAGCGGAACAGATATGCTCGGAACATCCGCAACAGGAGCTCTTATGCACGAGACTAGTACCGTTCATAACACATCTCCTCCCATTCCCACCGACCGAAACACTGCCTCTATGAACCAGGAAAGACAGCAGCGGAACCATAGAGCATACCATGACTTATATTTTAATGATGTAAACAGCATACTCGAGGGTGGAATTGAAGATAAGAGTAAAGGCTATGACATTGGAAACGAGTTTCTAAGTGATTGACGTCCAAGAAGTTCAGGATAGTTCCTAAAAATTTTCAATCAAAATATTGAATAGACATAAATAGAACAAAACGATAGGAAATCTGCTGTAGCGCTACAATGTCCACATGCTAGCCTTGCTTAAAATATGAGCCATACGGTGAGATCGTATGGTCCGTGCATACTGTAGAATCTAGTTGTACTGTATGTGTTGTTCCGGTCTTCCATTGTCTGAGCTGTTTACGGACAACTTCGCGTATGTACATTTTGCTAAAACAGCTAACGCACAATTTCGCCAAGCTGATCACAAACGCTTTGTGTATCATGTTCAATGATTGTATTCTAATCCTGTTCTTGTCATGTGAAATAGTGCAGGCTGTGGTGAAGAATCTCATCATTGACACAGATATCTTCAGCGATGTGGAGTGAGTGGATATCTCGTTCAGAGAATCTTTGCTGAGGCGTAACAGTGATGCTGCAGCGCTTCTTCTTGGAGCGACCTTACCTGGTGTCAACTTGCTAGGTGTCAATGTCAATTATCCTTCAACCTATTCCGTTCTCGCAACATCTGCAATTTTGGCGCATTATGGCCACCCTTATGTTCCAATTAGCGCACAGAGACCATTAAATAACAACACCTTCCTAGACACATTGAATTTTGAGAAAGGTGAATACTGTAGCAAGGTTGCTTATCACTGGTCCGGAGGTAGCTTGCCTTGGGGCAAAGCAGAAAACGCTTGGCTCCCCGTTGATCTCTATCGACGTCTGCTAGCCAATGCAGACGATCGCAGCGTGACCATTGTCTCCATTGGATTTCTTGACAGCGTGAGCAATCAGAGTCCTTTATTTTGGTGCGTTGTTGACCATTTTCTCAGCTTTCAGCTCTTCTGAACTCAACAGCTGATTCGTACTCATCTTTGGACGGACGAACACTTATTAAGTTGAAAGTTAACGAATTGGTGATTATGGGAGGTGATTATCCAAAGGGTCACAGCTGGAACTTCTGGGGATCAAATTCTGCTCTCTCTGCCCACGTAGTGAACACCTGGGATGGTCGTATCACATTCATTGGTGGAGAGGTGGGCAAACACGTCTTGACAGGAGGCTCTTTGATGGCCAAAGGACCTTATAGTGACCCAGTACGCATGTCATACATCTATTACACATATCTGAATATGCATGCGTCATGGGATCCGTTAGCGATTATGTACGCAGCATATGGCCTTGGAGATCTCTTTGAGTTTGGCAATCAGCACGGCTATAACCACGTTGAGCCGAACGGAACTAATAACTGGATTGACGACCCTTCGAAGGTGGAACAACATTACCTTCATCTCAAGACAAGTGAGTCTAAAGCGGCCGCAAAGCTAGACAAACTTTATTTACACGCGGCGCGCAAGTTCTCCTATAAGAAACCAGTAAGACCACCACAATTAGTAAAGGCTCCACGCATAGACCATAGCGAATTGTAGGTGATAGAAAACATGATTGAATCTTGAATCTCGAGCGCTAAAGTCTTACAGCTCGCTCTGGACTGTCATAGGTTGGACTTTTATGCTGGCCGGAGTTGTGGCCATAGCATTCCTTATTCATGATACTAGGGTATTGCGTACGTGGTGGAATCGAGTTCGAGTGTCCTAAAATGTTACTACATATGACCACCTCTAGACCGGGGACGACAATTTCTGAATCCTAAGCAGCTCTATTTTCAACGAGCTGTACGAAATGGTTTAAATTCGATAGACTCATATGAAGTACCGAGAAGATAAAGATATCTGCTTAGCTTCTCTCCAAACTTCATGTCACAATAGACTTTCCAAAGGTCTGAACATTTCATACTTAGTTCAACTCTGACGTCTCTCAAATGCAAATCTATATATCTTTTGTCTATAACGGACTTAGCAAACCCATTGTTCAACTGTTAAAATTTTCATAAATTCATACTTAACGGCGGGAGAGCACAAAGAGTACGTCTCTGATTTCTGGTGTAATTCATGTAGTTACCTATTTAAGCCTATGATGTCTTTTCATCCTTCTCAAAGTCCAACGTTCTGCCCAGCGAGCAGCCTTGAAGATAAACTCAAATGATCTGACTATATTCAAGGACTACGCGTAACTGCCTACGGTTGAAATCCTAGAACACAATCATGGCAATTTCCTCTCGATCTTAGATAAGATATCAGATATCGTGCCCAACAGCTTGCATGGCCATTTCCTTCGGCCAGATTTCTAAAAGGATACGTTTAAAGCTTTTCAATGCCGATCTCCATTCTCTGTTACCGATTGATTTGAAATTTTGATTTGAGAGCATCTCGTTGACATATGATAGAAATAGGCACCATCGGCAACAATCCAGAGATGGCAAGGAATCAGGAAGCCGAATATTCTGGCAGTGTTTTCTTCACAGACTCTTCGAACATCCCTCTCGGCAAACTGTGAAGAGTAGATGCTGACAAATCTCAGCATCAATTCGATCTAAGATTTGAGTGATGCTATTTGGTTCTTAAGGATTAATATGTCTTGGTGTAAGTCTTCATTATTTTCACTGCGTCGAATTTCAAAGCTTGATCTCATGAAAACAACTTAGTTTGCTTGATGTTCCTGCCGGATTCTTGCTTCTTCGGACGACCGCGCTTCTTATTGCTAACCAGTCGGGAAGGCAGAGTATGAGGTCTCTCCACGACTAGAGCGTTTCTCTCGCTCTCCACTTCGGTCTCGTGGACTACCTCGCGGATTGTCTGCTTCGATAAACACGAATCGATATGCTCGTTAAGTAGACGTTCGTTCGCTGGCTGAGGACGTTGACAGATTGGACAGTCCCATGTATTTTGCGAAGGTGTGTCCTTGTTCGTGACTGGCGGCCTTCCTGAATGATTCTCCTCGTCCTGTTCCTGGCTTAAACGTGCCATATCCGCCATATCCGCCTGTCTTTCCCGTCTTGCGGCTTCTTCAAATTCAGCGTCTGGCCAGATCTCCCAGCCATCAGCATCTACGATTCGTTTCGGATTGAGGCTACCTTCGGAATATCCACTATTTGAGCGCTTAACGCCGAAAAAGTCAACATCGCGCTTTGCTGTGCTTACGAGTCCCGTGCATCGAAGTCCCATCAAGCGAAGGCGCAATCCCGGGATCTCCTTCTCTAAAGCTGTAAGCATGGGAAGGGCATATTTATACAGATCATCTGCTTTGCAGACAGCATGAGGTGGTATTGTCTGGCGAGTCAGAACTTCGAACGTGTGAAGTTTGACTTTGAGGACAAGCGTTCGCCCTTTGTATTCGGTTCTCTTCAGGTCGCCTTCCAATTCCGCAGCAGTGCTTCGAAGTTTGTCTCGCAACGCTTCAGTACCTTGAATTTCATGGAACGTGCTTTCCGTGCCAACGCTTTTACGCTGCGATTCATCTGGAGGAGCGATATTTGTTCTGCCGAGCCCAAGATAACAGTTAATTAAGAACTGAAACGCCTTCTCACCGAATAATTTCGTCAGCATCGCTCGATATTCGTATATGTCTCCACAAGTTTTGATGCCCACAGCGTCGAGCTCTCGTTCAAAAACCCTGCCAATGCCGTTGACCTTGCGCACTGGGAGGTCGCGCATGAATGCCATGATGCTTGTCCTGTCTGGAAGTATCCTGAACTGTCCGTTTGGCTTGTTCTTGTTGCTACAAATCTTGGCTAGCTTTGCGTTGCTCGCGATGCCAGCAGACACCGTAATCTTGCACTTTTCGTGCACTTCTGCCCGAAGCTGGCTCACTGCCGCTTCCGGTTCCATATCATGGTCCTTGCACCATTTGGTGATATTTAAGTATGCTTCATCACAACTAGCGCTCTCGAAATTTGGATCGTACTTTCTTAACACGTTCCTTACCTCTTCTGCTTTTGCAGAGTATTTCGCAAAATTTAAAGGAAGACAAATAAGCTGGGGACATAACTTTCGAGCTACAAACCCGGCCATACCGCTTCTGCAGCCAAATTTTCTGGCGTGGTAGTTACATGTAGTGAGTACGCCAATACCGACCGCCATGGGAACGTCCCGTAGCTCTGGTCGGTCCAGCTCTTCTACCGCAGCATAAAAGGCATCGCAGTCTATGTGAATGATAGTCTGGGACAAGTCTCGCCGTAGCTCAAGCTGAGTGATGTATTCATCGGCTTTTCTGAGGTCATGACTAAGATCTAGTTTCTCAAGCTGTCGTTTGCGGTCAAGGATACGGTTGATCTTCTCTGTCAACTGCCTATCCCTGGCTTCTTCATTGTTGAAGAACTTGGATCCTTTGGATGCATTGTAAATAATTTCCGCGACCTGACGTCAAGTCAGTACACTAGGTCACAGACCCACAAACTATAATATCTTACTTTCTTCTGATCCACGGCGTCCTGCCCAGATTTTGTCAAAGACGGTCCTAGCAACCGGTGTTTAAGTGTCTCATCCTCGATCTGAGCGGCTGCTTGCTCAAGTTGCTCTGTGGGAATCTGGCTAGCGTTGTATTCCCGACTTTCCAGAATCTCTCTGACAAGGTCGACATCCTTCTTGGGCATGCTTCAGCGCTCTTAGTGCGTCGACGACTGAGAAGGGACAGTTTGAAAAATGGTTGCCTCAAGTTCAGTCAATTATAGCGTCCATGCACTATATCAAACGCGAATCCCTGTCCAACGCGTGGTGCTGTCATGTCAATATTGACGTTTCGGATTGGCGTCCAGGATGAGTCGAAGAAGCATGACCAGGCACATATATTGTTGACGCTGGCTCCTTGGTCTTTCGAAAAATCTGACTTGATGTCCGCAGATAATGAGTGAGGGAGTTGGAAAGTGGTTTCTGCAACCTCTTTCCCTCGGCGCGCAGAACAAAGACCCTGGCGTCGCCAACTGCACGTTTACGGTATAGCGCCACGGTGCTTCTGAAGGATGAACCGTGGCGGGACGAGTCTCAGAGATATCGATCGCGGAATTCACCACCAGTTGTCTCAGTCACACGACGTAATTCACTCCAGTTCGCGAACAAACAACGTCCTTCCGACAAGAAGAGCCGAATTCAAGTTTGGCAGGATGATGACTCACCACTGCGTTCGCTGCGACCACCCGACCTAGCATCACAACATCGCAATATGCCGCTACAAAAGGCTCGCGATACCCAGCCAAACCCCACCAAGCCATTGATGCCCTCGCTGGCCTCGAATCGAAATGTCAAGCCCCCCCTCACGCCTAGGCTTGCTGCTAATGCTACACCACCGTTGGCTAAATCATCAAGAACCGCTACCCCAAATACTCTGAAGCCTTCCGGGACGAAAGACGAAGGGTCGACGCCTTCCAGAGCTTTCATAAACAATAATGTGACGCCACGATCAGGTACCCGTAAATCAAGGGTAGAGAGCAGTCATTCAACTCCTAGCGGCACTCCACATGGCTCACGACCGGCTTCACAACTCGAGTCAATAGGGAACGGGGGCAAACAAACTTCAGTTACAGGGTTTGGACTTGGTATCATGGGGTCAGGGAATAGGAGCAGGCCGAGCAGCACGGTTGGTGTTGCATATGCGTCAAATCCGCCTTCTGTAGCACCGCAGCCGAAGCTTCCACGCCTCGACAGCCAGACAGAGAGCCCGATGTTCTTTCATGCTAGCGATGTTCCGCGATCTCCGGAGCTACGGTCTGTGACAAAAAAATCACCAGTGTTTCTTTACGCAAATGGGCAACAAGAAGAGTCAGCAAAGCCAATCAGTCATCCTTCGCCAACGCTATCGAGCGTCAGTACCAAGTCCAAAAAGTCACAGTTTTTTCATGCTGATGGTCGTGCGGACGAGGACATTCCGCCCGTTCCATCATTACCTTCGCCTTCTTTATCTGGAGCACCACTACATTTCTTCCAACCTTCACCAGCGCTGCGACCCCCGTCGCCAGCCAAGGATTCCAATTTTCATTTGTCATATAGAAAAGGAGCTTCACAGATCATAAGGCCTGCTGAACGCCCTAAAACTATTTCTATCCTACCACCAAGTGGATCGGATGCAAGGAAGCAATCTATAGGTGGCTTCTCAACGCAGATCACGCCTCACAAGCGAACTTCGAGCCTGAGCTCGATTGAATCTGGATCCTCAGCAAGGAAACCCTTTACAGGCGTTGAGGCTACTGGCTTGAGCCCTTTGCAGACAATAATTCAAGCACAAATTTCAGAGGCCGGCGAACACATAGGTGCTTCTGGCGCTTCTGGTCCATCATCGCCAGGTCCAGAGATTGATCCCCTAGGCCAGAGCACGTCTTCAGCACAGTCCAGAGAACGACAGACCTCACCCTCATCGCCCAGCTTTGCGGGGCCACAAAGTCCAACAAAGGGTCCTAGTCCATGGCAGAACCAGCTCAATGAAACTATCATGAATGCTCGTGTGGAGCGCAAAATCCAAGATTTGGAGATTAGCAACTCAAGTCTCATGGCCATAAACAAGTCGCTTGAAAAGGAGGTTAGACGTCAAAACAGAGAATTAAGACGCTTCAGGCGATTGTCAAGGGCAGGAAGGCTTTCTACCTTATCTGGTATTGAGTCTTTGGAGATTGTGGGTGAGGAAGTTGAGTTTGAAGTGCGCAATGATGGGCTGAGCGCGCTTGACGACTTCTCAGAGGATGACGAGGAATACGGCTATCAAGAAGATGAGTCCAGCGACGAATCTTCTAGCAATGATAGCGCTTCTCTATCACCTGAAGCCATGGCTGAGCGCCAAGAGCGGAAGCTTGCTAAAGACTCGAAGCGACTACAGCTCGACCTCGCCAAACATCGCGAAATCCTTGTTGACTCGCAGAAACTCAATCAAAGTCTTAAACGTTGCATGGCTTGGACTGAGCTGATGATCAAGGATGGTCGTAAAGCCCTTCAATACAAAGCCGAAACTGACCTAGGTGGTCGAATTTTGGATTATGATGAGAACGAAGACGACGAATGCGAAGTGGACGGCGCGCCACGCCATTCGTTACTCAGCAGCTGGACGCCAAGTCCCATTCAGCATCTTGAGGCTTTAGATGGAATGTTGGGACTGGACACATCTGAACTGACGAGGAGCTTTTCTGCACACTCGCAAGAAGCCAGCACTTCTCGTTCTATGACTGAGGATGCACAAAAAAAGACGATACCAGATGCACTTGCTGAAGGCAACTTCTGGTCTGTGGCAGCTGCGCTGGAATAAGCCACGTCATGTTCAACTCAAACCGTTCTCTCCTTTCGTTTTATTTTTTCTTACTGATTGACTTTGCTTCAGAACGGCGTTTGCAATCAAGAACCACTGTTGGGTTCTCAAAGAATACAGCTTGTCACCTACAGAGACTTACTCCACTTACCAGACCGGTAGCATTTCTTTCCTGTTGAGATTAGTATATACCCTCTTTGCATGGAGTTTTAAGCGTGTGGGGGTTATTGTATGATATGTATATGGGCGTGAATGAGTGTGTGCACCCCTTGCGTTAACGATAACGGGGTTCAGTTTGTCATGGCCCATTCCTTTGGGATCTTTTCTTAAGTCTTTGTCCAATTGTGATGGAACAATACACAGCGAGCCTTTGTCGAGTGGCATATTGAAGCTGTTGTAAATGATTGCTGGTCTTGTAGAGCAGTCCTGAAGGTTATTGGAACAGAAGTGAGCAGTAAGGAGAGCAATTAATATAGATTGATAACACTTAACTGAAAAATCAAGATATTCACTAATTCAAGATATGGCTTTTTAAATCCTTTTTAAGTTAATACACAATTTTCTTATGAGGTGCCTAAAGCTGCAAAGCAAATGTTCAGCCAATCGGAAGTCAAAGAGGCCGACCCATATGTTCACCTACCAGACTCTATGTGAACCCCCAACTGCTTCCCATTAGAGAAAATATCCAGCGAGCGATCGTGGTCGCGCCATTTCAATTCTTCTCGCTGTGCCCAGCGCTCCTTTTGGGCCATTTTCTCGCAATGAGGGTCAATGCTAGAGTTCAAGGCTCTGTCCTGCGCTCTCTTCGCAATGGACCGCACCTTACTATTCGCCCGCAGTTGACTGCGCGGCGATCAATGAGCACCATCACCGCAACATCGAGATCTGCATCGCAAACTGTCCTGAAGGTACATCAGTTGCAAAGGAGGTGGCAGTCAGGCTCAGCAGCCGCAGTGTATGATATCGACCTTTTGAATTCTTCCATTGAAGGCTAATGAGGGGATAGTCTAGAACAGGCAGCGGGAGCTCCCTCAACTCTTTCACAGGAGTCCATCATTCAGCAATTAGACCCAGTAGAAGCCGCAAGATTGGATAAAGTCCGCAACATTGGTATTGCTGTATGTTGATGCGGAGAGTTATAGGATTGAATTTTGAGGGACGTACTAATCAGCGTAGGCGCACATTGACAGTGGAAAAACCACCGCAACCGAGAGAGTTCTCTTCTACACTGGCCGAATCAACGCAATACACGAAGTTCGTGGCAAGGACGCCGTTGGCGCCAAGATGGACTCCATGGATTTGGAGCGAGAAAAGGGAATCACCATTCAGTCAGCGGCTACGTATTGTGATTGGGTCAAGAAAGAAGATGGAAAGGAGAACAGGTATCACATCAATTTGATTGATACACCTGGACACATTGACTTCACAATTGAGGTGGAACGCGCTCTCCGCGTTCTTGATGGTGCGGTCATGATTCTTTGCGCTGTCTCAGGCGTACAATCGCAGACAATCACGGTTGACAGGCAGATGAGACGGTACAATGTTCCCAGGATATCCTTTATTAACAAGATGGATCGGATGGGATCAAATCCTTGGAAAGCGGTTGAACAAATCAACAAAAAGCTGAAGATACCGGCCGCGGCGCTGCAGGTTCCGATTGGAAGAGAAGATGGATTCAAAGGTGTCGTTGATATCATCCGCATGAAGGCTATCTATTTCGAGGGTGTGAAGGGTCTAAACGTAGTCGAGAAAGACGAGATTCCTGAGGAATGCGTAGAAATCGCCAAGGAGAAGAGGGCGAAGCTGATCGAGACTTTGGCTGACGTTGACGATGAGATTGCCGAATTATTCCTGGAAGAAAAGGAGCCGACCATCCCCCAGATCAAAGCCGCGATTCGAAGAGCAACCATTGCACTTAAGTTCACACCCGTATTGATGGGTTCGGCACTAGCAGATACTGGTATTCAACCAATGCTGGATGCCGTGTGCGATTATCTCCCTAATCCTGCGGAAGTCGAAAATCTGGCGCTCGACAGAAGACGAGACGAAGCTTCTGTGAAGCTTGTGCCGTATAACTCTCTGCCCTTCGTGGGACTTGCTTTCAAGCTCGAGGAGAGCAACTTTGGTCAGCTCACATATATCCGTGTTTACCAAGGAACACTTAAGAAAGGCATGACCATTTTCAATGCACGCAATGATCGCAAGATTCGTCTTCCTAGAATTGTGCGCATGCACTCGAACGAGATGGAAGAAGTCAATGAGATCGGCGCCGGAGAAATTTGCGCTGTCTTTGGCGTCGATTGCGCTTCTGGCGACACATTCACAGATGGCCAACTGTCATACAGCATGACGTCCATGTTCGTTCCCGAACCGGTCATTTCACTGTCCATCAAGCCGAAGAATAGTAAAGACAGCAACAACTTTTCCAAAGCCATGAACAGGTTTCAGCGCGAAGACCCAACGTTCCGTGTTCACGTAGACCCGGAATCGCAGGAGACGATTATCTCTGGTATGGGTGAACTGCATCTGGAGATCTACGTCGAGCGTATGCGCCGTGAGTATAAGGTTGACTGTGAGACGGGCCAGCCCCAAGTGGCATATCGTGAAACAATCGGGGCACATGTACCTTTCGACCATATCCTCAAGAAGCAGACTGGTGGTGCTGGTGATTACGCCCGCGTTGTCGGCTGGCTTGAGCCCACAGGCGATTTGCAGACCAATAGGTATGAAAGCCAAGTCACCGGTGGTCATATCGACGAAAAATTCCTGCAGGCTTGCGAGAAGGGTTTCCACCAGGCATGCCAAAAGGGCCCTCTTATTGGGCACAAAGTCCTTGGAACATGCATGGTCATCAACGACGGTGCAACGCACATGACGGATTCTAGCGAAAGGGCCTTCAATATTGCAACCCAGGGCGCATTCCGTAAGGCCTTCCCCATGGGTTCACCGTCTATTCTTGAACCACTCATGAAGACCACTGTAACTGCCCCGAGCGAATTCCAGGGTGCTGTTGTTGGTCTTCTCAACAAGCGCAACGCCATCATCAACGAGACAGAGACTGGAGCAGAAGATTTCACCGTTTATGCGGACTGCTCATTGCACTCCATGTTTGGCTTCTCGGGCAATTTGCGCGCGGCAACACAAGGCAAAGGAGAGTTTTCCATGGAGTTCAGTCACTACGCCCCTGCACCGATGCAGCTGCAGAAGGAGTTGATCGCCAAGTACCAGAAGGCACAGGCGGAAAAGAATAAGAAATAGATGGGGTTTTGACAAGACATCAGCAGTGTGCCATTTCTTGTTTGTCCTTAAAAGAGCTTTGTATCATAACTTCTATGCACTCAAGAGCGGGTAACATTGAAGCCCGGTAAAGGGACGTAGTGTCAGAATAGGGGAAAAATATCATTTGGACTATGTTGATAGAACATGCACTGGATATGAGATATACCAAATACATACTCTTCTCTAAACAAGGCGTTGTCGTGTTTGTTCATATCCTCAACTATGTCCCGAGTCAAGCTCGTAGTCATGCTTTCTTATCTTCCTCAACTCTGCTATTACATCCACTACCGTCCAATAAGATACCCATCAGGCTCGCTAAGCCAGTCGTATTGCATTTCCGGAATTGAGTCAATACCGATCCAATCTACGTCCGCATTGATGTTTTCATCACGGAAGAAAGGTGTGCTGTTTTCTGTCAAGACGGTTTGAGTCTCATTCAACATGTCTCTCGAGAGCATCATGCTGTTCGCGAAATTCATGCTCAGCGCAGGATCTTCAGAAACGCAGCCTGCATTACTTGTTGCATCAGAGATCTGGACGTCCTTGTCTTCGAGATTTAAGTACTCTGTTCCGTACGCAACACGATCTGTTAACGGTACGGCCGGCGTGATCTGACTAAAGCTACAAGAGAGATTCCCGCTCCCTATATTTCGATCAATCTCTGTAACGCCCGTCACAAACCTTGACTTTTGAAATGTACTGGATCTCTTTTTCCGAGTGTAGTTGGACTTGGCATTAGCATCTCGCCTCTTACCTGCGGTGATGGGTGCAGCGACAAACAGCAGAGATAATTCTTTAGTGCGATCTATGGCGTCTAAACAGGCTTTTTTATAATGCCTAAGATGATCCGCAATGGCGTCCTCACGCTCAGTGGCAGTCATGTCTCTCTCGAATGTATCAACACGCCAACGTTTTTGCTTTCTAAGGACTTCCTTCATCGTTGGATCAGCGATGTGTGGCACGCAGAGGCCATTGCGGTGCAGATCATCAATTGCATCTCCTATTCGCATACACGCGTACTCAATGTCATCATTGTCAATACTTCGGCCTTCAGTGAAAATGTTGTCCGAGTCCCAGACATCGCTGAAGTCCGTCATTGCGGCGAATAGTTTGTCAACACGGGCCTGTTTGGACATGGGGTCCTTTGGCAACCCAGCTGTACCTGAAGCTGGGATCCACCAGTACTTCTGAAGATATTCGGCACGCCGTTGTGCATCAACGAGGTTGTGTGGATTTTTGTCCTTATAACCCGCTGGGCGTGGCTTCGCACGTCCTTTCCGTGAAACATCATCGCCACTCGTGCTGCCAGGTGACCTTTTAAACATGGTTCTACTATCCAATCTCTAGAGACGATCTGGCAACTGACTGTCGTACGGTCAATCAGCGCGCACAGTTAAACGTGAAGAGCGGAGATAATAAATGCCTTTTCGTCACTGCTAAAACAGCTATTGGATTGCTGGCGAAGTCTTAGCAGATATAAATTTCCGCGTTTCACAGCTTTTAAGATTAAAGTTTGGGAGCCGCAAGACCTTTTTGTATCTTCCATTAAAAGATAAAAACCAAAATGGATAATCGGACAATGGCGTTTGTTTGAATCTACTACGTTCGCCCCGATGGCTGTAGCGGTAATGCCATCAGATTCACGCTTTGGAATATGGCGTTTATGGCTGGACAATGGGCACACGAACCGAGACAGAATCGAGAGGGTCAAAAAGAAAAAACCTATCAGCAAACATAGCCGTAAAATTCATCAAATCATACAAACAAGTACTGACAATGCTCATGGATGTGTGAAGGTCTATTTTTGTTGTTCGCCATCTTGTTTCAGCGACTGTCTTTGTGTTACCGTTTACAGGGCTCAGTCTATTATTGGAATCCACTACTTTGTTCTGCACTCGACTCAGCGCAAACGGTGGTCTTTCAAAGGCAACGTGCGAAGCTATACTAGCCGTTGCTAAACCACTATAACAGTGGTTTTCATTCTCGGTGTGCAGCTTACAAAATCGGTGCGGGAACGCAAATGGCAGTAAGACATACGCAATTACGAGCTCTTAAGCAATTAATGACTTTGGGCTTGACAAGTTCGGCGACGTGCTTGCTTTCCTCTCCCCAGGCGAAACAGCTGACGGGGCATTTGCGATTCAGGTTGCAAACCGTCAGTAATATCGATCGAACGACTGGATTCTCTTTGTTGAAAAGAGCATAGATAGTGGATAGACAATATGCATTCATAGAATATATCTGCACGCAGAATTGTCACCACAGAGTAATGGTGGAACCAATTAAAAGACGTAAATAATCGGGTGAAAGGGCAAGCAGAAGGATCTAGAGCGTCTCGACCTCGCGTTTTCTGGACATAGTTCTGATGGGTCGGTAAGGAATTGGGTGAGCTCCTGATGTCAACAAAGTAAGTCAAAGACGGCGCTGGTCAAGCGCAAGATATGAGTCTTGGTGGTTAGAACAGCAGTAGCAGGCGGACTGAACAGCTCAGTTCAGCGGTGCGCAGACTACGAAGGTGGCGTATTTACATGAAAGGGGATCAATCGAGGAGCTACCAGAGTGTCCAGCCACGTATCCAGATGTTAAGCAGGCCGACCATGCCGGCCATGAAGAGCACACTGGGAGAGTTAGCTAGGAACGAAGTTCGAGAAGCGAGAAAGGTGATCTCATCGCTTTCTGACGTTCGGCAATGGCACCGAAGTCAGGAGACGTCATAACGCGCCGTCAGCGTAAGACCCAGGCCACTTCGACGGGACAGAGATTTTGTGAAGGCGGTTGTGCTCAGCAATCAGGCAAGAGATACGACAAGTTTGCAGGCGAGGAGGTCGAGGGAGAGCAAAGAAGCTGGGGGCACATGCTGGCGTGCGGTGTTGCTTTGCAAGAGCTGAGGAGGAGAAACTCGTCAGGGTCTTGGCCAGTCGCGTCGTGAACGCGGGGGCGCGTTTCCCACAGCTTCTGCAATCGAACGCTTCACCCACGCCTCGTGCATTCACACCACAACAGCCCTTCGGTACAGGCAGGGCCAACAGCCAAATCCCCCAAGTCCGCAATGGCCGGAACTGCAACACCAAAGTCTACTTTGAAAAAGCCAGCGTCCGGCTCGCAGTCGGCCAAGAATCAGACGAGCCTCTTGGGCTTCTTTGGCAGGAAGACCGCTGCGCCGTCGACAGGAGCTTCTACGCCAAAGTTCGACGCGACACCTGCATCGCAACTCACGCCAGCACCGAGTAGCGATGGCCCTGCACCTTTGAGCCCGTGCAACGCAGACGTTTCGAGTGGCAAGAACAAGGAAAATGGTCTGCCGTTGCCTGCCAGCCCACCTAGCTCAGTCGACGGTGCTGACGGAGCCTCAGAAGATCTTGGAGCCATCAATTCCAGCTCTCCGTCCCGCAAGGTAGATTCTGCAATACACATGCCCCTTGCTGTTATGATGCTGAACCACGTACTGCAGGCAAAGAAGACGATCAGTTACGCTGAGTCGGAGTCGGATGACGATGACGTTGTGCTCAAGCCGTCAAGCGGCAACAGGCTTCAACGTAGACCGTCCAAGCGGAGACGAGTCAGCTTAGAAGATAGTGACGACGAATTCCGCATTGATGAGGCGACCGAAGCAGCAATGGTCGAGTACGGTGAGTAGGCGACCCCAACATTTAAGGCAGTAAATCTTATCGTGATAGACATGGACGACTTCATCGTTCCAGACGATTCTGATGAAGAAGTGCGAGCGCCAGCTAAACGGAAGCGGCCTACGTCAAAGCAGTTGACCAAGTCTTCACCCACCCCGGCGGAAGTATCGGATCATGATGACCCAATGGGCGAGATACCCTCCACATCGACCGCTCAACAATGGACGTATGACCCCGAGAATCCACACCGCCTTAATGAAAAGCCGATAGAGGTCCGAAAGAACGCCTCAAACATCGCAACCAAGCAGAAGGCTCACAAGACCGAGCCAGAGAAGCGACATCCATGGCTTGCTCACCCCCTTGATGCGGACCGCCACCCTCCTGACCACCCAGACTTCGACCCTCGCACCTTGTACATTCCACCTGTGGCGATGAAAGCTCTTTCCCCCTTTGAGCAGCAGTATTGGGAGATTAAGAGCAAGTTCATGGACACTATCGTGTTCTTCAAGAAGGGCAAGTTCTATGAATTGTACGAGAACGACGCTACAATTGGACATCAGCTGTTCGATCTCAAGCTTACCGATCGTGTCAACATGAGAATGGTCGGTGTACCAGAAAGCAGTTTGGATCACTGGGCCAATCAATTCGTGGCCAAGGGATTCAAGATTGCTCGTGTGGATCAGATGGAAAGTGCTCTTGGCAAGGAGATGCGAGAGCGCGATGACAAGAAGAGCAAGAAGGAAGAAAAGGTTATTAGACGCGAGCTAGCCAGTGTTCTGACAGCTGGCACGCTTGTCGACGGTAGCATGCTTCAAGATGACATGGCTACATACTGCGTAGCGATCAAAGTGAGTTACTTGATCATCAAACCTAGTGCTGGCTAACCCGTGTGGTGATAGGAAATTGAAAAAGACAACGTGCCGATGTTTGGTATTGCTTTTGTTGATACCGCAACTGCCCAGTTCCAGCTCTGCGAGCTTCTGGATGATGCCAGCATGACAAAATTTGAGACTTTTGTTGCGCAGATAAGACCTGCCGAGCTGCTGCTCGAAAAATCATGCATTTCTTCACGGGCTCTACGAATTCTGAAGAACAACACAAGCCCTACAACCATATGGAATTATCTTAAGCCCGGCAAGGAATTCTGGGATGCAGAGCTCACTAGAAAGGAAATGGATGTGGCGGACTACTTTGTGTCTGCAACGGATGACAACATTGAGGCTTGGCCAAAGATCCTACGAGAAGAACGAGAGAACGACCTTGTAATTTCGGCGTTCGGCGCTCTGGTACACTACTTGCGAATGCTGAAATTGGATCGTGATCTTATCTCCCTCGGGAACATTTCATGGTATGATCCCATTCGCAAAGCCACCAGCTTGGTGCTTGATGGTCAAAGCCTCATCAATCTCGAGATCTTTGCGAACACTTTTGATGGCGGAAGTGAAGGCACGTTGTTTGCCATGCTGAACCGCTGCATCACACCGTTTGGCAAACGCATGCTGAAGCAATGGGTTTGCCACCCTCTTGCAGACGCCCAGAAGATCAATGCTCGCCTCGATGCTGTCGATTCGCTCATGGCAGACAGCGCCCTCACAGACCAATTCACCGCATCTCTCAGCAAGCTACCAGACCTTGAGCGCTTACTCTCACGCGTCCATGCGGCCAGAATTAAAGCCCAGGACTTCGTACGCGTTCTTGACGGCTTTGAGCAAATTGAGTATACAATGTCTCTCTTGAGCAACATGCCTGCTGGTGATGGCGTTATTGGTCAACTGTTGGCATCAATGCCTGATCTCGCCTCGCTTATTAAAGTTTGGCAGGATGCTTTCGACCGACCTCAGGCTCGCGAACACGGTATCCTCGTGCCGGCCCCGGGTGTAGAGGCGGATTATGACGAGAGTCAAAATGCCATTGACACCTGTCTCAAGGATCTGGACAAGTTACTGAAGCAAGTGCGCGCAGAACTTGGCTCCACATCCATCTGCTACCGCGATAATGGCAAGGAAATTTACCAGCTGGAGGTGCCAATCAAGTTCACAAATAAGGTACCGAAATCCTGGGATCAAATGTCGGCTACGAAACAGGTGAAGCGCTATTACAGCCCTGAGCTTCGTAAACTTGTAAGGAACCTGCAAGAGGCCCAAGAAACCCACAGCCAGATTGTCAAGGAAGTCGCTGGGCGCTTCTACGCTCGCTTCGACGAGCATTACGATCAGTGGCTGGCAGCCGTCAAGATCGTCGCACAGCTTGATTGTCTTATCTCCCTTGCCAGAGCATCCAGTAGCTTGGGCACGCCAAGTTGCCGACCGACATTCGCAAATGATGAGCGGACGGTCATCGAATTTGAGGAGCTCCGTCACCCTTGCATGATGAACACCGTGTCCGACTTCATTCCGAACGACATCAAACTCGGAGGTGACACGGCCAACATCAACCTCCTCACGGGTGCAAACGCAGCAGGCAAGTCTACAGTTCTGCGTATGACCTGTATTGCTGTCATCCTCGCTCAAGTCGGCTGCTACTTGCCATGTCAGCGTGCAACTCTTACGCCAGTCGACCGCATCATGTCTCGCCTGGGAGCCTTCGATAATATTTTCGCCGCTCAGTCCACGTTCTTCGTTGAGCTCTCCGAAACAAAGAAGATCCTAAACGAAGCAAGTAATCGCTCTCTTGTCATTCTCGACGAGCTAGGCCGCGGCACCAGCTCCTATGACGGCGTTGCTGTAGCTCAGGCTGTTCTACATGACGTTGCTACGCGTGTTGGATGCGTCGGCTTCTTTGCCACACATTACCACTCGTTGGCTGCGGAGTTCGCACACCATCCAGAGATCCACTGCTCACGGATGGCCATTAACGTCGACGAGGCGGAGCGCCGCGTCACTTTCCTTTACAAGCTTGAAGATGGCGTTGCGGAGGGAAGCTTTGGCATGCACTGCGCAGCCATGTGTGGCATTCCCACAAAGGTCATCGAGCGAGCTGAAGTGGCCGCCAGGGAATGGGAGCATACGTCCAGGCTCAAGGAGAGTCTAGAGAAAGCTAGAGAAGCGTGTTACGTGCCTCTGGGCCTGCAGAGCGACGTCAGCTGGATTCTCAAGCACACGGATTGCGGGGACGGCGTCAATGAGCGGACGTTGGATGTCTTGAGGAAGGCGATCGCCGCCCTATGAGCGCCCTTCGCAAGCGCAACCTCAAGAACCCCTAGGCAAGAGTTCATCACGGGCGTGGCTCACGAAATGGAAAACATCACAAGTGCTTTGTGTATCGACTGTATTTCTATCACATTTCTATCAAGCCTGGGGCGGCTTTACAGAGGCGTTTTTTTTTTCGGTTCGTTGGTTTGGAATCTATTCGTCGGGACCCCTTGTACAAACTTTCGAGGTATTTACGTTGGGCCTTCTTTTGTTGTAGATACAACTTGCTAGAGGCATGTCTAGCGCAATCTGGCGCTGTGATACTTGCGAACACGGTCAAAGTAATGGAATCGACTTCATTTGTTTATTTTTCTCCTCAAGAATGTCGTTTCACCGAATGCTTTTGCTCTCCGAGCTCCTCAGAAAACGGGAGCTTCGGAGCAATTCGAGAAAGGCCATCACAATGTGCAAAAACCATGTATGTCTGGTAAGAAAGTCTTCCAAATCAATGTAGTGAGGCTTTGCGCGACACAGTGGCTGGCCTAAAGCACGCCAATACATCGAACGTACGCACGCAGGGGAGATACGCCTTCACATTTAGAGCAACAGCAAAGTGAGCGCACGCGATAATCCTTATTTGATTTGACATATCGGGTGCCGATACAGCGCAGGCGGGCGGTTTGGATGATTAGCCTAAAGCGTAGAGGCGAGACCCCCAACCCTCCCAAAAGCATGCTAACTTCTTGACGCTGTTTGAGCTGTATTAGGAGAGAGAGGCTAGATGCTCGGAAAATCTTCGTAGTTGCCTGTCTAAATGCATGCCGCGGTTCCATGACCGCCAACGAGCGGGCGTCGTTTAGAACGAGCCTCCTTTCTCTTTCTCTCATACGTCCATCTCTTTCTCACATGCGTACAAAAATAACAAGTAGCCCCCGAGACAGCGGCTATCGTGAGTGTGAGTCCTTTTATCCCGCCGGGAACGCCAAACGTAAATGTGTATATGTGCATGTACCTCTCTCCGGTACGCACGATGCAATTCCCCGTCTTAAAGCAATATGGTTGAGACACGGTGGGCAAGGCAATAATACAGAAAAACGATGAAACCAAAAAAAATCCTGTGTCAAAATGGGCGTGATGATCGTACAGAGTCGGGTATAGTGAGCAATAAGTAAACGTGCGAGCGAGAATGCACACCATGGTAGAAGTCAGGCCATTCTCCACTCGTGCAATCGAGTCTCGAGACTAGTCCTCGGCGCCTTTGGGCGGTGTGATCTTGTACCAGATGCGCTCGCCCGGCATCCATGGCTGCGGCTTGAGAAGAAGCAGCTGGCGTCCACCACAGAAGCCACCGGGTGAAGCGATCTGCCTGATGTCTTCCCAATGGCCGAACTTGGCAACCTCGTCGGTAATGGCGTGGCTATGGAGTCGGCTGCGATTGACGTCGTCGCGGACTGGCCCGTCAAACACCCAACCACGTCGCCAGACGACCGTGCCGGGCACTTCGGCACGGCGGGCCTGGTACGGAGGGCGGCTGACGAGCCAGTTGACGAAGGATTGCGCAATTGGATACAGACGTTCGAAGCGTCGAGTGAACTCAAGCCAGGAGTGGGTTCGAGAATCGTACGCCACGCGGATGAACGGATTCATGTAAATGCCGTGGTCGAGAGCTTGAGGATTCTCCCATGGCTCTGGATTTTTGGCCGCCAGCTCGCCGATATCTGCATGAATGAGGCAACACTCTGAAGCGTCCCACATGAGTTCAGGGAGGCTCCTGAAGCGCACCTGTTTCGGCCTTGTCGGTTGCTGGGACGGCACATTTGCGGTCGTCGTTTTCCTCGTGCGCTCATCGCCATCCGGCTTGGTGCTCGACTGACTGCCCAGTTTGTCGGGGGCTTCAAGTAGAAGGCCAGATCGCTGGTCGACGAACCACTTCGCCTCGAAGGCTACCATGCCACCCCAGCAGCTCTTGACGCGCACAGCGTCCGTGCCTGCCAGCATATCGGCTCTGCTGAAGCCGTGGCCAGCGCTGGTGAAGAAGGGGAAAAAAGGCACGCCCAAGCCATGACCTTCGGCGTCACGTGTGGCAAAGGTATCGTAGTACTTGAACGGGTTGATAAAATCCATGGCGCACGCGGCGTGGTAGCGCGTGGCTCCGTCCGGGCCGATGTTCGTCGAGAACAACAAGTCGGCGGCATCCTTGGGCGAGAAGATGACGTCGTTCAGGAACAGCAGCTTGTCGAAGAGCATGCCGGTCGCGTTGCGGGTGAGCGGCTCGATGGCCTTGTTGCGCACGTGCGCCAGATACGCAATGCGCTTGACGCGCTGCTCGTTGGGGAGCACCTGCACTTTGGGGAAGGCGTCGATGTCGATGTGGTCCGAGACGATCGAGGTCCTGCCTGCAATGTTCTGTCAGCTGATCGTTCCGTCATTGGGCCGAATCCGTCCGCCCTCAGCGCTGGACCACGTGGGACCCTGCATGCTCATGTCTCTCGCCTCCGCTTTGTCGCACACGCGAGAGGTCTAGACCACCAGCTATGCATTTCAAGCGGAGAAAATAAAGCACAGCTTGGACAGCCACCGCTCGTCTGCCCGAGGGAGGGTCACAATGGCAGAAGGACGGGAGGAACGTCCGGCGACCCGGAGATCGGTCCGCGACTTTCACGAAGGAGAAGAAGTGGATGCTTACATTTGACCTTGGCAGCAAGATCCCGCAGTGCAGCCTTGGTTCCCGGTCCGCTGTCGTTCTCGTAGATGCTGAGGAAGACGTTGTCCTCGCCGAGTAATTCCACGAGAGCCTCGACACTTTCGCCCCAGGGACCCCGTATGAGCTCCTCGTCGATGATGTTGGCTGCGATGAACACCTTCTCTCTCCGCAGGTTCATGCCGGAGTAGTGGTAGGGTCGATGCGTGTAGCTTGGGTTTATGATGGGCGTGACGAATATCCACAGCGCGAGAGCGAGCAAGGCGACGTGGACGACGCGGCGCGCGAGGCGTACGCGTGAGCGCGGCGAAGCGGCCCGTATGTAGCCATGTGTGCCCGGCGCAAAGGATGAGATTATGGAGGAGAGTGAGGAGAGCGAGGAATTGCTACGTGAGCGGTGGTGGCTCGCGTAGGCTTTGCATGCTAGCTCGACATCCGGTACCTCGAGCAGCTCGACGGAGCGGTCATCGTCCGATTCGGTGGAGGAAGGATCGTCGTAATGGGGGTGGTGTTGAGGCTGCGTGGAGGGGACATGACGATAGCCATGATGCTGGGGCTGGCGGCGCGCCGCAAATAAAGTCATACTAGCGGAGCAATGGGTTCTGCTGTGCTCATTGCCGGCCTAGGTAGGACAGATAGGCGTCCAATTGTCCGCATATGCTTTGTGCGTATGGGGCAGGGAAGGTCGTCGCCGCGGCCGAAGGATCGAGGCTCTGATGGCAAGGCGGATGGGCGTCTCGATCACGACGGCGAGGAGAGAGAGTCGGTCTTTTGGAAGAGCGAAGGCACAGGCGGGAGTCGCGTCAGAGGTCGTGAGGGCGGCGACGAGGAAAAGGAGAAAGTTAAGCTGAGGGCCGAGAAGTCGGGACCATGAAGCAAGTGCAGAACACGCAGCGTCACGGAATCTGAGGCAGAGGCGAGACGCGACGAAGAGTGCTCAGTGCAGAAGGGTGGAGCAGGAGCACAGTTTGACGGACGCCGAGTAAGAGTAAGACGGCGAGCGTGGGCAGAGCCCATACAAGAATGGGGAGGAGGCGCGTGGTACAGTGGTGAGGCTTGGGGGGCGCCTTGGGCCTGGTCCGGGGTGGGTATGCGTGAAGAGCCAAGAGGATGCTTGGCCGCGGAACAAAGGAAGGAAAAGAAGATTGGGGAGACGCCAGGCAGGAGGGAAGCTCGCTCCCGTCGCAGAGGTGGACGTTGTGCCAGTGTAGTAGTTGGAGAAGGGAAAAGTGGTGGCGGAGGGAGAGTAATAGAGCGGCGATCCAGCGAAATGGGCCGCGTGTACAGAGCAAGTCGGTGATGCACACAGCAGCCAGGTTTAGTTCCAGTACAGAACACAATAAGTACGACCGCAAGTCGCCCCGGAGGGAGTTTAGGACGTGCATGCATGCACTCAGCCCCCCCTAACGTCGGGAACGCGCCAGGGGGGCGTGGAGGGCTCGATCGCCGGGGCCCAGCCGGGTGCGCACCTGAAGCGTGCTGCGTGCGCTGCAGGCACGCTGGCCAGCCTCTGCCGGCCAACAAAGCGGCCGGTCTCGTTGCGCGCAGCAGAGAGCGCCGCGGCCACGACGTGGGGTAAGATTTGGGCCAAGACCCTGGCGGTCGATGTTACGCGTGTACACCGGCGAGCGCAGAGCAGAGAGTCCGCCGGGAGGGGAAAGAGCCCGCTGAAGCGCCAGCGATCTTCTAGCCCGTGGCAAGTCCGCCGCAGACGCGCTGGCAGTCGCCGTCGTCCCAGCAGAAGCAGCAAGCCCACGCGGCCCAGTGAAGCTCTGCGGGACACACACACATACACACACACTCTCTCTCTCCCCCTCTCTCTCCACGCCTATATGCACAGCGACGTAGCCCGACATCCTGCGCTTCTCGTCGCAATCTTGGTCGGGCCCACGCTGCTGCTCCCCAAACATCGTCACCGTCCTCCAGCACTCCTTGTTCCCGTCTTCGCGACACCTAACCCTGGCTGTCGCAACCCGACCGTAAGCGCAGATTGTTCGCAGTGTTTCTTCAGTGCGATCCTCTGCCTCCCCTCCCGAAAGGAGCATAGTCGCTTCAACCCGTCTTCGCGCCAATTTGCGGAAAAAGGTGCGAACGGTGACGGGTCGCAGCTGCCAAATTCACGCACCCGCACCACGTCAGTAGAAAAAAGGGCTCGGCGGAGAAAAAAAAAAACACGAATTAATTAAATGAGGAAGTAGCACCTGGACCCTTGACAGTTGCGCCTTCCCACGCGTCAGAAGCGTTTTTTTTTTTTTTCGTCTTTCTGCACAGTCCGTTTGGGCACGTGCGCGGCTCCCTGTGCTCCCCATGTTTTTCGTCAGGATACGTTAGTCACTTCTCCTTGGTGGTACTCTTTCTCCTCTTCATTTCTTTGAGATTTTCTTTGGGAGCTTTTTTTTTTTCTTAATGATGAAATCATTGATAATTCGCATGTGGATGCCTCTGGGAGCAGACCAAAGCTAGAGTATATCTCAGTTCGAATGTTTCTTGGGTAGTGCATCCCCTCCAATCATCGGCTCGTTCTCTCGCGAATTGACGTTGGAAGACGGATCTCGTCGCTAGGGAGGTCCCTGACCCCAAGCTGCAAAAGGGATGTTTGCCTGAGGCTGCATCTTCAGCCGTTATTGCGTCCGTACCGCTCGCAACTGGTCATAAAAAATTCGCCCTGCTGCAACAAGGCCGAGACAAAGATCTGCTTGCCAAAAGCTTGTCAGATGCAGCTGCCCCTTGTCAGATATTGCCGTAGATGCCTTTCCTCCCATTGACATCGCCATCACCACAAGCGCGAGGCTGGAACATCGTGCATCTTTGTTCCATCTCTTCGGTGCACCGCATCAACAACCAGAATCACTGAGGTATTGCGAGCGCCTCATGTGCTCCATCTCGCGAGCATCTTAATCTTGAATACGTCTTGGTCTATTCAAACGGTCTATATGACACACTGGCGGCGGTAGGCAAGGGGTAGGGGGTATCATCGAGCAACCAGGATTTCCACTATGCCTGCCAGCAGAAATATGACAAGACCCCCGCCATGCCCCAAAGTCAAGTGCTTCTACGTGTAACCAGCACATGCCATTCACAAACCACCCGATCGTCCCATCAGTCCATGTCGTCCAGCTCGCTGACGAGCTCTCGCTTTCCCTCGCTTTCGCTGACCATGATACCCACCAGACAGCCTTCCAACATATTCTCCCAGCTCACCCACGGATGCACATCGTTGAACAGCTTCGCGCCGTCCTTGCCCGCGATACGGCGTAGTTCGCCCTCACCACCTGGGTGGTAAGGCAGGTAAGGCCCGATGTTGTACACCTTTCCCATGTACGAACTCCACGCCGGCCTTCCCTTGCGCCCGTTCTTTTCCTTCAGCTGCGACGGCGTCACGCGTAACAGTCCATCAACGCCCGCCAAGTTCGCTCCCGACCGCTTGAGATTTGCCCAGTCGAGCGGCGAGTGTCCAGGCTGCAGCAGGACCTTCTGCCTCGGGTTCGGAGCCTTGACTGCCCTCGTCTGCGGCGTCGATAGCGCGTTGGACGTCGACAGTGAGCCACGATTGGGAAGCGGGCCCGTCACCGGTCGGGAGGGGTTCGGACGCGGCGGAGGAGCCATCAGTCCGCCACCATTCGACAGTGGCTTTAACGTGGGCGGTTTAGAAAGAGTTGAAGCGCCCGCTCGCTGCGCTGAATTCATGGCCGGAAAGCACGGCGGCGGCAAGTGATCATTCTCGTCTTCGGACCCGTCCTGTTCGTCGTCATCCTCTTTGTGTGTCTGGAGGGAAAACGAAGGAACCGCGGGGAGCATCCCGTTCGCCGCCGCCTTCACCTTTGGCGTAGACCCTTCTGCCTCTGATGCTGGCGACGTGCTGCCGCGCTGCTTTTCCTGCTCTACAGATGCGTCTTTTCCAGCCACTCCCGTGACTTCTACATCCTCGTTGGTGAGCGCAGTATGCGCGTCGGCACTGGTATCAACATCAACGGCCGTCGGCGACTGTTTCCCCTCATTCTGCGTCGACGCGTAGCCTAGAAGGGCCCGTATGTACGACGTCATCTTTCCATTCTCGCGCTCATGCAGAAATGCAAAGGACGCCAGAGCGACAGCTATCAGTGTGAAGCCTAGTATCATTCCGTGCGCATGGTCGTGTGTGCGTGATAAGACGCTAGGTGCGAATCTGCGGCCCCCTTGAGATTCCAACTCATCGTTTCGCCGCCATCTCCGCTTTCGGACTAGCGTATTTCGGCGTTTGCGGTTTCCGAACTCAGACACTTTCACGTCCGAGATGACCTCGAGTTGTCCATTCTGTCCTTGGCTTAGAATAGTTTGGCTGCGGCGCGAAAGATTTGCGATTTAAGACTCCACAATCACTTCCCGGTAGCATCTCAGCGGTCCAGAACGAAAGGAGACACGTACCGATTCCGCGGCAGCAGCTGGACGCTCACTAGGAAGCCCCTTGCTGCCCACGAGATCAACCGTTCGGGTAGGCGAAGCTAACGGAGCTTGCCATAACCCAGATGCGCCGCGGGGCTACAGGACTGTGCAAAAGAAACACAGGCCATCTTTTGCAATTTAAGCTTTCGCCATTGGTCTCGCAATGTTCGGGATTCCGGCTTCGGGTGCATGTCTCACGGCTCCGATCTCATGAAGGAGTGCGTAGGGGTATTCGCCGGGACATGAAGCAATTTGCAGCTTCAACAATAGCTTTGTAGCGTTTTTTAAAACGACTTTCGGCTTTGATCATTGCACCTGCTATTCTACGGTATGTCCCACTTCCTTGTTGTTGGCAGCACATTCGACATGGCCTGTTTGCCTGTCAAGTTAAAAGGTCGTGGCTACATTGGACCGGCATACCATTCTCGCCAAAGGTGTAGAGCTCGGTTGGTGGATCTCCAACTTCGAAACAACGCACATTATTATTCGGAGAAGTCCAAATGACTTCCATCATATGACCGGCAGGCGCTAGCCTTTGTCTGCCGCTAGGAATTCATCTCGCGCCACAAGGATACAGCGCAGCCCGTGGAGATCATTTAGTCCCAACCAACAAACGTGTAAGGCAGACTCGTGTCCTGTCGAATAATGAGCCGTCGAGAAAGATCCTGTGACGAGTATACATAAACATAGACTGCATGTAAGGACGCGAACGGCGTAGCGTGGTGTTTCTTTTTCCCGTAGCTGCCCTTTATACTGAGGCACGCTTTTGTGGCACAGGTGCTATGGAGTCGTACGCTCCAGTCGAATACGGCCATGCCACTTAGCGTTCACTCTAAGCTTTTGCTTAGCACCGCCCCGTGCAGCCACTACGGAAACTTGAACAATTGCTTGTTCTCTGGATGCGATCTCAGATGCGGAGCTAAATCTCGGCTCCTACTGTACTCGTCTGAACCTTCCTGCAAAAGGAGCGAGTGAGCTAATTAGCAACTTAGGACGACCTTCATGAGAGGAGAGTGGGAACGGATCCCTCGCTTCAGGAAGCCGGCCGGTTCATTCACGTGCGTTTCCTCCCCTTTATCTTCACAGCCGAAGATTACTGGAGTACACACAAAACTTCGTGTCTCGTTCCCGCGTAGCTCTCCAATCGATGCAAAGCTCCGGCCTAGAAGTTGCCAAGCTCTTTTCTGCCTTGCTAGGTTGGGATCAAAAAAAAAAGACCCACGCTCTGCCTCTTTCACTATTCATCTATCCGTGCAAGGCAGACATCATAGGCTTTCCACAAACACACACAGAGAGAGAGAGACAGACGTATTTCCCTAGTTCTCTCGCAGTTCTGCCAGGCTCAATCGTTGTGTTCACACAGCCTCGCGCATCCGTAATTATTTCTCATGGATTTCCAACGTCCCGTTCCTTCCCTTCTCAAAAGCGTATCCTTGAGAGGATGAGTCCGAATTACTGAGCCAGGGAAATGCCGCCAGTCAAAAATGAGCGTCACGAAAATCGTCAGTTGGTAGGCTCTGCGTCCTTGAGCAAAATGGATCTAAGCAACTCCAAAGAAGCCAAGGACTCTTGTTTCAGCGTTGTGTTGCTTCGTCTTTCCGAAGTTGCCTTGGGTGCATATTGCTCGTGGTATAAAGTGCAGCACCTGGATCAGATTCGAGAGATAGCTTCAAACTCAAAACATTAAAAGAAACAGATTTAGAATCTATGTTCCCCCAATCGATAGACGCTCTATAAATCATGTACACTTGCACGAACGAAATACGAACCATTGTCATCTACAAAACAATAAATGGGCTTATAAGCGCATTAAGCAATGAAGAGCAACGCGTCGAGTACGTCCCTGCCGTGATTGATTCCTGGATCGGTCCGAGCTTGGACCAAGACTCCACAGGCAAAGACAACTTCAACATTGTAAAGCTACCGTATTTGGGCTTGAATAGCGCATGACGAACGCCCTTTCAATTCCACACACGGATCGCGACCAGGTTTATCAATTGGCTTTCATCATGTTCGCAGGTTCGCGCCGCCTTCTTTCGACGAAGCCAGTCCAGGTCTGCCGTCGGTGCTTGTCCTCAAAAGCTCAGCAAGCGGTCCTTCAACCCATTGCCTCGCACAAGAGGCCCATTGCATCGTTCGTGTCGGCAGCGCCGCGAACCGCAACGTTGCGCTGCTCATTCTTCACGAGTACGACCTTGCGAGCCTCGGCTCCGACTGCTGCTGAAGCCATGGAGCGCATAGAACAGCTGTACGAGAACGCGAGCGAGGAGTTCCAGATTGCGGCTGAGGAGACGGAGGGCAACACGGTTTACGCCGCCGACGACCGAGCGGCAGCCAAGGCGGAGGTGGACAAGCTGGAGGAGTTCTACAAGTCCGTCGTCGAGGGGACCGGATACGACGCCAGCGTGAGGGAGGAGGTTAAGCGACGTGCGGGCCAGAGGGTCAGAGAGCTGGTGAATGCTATGACAGCGCTTGAGGAGAAGGCGATGGAGCACGACTAAGTCTTCCTGTCCACGGACGCGCTTTTGGCTCGGATCACGAACGGCGCGTGTTGCTGTCATGAGCCGAGACTAGTGGCTAGTGGAACTCGAGCCTGAAAAGAAAGATGGACAAAGCGAGCTGATTTGCCCTTCGCCCCCAAATATGAACAGAGAACCACGTCCCGTTCCAGCCCGTGGCGGCCTTGATGCGTGCGCCGTCGTGCGTGCAGCATACGCAAGCTTTCACATCTGGGCTCTTGCGCGGACACCGTCCTTACTTCCTCAAAATACACGAAATCTCCGCCCACTAGATCGCATTGTGGCGCTGCAGCGTACCGAGTGGCGGCAAAGCTGCCTTTTCTTGAGGGCCTTGTATTATAGAATTGTAGAAACCACGAGTCCATAACGCAAACATTTTGCCAAAGATTGACGCCAAGAAGCTTGCACCTAGCTGTGACTCCCCCCAGGCGAGCACGTCGAGCAGCAGACTCATCCGGTTGTCGCTTCCGAACTCCGTGTGTACCGGCTGAAAACTCCCCTCTCCTCTCGTGATCGAACTCGCAGTAAACAGCGATCAAAAAAGGCCGGTTGGGAATATGAAAAGAGATGGCCTCTCGTCTGGCGACAGCTTAAATGTGCCTGTCTAGATCTAGTCAAGGAGAGGAGGAGAGGAGTGTCGCTGTGACGCATAACACGATTCGCGAATGGATTCGCTGGCGCTGTGCGTGCTTAAGGGACGAAGGGCCTGTGAGCTGAGACTCCAGTTCCATATCAATGACGTTGTGGCCGCTTACCAATTTATTCGTCTTGATAAAGAGGTCTTGGATGCATCCTGGATCCGGACCGCGTTCATGCATGTCCGCACCCAGCAACAAACATTGATGGGAGGCGCCTTAATTGGTGATCGAGTAGGTTGCGTGTGGGTGCGCTGTATAACCACCCTTTCAGCCTAAGTTAGTCTTTTCCGTCTGAAATTGGGTTTGTGAGTCTTGAAGAAGCCCATGACAGGTGTGATCATCATCGACTGTTAGTGTCACGATCGTGAAGCCAGATGTGTCAATCTAACTCTCGGAGATGTGAGTTTATCGACATGTACATAAACGTGATTACCATCCAGTATGTCTTGAGCCTGCTTTGGCAGTTAACCGCGCAATCCATCTTGCGGGTAGTATTATCTAGCTTTCTAAGAGATGCTGAGATAGGGACTTTCAGTATGTTATCGTTTAGCAATTTCTTTACCTTACTTTCTTCTAATCTTGTAGGTATTCAAAGTGCGGAAAACAATTCCCCAAGGAATCTGATTATGAACAGACGTCCAAGGGAATTTATGGCAAGAACGATGAAGAAGATGAAGATAGAAACTTGTAATGTTAGGAATGTGGCTAGATGAAGTCAGAGTCTCATAAAATTCAGATAAGGACTGAAGACAAATGTCGAAAATTGAGAGCATCAATGGGAATGCGGAATCTGAAAAGAAGAAAAGATTTCAAAACAAACTCATATAAAAGCATGAAATTCATGTAATAAAGGAGCACAGATTAGTATCAAACAACTCGAAATGACAATAGACTCTGACAAGCTGGTATGCCAGAAGGTACGGTGAGAACATGCTCGATAGCATGAAGGAAGCAAATAGTGAAGTTCTTGTCCTTGCAAAAGCGAATCTTGCGGGGGCAATAGAAGAGATTTATATTGTTCGGAAACTTCCAAAAAGACTTTTAAAAAAAAATTGTAGCTGTGCAAGCCGAATTGACTGCTTGCTGGTCGCATGGTTCGACCTATGGTACCCAGATGTTAGCCACGTTCTTTTGGTTAGTACGACAGCGACAAAGCAAATATCCGGATCCAGGTTGTGGAAATCCAGGGCAGCGCCGGCCTCGCCATCCGGTGGCTCGGTTGAGAGCAGATATGTGAGAAGTTCATGATAAATTCTACCGGTGTGTAGAGCCTTTGTAGGCAAAAGCCGGAACCACTTAATAGAATGGCTGCACAGCATCAAACAAAAACATTCCTTTTGCTACAGTAGCAGGGAAGAGGCTTATGTACTTACTTCGACTGATTCAGCGTCGTGAAGAGTGTTGGGGTTTGCGTCGTCGCCACCCCATGAGCACGCTGACCTTAACGCTCTACCTCCATTGCCATATTTGGTGTAGCTGGTAGCCTCTTAAACAACATTTATCACCGCACGATATCTTGACCAACAAGAAATAAAAAGAACACACAAACATGGATACATACACAAAGGTCATTATTGTTTGCATGACAACCATTGTCGTTGTCACCTTGACCATCATCTTCTGCCTGCCCCCGTTTCTGTCGTAAGTAAGCAATAAACCACTGTGACAGCGATGCTAATGGGCAACAGTTGCCGGCGGAAAAGAGCAGAAGAGGCCGAGCTGGCCAATATTAACGTGAGCTGAACTCTAGTTGAGGCTCCCAAAGTGCTGCACTTTGCGAGTTAGTCAGATACGTTTGAAACAGTGACATCAAGGCCGTTGCTGCGGGAGCGCAAAGTAGAACCACGCTGTCCAAGAAAGACGACGAACAATACCTCGCACACATATTACGCGGCTAGGACGCGGCGACCATATCATCACCATCGCGAAGTGCTTTCTGTTACGTGGCAGCGTGTGGTGATGTTCAACCACAATCAAACCGGACAGACAAAGACGGTACCACGGAATTCTTGATTTTTAATTTCGAAGAGCAGCACAAAGAGCTGAGGTCCTAAATATGATATTCATTGACGTGGAAGAAGAGCTCGCGCAACGCGAAAGGTTAAGCACCAACTGCAAGCTGGAAACTTGGAAAAGACCTAGGTAGAACAGAGAGGAACAGGATATCCCTCGATCATACTCGCCCTGTCCGGTTCTTACCAAAGTGTCGAGATGGATTTCCTCTTCGTATGTTCTGTCCGCTTGAGAAATCTTCCACGGGTTGGAATAGCTCTAGACAGAGAGAACATTTCCAGGATTGGGCAATAAATAATAAGTCCAAATCCTATGCTCAGCAGAAGAAACACAGGAGGAGCTTGGACAGATGATCAGGGTTTTGAACCCGCTGCCAATTTGGTCATATATATCAATCTGTCAAAGGCCTTCCGGGGAATATTGGCGCATGTTGACGTCCTCGGTAAAAAAAAGAGTAGTTTCTGGACTTTGGGAAAGAATCTTTGCGAGCTCCAGTAAACTCAAAATTCACGAATTTGATGGCAGCATGAGCGCCGTCTTAATCCTGCCCTTCATCTTCGTCAATGTTGGCGAGGTTCTGCGCAACCAGTCTCGAACTTTCTTACAACAGGGAGGCCTTGATGATAAGCAGCACGTGAGTGGTGATCTGCATTCAATTGGCTCATCAGGTCGATTTCTCCACGTTCTTGATGTTTATAGCCTGTTCCACCTTCTGGACATTTGCACTTCATGCCGCCGTCGACATCCCCGCTATGTTAATCATTCTTGGAACAGCATAGAATACGAGGAAAAAGAAAGCACACATCAGAGTTCTCATCTTCCATCATCTTGGAGCGGTCAAACACACTGGGAAAATTCCATGCTCTTAGCGATGTGAGGATAGCCTGATATAAAGGGTAGTCATGCAAGCCTTACAGGCTATTTCATCGTCCAGGTGCATTAAAATTGCGCAGAATGCAACATATAAGAAATCATCCTAATTCAGATCTCAGTATCGAGCCGAAACCTTTCCCGAATTGCTCTCTCCCTTGCTCTTTCAGGTATAACGAGCATGGCATCACACTTCGTTGGAGTTTTCTTTTCTTTCTGAGGAACGTCTACTAATGCAATCTTCGAAGGCCTCGTTCAAGCATATCCGAGAGGTTGTTCGAGACCATTTGATGCAATTCTCAAGTCCAGGTTGAAAACCACGCCGCTGATATTGAACATAAATGAACTGTTACAAGGCCTCATCGTCCCTTGCGGAGATCTTGCTGGAAACCGACTTGACGACATGCAATGGCTCTATGGTCATTTGCGATGCGTGATCAATTTGCAGATCGAGAAACCCAAGCAGAGCAAGGGTCATGATGAAGAGCCTGCAAGAGATATTGCAGCCTTCGTTAAGCACTCAAAAGTTTTCACAGTGGCAGCTGAGCATAGCTGATGGGTTATTGTTCTCGTTGTCGCGAGAGGTGGAAATGATGTCGTCTCCTAGTGGGGAAGAAGGAACGAATCAGAAGATCAGCTTTCAGCCAGCCAAGAGCAAGAATCGCCCTCTGTGTTCAGCGCAACGACGTCGCTCCGCGTCTTCGCTGCGGTTTCGTCTCGCCATCAGCATTGAACATAGCGTCCTCGGCGTTGATACCGCTCTCCTAAATTTCAGCTGCTGAAGTGTGTTCCTCCTTCTGTTGCGGCATAACGTTCTCGACGTCCAAAACGTTTATTGACCCTAAAACTTCCTCTTTGAAGATAATCTTTCCACAGGCACGGTGCCAATGTCTCCCTATCACTTAAGTTGCGCTGATGCTTCTGCTGTTGGTTTAAACAACGCTATGTGTCTCCATCTCCTAGCTTTTGGAAGTGTACGAGCAAAGGTTGTGACTTCGAAAGCACAAGCAGGTCAAGCGGTTCTTGAAATTCGGTCTCCTCGTCGTTCACTCTCCTAGGGAGATCAGAATGACGCAAATAGTACTTTCCAGTACTCTCATGCTCGTCGTGTACGTGAAACATAAACGGCAGTAAGCTTCCTGTTGTTGCTTTCGCTCCTCGCGTTCTCTGAACCGCTCGTCGAGATGTAAATACGCCTTTCTCACTTCGACGAAGGCCTTTGCAGTCACTTTCAATCGTAGAAGGCTACGGAGAAATAACTTGAGGTATCAGTATTGCCACGACATCTTCAAATGATAATGTAAGGTGGAATTGCGAGCGTACACCCATTCGACACGGTCTTGGCCGAGATAGTGCTTACCTTGCCGTCGACAGCGGAGGCTTCTGTGTTGGGAGAAATTGTTTCTTTGTATGGCTGCTTACCTATGTCAACTGGCTCTAGGATACCGCTTGCAGCCGACAGACACTGCTACAAGACAAAGAACGCACAATTTTGTCAGCATAAGAGCCTCTTTTGCTCTCACAATTCACCGAATTCATCCAGAAGAGGATATTAATATCATACATTCGTGCGGAGTAAGAGTTGAATACGCGAAGAACTGTATATGTTCCTAATAAAGGCCATGTCTTGGCACAAATTGGCTTGTAGCTGCAAATACATCACTACTCACATCCGGACCCCAATAAACATACACAAATAAATACATATCACGAGCACTCCAACATACAGACATACGTGCAGAAAAGATGCGCACGAAACAGCGTATTGTAGGCGTCGCAGCAGCCATGATTATTATCATCATTCTACTTCTACTGCCACGCAGACGACAAAAAATCTACGAGGGCTATAAGTTCGAGCATAAAGTCCTCGACGTGGCGAGGAATTGCATCGTGCATAGTACGTTCTGTTCGATACTGTCTATGATTTGTAGTCAACTAATTATTTAAAACAGTGAACGGCACTAACACCTGCCAAATGGCAGTGACAACTGTTTAGCTTGGATTAACTACATGTGTTCGTACAAACCTGCTCAATTCTGAGTAAAATAAGATTATCAATCATCATTGACTAATGCTATGCTCTAGATCATAGAATAAAGGATATATCAATCGAAGATTACATAATTACCTTTCATTTAACACGTCCTAAGATCGTTCCTGTGTCGTAATAATCGCAAGTCTTTTGCGGAAGTGTCACTTACATACGAAAGATGGGTTCGTCTACTTAAGCTTTTACACTCCCTTATTGGCACTACAGTCTTCAATCTCCATTTTTTTCATGCACTCTAGCTTACCCAATTCCGGTGCGCAGTTCAAAATGACGGAGGTCCGATGAGCATGCCAGTGGGACTGTAACAGGTATCAGAGCAAGGATATGGAGTTATTCGTACTGCTCTTTGCGTATGAACAGAGACAAGGCCGGAGCGATCTATGGATTCTATTCTTGGCGTGTATCGCCAGGAGGAGCTTTGAACTTAAAAATTATGTTCAAGATGAGCCCCAAGCTTCACTTGATAAAAGGCAATGATATCTAATAGTTGTCCTCTCCATACTCTTTACGAAGATAAACACCTGTTAAGACTGTAATCACGAGGCTTTGCGCTCCTTCTGGCCTTCAACAAAAAGTTCCTTCTGGTGCAAAGATGCAAATTTTATGAACAGAAACATACCGAAGTCAATAGAATGGTTGCATATAGCTTCTTATCATATTGGATGAGTTGTCAAGGCAGAAACCCACACAAAAGTCTCACTTGAATTCTTTCAAGATGATGCTTCTTCCCCCCCCCCCCCTCCCCTTCACGAAGTAGAAGAGCATGTTATTATCATTAAGGATAAAATTCTGAGATAGATTTTTTGAAGATCAAAGTGAAGACCATACCTCTACTTCAGATTTGAAATGCCGGGATATTCGCTTGCAACTTTGTCAATGTGAATACGTCATGAAATTAAAATTATCCTACAAATTATTGTAGATCATTGTAAACGATGAATTGGATAGTTGGCAAGTTCTGCGCTGTTTAAAAGTCTACATTATTTACAACACGATCTGCTGTAGTCATATCATGTAGCTACGCGGCTATATTTGGATCGTATATGATTCTTTACTTATTTGACCGCCAGTCTCGAATTACTGCTTTGTTGCTTTGACGTAAGATCATCTCTCTAACATTTAGATACGTCGTTGTAAATTCCAGTTCACGATCTCGACTAGGTCAAATGACACATCCGCGAACGGCAATTTTACCAAGTAACAAACCTAATGGTCTAGCTGAGGGGGTTTGAACTGGCTCCTGTTAAAATGTTACTTTAGACCGTCATTCTAAGTCGTGACATCAAGAGAAGCGCTAGACTCTAGACATCCTTTTGCGCAATCGCCATCGAATCCCTAAGGAAAGGAGATATAGCAAATTCCGCGCTTGATTCATTCCAATTGGGTTCGAAATTACCAGAACAAGTTAGCAGCACCCTACGCTTCGAACCCGCTGAGGTCAGAAGTCATGAGAGTAAAACAAAATGCCAAGATGTAGTTTGCAATCTGCAGCTAATACTTGAAAAGTAAGAAAGATTAATTACAGTGATGGGACTTTATCGTAGAAAGCAATATTGCTCCGTTTACAACAGTCAATTTGATCTCTCCACAATGATGCAAATGGACTGCAGGGTACACAGGCTCTATTGTGATTGTTTGATAAGGTGTTTGAGACGGCGATTATGATTGAATCAAGCTATGCACATATTTCAGCCGAAAGATCAGGAGCACATTTGTGCGTTAAAGATTAGAAATACATGAAGCGGCTACGACTGGTACAGTGCACGAATGAAAGTAGTGCCCCTATTATCACGAGGGTGTCGAGATCGTGGACGGATGCAATAATATCTCTTGTAGGTGCAACAATGAACGGTGCTTCGAGCCTTCGACTGCCTTCTATCCCGGAAAGACGGCATGGACCACAGAGAATGTCAGTCTCACAACGATACGTAACATGAAAAAGATGGTAACAGTTTTCCCACCGGGTTGCGAATCGACCCGCCAGGCTCCTTGAATTGCCGGATGCCGAATTTGCTTGAGCAGGATTGGCTCAGGTATTGCGCGAAGTCAACAGCGGTTCAGCACACGACACGGATGATTTCGATTCTCTAAATGAAGATGTGTAGATTGACTCTGCAGGTCGTCATGTACTGAGCGACTGGGGTGATATGGGCATGGAAGAAGACATTGAGAACAGACGTCTAGCGATGCTTAGGGTCTATTTATTCGTTTGCGATGGTATCATCAGCAAGAACTGCGGAGTTTAGCCAAAGTCATCATTGTTTCTGTTGCGTTACTGGCCTGATCATGAAATTGGGAGATGTCGTAGCAAGCATGGATGAATAATAAAGTTAAGGATTATGATTATACTAGATCTGACATGGAGAACAAGGAACTCAAGATAATAAAACGATAAACTCGGAAAATATGGCACGGCAGACATTGAAGTGACCGGAGCATGGTCAAATACTTGAGCAAAATTGATCTGATTTGAGATCTTGCAAATGCTGTCCCCCTTAAATGTTGCGGCAGTCCCGGCAGGTCAAATTAAGCTCGCAAAGTCTTCATAATTGAATGGGGCTTGATTTCAATAGGTAGAAGACAACCTGCCAAATTCGAGGTCTGGGAAAATGAAAATATCAAAATAATCCGAGTAAAACCGATGCAGTATGGCAGTAGCGATCCAATTGGCCCATCCCAATAGTACAAATGCTTTTGCTTACTTTTGTTCATGGCCTTATTCATCACCAAGCACCGTCCATAGTAAATCCTTGTTCCTGTACTCGTGGCAAATCACGTTTACCAGCCAATACCCGTTCCTAATATCACCTAGCAACTTTGCCGTTGCACTTTTTGGGGGATAGATGTGCTGCCACTCTCTCCAAATGCTGAATGCTTCTTCCAACCATGCTCTAAAACTCACGGCTTCGATGATCGTAGGTGTAATAATCTCTTTGCCCGGAAATGTACCCCAAGTCACAGGGTTCACACTTTTCAAATCCGAGGACTCGAAGTCTCCATGAGCATTACCGGCAAAGTACGTAATTTCATCAGGTAGTTGCTCCAGTTTTTTCTTCAAACTCGTCCAGTCTGCTGCTGGGAGGAAGAATTCGACAAAGGGTTTTTGAAAGACAAAGCCATTTCTAGGTCCCCAACCGAATATCTCATGACTGCTCTTGAGGCCGTTGACGGCAGGCTGGCTAGCCACGGTCCACCAACCTTTCTTGTTCAGCGTCAAGAGCTCATTCGTTATTGTTCCGGTCTCCTGACTCAAACCTTCTTCGCTCCAGGGAATCTGCGCTAGCTCTCCAGATATATGCTTCCGAAAGATATCTGATATGTCACCAACTGTTACTGGATGGCCCCACATCTTGATTGCCTGAGGAATTGAGACGTGGAGTGAGACACCGTAGCCATCAATTTCGCCGAATGCTGCTCAAGAAATCAGTATAAGCAAACATGTGACATGAAGCTGAACTTACCTGGAGATCTTGCATCTCCCCATCTTCCGTTGGGGAAATCATCCCAGGTTGCTTCCCGTCCCATTGATCCCTCCCCTTCTGAAATTGCCAAGGTCGTGGCTCTTGTCGGGGTGTCAGAAGGAAGGCCGGCATCTTTCTCCAAAGTTTCATACACGCTGTTCCTATGCCCTGAGATTTTGCCGACAATAACACGGTTATGGGGGTCAGAATGCGCACTGGAAACCCTACCCTTCCGTGGTTTCGGGGCTCCATTTGTGACGGACAGTTCCTCGACAATCTCAATGGCATCTTCATCGTCGTCATCGGCAACTTTGAGCAAATGGCATCGTTCAATAATTTGTGAGACAGTCTTTTCCAGATTCAGGGTGTAGAAATGGAAACCTCTTGGACCCACGCTCTTTTTGGCTTGCAATTCTCCAATAATCTCGCACAGAATATCAACGCCCACTGCCTTAACAGCCTCGTCATCTCCTTTAACAGCATCTAGCCTCTTCATTATGTCCGCTGGCAGCGATGCGTGACTTAGCTTCGTTGTTCTGCGCAATATTTGATAGCTTTGAATCGGCATAAGCCCGGGAATTATCGGGATATCTTTAAAGACACCACTCTCCTCCGTTCTTAGCATATCTTCAAACTTCTCGTATGCATGGACATCAAAGAACAGCTGGGTCATGATGAAATCGGCACCCGCCTTCGTCTTCTCGATTAGGTAGGGCAGATCAAACAGAGGATCCTGGCGCTCAGGGTGCGAGGAATCAGCATGTCCTTCTGGGTATGCCGCCACGCCAATGCAAAAATAATCGCCGTATTTCTTTCTGATGTACTTCACCAAGTCAACGGCCCACACGAACTCGGTGCTCTCCTCTTCGAGCTCGCCCTTGTCGAAATATTCCTCGTTCCGGGGCGGGTCGCCCCGAAGGGCCAGTATGTTTCGCACACCAATCGCCTTTGCCTTTTCCAGGGCGTGATCGATAAGAGACTTGTTCATGTTGGTGCATGTGAGGTGCAGACACGTCGTTAGCCCCAATTGCTGCTGGCATAGCTCCGCGAGCTCCAAGCTCTTCGTCGCAGTGCTGCCGCCCGCTCCCCAGGTTACGTTGACGAAAAAAGGCCGCAAGGCGCGAGACATGCGTTCAAGGCGTGCCTGAAGGTTCACCCATCCCTACATGATCCGTTAGGTCGCCATTATACATAGATAGTGGAAGAGTGGGGAGGGCGAAGAGGGTCTTACCGCGGACGTTTTTGGAGGGAAGAATTCGAGAGAGAAATAGTTGGCGTCATTAGGCAGGGCCTTAATCTTATCCGTGATCTTTTCCATAGTGCAGAGCTTTAATTGAACTACCACAATGCGAATTTGCGCAAGAATGTCTCATGGTTCAGCGTTTATAACGAAGAGTCGTGTGCCGATGCACCACTCATTTACTGGTAAAGAAGGGTCCGTGGGGCAGATTTCTTCCGTCATCGGCCTCTTGTGGTCATCCAGGGACTCTTGCCTTTACTGGGTAAACACCTCCCAAATTGTCCAGCCCATCGAATGCCCACAAAGCCACGGTGAATCTACTTGAGCATGTTATTCCATTTGTTGTAATTCTACAGTGGATATGAGCTATGTAACATAGGCTTTTCTTGGTTCATGTTCTGCCAAAATAAAAACACCTGACCGTCTACCACCTTCGAAATCTCGCATCCGTAACGCCATGCTATGCAGTTGGAGCCAAAAATTTATTTAACTCCAACGTAGGAGGTCTCGAGGGACCATAACATCAAACTGACGCGACAGATAACGCATAAGATGTCATCGAACATTGTCGATCACTGCCTTCTAACCCATGCCTACGTGCTTAAACCAGACCGGCCGGCAATCGTCACGGTTCAGCCAAGCCTCACCATCTGTGAACCGACCAGTCTGACAGCCACTGCACTTGGGCGAATTTGGACAGTTAAAGAAAGGGATATGCTGGTAACCAATATCTCGGAACCTGTCTCATGTGTCAGCGAAACAGACGCAATCTTGAGAACTTTCAAGGAGGTTCGCACCAGTGAATCTTGCTCGCATCTTCGAATAGACCTAAACCAATGGAATGCACGGGCGCATCGCCCCATCTCTCGTAGAAGAAGCCGCCAGCTCTGTCCAGATAATTGAAATAGGCCTCGTAGGCCTCGCTCCTCCAAAAGTCCATGTCTGCAATCTCAAAATTGCTCCAGAAGTGGCACGTCGAGTAGCCATTCGCCTTCTGGTTATTTTCTTTCCTGTGCTCGCTGTCGATTAACCACTTGAGTGCATTGTTTGGGTGCAAGTACTCCGGATGGTCAGCCATGAACTGCTGCGTTACCGGCCAGAGACCCGCCACCGACTCCGGACTGTCGTAAAGGTTGATGGTAAAGCCGTAGGTTTTGTTGTGATCCTGCATATATCGGAAAACATCGTAATCTATATCGCAGAAAAAGTGAACGTGCGGCTCTACACGCCAGTAGTATCGCGTGTTCAGAAGGGCGGGGTGTTTGTAGAACATGCCACTGTTCCATCGGCACATCTGATGGTAGCTCTTCTTGTCCATGTATTGCACCTTCTGCTCTTTCAGCACCGCGACAGACTCCTCATACAGATCCTCATTGATCCAGCTTGGCACGGCCCAGTGTTCCTTAGGGACCAGTTCAAACTTGACTTCGGCCTTGGTAGCCGCCCTGATCCCGTTCTTGAATTCCTCGGTGAACGGCTCGTCGTTGAGAAATAGCCAAGGATAGTTGAATTTGCGATTGAATGTTCGCTCAAGGTCGCGGACTGACATCAGCATGTCTTTAAGCTCATGGTTGCGAACAAGGGCAAGTAGGGTTGCGTTTATGCGATCAGAGTTGGGATTGTCAGGTGCGTAGTTGTTCCCTGAGACTCTATGGAGAGGTTCTGGAGGTTCGCCGGTAGCTGCATATGTGTACTTAGCACAGCTCGGAGTCCTTATGTTCATCTAAACGATTTGTGCCAACTTACGGTCCAAGTTAGGGTCTCTGGTCATCTTCTCCAGCTTCATTCCCGACGACGGCGAGTCTATCGACGCGGGGGCTTGGAATATGAGCAGACATAAGTAAATGAAGATAGCGACCGTGGCTACGCCGAGAAGGCGTATAGATTTAGGCAGCGCCATGGTGAACTGTTCGTTGCTGTCGCATGCTCCAATTGTCCTTCCAGTCTGTAAAGTCCTAAAAGGGAGTTGCCAAGAAAGCAGGGTCTCGCGATGATCCTTGCTTACTTCGCCTTGGGGAATTGTTACCCTACGAGAACTTGCGGACGCAGAACGACGCGAGGGCAGTGTTCAATCGCACGCGAAGCCACGCTATCCTTCTACTTGCGGAGAAATGAGGTAGAAAAATCCCGCGGTTATCGAGAAGGCCGCGGACTTTTGCACTTCATTGTTGGCATCGAACCCCGATCACACAAAATAACGCGTGTTACAGATGACGCGGCCGCGGACTGACGATGGCGCAAACATCAAGGATAAACGCTATCCTTGGTGATCTCGTCGACTCGTTTGCACAACTGGCTGGCGATAATAATCCCAGGAACCTCAAACAGTCCAAGGATTTAGCTAACAAGCAAGTAAAAGCGCATCAGTATGTGCGCACCAATCAATTCGAAGTGGAATCCTCCATCTGCGGGCTGATTGAGAAGTTCTCCATTGTGAACCGGGACGATCTTGCAGAAGCATTGACAAAGCGTCTGGACGAGCTTCGAACAAAGTCGAAGAGCAAGTGGATGCCTGAGTTGTTGTCTTTGCTTTTGAATTTGTCGGATCGCCCAGATCAGAAGTCGACCTTGGAGGCTCTTGAACTGCTGAAACCACCTTCACCTCCACCATCACCTGTGACATGGGAAGAGCTTGATGCAGAAGAACCTCTCACGGGTGAAGTCTGGCAGGATGAATCGTACTCAAGTGCTTCCGATGACGAGGTTGAGCTCACCAAGAAGAGCAACCTATATGTTGAGACCAAAGCCACCTTGGAAGAAGCAGTCACGGATGATATTCTGCCCACTATTACGGAGAATATACCCACAGATGACTTTAATAAACTGCAAGCTGTACAGTTCTGGACGCAGGCAGATTTAGGCAGCTCGCAACCTCAGCGTTTGACCGAGCTCCAAATCATCAGGGAAGTCTTACACATGCTACACGGCCTACCAACATCCATTTTCGCAATAGACGAACAAAACACACTAGTCTATCATGCCGCAAACATCTCGATACTGCAGATTAGCTTGTCAGGACTTAACGACGTGCTGCAGTCCTTTGCGAACATTGGCTCAGATCTGCTGCGATTGCGATCATGGACGCGTAAAGGCCAGAAAGTACCGCTGCTTCAAGCTTTCAACCATGCAGTCAGTCAGCAATTGCGCGACTTCGACCAAAAAATAGCCGACATTGAGACGCGGTTCGTAAACCCGCATTCCGCTGTTGTGATCAGCTTGTTGAAAGTACATCGAGAAGTCGAATGTTTCAGTCGACCTATCTCCGCCATCAGCGCGCTTGCTTCAAGTGTTCCGGAACATGGAGGTGGCTTTATTTGTCTTGAGCTTCTCTATGATCAAATATGCTTGTTACAAGCCGCCGGCGACGACGAGTGCAGCAGAGAACTTGGCCACGTTTTCTTTGCATGCCTTAATGTGTACCTCAGACCTATATCGCAGTGGATGGAACAAGGTGTCGCCCTTGATAATGATGAAAGCTTTTTCATCTCCGTGATAGACAAAGGGAGCCCTGCTTCCACATTGTGGCATGATCGTTACAGCCTTCGTAAGACGAATGACGGGGAATTGCATGCACCGAAATTTCTGTGCCCTTCAGCAAAGAAGATTCTTAATGCTGGCAAGAGCATTGTGTTTCTGCAACATCTGGGGAAGGACTTGCGGCAAACAACCGACGAGCTGACACCTGCACCAGAGTTGACGTACGAATCGGTTGTTGGCTGCTCATCTGCTGTGCCTGGCTTACTACCCTTCTCTGAACAGTTTTCGACCTCTTTCGTTCAGTGGATAGGCAGTAAGTATGGTCCGGCATCCTCCATTCTGCGGCAGCAGCTGTTGGCATCTCAAGGTTTGCTGCAATACATCGACACCCTTGAGCATGTGTACTTCTCGAAAGATGGTGTTTTATTCCAAACCTTTGCCGACGAGTTGTTCAAACGCATTGACGGCCGAGGACGCGATTGGAGCGACAAATTCTTACTCTCCGAGCTTGCACGTCGTACATTTAGCCCTGCTTTGGGATTGGCGAAACCATCTAATTTGAGTGTACGCATAGCGCAGCTGAACCACTCCGCACAGAGCGTGAAAATATTAAGTTCAGTGTTGGTAGATCTCACTCTGCCGTGGGCCATACAGAACATCATCCAGCGTTCTTCGATTCCGACCTATCAGGCTGTCCTCTGTTTGCTGTTGCAGATCTACCGCGCGAAGGCCCTACTAAGGACTGACAGCTACAATATCCGCACATGCGGAGGCCGATCGCGCGCGCGTCTGGCAATTGGTATTCGGCAGAAACTGATGTGGTTCGCCAACACCATGCATTCGTACGTCACGGAAACCGTAGCGCAGACAGCTACTCAGGAACTACGTCAGAAGCTTGCGGATGTCGAAGACATAGACGGAATGTGTGATGTTCACGACCGATTTGTTGCAAGATTGGAACTGGGTTGCTTGCTTGCCAAAAACCTTGCCCCGATCTATGATAGCATGATCTCCATGCTCGATCTGGCCGTTGCGTACTGTGGAATGCAGAATACTTCTATGGAAAGCTCGGGCTTGCCCGAGAGACAATTTCGTGTTCATTCTCGGCGTGGGCGAACGAGACGTCGAGCTGATCGTGACAGCGACGAGGATGATGAGGACGACGATGACGATGACGATGACGCAGAGGATTCTTCTATTCTGGACGCGGAGGGCACAGAGAAAAGCAGCAATGGTGAGGAAACGAGAAACAAAGGCGAACAAACCGAGTCATACGCACAGCGACTTCAAACGTTGCACGATCAATTCTCGCGGTTATTGAATTTCACGGTTGCTGGACTTCGAGGAGTAGGTCGAGCAGGTGGAGAACCCGCTTGGGAGATGCTTGCGGATAGCTTAGCGGGGGGCACAAACAAACGTGGTCGACGTTATATTTACGACTGATCTGGAATGTCTGTGGCCGACGCCGTTTGATGACAAAGGCTGAGCTACTCTTACGTTTCGCTACAAGGACCGGGATGGAGAATTAAGCGTGTTTTCTTAATTCATGCAGTGCCGTCATTAAGCTACGCGCGCAAGATTGACAAATTGTCCAGCCCTGCAGTGAGCCATCCACTGAAGACGGTCTTGGGACACCATGCAAGGCATTGAAGAATCAATCACTCAGTCGCGGATGGAATCAACTCTGTGCGCCGAAGTGCGAACCAAATTGACAAACTAGCGTTGCCTTCCAACACCTGTGGGGAAATATGCGATTATGCCAGAATATACAGGCGTGATAAAATTATCGACCTCCTCTCCACAATGTAGGGAGCGCGGACAAAATTTAGAATGGTGCTTGTTTGGACGTGTTTGTCTCCTTTCTTGGTGATTGGGGACCTGCACTCCTTCGAATGATTCCGAAGGTCTGCAAGAAGCGTCCAAGCGAGCCATGTAAAGAACGTCGAGGGAATTGTGGAAGATTCAGCAAACGCGGAACATTTCCAAGGACGAACTTGGACCAGCTGTAACGAGTGAGAGACATTGAGAGCGAGAAAGGAAAGCATCACCCGTCAACGGGCTCGAAAAGAACCTACGAAACGTTGCACGCCGGGCAATTTGGATCCCCGAGAGCTTTGCGACTCTGGGCCGTTCTCACTCCGTCTCCGTGAACGGCCCGGGCGCAAAATCTCACGTCCTTGCCGGAACCGCTGCTTTTGTCGTATAGTCGCTACAAGACGGGACACACTTTGTTCCACGGTTCCCCATCGCTTCTCTTTTTCCTAGCCGCATTTCAGAGCACCCACCATGACATTGTGCAGATTTCGACTGTGTTCTAGTGGTGGCTTGCACGACGTTGACTTTCACATGCACAAGAGCAGAGCTGGAGCGAGAGATACTTGAAGTGACGTTAGGTTGCGCTCGGCTCAGCTCTCTCACGGCTTATCAGATAGATCAGGTGCCTTTCAATGGCAGTGAGCCACATGGCGTGCGCAAAGCAGAAAATCCTTTCTGCTCTATCCGTCCTTACTGCGCTGCCGCCCCCTGATTTGTTGTCCCAGCTACGAGCAGACTGATCCATCTCTCACACTTGTCAAGACACAAATGGCGCGAACCCGTGGCAAGCGCTGCAACCCGATGTTGGGCAGGAAGAATCATGAAGTCGCAGCGTCGTTTCATGTCCAGTTGCGTGTCCAGCTCGTACGTCTCGCCGGGGTGTTCGAGAGGAGTGTGGGATGGGCTGCGGAAGCGACAAGACTGCGGAAAACTAACTCTGAAGCATGTTAGAAGCACGGCATTTCAGAACGAAAATTGCATAATATAGTTTTCCAGCCAGGGTCGAACAAATCAAGCTTTTCACTCTTGTTTTCTTTCTCTCTCTCTCTCTCTCTTTTTTCTTTTTTTTTTTTTAAAAAAAAATGGAAAATGGAAAAGGAGGACGGCTTGGGAACAAGTCATGTCGTGGGACAGAAGGCGAGCTTGTTCCACGTGACGGTCTTTCCACCATATTCTTGCCCTTTTTCTCCGGCGGCGCAAACCGCTGTGCAAAGTGAGTTGCCCACATGTATCTCCTGTTTCTTTGGCCGCAGGCGCCCAACCCCCCCCCCCCC